CGATACCCGAATTTAATACTATATTTTATCCAAATTTATTTATATACCATAAAACAGCAATCGAATTTAATATTCCTACTAGTAAATTAATTATAATATATTAATAATAAATATTTATTAATAATTTACGTGTAAATATAAAGAAGTAGCGATATAAACCAATTATTCTAATAATAGAATTATTAATATAATATTTCAACCGTATTAGTATTTAATTGAAATATATCTTATATTTCTTAATTTATATTAGAGTAAACGCAATTATACCTAGCGCGAATAATTAGGATAATTTTATTCTAAACTTAATTCCGAATTCCTTCCCGCGAATTATTTATGAAATAATTAATTAAGGCTCTATTTAAAATCTATCCTAAATAAATCCAAAAATGATTACAAATAATCTTTAATTTACATTTTAAATAAAAATAAAATTATATATATTTATTAAAGGTTCAATATATAAATAACCCTTCTATTTATTAACGAAATTAAAGATTATTCTTTACATACCTTTCAATACTACGCGTAAAATAAATATAATAAAATCGTACTATACGGCGAGCGAAATATATAACTTTACGAAGGTAAGGATTTATTTTAGAAATATACGCCGAAAAACTTATATTAATTAATTAAGGAACTAATAAAAATATATTATAGAAAAATCTTAAAATAAAATAATATACCTATAGTTACTTCAAAGTTTCAATTTATAATAATATTATAAAAACCTTTTTTTAAATAATTCCCGCTACTTAATTATATATTTATAATCGATTTTAAAGATTTTAAATACTATTTTAAAAGTAAGGGCGTATATTTTCGGCGACTTGGTATTAGTAAAAATCCGGACAAAAAGGATAGCTATCGGAATTAAACATCTATTGGGGATAAATTCGGAATAATTTAATAATTTATATCGTCTGAACTATTTTAAATAGAAATCCTAAATAAACTCCCTATTTTCTATACCGGAAAAATATTTATAATTTATATTCAATTCGAAAAATCTAACAAAACCTTTACAAAAGAATTCTACCTATTCTTTAAAGAAACAAATAATTATAAAATTAATCCCATCGTTAAGAATCTGCTAAATATATTATTTAAAAAAAAAGGTCAACACTTTATCCCTAATAAATCCCTGATATATAAATTTATACAAATATTTAAATTTTAGTATTTTAATTAATACTCCTATAGCATAATTTTAAGGTTCGAAACTCCTAAAAACTAAATAAGAGCGCAACACTTTTTAATTATTAATTGAACTTTATTAATATTATTAAGATTCGTATAAGTTTTATTAATAGTATTAGTATTATATTCGTTAAAGAATTAAATAAAGTTGGGGTTACGGGTTAAAGTCGCTAAATTACAAATTAATTTCTAATCTATCCTTAATTTAATAATAATATACTCCGGATTCACTTATTCTAAATTATACTAAAATCTCCTACCCTCTCCAATACCTGTATTAAATTATTGATAATCTATTTAGGGGTTTTATTAGAAGGAGGGAGTAAATAAGCATATTAACTATAGGAAATTATAACGATATATAGGATAGTTTTAATATTAATTGGAATATAAAAATTAAGAGTAATATTACAATTTCGAATTTTAATAGTACTATAGCTTTAAATGTAATCGGTTTCTAATTTATTAATAATAAGTTTTTAATAAAACCTAAATATATTAAAGAAAGATCTATTTACTATAGCGTGTCCTTTTTATTAATATAATGTTCGTTTTAATATATATTTTAATATATAATAAATCGAATATAGAATCCCTTAAATACCTTTTAATAATTAATTCAACGTATAATTAATATTAATTAAAGTTATTAGGGAGGTTAATAAAAAAGTGTATTCTCTTTCCCGGCTTCGAATTCTAATATTTTAATTAATAGTAATTATAGCCGGTAATTATTTAAATAGAAATGAATTTTAAATATAATCCTAATTATTAAGGATATATTTTAAATAAAAATTTACTTTATTTATATACTAAACGAATTTATATAACAACTTCGATTCTTTTTAACCTTATATCTCCTAACGCATTCTAATCGCCTATACTCAATTAATTATTTAATACGCTTATTAAATTCGCGGGTCTAAATATTTATAATATTTAATATTAAAGTATTTATAGGTACTATAATAATATATAGCGTTATTTAAATAATTAAACGAAATATTTTTAGTAGTTATTTTCCTTTTTATATAATATTAGATTTATAATATTATAAATTAATTAAGGATTAATCTTATATATATTACTAATTTATTTCGGACTATTTTACTTTATATACTTCGTCCTATAGGGCTTTAATTTAAGCTTTGATTAAACCTTTAATATCTACGACGTAGATTACATTAAGAATAGAAAACTTAGGGTATTTTAAAATAATTATAGTATAGTATATCGTTTAGACGAAATTAGAGTATTAATTAATACTATTAGATAAAATGAATATTAAACCTATAATTTTAACCTTTATATAATTAATATTATTATATTATTGATTAATAAGAGATATATGTAAAATATATTAATAATATATTAATTATACTTACTAAGAAGTCAGTTAGTATCGATATATTAGGAGGGGTTATATCCTTCAATTCCTCTAATTTATTGAATTCGGCCGTTATATTATCTATTTATTCTAAATCAAATATCGTTAATAATTTAATAAAGATTATATTATTCTATTTAATTAAATTGAGCCTAATAATAATGATTAAGGTATTAGCGTCAGTAATGTTATTATTAACTATTTTATAAAGATAATTCAGGGATATATTAGAAATAATTTATGAGCTGTTTGTGTGCAAAGAGGAGATGTCGGTCGCGGTTAGTTTACAGTCGTGTTTGGATGTACGATCGTTAGTGTTTAAGAGGAGTACTTAAAAACGCGAATAATGTTGTTTCTTTATAGGGAACTTCGAACGAGCGATTAATTATTTTTCTACAGGGAAAGAAAATATTAAGAGGGCGAGGGTCGAATGAGAGATTTTTCACAGTATAGGGTCGGTTTTGGTATATCGACTTGGGTTAGGAAGCTTTGGTAATAGGGTCGGGTCATGTGAGTATTTACACATCTACGGATATAATTTTCGTCTAAGCAACCGCAAAGAATGGAAGACAAAAGACAGGGACTTCGCGATGGTTAGTTTCCTTGGCCTGTTGTGAACCGATGACGAAATGCCCTTCTGTTTGGGCACAAGCGTTGAAGCGGCAGGCTTCTAAGAAAAGTGGGTCTTGTGAAGTTGTCCCCTGCTGCAAGTCATTTTTCAGCGCATCACTTGTGCAGATTCGTCTCTCCATTTCAACCCGAAGTCCCGAAGATCTGAAGGACAACAAGGGAAGTTCCATGCGATCCGAAGAGAAAGAAAACAATCTGCAGGTGTGGGATGCATTATGGGCCGGATATGGATGACTTCTCGCTTTAACGTCGTCGGTGAAATTAACAAGAGAGAGCAGTGATGGATCATGAAGGGATTCAGAAGGCTGGAGATGATGACGGAAAGAAGAAAAGCGGGGGAGGGGCAGATCCCAAAATCCAAATCCATCATCCAACCAAAAACATCCCGTCAGGTGCCCTGCACAAGTCACCGTCGAGGGTCATCCGCCGTGAGACTTTTCAGTGTTGCGCCATTGGCGAGCGAGCGAAGGCATCCATTACACGCCGAATGCCGTCCAAGGACTCCAAGGGAGGGATGGCGGGATGGGTCACCGTTCTACTCTCACAGACCAGACTCGAACAAACCACTGGATTTTGTACATCCTCGTGCTGATCTGGTCACAAGGCTGTTCAGAAAAGATACATGGAGGCAACCAGGGTCCCTCCCAGGTGAAACGAGAAGTTTCTCCCGGTTTTGTTCAACCGGGCAAAAGACAGGTACCACCACGAGATCTCCCCTAGAGGTAGTAGCCTTGCCAGGACTCTCGAGAGACACGGATACCTACAGAAGAACACCTTACCCTCTCTCGGCACCCTGCTGCTATGGATATTGCTGAGAAAGCATCAAGTTGCCTCCTGCTGTGTTCGAGAATCTTCAACGACAAGAGGGTCGGTCTCCTCGGGTCCGTCTCGAGGACTTGTCACCCTCGCTCAATAAGCACCTTATCTGTGTGTAGCAGTCACACTTCCATAAGACGTCGGCATCTCCTGATCTGATACCTATGGAGAATATCCACACTGGTCACCGAACTATGCAGAAAGGGTCTCTTCCGGCCGCATACCAGGTTGGCTTCATGTCACGGAAAAGCAGTTGGGCGTTTAGTTTGACACGACAAGAGCATCTCGAGGTTGCCTAATCGGCCAGCTGAAGGGTTTAGACTGTTGCTATGAACCACATGTGTAAGAAATACCTCCCTTTCTCAACAGACGGATACCCGGGCCCGAGTTAGTCACATATCACGTCCTCCAGACTCAGACTCAGACCAGCTCTGACTGCCGAACCCTTTCATAGCTCACAACCGCCTATGGCTAACACAAAAGGTTCCAGAACGCTCGAGTTGGCCAGCCTTGTAAGAGCTGTTTGAAAGACATGAGTTGGCGACCTTCAACGCAGGTACTGCGCCGCCCTAAAAACGTGGGCCAACCTTCAACGTTTTTTCGTTCGGATCATCGTATCTTCTGCTTGGTTCCCGCTAGCATGGAAACAAGCGCTGTTGACCTATGGAGAGACCAAAAAAGGGTACATGTGCCCACATCTTGGCTTGCAACCGGCCAGGGGACCACGGACAAGAAACAGGTTGCCTGATCAATTTTTTACCATCTCGAGGCATACACCTACGTAGTATGACTATCACAGGTAGTAGGAGAATACGGTCTCACATACCAAGACCTGCGAGCATATGCGAGACCACCGTCGACGTAACTGAGCCCCACCCAGCCATCCCCATTCCCACCCTTTCCACCATAGCACCCCTCCTTGCCCACTTGACCCCCCGGCTCTTGCTCTTATACCAAGGACTCAGCCTCTCTGCCAATCCCACTTCTCTCTTCTTGCTTGATTTTGCTCAAAATATTGACTCTTCCCATATATTTTCTTACTTTGCAACTTGATCAGATACCCAAAGTGAAAGTTTTTGAGTTTTGCTGTTGTTGTGGTAAACATCGATCTCTACCCCTGAACGTACTAAACAAACACTTACACGCTCTATAAGCTATAGTGGATATTTCCCTACTTTGACCATCCCCGGATTACACAAGAGCTCAGGCCACCAGGTCATCGGAAACCAGAGACAAGAGAGACATGGCCCAGGTCTACCGCGAAACCCGGTACTCCCGGGATTCTTCTCCTTCGGGCGACGAGGGCTACAGAAGGACAACCACTCGCCGTTACAAACAGGCGCCGAGCCACAGCCGCGAGAGAGTCTATGAGCGCGAGATTGACGTCATCGACGATGACCGCCAGGGTGCCCGCCTAGACGGCCGCTTCTTCGGTCGTCCCAGCGGCGGCGAGCTTGTTGTTGATCGCAGAGATGACCGTCTCTATCCCGACCGGCCACGATCTACTGCCGGCCAGGGCACCACCTACGTCGAGCGCCGATATCGAGAGACAGAGGACTGGGATGGCGACAACATCCCAGATCGCGAGCGCACTGTGGTCGAGAAGCGTCTGGTTACCCGTAACGATGATGACTACCACTATCGTCACGATTCCAGCCGAAACAGGGACAACGACGGGTGGGAGCGCCATTCTTACTACGATGCCGAGAGGGATGCGGACGTGCGCGTGGAGAGAAAGGTAGAGCGCCGCGAGGACGGCTCCGAGGTCATCCTGGAGCGCCGGATCCGTGAACACATTGATCACGACCACGGTGCCGACGTCGAGATCTACCGCAAGGAAACCGAGTACTACGAGCCTGCACAGCCCATTGTCATCCGCCAACGCCCCGCCGAGCAGAGGATCATTGTCCAGGAAGCCGCTCCTCCTACCGTGGTCGTTCGTGAGCGCCGTGACGATTTTGCTCCCTACGTAGTCGAGAAGACCGAGGAGGAGTACATCGTCGAGCACATCGACGACGGCCACCACCACAGCCACAGCCGCCACCGTGATGGCCACCACCACTCCCACTCGCGCTCCCACCACCGCCACGAAGATGAGGAATACTACGCCGGCGCCACCCGTGTTTCTCGCCGCGACGAGCGTCGCAGCCGTAGCCGCTCCTCCTCCGGCAGCCCTCACCGCAAGCGTCACATCGCTGAGGGCGCCCTCGCCGGCGCCGGCGTCTCCGCGCTGATTGCCTCGCGGCGCAACAAGGAAACAGGTGAGGTAGACAAGCACCGCGGGCGCAAGATCGTCGCCGGCGCGGCTCTGGGCGCCCTAGGCACCGAAGCCGTCCGCCGTGCCCACAGCGCCTACAAGGACCGCCACGGTGACTCCGATGACGAGCACGACCGTCGCTCTCGTTCGCGCTCCCAGTCGCACTCTCGCATCAAGACCGGCTTGGGCATCGCCGCTGTTGCTCTGGCTGCCGCTGGCGCAGCCAAGTACTACGAGTCCAAGAAGATCGAGAAGGAGGAAGCGGAGCGTGGTCGTCCTTCCCGTCGCTACAGCGAGAGCGACTACTCCCGCTCGCCCAGCCGCAAGCGGTCCAAGTCCCGCGCTGGTTCTGTAGCCAAGGCGGCCCTCGGTACCGCCGCCGCCGTCGGTGTCGTGCAGCACTACCGCCACAAGCGAAGCAAGTCCCGCCATGGCTCGCGATCCCGCAGCTCCAGCAGCGATCGTAGTGAACACCACTCCAAGCTGAAGACTGGAGCCGAGATTGTCGCCGCTGGAGTGGCCGGTGCCGCGGCCAAAAAGATGTACGACAAGCACAAGGAGAAGAAGGAGCGGTCGCGCTCGCGCCACGCCCCCGACGACCGAGACCGTGAGTTGTACGATGACGACGGATACAACGATCACCGCGAACGCGTTTATAGGTCCAGAAGCAGGAGCAGAAGCCAAGTTCGGTCCGCATTACCCTCTTCCCATCATAATAAACATGACCAATCCGAGAGGACCGTCGCTGATGATCCTGAATCCTTAGGTTTGGTTGAGTACGGAACGAACCCCGTGCCCGTTCATAATGAACACCAACAGCAGCCGCATAGTAAGAGAAAGGCAGCGCTTGCTACGGCTGGAGCAGCGGCGGTTGCTGCTGCTGCGGCTACGGCAGCGGGCAAACATCAAAGACACAATAAACGCGATAAGGAACCACCGCCGACGCCACAGTTACTATCTGCTGTTGAAGACTACGATGATAACGGGATTGCCACGGGGTATGAGTCGGCGGCGGAGGAGAGGGCGAGAAAGGAAGAACGCCGTCGGGAGAGGAGTAGGAGGAGGAGACAAAGGGAGAGGGAGAGGGAGAGGGAGAGGGAGGAAGAGAGGGGTGGTGCGCTGTTGGTACCGAGACCGAAAGAGGAAGAGGAGGAAGTTGGTTATTACTCTGATACCGACGATAGCGAAGAGGAGAGGATGAGAAGACGGAGGGCGAAGAGTAGGGACCCGGAGAGAGAGAGGGAGAGGAAGGCTAGTAGGAGTCCAGAGAAGAAGCCGGCGAGGAGTAAGAGCCGGTTGGGAAGGCTGGCTGCTGGCGCCGCGGCGGCGGGGGCAGCGGCTATTGGGATTAAGAAGTTGGGTGACAATAATAAAGATAAGAAAGAAAAAGAAAGGGAAGGGGAGAGGGGGAGAGAGAGAGAGAGAGAGAAGGGGAGGGACAAGGAGATAGAGAGAGAAGAGAGGGACATTGGGCTGGTGGAGAGAAGAAACAGTAGGGATAGCGATAGGGAGAGGATGGAAAGACAACGGGAGAGGGAACGTGAACGTCGACGTGAGTGATCTTCTATCTACCATGTGTCTTTATGTGAGACTCTCCTGGAGCCATCGATACTAACGAGAACACAGGCTACGAGGAACAAACCGCTCCCACAGACCCTTTCTACCGGCAGCAGCGGCGGCCAGCCTCGCCTCCTCACGCGTCAGGCGGATATCCCCCAGTACCTCCAACTCCTCCTGCTGTCGCCCCTGCTGTTGCTTCTGTTCCAACAGCTACGCCACCACAGTCGGGACCACCACCACCACAGCTGCAACCACATCGCTCATCGAATGGGTTCACGCAACTTCCGAACATTAACTTCACTGACGTGAATCAGTTCCAAACACCGTACCCGATGGGGCCGGAGGCGATGCCGATGCCTGTACCTGGGCCGGCACCTGTTCAACAACAACCGGTACAGCAACCAGTCCAGCAATCGCAGTACCAACAGTATCAGCCTTACAACCCACAAGACTACGTTGCTAATTATCCACCCCCTCCTCCGGGTCCTCAGGGTTCGCAAGTACCACCGGTACTGGTCCCAGGCCAGAGGCAGCCCGTGACAACGACAATGAACTCGACGGCTGCGGCTCCCCAAGGAGTTCCTCCTCCGCAAGAAGTCCCCCCAGCACTGAGGGCTCCGCAAGGAGTACCGGCTTCACTGATGGTTGGTGCCCCATCGCATCTTTCGCAGTCGCAGTCGCAGTCGCAGTCGGTGATGGGGAACCGTCCTGAAGATGTGAGTACAAGATCATCTCCCAGATCCAGAGATATGCCAATGTCCCCTACTACGGGTGATGAGAGGGAAGAACGTCGCCGCTCGATGCACATGCCCAGGTCAAGGCCTAGGCGGTTGAGAGGCGTCGTTGGCGCTGCGGGCGTTGGTGCCTGTAGTGGCAGTGGCAGTGGCAGTGGCAGTGGCAGTGGTACGAGAGAGAAGGGTGCGTTTTCTTAGTTAACTTTCCTTGGTTATTGTTTTCGGTTGCTTGTTTTGTGCTGCCCCTTCCGTCTGCTGCCCCTTTCCCTTCTCACCCGTTCAGTTCAAAAAACCACAACGTTACGACAGCGATACTAACAAACCTCCCTCACAGATGGTCTAAAACTCACTCTTCACCCACCCACACCCACCGACTCTTCCTTTTCTCCATCCGAAACCGACTACTCTCCCACAACAACAAATATCCCCAAAGACAACAACAACAACGCACCACCCGGTGCTTCCAAATCAGTAACCTTCATCCCCCTCTCCCCCAAATCCTCCCAAACCCTCCAGCGCCACCACGAAGAGCAAATGGCCAAAGAAGCCGCCAAGCGCATCTCGGGCGTCGACCCCAACAACTCTGGTTCAGACGTCTCCTCCGACTTTGAAGACCGTTTAGACAGGGAACTGAACGCTTTGGTACCTGCCAAGTACCGCTCTACGCCTGAGTCTTCTTCTTCCTCTCCTTCTCGGCGGGACCGATCTCGCTCCCCTTCTCAACGCCATCATGATTCGAACTCCGACTCCGACTCCGATTCAACGCTAGAAATCTTGCCGGATAGGTTCGATCAAAACGGTCGGCCATTGGACTCTCGTGACCGGAAGGTGGTACACTCCAGAAGGGGCGGGGGCGAGTTTATGTATCATGACAACCACGGTAACGGACTAAAACAAATAGCTGGGACGGGACAGTGGGGGGTTAGCGGGACGGATGCGGAGGCGGTGGAGAGGATTGTGAGGAAGGTGGAGGGGGTGTTGGAGGGTAAGGGAAGTTGGACGGGGTTGGTTATGGGGTTGTTGAGTGGGCGGTTGATGGAGGGGGATGGTGCTCGGGATGGGGGTGGTGAGGTTGGGGGGAGTGGGAGGAGGAGGAAGAGGGGGAGGAGGGGGGTGGCGAGGTTGGGGGTTTGATGTTGGGTAAGAGAGGTGGTGGATAGGGTGGTGGTTTTGGTTATGGTTGATGAGTGATGCTGGTAATGGCGATGATGGTATGGGTGATGATGATGGACGGACGAAGGATACGGACGGGATGATGACTGATGATGATTAATGACCTTTTCCTACGTTTATTATCATGTCTTTCCTTCCTTTCTCATTTGGCTCTTTTTTTTGGTTATGATTTCTGCTTTGAGTCTTTAGATAGGATGTTATGTTCTTTTGATGATGGCGGCTTCATGTTGTCATTCCTTGATGTGTCAAAGAAGGTGGTGGTCAGTAATGAGTTGATGCTTTGATATTCTGTTCGTTATACCAGTTTGGATGCTGAGTTAGTATGATACCAATACACAACGCGCTCTTTTTGTACTAGCAGGCACACATGCTATGTGATGGTGAACATTGTTGAAGCTTTGTTATCGTATATTTGGATTTGAAGACCCAAACATCGAGTGACATAAGTCTATTCTAGGTTAAGATATTCAAGATATAGTCATCATCTGTAACACTCAACATCGATACACCAAGCAAGGTCATATTCACCATTACACATCACGATGCTACCGTCAGAGCTGTTATGGTTTCCAGACTTGTAGCATATAACCAAAACCAAAGCTCATGATAACCCTCTCCCTCTTTCCATTCCCACCTTCCTTCTCTATCAGATCATGTCTTATCATACCAGATCACCTCCTCCCTCGTTCCTTCTCATTTCCATCTTTCGTTATCTCACTCCCCACCCGTACGGGCCGTAATTCACATAAAATCTGCCTCAGACCCGTACCTACCTGTAGTCCGCCACAGAGCTGCCCCTTGAGGTTTTCTGGGTGTTGCGTTCGGTCGTGGTCGTGGCTGTGGTGTTCCTGATGTTGCGACTGTTCGGGCTGTTGCTGCTGTTGGACCGTTGGTGCTGAGAGTATTGTTGCTGATGATGACGGCATTGCTGATGATGATGATGGTATCGTTGTTGCTGCTTCTGTTGCCTCTTCTGACTCCTGATCTTGATGGTGTCTGGCAGCCCTGGCACGAAAAACCTCTTGCATCTCCGCAAACAGATTGGCACGGAGCTCGGCCATACAGGGAATATTGGTTCACGCCCATTGTTGGACGTAGACCCTGTCCTCAAAATCCAGCCAGGCTTCGCAGATGAGTAAATCGAACTCGGAGACATCATCATCATCGTCATCTTCGTCATCGTCGTACGAGTCATCGTAGAAGGAATGTTCATCATCGCCATACTCTTCTTCCTCGTCATCCTCTTCTTCCTCGAGGCCTTCTTCTTCCTCGAGGCCTTCTTCTTGAAGTCCTCTCCCTCGTCCCTCTTCCTCTTCTTCCTCATCACTCCACTCCTCCTCTTCCCCCTCCTCCTCCTCCTCTTTCTCGTCATCCCCTTCACACCCCCTCTCATTCTCTTCCAGCTCTTCCAGCTCCTGTAGCTCCTGTCTTTCCGAAGCCTCCCAGTAATCTCCCTCGCTTGGCCATCCCACCGAGGTGTTGGAGGTAGTGTCGGACCAGTTGAAGAACGACATCTTGATGATAGTTGACGGTTGGGAATGTCAAGATTGGCCGATGAGACGTATGATAGACGGTGGGTGTGTGTAGACGGTGGGTAGTAGAACCAAGCAGTCACACGGATGGTGTGAAGAGAATGGTGTGGAAGATGGAAAATGATTCTCGAGAGAGAGAGAAAAGCTGGTTGATGAGCAAAGTATAAGTATCCGAAAGATCTCGGATTCAGGAAGAGCGGTTGATGGATCAACTTATTTGGAGAATGACCACGGAAGTGAAGAACCGAGTGGTTAGACGGATGATGAGGAAGAGGGAGAAAATTTATTGAAGGAAAAGAAAATAGATGGAGAGGTATAAGTATCTGAGAAGATTCCCAGTTCGGGAAGAGAGATTCTTGCGTGCGGACCAAGTCCGGCATATAAGCCTCCCCTCTGCACGTCTGGACTCCGAGTCCAGCGTACATGAAATATCATCACATCATGCTGTATATGCCCGTCAAGATTCTCAAGTCCGATGGCAGCCCAGCAAGAAAAAGCCACACGTATTGTCCCTTCACCCCATCTAACCATGCCCGTCGAAGCCTCTGCCAGCCTCAAAAGCTGCTGAGTTCGGCGAATCCGCATAATCTTGACATCGGATATGCCAACATCGTGGAGCTAGCTGCTGGTATCGGATTTCTGGACCGGCCTGTCCCATCCGGATGCAATGCGGTTCTCAACTACCGATATATGCACGATTAAGACCGGACAGACGGTTTTCTGGGTTACATATATGTAACTCTTTCAAGTAGACGAGTATGCAACGCACGTTTTTTTGTTGTTGGAGCCGGAGCTCGGTCGACTAGGTTTTAACAGAGACAGCCGAGACACATTTGAAGGAGTATTTCATTGGACCGGCAACATGGTACATTACTATCGACATTCCTTTTTTGTATCTACGGCTTCTAAGGTAGATGCAAAGACAGGCCCATATCTTCGGACTCATAATGGTCGGCCATGATGGTGGCGAGATGGTCTCGTGTTTGAGGACCACTGTGAAATTGTTAGTGCTGTTTCTTTTTGTCATCGAAATTCTGGGTTCAGGGCTTACAGGTTTGTTAGGTAGACATCGACATACTGAGGTGGCAGGTACTCGGCCACGATGTTCTCCACCTCGAGGGCATCCACGGCCTCACCATCGGCGTAGTCGACAAATGTCGAGGGGTCTCCCTGCTCGAACTCGGTCACATCGTCCGACGGGTCTACCGGGCAGAACTTGTAGACACCGCTAAGAACGATAACGGGCTTGGAGTACTCCCGCGCCGCCCTAGCAGCGATGCTGCACCCGCTCTCCGTGGAAACACCGCCGTTCGCATATACGGCCTTGGCGCCGATAACAACCTTGTTCACCCTCGGCATGTAGGCCATCAGGCTGTTGCTAGCCAGGCTGATGGTGTTGACCCCGAGACCGTCAAGCTTCTTACGCAGGGCAGCGTGGGGTACCTCGCCGGGTTTTTGACGCTCAGTGCTGGCGAGGAAAACGGTAAACCTCCTCTTTGCCGCCGCCTTGATAAGGAAGCGCTCGACTGTTGGGGAGGGGAGGTAGGCGAGCACGTAGTCGCCGGGGTGAATCTGGATGTCCGCGAAGCCCGCAATCTGGTCGTCCGCCTGGCTGATCTCGTCCATAATCTCTTCGATGCCATCGATAACTTCGGACCGTAGGGCATGCATGTTGGCAGATGCGCCCTGTGACATGGGGGTGGATGCACCGGTGACTGGTGATTGGACAGGCTCTGAGACGCTGAGAAGGTTGAACATGGACTTGGACATGGGGAGAGTCGCGGCGCGGAGAGGCGTGGGACCTGGCCTCGAGGGCATGGTGGGCGTTGTGGGAAGCTGGGAGAGATCGGATACTGAGTCGCCCATCTCGTCGGCGTTTCTGTCCTCGGAAGCCTCATCGCGAATAAGACCCATCACCCGGCGGACGACATTGCCGATGACCTGTTCTGTAGGGGCAGCTTGGGCGAGTCTGAGGCCAGTGTTGGAGACCTTTGCGAGCAGCTGGTCGACGTTCTGCCACTTAGACTTGGCGACGACCTGGAGCAGCATATGGGCTGTGGCATTGGCGATATCATCACCCTTGACTTGACGACGTTTTAGGAGGCTGCCCAATCATGTTAGGATCTGATATGTATATGTCATGTATATGCAGTAGACAACGGCGTACTAGACAAGAGCCTCGATAGAAGCCTCCAAGGGCTGGGTGTTGAGAGACTTGAGGAGCTTGCCCAGCGTAGGGGCATAGCTCATTTGCGACGGCGCCATGGTGAGCCTGAATCAAGAAAAGATATGGACTCAGATATTGTGGATGTTATGTCGAAGTGAGAATGCGACTGTTCCCTGCTCGAGGATGTGGTCTTTACGAATGATACGCGGTGGATATCTATAAAACCGATATTGGCGAGCAATGACAAGGCTGCTGGTCGCAAAAAGGTCTCAACAATAGCTTCCAGAACGGGACCAAAATCGCTTGGGATTGTGGACTTTTTGCCAGTGAATTGTCAAGGTGAGTCAATGTGAATGCGCTTTTGAGGTATCACAAGCTCTAGAAATTTAGTGGGGCAGGCAAGCAACCTCCAAGCACAAAAGAATGCGGGCTGCGGCAGGCTAGAAGCGGACCCCACTCAAATTCAAGGCTGCTAATCCCTGTCGGACAAACTGGAGAACCCCACCGAGCAAAAGGTGGACGCCAAGCAATTTGATGTCCAGACTCCAGAGGGGAGTCCAGACATTTCTTATCGGATCCTTATCCAAAACTTGTCCCTCTTATCGCACCCAATTCCAGGCACTAACCCACCTTATCGGCGTCCGGCGGAACGGCTTTACAATTGGCCTACAAATTTTTGGTCGCGCCGCTCTGCTCTGATTGACTGGGTCACTGATGGACCCAGTAAAATCTGCGTTGAAGAATCCGTTCGCGATCAACCCCATCACGATACCAATACCTTGACGCCCCAACCCAGTAACTTTTTTTCTTTACTGCAGTGTGGTTTGTAACATTATTCCCAAATCTTAATTCCTGTTTGATACCCCCTCCCTCAACCACCAACCAAACACAACCAACCACCAACACACATTATAATCCGACAAGATGGGTTCCACCGATAAGATCAAGGAGAAGAAGGACAAGTCCGAGAAGAAGGACAAGAAGGAGAAGAAGATGAGCGAGGAGGCCGGTGTCAAGAAGGAGAAGAAGTCGGACAAGAAGGAGAAGAAGGAGAAGACCGAGAAGCTCGCCAAGGCCGTCGAGGCTCACCTCGAGAAGGAGGGTTCCGTCGACCCTGAGGATGTTGTCAAGACCGCCGAGGAGCTTGTTCCCTTTGCCCTTCCCCTCGCCGACGACAAGACCCACAAGAAGATTTACAAGTTGATCAAGAAGGGTATGTTTTGCAATTAATCCTCTTCCATTCAACCATCCATTGAAGCGCAATTGCGACCCCAATCAATTCCACAAAACAAACCACTAACACATCACCTCCCTCTCTCCAGGCGCCAAGCTCAAGTCCATCCACCGCGGCGTAAAAGAGTGCGAGAAGGCCATCAAGAAGTGCCCCCTGCGGACCGCCGCCTCCCCTCCCGCCGACGCTCCCGGCCTCGTCATCATCGCCGGCGACATCTCGCCCATGGACGTGATCATGCACTTCCCCATCCTGTGCGAGGAGCACGGCGTCCCTTACCTGTACATCCGCTCGCGCGCCGATCTGGGCGTTGCCGCCTGCACCAAGCGCGCCACCTCGGTGGTGATGCTCAAGCCCGAGGGCAAGAAGTCCTCCGGCAAGGAGTCCAAGGGTGACGACGATGAGAAGAAGGTCGACCCCGCCGAGTACCTCGAGGCCTACAAGGAGCTGGTCAAGACGGCGCAAAAACAGTGGAACGTCCAGGTCGAGCCCTGGGTTAAGGGTACTCACCCGCTTCAGATTGAGGCGAGGGTCAAGGCTACTGCCTAAGTTGGCGGGAGCAACAAAGCGAAAAAAATGAAAGACTGCGACGACTCGATGGCGACAGCAGGGGCATGAGAGCATGACATTGTTGGTGTCGATGTGATTATGCGTCTGCTAGTCAGAGTGTTCGTGTGCGTATGTGCTTTTTGCTCAGACAACCGGACCGTCTCTTGTTGAGAGGAATCGGGCAACCTAGATCTCCTTAGAGTCTTGGGGGCCGGTGAGAAGCACGAAGAAGACTTCTTTCCATGGACTTGCGACTGGTTTGGGGACTTACTGAAGAGGGAGAAGCAAGTTGGCGCTCTAATCACATCCTTGTCATCCTGGCCTCTCCATCTTCACCTTGAAATCAGTCCTTGTCCCGACTTCGTTCAGGCTCTTTCCACGCACTTTTTTCATCACGCAAAGGCGGTCGGATACCGATCATCATCACCTCCGCATTGGTCACCATCCGGGCAACTCGGCTGCGCTGGGCTTTTATCTAAGCTATAGATAGAGAGCATTCATGGGTCTCGTCTTCACAGGTTGACATTTTTGGTCTATCCTGGTTTCGGTTATGGATTTTTGGCGCTGGCTACTTGCTGTCATTAAAAATGGAAGGCGTTGTGGGGTAACACTTGTATTTTGTACGGTATATATGAGAAAGGAATACCAAGTTCGTCAGTTCTCATCTTCGTTCCTATGTGTCCAACCGTCTTTGGGTCGAATGCCGTGCGTTGTACCTCTATCTCACAATACACGACACAACATTGACATGGCCAACTACCAACACAACACTTTTATCAGACGCAAGGCAACTCCAATCACGAGCAAACAACAAGCACACGAACCAAACAGTGAGGTATCACCAGCGTCTTCCATTCATCTCAGGAATGCTGATATGCTAATAGCTTGATACAAGTACAGAGGGTACTAAGAGAAAAGGGAAAGCCCAGGAACACGCTCACACTCCAAATTGTAGGTGCGATACCAAGTTCCTATTATCATTAACTTCATTAAACCATCCTAGAGTTCTTTTTACTCAAAAGAACCCTTTACTCGGCGCGCCAGCTCGTCCGGCCGAGGCTAGGGGAGCCGGAGGTAGCAGAGGAGCTGTGTCAACAGTGTCAGCAAAACTGTTCCCTCAGGATATACCGAAGTATAGTAAAAGGTTGTTTACAAGGTTACCCACTACTCAAAAGGGTTGGTGCGCGTTCCCCACCAGGTAAGGAAGACAGAAAGGCCGACAGTCTCAAACAGCTTAGCGAGGACGTTGATGCCGACAGTCTCGAAGGCGCGCTTCTCGACGAACAGCTCAGAGATGAAACCGGGAGCAGAGGTGGCAGCGAAGATGAGACCGCCGAGGTAGGCGGCGCCGCGGTAGCTGAGGGTGCCGGTGGCGTTGATCAGGGCACCGATACCGTACGACTGCAGGGCCGAGCCGACCAGGGACGAACCCCAGGCCATCACGGCCGAGGTGGCCTCGCGCGACTTGATGAACTCCTCCTTACTGTTGGAGAGCTTGGCGCGCTGGTAGGTCTGGCCGAAGAGAGGGGTCATGATGGCCAGCTCGGTGGTGTGGTTGAAGATGGTGCCGAGGGCGATGGCCGAGGGCTTGACGGGGGGGAGATCTGTTTGCAGTAGGTTAGTATCATTGCTTGGTATGATTGTTGATGCTCAATGGTTGATGGTGGTGATGCTTGTGCGTTGCGATGCGGTGGTTCATCTTCGGTTCATCCCAATTCGCAATGTTTGGCATGTGCTTGTGTTGTTTGACGTGCATCCCATGGTCCGCCCCGCTCGAATCCCCTACGTCATAGACTGCCGCGGGTTTCTCATAGCAACGCAAACCCAAAACGCGATGCTTCTGAGCGAAGTTGATGTCGAGGATAGCGAGCAATGAGGGCGTACTCGAGATGCTAGTCATTTTGTCGAGATATTCGGTTGTGTCGTTGTTGTCGTTTGAGATGAAGCCCGAAGCATGAACCACCTGACGCGGATGCAAGGTGAGATTGACAGGAGAAGAGGGGCTACTAACAGTGAAGAGACATGATGGCGGTTGGTATCGTGTAGTAGGTTATAAAGTGGTAGTAGTTGTTCGTTTGGGTATCGTCGTCGTTATTCTCGTTTGGAGAAGTCGTTGTTTTGTTCACTTGTTTGGATTGGAGAAGCAAGCAAAAGGGAGATGGAGGGGAGGGAGGACGCGGTGGTTATAAAGTACTAGTGAGGACGGGAAGGAATGGATCTGGGAAGGCCTGCTGCCAGGGCGAGATCATTTCTTTGTGCGTCACGATTTCAGTCAACCAAGCAACCAGGCGAGAAAGCAAGCAAGCATCCATGAGCCCAGCCCAGCAGGCCAGTCAACCAAGCCGAACAGGCAACGAACAGCGACCAAGGAGCAAGGACGGATGGAAAGAGACCTGACAATCGCAATGGAACCTCCCGATGTCTCCTCTCTTCCTCTTCCAGCGAGATTCCCGGACTCTAATTGGCCATCTTTCAAACTTTCACTGTAAAATTGCAAAGGAAACACCATAACATCATCGCTCCGTCGAGCTTTCCCCAGACTTGCATCTTTGTGATGTGCTGCAAGATGATGTCACCACCCATTCGAAACCTCGACCAGCGCTTTCCCCAATGCGGACTAACCCTTGTCGGCCATTGCCCCACCTTCCATCGTAACATCCCATCCGCGGACACCGTCCGTCTTGGACAGGACATCGATTCAACAAATCCACCATCTTCTCAATCCGCTCCCGTCTTGTTGATCGATGTCTTGGTGAGGGGTCAATCCAGCTGTCAGTCAGACTCAGGCAGGCAGTCAGACTTGGAGGTCACGGTATCGAAATGGTGAAACAAAGGGGTCACGTAATTGCAATTGCATGATTACAGCCGCCGCGGTGGGAAGTCAGATTTCGTTTCCGCTTGTTTTCCCTCTGCTATGCCGAACTACTTTCCCGTTGAGCCGTTGCTGCCCCTCTCTCTTCTGTTTACTTAGTGTACATAGTACATACTTACTTCCGTTACCCCATCGAGCCCATGAATCCTGTCTTCGGTCCTCATTCCCAAACCATCGATCCGAAGCTGAACTCTCTCCACCATGGAATTGTACTGTGTACGTTTCTGACGCTGCAAAGTGGATTCTTGCTGAGGTTCAAAAACCAAGCTGAAGTTGAGGCAGTATACTTAGTTTCTCTTCTTCCAAGGCGAAGGCCATGAACATCGTGATCGGGTTTTATACTGTGTAGTCCGGAAGCAACAGAATGAAACTGCCCCTCTTCCTCTTCCTCTTGAAATTCATGGGGGAGAAAAAAGATCCCACGGTGACGTTTGTCCCCCCCCCATAGAGTTGGGATAAGTGAGCTGCGTTCGTTCCTGAAAAGTTGACCAGGGGGGTCCAACGGGCGCCCTGTCACCTACCTACCTTACCTACATACACGCACTGGTGACTGGACGGTCCGCGGCCGCCGCATAGCATCATTACCAGCCACGCGAGCCACGATATGTGAGCTTGGTCCTCTTGGTCCTTTCCTCGAGATCCCTGGATCTGGATCTTGAAAAAGTCTGGAAGTCAACAAAAACCCCCGAGTGGGCACCGTTGAGTCCAGACTTTCGTGCTTCCCTTCTTCTTTTTTCCTCCTATGCAATCAGATTGTTGGGAATGCAGTCCGAAGGTGTTGAAGGGTACAGTATTATGTATGCCCAGATAAAAGATCCTCGACCGTTTCATGCAAAGAAATCTTGGGGAACAGGCGGCGATCTTTGGAGCGTGAACGAGTGGGAGGAGAGGGTCTCAGACTAGTTGTCTTGCAAAGATGTGGGTACTAAATGATGGGACGTTGGCTTTCCCACCTGCTGTATAGACTTCAGGTGCTATGTCTTCTTTAGCTAAAAAACGTGCAAGATGCCAGCGATAAGTAGAAGATACTACACCCGTAGACAGAAGACAGGAAAATAATCCATGATACTCGCTGATCCTCATCTCTAATAGTAGTATAATAATACTGTCGATATGTAGTATATATCTTGCTTCATCCTCCTCTCTCGCTCATGCTCCCTTTCTCTCCTTTCTTTACACTGATCTCCCACTTTCATACAGTTCGCAAAAGCAAAAAAAACAAGCAAATAAAAATTCAAAGATAACTCATCAAGCCGTATGCTGCCCATCCTCTCCGTCTCTCAAGGCCAACAGGGCTCTCACGTCCGACACGTACTGCAGACCTTCGAGGAACGGTATCAAGTACATCAAGTCGAGGTCAGTCGGGTCGCTGATCCAGCCTTGTATGGGTATTGCATTGTCTGTTTTCGTTTTCTCTTGTCAGCACTTGTCCCCCATTCTCGCACAAAAGACAGAATCGAAAACTCACCCTGATGAAACATATAGCTCAACGGGCTATTATCCAATATCATCACCTTGCTCAGATCCGGCTCCACCGAGCTCAGATCCTTGATAAACGCCCCATGCCTAAACGTGCAATGCTGCCGATAATACCTAGCCGAGAAGTACTTGCGGTCGCTCTCCAGCCAGTCGATCACGGGGTCCGCATACTCCTGCACCGACGCCGTGAACACCACCAGGTTGTACCACTTGCTGACACGTCGCAAGAACTCGTCGCAGTGCGGGCGCTTGTGCACGTAGTAGAGGATGGGATGCTGCGGCCCGATGGTCTGTTGCCCGCCCACGCCCACATAAGTCGTGTTCAGTCGCACTTCGACCATGTGGCCCGAGGACATGCGGCCGCCTTTGGACATGGAGTGGATTAGGGTCTCGTCGAGGTCGAGGATGAGCGTCTTTTGGTGCTTGAGGTTGGCTGGGTCGACGGCGCTGATCTTGTATGAGGGCTGGCGCTTGGGGATCAGAGGCCTCGGGGGCGCGGGCGTCTTGGGGTACTTGGTTAGAGCACCGACGGGTGAGGTCGGTGACTTGAGCTGAGCCGAGATGTCGTTGCCGGGAACACTGAGGTTTTGCTGGCCGGACCCGCCATTGCCGTCACTATTAGTGGTAGATCGGCCGGAGGCGGAGGAGCGGTCCTTTCGCTGCTTGCGCTGTCGTAGGGAGTCGGCGTCCGAGTGAAGCTTGATTCTTATGGAGCGTCGTGCCGGGGCGATTTCTTCAGAGTCTTGGGATGACTTCGATTTGAGACGTCGCCCGCTGCTGTTACTACCCCTCTGGTTTTCCGTTTCCGATTCGGACTCGGAGGAGAGTCCTGACGATGAAGAGCCGCTAGAACGGAGGCGAGACTTTCGTGACTTGCGAAGGCTTCCTCCGCTGCCCGTCCCGTCCAGGTTAGCGTCAGAGAGGGCAGCTGCCTCATGGTAATCCATCGCCATTTCCTTCGCATTTCCTCCATATCGCCCGAACAGTTTCCGTAGTTGTTTGGTGGGCGCAAAGTTGCCCTCGGCATCGTAGAACAAGGCGATCAAGTAGAGGCCGGGCGCAGCAATCGTCATGAGCAGCCAGCGTATGGACTCGACAATGGCGAACGCGAAGCGCTTGGGGAGGGGTTTCCATGTGGTCGGCGACTTGGGCTGGCCTTGGGCTAGCAGAGGGGTCTTCTCGTCGGGGTCGTAGTCCTGTCCATGGTATCCCCCTTGCGCAGTTGTATCCTTGTCCTCGGGTTCTTCTGGCAGTGTGTTGTTTTTGTTGACTAGGCCCAACAGCTCTTCGTTGCTGCGCGACCCAAGATTATCGTCCTCCTCCTTGCTAAGATGGTGGGCTAGACTGAGTGCGCTTATAGAGTTCGATCGAGACGTGGTCGGGCTGGACGTCGGTGATACTCGGGCCGAGATGATGTTTAGGGAGTTCATCTTGCCAGCGCGGGGAAAGCCATGAAGGACGCCAATGCGAACCGCGCCCAGTGGCAGTTGCAACGGTGTGACGGCGACGGCGACGGAGGTTTATTCGAGCAAAGATGGATGATGTATGGTAGTCAATTCCGCGCGGCCCCTAAAAGGAAAATCGTCGGACGTGGGATTGAGGCTTGGGGTGGCCTGCAGGGTGTACGGAGGGGCGTTTGTTGCCCGGCCGAGGTTTGGTGTTGCGCAGCGACCGAAATGTGTTCGGTTGCTCTGTGACGGGAACTGTTGTGGATGGCGAGGATGGTTGGAGATGGAAATGGGTACTGAACGAACTCTTACGTGGATATGGCTTGTTCCCGTTAGGTTTGTATGATTTGTTGGCCGAGATCCGGCTGGGGAACTTTTTGGGGAAGATCGAGAAGCAGCGAGCTAGGGCCGGAGTCTGGAGACGGCAACGATGTTGGGGTCCAGGTCTGGAGACTGGAGACTCGGGAGTTGCGAATGGAGAAGGGGCCAATGTCGTCAACCGCGGTGTAACCTTTTCTGTAGTTCCACTTTCCAGAAACAATCGTTCACTCTTTCTTTCTAAAGTTGTTTCCCCCTTCTCCTTGAAACACTAAAGTGAAGAGGTGGAAGTTCAGTCGGGTCGCAAAAATGTTGCCTGTCGAACGAACGGCGCAGGTGGTGAGATGGGATGTCCGAGGCCCGCCCAGATTTGCTTTGTCTGGACTTGGTTGGCTATTCAATAGATAATACGGACAATCGATAGGTAGGGAACGGGGAAAAAAAAAAGAAAAGGGTGGTGACCGCCCAGTCCCAAAGATCGATCTCACAGGCAAGACATGGAAGTCAATAACCCCGGTTCATAATAAACTGCACGAATAAACAACGACTTCGCTCCAGTCGCCAACACAACGGGACGCTAGCCGAACGAACGGACGGGGATGGTAACGACTAACGAGACAACGGCGGCGGCGGCGGCGGCGGCGGCTCAGCGGTTGTTCACCAAAAAATAATGGGTTTTGGAAGTCTAGATGGCCCGGGGTGCTCAACAAATGCCATTTCACCCACTGATTCCATTCACGTGTTCCTCCCATCCCGACTGACTGACTGACTGACTGTGACCGGGAAACCCGATCGAACTGCCTGGCCGCCGGCCATCTCGATGGGCCATGGCGGGGTTCCACATCCACAACTCACAGCGAGCGAGTGGGAGTGTCAACACAACAACCGAACCACTCAACATCGGAGTTGACACAACATGGGACCTTGGTTGTTTTTCTTTTCTGTCTGGGGGGAATAGCGACACCAATCGATTGAAACTTGAAGCTTCTATTCCATCTTCTATTTGCAACGGCAGCTTTCGTAGTCAATCAAAACTTGCACAATTGCTATCATGACACAATTTCACATGCTCGTCTTTTCCCTCTGTCTCTACCCATGCTCCGGGCATGTAACAGACCCGTCATAAATGCTACTATAAACCTCTCGCAAACTCTCGCAAATATCGCCATGATAACCCAATGCAACTGTAGCGAAAAACACAAGACGCAAAACGCCGTCTGAAGTGTCGGAGTTTTGCCGTTTCCTGCATTGTTTGGTTTTACCCCTGAATTCTGCTTCAGCCTAGGTGGTTGGGCTGGTGCCCTGGGGATTTCTCACCGATCTCTTTGTACTACGAGTTCTGGAAAATGCGGCTAATGAAGGCACGATACCAATAGTAGGAGGGGACTAACACCCACTTATACCTACTTGGGATGTTACCCCGGATGGGTCATGGTATACGAGAAAGTACAATTGTAAATGCGGTCTGGGAGTTTGGGTTTAGTGCATCGGGTTGATTTTGTATATCAAGTAGCTTCTGTCATTGCGGCTGAAAAGTTGTCGGTCTCTACGATAGATTTCCTGGGGGTGGTTCTTAGACCCTGAACTGGTGACAAAAAGAGGAGGAAGTTAAAGGTTAGATGTTCACAGTCCTACTCATGGAATTGAGAAGGGTGAGCAGGGCTGGCCAACTTTCCCTAGAGGAGAATGGTAAATGAACTAGGACATTTTGTTTCACGGGCGTGGTGATACGTCATAAGATGAGACGCGGCTACAGTTTCAGCCTTCTCAGCATCAAAGAGGATTCCAGAGGCGAGATCAACAGAATCAGACTCCATTGAGGGACCAGCCGATCAGCTTCCTCGTGGTTCTCCTCGTAAGAGCTGGTACAGCCAGCGAGCGAGTATCAGCAGTCACTGAAGAGACTGGCCTACGGGCCTGCAGAATGCTCGACGGTTGGACCCAAGGGCCAAGAGCTCGAGGTAGGCAAGATAACCAGAGGAACGTCCGGATGGGGCATGGAAAGAATGTGATCGTGAAAGGTTGATAATCACATGCGATTCTGCTAAGGTCGACCTGAATAAGGGAGAAGTTGGTGGTTCCAGTCGTCGTGTATAGTTCCAAAGCCAGCACATGCCGATGTTCAAAAGCAGGTCCATGTCTTGTCTATGTCGACTCCGATTCGAACCGTGTAAGGATAATGATGGTGATATACAGGTTAGTCTATTGAGCACTAGTTCCCTCTCTCGGGAACTGCACCCTGGTTCCACGCCCAAGTATCGTAAAGTCCATCGCTTACTCCTCCGCCTGGCCGCCGAACTCAGCACGACCAGCCTTGGAGTTGAGGTACTCGTTCCTAACCAGCAGAATCCCCTGTTAGAAAACGACGACAACGACGGTCCCTCCTTTGCCACCTCGTGATCGAAATCCCTCGGGGCTGTGGGTGGTGGTGGTGATGCAACGTACCGCTCGACAGCCCAGTTCATGATGTAGTAGCCGGCAACAGTGGCGGGGGCCCAGTAGAGGAACTGGGAGCTGAAGCGTCTGAAAGTGTTGAAGACGGCGTCGTGGGCAGCGCCGGCGAAGGGGTTCTGGCGGTTAGGGCTGATACCGTAGGAGATGATGCCCCTCTGCTTCATGCCACCTATTCGTCGGGAAGAGAAACAACATGGGTTAGATCGTCTTGTTCTGTCTCGATCGTATCATCGGTTCGTCAAGGGTTGGTTCGGCGGGCGTGCGGGCGTGCGGGCGGGCGGTCATCAAGGTTCTTCCTCCTCTGGTTCGGCCATCTCTCGTTCCCTCATATTCCCCATCCCGGTATTTCCCGTCGTTGAAGAATCGCCGTGTGTTTTGTTTCGGTGCATCGTCAATTGCAAAGGTTCCTACTCACCAAAGTTACCCCAGCCACCAAGGTAGCTATACAAACATGCATGTTAGCTAACATCCAAAGCTGGGTCGGAGGGGGAGCCGCGGCGCAAAGGGAAAAGGGCGCATGGCCGGTAGCTTGTGAAGTGGGAGGAAGACTGACTGGTTGTACTTGCCGATGGGGGCACCGCCGCCGCCGCCGGACATCATCTGAGTGGGACGCATCTTGATATATGTGTTGTCGCGAAACGCGCTATGGGGAGGGGTATCAATTGGGTCGTGGTGAGGACGCAGTCGTCGTAAAGGTTCGGGACGGGAAGAGCTTCGCGCGGCGTTGGACCGGGTTTGACGAAGTTCGAAATCAGTCGACAGTGAGTGGTTGGCAGTTGCCAAGTGCCATGGAGCCGTCACTGGCAGTCGGAAACCCGAGTGCTGGAGGCTCAAAAGGGCTTAGCGTAGAAAGGTACAAGGTGCAAGTACCTTAATCCTTTCAGCCTCCTTCCGACCTGCCCGCCTGTGAAGACATGCGGGGAGCTTGAGAGCTGGGCCTGGTCCGGGCGGCATGGCACCCCACTTTTTGCAGAAGCTCCATCCATCGCAGAACGACTGCTGCTGCTTGCTGCTGCAACTGGGGGAGCACCACCACCACCACGATCCACGGTCCACGACGTAGTTCTAGTGCGTCAGGTATCCCCGGAAACGACATCCACGATAACCGCCGGACCTTTCGATCCCTCACCACCACATCAACCTCCCGTCGACCGAGTTCGATTTATACAAAACAGATATTCACAATGGCGGCAAGAGGATTGGACATGATCACCAAGTTCGCCATCCCGGCAACTGTTGGTGTGGCTCTTCTCCAGAACTCCATCTACGACGTCAAGGGTGGTTCGCGGGCGGTTATCTTCGACAGAATTGCCGGTGTGAAGGAGACGGTCGTCAACGAGGGCACACACTTTTTGATCCCATGGCTGCAGAAGGCCATTGTCTTCGATGTTCGCACCAAGCCTCGCATCATCCCTACCACCACCGGCTCCAAGGATTTGCAGATGGTCAGCTTGACGCTCAGAGTGCTGCACCGTCCTGAGGTGCAGGCTCTGCCCAAGATTTACCAGGTGCGTTTACAGTTCCGACAACTACGACGGATAGCTTACTAACATTCCACGCGTCCCACAGAACCTTGGCCAAGACTACGACGAGCGTGTCCTCCCCTCCATCGGCAACGAAGTCCTCAAGTCCATCGTCGCCCAGTTCGACGCCGCCGAGCTCATCACCCAGCGCGAGGCCGTCTCGCAGCGCATCCGCGCCGACCTCGTCAAGCGCGCCGCCGAGTTCAACATTGCGCTCGAGGACGTTTCCATCACCCACATGACCTTCGGCAAGGAGTTCACCAAGGCCGTCGAGCAGAAGCAGATTGCGCAGCAGGATGCCGAGCGTGCGCGCTTCATTGTCGAGCGCGCCGAGCAGGAGCGCCAGGCCAACGTCATCCGCGCCGAGGGTGAGGCCGAGAGTGCAGAGACCATCAGCAAGGCTATCAACAAGGCTGGTGATGGTTTGATCCAGATCAGAAAGATTGAGGCGTCCAGGGAGATTGCCCAGGTGTTGGCTTCCAACCCCAACGTGGCGTACCTGCCCGGAGGTAACAAGGGGACAAACCTGTTGATGAACGTTGGCAGGCCATAAATGGGAGGAATCAGTAAGAGAAAGGGATGAAGATGGTTCTGCAGAAAGGGGACCGGGATACCTAGGCTACGGGGGTAAAGGAAGGTAATGACCAAAATGGAACTGTATTATTACGATATGAGCATTGTGTATCTTCTCCGCTTAGGCACTTGTTACAATAGGAGCATGCTTGAACTTGAGTTGGTCTTTGTACGTGATATCATAAAAGGTGGAAAAGGTACCCCAGACCTCAACGCCAGGGATGCATGGATCCCGTAACGCTTAAGCGGCGCTTCGGTGGACCAATGACCGGATGCAGGGGCCTCAGCTTCCGCCTCATGTTTCCCGTTTCTTGGCTCAACCTCGATTTGTCTCCAACTTCATCTCAACAACACACTGAAAACTATCTAAGACATCAAAGACGAGGACTTGAGAAGCTGGGCATCTCTAGACCTCCGCTTTACCTGTACTTGTCAGATATAGTATACGGTGCTCACCGTTGGCGTATGTGTTGCCCTCTGCTGGCTTTTGCATTTCATCCCTGCCTCAGTCCAGCTCAACTGCAAACCAACCTTTGAAGACCAACCTTTGAAGACTTGGTTGATGTTGTCATATACTTTGCCGTTAGTCTCACTCGAGGTTGAGTTACCAGAAGAGCTGGAATATGCCATCACCCTTTGCCTACTTCTTTACGTAATTGCGCCAAAGTCCCAAGCTGACGCTCTGCAGCTATTGCAGAACACCTTGTCAGGAAACTAAATTGTTTCCATCAACGTTGCCTGAAAGACAAGACGGAATCAACCCCACGCTACGTATTACCGTCATAGAAGGTAGTTTTTCGGTCTGTCTAGTCGGGATCACAAAGGGAAGCAGCGAGTGGGTGCTACGGATTGAGCCTTCCTTGTTTGCCCAATTCGTCACCAAGTCGATTTCACTATTTGAGATATTCGGTTCACGACCTGGAAGCTCCCGCCCTTTCTTGTCCAGCAAACAACATATCATATCATCAACCATATTTATACGAATCAGAACTTCACGGGGAGCAACTGGTCTCCCATAGGAGTCAACTTCTCCCAAGTGGACATCACTTCTTCGACCCTCATCTTTGACCCTTTTTCCCGTCAGAGTTGCCCATCATAACACGCCTTCCAAAACTCACGCGCGAGGTCGCTAATAGACTCTCAAGAACTCGTCATCTTGCTGTTCCATTGCCCTCAAGACCGCATTTTCGCTTCATCAGCAATACGTCTATCCAGCGCTCGGGCGACTCGCAGGAAGCAAACCCACTGGCAAACCGTGAACCCTGGCCAACCCGCGCTCAAACAATGGACACCGTTTTACAGAACTTGGGGTCGATCCCCTGCCCGCATGGCGACAGGTGCACTGCGTCCGGCTGTCTCTTCCAACACAGCTGGAACAAGAAGCCGGCCGCTCCGGCATCGGCCAAACACGATGGTCTAGACGAAGATGACAATCCGCGAAAGCGTCGCAAGCTGTCAACAGAGCCTACCCAGAGCACAGTATCAACAACGGCAGAGCCTTCGAAGCCCAACCTGGAACCTGTCACGGCCAAGAAACCCGTGTCACCCCCACCACTGGGCCGAAAGCCAACAGTTTTGTCTGTTCAGTCAGTTCCGTCTGCAGCTCCTTCAACACCAGCAACCAAACCAGCAACTACACCATCACAAACCGATCCAACACCCGTGAAGAGCGCCGAGAAGAGGGTTCCTATTCGGAAGGTACAAGCTCCTCGCAAGGTCGAGACACTCAATCCTCGCATGCTCAAGGGTGTGGCACCTGCTACATTCGAGTTCCGGTTCAAGGCATTGACCATGCTACACGAACAATTCGTCCGACTGAACAAAGAGATGGAAAAGGCGGCTGGTAAAGATGCGGAGAGCAAGAAGTTGGTTCTTACTCCGCAAGAGCTAATATGGCTTTCTCTGGACTTGGAGGAGAAGATTGCGATGGACAAGCCGTCCATCTACAACAATGTCATCAAGAACCGCATCATGGGCTACAAGAAGATGACGCCCAAACAATGGAAGGCAGAGCGTCTTGCCGAGATCAAGAAGGAGGAGGAACGCAAAGCCGCTGCGACCCAAGCAGGCTCCAAGAAGCAGGCCCTCCTCGGTCCTCCCAAGGAGATCAACACAGGCCTGACGCCGCAAGAGGAGATTGCCTTCCTACCACACCTTCTCACGTCCATCACCGAACTCGCCCAGCATGGATACGTCCCCAAGCCGCCATCTGAAGAGGAAATCAAGAAGGCACGCGAGGGCGTCGAGGCTGCCATGGGCTGGGAGACGTGCGACCGCTGCACCAAGCGTTTTCAAGTCTTCCCCGGCCGTCGCGAAGAGGACGGCGCTCTCACCACCGGCGGCCCCTGCACCTACCACTGGGGCCGTCTCCTCTACCCCGAGCGCGACCCGACCAGCACCGTCCAGCAAGAGAGGACTTACCGATGCTGCAAGCAGCTAGCCGGCGACTCAACCGGTTGCACAAGCTGCAGCACCCACGTCTTCACCGTCAAGTCCCCCGCCCGTCTAGCGACCATCGTTCCCTTCATGGAAACCCCCGAGAACCCATCCGTACCCAAGGACCGCGCCGTCTGCTTCGACTGCGAAATGTGTTACACCGTCAACGGTCTCGAACTGATCCGCCTCACAGCCGTCAACTGGCCCGACGGCAAAGAACTCCTTGACATCCTCGTCCGCCCCATGGGCGAGATCCTCGATCTCAACTCGCGCTTCTCGGGCGTCTGGCCAGAGGACCTAATCAACGCCGAACCATGGAAGCCCGTCGCTCCTCTTGACCCTGTCACCAACACCGATTCCTCCCCCTCCAAACTCCCACCCTCAACCAACCCACCAGCAAAACCAGGCCAGCGCAAAAAGATGCAAATAGTCTCCTCCCTCACCGTCGCCCGCGACCTCTTATTCAGTCTCATATCCCCCACCACGCCCTTGATAGGCCACGGCCTAGAAAACGATCTCAACACCATGCGCATCTGCCACCCCACGCTCATCGACACGGTTCTCCTTTTCCCACACAAGAAACCTTTGCCGTACCGGAACGGATTGAAGATGTTGATGGAGTGGAAGCTCAACAAAGCCATCCAGGTGGAACCTGATGCTGATTCCGCCGATGGCACGGCACAAGGCGGAAAGCTACTGGGGCACGATTCAGCCGAGGATGCGAGGGCCGCGGGAGACTTGGTGAGATATGAGATTCAGCGTAGGTGGGCGAGGATGAAGAGGGAGGGGTGGACTTTGAAGAAGGGGGTGTTTGTGCCGCCTAAGGAGAAGAAGGGGGCGACAGCTGGGAGTGCTGGGAAAAAGTTGACGGTGGAGGGGATTGAAGGGACAATGGGGGCTACGGCGACGGAAGTGAGGAAGACGAGGGATGGGACGGAGGAGGGCGAGTTGGTTGAGGTTTAGAGGTGCCTTGTCACTCATCTCATGGGCTGGGGAGACTGGATAGGTATCCAGTGGTGAAGAGAGGGTGCAGTGTTTGGCTTTTGAACACTCGGCCATGGCTCCTGGGCTACTAGTAGTTGGACAAGCTTTGCATTATAGAGTCTGTCTTCTCTCAAGTTCATAAGAGTTTCTTGAAGTGTGATACGGGAGTCATAAAGCGATAGGTAACCAACCAGTAGACAAAAGCTATTCTTATCCGTTAATGCTCGTACTCTTGAGACATTTGGAGTTCTCCGTTGTGAAATAGTTTTATACCGTGATATTCTTGCCTACCTCCTCTTTTCTGGGCGATCTTACTGTTGTTCAATGTTTACTTTACCCCTTTTCGTCCAGCATGCCAGCTTCATTCCTTACTATTCATACCATGGCAGCATGGGTATTGACTACACCAACAAACAGCTGGCCTCACAATCATCAACATGTCCTTCACATGCTTCCGTCATTGTCCACTAAGCGGGTATTCATTCTTTCCACCGTTTTCGAAGTGATCGAACAGGGTAGGTAGGGTCTAGACGCCAGTCTCCTCCTGTAAAGCAAAAGAATCTTTTTTTCCTTTCCTTTTCCCAACCCCAGCCAGCAGTAATGCCAAGTCTAATTTCAACGCTCATCTTCTCTCCCCTTACACTTTCTAGACCGTCGTCACAACAGACAGTCTATTCTAGTGTTTACTCTCATCCCTCTCCACCAACTCACCAACTCCTAACCCCCTACCGACCTTGACCTTGACCGTCTTATCCTCTTTCTTGGAATCAGCAGCCTCCGGATCACGACCAACATCACCAACGGCCTCACCCTCATCCACACCTTCCGATCCACCACCCTTTCCGCCGTCTTCAATCTGCTTCTTTTTGGAGGAGGAGTCCTTATCCTTCTTCTCGCCGTCCTGCTCCAGAAGCTCGTTCTGAAGAGCCTCGCGGATAGGTCCCAGGTCGAGCTTCATGCAGAAGGCGTCCTCGCCGTCGGCGTAGTACTTGGCTTCCGTTTTTTCGGTTTTGAACCCCAAAGTGTCGCGGTACAGGTGGATGGCGGCGGCGTTGGAGACGCGCACGTGCAGCGAGACGTAGTGGGCGCCGAAGGTTTCTACCATTGCTTGTTCTGTTCACAACCCCAACCCAGCATGTCAGCATTGCGTCCAACCAAAGCCCAAACCTCGAGCGAAGCGAGGAAAGAAGAAAAAAAAAAGAAAAAAAGAAGAAGGAAGAAAGAAGGGTGAGAAGGGGATGGAGAGGAACGTACGAGACTGCCTCATCAACTTCTCCGCAATACCCAGTCTCCTATGCGTGCGCATCACGCTCAAGCTAGTAATGTGTCCGTGCTGCACACCGTCCGTCGGCTCCTCCTCCATCTTGGCCAGGACGTAGCCGACGATCTTGGGGTAGTCGTAGGCGCTCTTGGCCGGGCGGCTCACGTCGACGGCCACGTAGGACAGCTGAGGCCACGAGAGCGCGTGGTACAGGTAGTACTTGAGGAAGTAGTTCTCGGGCAGGTTCTCGATGTTGGCGTGCTGGATCAGCGGGATGTCCGAGGGGCGGAGGACGCGGATATCCATTGTGGCGGTTAGGTTGTCTAGGGGTTCGTTTGGCTGGGTGGTGGTTTGCTGAGTGGTGCTCGAGTGGTGGGAGGGTGTGTCGTGTCGTGGGTAGGTGACGACGGACTTGGTGATAGCTTCAACTTGGGAAGGGCTCTGTGGGAAGTAGCTGGATTGGTTAGTAACAGCTATGTCAACAGAAGGGTAGGTATCCCCGGCAACGGAGAGTATCAAGCTAGTATAGAGCGGGCTTATTGAACGGGGGCCGGACTTACAAGGGAAGCGTGTCGTCTACGTCGGGAATCGGTGCTTCGGTGTTGCAGTCACGGTTCAGTTGTCAATGTTGAACTACTGTACGGTGGTGGTGGGAGGCTCTGGATCCACAATCCGTACTCAATGTGGGGCACTTCCCGTGGAAATCCAGACTGCCTGACCCCTGGCGGCAAAGCTGCTATAGCCGCACAAATCGCGGGGCCGACAGCCCGGGAGCTAGGGGCAGTCAACACCGGGCCAAGCGCGCCGTGATGCAGTGTGATGCGGGGGAGCTTCGTCTCAAAGCTTCTCCGAATCTTGATAATAGCCGACCATGGGGAAATTTGGGAATCTTCTCGTGACGGAGTGGGAATCTATATAGAGAGCTTATGTTCCCTTTTACTTAATTGACTGTGGCCTTCGTCTTCCTTTCAGTTTCTGTGTGTTTGATTGTAATACCCTCTTGATACCCAGCCACTAGCTACCCCACCATCACATACGCGTCCGACCAGAACGACAACAACACTCACAATGTCTCAACCACTCAAGGGCAAGCTGGCCATTGTTTCCGGCTCTTCTAGGGGTTAGTGACACTTCGTGTCTCATAGCCACGAATAATCACTAACAAAAACAGGCATCGGCGCCGCCATCGCCGAGAACCTCGCCTCCAAAGGCTGCGACCTCATCCTCAACTACACCACCCCCTCCTCCGCCTCCCTAACCTCCGAGCTCTCCGACCGCCTGAACAAGACCTACTCCGTCTCCTCCGTGCCCGTCCAAGCCGACATCGGCACCCTCGAAGGCCCCCAAGCCATCATCGCCGCGGCCAAGTCCGCCTTCTCCAAGTTCGATGGCTCCCTCCAGATCGACATCATCATCAACAACGCCGGCATCGCCCGCAACGACATGATCCCCAACGTCAAGGTTGATGATTTCACAGAAACCTACCGCGTCAACGTTCTCGGCCCCTTGCTTCTAGTCCAAGCAGCCCAGCCTTACCTCCCCAAAGACCGCTCCGGTCGCATCGTCAATATCTCCTCCGTCTCCTCGTCCACAGGCTTCGTAGGCCAGTCCGTCTACGGCGGCTCCAAGGCCGCCATCGAGGCCATGACCCGCACCTGGAGTCGTGAGCTAGCTGAGAACTGCACAGTCAACGCTGTCAACCCGGGCCCCGTGGAGGGACCGATGTACGCGTCCAACTCGGAGGAGTTCCTGGAGGGCATCGAGGGGTGGATCAAGCACACGCCGCTGATGAAGGCGCGGGAGGATCTGCATGGCAAGGAGGCTGTCGAGGAGGCGAAGCAGTGGCATGGCAGGCTGGCGAAGACGGGGGAGATTGCGGGTGTGGTGGGCATGTTGTGTGGTGAGGAGGCGGGGTGGTGTACGGGACAGGTTGTTTGTGCTAATGGGGGGATGTTGATGTTGCATTGAAGGGTTTATGAAGGCGGAAGGAAGCCGTCCATGGCTGTTGTCCAGGACCTTGACATTTCATAGACTTGACATAAGCGTCCAGTATTCATGAATTCGGTAATCCGAGACATTTCTTGACGTGGTGTTTAGATTCCGGTCTCAGAGTCCTGTTGCCCATGGTCGTGAATTCGTGAAGATGGAGGAAGATGAAAAGGGGAGTTTGTTTGTTTTCCTCAGGGGTCAAGGCTCAAGCAGTTGGCGGATAGCAACCGAGTTACAGTGGACTGGGGACCGCTGAGTGATAGGCGCAAAAGTGGGGCCCAACTTTCCTTATCAGTTCCCGTCCAGGCGCGGCAACGGTCCCCAGATCGCGCCTCGGTCTCTCGTTCAACAAGGCTGAAGTCATCGTCACTCCGTTTTCCAATTGATCTTCATAAACAAAGTTATCCATCACACGACATGTCAGGACCACCCGCGCGAGGAGGCCTGTCCCTCTACGCCAACCTTCTCGAACCCAGTGGCACAAGCGATTCGACCTCTACCTCGAACGATGCTGTCGCAAACAAGCAAGAAGACGCCCCGGCAAAGAAGGCCGTAAATCCAGGTCAGAATCTTCATTCAGGATGTTCACGTCAAGCACAACCGCTAATAGAGACCCGACAGCATTCGCCTTCCAACCCATCCGCCGACCACAAGTCAAACAACCAAACAAACCCAAACCAACCCTCCCCAAAGCGCCACCCTCCATATCCATAGCAGCAGTCGCGGCAACCGTCAAGACATCCGAACCCGAAAACAATGGCACAACTGCTGCCACAACGACATCAACAGCGAATGCCGCAGCGCCCCAACAGCGCAGCACCCTAGCCGACTGGGTAGCCACCGAAGACGACGAGTACCTCTACAACGGATCCAACAACCGACGAGAACGCGGCGGGCGCAGAAAGAAGAAGAAGAAGAACGATGACCGACCAGTCGAGACGAATTGGGACGAGCTCTACGATCCAGCAAGACCTACGAATGTCGAGGAATACCTTCGCAGCGACGAGCGCATCAGGGAGATTCGCGACTGGAAGGCGGTGTTGTATGCGCATAGACGGAAGAGGAGGGACAGCTTTGATAGTAGGAGGAGTGATGAAGAGGAGGAAGAGGATAGGAGGGTCACGAATAGTACGTTCAAGAGCTTGGGGTCAAGACCATATGAGAGAACAACGGCTGACATGATATACAACAGACCAGTTCGCGCCTCCGGCTTCTTTCTCGTTCGCACCACCACCCATGTCACCACCACGAGCTACAACAACGGCAGCAGCACCAACGCCAGCGGTATCAATACCAGTAGACGAATCCGCCGACGAAGCCTACGCTCGAAGACTAGCACTATCAGGCATGGCACCACCACGACGATCACCTTCCCCCCCTCCACCACAACCACCTGCCGAACCCTCAGCACCAGATACAGCAACAATCTCCCGCGCCCCAGTCCGCTACGAAGCTCCACCACAACCCCCCTCCGCCCCCGAAGCCTCCGGCGACGACGCAATGGACCTCGACTCGTCCGACAACGAAGAAGTCAACTACGACGCCATCCCCGTCCCCCTCGGCGCCGCCTCCGCCTCAGAAGAACCTGAATCCGCCTCCTCTGACGCTCCCAAATCAAAACTACCAGGCCAAGCCGGTTTCGCCGCCCGTCTCATGTCCAAATACGGCTGGACCGCCGGCTCCGGTTTGGGAGCTTCAGAATCAGGTATCACCTCCGCGCTGCGCGTGCAAGTGGAGAAGCGCAAGAAGCGTTCGGATGCTGAAGGGGGTGGGTGGGCGGAACCTGGTGGGAGGGGGAAGATCATTGCTGGGAAACCTGCCGCTGGTGGTGGTGGTGGTTCGTCCAAGGAAGAAAAGGACGGTGGCAGGTTTGGGAAGATGAGTGAAGTGATTGTGTTGGATCATATGCTTGATGGGATGAGTGATGAGGAGTTGAGGCAGGAGGTTGAGGGGGGAGAACTGTATGAGGAGATTGGGACGGAGTGTGGAGAGAAGTATGGAAGGGTGATGAGGTTGTTTGTGGAGAGGGAGGGGAGGAGGGTGTTTATTCGGTTTACGGATGGGGTTTCGGCGCTCAGGGTAAGTCTTCTTCTTCTTCTCCTGGGGATGGGGATGATGATGATGTTGTTGTTGAGGATGTGTTTTGCTAACTGACTGGGTGATGATTACAGGCTGTCAACGCACTCGAAGGTCGCATATTCAACGGCAACGCGATTGTCCCGAGGTTTTATGATTTGGAGAAGTTTGAGGCGGGGGTATATAAGTAGTGTAGTACGTCCCAGTATCGTTGTCTAGCAACTCGAACAGATACCAGACCCATTCCCCCCTTTGAACAGCCAGACCATGCCCAAACAAACAACAACCATGCCTCATAAGAACCCCATCACTCCTTTATTAAAACGTCAAACCCCTATCGTCCATCCCTAAAAGTCTTTTCTGTCCATTAATACTCCGCCATTCCACTCCCTGATCCTCACCTCAGTCCTCCATTACCTTCAAGTCAATGTCGATTTAGTCCTTGGTCAAGCCGTGCTTGAGACGGAAGGAAGCCTTGCTTGTGCCTTTCGATCTGAACAGAGCAACTTTGCTCCCGTTTGCCCTCTTTTACTCCCATGGTGCTTGCTGTCCTTGTCATCTCATGTCCATCCATATCAACTTTGATATTCTGATGATGGGGTCGCTTCGCTTCTTAAACTTTTAAGAGGCCTCAGGCGCAACAGGCGAAGCAGGCGGAGCAGGTGAAGGCGAAGGCGACGCAGGCGCAGGCGTATTAGGCGGGGCCCTTGGGGCAGGACGACGAGGACGAGGAGGAGGGGTTCTCGGTCCGGGTCCGGGTCTAAGAGGGGGCCAGAACTAGGGACGGGGGTGGAGAGGGAAGAGGGGGGAGGGGCGGTCTTTCATTGGGTAGGCCATTTTGTTTTTCTGTCTGGTTGATGGGTTCGGATGGGTTTTTGGATGGGTTGGGGTTGGAGTGGGTTTGGATGGAAGCTGATGGCTTTGTTGCTGTAATCTGAGAGATTGCGAAGGCTGGTGAAGGCTGGTCTCGGATCGAAACTGTGGTGGTTGGTGGTTGGTTGGTGAGGAGGAAGAAAGAGGTTTGGTTGAAAGAGAAAGGGAGAGGGGGATATTTATAAGGTACAACAAGTGGCAGAACTGACGACAGTTTAGAAAAGACACAATAGCAGTGTTTCAAACTCCTCTGAATAGATCTGACGTCTTACTTCCTATTCACCCCGTCATCAACTCTTGAAACACACAATAGGGTCGAACTGGTTGGTCTATATAGATCTCCCCCCTTATTCTAACACATCCACCCCCCCCCCCCCCCGCGAGTAGTCCTCAGAATAAAACCCAACATGGCCAGTTCACAATACCAGTCAGTCAATTTGCAATAGGCCGTGACAAATCTCTCGTATGCCTCTGGTAAGGCTTGAAACGCAGAGATATGAATCCGCTTGGCCTTTTTGTTTCGGGAGAGAGATGGGATTATGATCAAAAGGTGTATTGGACACGGGGGGATAGGTGAGAGAAGGTACTGGAGGTGTAGGCTACCTAGTCGGGGTGTTCGGTTTAGTTTTATTAACACTTGATATCTCCGTCGTCAACTCAGTTCAATGCCACTCTTCCCCCACTTCCCTCACAAAAATAGTTACTTTACTTGTCCGAATGCCTCTCCCGGTTCCGATACTCTCGCTCTTGCTGCTGCTGCTGCTGTTGTTGTTGTTGTTGTTGTTGTTGTTGTTGGATTTGTTCGCGGGTGAGTTTCTACAATGAGAACAGCGCGCGCGTCTATTGTCAGCATTACTCTACTCTATGTAACTCCTAAGCCATCGGATGAAAACACAACAGAGACAATAAATAGCCTGGTTTGGTGTTTCAAAGCCATATGCCTAACCAAGTAAAGTGACAAACCAAAAAAAGGTGAAATTAAACTTACAGCATTAACCTTCGCAGCCTGAATAGAATGCCTGGTATAAGCAAATAGGACCCAAGCCATTGTGAAGGCTGCCAGGGGCGCCATTACTGTCTGTTGTTGATTGTGTGTAAGTGAGTTAGTTTCCCGAGGTCATCGGACACTGACTGGGACGACGAGCTAACATTTGGGTTGATGTTTCTTGATGTCTTCTTCATTTTGGGGTTTGATTGATCTTTTGGTGTGTGGAGGTTTTTTCTCTTTCTTTTTTTTTTTTTGGGAGGATCAAGAAAAGGAGAAGTAGGTCAATTAAAGTAAAAGAAATATCAGAGATGGGCGTCGTTGGTACAGGTGATGAATGGTTGTCGTCGTTGGTCTTGTTGGTCGTATCGTTCGAGGTTTCTTTCGCTACCACTGCCACCATCGTACTATAGAACTAACTGCCCGTGTAAGTGGACCGAGCGTCTTTCCCTTTCCGACGACGTTTGAGGACCGACCTAGGAATGAGCGCATTCAACACCCGTCACGCAGCGCTACCTTTTATGGGCATAGTGTGATACAGTAGCCATTTCTCTTGAGGTTTTTGAACAAGTCAATCATGAGTTTTGTGGACAAGACTGCGGCCGACTACGCTTTCTAAGATGCTCAGATCACTCACTGGTCTGGCGAGGAATCCAAATTATCTCTTGAACGACAACCACACGATCAAGCTGAAGTATGCTCAACATAGGACTATATATGCTCGCTATACCGGTATACCAAAGGTATATATATGAAGAATCCCGAGTACCAGTACCGCCCTTCCGGGGTATCGCAATGTGATCCTATCTTGCCTTTGCCCGCCCAGTCCCGTTCCGCTTTTCCACTTTGCGCGCGTTCCGTCTGTGTGTGTATGTGTGTGTGTGTGTGTGTATGTTCGCTTCGCGCCATATATAAGCTACATATATAAATATCCAACTTTCGAACCCTCACCTACTCAAGACATGTGAGCACCCTTCGATCCCATTGCACGTCTCTAGCTGCTGGTGCTGCTGGAAATCTCAGGCCTCTCAAGCCTCTCTCCACTCTCAGCCTTCACAGCCGCAACCTCCGCAACCTTGGCCAGCTTCTCCTTTCCATGCTGCCTCGCCTGCTTCAGGTGGTTCATCACGTACTCGTACGTGAGCATGGTGACGGTCGCCGCGGGGACGGCTCTCATCATGTTGGTTCCCATACCAGCGTAAAACGCCCTCCACCCTTCCTCCTTGAGCATGGTCTTGAAGGTGCCCACCACGCCTCTGTACTTGGGCAGTGATGTTGCCAGCTGCTTTGACTCAGCGCCGTTCTTGGAAACCACTCCCAGACCCTGCAAGTGCTCCTGTTCCAGCATCGGCTTGCGCTGTGTCTGCAGTCTCGTCCTGATGACCTCGTGGGGATACGTCGCGCTGCTGGCGAGAATCTTGGAGAGGACGGAGGCGGCAAAAGTGCCCATAAAGCTTGGCTTGGTGTTCTGGTCGCCGGCGGCGCCGCCCATGCCTTGTCCAGTAAACTTGGTCTTGAGGAACTCGTAGGCGGGGAATTGGACGGCCACGTGAGTGAGACCCAGAAGAGCAGGTGTCAATCCGGAGTAGAAGGCCAGAATGCCCTCGGTGGTGTACATCTTGCGCGCGGCATCGAACGTGGACTTGTAGTGCCAAGGGGTGTCGTGCGATGCTGACTGCGACATCAGTCGGGTCTTGATGACCCATATCGGGTTGGTCGCGATGGTACTACTAGCGCCAGCTATGATGGATGCGCCAAAGTTTACCGCAACTGGTTTGTCTGTCGCATATATGTTAGCATTGACGCCTTGTCTCCGTACAGACACTAAAGACATACCGGAGTATTCGCCTAGCCATATCTTGCTCTTGTTGTAGACTGTGAACCAGACGGCCCAAGTGGGCAAGTAACCCATTATTATGGGACCCAAACCCCTATACATGCCGCGAATGCCCTCATGCTTCCATATTACCTTCGCCGTGCCTACCAAGCCATTGTACATCCTAGGCTGGCCCACATGGTGCCCCGCGCCCTGCGCTTGCAACTTGGTCTTTATGACATCCAGCGGGCAGGTAATCACGCCGGACATCAAGCCTCCCACTGCGCCGGCGAGCGCATTGAACTGCGAATCCGAAGCCTGGACTGCCCATCTTTCCAGCCCCGTTATCCGGCTAGGGTCTTGCATTGGGTCGGCCGGCGCTATGTCAGTCTTCTCCTCTGTTATGTCGTGCCCTGCTGTTTCTGTCTCCTCCAGCTCTTCGGTCACCGAGTCGGCAAGAGTGGTGGGTGGCACGCCATATTCTGCTGCCGAACTCGCGGAATCTGGTCCAGAGTGGGAGATGTGGTGTTGGGTTTCGAGATTAGACATGCCGCTACCCTTCTCTCGACTCGAGTCGGAACTGGGACTGGGGAATCGAGACGCAGGGGAACGGGTCGAAGGGATCGAGACGGATTGATGCGTCTTTGTTCGAGGGGTCTCTGCTGGTCGCAACTCAGAGACCCCGGAGTAATCGGTGACTCGTGATGCCGCCGTAGTGTCGGAAAGAGGGTGGTGATCTCGGCTTGTTGGAGTTTGGAGTCTTGGGGTGTTGTTGGTGTTGGCTTGTGATTCTCTCTGTTCTTGATGTTCCCGGCTTGGGGAATTGCAGCAGCGTACTAGCGCGGGTGCGGGGAAGAGGATCGCTTGGGGGACTGAGTCGAAGACCGAGGTGTTGATAACAAGAGTTCAACAGATATCACCGTTCGTCCGTGAGGCTCGGGGCAGCCGGGTTTTTGCGCTGGAAAGAGGCCCTGGCGCTGATCCTTGGGAACTTGTCGTTGGAAGAAGGTTCTTTTTCGCAATTGGAGACAGATTTCGGTTCGTAGGATTCGAGCACACGAGCACCTGCCCGGCTACCTAGTATAGAGCTAGGTATGCAGGTCGAAGGAAAGAATGGCAAATGTGGGGGAAGTCCCGTCTCTCAAAGAAAGGGTTTCTTGGCAAAGAGATGGATGATGTTTGTTCAACAAAGTGGAAGCTACAACACGACTCTTTTAGATTATAACAGTAACTTCCTTGTGTGCGAATGCCGGACTGAGGCCGAGGATGGACATGTTAATGTGTAGGTTGGATCTTGTTAAGGAAACTATCTACACAAGAGCCAACGGCAATGACGGAGGGACGCGGATGCCAATTATGGTTACCAATTATGTCACCTTCACTGATTGTCCACTACCAGCCCGTGACTCCCGTAGTGCGTAGGGAGTGAGAATAAGGAGCAATTCCGGATGCGCTGGGTGCTGCCTCGAATTTCCCATCCGAGTCATGAAGATACAAAAAGTGTTTGGGGCCAGAAAGTGTCCAGACAATCATGTGTTTGTCAGGTCTCAAAAGTCTCAGGAGTTCAGACGGCAGTCAGGCCGTTTAACCTTTCCCCGGACAAGAGATGATATCAGTCGAGATTCAGTTTCACTGCAGCGAAGCAGCGCCGGTGGTCACCTACCAAGTAACCTCACCCTGGGCTTCCAACGGGAGCTTGCCTTCTCAACGCCAAACCGCAGCGCCCGTCGCCCGCAAAAAAGCGGCGCCCTTGGTCGTCGGCTCCAATTCTAGACCCACCACGGCCCATTCCAGGTTACCTATTTCTGGCTTGGCATTTTGACGACGGCAGGGACGGTAACCCAAACCCTTGCCAAGAAAAGAAGACCTTGGACCTTCCAATTCCCTATCCTCGTAGAGCCTGAGCTTTGAGGCATCAACAAATCACAGACTGGACACGGCTTTTCCCGGAGGGACGGGAGACGGGTTCTGGGAAAGAAAGAACGCACGGAGCACCCGGAGCTTCTCTCTCTACTGGCTGAATTGGCTGGCTGACTTTCGCGGGTCTGCTGATTTGCGGGTCGCGGCAATTTGTTAGCTCTCTCCGACCTCCATCTTGAATCTCGACCTTGGTGTTTCAAGTGTGCTTTGTAGCCTTCCAGACCAGACGACAAGAGAGTACACCACCTCACCTCACCACCTATCACCGACTAACCAACCCCCCCGGTCGACAATCATCCATCACCATGTCTGCCCCTTCTCTTGCTCAGGCCGTCGCTAAGCGGGGCTGGTTGTCCAAGATGCTCAAGCCCGTCAGCAACTGGTACATCAATGCCGCCGGCTACCGTCAGATGGGTCTCCGGTGAGTTTTTGTTGTTTTCCTTTTTGTTTGTTTGTTTATACCTCGATGGCCAGCCGTGGTCCGGGACCGGGACCCATGTGACGTAGCTCGTAGCTGTGTCTATCTGTATCGACCATCGCACCATGTCCTACATCTATCCATCTGTCTCCTCTCGGCCCGGTTCTACCTCAATGGCTCGCGCCCTAGCAGCAGTTCCCCCCTCCCTCCCTTCCACATCCCCGAGCAGGACCACCCACCCACCCACCTACCTACCACCATATAACCGACCTGCCAACCGCCCATAACTAACTAACCAACCACCAACAGCACCGACGACCTCATCTCCGAGGAGGACGAGAACGTCCTCGCCGCCCTCAACCGCCTGCCCCCCAAGGAGGCGTACGACCGCATCTACCGCATCCGCCGCGCCACCCAGCTCTCCCTCACCCACAAGCTCCTGCCCAAGAACGAGTGGACCACCCAGGAGGAGGACGTCCCCTACCTCCGCCCCTTGATCGAGCAGATCGAGGCCGAGGCCGCCGAGAAGGCCGCTCTCGACACCCTGACTATTGTCAAGAACTAAGCGCGCCATTTTCGGGCTTCTGTGAGGGTGTAAATGGAAAGGGAAGAGTGTGGGGGAAGGGAGGAGAAGGGAGAGGTTTCCGTTATCCGCGCGGTGGACTGGACTGGACTGGCCGACTTCGAAGGAAAAAATGATTTTCGATTCTTGGGAAAGAAAGAGGAAATACCGAAGAAGGGAAAGCTGGGATACTCTTACCTACCTAGGATTGGAAGCCGAAGATACCAAGCAATAAAGTGGATTGCGCGCAAAAAAACTCGTCCCTCGATCTGGAACCTGGAACTCCCGACAACTTGCTGCCAATTGCTTTCTGGAAAAGGATGAAGGGGAGAAGGGGGAAAAGGTGGACGGGGTGTTTTGGGAGTTTGGGATGCGACGGCAACGGGCAAGAGCCCAGGCTTTTTGTCTATGTTTTGCTCGCGTTCTCAGGACTCGTGCAACCGCATGAAGTGGGAGAGAGGAAGTGGAGGTGGTGAAGACCACGGGAGAAAAGAATTACCTATACACATAGAAGAAAATGGGCAATAGACTTTATCCTGGGTTTTTCAAAGCAGAGACAGAGGAGAAGAGAGGGAAGAGATGGAAGAGAGCTGATACCTAGTGTTGCTGGTGTTGTACGTTGAATAAGTGTATGAATTGTAGATATGACCAACTCCACTCAATGCTTAATGACTCTGTATCCCATCAGGGAGAACGAGAGATAACGGTCATGGCTGCCTGTTATATGCTTGGCCACTGTTATGTTTCAGGAAGAAGAGGTGTAAACTGCCCAAGACGACGATGATCATCGGCTTTATTTCTAACACTGGAAAGTTCTCAAGTGTCCAATTGGCTTTGGGTAGCTTATGAAAATTGGAGTTGAGACTAGGAGTACTCAAAGTACCCGTGCCTCGCCCCCACTTTATTTGGACTCGCCGGACTCGCACCACCTAAAGTTGGTGCTCACGACCGCAACGGCCATACCAGCGCAACGGCCACCAGGGTTGAAGGTGCAAATGTATTCCAAATACCGAAAATGGTGAAAGCTCACAACGCATTCCAACAACCAATTGAAAAAAAACGAAGACCAGAAGCATAATCAGGGCGATGCATTGCCTGTGGTTAGCGTTTTTTTATATGACTTTTTTGTTGTGTTGGGAAATTCATGTTGCGACCGGTAATTCATGGCCAAAACTGCACCTCTAACCCTGACCTGGCCGTTGCGCTGGTGTGGCCGTTGCGGTCGTGAGCACCAACTTTAGGTGGTGCGAGTCCGGCGAGTCCAAATAAAGTGGGGGCGAGGCACGGGTACCTAGTCAAGTTTACACTTCCTACAAAGCTGAGTCACGTTAACCCAACTCTTGAGTGTTCTAAGGAGGTCATATTGAACGTCCTAGTGGGCTCAGCCTGCTTTTCAGCTTGCGGATACTATTTGTAGAGATGAGTATCCGTGGCCAACATTCGGTAGCCATGGTCAGGGGCCAAACTTCATACCAGGCGGAGGTCGAAGTGTTGAAGTCTCGAACCAGTTTTCGATCATCTCCAAGTTTGTTAAGCAAGTGACAAGGCAGTATAGATGGCGTGATATGTATATCAAGTCCCTCATGAGAAGGAACCGTGACTCTCATTACTACGTTAACAAGTTGAACAAGTGTAAACAAAAAAAAGGAGTAAACTATCCTACAACAAGAAGAACGAAAAGAAAAGAAAAGAAAAACAAAACCATCCGCACACCAAACCCCCTTTTTCTATGGATAAGCAATGACTCTCTCTGTCTGTAAACAAGAAGGTACAAAAAGAGTTTGTGTAAACAGGAAAATAAGTATAGTATATTATGTCTTAACTTCATTCTTCTTTCTTTCTTTCCGTTTTACCAGTTCGGAAAAAAAACCAACCGACCTGCCAGCCAACCGTCCAACCAAACCAGGCAACCAAAAGCTCGCTGAGAGGAGGAGGGAGAAAAGGACGTCCGCTTGAGTGGGCTTGGCTGTCTCGCTGCCTCCATCACTGCCTCTTCCACACACTCCTTTCTAAGCCCAACACAACTTTTTGGTTTATCCATTCAAAGAAAACTTTCATGATGTATACACATGCCTCTTTCTTTCTTTCATCACTTTTCCTCGTCCCTCCTCTTTACGTACGTTAACCAAAATGCTTTATTAACCGGTGGTTTTTCGATGACCCTTCCTGTACACGTTTCTTCGTCTGTTGTGTGCGTTTCTGCTCATTATGATGTGGTAGCGGTTACCGGCTACCGGAAGCTGACCCGGGTTTATCGGCCGCGTTCGAGCGAGATACGGTTGGCGCGCGAGCTCGGGGAGGGAGGCGGCTGGTGGAAGAGCTGGGGGTTTCGAGTAGTGTGACTGGAAATTGTTTGTAAAACGAAGAGAAAAATATCCGAGCCGTCCCGCCGTACCCCTTCCCATAACGCCGGCCTGTCACCACGCTGCTGGCGAAACATTCGATGAATCTTGATCTGTGTATGTCGTGGGCTTTCGTACAGTATGTAAAAAATTGCGTTTTCCCTCGCCGCCGCGCCGTTTTATATCGGGTATGTGAAGACAGGATGTCAATGCAGAGAGAATCCGTTTATAGACTCTTTATGCGTTGCCACCCTTCTCCTCGGTGTCGATGTGCCAGACAACGTAGTTGGGAAGACCAACGACTTGGTAACCGGCGCGCTTGGCCATCTTGGCGAAACCCTCGGTCTCGGCCTGGTTCTCGAAAGCGTAGCAGGGGAAGTTGATGCCTATATTTGTTAGCCGGAGCTGCCCTCTCTAAGGCGCAAAAATATGTTGACCTACCAGAGCGGTGGACATCAGCCTTGACAAGAATGTTCACGCCACCAATGCCGTCAAGTTCGATCTCGACGTCCTTGTCATCGCGCCAGTCGCCCATTCTAGCCATGTAAGTGCGGCCGGTGTCGTACTCCTTGTAGCCTGTGAACAACCATGTTAGTCTGTGTCAACTTCCAGTGTCTTGGAGCATCAACATACCCTCAGCGAGAACAACATCCTTATCGAGGCTAGAAGCGAGTCTGCGACCCTTATCGGACTCAACCCAGGAGTTGTAGTCGACTGTGAAGCGGTTAGTAACTTGGAAACCAATTATGAGGCGATAGTCCAAAACTCACATCTTCCCTCGATATCGCGGCCGTTCTGGTAGCGGTGGAACCAAATGTCTATCACATGTTAGCTCTATTGCCCATGTGGGGTCTTTCACGGAAGGTTATCCATACTGGGAACGAGAATGTCCTTATCGTGGGCAATGAAGTCCTCGAGAATCTTCTTGGGGCTGTCGACAATGTCCGCATCTCTCCAGTAGACCCAGGAGTGCTCAGGCTTAAGAGCAGCAGAGAGGAGGTAGTTGCGCGCGCGACCCATGGCCTTGCGACGAGGACCCTGGGCAGCGAACGAATGGCGCTCTGCAACATCCTGGCTCAGCTTAAAGTCGAAGTCCTTCTCGACAACCAAGGCGCTGCGGAAGGGGATCTGATCGGGACGCTTTTGGATGCGGTCAAGCTCGGAAGCAAGGACAGCAAGAGTGTCATCGGTAGAGTCGCCGACGAGGAAGGCGAGATCGATCAAGTGGTGGGGGTAGGTAAGCTCGGCAATCAGCTCGAAGTACTTGGAGAGATACCTGGAGGCATCCTTGAGGGGGGTGAGGATCAGGATGCGCTCCTCGTTGGCGACGGCCTTGGTGGTGGACTTGACGGGGTTAAGGTCAACGTGGCTGATGGTAGACGAGTTGATTTCTAGCGGAGCGTGGTGGTTGAAGATAACAGGGGTGTGGAGGTGAGCACTCCAAGCTTGTTGCTCGTTGAGGGTCATCTCCATTGGCGGTTTTGAGGGACCCCAGCAGTAGAAACTGAAGGAAGACGCAGACGTTAGCATACAGATGGCGGAAGCACAAGACATGGGATGACACCAACCTTTGCATCTCGGAGGCGCCTGTGCTGATGCCGCGCCATAGTAATAGCACAACTCCTGTTACGGCAACGAGGAGGAGGAATCGTGTCTTTGTGAGGATAGCCCATAGTGCCCTTGCGGGAGGAAGCTGTGCTCTCGCAGCCTTCCAGCTGACGCCGCCTTTGGGAAGAAGCATTATTGTGAAACGGGGTGGCCCTCGGCACCACCCGCTGAACTGGTCGAGGAGGATATTAAGTCTAAAAGTTGGAGATGGGAGCCGTGTAGCTGTCGGCTAGGTCGACGATGCGATGCGCAGCGGCAATGGCACTTTTGGTAGAGCGGCTGAGGAATGCGATATGGCCCGGTGTAGCAAAGGAAGATTCGCGTGGGAATTCGTGTGGCGTCGTGGAGAAATTACGGGTGTGTCGGTTGGGTGGAAAAGCCCACGTCTCCTGAAGCAGGCAGTGCGAAGGCGGTATCTCGGAGAAGGAGGATCCTACAAGCGAATGTAGCAATGGCTCTCTCGTCGTCGTCGTCAAATGTATGAAGGTCGTCAAGAAAGTGTACAAGACAGAAGCAAGCAAAGTGACACGCGGTTGAGTCCGCGTATTCTGATGTGTGGTCGGGATCGAAACTCTTACTCAAGCAACGGACGGGGAACACGGGGACGGAGACGGGAGGACGGACGGAGGCTGAGAAAGTCCAAAGGGTCACTGCCCAGCCCGCCAATGGTTCCAGAATCTCTCTCAGCGAGAAGGGACACCGCACGCACCGTACACGCTCACCAGGGGGGGTCTGCCGTCCACCTCGTCGTCCACTTCAGGGGGGGTCGAGGATGGACTAGCCTATCAGGGGCCCCGGGGCCCCGGGTTTGGGGGGTAAAAGACCCGCTTAATTAGTATGCCATGGTCCGGGCGCACCGTTCTCATCCACTCAGAGCGGTCTCAAGGGGGAGACACTGGCTTGACTGGGGAGGGTTTCCAGCATTTGCTCGATCAACGGCCGCGATCAGCCTGCCCACTGCACATCTGGTCCTTGCTATCAATAGAAAAAGAATTGTTGTGCTGTGATGGCTGCAACAAGAGGGGGCGCAGAAATTATATCTGTTTCCGATACTTATTACCATCCATCCGAGGCTTGAGTCTTAACATAAGGACAGCGAGGGCTCCTCCTTCCCTCCACCATCATCTCGATCCAGAATCTCACGGGTTTTAGCATGTTTCCCCCAGGACAAGGATGCCCCTCTACCTACCAGGTACCCTCACCTCGACCTGGTCGGTGCAATTCCCTCCGCTCGCCGCCAAGCGCTCTGGCCCTCGCTCGCCTTGTCTCGTTGTTTATGCGTAGTTCGGGAGCGGGGCCGATTGCCGTCTTCTATTCCCAAAAGATGCTGCAACGCCGTAATCGCCGTAATGATTGCGGGCCGGTGGAAATAGGTTCGCCAGGTCCGGTCCGTAGGTGCGGAAACAATATTCGAGCCGCCGTTGCAACCCTTTGATATCAACGTGGCCCGGGTGTGGAAAAGGGGCGGCACTGCATGTTGACCGGCCAGAAACCCGGACCGCAATCATGGGGCGTGTTTGAGGTTTCCCATATAATTATATAACCAGTTACAGTCAGCATGAGGGCTGAGCTGAGCTTCCGTTTAACCACCACAAACTATACCACTCAATGTAAGGCCTATTCATTACTCAAGTCTAAACACTTGTCTAGTTTTCAGAGGGCCTCAATACGTAATAAATCCTCTGAATTGCTGCATCTCTCAGGGGCACAATGAAGCCAGACAAGCTTTTGTTTTTGGTAAACCCCCTATCGGCTACAGCTACGAGTTTGCAAACTGCCGACACGGCACCGTCTCTGCAGGAACTGCTTGTCATTTTTTGGAGTCCGTTTGCACATCTCCAACCTGTCTCCCTTCTCCCGGACTTTCTCCCGACCTTTGCACGACTTAGCTCCGTGCCACGTGAGCAGGCGACACCGACGGACCCGGGACGGCCATGACGTCGATCAAAGACGCGTTGTGAATGCTACACTGCTGCCTGTGCCTGTTATCGTGTAGTTAGTGCTACTTTGTCTTTGCTTTGTTCTCTCCTTTGGGGAACTACACTGCCTACACACTCTACCAATTGAGGAGTAGTTGAGCATCCCAAGTTTCAAATTTTCATCCTCTGTTTTGCCACTACACTCTCTTTGGGGATATCGACGGGTTCATGAAATTGAGACCCTGTCAAGTTAAATCGAGACTCATACGTCAGGCATTGGGTCGGTTGAGACAGCCAGTCGAATACTGTCAGATACTCACAACTCACCCTGGTCGAGTCGACACTCGTCGCACACTCACCACATCCCTCAACTGTCTCCAATTGACAACACCTACCGTGAAGATGGCAACCCGGAGATCTGCCCGGTTAAGTGCTCTGGCCGCAGCCCAGCCCAACGGCGCGGCTGCTCCCATAGTCCCTCCACCTGCTCCGAAGTCCCGGAAGAGGAAGGTCAGCGCCGAAGACGAGGGTGAGCCGGCACCCTCATCAACAACAGAACCACAACTATCTTCAACTCCGCAGAAACGGAAAGTCTCAAAGAAGGCAGCACCACCACCCGCGACCCCAACACCAGCCGCTGCAGCTCTCCTCTCCTCTCCCGCTGCTCAGAAGCCCAAACCCGCCGCCGTCTCCCGCCTAGCCGATCCAACCAAGACCAACGCCCCTTTACTCTCCCCTCAAACCTCTAGAGTGGTCTCTTCCAGTCCCATCAGACCGAGAGATACCGAAGAAGGCCTTCTTTCCCCATCCAAGCTTAGGGCCCCCGACGGGAAAAAAGATGACAACGACACCACAACAGAAAACATCCTCGAAAAAGCCTGCGCCCACCTCATCGCCGTCGACCATCGCATGAAGCATCTCATCGACAAGCACCCCTGCCGCATCTTTAGTCCCGAGGGGCTAGCAGAGCAGATCGATCCGTTTGAAAGTCTGGTGAGCAGCATCATTTCTCAACAAGTGAGCGGGGCGGCAGCGAAGTCGATAAAAGCCAAATTCGTCGCTCTATTCGACGATCCCGCTTTTTCTCAAGAGGAGGCCAAAGAGGACGACGGTCAGAACGGGCAAGATGATGCCGCCCACCCAGCAGCCGAAGGCGAACCAACACCAACACCAACAAAACGCCGCTTCCCAACCCCTTCTCAGGTTCTAGCCAAGGACCTCCCCACCCTCCGCACCGCCGGCCTCTCCCAGCGCAAAGCCGAGTACATGCACGGCCTCGCCGCCAAATTCGTTTCGGGCGAATTATCCGCCTCCCTCCTCGCCTCGGCGCCCTACGAGGAACTAGTCGCCAAACTCGTTGCCGTTCGCGGCTTGGGGCTCTGGACCGTCGAGATGTTTGCTTGCTTTGCGCTTAAGAGGATGGATGTCTTTTCGCTGGGCGATTTGGGCGTGCAGAGGGGGATGGCGGCGTTTGTGGGAAGGGATGTTAAGAAACTCAAGAATGGGAAGAATGGGGGAGGGAACGGAAAGGATAAGAAGTGGAAGTATATGAGTGAGGCGGAGATGAGGGAGATTAGTGAGAGGTTTAGGCCTTATAGGAGTTTGTTTATGTGGTATATGTGGAGGGTTGAGGAGACTGATGTTAGTAGTATGGAGTAGTTGGGGTGGGAGATACGGGTTGGGAAAAAAAAAACGAAGATAGGTAGGAATGGGGCTTTTGCTTTGTCCTGAGGAAGGCGAGTCGAGCTCGCTGCTGGCGCGGTAGTATCCGATGTGAGTGATGATATGATGACGACTTAGTAACCCGTTAGGGCACGAGTTGAACCGTACTATAGAGCCTACGAATTTACCATCATGGAAACTTGATATAACTCGCAAATACTCTCTCTACCCTATACCACCGCTCACCCACCACCCGTCCCTTCATCAAAACCCCCCAACATGTGAAGGTACAGACAAATCACAGCCTTCCCTTCCTTCCAAACCCATGACCCCAACCGGCCTCCTACATAGTCTCCGTATCACCTCGCATATCTACGTACCACCCTACCACAAGCTACCACAAGCAGCAAGCGAGACAAGACAAAACAAGCATGACCTGACCTCCTTGACCTACTTGACCGACCTTACGTACCTCACTCACAAGCAAACAATTACAGGTACACAACTCTCATCGGGTGTTACGGTCAGCACTTTTGTTGGAAGTCCGTGCCCTGGGCCATTCACTAGCCTCGCCCATTCACCGGCACTCCCTTCCAGGTATTTAGGCTGCCCTGGTTTCCGTTTCTCCTCTTCCGTTAGACAACTCCAGAATCAAGCCCTTTTTCGTTGTCGCCTTTTCCAGCCTCCATCAACTTTCGTCGTTTGTTGCTGCAGAGCTTTTCCTGGGCTTTGCAGAGCTTGCAGAGCTTGCAGAGTTGGACGGGACACAACAACCACTTACACGACCTTTTGAAGTTGGTGTGAGTGACACTTGAGTCGTCAGCTGGTCTGGGGTAAGGTAGTGGGGCTAGGGAAGCAACGCTGAAGGTTAGTGAAGGTGAGTTCGTAGAATGCGAATTCAACGGGTTTAAACTGATGCATTGAGTGTTATATGAGGTTTTATGCATTTTCTGAAGGAGGTGTGTTTGGTTGCTATAGGGATTTTCATGTGTGTGTGTGTGTGAAAGATGTCCAATTATCACTTCAACTTGACGTAGAATACCGGACAAACGCGTCATGGATTGTCATCTCAGTATGTACTATATATGTTTATATTTACTCAAGAGCCACATCTGAAAGAGCTTGTTTCTCTGGAACTGTTCAACTCCGTCCAATCTTTCTACGTGTAACGTCTTCTCTTTGAAATTAAGAGGCAGAGAGCTTGTTCCCCCCCCCCCCCCCCCCCCCCCCTGGTAATCCAAAACGCGGAACGGAATATCACTTCTTCTTCTCGTGCCCTCTTAGGAGGACAAAGATTGGTCATCATGTAAATTGATCGCCATCAATGATCAACCTAGCATGAGACTGGAGCACCCACGCAGGCCACGCAGGCCACGCACCACAACGCGCGGCTATGCTGAGGTTCTCAGCGTCAAACCTTTGGGGTGTAGTCTAGGGGTAGATCTGCCCGGTTGTCTGGTTGTCTGGTAAGATAGAGATGAACGGATGTCGTCGTTGGTTCGGAGACGTTGGGAGATTTCCCGATGCAATTGTGGATTACAGATGTAAGTTGAGATGGGATGAAAAAATGTCCAGATGAACACCTACCTACCTACATCTGGTAGGATGAAAAGAAAGTTTGCACCCCCTCTTTGACTTGTATACGCACGTACGAGCACGGGCGATGGATGTATGTAGTATGTATGTATGTATGTATATAAGTGAGTGCTGGCTGTAGGAACGACAACATACTTGCATGCAAGTGCTTTGACGACGACCTAGCTTCATCAACCCTAACCCCGCGGATGTTGTTTGTAGCCGAGTCCTCGCAAACGACGGGCAAGAAAATTGAAGATTTGCCATTCATATGAACTGTTTTACCGAGTTGCTTGCCACTGATGAGTGAGTAGCCACCCGAGCTTAAATCCGTTCGTTTCTTGTCAAGATCATGGACATGGATACTAATATGTGGGTAGGGTGGTAGGTTGCACAGCAGCAGCAGCAGGTAGCTGAACTTGACCGTCCACAAGGCCTCCTTCTGGTCTACCCGTCTCGGGCCTCCTTTTGAGACGACTGAGGATTGAGGCTCATCCTTCAACTTATATATCTGATACCAACCACCACTTACTTATACATCAAAGCAGCAATATGTCTTGGCATCAAGGGCCCGAGGGTCGGGGAGTCGGGGGCTCAACGAGTCAACGGAACGGACGAAAAGGTCTGGAACCCAGGGAACGACGACTTTTCGTTGAAACATTACATGGTCTTGATAGATGACGAACCATGAGGTCCTCAAGGTTGTTTGGGATGCTGGATGCTGGCATGCTGGGATACATCAGAACGGGATGGTTCCTGTCCCTTTTCCTTGTCCCGTTACCCGTCTCGTTTCAACGCCTGGACGCTGTAACTGTTTCCGTAAGAGAAGGATGTCATCGAGAGAAGATCATCATCAACTCGGATGTTTGGCCAGGCACAACAGGCCAGAGCATCATCCTTTTATCCCGGTCGAGGTCGAGAGCGAGCGAACGAGCCTGGTGTTGATCAGTATGAAGCTTGTTCGCTTTCTTGAATCTTGATATCCACGAGCTTGAATGATTTGACTTGAGTTTAAGGCCGATCCAGGCGAAGGCGATCTTTCTTGGATTTCATTTGAACTTTTTTAGGTTGAAAAAGCCAGAAAGGTTGCTCTGACAAGTCGACAGCGCACGTCCAGACCCGACCTGTCTGCTTATCCGTCACAGGGACATGACATGACGTCTGTTTGGCGTTCTATGCGATGGAAGTGATTGCCCAAAAGTTACTGTGGTATGCACTGCCGGTACTTGGCAGTAGTGTGATCTGCTGCCCGTCTGCTTGCCTGCTGCGTAAGGCGTAGCGGTAAGGTATGTAGCGCACATTGTAAGATCGGAGTTTCATGTCTATCGTGAATCCAACAACCTTTTTTTTCTCTTGTTTGGCGATGACGATGGATGGTGGACAAAGTGTTCCCGTTGCTACGGCTAGGCGGTCTGTGTTCTGCTTGTAACTTCCATTCCCGTCGGGCGACAAATTGGCATGCGATGAACGACGCTGCACCTCCTTTCCCAGGCAAAACGCTTCAGAAACCGGGAACCCCGTAGGTACTTGGACCCCCTGTTTTCTATAATTAGGGGTGTGAACGTAACGAAGAAAAAGGGGCACTTCTGGAAATTGGTCCGTGCCAATTGGTTAATTCAACAGGATGTGATAAATGATGACCGGCAATAACAAAACCCCCATTTGGAGATTTCCAGAAGCGGGAAACATCGAGTTGCTTTTTCATGCCGTGATTCACGTCTTTTTTGCGTCCCGACCACCCAATAGGTATGTAAATCCCGTGGTTGGCGGCTTCAACTTGTTGATTGAACGAATGCTCAATGCTGTGCTGCACAGTGTTAGCGAACAAGACGTGTCGTTGCAAATGCATGGAGATCGGATGGGGCCATGACCGATTTCAATTTAAAAGCTTGGTTCCCCATCGAACATGGTGGGGCAGGTGCAAAGTGGTTGCGTGTGCTGGTGTGAACAAAGTTAAGATTGGCCAATCTTGGGCGCAGAAAGCTCATGCACAGTTTCGTATCGCCCGTCTCTGGTTCGTCTTGTGTGTAGGTATTTCCGCGACAGACCGCATCACCATCAGGTTTTTGCGAGAATCGGTGATACACTGTTGACTGGTTATAGGAAGGTTTTGTTGTTGTCGTGGTTGTTGCTTTTTGTTCGCTTATTAAACAGCACAAGTTCCTTACGAACAAGTGCGTCACGGCCAAACATCAACACCAAACACCGCCACGGCTAGTCACAATGTCGGACGGGCCAAGTGGAAATGGAACCGGGGGCGGACATGCCAACGCTAAAACGGCAAACTTGTGTCAACCAACGGATCGCAAATGGCAACCCAAAGCCCGAAACCCGCGCCCGAGTGGCGTTGGCGTCTGTCACAGAATGCTCTTCTGTCCAGCTCCCGTCGTCACGGAAACAAAAAGCTTGGCATCTTCAATTCTCTTGTATCATAAACAGACACTCTCACACAAAAATGATCCTATCGGCGCAACCGGCCTTGACCACGCAGACATGCGGCCGCGGTGATGTCCCATTTTACCCAGGGATTTCGGCACCGGCATTTGTTGATGGGGAAACCGGCGGAAAGGCGCGATGCCTCTTTCTCGTCGTCATAACCGATGGTGAAACAACAAATCTCGCCAGCCGGCTTTTGCATTTAAACTAGGACCATAACTCGGGATCCAGACCTCAAAAGTCGGGGAAGCGAGGGTCATGATGGATACGGATACCTCTATGGATGATGGAACCAAACAAGAGCCGAGATCCTGCTATATTTGTAAACAGGGCCAAGCGAGTGTTTTGTCCATGCCTGTCTTGCCCGTCTTGGGACGTCTCATCACCCATCACGAAGCCTTTATTTTATTTCCACTTTGACGAGGCCGCCGGTTGACTCCACGACACGGACAAGCCTCCAGCCAAGGGAAGCCCCTGACAAGAGCGTTCAGGATGAAGCAATGGCAGGGCGCTGCTGGACCAGTCAGATGCGCCCTGCCTTCCCTTTGCATTCAGGAGGCTCCACCCAGCAAATGTACCTAGCCAGCCTGTACAGTAGCGTAGCCGACCATGCACGCCCGTGGTGTGGCCAGAGTCTAGTCTGGCGGCCCTCCCTGGGCAAGACCGCGCCAATGACAGACCGCAGAGGCGGCCGCGTACCTTGCCAGATCCATGAGCGATCCACCCGTGGCTGGCACCCCCCCGTGTACGGTGCTAAGGTCCAACTTGGTTGATCGACCCCCTTCTTCTCTGCAGGTTTTGTTTCTCTTCCGTCCCGTCTCCTGCTCCTGCTCGCGGTGCCCTTTTTCTCCTCTACTCAAGCCACAACTTGCCTTCCTTCCCTCCTTCCATCCTTCTTTCTCCTCATTGAATTCAAGTCCTTCGTTACAGACTCTTACCATTCACCCTCTTACCTTTTTTGAAGGCTCCGCCGAAAGAACGACCATCACTCCGTCGCTCTTGCCCTTTTAACCTCGCACACCACCACTCGTTCTCTCTGCACTCGATCGCGTCCCTTCCCCCTTCTTCAGTAGAAATTAATCACAAAGGTATGTCGCTTTTTCATTCAGCCAGTACATTGTGTTGTGAGAGCCACCAGCAGCAGCAGCAATTGCGCGAACGCTGTTCCCGACGATACCGCCCGGTCGTGCCAGTCCAAAACTTGAAACACGAAAGAGGACGAGCCCCTTGGGAGGATCCACGAAGAAACCACGAGATCCACGATACCTACCAGACCGCCTACCGCCTACTGCCATATCAACAACAACACATGGAAGTCACAGAACAACATCCGGATGCGTTGCTCTTTCCGACACTCCGAATCGCCAGGAACTCAGGGCTTGGTCAGGAAGGAATAGGGGTCGACTATCTCTACCAGTGGAGGAACCGACTACCGACCAAGTTGCCGTCATTGATTTGGGTGCACTTTCGACTGGCCACCTCTTCCGACCCTCTTTAGTTTTCCAAGCACTGGTTTCAACTCAACCCGATCATACATCTTTTTGGACTGGCACGATCCGATATCGAACTGCTTGTCGACATACTACTGCATTCGCGTTTTTTCCCGCCGCATATCGCCAATACGCAACACCAGCCAGTCTTATTCTTTGACCGCGATATTGGACCGGTTGTCATTTGTCAACTGAACACCATCGCTAACTCTTCTTCATCAGCTCGTCAAGATGCTTGTCAAGTACCTCGCTCCCGCCGTCGTGGCGATTGGCGCCGCTTCTGGTATGTCTACGCTCAACTATCACGTCTTAGCGGTGCGATTACTGACCTCTTTTTCCCCTCTTATAGCCCAGACGGCTGCCGTGCCCACCGCTACCTGCACCGTCTCCGGCGGCACCACCACCGTCAACAGCCAGGCCGATGCTACCGGTCTTGCTAACTGCAGGACTGTCAAGGGTTCCGTCGTTGTTACCAAGGATGTTGCCGGTGACTTCGAGTTGAGCGGTCCTGAGATCATCACTGGCGATCTCAGGATCGAGAACAACCCCAACATCAACAGCGTCGGCTCCGATACCCTCCAGATGATTGGTGGCGAGTTCAGTCTTACCCAGCTGACCCAGCTGAACAGCATCAACATGCTCAAGCTTACCTCCGTCAGCAAGCTCACCTGGCAGTCCATCGGCAACGCTGCCGATATGGGTATGACTCAACTCAACAAGGTCGACGAGATCACCATTTCCGACAGCCATCTCCGCAACATTGATGCCATCAATGTCACCAGCATCAAGAGCATGAACCTTGACAACAACCAGTTCATCACCAAGTATGAGCCCGCTATCAAGTCGATCAGCGGCGACCTCACCATCCAAGCCAACGGTCTCGACATGGAGGTCAGCTTCCCCAACCTCATCTGGGCTATGAACATGGCTGTCGCGGATGTCTCCAAGATCAGCTTCCCCTCTCTCCAGGTCGTCAACGGCTCTGCCCGCTTCGACAACAACAAGTTCGATAGCTTCAGCTTCCCCAACCTCACCCAGACCAAGACTGGTGATATCTCATTCGTCGGTAACGAGAACATGAAGAACCTCACCTTCCCCAAGCTCACTCAGATTGGCGGTGGTCTTCTCATTGCCAACAACACTGCTCTTACGGACAACGGCGACTTCCCCGTTCTCGACACCGTCGTCGGTGCCATCAAGCTCCGTGGTAACTTCACTGAGTAAGTTTAATCTGCTGTTTCCCCTTTTCTGAATTGTCACTGACTCGACATCTTTCCTGCAGGGTCAAGTTCCCCAAGCTCCAGAGCGTCCGTGGCGCTTTCGATCTCTCTTCTACCAACGATGTCACCAACGACTGCAAGACTCTCGCCAAGATGGCTCCCACGACGCAAGGAGGTAACGGTGAGATCGAGGGTACCTTCGACTGCCAGTCCAACAACAAGGAGGCCAACCAGGATACTTCTGGCAAGACCGGCTCTGGTGAGGGTGTCACGGGCGGCAGCGGCTCTGACAAGACCTCTGGCACCAAGAACAGCGGTGCTGCCGGTCTTTCCGTCAACGCTGGTCTCTTCCTTGCCGCTGCTGGCGTCCTTGCCCAGCTCCTCCTGTAAAGAACGCTTAGGATGACTTGTGAACATTAATGGTGTATCGTGGGTCGGAAATGTGGGGGCGTTTTTCTCTCGATTACTACTGCAAATCAGATGGGGTTACTAATTGGGCCATCCTGTTGCGCGCACACATATTCTCTGTTGTTTCTCTCGGCTAAGATGGAAAACTTTGTCGTTTGTTGTTGGGAGTTTTGCTGCAGCCTGTGTTTTTTTCTGGGCTGCATGGAGCGCACACATCATATGACCCCATATTTGCAGAAAGAAACCACTACTAGACTTAATTACCTCTCTCTCTCACTCTCTCTCCACCGTCCCTCAACACATCACCACTGGGGGTTAAGTGAGTACATCATATGCTGCCCTTTTCACATGTCACTGCACTTGGTACCATTTTTGCACCAGCCCCACTTGGGGGACCGGGTCCTGGGTTTTGGATTAAGGACCCGAGGGAATGTTGATCTCTGGTGGGTGAAACGGGCGATCGTCGGTGATCTGAGTGGATTATGGATTGTTTTATGGTGAAGCACTGAAGTCACCCCACAGGGCTACTGCAGTACATGAAGCTCATGGATGGCATGATGGAAACAAGAAAGAGTTGGGATGATCAGCGAAGGCTTGTTTGCCAGCCACCTCATTTACCGTGGCCTGGATTCGGGAGAGAGAGATGAACTGATTGACGAGAAGTTGAGTTGAGTATGAAGAGGGTATTAGCGCGCATCGAAAGGTGCTGCTTGTCATTGTGTTTGTTTGTTTGGGATTTGTGGTTGTTGTTTCATAAAGGCAGTTGCATCATCTGAATGTTGGGTTTCGCTGTGTAGTAAGTTGCTTTAGGTAGTTTAATAATGGTGCTTTGTTCAACTCGGAAGATTGTTGTAATCTCGGTGTGAGTTGTCCAAGAGTTGTTGGCTGTAGGTTTTTGACGGAACTCCAAGAACTGCTTGATGTGAATTATGGTGGGAGGCCATGATGGTATTCGGTAGGTTGGAGAAGTCAACAAGCTGCTTGTTTGGTATCTCGATGACATGCTCAGTCTCATCCGGCTCAAGGTCTTTAGTGACTTTGCAGCTTCTATGGATCAAGTGAGTGAAACTCCGAACTTCAAGTACACATACACTCATCCATCCACCCATCCGCATCCACCCATCCACCTCTTCGTCCTCACAACCCCCAACCTACAACTTACTAGTCCTACTCTCCTTCTTCAACATCTCCTCCGCCACAATCCTCCTCTGAATCTTGCCCGTCGCCGTCTTCGGCATCACATCCGTAAAGTAAATCTTCTTGGGCACCTTGAACTTGGCCAGCTTGCTACCCACCCACTTCCTAAACTCCTCCGCATCCCCCTTCTGTCCGCTCTTCAACACAATCGCCACCGCCACTTCCTGCCCGTACATCTCATCCGGAATAGCAAAGCTCACGGCCTCGGAAACGGCCGGGTGCCGGGTCAAAACGTTGTCCAGCTCGATAGGAGAAATCTTCTCGCCTCCCTTGTTGATTAGCTCCTTGATGCGGCCGGTGATGACGACGTACCCGTCCTCGTCCTTCTTGCCCTGGTCGCCCGTGCGGAAGTAACCGTTGCGAGTGAAGGAGGAGGCGTTGGCTGCTTCGTTGTTTAGATACCCCTTTGTCACGTTCTCGCCCTTGATGGAGATCTCGCCTTCTTGTCCGTCAGGGAGGATATTATCCTTGTCGTCTAGGATGACTACTTCGACGCCCTGTCCCACACCGACGGTGCCGGGCTTGCGCTTGCCGACGGAGGGGAGAGGGTTGGAAGTCATTTGGTGCGCGGCCTCGGTCATGGCGTAGGCTTCGAGCACGGGGGCCTGGAAGGTTTTCTCGAGGTTGTGGAAGACGGTTGGCGACAAGGGGGAGGAGCAAGAGCGGATAAAGCGGATTTTGGGTAGAGGGTTGGGGACGGGGTGCTTGAGCAGGATCTGGTGGATGGTGGGCACGGCGGTGTACCAGTTTGCGCGGTGGGAAATGAAGTCGGGCCAGAAATCGGTGGCGGAGAATTTAGCGGGCACGATCATGCTGCCTCCCGTCAAGAAGGGGGCCAGAAGCCCGCACAAAAGGCCGTGGACGTGGAACAAGGGCATGACGAGCATGGTCCGGTCGGCGGGAGTGAGTTGGTACGTGTTGCGGATGTTCTTCATGGTGCGGGTCAGGTTGCGGTGCGTGAGCGGGACGACCTTGGGGCGGGAGGTGGTGCCGCTGGTGTGCAGGACCAGGGCAATGTCATCAGCGTCTGGCTTCAACAGGGGCTGGGTGCCCTTGCCGGTCAGTTGGCCGAGCTCCTTGACGTCGAGAGCGACTTCGTTCTTGGACGAGTCCCAGTAGGATTCGGCGATGGCGGCGTTGAACTTTTGCGCGGCCTTGACGGCGGGAGCCCCCGCGGCGTAGGCACCCTTGGGAACCAGGACGATGGCGGACTTGACGTCCTCGATGTAGAACTCGAACTCCTCTTGCTTGTAGGCAGGGTTGAGAGGGGCGGCGATGCCGCGCTGCCAGGAGGCGGCCAGGAAGGAGACGATGAACTCGTACGAGTTGACGGTGGCGATGGACACGGGTGAGCCCTTGGTGATGCCAATGTCTGCCAGCTTCTTCTGGAACGAAGCGGTTTCACGCTTCAGGTCGGCATAAGTGACTGTAAGCGCTTGGGGCTTGGAGGGGATGATGACGGCCACATCGTTGTCGGCGCCTTGGATGGCGGCCTGGAGGTCAAATGGGCAAGGCATGGCGTTCGTTTCTTCGTACTTTTCCAATTGGTGAGACAGATGGAACTTTGTGACCTTTGCGGTGTGGTATCACAGAAACGGTTTCTTGGTGGTTCGGAAGACGTTGATGGCGTTGTGTGGTTGACTAATTCAATCAGTAGTCGAGTACGGGTGTAAGGAAGGACAGTCCGCTTTGGGAAAGATGCCTCGTGTAAGTGAGCCGGTCACTGGGAATAGCCTCACAGACAAGTTAGAAGAGATAAAAGCAATAAACTTTTCCAATCGAAAGATCAAAAAAGATCTGAGTAGGTAGTATCACAATGAACGCCGACGACGGAGGTGAGGTTGGAACACCATTGATACTCACCCCGGTCCCCGGTCCAAGACCGATGATGCCATCCAATGGTTCCCAATCCGCGTTGCCAGCTTTCGGCAGGCCGGCAATCGGCTATTTCTATTGGCCCACAGGAGTTTGTTGGTCAGCGACCTAGCGAGCAGTATCAAAGCGGGGAATAAGGGGCTAAGATTTCGGGTTAGGGTTAAAAGTGCGTTTGCAGCCTAAGAGGTACCTGTGCCGTTCTGGTTTATCAACCTGAAAGGCTCCGTCATCACCTGCTTTTGTTCCTTCCGAAGCGGAGAGGACGACACACCCTCTCACAGTCTCACTCGCATCCAGGTTTATTTAGCTTGGGCAAGGCATATAGCACGCCATTGGTTGGGTGTCACGAGGTGCGAATAAAGTTCTGGGCAGGTCTATATAAGAGTAGAGTGTGCTAACCTTCTTTTAGGGTTTTCATCCCAAACCCTTCTTTCGCCTGTTTGTAAAGGGTCGAACTCCAGCTTCTCTTCGACGACGACACTTCACAATCCTAGTTGCACTTCACCTCGTCCATCATCTCCCCAATATTTGACTAGACGACAGGCAACCCTCGTACAACTTCTTCCACTCACGATCTAACCCCTATCAAAAATAAACAAACCACCACCACCACCACCAAACCAGCAAAAATGGCACCCTCCCCCTCCCGTCTCACCGGGGCCTTCACCACCCTAAAACAAACCCTCCTCGCCCTCCTCGACCCCTGGATCTTCATGTCCCTCTCCGCCTCCTACCTGCCCACAACAATCCTCTCCCTCCTGCGCCAGCGGCGCTTCCTCGCCCTTCTTGGCGGTCCTTTACTATCCAATGAATTCCAATCCGCCTGGTTCGGGCACTTCTGGTCCTGGGCCGGGCCACAGGTGCGCGGCAACGCTGAGGCCAATGTTGTGCCTTTGCTGGAGGGCAGAGTAACAAAGGGACAGATTGTTTCCAAGTCAGAGGCGCACGTGCCTGGTGTCGGAGGAGTGGTGCTGGAGATTGGACCGGGGAGTGGAATGTGGGTTAGTTTGTTTAGTGATGAGAAGTATCTAAAGGATGAGGACGAGCAGCAGGGGCATGATGGGGAGGAAGAACACGAAGGGTTGTCGGCTAGTTGGGCGACGATAGCTTCTGAGCAGCAACAACAAAAGCAGGCGACAAAGAAAGTGGTTGGAAGCCGCCAGAGGATAACGCAGGTGTACGGCGTCGAGCCCAATTACGGCATTCACCCGCTGCTTCAACACAACATTACGCAGGCAGGGCTGTCGCAGACGTACACTATCCTTCCCTTCGGCATTGAGGATATCGAACGCTATGCACCCCAGATCCAGCCTGAGTCTCTGGATTGCATCGTCTCGATCCTCTGCCTTTGCAGTATTCCGGAGCCGCAAAAGAACATTGCCATCCTGTACCGCTATCTCAAGCCGGGCGGTCGCTGGTTTGTCTACGAGCACGTCAAGTGCTGCTCCAACAAGCCGGGCGGTTGGTTCATGAATGCCTACCAGGCTTTTGTCAACCTCTTCTGGCCAGTCTGCCTCGGCGGATGCCAGCTTCGTCGCGATACTGCCCGGTATCTGAGGGAGGCTGGCCCGTGGACTGACGTCGACTTGGCTCAGCCGCCTAAGGAACAGTGGCACCAAACCGTGCCCCATATCTATGGCATCCTGACAAAGTAAGCAGAAGGGCTGCGGTCACGGAGTCCAGAAATCATTACTGCACCGAGTCATCACCGAGTCATTAGCGAGGTCAGGATGTCACACACATGATCATTGAGGCAATCTTTCAGGCTTGAGATATGTAGCACCTGACTAGAACTACCTAAAGACTTGTCTCTGGTACCTATTTCACCATGATCATATCCCGTGCTGAAAAGCCCCCCAAAGTTTTCGAGAAGCAACCGCCCTAACAATCGATGGCACTTATGTTTCCATCGTCCAATCGAGATGGTGCCTTGAAATAACATTTCAACCTGGTTCCCCTGAGAAAGCACGTAGAACTGTCCTGAATATTATGATAGATCTTTGTCCCCATACTCCCTAGCATGGAACGAAATGTTCTTCATTCTCCGACAAGTGGCGCAGAAGGGGGAGCGTTGACGCTCTTACCAGTCTCCACCGGCGGCCACGGCAGAGGACTCCCAGTCACCGCCGCCAGCTTGGTTATCGAAACCGCCATTGTCGAAGCCCGCGTTGTCAAAGCCCGCGTTGTCGAAACCGGCCGCGGCGTCCTCGTCCACGAGCGGGTTGGGGCACTTGGACTTGTAGTGTCCCATCTGTTGGCAGTTGGAACACTTGACGCGGGTGACTAAATTGCGGTTAGCGATTTGACTACATATCATCCACCATAGTTCACTCACTATCACGAGGCTTAGGGCACTCTTTGCTGAAATGTCCGAATTCATCGCAGTTGCGGCACTGGACGTTGTCCATGTTCTTGGGCTCGGTGCACTCTTTCGCCATATGGCCCTCCTGGCCGCAGTTGCGGCAGCCGCGAGTGCCGCCACCCTGAGGGCAGTCCTTGCTGAAATGACCCACTAATAAGAGGTGTTAGCTATCATATACGCTTGGGGGACGGGTTGTACTACTCACTCTCGTTACACTTGCGACACTCAACACCCTCAGCGGAGCGCGGCTCGGTGCCTGCACAACTTGTTAGCATTACTCGGTCTCGATACTTGATCACAGACTGGCTCTTACAATCAGATGCTCTGTGACCACCTTGTCCGCAATTCTTGCAGGCAAACTTGTCCACGCGAGGAATGGGGCCTATACAACGTTAGATTAAGTCTTACTCCGCGGTAGAAAGGGGAGCTCACAGTCGCGGATACGGTGGCCAACTTCCTCACAGTTGAAGCACTTGATGACAACCTCCTCCTTCTCCGCACCCTCCTCAGGGCAGCTCTTCCGGATATGGCCCAATTCACCGCAGTTGCCGCACTTGGGGATGCCGCGAGAGACAACCTCACCGGCGTCCTTGAGACGCTCAAGGTTCTCGGCAACATCGGCCGGCCACAACTCGCGGTCGCGAGGACGGGGAGGGTTCCACTGGAAGCGATAGGTGACGGTGTACTTTTTGTTGAGGCCACCCTGCAAGTCCATGTTGGTCATGGTGCTCATGACGGGCTTCTCAATGGCAATCAGCCACAGGTTGACATCCTGGGCACGAAGGGCCTCCTCCAGCTGCAGATAAGTCGTCTCAGGGCTCGCCTTGAGGTAAATCTGGATGGCCTCTTTGACCTCAGTGACCTCCTTCTCCTTGGAAGCCTCAACAATCATGTCCCAGGCTTCCTGGATCGTCTTGTCCGGCAAGTGGCTGCGATCGATCGCACGGGCCGCCTCGCACTTGGAGATGGTGTGGCCTGGCAAGGTCATTAGACTGTATTCAAGAGTACTGGGGGAACATTGGTCTTACCTTTCTCGCCACAGTTCTTGCACGTTTTCTCAGGGCAGTCCTTGACGATGTGGTCAGGGGATCCGCATTCGCGGCAGGTCATGGCCGGGGCGTTAGGGCACTCGCGGGCGTAGTGTCCCTCCTCGTTGCAACGGTGACAAGCACCGTTAGGCTCCTGATGGTCAGCGCCATCGGCAGCAGCAGCGTCGTCGGCGGGGTTGCCGAAACCATGGTTGTCGAAGCCATTATTGTCGAAGCCATGGTTGTCAGCGAAGGTGGGGTTTTCACCCGCACCCCAAGCAGAGTCACCCGTCTCCCAAGTGGTCATGTTGATTACGGCTTCGCGGGGGGTCCTCGCGGTTCCTGGAAAGTAGATGGATCGTCGCGCTGCGTGGAAGGAGGGGATGTTAGCTATGCGTCGAGGGTGAGTCCAACCTGAAATGAAGTCGCGTTGATGGGTCGAAGCTGTGAGTGAGAATGGACCTCTACAGACAAATGTGGGAAGGGCATGGAGGGGGCGGCGGAAATGAAACCCTGATCAAGCTGAGGTGGCAGTGAGGGAGGACACGAGATACCAAAGACGAGGCTCGCGACGGCCACAAGGTGCGATACAGACGGGAAAACAAATATGAGAGGCGATGGCACTTACGCGGCGCTTGTTGATTGAGAGTGACCTTGAGCTCCCTCTTGTCGAAGTCAAGGTTGGAGTCCTGATGCGAGTTCTTGGGCAAATGGAAGTCCTGATGGAGTGGAAAGGACTGGAGGAAGTGAGAAAAGGTGAGAGGGGAAGAGAGGGAAGAAGAGGGGGGACTTGTGTGAAAGACGGGTCCAAGTGGCACTCAAGAAATAGATGTTGTGGGAGGAGTAGCCCCGCCAACGGCCCTTCCTTGTTTGAGCCTGAGGCGACAGCTCTTATCTGAGTCTCCCCTGGCTCCCAAAGGTTGAAACCGAAGGCAGCAACTGGAAGGCACGTATGAGAACGACACGGGCGCGGGCCCGGACACAATGGCGGGCCCCTGAATGAGAAAAGGCAGGCGCGCAGGATGAAAACCCACACGACAAACGTCATCAAGGAAGGGAGTCTTTGGGCTCCAGGGCAGGCACTCAGTGACCACGCTTTTGTTTGCATGAGGTGACGCGAATGGTCGTAAGAATAAACCGAACACGTACGGTTAGTACATTACACCTTGGGTATACTCTTATCACGCATATATGATACCTTTGAACCTAACTTCTAGGCAGTTCCTGCTTGGAAGAATCCCTAAACGACTCTGGCCGATGTATATTCAAATTAATTATGATCCCTATCACAGTTTTATAACGGCCCTTCCTAGCCAAAGCGAGCCGTCCATGTTCGGTTTATTTTTTATGACCACTTCGAGTGGCTACCTTGGTTCTGCTGGGAAAGAACTTCCACTGGGAGACGCAACGATGTGAGAATGAGCAAGTGAGGATGAGCACTCTTGTCAGTCTCAACCGACTCTCGTCTCGCTCTCCAAAGGTGGTACCTACTTGAGCTGAGGTGAACGTACTTGGTAGCCACTCGAAGTGCGTCTCCCAGTGGAAGTTCTTTCCCAGCAGAACCATGCTACAAATACTAGAGGTAGTAGAGGTACCCCTCCCCCAAGCCATGCTCCTTCAATCGGAAATGCTTCTGCTTTTTTTATCTCGCGTTATATTCAACACAGAAAGAACCAGATATTGAGAGCATCGTTAAGCTTACATCTATCTTGTCTCCCCTCAGCCCCTCGTACAACCAGGTATAATTGGACCGCCGCCAGCAACCTCGACCAGAATGCCCGTAATAACACTAGGACCAGATTACAATGATACCAGGAGCCGGGACTACTCGACTATTCCTGAAGACTGGCCCGCGACAGGAGATTACTGGTCCGCCGTACCAGGATCGGACCCAGACTACACCTCTGTCCGAATTGCACGCGCAAGCTCACCATGCAGCCGAGTTCAACCGGGCCGTTAACCAGCAACGCGAAATGCGTGGTGAATATCTCCAAAACCTGTGGCGGAGGCCTCACGATCAAGCCACTGCCACGAACCTGAGCCAGCCGGTCGGTTCTGAAGCGTCTGCTATTCCTACCAACGCACTTCAGATGGACAATCGGTCAAGTAGGGCTCCGGGTGCTTCTTCTTCTTCTCGTCCTGAAGATGGAGGAGAAACGAATCATCCGGGAGCATCTTTTCCTCCACCACAGCCCGAGCCTCATCCAGCGCCATACGCTACACCTGTCACACCAGGTTTAACCAATTCGTTTCCGTTATCATCTTCCTCGGTCCACAGTCCACAACAGCCACTGACGCCTTTGCCTTCCACGTATGCAACGCCAAACTCTTCAGTATTGGCTCCATCGCGTTTACCGCCATCTTTAAACACTATAGCACCCCCGCTGGAGAAGAGATATTCGGCCGAGGAGGGCTCGGAGATGTACACCGAGGCCGATATTGATCAATGTCTCAAAGAAATCGCCCAATACGATATCGAGCAACAGATGGCGGCCAATGCTTCGTCTACGATGCAAAGCACCTCAGCATCGGCTCGATTGTCTCTGACACCTTCTTCAATCACTACACCCCAACCGGAGGTCGATCCGTAGAATGGTCCTGTATTTCCGACTCCAGCAGCTCCCGTAGCGTCCCTGTTATCCATGCCGCCTCAGCAACAGCTCCAAGAGCCTCAACAACAGCAACAGCAGCGGGCTCTCCCAGCGGAGAACCCTGCGGTGACGCCGGGGCTGCCACGGGGTGATGGAGTTCCTTCTAGGGAAGCTCCTGCCGTGGGTGGTCTGGAGGCGAGATTGCAGGCGTGGAAGGATGGAGAAACTGCCCGTGAGCGGCAAATTAAGCAGCAGGAGCTGCAACAACGACATCAACAACAGCAACAGCAGCAACAGTCCCAAGAACAGCAACAGTCCCAAGGACAGCAACAGTCCCAAGAACAGCAACAGTCCCAAGAACAGCAACAGTCCCAAGAACAGCAACAGTCCCAAGAACAGCAACAGTCCCAAGGACAGCAACAGCAGGGCCATGGCATTTACATAATGCCGATTATATGTGATCAATGTCAGGGTAGGGCTGGCCATTGCAACCGCCAGTACCCGTGTTGCTACGATTGCGACAGAAAAGGACTAGGTAGGCTAGTGCAGTTGTTTGTTATGTATCTTGTTATAAGCTTCTACTTAAGCTTGCTGACACATTCCACAGTTTGTACTTATACAAGAAAAGTAGCCGAGGCGTGTCAGCAGTGTAGGTTGACAACAAAGGATCGCCACACACAAATCTGCGACCGCAAAGTGCCACGATGCTCAGCTTGTCAGTCTCAGGGGCGATGTAAGCTACCGTATCCTTCGACTCCGTATCCTGCAATTCTGTCCTATTGACGAAACCTTTAGCGTGTTACAACCGTGATTTGGAGGACCATAGGTACAATATGCGATGCACCCAGTGCAGTACCCGGAGTCTCAAGTGTAATGAGCGTCAAAACTCAAAGGCATGTGAGTTTTGCAAGAATAACAATCTCAGTAAGTCGATGTTGATACCACTGATGCTTGCCTTGTCCGGGCCCCCCCTCGTCTATATTAACAAAAGATTCTAGTTTGCTGTTACGAGAAGGCCAGGCGCTCAGTAGAGAAATGAGACTAGATTGAGCTTACTACGACATGATGAGACGTGGCAAGCCATGACACTGGTAATTTTGAGGCAGAAGATAGCCAACGCAAAGGGTTTTGTGAGGTTGACTTGGTGGGATCATAAGGCAGAGAGGTCTGTACAATGAACTGTACTCGGAAGTTTCTGGGAACTGTCTTTGCTCCCATTTTTGCTTTCCCGCAGGAGGAACTTGGTCCAGTGTACTCATGCCCGTCCGCGGTGTTTCATCTACGGATACCGGCCTAGGAGATGGGAGCTTTGTTTGATATAATCGGTAGCGTTCAACCACCAAGCGGAACTTTATTACAATCGTCTTGACATCACCCATGGTGTAGTTGTAGTTACTGCTCATTGCATACAGGCACGCATGCCTCTGAAAGATTACCCGAAAGTAAATCAACTGGAGCTATGAAAGATAACAGGTGAATTGTCTACAATGTAAACCCACAGAGGTGTCACTAGTCTACACCGGCCAAGCCTCCTTTTTTTTCTGTAGCTGCCTGCTATCAACGAGTGAATCGATGGAAAACGCTCAACTGAGGGAACAAACGACCGGTTCACTCGGACCGTTGCTACTATCTCTGCTATTTTCATCTCTTTGAGAGTGGATCATATCAAGGCGGAGATACTGTGTACGTCCAAACGGGGTTTGGACACTATTATTGAGCAAGGTATCAACATTTAAGCAGACATTCATGATATTTCTTCCGTCATGATCAGTCTTCTACTATTTCATATATGTAGTTACATACACAAACGTTATACTACCTGTCTGTCTCTGTGTGCTGTTGCATTGTTGGTTTATTTCCCCTTTTCTAGAAGAAAAAACATACTTCTCAGATTGAATTCCCCCTTTCTCAAATCCACACAGAAATGGAATCACAAAAACCACAACAAACATTCAGTGGGATATCTCGTCAGGTTCAGTTCAACAAGGTTCAACGTATATCCAGGACTTGGTACTGGTAACTTTTAAATTCACTCTAAACCAAGGATTATACATTTGAGACAAGGGAGATAGAGAGACAGAGTCAAGAACCAAGCTAGGTAGGTAAACAAAAAGAATGAGTACTGGAAAAAGGTATTAAGGAAGGAATATTTTATGCGTCCTTCATCTCGGTATCTTCCTTCTCCTTCTTGTCGCTCTCCTTCTTCTATTGTGTCTTTTCGGCCGTCTCGTCCTTCTTTTCCTCAGTCTTGGTGTCGTCCTTCTTATCCTCGGACTTCTCCTCAGCGTCCTTCTTCTCGCCGTTTGTTGTATCCTTCTCCTTCTTTTCCTCAGAAGCCTTGTCGTCGTCGGCCTTCTTCTCCTCGGTGGCGGCATCCTTCTTTTCTGCCTTCTCCTCGTCTTCGGCCTCCTTGTCCTGGTCCTTCTTCTCTTCGGCCTTGGTCTCTTCCTTCTCATCCTTCTTCTCCTCACTTTCCTTGGCCTCAGCCTTCTCCTCCTCCTTCTTGTCCTCACCCTCCTTACTCTCCTCCTTAGCCTCGTCCTTTTCGGCCTTCTCCTCGCCCTCCTTCTCGCCCTTCTCCTCCTCCTTCTCACCCTCCTCCACCTCCTCCTTGACCACCTCCACCGCCTCCTCCTTCTCCTCCTTCCGAATCTTTCCTTCCTCCCCCATCTCAGCCACCACCCTCTCCACCACCTTGACCGTCGCCTCGGGGCCGCCGGGCTCCGCAGCCAGGACTTTTCCTGACTTGTCCACGACAAAGACGCCGCGGGTGGTGCCCTTGGGAGCCTTCTTCAGGCCGATGGCGCCGATCAAGGCGTACGAGGGGTCGCACAGCAAGGGGTAAGGGAGCTTCTGCTTCTCCTTGAAGGTGGTGTTGGCTTTGGGAGAGTCAGAGGATAGGCCGTAGATGGAGAGGCCGGTGGCGGAGGAGAGGGCGGTGTAGGAGTCGCGGAAGAGGCAGACTTGTCGCGTGCCTTTTTTGTCATTTGTCAGTAAACGTTTTCTAAAGAGTCTTTGGCGGTTTTATGAAGGGAGCTGAATACTGAGGCTGAGGATGATGATGATTGGACAGGTGCGTTGAAACGCGTGTAAGTGGGTTATAACGCGGAAGTGCTATAGCGCCCGCCCGCTAAAAGGCCACGCCTAATGCATGCATTACAAAGGGGTGGTGTGCGGTGGTGAATTGACAAATGGGAGTTGAATAAACATGGAGCCAGTGAATGAGAGGTTGCGGTGTATGACGTGAGCGAATGGGAAGCTTTCTTTTTCTATCCGAGCTCTTTGTGAAGCGCAAACATGCAAACTTATCAAAGTGAACAAAACAGAAACAATAACTTACAGCCAGGAGTAGAAGCCTTGGGATAAGTAAACAGCACCACACCAGCCTTGCTCTCCTCAACGAGCTTCTTCAAGCTGGTCTTGGTGCCGTCGTTGGTCTCAACCTCACCGCCAAAGTTGTCCAGGTCAATGAGGTCGCCGACCTTGGGGTTGCCGGCCAGAGCCGTAGCCACCTTCGCAGCGCCGTTGGCAACGGCCTCGGCAGCCGCCTGGGCAGCGGCGGTGGCGGTCTCGGTGGTGACCTCAGCGGCCTTGGAAGCGGTTTCGGCAGCCTTGGAGGCGGCGTCCTCGACTTTAGCCTTGGCCTTGGCGGCGGCCTTGGTGGCCTTGGTGGCCTGCTTCTTCACCGGCGCGGGAGGCGGCGGCGGGGCCTTGCGCTTGCGAAGCTCGACGGGCATGGTGATGGTTGTCTTTGTGGAGTTTGCGCGGGTGAGGGTTAGTGTAAGAGAAAGGGGATAAAGAGCTATAGATAGCTGGTGGTGGTGTAAGTGATGTGGTCGCCGTGAGTACGCGACTAAGATACGGTTGAGAGTTGATGAGAGAATGGTGAGAGAAGGTGAGAGGAATGGGGAGAGAAGAAAGAGAAAAGGGAGAAAAGGATGGAGGAAAGAGGTGTCGTTGTAAACAGGACAAGACGTTGAAGGTGGTTGCGCAAAGCTCTGACCAATCAGGAAGCAGACGCGGTGAAGCTCGAGCGAGAGCGGGCTCGAGAGCAGAGCAGCAGACGGGAGGCACTTCTGGCACTTGTCTGTACCTGCACCTGTACTGTCTGTTTAGTCCGTATGCTTACGAAAGGAGGAACCAGAGGAGCCAAAGACCAAAGAAACTGGTGGAGGACGATCGCGTAACACGTCTAGCTAGGGGTGACTTGAGACGCCGGGATAGTCCAAGTTGGATAACAGGTATAGCTCCAACAGCTGGGGTATAGCATCAAGTACATGGAGATCGGATGCCACACTGACATAACGAATGGCGTACGTACAGCTCCCGTCGTTATTACACACTCGGAACAAGAACAGGGCAACGTATGGTGGGTGGATTAGTTGGGGTTTCTCTTTGGAGCTAGAACATCATCAGCTCTCTCGTGTAATTTACCCTTTCACTTTCCCAGCTGGCATTTCAACTCAAGTACAGTATTGATGAAGAAAGTTCACCATTGCAAGATACTTCAGTGACTCCCAAGTTCTGAGGTCATGTGAACTGACGCCATGTCGTAACCCGATGGATCCGGGGTCCCGAAATGTGTTCTTGTGCTTCTCTTCTCTTTTCTGGAACGACGCGGCCGGCGGCAGTGTGGATGTTGTCGGTGGATGCCGTTGAACCAGAGACAGACAAGACAGGAAGTGGTCCAGGCTTTTGACGTACTGTCGCATGAAAGCTGGCCCGTGCGTCCATTGACCAACGTCAGTCGTCAAGGATGACAGCCGCCAGAGCTGTCCCTGTCACCTGTCTGTCAGCCCAAGCTCCCGGCAACACTCGTGAGAGCATCACGAACTCCATCATCCTTGGTCGCTCGGAGTGGAATCCACACCTCGTCGTCGTCGAACCCGCCCACTTACACCCACGATAACAAACGGGTTCTACAGCCGCCACCATGGCTTCCAAAGTCGTCACCGGCGTGGTCAAGACCACCGCAGGCGGCGTTGTGCCCGTCTACCATGTGAGTGATCAATCGCATCTCTAATCGCACAGTCGCATTGCCGTTTCCAGGACGACAAGTGGTGCCCGACTCATGTCCCTACAGCACCCCCCGTCTCCACTATGTTCTCTAATGTATTCCTTCCCCAGAAATACACCGTCCAATCCGTCGGCATCTGGGACCGCATCCGCCGCGCCTTCGCCATCGACCCCAACCGCTCCAACGGCGTGCCCTTGAACCCCTACAACCGCAACCCATCCCCCGGCTCTCTTGACCCCTTGTCCTACGACGACCCCGTCACCCTTCCCGCCGGCGACATCGCCGACAACCCGTACTGGAAGCGCGACGCGCGGCGCAACTACCCGCGCCTGAGCGTGGTGGGCCAGGCCGAGGCCGTTGCCTTGCTGTCAGTCGGCAGCGCGAGCCACCCCCGTGTGGAGCTGGTGGGCGAGAACGGGAGCAAGCAGCTGGTTGCGGCGCAGGAGGCTGGTAAGGCGGGTGGACTGGCCAGGTTCTTTGAGGGAAACGGGGTGGAGGCTGGTAAACTTGTGCTGGCGGAGACGGGGGGATTGCCGCCGTTGCCGAGTGGTGAGAAGCTGGTGGAGGGCGGCAAGTGGGATGTGCATAAGTATCAGTTGGCTGAGGAGCCTTCTTATTCTGAGGCGTGAGTATTATTTCCCTACTTCCCTGGGGGAGTGAGTGTTTGGGTTGTGAGAGAGAGGAATGGTGCTAACGATGTGGTTGGTTATAGCTACCCTTGCAGGTCGTTCTCTTAAAGTGGAAGGTTATGGAGATGAGGAGCTTGTGAGCAGGACACATGAGCTGAAAGAAGGGACCACAGGACCTTTGATGGAGGGATAACAACAGACAGACAGACAAGGCCACAGAGACCAGATACGTTCAGGCTGGTGTACATAGCAGGCAAGCAAGCAAGCAAGCAAGCAAGCAAGCAAGCAAGCAAGCGGTAGACGGAACGTATAGACTTTGCTTAGATCATGGCACTCGGCATTTCAAAAGGGGTATATGGTTTTTTATGAGTGATAGTGCCGTCTGGGCTCATATCCGAAATATCGTGCTCCCTAACCTGGCATCACTTGCCCTGGTATCCTGTGCTTCTTCTTCTTCTTCCTTCTTCACTTTTGATGTAATAGTTCCCGTCCTCAGGACCTACCTATGTAGCACCTAGACTTAGACCGCATCTTCAGCAGCAGCTCAAGACTTTCATCCTTTTTCCCCATATGACCTTCTTCACCTCTCAGTCTCCCGTTCCCCCTCCTCTTCCTCCCCCCCTCCCTCTTCCTTCCTTCACCACCCAAACTAAACCTCATTCCCAATCCTCCCCAAATCCACTCCCGCAATCGGCGTCCCTGCCCCTGCCCCAGCTCCAGCCCCCGTCCCCGCCCCAGCTCCCTCTCCTGGACTCCCAACCGCTGAGCTGCCCTTCTTCCTCTCCGACGAAACCTCGCCCACCATCCTCTCAACTATCTTGGCCTTCCCCTGCGCCCTCTTCAGTCTATCATCAAAATCGTTGACCGCCTCATCCGTGTTCTCCTTCGCCAGCGTCTCGGTCTCTACCAGCGCGAAGAGGGTGGTGATGTGTTTTTCTAGGCGGGTGTTGTTGTTTGGCAATAGTGGCAGCAAGCCCTCCTCCTCCTTCCTCGTGGGTAATGATGATGTTGTTGTTGTTGTTGTAGAATCCGAAATCTTCAGGCTTTTTTCGACATCATCTTCCAAGCTTTGATGAGACTTCTCCTCCTCACCGAAGCTCTTCTTCTTTTGGGCCTCCTCGAGATAAGAATGGCGGGTGGGCTGTTTGGAAGGCAACCGATTCGCCCAAACGATGGCTCGACCATGCAACCGGCCGCTCTGCACGAACTTCTGAAATCCCTTTTCCAAGCCGAGCTGACGGCCTTCGGTGCGGCCGGCTTTGACGCCGTCGGATACGCCTTGGACGTAGCCTTGTTGGTAGAAATCTTCTTCGAGGTTGAGGAGGGAGTCGAAGTCGAAGGGATCATCGCTTTGTGGTTGGCGTGTTTGTGCTGCCATTTTGATGGTGGAATTTGTGTGTCACAAGAATTGGCTGGTTTCGGTATGTGACTTGGCAAAGCTGATTGTTCGAAGGGATTCGTATTTGACTGACTTGAGTCAACTTCGTGTTGGTCAAAAAGGGTACGTGTTGAGGTTGTTGACGATATGGTGATGAAGGAACAATGAGAAGTTTTAGTGGGGTGAATGAGTCCTGGTGGGGCGAAATTTTGTCATTCTGGGGGATCTTTGGCTTTGTAAGCCGCTGTTTGGGAGAACCTCGAGCAATGTGAAGACGGCAAGATCTCAATCGGAAAGTGATGAAGATTTTGAATACTTTCACTGATGACTCAGGCTCCATTGAATGGTTGTCATTATGTTTTTATTGCTTTGATACAACTGTGCGTGAGTTGTTGAGTACTGATCACCAACAGCTACCTTATACAGCCGCAAGTAAACAAACCCCTAATCACCCAAGAATGTCCAAAAACGCTCCAGACGCCATCTCCCCATAGTGCATGCCATTCGCTTTTGAAACAAACAAAACAACTTCCAACTACTACCCATCCCTACCCATCAGTACTTCCTCTCCTTAGGCAATTTCTTAACCGTCATACTCTCCACATCCTTAGCATCATAATAATGCCCACCAAACTCCGTCAACCATTTCGGATCAATCGGTATAACACTCCTGACAAACTCCTTCGTCGTCACCACCAGCTCATGATAAATGATCACCTTTGGCGGGGGATCCATCCCCTTGACCACCGAACTTGGGTGCACATACACCGTCATGTTATTCTTCAGCGTCCTGTATCCGTCTCCGCCTCTGTTGAGCCTGGCGGCGTTGAGGAAGAAGGCTGCTGTGAGCGCCCGTAGGATGGGCTGCATGTTCGAAACACCGCCGCAGGTGGATGTTGACCCTTCGAGCACGCGATCGCACAACTTGGCGAGCTGGTCGCGCACGTCACGGGCGCGGGTCAGCGAGCGCTGGGTGAGGAAGTTCTCCTTGGCCCAGATGGGGGAGTAATCAGCGTCGACCCACTGGTTGTAGACGTTCAGGAGCGTCAAGTGGTCGCCGCCGTCTTTGACGGTGAAGCGGGCGCGCGCGCTGTCGGCGTGCACCTTCTTGTCCTTGGGGCGGAAGAACAAGGTGGCAACCTCGCCGAGCATGGACACGATGGTGAGCATCTCGTCGACGCAGCCCTCGGCCGTGGCGGCGATGAGCGCCTTGGCCAGCATGGGTTCCGTGGGGAACTCGCCCATTTGGCGGCCGACGCGGGTGAGTTGGCCGGCGGAGTTGAGGGCTCCCAAGGCGTAGAGCATGTTGAGGGACTTGATGAGGAGCTCGGTTGGTGGAGGGTCGAGGAAGTCGAAACCCAAAAGATCTTCAATACCGAGGGCTTTGAGTTGGAGGACGACGCTGGATAGCGAGGTTCGTTGGATTTCGGGCGTGGGTGACTCGTCCATTTCGGAGAGGTAGGCGAACTTGGTGTAAAGACGGAAGCATTTGCCTGGACGGACACGACCGGCACGACCCATACGCTGGTTCGCGGCGGCCCGTGAGCATGGTACTACGGCGAGCGTGGACTGTCCAGTTGTGCCGACGGGACTGAAGGTGTTCTCCTTGACGTAGCCACAGTCGATGACATACACAATACCGTCAATGGTAAGGGATGTCTCGGCAATGTTCGTTGAGAAAACGACCTTTCTAGCCCCTGGTGGTGTCGGCTCGAAAATCTTGGCCTGCAGTTCCGAGGGCATGTTGGCGTAAATGGGTAGAGGTATGATTTCGGGTACTCGACTACCCAGTTTCCTCTTGATCTCTTCTACTCGCTCGCACGCTTTGTCAATTTCTTCCTGACCAGTAAGGAAGACCAGAATACCGCCCTCTGGTTGTGTAGCATGAATTTGGAAAACTGTCACCAAACTAGCTTCCAGGTAGTTGCTTTCTGGTGCAGAAGTGTAGTATACGTCGACCGGGTGGACACGCCCGGGAACGTTGAAAATGGGTGCATCATCAAAGTACGTGCTGAACTTCTCGGCGTTAAGTGTAGCAGATGAAATGATGAGCTTCAGATCCGGCCTCGCCCTAGTGAGATCCTTGATGAGAGCTAGTAGAATATCGGTAGAGACTGTTCTCTCGTGGGCTTCGTCGATCATGATGGCCGAATAGCCCTCCAGTGTTGGCGACGTAACCATTTCTCTCAGAAGCATACCATCAGTCATATACTTGAGAATGGTCTTGTCGCTTGTGCAGTCCTCGAAACGGATCGAGTAACCGACTTCCCTTCCAACCTTGACTCCCATTTCATCAGCCACACGAGCGGCAACACTCATGGCAGCAACACGACGCGGCTGCGTACAGGCAACCTTCATGCCGCCCTCGGTAAATCCAGCCTCGTGAAGATATTGGGGTATTTGTGTGGTCTTTCCCGAACCCGTCTCACCAACAAGGATAAGAACTTGGTACTCCTTGATCGCATCCAGAAAAGCGTCCCGGTAAGCATATACGGGCAAACTCTTGCGCACTTCTTGTATCGACTTGGCCGCCCTCTCGGCCGCCTCGATCTTCTCCTTCAATATCCTCTGCTCCGGCGTTAACCCGTCGGTCGGTTGGATGAACTTGGCCGCGGCATCACGGACAAAGTTGATGGCATCCTCGTCCAGCAAGAAGTCGTATTCTCCCCCGTCTTCGCGCTCGCCTCGCGATGCGATTTGCGCCTTGGCCTTGACAGTCTGCTCGCGCTCCCATTCGTCGTATTCGGTAATCATCTTTTCGTTACCGTACTCGTCTCTCTCGACGTGGCGCTGGTATAGAGCCTCCTCTTTCTTCTTGGTGTCGGTGCCATATTGGTCTGGTAGGCGGTAGCCGTCTTGGTAGTCGTCAATGCGTGCTCGCTCCTCGGCCAGGCGTAGAATCTCCCGGTTTCTTGCAAATTCGGCCTTTTCCTTTTCAGACAGACGAACACCAGATCGCAACTCGGCGGTTTCCTCGGCGACTTGTTTTCGTAGGAGGGCGAGCTTCTCTGCCTCTCTCTTCTTGAGGTAGTCGTATCGGGACTTGAGTCTTAGGTCTGAGATCTTTGGGTCTTCGCGTTCACGTCTCGAGTCTGATCGGCTGTCATCTTTGCGTGGTGATGGCGAGCGGGAGCGGCGTCGGGTTGAATCGTCGTCATCGTGTCGCCTGCTCTTGTGTCGGCGCGGAGACGTGGATCGGTCGCGGGACCTGTCGCGTTTCCTGTCCCTTTTGCTGTCTCTGTCCCTGTCTTTCCTGTCGCTCTTCGAGGGAGCAGCAGGCTCGTCGTCCATGGGGACGAAGGCATATCGTTTAGAAGCCATTGTGTGTTTGTTCGGCCAACTGCGACAGTGGCTCTGTGTTTGTTTGACCAAATTTGGTTGGTGATGGATGGGAGGCAACAGAGAACCTTGGATGGTGCATCACTGCACTGTCGAAGCACTGGAATCCTTATCTTATCGGCCTGTTGCAGTGTCTCGCCCCGCTAGCCTCAGCTTGGGTTATGCATGTGCTTCAGCGACCGGGGTCTTTCCTTCGGGCATCCAATCAGCTAACACGCTTTGTTGTAGCGACAAGGTGGCATCTTCCCCGATTGACCTAGACCCGAGGCTGCTGCTGTTCATCGCGAATGTACAAGTGGAATCTTCCGTCCCAGGTACTTTTTGGCCTCGACAATTCCCATCTTGACACCTTATCGCAGTCACCACGTCACCGACGTGGAATGGCCCTCGACTCTCCAAGATTCTAGTCGTTCTTTACTTGATCTTACTTGGTTCTCTCTTAATCTACCTTGTTACGGACACTGTTTCTACTCCAACACACAGCAACAGAGTTCACCATGTGGTTCAAGAAGGGAGCCTTGCTGGCTCTCTTAACACTTGCGCAATTTGCGCTCGGTATTGAGGATTACTACAAGGTCCTCGGTATCAACAAGCAAGCGTCCGACAAGCAGATCAAGTCGGCCTACCGCCAGCTCTCCAAGAAATACCATCCCGACAAGAACCCGTGCGTTCCCTATCTCTGCCTCTTTACCTTTCCCCTCCAATGGCCGCCTACTAACCTGACCATTCAACAGAGGCGACTCAACAGCCCACGACAAGTTCGTCGAAGTCTCGGAAGCCTACGAAGCCCTCATCGACCCCGAATCCCGCAAGATCTACGACCAATACGGTCACGAAGGCCTCAAGCAGCGCCAGCAAGGCGGCGGCCAACAACATCACGACCCCTTCGATCTCTTCTCCCGCTTCTTCGGCGGCGGCGGCCACTTTGGCAACCAGCCTGGCCAGCGACGCGGTCCCAACGTCGAGCTCAAGGTCGGCATCTCCCTCAGCGACTTCTACAACGGGCGCACGACCGAGTTTCAATGGGACAAGCAACAGATTTGCGAGGAGTGCGAGGGCACGGGAGCGGCGGATAAGCATGTTGATACCTGCGATGCCTGTGGTGGACACGGTATTCGGATTGTTAGACACCAGCTGGCGCCGGGCATGATCCAGCAGATGCAGGTGCAGTGCGATAAGTGCGGTGGACGGGGCAAGAGCATAAAGCACAAGTGCCCCGTGTGCCAGGGCACGAGGGTGGTGCGGAAGATGACTACGGTTGGACTGAATGTTGAGCGTGGTATGGCCGAAGGGTCAAGGATCGTATACGAGAACGAGGCGGATGAGAGCCCGGATTACGTTGCCGGTGATTTGATCGTTACGGTCGTGGAGAAGGAGCCAAGTCTGAACCCTGAGGAAGACAACCCGGATCATCTCGACGGTATCTTCTTTAGGAGGAAGGGCGACGATTTGTTCTGGAAAGAGATTATCAGCCTCAGGGAGGCCTGGATGGGTGACTGGACGAGAAACATTACACATCTTGATGGACATGTGGTTAGGCTGGGGAGGAAACGCGGCGAGGTTGTGCAGCCAGGTCATGTCGATACGATACCAGGCGAGGGCATGCCCAAGTGGCATGAAGACGGAGACAGCGTTTACCACAAGACGGAGTACGGAAACCTTTACGTCGAGTATACAGTGGTACTACCAGACCAAATGGAAAGCGGCATGGAGAAGGAGTTCTGGGCGTTATGGGAGAAGTGGAGGGGAAAGATTGGAGTTGATCTACACAAGGACAGTGGGAGGCCTGAGCAGCCAGTGATTCATGATCATGATCATGAGGGGCACGAGCATGAGGAGTTATAGAGGAGGCGGGTTGATTTTATACAAGGGTTATGGACCGACTACATGATACACGTTAATAGAGATCTAATGCCACAGGCTTCGACTTGAGCTTGTACTCAATGGATGTCTGATGTTTTGAAATGCCAACAATCCATTATTTACCTCTAGACTCTTCAGGTTAAGCAATGCGCATATTACATTCGCCTGCAAGACATTGATCGATGCGATGAAAGGAGTGCCATCTTGTCATTAAACGTAACGTCAACATCTGGCCAAGAACGCACCACTTTAAGTTTTACTGGCATGATGTCCGGTGCGTATCAAATCACCACCCGTTGGATTTGACATCCAGCTGTTTGGATATTTCAGGGGTATCTCAGGGGCAACCACCCGGGAGCTTGGGCCAATACGCGGGACGGAGGACGGGGCGGCGCACCTCCACGGGGGCGGAATGTCAAACTGTGTGGGACAGCGGTGTAGCTGGAGACCCGCCGCCACTGCCCACTGAGGTGTTCGTCCACTGTTCGCCAAGACGTTCCAGTTCCAGCCCAAGCTTGCCATTGAGGTGGGTGGTACAGCACTGCAATGCCCACTCTCCTTATCTGTCTGTTTACACGCGTGGGATAGCGTGGTCGTGCTACCTTAGAAGAAAGTTGTTGAGTTGGACCCTGAATTTCCAATTTCACCATCTCTCTTCTCCTACATACACCTTCTTTTCCAATTCTTTGTTTGCTGTGTGGAAAAGCTGGGCTTGTATCTCTTGGGAACTTTCACGAATATCTTTCCTCCTCCCACGAGTTCCGAAGCTGTACAACGAGCACATATCTCGGTCATGGCCGCCTCCGCAGTAACGACGGCCACGACGGACTCGTCGGCCAAGCAAAGGAAACAACAGAATGGAAAGCTAGACACCACCTCCTCCTCCGCCAGTGCCGGCGCTGCGGACCAGAATGATGCCCTCGAGAAGGACTTCTTCTGGACTTACACCGAGGAGCCGCACCGGACACGTCGTATGGCCATTATCAAGGCGCATCCAGAGGTATGTTATCTTGATATCCAGTCATGCCGTCTCCAAGATGTCTTTGAGATCTTATACTGACCGTATGGTATGCATGTTCAACAGGTCACCAAGCTCTGCGGTCCCGAACCGCTAACGAAATGGGTCGTCCTGGGCGTCGTCTCGCTCCAATTCCTCCTCGCCCACCTCCTGCGCGACACCTCCTTCTTCTCGTGGAAGTTCTGGCTCACAGCCTACGTCTTCGGCGCCACCTGCAACCAGAACCTCTTCCTGGCCATCCACGAGATCTCCCACAACCTGGCCTTCCGCTCGCCTACCGCCAACAGGCTGTTCGCCATTGTCGCCAACTTGCCTATTGCCGTTCCGTATAGTGCTTCTTTCCGGGTACGTCTTCTCTTTCCCTTCCCCTCGTCCCCCCTCCCTCGGCCAACAAGAGCTAACAGAAGTTACACAAAAACAGCCCTACCACCTAACCCACCACAAATCCCTCGGCGTCGACGGTCTCGACACCGACCTGCCCACCGCCTTCGAAGCGCTTTTCCTCGACTCCATCCTCGGCAAAGCCTTCTTCTGCACCTTCCAGATCTTCTTCTACGCCCTTCGGCCCATGGCCGTCTACCGCGTCCCTTTCACCTGGGTGCACTGGCTCAACCTTTCCATCCAGTTAGCGTTCGACTACTCCCTCATTTTCCTGCTCCCAGACTCGCTCTTCACCGCCAACTCCGTCCTCTACTTTTTACTCAGCTCCTTCCTCGCCGGCAGCCTGCACCCCACCGCCGGCCACTTCATCGCCGAACACTACGTCTACGAGAAAATCACGCCCGAAGCCCGCAACCCCGATAACCGCATCCCGGTCCCCGAGACTTTTTCCTACTACGGCCCGCTGAACTGGGTCACGTACAACGTCGGCTTGCACAACGAACATCACGATTTCCCTGCGATCCCCTGGACGCGGCTGCCGAAGCTGTACGAGATTGCGTCCGAGTTCTACGAGGGGCTGCCGCAGCATCGGAGCTGGACGTACGTGATTTGGCAGTTCATCTTTGATGAGGCGATTGGGATGCGGTGCAGGGTTAAGAGGAAGGTTGGTGGACGGGTTGTGGGGGGTGGGAATGTGAGTGCTGCGAAGACACAACCCCAAGCGAAGGAGGCCGGGTGGGGGGATGATGAGATTGAGGCTTAGACTTGAGGATAGAGTCTAAGACTAGAAAGATAGAGTCAGTAGAGCATTGTATATGTAGTAACGTGAATGAACATAAAGACGGGTTGTTGGCTCCTCAAAACCAAAGACGTGGGTGGGAATGGTTGGGTTGGGTTGGACTTAATGGGCTCGGAATAATCAATCGATTGCAGGAAACTGGAAAAGCAAGCGAGCAAAAAGTTCAAAAGCATAGACATACATACATACATTAATGAGCATGATACGAACAAAAGAGAGAGCCTACTGTCCCTACCTACCATCACCATATCTATGCTAAATAGAAAAGAAGCTACTTTCACATCCCACTTACCTATCCGTCGTTGCCCGTTGCCCAAGCGTGCCAAGTGGAAGCTATGACATCCCCAAAGCGGTCCTGATAAATCTACTGTATTCTCTAGTTAAATCTACGGCCCCCACATACACCAGCCCCATCACGTGCCCATATCTCCATGTTCTAAGATGTCAGTCCCATACAAATCTACTGCAAATCGACATACAAGTACCATCGTCACTAAAATAAACGAAATTAAGGGTATTCAAATAATAAAAACCAATGTAATTATACGTATATAAATACTAAGTACTATCAAATCACTAGATTATTACTAGTGCCACCCTTAAGTACCCTAGTTATAAGGGTTATAAGGGTGCCTTCGCTAAACTTAATTCTAAGCAGATAATTATACCAGAAGACTCTAATACACTATCTAATACACAGTTAATACAAGAGGCGCCCCTATATACTACTACTACCTCTATAAAAGCATCATGGATACTTAGTATAGGGGCTAAAAGCTAAAGCCTTACTATTAAATTAAAAGAAGTACCTAACTGCCTTACTACTATAACGATAGGGGCACCCAACTGCCCTAGTTCTATAACTACTATATACTCGAAGGCTACGCCGCCCTCGTTATTAAATTTCTCTCCAATTACATCTAGTACTATAAGAAATTCTAGAAGTTCTACAATAAAGAGGGGGCTATATCTTTAAAACCCTATATTTCTGCCTACATCTAAATAACTGCTTAGGTGGTTATTATCCTCTTTACCTTCTTTGATAGCTGTAAAAGCTCATTGTAAAAAAGATTGTAGCGTACGTTCGCGGACGAAATAATGGGTAAATAGGCAGCTACAAGTACAATTTAAACGCTATTAATCACTTACCCTTATACTTAAAAATCCTACTACTTCTTATTAAATATAGGGTTTAGATCCTATTCCCTGCGTATACAAAAGAACGCCTCTAATAATAACTATAAAGAATAGAAATTAATACGAACTATTTACAACATAAATTAATGTAGAAAATAACCCTCGAAGACTTACTTAATTAAATTTTAACCGCTAATAACAATCCAACTCTTCCAAAGTAAGCGCCTTATCGACTCGTAATAACATTAATATCTCGTACTAACAAAGCAAACCAAACTCCACTCTAAAACAGCCGCTACACTCTATAATCCGCCGCTTATTAGCAATAACCTCCAATATCAAATCCAACTACCTGTTATGAGTCTACTGGGTGTGCACGGTAGTAGGGGTGGAATAGAGCTTAAGATTGTTAATAAAGGGGAAGAAGTCCTGGAAAGCTCGGGTGGGCTTGGAAGAATACCTATATACTAGAAGCTTGGCTAATTAGAGGGTAGGCGAGTAAACGGGTTTATAGGCCTTGCCAAAGTCCAGAAGCCTGGCCTCCAAACATTTGGAGCTAGGTATAACCTCCGGGCACTAACCCATTATATTACCCCCCAACTCCCCCTTACGTATAAATGAAAATTATTATATATAAAGAAATCCCTAGAATTTAATAAGCGGCCTCCTATTTGCGCTGTAGAAATGCTCCCAAATATTCCTAAACCGAATATTCGTACAAATGACTAGAAAATAAATAAATAAAATAATATTATTTATAGCCTCTATTATAAATACTAAGCCCCTAAGGACTATTAATTTCAATATTTATATTATACGCGTACGCGGGCGCTAAAGCAAAGGAGCAACTCCTCCTCTATGTATATTCCCAAATTACTATATATAACCTAACTTATTTATCCGTATAAACCCTCGCCCTATTTATTTTATTATAATCTATATAATAAAGCATTATAACGAGGAATCCCCTATTTAAGTAAAGTATTTCTATAACCCTCCTTCTTATAGGTACGATAGTGAAGCTTTAATATAATCTTAATATAATTTCTACTGTTTATATTTATAGAATAATATAATATAGCCTTCCTTTACAATAGTTAAGCCTATATAATTATAGCCTATTATACTCTAATATTAATGTTAATAGAGGCTATTGTTAGAAGTATTATAATAGCCATTAATAACGAAGTATTTCTAAGCCGATTCTTAATATTTCCGGTTCTGTAGAAATAGATGTTAGCTCTATATTTAATCGTCGTTATTATAAATTTCGTTATTATCCGAATCCTTAACCGGTTTAAAGGTAATATTCTATAGCTGTATAGCGGCTTTACCCTTATTCTTATTTACGGGGTATTCCCTTACCTAGTATTATGAAGATCCGTAGCCAATATAGCGGTTTTCCTTTTTCTATTATTATTATTATTCGAGGGTAATCCCAATGCCCAGCCCGGCTCTAGAGCGATTACTTTATTTTATAGCCCTTATCGATATTTTTATAGCACTGATTTATATAGGATCCCTAGCATTTATTAAAGTTATAGAGCCTCTCCCCAAATAATTATTTCTATTAAAGCGTTGGAAGAATTCTAAATATTCTATAAAGAGGCTAGGGATATCTATCCTTTCCTATAATCGGGCCTTCTATTCGTTATTAAAATTACTTTCGAAAATAGTAATTTTAGTATCGTTTAGCCACTTTGTAACGCCGCTTTTATAGAGTATATTCTTGTAGCAAAGGAGGTATTTCGTTATTGTTTCCTTAGAACCTTATAGAAAGTCGATAAGTTTTAAACCTACGCGTTTGTTTATAGCGGGGTTATTGTAATCGAAGCGAACTTTCTATAAAATTCGGTCGGGCGAGCGGTTAGAGGGTTATTTTATAAAGGGAAGTAAATTAATTTTAATAGAGAGCGAAAGGTTAGAGAAAAGGTAGTAGAACTAGGCCTTTAAATCGCTAATAATTTAGCTGTTAATATATAATTTAATTTCAACGCTATAAATCTACGCGTTGACTTCTTTAATAGTCCTCGTAAATTTATTAAAATAGGGGAGAACGGGCTTCGGGGTTATAAATTTAACGGTAGCGAATTCGGTAACGGAGGTGGAGATTATAACGGTGAATTACTATTAGCGTTTAGCAGCGTTTTAGGCCTAGGGGATAGAAGCTATAGTTATAAAGGAGTAAAGAAGTAAAAGAAGCGGTATAGTATTTCTATAAATACGAAGAAAAATGAAGGGTTGTATAAACGGTCGAGAAAGAAGAGTTCTTCAGGTAGACGAGTAAAAAGGTTTAGAGGGTAATAGATTAAAAAAGAGGGTTAATAATATATTACGGGTCTACTAGGTATATATAGTAGTAGGGGTAGAATAGAGCTTAAGATTGTTAATAAAGGGGAAGAAGTCTTAGAAAGCCCAAGCGGGCCTAGAAGGATACTTATATACTGGAAGCCTGGCCAATTAAGGGGTAGGCGAGTAAGCGGGTTTGTAGGCCCTGCCAAGGTCTAGAAGCCTAGCTTCTAAATGTCTGGAGCCAGGTATAACCTCCGGGCGCCAGCCCATTACACTACCCTTTTATCAAATCGAACCCCACAAAACTAATAAAATACTATAGATATTGAAAAATACTATAAAAATATTAATTAACACTCTTAAAAATCTATATCGCATAATTCGCACAATATTTCTCCTACAAGTGGCTAAAAGTCTCCTTAATAATATTAAACAACTAATTAAAATATATATAATGGTTCTTAAACAAAGCTTTCAATACGCCGTACGTACCCTCTATACGGGAGGTAATTCTAATACTGAAATTATAATACGTTTTAATAACGAATTAGTAAAATTCGTACCTTATAAAGATATATATATTAAGAAAGTATATAATAATATTTATAAAAGAGAGGGGGAATTAATTAATCCGAACCTATTATCTATTATTTCATATAATAATAGATAACTCACCGTTCTAATTAGAGAACTCGCTCTTAAAAATCCTCCACTCCTCCCAAAACCTCTCCTTTATATTAGAATAAATAATAACATTCCAAGCCGCCAAAATACCATCAACATTATCCAACCACACCCTCTTATTAAGATTCTTAATAGGATCGTCCTTTAGAATTTGCCCGCTACGTAATTAAAACTGAGAATTCCTCACAAAATTACCCAAATAATAAGTGCAATCGCTATTATTAAGGAACTTCACTGCAATTTACTAAGAGACCTCACAACTTTCCTTATTGTATAAATAATTACCGTCGCTACCCCGCTCTCCAAGCGCTATACCTTCGAAAGAACCAACCTACTTCTTCTTAATATTAAAAACTACATTCTTCATAACGTACCACAAGCAAATTCAATACTAAATAACATTACCAAAAACCTATTATATAGCCTTCTTATATACTTTATTAAAGTCAGTAATAATAATGTTAGGGAGGGGGATTCCTTTAGTAATAAAAAGGTCTTGAAATTATATAAGAATTCACAAAAAGTAACCCTCCCTCTCCTTATTCAATAAACAGTAACCGATATTAAAAGTAATATATATAATAATAACCCCGCAAATTTAAAGGAAAAATATATTAAATTTATTAACCTTATACGTATAGTCTCTACTCTAAACCTTTAAATTCTTCCTCAACTACTCCACGTACCAATTGTACATCTAAAAGACGCAATTGATAAAACTATGAACGCGCCTACTATTATAATAAAATTCGTAAATAACCCCTTCCTTAATTACCAAAGCGTTAATAAATTACTAAATAAATATTAATTTACTAGCAATGTTCGTTTTATCTCCCCGCAATATATTAAAAACGTTATACCCTACTAATTTAATACTAAAGAACTTATTACGGAAGGTAAAGGCAATATTTAACGCAAACGTTTTTAATTATTTTAATAAGTAAACGATACTAACGGTAATATCCTCCGTACAATTAAAGCGACGGTTAATAACAAAGTAGCTAGTGACCTCGACGTCAAAGAAATAGCAATAGTCTAAGCAAAGAAGAATAAAAGACCAACGATCGGTTTTAATATTCAACGTAGCCTTAATTTACTATTTACAATCCTTCTTACTAATCTTACTTAATAAACGAAACTTTATTATTAGATTTAAATTCTTACTACCGCTACCCAACTTCGTGCCCTCTAAACACTCGAAATCATACCGTAATAGCTTGCTCAAATAATAATTAAATACCTGCCTCTTTATCAAAGCAAAGCTAATTACCCGCGCTGCCTTCTTCGCATTAAGAAGGAGGGTATTAAAAGTAGGCTACATATAGTCATCGAATTTATCGAAAGGATATGGCTCTAGCGTAAGCAACAACTCTACGCCTTTAAAGGAAACAGCCTTATCTTCAGCCTCCTTCTTTAATATAATAAGAGGGAAGGGGAAGGGAGCTTCGTATTTAACAACAAAAATAATCTCAATCGAAGGCGCTAAGCTAAGCGCACGGGCCTCCTCTAGGGAGCTAATAAAATCGATAATTTTAAGTATTTATATAAAGAATCAATATATAGGACAAACGGCTAGTTAATGCTCTCCACCTCTTAATACTACATAATTTACAATAGCAATAATACTAGCGATGGCGATAGCTTCAATTTACTAACTTAAATTACAGAGATTTATACGATACGACGTTACGACGGCGAGGATTGTTAGCGACAATATCAATCGATATCGCTGACCGCTAAATTTTGGTGTGGCTGACATGGCTGAGCATGTGTCAGCATGTGGGGGCCGTAGATTTAACCAGAGAACACAGTAGATTTATCAGGACCGCCCCAAAGCTCCGGTCATTCAGATAAGATACCACGTCTACTCCACCATCCAAGATGACCCATGTCACCCTTCACCACGGCCACCACGGTCCACCACCACCAAAAATTCACAAGACCAAAAAAAAAAACTGTGCAAAAAAAAGAGAAACTTCAGAAACTGAAGATTTCGAAATCTCGATCCACCCAGGGGTCGAACCTGGAACCTCCTGATTCGTAGTCAGACGCTCTGCCATTGAGCCAGCGGACCTTTACCTGTTGAAAGACTACCATCATTCCTTTACTCATGAGGGCCACAAGGATAATGGGCCTCCTCCAGTGAAGAACATGAAGATGTACATGAAAATTAGAATAATGCATTCATCTGCCTTCCTATCTATCTGTTTGTTTGATATACCATGTGATACTAATAATAAGGACAAAACGATGATGCTGCTGCTGCTGCCCCGTGTACCCAACCAACCAACCCAGAAGAAAACCCAACCCAACCCATATTGTACCAAGGTGAGGACGAAGAAAGACAAAACCATGAAAGCCATACCACTAGTGACCCTTGATTCCATGCGTTTCATGCTCGTGTGACAATAATAAGAAAGGAGAGGGGAAGGACCTTAAATTCGTCTTGCCCAAACGGAAACTGTAATATCGTTTCCTACCAAACTCGAGACTCATTCAGAGCTCGACAGTGTAGCTCAACCAAGCCAAAACAGCCATACTTCGTTCATTCCGCATATCTATCAACTATAATCGTTTTCGACATTGAAAGCGAGGCTCGTTGCCTTTCCTTACGCTTAGTGCTTCTTGTATTTCTGTTGTCACACATCATCGTTAGCATTTTATCCCCCAGTTCACAAGGTAACAACAGAAAGGATAAACTCACAGCCTCGATCCTCCTCCGATGATTCGGATCCAACGCATTCGTCGCACCCAACAACGTCTGCCCAATCGCCTTGCTCACCCCGATCGCCGGCCTAAATAAAATCGTCGGCGCCTGCATTAGCACCGCCTTTGCCGCTCCCTGGGCGCTCGAGCTCTCCATCACTTCAGTGGGCACCGCGATTATCGCGTCTCTGGCAATCGCAATATCCCGAGACAAGCTGGCGTAGGCGCCACGCATGCCTTGCATGATTCCTAACGGTTGGTCGGCGTAGAGACTGATTGCCTTGGGTGTGTGACGGTCGTCTCCAAAGTCCTCTTCGTCCCAGACTTCGTGGTCTACTCCGGCTGGTACGACGGCGGAGGACGAGGATGGCCCGGCGTGGTTGTAGTTGGGTGGGCTCTTGGCTAGCATGCCTTCGGCGCCTTGAAGGGCGTATTGAGTGCCAATGGCGAGTTTGGCGCCTAGCTTGACGACTTCTGTGCCAGTAGTCTTTGCGAACGCTGTAGCTCCTTTACCTATGCTGCGGAAGATTCGACCGTCCTTCTTGTACTCCCGGATGGGAATCTCGATGAGGTCCTTGAAGCCCGAGCCGGCATTAACGAGCGAGCGGACGGGCGCCACGCCGGCTAGAACGCCAGGGAGCTGAGTCGCCTTGACGTCGGCGGTCCAGATGTCGTTGAGCTTCTTGCCCAGCTTGTCGAACCCGGAGACGCCGTACAGTATAACATGTCTCAGCACCAGCCTGGAATCCTCGAGGATAACAAAGTTCATAAACTCTGTCGTGTGACCAGACCTCAGCCCGGCATAATCCACTCGCTTCGGCTTGAAATCTAACCGCACCGGAACATCACCGACCTCGCAGCGCTGGATAAACGGCACATCACTAGATGACTGATGAATAGGCTGCGTCTCATCCTTGAACTCAAAGAACCTCGTGATAAAGTCCAAAGCGTCCTGGTCGACATGGAGTCTCAGTGGAAGGATGTTAACCTTAACCACGAGCTCCGTAGCCGGCAAATCCGGGACAGGCTTAACGTTGAGAACCTCGAGATGGACCATGTGCTTACTAAGCTCCCGTTCGCCTGCGTCGATGTCGTACATGGCGAACTTCTTCCATGTTGAAGTCCGGATGTGGTCGAAGACGTCCAAATCGTGGATGCGAACATCGATGGTGTTGATGGTCTCGTTGCCGGGGGGGAAGGTCACCACGTCGACGTTGACACCCTTCAGCTCGAACGTGATTTTGTGGTTCTTGCTGCGACTAAGCTTCAGCGTCTTTGACCGTGGCCGCGACTGACGGTGCCCTGAAGCGCGGGCAGTCGAGGTGGTGAATGCCGTGGTGGCGATGGACTCGGTTTCGGTTGTGGTGTCCTGGTACTGCAACTCCTGGTTTATAGCCCGTCTGAGGTTGCTTGGGTCCCCGTTGGGTCCCACCGCGATATATATCGAGTTGAACAAGCAGTCATCAACGACTGATGCTTCATCCCCTTCATCCTCATACGTGTGGCGGTCAGCTCGAGCCTTGCGTTCGTATGCCTTAGCCTCCACGTCTTGGACCGCCTTGGTGATGATCTCTCGGGTACGAACCCAGTCGTAACCATCATACAAATTCCAGATGACATGAACATCCCGAACGCAGATGACGAGAGGGCTCTTGGAGACCTTGGCATCACTCGACTGGTCGTACAAATTCTTCCTCGAGTTCCAGCGGAGCCTTGTGTTCTTGACTGGTTCAGAAGAGAAGTAATTCTCCTGAATATCCAAGTCACTCTCACTCTGGCTGCTGGCCGGAGGCTCATCAAGGTTTGCCGTGCTGACCAGCATGCCGTCATTCGTATTCTCCACCTCAATGTCGCCCAGGATCGAACTGTTCGTAGCATCGAATAGTTCCTCTGCGACACCGTACCCTTCTGACTGAACTTCGAGATGCTCCGTGCTTCCTATGCCATAGTAGTCATCATCATCTTCATTCCCGTACTCAATGCCTTGAGCACCCGCAAAGTCATTGTCAAAGTCATACTCGCCCTCTGCTCTGCCGAACGCATCATGGGTAATAGACGCGAACAGATCCTCAACAGGCAACACGGACGTCCTGTACTTGATCTCCTTGCTAGGGGGAGTAGGCGGTGTAAGCGCGTTGGCCAACGAGATGAGCGTCTGCGTCGAATCCGCGCAAGTCTCGAGAACGAGCAGGTCATCGCGGACAGACACCTCGACATGAGATTCACCATCGTCATCTTTGCCAACCTTGACGACAGCCTTTGCGGATGATATCTCGCAGATGCTGACGAATCCCTTGCTGCATAGTTCAAGAGCCTGGGGAGTGCTCATGGCGGGGGCGCGTCCTCGTGCATTGATCTGGATGTCTTGCAGGGTTTTCACATCGTCAACCAGGAGAATGCACGCCTTCTTCAAGGTTGCTGTAGCGTCAAGCGTGCTGTCCTTGCCCGGGATGGCTTCCAGATGCGAGTCCGCGAGTACGATAGCCAGCTTCGAAGGTTGTCCAAGAGGATTAAGGCCAATGACACAGTCGCGGAAGGCCACATCAAGCTTTATGGGCTTAAACTCCTTTTCCACCACAGGGCTCTCTGGCGTATCCTGTCTCCTCAGCGCAGCAGTCGCCTGACCTCCCAGGTTCGCAACAGAGGCAGCCAAGTTGGCCTCAAATTCCTCCGGAGTGGTGTCTTCCTGAACAAGCCCAAGCACATCCATGATTGTCGGTACTCGGTAATCCACGTTCAGCCCGAACAGCTTGATCTTTAACACCGGTTCGATATCGTCAATCATGCGCATCATCAGGACAGGCGCCTTCGAGGTACCCGGAGCATGGGCGGTGGACGTGCTAACCAGCTCCTCCTCGATCGGGGTTTTCTCGTTCCGGTTGACCGTAATACCGCCTGCTGCGACAGCCACCAACGACGGTACCGTGATCTGGGCGAGCTCAAGGTTTGTCAAACGCGCGTTAACAACTCCAAACCTGCCTCCAACATCAACTTCACAATCCACGTTTGTGACTTGCCCAAGCGTAAGCAGCCCAGGCCTGTCATCCTCGGGCAGATACTTTGCGACCGTCCCCAGCTTGGCAAGATCCTCCACCAAACTCGGGATACAATCAAGCAGAGCCAAGTTGCCCGCCCTCACTTTAACATTCTTAACATCCAACCCAAGAACTGCCCCCTTCCTCCTCTGCCTTAGCAGGGTATCCACCATAATCTCATCTTCGTCTTCATCGAACTTGACCTTTGAGGGAGTAATAAGCTCAAGAAGCCGTTCGAGATCCCTGGTCCGAGGCGTCACGATGTAGTCCAGCCTTGTACTATCCAACTCTAGTACGACTGGCGCCTTAGCATGGGAATTCCTCACGTGGGGCCCGGAGAGCCTGATCGTTTTGAGCACAGCGGCGATTGCTTCTTCGCGGTGTACTAGCTTGAGAGCGCTCGTGTTTAAGACTGCGCTGCAGTCGTTGCCGATCACGTCCACGTGCACGCCATTGATGCGCACATCAATCTTGCTCCCTGACCGCTTCTCCATAGGATCAATTGGGGCTTCGAATCGTACGCCGCGAGTCTTTTGTGGGGGTTTCGCTGGTTTTTGTACGGCCTTCGCTACCGAGTCCTCTGACGATCCCATGTTAAGGAAGCTGCTGAGTCCTCCAAACCAGCTGAAAGTCTCGTCTAGCCTCTGTAAATCGAGCTTCATGTAAAGAGGTAGTGTCTTGACATCAACCCGAGTCACATCGGATGTAATGGTGGCCCTGACTGCGATGTCCTTCCCAGCAGATAGCATATCAACAGTTGCTGTGGACTGGAACAGATCAGCCTCGCCAGTAAACGAGATGATGGCCTCATCGGCATAACCGAACGTGAACTTCTCGATGCCGACATTTACTTCAGTTTGCGATCCGGACTTCTGCGCAGAGGCATTGAAGTTCGTAAGACTGGCCTCAAGGAGGACATCCGAACCGAAATCGGGTTTTTGTGTCTCGTATATCCTCTTCGCGGAATCGGCCACACCAGCCAGCTTCTCCAGAAACTGTACCGTAACCTGCTCCAAAATAACCTTGATGTCAGGTATACCCGAATCATCCTTCGATGGTTCTGCCTTTGTAGCCTCCTCTGAAGATCCTTGAAATGCTTCCAGCAGCCGTGTAACAACCATAGCGAGCAGGAATCCCACTGACGAATCGAACCGCAATGTCAGAGGCTTGAGAACGACTTCGATGCTCTCATCGCGGCGATCTTCTTCTTCTGGGTCTTCCGGAGTTAGCAGCTTTAACTGATCCGTAGTACTACTGTGAAATGACTGGTAAACCGAAAACGCTCCTGGAAGGTTAGGATTCGACTTGGCAAGGTTGGTGACTGGTACCGGAACCTGCTTTCTCGTGGAAGGAACGTAGACGGATATCGAGTCCAATGATACGATCTCCTTGACCATCCTCGTAATCCCGCGTGGTGTGGAAGCATCTTCGTGATGTGGCTCGTCACCTTGGGTCGATTCGGGTGTAGGTTGGAGGCCAGCCAGTTCGGAGTCAACGCTGGGGGATGATTGGGGTTCGCCTGCAACCGGAGGAGGATGGGTGGTTGAGGAGTCTCGCTCAGTGGCTGACTCGTCGCCCCCTGAAGATTCAGAGTCCCAACCTCCTGGCATATTGCCTCCTGGCATCATCGTCGAACGAGCATCGGAAAAGGCGCTCATGTACATGCTCTCAGCCTCCTCATGGCTGTAGAGATGTGACTGTGCGAGGTCCTCTACGTCAGCGCTTGGCAGATCATCGTCCGACCGTACTGAACTGGCAGACGAAAGAGGCTCAGAGGAAGCCGGAGACACAGCACCAGAGGGCATATTCGGAGGTTGAAAACTTGTTGGAGGACAAAGAGAAGGTTCTGATCGAATCCCCCGCTCGTAGGACGACCAAAGTTCCGGTTGATGTTGCATGACAGCCGAGTTGGCATGGTCCTGGAGTATCGGCGTGTCATGTTCTTGGTAAATCGAGGCCCTCGGTGTTGAGAGAGGCGAAGATCCATCAACATTCTCTTGGCCCTCTGGATGCTGAATGTCGTCCTCATACGGGATATTCAGAGCATCTTCGCTATCTCGTACTGAGTACTGGCTCTGTGCAAGCATATCCAAGGCTTCCACCTGATCTGGGCTTATGCTCATATCTAGTCCCCCCACTGATGACTGCATCGAACCCGACATGTCACCAAGTGTTGACGGTACATCATGAGGTGCTGATCCCTGCGATTTCACCAAGGACTGTGCTGACTGGGTCGGTAGCAGAGAAGAGAATACGTTCGCTTCTGTGATTAGAAATGCCCGGAGATTGTCCAGGAGGATATGACGCTTGCCCTCCCTTGGTACTATCGCGGGAGAGCTATCTCGTTGTTGTTGTCCAGGCGCCGTGACTCCTTCCGCAATGACTTGGTCCAACGCCAGCTGGAAAGTAACGAGTTCTGTTGTCGAGAGACCCGGCTCGACGGGTACTTGCATGTCGAGTTGGAAGGTGACCTTGTGAATTCGGATCTGGACCCTGTCCAGGATACCCTGCAGAAAGTTGGTCAAGAAGGTTGGTAACGACAAGCCCTGACCGGTGCCAAAGGTAGCAAAGGAGCCATCGTCATCGGTTTCGGAGTCGGTCATGGACTCTGATAAGGCCTCCTGGGCCTCCTCGGCAAGGGCCTTCTCCAGCCGCCTCTGCTCGTCGGTCGGAACTGCTGTCTGCAGAAAAAACTGTGCTAGGTCGGCAGCAGTTGGCACAACTTCCTCGCCGTTTTTGGGTGTTTGTTCATCCTGCTCTTGCTTGGACGCCACGCGTACCCTGGCATCAACACCTTCAACCTCGACTATTATTGGACTGTTGTAGACATCGACCGGTATTGTGATGCGAAGTAGGAGGACTTTGGCTTTTTGGATCTTGAAAGTTGGGGGAAGTTTCGCGAGTGCTTCGAGTTTCTGTCATAACAGGTGGTTAGTATGACGAGAACACAAGGGCGAACAGGGGACGAAACATACGGATAGAATCAGTCCAACATCACGAAACTCTAGAACAGTATTTCGGCCAATAGCAAAGTTGAGGTTGTCTAGGTCAAGTGCCTGGGAGTCGAGGAGGTCTAGGCGTGCCAAGACGAAGCGAAGCAACTGCTTTGGTAGAAGCGAGTTGCGGAAGGACTGAAAGAAGTACATGGTGTCGTTCGTTCGTTATTAAGTTTAGTATCGTATGCGAGTTCTTGGGGAAGTCGTCGTGAAGGTATGGCGGGAGAGTGTTGTAAGTGGTAGTTCTAGGCAGAAGGGTATAAGTCTAGATGCCGAAGTCGGTCGGTTAACGGCACCCAACCTCTTCAAGACAGACTGAGATGAAGGGTACTGGATCACTGAAGAGCGGACAACAACCATCCAACAGGAAGCCGAGTAGCGGTATGGACGAGGTAGCGGAAGACGGGGAAGGTCATGATTGAACCGCGGGCATCGCTGAGTTGTATGTCTAACTAGTTGGTCATGGAGATATGTATAGAGGGCTGTGAGGAGGTGGTTGTGGTTGTGTTGTCTAGGAATAGTTCCGGTCTCTGTAAAGTCTAACGGTCGGTCGGTTGCCTTATCCGTTTGTTGATAAGATAACGCGAAGCCCGGGGCTGGTGACGTTCACGGGTGAGAAGTGGGAAGCCTGTAACTGGAGTCTGTTCGTTGTCGTTGTTTCAGAACACCGTGAACCGGGACCGATCCGACGGCGTGATCTGACACAGTCTGATGGGGGGAAAAGAAAGATGGGAAGCGTTACTAAAAGGCCGTGACTCAACTTGGGCCTACTGACTAAGGAAAGAGGTTGCAGGGAAAGAAGAAAGGTGATAATGGAAGGATGCGGTTGAAGAATGTGAATGTGATTGTGAATCAATGTGAACACCCAAAGGCGGCTATGTAGATAGAGAATGGAACATGCAATGCGCGGATGTCCAGGAGGAAGCCGTCAAGGTTGTTCGGTTAATTGATTGGCAGTGGTTGTACTTCCCAACTGAACTGAACCGCCTGGATCGCACGCTGTGTTCCAGTGTTCAAAGTCGTGAGGGGCAATGGGTGCACCACTAAAAATCCGGGCATCAACTGCATCAACCGGGCCGCCTCAACATGGGGGTTCTGTCATCGGCGTCCGAGGTGGTGCAAGCGCTGCCAGTAAGCGATCCCTTCCCTGGTACATAGAGGTGCGGAGTTCCATGTACTGGGGTCACTGCTTGGCAACCCCGTGACAGGCTCAAGGGGGTCAGTATCGCCAATCAGTTGACCTTTTTCCCTTCATTCAACCTCCAACACGGTCAACACCATGTGCTTATCGGTCACGGTGTAGCTTGGCCGCTCATCAGGGCCATCACACATTCGCTTCAGGTTATCGTAGAATGTCTTGATGCCATGTCTATCCCGCTGTTGGAGTGGCCAAGAACTTGTTTTGACTTCTTCTTCAACCGAGGAGGCTGGTCTGAGGGCCACGAAATCTGGGCTTCTTTTCCCCTACACTACCATGGTAGATCTCAGCTATCAGACATCCCGTAGATCCATCTCCGGTTCGTCCAGGCCTCTTCCTGGCCCCAAGTACTCAACTCCAGGTCAACAGGTGGAAATCACTGTCTGAACGCGCATCAACGGAAACACGTAAAAACTGAACACTGACGTCGCCATTACCAATGTCCAAACGTTCCACAGATTTGCGAATTGTCAGGTATCACTCAAAGTGCCCGGGTGTCACAAATTCGCAACGCCGCAACGCCATAAAACAGAGCATGACGATCTATCAGACCATATCTTTGTGTATCCGCCACCCGGAACGGTATCCCAACTTCCCGCCTCTGAATCCAAACAAACGCTATATGTAACCATAAACCACCATATCCCAAAACTCCCCGCCCGCTAAATCCTATCGCAAAACCTGACCATCCACTTCCCCCAACATCCTCATCCTCATCCTCATCCTACTGATCAAACAGCCGACTCCCTCCCCCCAGAAACACTCCTCCCATACCCCTCCGCAATCCGCCTCGCCACATCCTCACCACTCCAATACGCCCCCGTCACCGTCCCCAACGCCACAAAAGTCGCCGTATGTTCTCCCGCCATCCACACCCCCTCTTCGGGCACACCATGCCTCATAGCCAAAATGTCCTTATCCCCTTCTTGCAGCCCCACCTGGAAATTACAGTAGCTCCCGTTGCCCGCTAGGTCATCGTGCAGCCAGTCGGTGGCTAGATACCCGCTCGGTTGACAGTTGGGATCGGCGGGGTTGTAGGAGGGGAGGAGGGAGTAGTAGGGTTTGAAGAAGTCGTAGAGGAATTGTTGTTGTGCCGCTTCGTTTTGGTCGGAGCTGGTGCCGGAGCCGTTCTTATCGGCACCGGAACTGGAAGAAGAGGAAAGGGAGCGGACTTTGGAGGTCACGTACTCGGACTCGGCGCCGTAGATGTAGAAGAGCAGAGTCGGGTGGGCGACGGACGGGTCGGCGGAGCCGAGCTCGACGATCTCGTTGGTCCAGCGGGAGGGGTTGGTGGAGGAGGCGTAGGAGGGGGAGAGCCATTGGCAGAAACCTTTGACGGTGCGGTTGTTGTTGTTGGCGGCGTCGGGTTCGAGCCAGAAGGCCTTGGGGAAGGACATGTAGACTTTTTCGAGACAGCCGTAGCCGATGCTTTGGATGGCCGTGGTTAGGCGGGGAGGGAGAGGAGGGTGGAAGGCTTGCAGGTTTTGCTTGAGCCAGCCTAGGGGGGTGGTGAGGACGAGTTCGTCGAATTCGTAGAATTGGTTGTCGGTGGTCTTGACTTTGACCGTGTTGCTGCCTGTGTTGGATTTGCCAAAGATCTCTGCGACTCTGGTTTGGAGTTTGATATCTGCACCACCGTCGACGACTGGAGCTACGATCTTTTCCATGATTTTTCGGTAGGTCCCGGAGCAAAAGAGGTTTTCTGCTTCTTGTCAGTTTCATCCACGATTCGGGCCTGAGAAGTCCACATACCTCCGTCCAGGCACTCCTCCAGCCAAAAGAACTTTAGGCTCTGTTTCTCAACAGGACTGCCCACGAATGCGCCCCATAGTTCCGCCATCTGGAGGACAATCTCTCTTTTCCTTGCATAGTCCTCTTCTGTCTCCGGAATCTGCTCTACTACTTTCTCCCTGAAGAAATCCAGGAGTGACCTGCTGGTTTCGATCTCAGCACTGTGCTTGTCCGAGTACTGAAAAGCCTCCGCAATGGTATTCCACATTATCGTGGAATACCTCTCGCCATCCTTCGCTGGGAGCATATGCCCGTGCTCATCAAACACTGCTGCGTCGCCGTCCCAATTGGTCGTGATGGTGCCTGTCTCTTTGGCGAGTTGAAAGATGGAGTTTTCTTTTGTTCCGTGAATCCAATTCGCTCCCATGTCCACGAAATGCCCGTTGGGAAGCTTCTCTTGGTATATCCTCCCGCCAAGGCGATCTCTTGCCTCTAGAATGGTGACTTGGAATCCTAGCTCGAGTAGATAGCCGGCGCTCCGCAAACCCGCCATGCCTGCTCCCACAACGCCAACGTGTGGTTTCTTCGTAGGATTCATTGTGCCAGACTGGTATATACTGTAAGCATGCCTCGACTTCGCCATCTTATGGTCGGAGTGTCTTTACCTTGGAAGATGTGTTCATAATGCCGAATCGACTTGACAACTTGTCGAAGCTGAAACTCGAGACTGTGTGCAACCTGGAGGATTTCAGATCCTGATATATCCTCGAGGTGCTCTTATGGGAAGCACTAGCAACGGACATGGAATAAGCATCCATCTTGCAGTTTGACTAGATAAAGTGACAGGAAACCGGTCAAGCTCAGAGGATGTCAAAAATAATGTTGGAATGTTGAGGAGTGTCGTTGTGAAGACGGATGCAAGAGCTGTCTTTCAAAACCGAGCTCGATAGCCCGATGTCGATAAGTGTAAATAGTACGCCTTTGGCGGTGTGATATTGATAAGCGAACAGAGGAAGCGGTCAATGAAGGGGAATATATATAAAAGGCTTGACGATTCAGTATATCAAATACCATGCGTTGGCGAAAGAGCGACTTCATGGGATTTGGTCAACGCCAGTGATCCCTTGGATGAGTTTGACTGCCCATAATGTCCAACCGGAAGACAGCCGAACATTACCAAAAGGGGTACCTTGAAACCAGCTGATAAGAGCCTCGCTGAAATAGCCGAGACTTGGACAGCGTCATCCTACCTGTGTCCCGTGTGCACTACCATCGGCCCTTCACGATACCGCTTGGTACTGTATGCCAGATCCTGCGTTGCTTTGAGATTTGGTGACCAATCGAAGCTGATATCTGAAGCATGCCGTAAAAGTGACCGGATCAAACTCGAGCCGGTTGAAAGCGAGAGTTGGAGACATTGAGTGTGCTCAGCGTGACTAACACCTTGATGAACAATAAGGAGAAGCTAGTTGTCAACAACTTACAAGAGGCTAAACACACTGGCTGATGACCTTGAGGCAATAATCATGGGCTCGCCCGCAAGTCAAACCCAACAAGCTAGTGAACGGTAGTTCGACGTAACTAGAGCTCAAAATAAGTATGAGCGTGGCTTTGAAGCAAGGGGCAGGGTCTGGATTGTCGTAAAGAGATCCGCAACACTGTTTTTGTTTTGTTCTAGATCGTCAACTGGACAAGTTCAAGTCCTGTTTCTTTTTGGCGAACGTATGTCCTCGCAAGGTGGGGAATCCGATTCAATGAGGGGTTGCCTGTTGCCAACGGCCAGCAGCCAAATCGTCGTGCCTCTTTCCCTCGACGACAATCTTACACAGTAAACATGGGCAATAAACAACAGCACTTTGACAATCCGAGACCACACTTCAAAGTCAACATCTCAATTCCATACGCTCTGGGCCTCTTCAAAGCACTATCTCCTTGCTGAACTTTCCAGTCGAAAACCGTAACGAACACACGACCTTTGGCAGTGGAGCCGATAATGCTTGGCATCGAGCTGCCCCATTGGGGCCGCGATCCACGCTGCCAGGTGGTCATCTATGAAACTTGGCGCCATCTCCTCCTCTTCCAACACTCGAAGAAAATCCATCCACCAAGAAAGCAGAGTGACTGAAGAATATACCAAACTCAAATTCAAAACATCCAAGATTTGTTATAAAAATGTATTGACAAGTTCGATTGAGACAATGCTGTGGTCCTCTTCTCCAAACCGCCAGGGATACATCACATGCCGGAAGCTGGAGAAGGACAAGAGAAAGCAACCAATCATGATCAAGATATTGGAGATTGGAGACGTGGCCCCGTGCTCCCCACATTCCACAACCCCACGATCCAGCAAGCCGAGGCAGACCGATGGCCTCTCGTCCTGCGACTGGTCTTCTTGGAGCAACACCCGTTTTGGGCTGGGGAACCGAGAACCGAGCAGGCCGTCCATCATCAACCCCTGGTCTGCTCCAGGTGACGATGTTCCGCAGCCATCCGCCGTGTGTTGTAAAGTGTGTCTTTGTCTTGTTTCCATTTTGACCATCATCATCCTTCTCTTCCTCCTCCGGGTATAAGTAGACAAATCGTGTAATTCTTGTTGTTGTTTATAATCCTTCACATATATATACCCACCCATATACCCCAAAATGGCCAACGTACTAAACGTCCCCGACAAGACCTTCACCCGCGAGGAGGTCAAGAAGCACAACACCGAGGACAGCACGTGGTTCATCATCGACTCCGTCGTCTACGATGTCTCCGAGTTCCTCGACGCCCACCCCGGTGGTGAGGCCGTCCTCCGCCAGGTCGGCGGCACGGACGCCACCTCGGCCTTCTACAACCTCCACAGGCACGAGGTCCTGATCAAGTACAACGACCTGGCCATCGGGACCATCAAGGGCGAGAAGCAGTCCATCATCACCCCCCGGCCCGGCGACCTCTCCCCCGTGCCCTATGCCGAGCCCCTCTGGCTTACCCCCCAGTTCAAGAGCCCCTACTTCAACGACAGCCACCGCAGCCTCCAGAAGGCCATCCGCAAGTTCACCGATGAGGTGCTGGCGCCCGAGGCTCTCGAGAAGGAGCGCACCGGCGAGCTCATCAGCCAGGACCTGATCGACAAGATGTCCAAGGCCGGCATCCTGCACATGCGCATGGGCCCCGGCAAGCACCTGCACGGCGTCAACCTGCTCAACGGCGCCGTCAAGGGCGAGGAGTTCGACTACTTCCACGACATGATCATGGCGCAGGAGCAGGTGCGCGTGGCGTGCCGCGGCTTCCAGGACGGCAACATGGCCGGCATGGTCATCGGCCTGACGTGCATCCTCAACTACGGCGACAAGAACCCGGCCCTCAAAAAGCGCATCACCGAGGAGGTCTTTTCCGGCAAGAAGAAGATCTGCCTGGCCATCACCGAGGCCTTTGCGGGCTCCGACGTCGCCGGCCTGCGCACCACGGCCACCAAGACCCCCGACGGCAAGCACTACATCGTCAACGGCACCAAGAAGTGGATCACCAACGGTGTCTTCTCCGACTACTTCGTCACCGGCGTCAAGACCGACAAGGGTCTGTCCGTGCTCGTCATCGAGCGCGGCGAGGGCGTCGAGACCAAGCCCATCAAGACCTCGTACTCGCCCGCGGCCGGTACCACGTACATCACCTTCGACAACGTCAAGGTGCCCGTCGAGAACCTGCTTGGCGAGGAGAACAAGGGCATCTATGTCATCCTCTCCAACTTCAACCACGAGCGCTGGATGATGGCCTGCGCCACCATCCGCTACATGCGTCTCGTCGTCGAGGAGTCCCTCAAGTGGGCCCACCAGCGTCTTGTCTTTGGCAAGCGTCTAATCGATCAGCCCGTCATTCGCCAGAAGTTGGCCAAGATGATTGCCCTTTGCGAGGCTCACCAGTCTTGGCTTGAGACCATCACGTAAGCAGCTCCCTCCTCTATGAAAAAACAATCCTCCTTCTTTGTGTGTCCGTCTAACTAACCTGTAACAGCTACCAAATGAACCACATGCCCTACTCCGAACAAGCCAAGCACCTCGGCGGTCCCATCGCCCTTCTCAAGATGTCGTGCACCCGCGCCGCCCACGAGATCGCCGACGAGTCCGTGCAGATCTGGGGTGGTCGTGGCCTGACCCAGACGGGCATGGGTCGCGTCATCGAGAACTTCAACCGCGGCTACAAGTTCGATGCTATCCTTGGTGGTGCTGAGGAGGTCCTTGGTGATCTTGGTGTCAGGCAGGCTATGAAGTTTATGCCCAAGGCTGTCTTGTAAGCGGTTTGAAGGGAAATAGGAACAAAGTAAAAAGGGGAAAACAGGACAGGATAGGACAGGATATGATGGCGCCGCGGCTGGGAATGGACGGTGGGCGGTGTTGATGATATAGAACTATTGCATGAATAGCGTTCCAATTCTGTTGTGTTCACTACCATCATGACATTCTGGATACCCTTAGTCATTCAGCTAGTCTGCTTCCGCGTGTGACTTCTACCTTGGAGCTTGTCTCAGGTGTAGACTTCTGGTGTCGACTTCAATGTGAACTTGGTGTCCAGCCAAGGTCGGGTCTAGTTGAGAGATTGACGTGCCGACCAAGTCAAAGCCTCTCCAGAGCGAACAACTGGCAAACCATTAAGGTAACGTTGTTGAACTTCCAACTCTGGTATCACCATTCCTATCAAGCATCAGATTGTTACCAACAGTCACGTCACTCAAGGCAAAGGACTAGAATTTGTTTCATCATCGATGCATTACGCTCGCATCGCACACCACGGCCTTTCGGCGCTTTTTATTCGTTGACCTATGAGTCCCCATACGATTTTGCTTTCCCGTCAGATCTCGGATAATTATGATGTCCTCATGCCCGTTCAAAGTATGAAGATAGTTCCCTTCCCATTCAAGTTCCGTATGTGAAAAAAAAAACAGAAACCCGCAAGATGTTTGTCGTGCAATGGCCCCGCCCCTGTTGCACAAGCCCTTTTTATCGTAGAAAGACCCATACGGTATGGTTGGTTGAAGAGGTAACCCCTGGCCGTCCAGACGCCAATTTTGGTGAAAAGACCTTTTTTGCTTTCCCAATTTCCCCAGTGGTTGTCGGATCATCATGATGTTTTGTGTCGCGTAAAATGCAAAGGTTGAAGAATTAAGAAAAGTGTAAGAGACCCGCCGTGAAAAAAAGTCCCAAACAGCGGATATCCAGATGACCAGTAAACACCAGCAGAACGACCCCGTGGACTGAAAAGTCCCCCAGAAAGGCAACGCAAAAACGCAGCACCATGTCATCACCCCCAGTAAAAGCCGTCTATCACCGGTCCCGCTTGCTTCTTCATCTCGGTGATGAGAAGTGAACAAGGTCAGGGCCGGTTAGACAGCAAATGAGCGAGGCCGCCAAAGGTAGTTGGTGTTACCTGGCGAGCAGGGCGCATTTAAGCGCTGGGGCACTGGGACTGAACGTGGCCAGGCTGCTGGCACTTGTAGCAGATCTTCTCGCCGGAGCCGGAGTCCTTGGGGCAGTCGCCTGTTGAATTGTGGTTAGCTTTGTGCATGATAAATGTAAACACATGGAGACTTACGGGAGAAGTGGCCAGACTCGCCGCAGTTGTAGCACTTGGAGCCGTTGACGCAGTCACGGGACATGTGGCCGATGCCACCGCAAGAGTAGCAGGTCTTCTGGGGACCACCGTAGCCACCGCCGTAGCCGGAGTTCTGGAAGCCGCCGCCATAAGCAGCACCGCCCTTGGAGCAGTTGCGGGCAATGTGGCCGACCTCGCCGCACTTGTAGCACTCAGCGCCGGAGGACTGGCCGCCGGACTGGGAGCAGTCACGGCTGATGTGGCCGGTCTGGCCGCAACGGTAGCAGGTGCGGGCGTTGTCCTTGGGGCCCTCGGGGCAGTCACGGCCTGCACGATACTGTCAGCAAGACATTCAGAAGCACACGTTTTCGAAGCGAGGACTTACTCATGTGACCCTCGTTGCCGCAGTTGTAGCACTTAGCAGCGCCCTTGTTGGGGCAGTCACGGGCCTATTGGTTTCTAGTCAGCATCATGACCAAACACACGACTCGTATACCTCTCCGATCTTTTCGCCGTCCGCCATTCTGGGTGTCTCTCTCTCTCGCCGAATGTTTCGCATACCTGATGGGTAGTCTGGCCGCCTAATGTCTCTCATGTCAGATGATCTCTCCCCTCACTCTCATGATGATTGTTGTTGATATGGCATTGTGTGGGTAATGGTTTATTCAGGTGCCTGTAAGGGCTAAACGGTTTAGAACTTGTTCGCCTTCTGGTACAACAGCTCTCGCTCAACCGACGAACAGATCTCGAACTCGTGATGTTCTGCCCTGTCCAAGCACGGCAACCCATAGCACAACAGTATCAAGGCTGCGGCGGCACACGGGACCTGGGACCAAGGTCCGAGCCCAACGCCAGCGCGCAGCACAATGATGCTAAGCTTCCTTGTGTATAACCGTGTGTGTGTAGCATCCGGGGACGCAGGATCGAAGTGTGAAAGGGATTGCAGGTGACGCAACGCTTTGTAGAAACCGAGCGCGGGTGACAGCTGTGTGTCACGCCGGCGAAGCAAACGAAAGCTAGGGCGCAGAGATTGTATTGGCGAACTCACAAGTGAAGCAGGCACGGCCCTGGGGAGCAGCGAAGGAGTCCATTTTGATGTTGGTTTGGGGGGGTATATCGAAGGTTCGAAGTTGGGTATTGAAAGTCTGTCGAGACGAAGTTGTTGATGGGTCAGTAAAGGGAGAGGTTGTAGGTGGCAATTAAAGTTTCTTTGACGTGCAAAAATGGGAAAAAGGTGGGGGTAGTTCTTGGTGTGGGGTTTAAAATCGCAGCACTTTATCGGGACCCGTACAGTTTATTCGGATAAACCTGGGGCGATAAGGTGCCTCGAAGAGAATGGGGTGATGATCTTTGTGTCGGGGTGCTGCAAAGTCAGGAATAGCTGAGAAGGATCTTACCTGGAAAAGAGGACTGGAGTCGAATACTGTTGCTGTAGAGAAAAAGTGATGTTGCGGTAGGAAAGAAAGCAGCAGGACGGGCAGGAAGGACAGATAAATAGCAGTTGTCGGCTGGCTCAGAGGCAGGCAAAACTCAACGAGGAGGGCACAACGGGGAGCTAGCAAAAGCGGGTGGTTTGCACTGGCTGACTGGTTCCTGTTTCCCTCCTGTTGAAATTTTCTGGAAGGACACTTTGTGTGGGGAGGGGACCCTGCCATGCGACCTGACCCTGCCTGCCTTGGCCGCTTTGTAGCCATTCACCGGTTTTGGTAGGTCGGCGCTGGACGTGATCCGACTCTCAACTTCCATTCACTTGACCATTCTGAACCGGCAACCACTGCCATATGCCAATCTTTGCTGCGTGGTTCTTGCCTCTTTGAGACTGTTTGGATGGCAAGAAGTGAGGGGAGCTGTGCCGAACATGCTCAAGTTTGCCAGCACACATCTGTCTTCTGGCAGGCATTCTGCCATCCATCTACAGGTAACTTTGCGAGTTCACAGTCTACGTACTACTTACCTAGTGGTGTTGTATCAAGCAATGCGATTCCATTCTGGTGGAAGTGAAGGGAGGAACTGCTGGGAATTCCATCACGGCGGTATCTGTCCCTTTTCAGTTCCAGACTCCGACTCACACCACAGATATCAACAGCTTCTTTCCTCCAATTTTAACAAGGGGGAAATACAAAAGGCAGGTGCTCGGTTGTATGCAGGTTCGTGACATCCCACAAAGGTCAGGGGGGAGGTACACTCTGTCCTCGACCACAAACGCTGCGTTCCTCCTTGTGGTTGTTCCCCTCTTTCCCGTCCCGTCCCTCCACAGTTTCAAGGTCACAATCGAAGTAAGAGGAAGGAGAACGAAGCGAGCATGGGAGTCATGGCGGTACAGTTCCCAATCCAGCATTCCTTTTGATCAATATTGTTAACGTCAAGCAGATGTGTGTCTCTCAAAAGATGGAGACCAGTGCTTGCTTGAGGCTGGGAACGAGGCCCAAAATGAAGTCAATGACCTCTTTCAGTATCAAGGAGCACCCAATACGGCCGTGATACGTGTTTCTGGCTACCTGCAGTCAACACGAACGGTGATCAGGGATGTCGGCGAGAGAATGCGATCTGAAAGAGTAAACGAGGGGGCTACACTTGATCTCCCCCTCTCAACCGTCAATAGTCTTTTTTAATCCGAGGGTGACCTTAGCTTGGCCGATCTACGCCACGTGCTACGGTCGTCCTGTCTTGCAGATAAGATCCAAAATACCATGCCCTATGGGGCATATGGCCAGCTCGGTAGCAAAGAAGAGATGAAAATCCAAATCACTATCAAAATATTTATGAACTCAGATGGGATGAAATCACTTGAGCAAGCCTGAAGCCTCAATACTAGGGATCGACCTGTAATACCTGTAAGCGGTCAAGTAAAGTAAATTCAGTAAAAGTAGCGTAAAATAAAATCTCTTACTAGATTTATAGGTCACATGACAGAACACGTGCCATTTTTTGGTATTTTTGTGCCTACTAAACTAGGTAGGGCATCCCAAACTAACTAAAATCGCTAAAATGCACAGAAAAAGATAATTATATAGATTAATTTTGTCTGGTCTTTTCATAGTATTTATTAACTCACTTCCTAATCGGGAAATCTATTTACTTTCTTTCTATCCTTCTTCTAATCAATTATCTTCTAATATATTATTAAACAAATATTCTTCAATCTCTATTAAACGTACTTCTCTTTCCTTGTAAATTAGCGTAGTAAAGGAATTATCTAAATTATATAGATACTTCCCATTTATAAAGATAAAGGTAAATTAATCTATCCGCTCCCCTAATAATCGATTATATATTGGTAATACTAGAAAGTTTATAATTAAGAAAATTCGTTTATAAAGGATACTATTCGTTACCGTATTGAATACCCTTACTACGAATAGCGCTATAACGGATTAATAGTCTATTATATATACTTAGAATTACTTAGGCTCGAAATTAAACCCCTATACTTGAACGTACGCCGCGTATATCCCTTCGCGAATCTTAAAATTAAAGAAATCTTCGATAATTCGTACTGCCAGTACATTAAAATAATAAGTATATTACTAAAGGAAGGTAATAGCTATTACCTAAATACTTAAAATAAGAGGTCGAATTACTTTAATTACTTCTATAGTAGTATTAAGTAGTAAAAGAAACCCTAGCTAATTTAAGGGATTTAATTATTTAGTCCTCCTTACTATATAGAAACGTTCGAACTTTTACTATTTAATAATAAGTATAAAATATTAAAAGGTTCGCTATACCTTTTAAATTTCAATCTACTTTTTAATAACGTAGTTAACGTATGTTCGATTTACTTCAAAAGCGAATTAGGCTTCGTAAAGTAATAAGAGGAAGCGTTCGAACTTTTTAATATTATTCTAAAACTGCGCGCTCTCGATAATCTTAAATACCTAATTATAATATATAGGAGTAGCGCCCTCGTTTTATACGCCCGGGGCGTCTTAATACTAATTATAGAACCGTATTTATATAACGAAGGTTTAGAATACGAATTTCGAGTTCTTAATTAAAATAATTAATTTATATTACGATCCTTATCGAGTGATTATATTATTTTAATTAGAATACTATATTAAATAAATAACGATAAGATAGAGAATATTTACTTTGCTAATAAGGAAATAATCCGACTATAATATAATAATATTAATATTTGTAAGCGGGATAATTATAATTTCGATTTCTGAAAGTGATTAATTAAATAATTAATTTTCTAGGCTATATTCTTAAAAGTAGAGATATTAAGTATATCCTTTATAAGTGGTTGAAGGGAATAAGAGTTATAAAGAACCGCAAAGGTATAATTAAAATAGTTATTAACAATTAAATCCAGCGTAGCACAATATATTAAATTGTAAATATCAGTAACAAACGTATTTATTTTACTTATCCTCACTCCTACTATATCGACGACAATAGCGTTAATAATAGCGGCGATGTTAGCGGAAGTATATTTAATAATACTAATATCTTTATTAGTTTAAAAGAACGATAATCTATTAAGTATAGCGAAGGAAATACTAATAATACGATAGCTAGCGTAATTGTTAAATTTATTAAAAAATATATTAATATACGGGGTAGGCTCGATAAAAGTAATTTTGAATTAGTTCTTTATAGAATCGTAGATTTTAAGTAATTATTCGTTATATATAGTTACTGTATTTAGTAGGGTATAGAAGGGAATTAGCGAGTAGAGGAATACCCTTATAGGATTGTTTTCGAAGAGGGTAAATCCTCTACTATCGAGAAGGATTACTTCAATGGTATAAAGGTCGACCTTCTCCTTCTACTAGTCAGTTAACGTAAGGGCATATTATTATATATCCTCGTATTAATTAACTTATTATTATACGCGATTAAAGGTATACCCCTTATACTTAGCAAAGTACTAGCAAAGGTGAGTAATATTTATTACCGCTTAATATTGATAATAATGATAGGGAATATATTGGTAAATATAACTAGGGTTATTAACGAGGGTAAATTCCCTTTATACGAGTTGAAGATAACGCTGGGGAGGCATCGTAATGTGGATGTAAATAAAGATATAAATAAAGAGCTGGCGATAGTGAGGGTAGGAGGTAAGTCGATGTGTAGAAATATAGTATTTCTAGCGATTTACCCTATTGTATATGTGCTAGAGATTAATTGGCATATAGTAGAGTTTGGGTGGGTGTACGGGCTCTGCGCACGGACATTTACGTGTCTTATAGTAAGGAAAAGTGTAAGGAAAGGCAAAAATCCCAGATTTACGGAAACTATCGATCCCTACTCAACACCCTTCGTACAGGTAAAACGGTAACACTAGCTCAAAGAGGAGGAGCAAAAGTACGTAGTGACCTTCAAAGACAAGAAGCGGAGACTGCGAGAGTCGACCAAGTCAAACCCCTGTGTGATTCTTCTCAAGGTGAAGATTCTTCGTGAAATCAATTTGCTGACTCGAAGTGTAGTAAGATGAACCTAAAGCAGTCTACCTAGGTACTCCATTCAGTCAAGGGGTCCAGGAGAAAAGCTGGCTGGCATCCAGACATCGGGAATGATGCGAACTATCATCCCCGCGTGGAGCAGAAACTCGGCGGAGATGCTCCGTGTTCGTTCCATTGCCGCCATGGGACCACGAAAAACAGCATGTCACACAACCACATGCCCAGGTGTCTCTAAAGAAGTTGCAGTTATGGCGCTGTTTCCTAGTCAGCCAAAGACAGACAGCATCCAGAAGCTCACCCGAATTCTTTTGTTGCCCGTCCACCGTGACATTTTTGGCCTTTGATGTCAGATATTGAACTTGAAGATGTGCGAAGTTTAAGAAAGGTTGTGAAGCATGACCCCACTGCAAGAGACAGTTAGTCTGCACGTGACGTGGCGCTTAGCTCGTTGCTGCCTGCCCAGTGTTTACCCCATTTGGTCTAGACCAAGGAAGTACATTCGCCCTTACACGCGCCTCCAAGATTCGTGACGTCGACTTCGTTGAAATCATGTCAACAACACTCTCGCGCCGCTGATTGTTGTCGATTTCCTTCAATGGAATCTTTGCTGTTCTTGCTTTAAGTCGCACTTGTCAAACATCATTTGTTATCGGGCAAAATGACCTTCTGGGACCAGAAAGGTCGTGCTGCGATCTTTGCCGCGGTAGAAGCCGCCTGTGATACGGTTGGAAAGGATCTCGACGCAGGTAGGACTGTTAATATTATGCCATATGGCTGAGCTTGTCATGGACAATTCTCAACTTCACGGGCGCATCGGCTAACTCGCTACCAGAATTCCGCGAAAAAGATGCGTTCTCTGCGGCCGAGAGGGAGACGTTGATGGCCAAAGTCGATCAGCTAGAGAAGATGAACCAGGCGTTGATGAAAAACCTTGGGGAGCTCATCAAGAAAGTCAACCCCGTCTCGTCTTCCACTACTTCAAAGGAAATCACTACCAGCGATCAAGATGTTCCAGCATCATCAGACACTCTCCTGGAGGCACCACAACAATCGACAGGTACAACGTCGCGTTCAGTCCTTGGAGAAATCTCACCTAACACGGTTACTGGGACAACACGCGCCACTGTCAAGGATGTTACTGCGGAGACGGACAAAGACAAAGAATTGGCGGCTCTAAGGAGACGCTGCGAACGACTGCAAGCGAAATATGATGAGAAAAGGAGGCTCGCGCGGCAGGTCGTTGATCAGCGAAATGGATGGTTAAAATATGCCGAACATCTAGAACGAAGGATTCTTGAGCTTACCGGAACAAACCACCGAGAGGGGGGCGATCCGAAGCGTCCAGCACCATCCGTTACGGTACCGGACGAATTGCCGACTCTACCGACGGAAAATGATGCAGCACATGAAGTGGCCATTAAGGAAGAGCCATCTTCCGATGGGCCTGTTGTCGTTTCCGAGAGGCGTGTCCGGAAGAGGAGAAATAGCGACACCAGTGGTGAAGCAAGGCCTAACCCTCGCAGAGTCAAGAGAGAAAGCTCGGATCCTGTGATAACAAGCGTGGTGCCCGCCTTCATTCCACAAGAGAGTGACGACCTTAATGAGACAACATATGTGATGCCCACACCGAAGAGGCGTGGACACCGGGACCCGCCTCAACCACCAGCCAACAATGCCGCGGAAGACTCAATAATTGATCAGCCAGCTCTTGCACAAAATAAAGGCAAAGACAACGTCACTTCCAGAACCCCCAAACCTGCGGCACGGTCAGAGTTCAGACTTGGTCATGCTATAGCGGATGTCGCAGAAGACAGCCCCGAGCCTTTTGATCTCGAAAAGGAACAAAGCAAAGGTGGACCGTCGGACTCGGCCACACCGAAGCCTGGAAGATTACAAAGTCTTCTCAATACCAACACACCGCTACAGCGCGAGCAGCGTCTGCAAACGCCGGCTAGGGTTCCGGCGGTCGGATCAGGCAGCCACAGCGCTCCAAACTTGCGGCGTGCTCGAGATATGGCAAAGTCAACTCCGCTCCGAGAACGGGCGGTTTCTGAGTTGAGGTTAGAAGACTTCAAGGTCAACCCAAAAATGAACAACGGCTACACCCATGCTTTTGACGAAGTAGTACGTGGGAGGGCAGAGCGTGCTAAGCTCGAGGGTTGCACCGATCCAAACTGTTGTGGCAGGACTGCCCGTATCTTGGCGGAGAGCGAGCTCAGTTCAGGTGGTTCAGCCCATCTGCTGAAACCAGAAAACATCGCGTTGATGGAAGACTATTTGGGGCCAGAGAGCTATCGGCTGGGAACTATGACGGTGGACGAGAAGAAGGAGGTCTGGTTGAAGGCCAAGACCATAGCTGTGGCCAACAGCTTCGGGAGGCACAGGCACCAATTCGAACGAAGGCGTTCACCTCCGGGTTATTGGGACCCAGACTTCCCCGGCACACAAGAAGAGAAGGAACGGAGAGAAGAGGCAAAGAGGCGGGAGAGGGAGACGGTAGAGAAGAGATGGCGTGAGGCCATGCGAGGCAATGGGAGGTGGCTCTTCAGGGATGAGTAAAGGGTAACCTGAGCCTATCCTAACTCCTGTGATGAACTAGGAGCTCCTGAACAAGTATATAACAGTACATATCATTCATGACAGATATCACATGAAACTTGAAGCGCAAAGCTTCCATTAACAAGACATGAACTTGACGCCAAGACTTGTCACTTGCTACATACAAGCTGCCAATTCATGATTCGCACTCAGCACTACGACAATCGATTTCCAACTCACGAAAACTGTCAAGTATATACATCAAAGCAAACAGTATCTCTACCAATCTTGGCAGAATTTTTTGAGTGCTGATGACTCGATTGATCGTGGTCAAAACAATCAAGGTCATAGTCGGTTTTCTTCACACCACTCTGTACTGTAGATGTGCTCTTGACAAGCCAGAAATGACACATATCGGTAGACTGAAGAAACATACTTGAGCTTGTCACTTTCTATTCACACTTGATTCCTCAAGCCTTCTTCTTCAGATCGTTCGTTTAATATCTGACGTTTTCAATGCTTCCCAATATCTCGAGTCAACATCAAGAGCGTCAATCCCTGCTTGGATCCCATGTCGGATATGGCCCGAGCGTCTTTGCTCCACTATCGTGCTGTTTCGCCTGCCACCAGAGCCTCCAACTGTCCGCGGGGTTCACGGCTCCTGTTGGCGGGATGCGCTTCGCTAGGTACAGTACAGTACTGTCTAAACACCGAACCGGACGTGGTGCATTGGGAAGTGGGAACGAGTCACAGATGGAACACATCTTGACTCCTTCCTACGTTGACCGGAAAGGCAGAAACATCCTGACGCAGTCAAGGGAGAGGTTGCCGTTTGCTTGTTGGTTTGCCGCCACCATCACCCGCCGCCGCCGCCTTCCCTTCCCTCTGCCAGCCAACTCCACGTCCAAGTGCCTGCCACTCACACAGCGGGCCAGGTCCAGGCTGAGGCCCAGACTTCTGTTCAACCTTCGTTTCTCAACTTCCATCTTGTGAACTTTGTGGTGACGGCACCCAACACCGAAACATCGCCGCTGTTCATTATTTTTTTGTTTTGTGCAGGTGAAAGTACTTCCATCCGCATCCAGGACGTGACGCACCCAACGCACCTTCACCCAACTCTCTGGGAACCGCAGGACAGACGCCCCTCCCTGCTTGCTGCGTCCCGTTGGCTCTACTTACTACTTGTACCTTGCCGTACCAACACGCCTACCAATTATTTACCCACTGAGCCCACTCGCTACGGGTTCCAACGACTCCTGCCACTACAACACACCACAACCAGAACCCATCCACCCACAACCACCTCACACCTGAGAGGCTGGGCTACTGCTACCTTGCCTTGCCTTGCCTAACCTTCCCCTCCAAAAACATATCTTACCGGCCGGGACCTTGTCAACGCCGCGCCGTCACCAACCAAATCCTCGACACCTCCCGTCAGTTTGCAGCGTGTGCAAGCAGGACTGGACATTCCTCGTTTGCCAGCAGAGAAGTGGACGCCCGCAGAGGACCGAAATCCTCAAGGCGCCTCCTCGAGTCCCAACCCCCGGGACCCCGATATTCGCATTCCCGAGTCACGATCGATTCCAGCCCAGCTTTCGGCATCATCCGAATCCGGCCACCACGACCGGCGGCAACCCAAGCTCTCTCCTCCTCCCGCAACCTCGCAACCCCGCGTCCGAAGCTGATTCGGCATCTCGCAACCCGCCTCATTGGGCGCCAGCACATTTCGACTCGCTGCGGTGGCCTCACGCCGGTGAGCAGCTACCGCGCCGCCACATCTCCCAAGCCGGCATGATGAACAGCACCGGGCATCTGCCGGCTGGGCAGCCAATGCAGGGTAATGCCGATATGGGAATTCCCAGGATGAATGGAGGCCCCGGTGGCCAGGGCCATCTCGGTCAGGGCCACGGTCCCCGTCGCGGACGGCCTCACCACAACCACTACAATCCTGGCGCCCACCACCACCATGGCCAATATCACCAGCCTCATGTCGCGCACAACCCAATGTATGCCGCCAACTACATGCCACAGCCTTATGGTGTTCCTCCTGGCTACTATGCCCCCCCTGCCTACCAGAATGCCGCCATGACGAACCCCTACGGCATGCCTCAGTACGCGCCGCCACAAGCCACCTACGCTCGATCGCCCCCGGCCATGCAGCACTACATGCCCATGGTAGCCCAGAACCCCTACGTTCGACCGGCTCCTCCCCAGTCTCCCATCGTCTCAACCCCGTACCAGGCTCCTCCCATGCCTGCGCCGGCGCTCGTCCCGGTTCCTGCCCCTCACACTCCCTCGTCGACACACTCTCACGTCGTCCCGACCCCTATGACTCCGCCGGCTCAGCAGATGCCACCGATCGTCCCTTCCCAGGCACAGATTCAGTCGCAGCCTCAAGTTCAGGTTCAGCCTGAGCCCGAGCCCAATATTCAGCAAAAGGTTGTGGAGGAGCCGGTGGTCGAGGAGGCCAAGCAGCCTGCGCAGGCCGAGGCCGCATACTCGCACTTCGCTTCGCCGCAAAAGTCTGATAAGCCGCCGTTCTCTCTGCCATGGTTTTCGCATCCTGACACACCGTTCCCGACTCGCACAAAGTTGAGGAGACGTAGGCAAGCTCCTTCTGCTGCCTCGGAGAGTGTCAGCCTCCCTACTGCTCCTGGCCAACAACCTGCCTCCGAGACTACCCAGGCTGCTCCAGCGGAAAGTACTCCCACGGACAATGTCCAGGAAGATGCTTCTGTCCCTACGCTCACGGGCACGCCTAAGCTTGAAATTCTTCCTCCCCGATCCGAGACTCCTTCGACTCAAGAGCTTCCTTCTGTGGATACCCCGTCGACTTCGCCAACTAGCTCCATCCCATCCCAGCAGCTCCAGGTTTCCGAGTCCATCATGGCCTCTCCGTCCCAGCCCGCGAAGCAAGCTACTCGTGTCCCCGTTCCCGCTGTCCCTGCCGTCCCTGTGGTTCCTGTTTTGCCAAAGCCTGCTCCCAAGGACAAGCCCACGCCTAGCGCGGAGCAGCCGTCTGCTGAGGCCAAGCCTGCCGAATCTGCCCCTACTACTGAGCAGACTCCCGAGACGGCTGCTAAGGATGTAACTGCTTCAACACCCGAGTCTTCGGCTCCAGCTACCCAAGCTGCCCCTGCCCCTGCTCCTGCGCCGGCGCCTGCCAAACCCAAGTCTTGGGCCAACCTGTTCACCAGGCCTGCCGCTCCCGTCAACACTGCTGCTGCTGACGCCGCTGCGGCTTCCGCTGCCCAAACCACTGTCAATAGCCATACCAGCGCGGATGCTTCAGGAGCTGCTGCTGGAGTTATCACCGGCTTTGCTCAGTCTAAGGCGAACTCTATGGCTGAGGCTGTTCAGTCGTACCGGGTTGGCACCGCTGAGAAGATTGCTTTCTTGGAGCCCCGCGGCCTCGTCAACACTGGTAACATGTGCTATATGAACTCTGTAAGTCGCTCCAGTTTTTCTATAGGCTTCAAGGGTTGATACTAATTCTGCTTGCAGATTCTTCAAGTTTTGGTTAACTGCATTCCTTTCTACGACTTCTTGGATCAAGTCAGCAAGAAGGCTGCCCACAGCTTCAATAGCGAGACTCCTCTCCTCGATGCCATGATCATGTTTATGCGCGAGTTCAAGGTGATCGATTCTGCTGTGTCTATTGACCAGCTCAAGAGGCGCCTCAAGAGCGAGGAACTCGAGCAGTACGGTGAAGCCTTTACCCCCGAGTTTGTCTATGACGCTATCAGAAAGCTCCCTCGATTCGCCAGCATGCGCCGCGGTCATCAACAAGATGCCGAGGAGTTCCTCGGTTTCCTTCTTGAAGGTCTCCACGACGAGTGCACCCATGTCATGCGTACTCTCCCGGTTTCGACTACCTCGACTGCGCCCAACTCGTCCTTGCCCTCGCCCACGACTTCCAACGCTGGTGATGACTGGCTCGAGGTTGGACCCCGTCAAAAGGCTGCAATTACTCGCACTTCTGGTTATTCCTCTTCCATCTCTCCTATCACTAGGATCTTCGGTGGTCACCTCCGCTCTGAACTTCGCATCCCTGGCCTCAAGAGCTCCGTTACCCTGGAGCCCTATCAGCCCCTTCAGCTCGATATTGGTGCTCCCGAGGTTCGCAACATCGTTGATGCTTTGAGGGGTCTTACTCGCCCAGAAACGATCCACGGAGATTTTAACTCGCCCCATGGAAAGGACGCAAAGGCTACCAAGCAGGTGTTCATTGAGTCTCTGCCTCCAGTCCTCATTCTGCATCTCAAACGCTTCCAGTTCGATGCTGAAGGCCATGGTACCATCAAGATTTGGAAGAAGGTCGGATATCCCTTGGAGCTCGAAATCCCTCGCGAGGTCGTCTCTCGGCAGAAGCGCAACACTATTCATGCTGAGAATGCCGATCTCCTGAAGTATCGTCTCATCACGGTTGTCTATCATCACGGAAAGAATGCCAGCGGCGGACACTATACTGTTGATGTTCGTCGCCAGGACGGCCCTGAATGGGTTCGCATCGATGACACTGTCATTCGCCGTGTTCGCGCTGAGGACGTCGCTGAGGCTGGCGCTGAGGAAAAGCCTTCCAAGGGCGCCGTTGGTGATCGCAGGGAGAACGGCAGCTCGGCAGCTAGCAACCGGTTCGGCGCCATGAACGATGATGATACTGGTGATGACGAGGGCTGGAAGCAGGCTACTGCGAACGGCAAGAAGTGGAGCAGTGTTGTCAACGGTGCCGGTCTTGCTGCTCCTAGCGGCAGTGGCAGCTTGAAGGCTGCCGCCAAGCAACATAATGATAGCTTCAAGGACAACAAGGTCGCTTACCTGTTGTTTTACCAGCGTATCTGAAAAGTTTCACGGAGTAGAGTTTGTGGAGGGGTTGCATAGCCATACTTGAATCGGCTCAGCGATCTCTCCAACCATGTGGCGCTTTGGGAGATACCAACATCTCGGCGTACAAAAGCAAATGGGGACGGACGCGTTATGAAGATGACGATGCTCAATAAGGTTACAACAACTACGAAAGAATAAGAGAGAAGAAAGACGGTGGCATAGAAGGCCACATTCGAGTCGGCGTATGGGCGCCGATGCTCCAAAAACATTGCTTCAACGGTTAGGCAGGGTTGAACATTGTCTGGAGCCAGGGGCATCCGGAACATCATTCTGGATTCCCGTCCACGATCATCATGACTGCCACTCATGAGGATACAACCGCCTAAGACAGCTGGGTGGGCGGTAAAATAAAATAGACCGGGAACACTCCGGGTCGTCTTGATGAGTTGATGATTCAAGTCGAGACGAAGCTTCTCTCATACTATTATATCATTCAGCACTACCTGTCTACCACCTTATTTTAACCGACTACACCAAATCAAACCTACACCACTAAATCACGATTCCATCAACCCTCTATATACCATACCTCACCAATATCTGAAACTCCTCCCTCACATAGGTGGTCGATTACGTTCGCATTCCGAGTCCTTGAGCGGACTGCTGGATTAGGTGTAGAGACCCGAGGCTTCTCTCTTAAATAACAACGGCATGAACACCATCAAACGAACATCTAGCGGTTACCGCGATAGTTTGGACGATGAGATGGTATTTTGGAAGGAAGAGGGTGATAGAATAGCTCAAAGCTAGAAAGGGGAAGCGGGATATGAGCTACAGGAGATCTGGGAGACGTTTAGGGCATTTTGTTAAGGAGGGTAGTAAAGAGAAGATGATGGATGGTTTAATGGAATGAAGAGGAGAGGGAAGATCTTGGTCTTGGCTGGGGAAAAGTTGGTGGGCTGAGAGGTGAATTGGGTGATACCTACTTAGACAAAATAAAACAAAACTTGAAAAGGAGTAGACGAAAGTCCAAAAAATGAGGAACTGATGACAAGAAAAAAAAGAAGGGGCTATGTGTATAAAACATGAATGTCAAGATGGTGTATAAACTACGTTAGAGGAGTAGAAGATATATACCACTTGTCTACTATGAGCTGGTTGCTCTTCATTATTTTCGACATATTGTAGATCTTCGAAAATATGACTAGACGCGCTTAAGAAAAATGTCGATTCAGACTCATTGGCCAGTATCAACGTACGTAGCAAACAAGGATTACGTCGCAATTGCATGGGTTTCGAAGATACCAGTGACAGAAAATACCTGTTGAGAACAACAGGATTGTGTCTGAACTGCTTCCCAGTATCAACGGCGAGTCAGAGTTGTCTAGAGGCGTGATGACGAGCCGAGGTTCGGATCGCATGAACAGTTAGTCTTAATAATCTAACCATTTTCCGAAATGTTTATGGATGGGAGGCATGTCGACCACAACAACTGAGATTTCTGTACTTCACAGATTTGAAAGGATGCGTTGTGGGAACATGAGCCAAGGGAATAACCTGGAATTTCTCTTCATTTCATCAACTAGTCTAGTCTCATACACCACATTCACATCATCAAGATCATCACAACTTGGCCTTCGCCTCCTTCGCAGCACTAAAGTCCGGCTTCACCGCAATCCTCGGGTGATCCCCAGCCAACTTCAACCCCGTGACGCTCTCCAGCTCATCAACCGCCTCAAACGCCCTTCCCAACCCAACCTTGATCGTCCTAAACCCAGCCTTCTTCGCCGCCTTCAGGTTCTCCCCAATATCATCCAAAAACACAATATCCTCCGCCCTCACGCCCTCCCCCCAGCCACCCCTCTTCCCCCTTTCGGAGTTAGCATTCGCCCGCGCAAACTCATCCACCTTCTCCAGCGCCAGCTGATAAATCCTCGGATCCGGCTTCCTCAACCCCACATGCGCCGACGAAACAAACACATCAAACAGCTGCCGCAACGGATCACTGAAGAAGTCCTTCTCCGCCCACTTGTGTCCCTCGGGCCAGATAACCGTGTTACTCAGCGCCGCCACGACGAACCTCCCGTCCTCTTTCAGTTTTTTGAGGGCGGGGAACATCCACGGGTCCGGAGCTCGGGCGTGCTCCATCATGTCGTGGAACAACCACTCGCCGTCGATCTGGGGGATAGGTGGAATTGGGGAGGAACCAGGAGAAGGGGGGAAACGGGAGGGGTGCTTGGCTTGTTGAGACCGGTAGAAGGATTCCCAGAGGGATTGGTTGTGCAGGTCCCGGTTGAAGCCGGCGAAGAAGGAGGCGTCCATGGGGATCGAACCGGTTTCGAGACGGTGCCAGAACCCCGTGGGGGCGGAGCGCGAGATGGAGTGGTTGATCCAGCCTGGGGGGATGGAGTGGCGGAGTTCGTAGTTGAGGATGGATTGGAAGGGGGAGACGACCTGGGTTTTTGTGTTAGTTTGTGATGCTTTGGAGTGAAGATATGAGGTGGGTGAGGTAGTGATGGTGACTTACACAGACGCCGCCAATGTCAAAGAGGATCACTTTGGGCTTGGGGGACCCGGACCCCTTCGCTTTGAGATCGGTTGGCGCCATGCTGTCGATGGCTTCTATGATGTATTCAGGGGGAAACTCGTCAGGAAGCATCACAGCACAATGTCATGGAACTTTTGGGGTATAAAGATGTTTTGATTCATCTATCAACATTGGGCCTCCGCACATTGGCACTAGAATAGGAAGTGATGAATGATAGACCTCGGTTCGGGACAGTGAATGCCAGAGGTCAACGGCTACTGAAGCCCGAGACCACAGAGGTTCACCACGGGCACTGCCCCGGCACTGGTACTGGCAGGACCCACAATTGCCTGCCGCTTGCATTCCACTTTTGGCGCTCGTCGCCCACCGTGGCACCATGGCGAGCATGGGTGAATGGTCGGTCGTCGCCAACCTGAGTTGATGGCCCAGCGGCCAGCCGACCAATCAGGCGCGCTCTTGCTCTTAGGGCTGTGGGGTTGTAGTGCGAAATTCCTGCCCACCAAAGTTCGTTCGCGATCTCGAAATTTCCCTTCTGACAACCCAGCCCGTCTCAAGACCGTTTGTTGAGTGCACCCAGCAAAAGTAGTCAAAATGGTAAGTTGATGACCTACGGCGTGCGTCGCGGTCGTTCAGCAATGAGCGACTAGCGCCTGCGTTCAAATCACAAATCACCACCATTCCAGAGGGAAATCCGGGGGAAACAAGGAGAGAAAGAGTCAACGCAAGATGCTTCGGAGAGGAGGAAATATTCTGAAGCGATAATTGCTGACTCGGGGATTTTGATTGTCAGGCCTTCCACAAGCTTGTCAAGAACAGCGCGTACTACAGGTAAGCAGACATTTCCTAACAAGAAGTCGAGGGGAACTGGGGGTTCGCTAACATTCAAATCACCAAACAGTCGCTTCCAGACCAAGTACAAGCGCAGAAGAGAGGGCAAGACCGACTACTATGCCCGCAAGCGCCTCATCACCCAGGCCAAGAACAAGTACAATGCTCCCAAGTACCGCCTGGTTGTCCGCTTCACCAACCGCGACATCATCCTCCAGATCGTGAGCTCCGAGATCACCGGCGACAAGGTCTTTGCCTCCGCCTACTCCCACGAGCTCAAGGCCTACGGCATTGAGCACGGTCTCACCAACTGGGCTGCTGCCTACTCCACCGGTCTCCTCCTCGCCCGCCGTGTTCTCAAGAAGCTCGGCCTCGACGAGACCTTCAAGGGTGTTGAGGAGGCTGACGGTGAGTACAAGCTCACCGAGGCCGCCGAGACCGACGATGGCGAGCGCCGCCCCTTCAAGGCCTTCCTTGATGTCGGTCTTGCCCGCACCTCCACCGGTGCCCGTGTCTTCGGTGCCATGAAGGGTGCCTCCGACGGCGGTATCTTCATCCCCCACTCCGAGAACCGTTTCCCCGGCTTCGACATGGAGTCCAAGGAGCTCGACGCCGAGACCCTCAAGAAGTACATCTTCGGCGGTCACGTCGCTGAGTACATGGAGACTCTCGCCGATGACGATGAGGAGCGCTACAAGTCCCAGTTCAACCGCTACATTGAGGACGATATTGAGGCTGATGGCCTTGAGGACCTCTACGCCGAGGCCCACGCCGCCATCCGCGAGGACCCCTTCAAGAAGGCCGAGTCCGAGGCTCCCAAGAAGACCAAGGAGGAGTGGAAGGCCGAGTCCCTCAAGTACAAGAAGGCCAAGCTCACCCGCGAGCAGCGCGCTGCTGGTGTCCAGGAGCGCATTGCCGCTCTCCGCGAGGAGTAAATTGGAGGTTGTTTTGGTCTTTGTTAGGGGTTGAACAACATTTTGGGAGGAAACGGGTTCAGTACATTCAAAACGCATGGGTGCGAAATCATCTGGGTTGTGGGAACGACATCGTCTCTCAAAGGGGTTCAATTAAAAGCCAATCAACTTTCTTCTGTCTTGAGCAAAAAGCATGTGCCCGGCGTTCTTTCAAGTGATACCTCAATCGTATTCTGATCTTCCTTTCCCATATGAGACTCGACACTGTCTATTTCCCTTGTGATTACCTGTCCGAGCCGTCAAAGCCGCTGCAGAGCAATGGCACAGTCTGGTAAGACACGATTCATGTAGGCAGGCTATCCTCTCACTTCCACCGCCAAGCAATGTCATTTGCTTAGGGATGAAGATCAACTTCAAATCTCACGAGTCATTGACCCTCACCGTTCATGGTTGGCTGGTACTGTGCGCTATGTAGTGTACTCGACTGTAACTAGGTGAGTGAAGCTAACCAAATAGCTCAAGACAACAAACCGCGAAATACCGAGACAGATGCGGGGGATCAGCAGCTAGGTTGCAAACTTTATTCACGGTGAAGCCATGCTGGCATTATGGGGTCATGATGGATGGATGGATGATTTCCGCATGTGTGTGTCTATCAATTTTGACATAATTCGACTGACTGCATGGCAGTTGCACTTGATACTTAGCTCGTAACTAGCGAACAGGAGGGTAAGTAGACAGGCAGAACAGGTAATAATAGCGAGCGAGCAGCGAGGACGGGACACCTACCTGCCTTACGGTGGGTGTCCTTAACCCGTGCCGTTGGTGAATTGGTGAATTTGTGAATTTGTGAATGGTGACAGGTGAGTGGTGTGGTGACAGGTGAACGGTCATCTTGTGCTTGCCATTGGTGAACCTTTAACGGTCTAGTCTAGGGAGCATGGGAAAGTTGACCGTTCGGCGTAGATGTGTAGGTGACCGGTGTGGCCATTGAGTGAATCTTCACTTTTGCTTACATGTGTGATTGGTTTCTTACGGATACATAGCTGGAAAGCTGTTTGGCCACCTGAGATGCTGAGGTGAGACAGACTCTAGCAGAGACTAGGTAGACAACATCGTTAGTGCTGAAAGATGCTTTCCTAGTGTTGAAGATCTGATCTGATGTTTAAGTTCAGTAGTGTACACGCGTCTTTGACTCAGAATCTGCATTTGGCTGATAAATCATCTCCCGGTCAGTCGCCGACCAGTCGCAGGACAGTACATAGTTGAGAAGCCAGAAAGCTAGATTTGCTGGGCAGCGTTGCGAAATCTCTCTCAGACACAGTTCATGAGGGGCCGGAGTTTTAGTTATAACGAGATCTTAGTCGAGATTTATGTAACGAACGAGTGTGTCTCCAAAACGGCCATTGGAGCACACGTTCGAACTTGAGTATGTATGCTGGCTCGGCTGGGGAAGGCTGGATGGATGTCTTGAAGGTTCAATGTTTCCGTACCTGTCTGTGTATATGGATGGAAAGTCTGCTTCGAGATTCCGGACTCACGAGATTGTACATACTATGTAGCGTTAACGATGCGTCATGAGGTCAGTCATACTCCCGATGATTTTTGAGGGAATCATCAGCAACGTTCTGTTCTGAATGCTAGTCTAGTGGCGGGACGAAGCGCATTACATGTACGGTCCTCAAGTCCCTAACGGTACAGCCAAGAAGAGTGAAATTTGCCCCCTCCTCGGACATGTCGCCGATGTGCTCGATTTGTCGAGGAAGACGATGACGAACTAGGTAGGCCAAAAGTTTGAAGTGTGCCTGGCTTCAGGAATGTAGGGCCGGGTCTAGACCTCGAAGACTGCTATGTCGCCATTGACAGTAGTTGGGAAGGAGAATGTTGTAGTAGATGTTCACATGGTCATAATGCGATTTCGGTGTGTTGGTGGGTTGAAAAATTCCAATTGTTCTTCTGCCCGTCCTTGGCATCTTTTCTTGCCCCTGAGATGCCCGTCAGACTCCCGAGAGTGTTGCATCTGGAAGTGGGAGAGTGTTCGCCAGTCCAGGAACCACGATGACCCGAAGAAACCATTGACGAAGTACAGACGAGCATATATCATTTCAGAGATTTGATGATTAGTCACTGCTCATTTTACCAGGGAACTTGTGCTGTGCGTAGGAGAAGGTGACGGGCGGCCGTTGTTCATCTTATTTTATTTTCGGTTTCGTGATGTCGTGGAAATTGGCCGAAGTTTCGCTGACGCATCCATTCGGTTGACATCACAATTCCAGAAAAGAAAGGACCCCTGAAATCTGTTCCCTACAGTGTAGATGAACCGTCATGCTCCCACTCGCTCCTATTGTTTCCTCCAAATTACTGGCATGGTAGCATGGCACTGTAGCACTGTAGATATTGTCGACATCGACAAGACAAGACATGGCATCGCTTCGGTTCGATTCGGTTACAGCAATACAGGCGTAAATGATGTTTTCAGTCTCACGAGATGGAAGATTGTCCTCTATACAATAAGGAAGAAACAGAACTCTGTACTCCGCAACATGCTTTTGACGTAGTGTAATGTAGTCAGCCACGGCAGTGGTAACTGCTTGTAAACTGGTAGCGTTGTTGCGCCGTTCGCTAGTTGGTCCTGATTCCTGAAGACGGCGCTCCTCATGGTACGATTAGTGCTTGCAAGCCCGAGGTTGTGGTTTTTGTGGTGATGAAAGCGAACTGAAGAAGTGAAGTGGTGATCTGCGTCTCCATGCGTCCATGCCCATCTGGGAGGGTGTCTCCGATGTTAGGGGGGGAGGCTCGCGAAGGGTGGTCCGTGAGACGGCTTGGACGGGACGGGAAGTGGGAGGAAGAAGTGAGTTGATGCCAAGACCAAAGCAAATTCAATGGATGGATGAGAACATTCCAAAAAGCCCGGAGGCCGAGTCGCGATGTTACTGCAACTTTGATTTTGATATCCGCTTTCTGTCACTTGCAGCAACGACAATTGCTGCCGTCTGTCTGGCTGTTGTCAGTGTTTAGTTTCCCCTGAAAAAAGATTGTGATGGAGACGGGAAGCTGAGAAACGGGCCAGTGAACTTGTGGCGCTGGCGGTGCCGGTGCGGCTGCTGGTCAAGTCGCCGATGGGGCGCAGGGACTGCATACCACTAGCGGACCTCACACAACTTGAAGATTGTGCTGACGTGTGACGTCTTTTGCCCTGCATAAACTTGTTACCTTTTCACATTTTGTAGAACCTCAACCTTATGTTCTGAAGCGGTGTGTGTTTTTGTGGCATGTACTGAACTTGTGTAAAGTTCTTTTGGCTTTCTAGCAACGGGACTCGGAAGCCCGGGGGGTGGCCGGATATATCGAGAAACACAGCTCCAGTTGCCGACTGGATGATAATGACAAATTGTGTTATGCACGGCAGTATCCTCGTTCGGAGAGTGCCAAATCGCCGGCATCCGCACATGCGAGAATTTGACAAGGCTTTATCCACCTCCACCGGGAAACGGTTTGGCAGCGACATTTCAGTGGCCGCCAACAGCGCTGCCAGCCCAAGACATATCCGGCCAGTCTCCATCGCGGCTTCCACGAATTCATGGATGGGGACGGGAAAGTGGTGGGGATTTTGGGTTCGGAAGGTGGCGCCTCTAGCGACGACTGAGGTCCTTTTGTGATGCGCCGCTTTCCCCTTTCTCCTCGGTGCAGGGTCCATTGTGGAGGGCATTCGTCAGGGCATCTGGCTGGCATGAGCATTTCCTCTGCGGATGTTGCGCGCTTTTACCACAGTACAAGGTTCGGCCTGTTCCTTGAGGAACGGGATGATGATTTTCTGACTTCACTTGACTAAGTACTGCGTAAGTCTGGGCGCCACGGCTTGGCTCATCCGAGAACAGAAGGTGACCACCCGACGCCGTCGCCATTGTCCACCCATTTTCATTGTTGTAGTTCCTGTGTCTATTGTGGTCCAGATCATGGCCGTCGCACACAACTTGCTTGAGAGGGCCATCTCGGTAGACGACGTATGATGTGATCAGATGCAAGAAGCAGTGTTACTGTAAGCTCTCATGTGCAGATACCAAACGAAGGATGCTGTGATTCTGGAGAATCACATCCCATCTTGATATCCAGCCGTGCCCGTTGGCCAGTGAGGGAAAAGCCAGGAAAATAGCGCCCTATCTGATGGACAGACAGAGAAAGACACGATTCCGTCCTAGCGCGAATGCATGATTGTTCACCACTGGGAGAGTGGTGTCCATGTTCTGTAACATTACCCCGTCTGAAGCTTAAAAACGGACTCCGCATCGAACGACGACTTGGTCCGTGGGCAACGGGGCAGCTGGTGGGCTCCGGGCACCCTGTACGGTCCAGTGGACTGTGGACATGCCGTGTGGAGGGCAGGTGCTAAGGTCCCGGCATAACCTTGTGTTTTAGTTGATGGAGAGTTCCATTGCTACCCTGAAAGGTCCTCATCTCTCTCTGTCTCTGTTTCTCTTTGGAAAGAAACAGTTTCCATCCGACCTGTACCGACACCATGGCTTGTTTCTTTTTTCTCTCTTCTTTGTGGAATAGCTTCCTCTGTTAGAACTCGCCTGCATCTTCACTTGTGAGCCTCTGAGGTCTGCACAGTCAAGTCACAAGCATACAGTTACTTGCCTCTACATCTGGGGCCAGACATCCACATACAACCACCACACTGGCACACAGGCCACAGATCAACCACTACTGCCCACTCACCACTGCCGAATGAGCAAAAACCCTTCGGCGATCAGTGATCAGCCCCAGCGAGACAACGAAGACAAGACGAGACAAGCGCCATTCAAAAAAGACAAGGACCCTCCCGTTCAGACACACCCCACGTTTGCGACGCTACGTACCGCAGCAACGGGAATCAAGTACCCAGAGCATCCCAGAACTTACGAACCCTCGAGACCACCTCGACCAAGCACCAAGGCTTCCAAGACACGGCCTGACCACGCGACTTCCCTGTCACAGGTCCCAAGGGCTTCTTCCTTTTACCCTATCTTTCTCGGGGGCAAGACCCCAAAACCACCTTTTCCCCAAACCTTTTTACTTTTGTCTACCTAATTCCCTTTCACACTTCGCCCACATGTCGACGGTCGGCCCCGAGTCGTTTCCCAAGATGGAGCACATCCACGGTGTAGACGTCAGTTGGATGACACACGGGAATCCCAAAGGTTCGTACATAAGTCAAACAACACGGTTGGGTTTCATGCCCCGGCCCGCGGGATCACCAACCAACAAGCATCGTCACATCCTACTGCTTACACAACTCAGCCCTTTGTCGCGAATCTTGGTAACAAGCCGTAACTGACACAAACTTCCCATCGACTAGACAAGATTGCCAGGCGAGCTTCTCTGTCCAAAACATTATCGCAACAGGCGCTCGACATTCCCTACTCTGCTTCTCCCGGCACTTCGACTCCAGAATTTGCCCCAGCGTCGGCACCAACAGCAATCAATGGCTTCAGGACAGACACGTTCAGTGCGCCATCGAGCACACAAAACACGACATCCTCCGCCACAACATCCTCCGCCACAACATCCACCACAACTGCGAAACCGATCCCAATAGGAGGACCATCGCCCGCCGGACCGGGATTCACGAGAACTGGTTCGGACGAAGGAAAGACCCCGCCAATCGGCGTCTCCCCACGAAGAAGGAACTCGTGGTTCTCCAACATCGCCTCCAAGCTCTCGTCCGCAAACGGTGCCGCTCAAAGTCCGCCTCAAACTAATCCAACATCTCCCAAGAACGCCGAGTTCTCCGTGCCCAAGGTCAATCCTGCTAAGAACGCTGTCCTTCAGCACGCCACAAAACACGAAGGCGACGGTCCCTATATCCCAGCCCCGCCCGGTCACGCTCAGGGCGGCGTCTTCCACATTTTCCGAAGGCTATCAACGTCAAACGGAACACTGGGTTCCAACGGAACGAAGGGGCATAATCACGGCTTGGTGGAGCGAAGAGTTTTGAATGTCGATCATCACAGGGAACGATGTGACATCAACGGTCTAAATCAGGCTAAACTTCGGAGAGTTGCCTTCTGCGTCGACGTCGAGATTGCGCCCATGCCACGATACGGAGACGATGCAGCAAAAAAGATAAATGCAAAGCCCCAAGTGGTAACTACCCACGTAGCACCAGATGGCACAATCATGGTTACCAACAGGAAAGAGGAGAACAGCAAGGAAGCAGAGGCAACAGCAGCCGCCAAGGCCGCTGCGGAAACGAGGAAAAAGGAAAAGAAGAAGAAGAGTGAAGAGGAGAGAAAGGCTAGGAAAGAGAAGAAGCGAAAGCTGGCCGAGGCGAACGGCACCATCCCAATGGAAATCCACGTCGATAGCGATTCCTCCGATGACGGTGGTAGCACCGCGCAGCCGCAGCCGCAGCCGCAGCAGCAACAGCCCGAGTCCTCCAGTCGCCGGACGCAATCGATGCCGACTACGAACCCCGTCAGGATATACCGGCGTTGTTGTCAGCTACGCGAGACGCCAATCCTCAAGAGGATTACCGAGCAACTCATGGACCCCGCAAACATGGCACCCGAGAAGGGAGTGGTCGAGAAGCTGGACCTTACCGGATATTGGCTGCAGCTACCCGACCTGGTAACACTCGGCGATTATCTGGCCGTAGTCCCGATCAAGGAGGTGATCTTGGACAACTGTGGTCTGAGTGATGAGGGCCTCCGTGTTATTCTCGCCGGTCTGTTGGCTGCCAGGAAGAACTCGTTTAAGCGACGAAAGCAGCCTACCGGACCCGATGGGCCAACACCACAAGGTGGCGTTGTCGAGAGGCTTATTCTGAAAAATAACAAGATCGGGGCTGAGGGATGGAAGCATATTTGCCTATTCGTTTACCTTTGCCACACCCTCAAGGTTCTGGATCTCTCTCAGGTTCCTTTTCCCCAGCCGACAGGGAACGATGCGAAAAAGACTATGGATCTTTGCCAACTGTTTTCGAAATCACTCGGGGAACGCCTTGGGGGGTCAACGCTTACTCTCTTGAGCTTGGGTGAAAGTGGAATTACTACAGAGCAGCTTGGGTTGGTCATGGACGGGGTCCTCAAGTGCGGCATCAAGAAGATTGTCCTTGCAAACAACGACATCACAGATCAGGGCCTGGCTCACGTCAAGAGGTTTTTGGCGACGCCGACTTGTGAGGGTCTCGATTTGGGCGGCAATGACCTGCGGGGACATATTGACAAGCTTACGGAGGCGTTGGACCAAGAAAACTGTCCGTTGTGGGCACTCAGCTTGGCTGACTGTAACTTGACACCGGCAGCTCTGTCCCAGCTGTTGCCGACGCTGGTCAAGTTGCCCCAGCTACGATTTATCGATCTGTCCCACAACCAAGAGCTCTTCAACACCGAGCCTAGTGCGGTTGCGGTATTGCGCAAGTACCTGCCCGCGATGCCGTCCTTGAAGAGGATACACCTCGTTGACTGCGCTCTCACCCCTGAGCAAGTCATTGCCCTTGCCGAGATTCTGCCAGAGATTCCTGGCCTTGCACATGTCAGCTTGTTGGAGAACCCACAAATCGTGGAACTGACCGATGCAAACACGGATGAGGCGAAGGAGTCCGCCTGTGCGCTGTTCGCGTCGTTGCTCTCTGCCGCGAGGGTCTCGCGAAGCCTCGTCGCCGTGGATATTGAGGTTCCTAACGAGCAGTCGAGCGATCTAGTCAAAGCCATGGCTAAGCAGGTCGTTGCCTACTGCCTTCGCAACATGGGTGAGCACATGGCTGTTGGCGATTTCTCCTCTATGACCGGAGGCCTACCAGACTTCCTTGCTGAGCCTGAATACCCCGATGTGCTTCAGCGCCTGGTTGGTGCTGATGTCACTCAGCCCTACGACCCAGAGGAGGACTTGGACATTGCGCCGGATGAGGACTACGTAATTGGTGGCACTGGTGTCGTCAAGGCGTTGATTTGCTGCTTGGACAATTGCGATGAAGAGTTTAGAACTTGCTGCTTGGACAATTGCGATGAAGAGTTGAAAAGACAATCGGGCGAGTTTGTCCGCGACGTCGAGACCGGCCATGTGCACACTAAGCCTCACGCCCCCGTCGGCAAGGCCAAGGAGACTTCCAAGCACCTGCTGCTCAGCGCAAGAAAGATCCGCACCAGGTTACAGCCCGCCATCCAAAAGGCCAGGGACTCGCACGAAGATACCCACGCCTACCACCGTCTCATCTTCCTCGACAACACCCTCAAGGGCATCATCAAGCGCTTCGAGGACGAGTTCCCCGACACCAAGGAAGTTCCCGCCTCCACCACCGCCGCCGATTCCGCCTCCTTCATCTCCTCCGGCTCCTCCTTCACCACCTACCCCTACGACGACGCCGAGAAGCTTCTGGGAACCTCCATCTCCTCCATTGACCTCGCCCCTTTCGCCTCCATCTGGGGCGACGACGCCGACGACGCCGAAGCCGCACAAGCCGCCGCCTTTGGCATCAAACCCCGCGGCCTGGTCCGCTCCAACTCCACCCTTTCTCTGTCATCCCGCGCTCTGGCCGACGAAGAAGCCCGCGTCCTCCGTGCCGGCCACAAGTTCCGCTCCGGCATCGTCAAGCCCGAGCACTACATGCTCCTAAACTACAGCATAGAAATGATCGGCGCGGACCCGAACCACGCCCGCCTCCTGCACGAACTGTTCGACGAGCTCGATGACGACGAGTACACCAAGATGGTGGACGAGCGCGGCGCCGTGGAGGTGTTTATCGAGAACAAGGAGGACGTGGTGCGCAAGATGAGGGAGCTGGACCCGGCGCATTGGGATCGGTTCGTGGAGAGCCAGGAGATGGCGAGGAAGAATGTCGAGGCCCCTGTTCAGGGGAATGCTGTGTTGGCGGATAAGTGCGAGGCGAATATGAAGAGTTTGAATGCGGCTGGGACGGGGGCGCAGGGGACGTCGGAGTTGACGATGAGGTTGAAGGGAGAGAAGGTTGCTGAGGCTAAGGTTGCTGAGGCTGGTGGTGCTGCTGAGCAGAAGTAAGGGTGTTTAATTACGGAGTTGTTAACAAGGATGGGAGGGGGAGGTGATTATTGCTGTCGGTTTAAAGGCGGACGGGTGTTGGGAAGCAAGCACATGCGGGCGTTTTTTGGTGCCGGTTGGAGTTGTTGGTTCCTTTGTTACAAATGGGAGGTTCTCTGTCAGTAAAAAGACAACACTTTTTTGTTTTGTGAGGTATTTGGTTGTTTTTATTTATGGAGCTGCTATCGAGCTTATGTCGTAGCTATCAAGCAACAACAGCATATTTGTTCTCTTAAATACTTGAATTGGATCGCAACGTGAACCGCCAAGTGAACCCGTTGAGCCGCAACTCTGACGATAACGGGACTTGCCGGATTGTGTATAAGCTGTTTAGACAGGCAGATGAACCCATGAACTCCTTGACGCCATTGACAGTTCCACGCTTCGGTATCATCAATCAACCACAACCCAACCAACCATTACAAAGTATTCAAACACTGTTAAGACCACCCACCGCAAATCAATACCCATCCTGCTCCTTCCTCCCATCCCCTTCCACACCCCCCTCTCCCTCCCCCTCTTCTTCTCCCCCTCCATTCCTCCTAACCTCCTCATCCCCCCTCAACTTGGCAAAATACCCCTTAATATCCTCCGCGCTCACCGCCCGTCCACTCTCGGCAAACTCCCTAAAAAAGGGCTTGAGTTTATCCTTCAAATGGTTATAAGCCATGACGCCCTCGATCGCTCGAACTCGGTCGATGTTCCTCAAGGCACTTTCTCCTCTCTCCAACAGCGAGCCCGACCCCTTGCTGCTTCCGCCGTGTTGGGAACGGAGATCGTCATTGACAGAGGAGCCGTCTTCGGAAACGGGTGGTTCGTAGGTTTCTTCCTCTTCGAGGAGCTGCGGGTGCGGGAGGAGGAGGGGGAAGCAAGTGGTGCAGTGGCAGAGGGAGGAACGGAAGTCGGGGGTGGTGGTGAAGAAGAGGGAGAATTTGGAAGGGCCGGGGGGAGGTGGGGGGAGGGAGGAGAGGAGGCAGGGTTTGGGGGCGGCGGAGGGGGCGGAGTCTGGGTCTGGAGTGGGGGAGTCGGTGGTCATAGGGACGTCTGTTGTGGTAGGGGCGTCAATGGTGGTGATGGTTGTTGTAGCTGACTCGACGACGGCAACGGCGGCGGCGGTGGTTGCGCCGTTGGTTGTGATGGACTCGGCCGTGACGGTGGTGGTGGTGGCCGATTGGACGGTTTCTGAGACGGCAAGTTCTTCGGTTTTAGGCTTCTTCTCCTGGGATTCAACAACGTCTTCGTTGTCGTCATCAGAAGCTTTGCGCTTCTTGGACGAGGAGTCGCCGTTGACTTCGAGTTCTGATGTTGCAGTGGTGATTTGCTCGACAGGCTTGCTCCCTTCCTCCTTCAGATATACAGGCGGCAAGAAGCCTTCAGTGCCCGCGTATCTCTTGATCCAGGGGTAGGCTTCGACGCACTTGTAGCAGATGAAACCCTCGAAGTCGTCGTCGGCAGGGAAGCCAGGTGGCGGAGGGGGGTCGTCGTCTTCGTCTTCTTCCTCTGCCTCTTCAGCATTGGCGCCGTTCTGTTCTGTTGTCTCGTCTTCCGCGATGGTAGGCAGGGGACCACCACTTTCGGTCTGAACCTCCGTCTTCAGCGCAGACTTGGGCTTATCCTTCTTCTCCATCTTCTCATACCAATCCGGTCCCAAACCCACGATGCACCCAGGATGGTACCAATCCTCACCACACCCTCCCGTCTCCGCCGTGCCTAGGCCCAGACACTGGAACATGGTCCCCTTCTGCTCGAACGGGTCATAATCGCACTCGCAGCCGCAGAACCTATTCCGGAAGTTCTGGTTGTACTTGTTGTTCGCATCTGGCTCCTCCGAGTGCACGCCGCCCTTGGTGCCCGTCTCCTCGTTGATGCGTAGATTGCACGGGCTCGTGGCCGGGAAGCGGGTAGTGCCGCAGTCGCAGGTAAAGTTGCGCTTGGCAAAGATCTCGACGAGGGTATGCTCGCCGTGGCACTGGACGGAGCAGGAGTAGCAGATTCCCGCGGCGTTGTAGGGCGCTTTAGGGTCGGCGGGTGGTGGGTTGCAGGTCAGGCAGGAGAAGACGGCCTGGCGGAGGGGACCGAGGGGCTTGGTGCAGTTTTCGATGCTCTGGTGGGAGGTTAGGATTGAACTTGGATGGGGAAAAGGAAGGGATGCGCACGTATGGAAGAGCTTCGCGCGCGTCGGCCTCTAACTGCATTTGGTCGCGGATGAAGCTGGGCTATCGTTAGTACTCTGTCCTATGGTGATTCCAGTATTTGACAACATACTCTGCGGCAGTCTGAGAGTTTTCCGACTTCGCGGAGAAGCTCTCAGTACGAGTCTTGGTAGGCGCGACTGATGCGGAAGCTTCATGGCCGTCCTGAGTGGCCTCGGCGGGCTGTTGCGCCGGTTGGGGGTCCATTGGATTGAGTTCACGGTCGGTCTTTGATGATTGGGGAATCAATATGCTGAAGATAGGAAAGGCTTGGAAAATGTGACGGGGAATGAAAAATGGGTTCTGTCAGAAGTATTTAAAGAAGAAATGGTTGCTGGGGCGCGAGAAGGATGGGGGCGCGTTGGTGAAAGGCGTAAGAGTACGGGAGAAGGGTCGAGCTCACATGTACCTTTGACTTAAGGCACTGTAGGTTTCCAAGCAGCACCGATTGGAATCAGGTATCAGGATGTGTTCTTGAAGCTACTCTATATCAATCATCTCTTCTCGAGGCATGTAGCAACTTTCAGCTCATGCTTTGCTTCTTCTACTCGTCATTGTTCACTTGGTCTTTGAGCTTTTGTGACTTTTGGAATCTCGACAGGTCGAATTGGCGTGTAAGAGCAGCACCAAGTGGGTCCGGTACGTACTGCCAAGCCCATTAAACCAGCAACCACTTAACGCGACCGTCCTTATTCGGCCTAGCGCGTCACGTCTGGCGCGTCTTCCCTTGACTGCAACGCGAAAAAAAGCAGGGGCAAGGTCGGTTTTGGTAGGGTCGCAAGCGAATCGCAAGGGCGACATTCAGTGGTTCCTCGACGCTGTTTGTCTCCATTCCTCTCTCTCTCACCCCGCAACCTATCCTCTCTCTGGCTGGCATTCTCCATAGCAACAACCAGGCCACCATCTCCATTCTCTTGTTTCTTCCATCTGTAGCTGGCTACAGTACTCTGAGATACCCTCCAACAAGTCACAATCATGAGGTATGTTCTGCTCTTCTGAAACGGCTTCTCTTGCAAGTAAACAGTGACTAACTAAACATTGTGAACACCAGTTCCCCGCTTCGCGACAACCCGTCCTCTGCCAACCGCGGCGCCGTTCCCAGGGCCACCCGCAAGCGTGCGCGCAACGATAACGATGGTGCTTCTTCGCTTCCCCGGGCTTCGAGCCCCGTCATGCCCTCTTCTCCTCCTGCCTTCCCAGTTGCCCATGGCGTAGACGAGGACGACGACATCGAGGAAGACGTCGCTGCTGAGCTCGAAGACGACATTGACGACCTCGACGAGTTGGCCGAAGACGATGTAGATCTGTTCCGCGAAGGCTTCGAGCGCGATTATAGGGAAAGAGACGAGAACGACGCCTACGAAGGAATTGACATCGACGATGAGGAGTACGAGGCCCTCGACCCTGCCGCAAGGCGCCGTCTCGAAGCCAAGTTGGCCCAGAGAGACCGTCAAGTCAGGATGGGAATGGGCACTACATACCTTCCTGGTGAAGACGACGACGGTGATATCGACCTTACCAACCTGGAACGCCGCCGAAGGATCCGCTACAATGAAGACCCCGATGTCGATATGGATGGCGACATTATGGACTCGGAACTTCCTCTGGAGGCCCTGATGGATGTCAAGGCTGCCAGCTTGAGCGAATGGATCTCAGTCCCGGCTGTCCAGAAGACCATTCGCAGAGAATTCAAGGCTTTCCTCACAGAGTATACCGACGAGAGCGGCTCGTCCGTTTACGGTAACCGCATTCGTACTCTCGGTGAGATCAACGCCGAGTCGCTCGAAGTCTCCTACGAACACCTCGCTACGGCCAAGGCCATTCTTGCATACTTCCTCGCCAATGCGCCAACCGAGATGCTCAAGCTCTTCGACGAGGTTGCCATGGAGGTCGTCCTTCTCCATTACCCCGACTACGAGCGCATCCACGCCGAGATCCACGTCCGTATCTTCGACCTTCCCATCCACTATACCCTCCGCCAGCTCCGCCAGTCGCACCTCAACTGTCTTGTGCGCGTGAGCGGTGTCGTCACCCGCCGTACCGGTGTCTTCCCCCAGCTCAAGTACGTCAAGTTCGACTGCACCAAGTGCGGCGTCACTCTCGGTCCCTTCCAGCAAGAGTCCAACGTCGAAGTCAAGATCACCTACTGCCAGTCCTGCCAGTCCCGCGGTCCCTTCACCCTCAACTCCGAGAAGACCGTCTACCGCAACTACCAAAAGCTCACCCTCCAAGAATCCCCCGGCACCGTTCCCGCCGGCCGTCTGCCCCGTCACCGCGAGGTGATCCTCCTCTGGGACCTGATCGACAAGGCCAAGCCGGGCGAGGAGATCGAGGTCACCGGCATCTACCGCAACAACTACGACGCGCAGCTCAACAACCGCAACGGCTTCCCCGTCTTCGCCACCATTCTCGAAGCCAACAACATCGTCAAATCCCACGACCAGCTCGCCGGCTTCCGCATGACCGAGGAAGACGAGCACGAGATACGCCGCCTCTCGCGCGACCCGCACATTGTCGACAAGATCATCAACTCCGTCGCCCCTTCCATCTACGGACACACCGACATCAAGACCGCCGTCGCCCTCTCCCTCTTCGGCGGTGTTGCCAAACAAGTCGGCGCCCACCATATCCGCGGCGACATCAACGTCCTGCTCCTCGGCGATCCGGGCACCGCCAAGTCGCAAGTGCTCAAGTACGCCGAAAAGACCGCCCACCGCGCCGTCTTCGCCACGGGTCAGGGTGCTTCCGCCGTCGGTCTGACGGCTTCCGTCCGCCGCGACCCGCTCACTTCCGAATGGACCCTCGAGGGCGGCGCCCTGGTCCTCGCAGACAAGGGCACCTGCCTGATCGACGAGTTCGACAAGATGAACGACCAGGACCGCACGTCCATCCACGAGGCCATGGAACAACAAACCATCTCCATCTCCAAGGCCGGTATCGTCACCACTTTGCAGGCGCGCTGCGGCATTATCGCGGCTGCTAACCCTATCGGCGGGCGGTACAATTCCACGATCCCGTTCTCTGCCAACGTTGAGTTGACGGAGCCGATTCTCTCCCGTTTCGACATCCTTTGCGTCGTGCGCGACACAGTCGAGCCCGAAGAAGATGAGCGGTTGGCGCGGTTCATTGTGGGCTCGCATTCGAGGAGTCATCCGTTGATGAACACCCAGGACGCCTCTGCTAATGCCGCGGGCGGTGGTGACTCGATGGAAGTCGAACAAGACACGCAAGCCAACGCTGGTCAGGCTGAAACCCAAACGGGTGAGCACGGTCGTAAAAAGGAAGGAGAGATCCCGCAGGAGTTGTTGAGGAAGTATATCCTCTATGCCCGCGAGCGGTGCCAGCCCAAGTTGTATCACATGGATGAGGATAAGGTGGCGAGACTTTTTGCGGATATGAGGAGGGAGAGTTTGGCGACGGGGGCTTATCCTATTACTGTAAGTTTTGTTTTGTTCCCCTCCCTCTTTCGTCTTTTCCGTCTTTACTACCATACCTACCTACCTACCTACCTACCTACCTACCTACCTACCAGCAGTTGCAGTTACTAAAACCAACGAAAAACAAAACAGGTCCGCCATCTAGAAGCCATCATCCGCATCTCCGAAGCCTTCTGCCGCATGCGTCTCTCCGAGTACTGCTCCGCCCAGGACATCGACCGCGCTATCGCCGTGACCGTCGAGTCCTTTGTCGGCTCGCAAAAGGTCAGCTGCAAGAAGGCGCTTGCCAGGGCTTTTGCCAAGTACACGCTTAACAGGCCGGGTACTATGGGCAATAATGGCTCCGGGAGTGGTACTTCCCAGGGGAGAAGGGGTGGTGGTAGGAGGGGTGTGAGCGCTGCTGCTTGAGATTCTGAGGGTTCTGAAGTAAGTGGGGGGATGTCAAATTATGTTTTGTGAAGGGATTGGAAGTTTACACGGTTGGGATTTGTTTGGGTTGCCTTATGAGTTTTTGTACTAGGGCTTGATCAGAGCCGGAGTGGAGGCGTTGGGTATATCATGTTGTATGCTTGCTGTTGTTGACGGCCAATGTCATGTTTTCCTGTTGTTCGACTAAAATAGAACACCAAGTGATGAAACCAAAGCCTGGCATTATCAGCAATCGTATTTGCCTCCATCTATCTAGTGTCGTATCATTCCTTCATAACATCATGATGTAGCTCTCCTATTTGTGATACCCTGTCCCATCGTTACCACGCCAACAAGAAGAAGGCAAACAACCGTTCTTCCATCTGATGTGTGTAAAACACCCACCGCTTCTCTCGATTACTGTCATTCCATTGCCCTTTCCCTCCCTCGAATGACAAATAGACAATGCTAAACCACACAGCCTTAGTCCATACACACGTACGTCTATGCACGTAATGAAATACAAGACAATATGCCCTTCCCCCAAAGTTAAGCAAACAGTAGTTATGAAAGCGCAAAACGCCAGAAAGTTGTGATGCCACCATATCCCGCTTTCCTTGTAGTAATGCATCGCCTGGCTTTGCCACAAACGCCGATGTGTGCATAAGAAAAGATCCAGTTGTGGTACCCATAACAATGAAACCGGCTGTAGCAGAAAAATGCTTGAAATATGACTGCTCCTAATTGTCCCATGCGAATTAAGTTGCAGCTTTGCCACTGGCTTTGCCGATATCAGCCAAGCGAGCAGATGGCCAAGGCTTCTAAAGGTGGTCGCTTAGCACTCCAATTGAATGCTCATAACGGAAAATAGTAGGAAATGTTGAGGGAAAGAAAAGAAGTATGGTCGGAGTAGCCTTATTTCAACAGCCCAAAGCAGACTATGCCGCTCCAATTCGTGGCCAATCGAAAGACAACCAGCCGCTGTTCCAAACGGTTATCGAATGGTGTTCAGATCGGAAAGGAACTTTGTCGCAATGTAGCAACCCCGTACAAGGGTGTGATATCCCAGAGTTCATACAATGGACCCCAAATGATTCGAAATCCTATCCACGGTGGATATCCAGCCAACATATCCGACCGACAAAACCTAGGCACACATATACTTCTGGTGAAGGGGCGGTGCAAGACAACTGACCTCTAACCGGCAAGACGATATCGACTCGGGATGCAAGGTAACTAATGAATGCCCCAAGATGCTTACTCAAACGTCAGTCATCGTCGTATCGAACTGTTCCGTGGTCGAAGCGGTCTCCAAGCCCCAGTTGCCTTCGTACACCGTTGCCCCGGCGGTCCTGCGGCAAGCAACCCAGTCAACGGACTCTATCTTCAGTAGATCCTCGGCCGTAGGTCGATTCGCAGGCTCAGGCTGGATCATCCACCGGACAACGCTGTCTAGCGAATGCGGATCATTGGCATCCATCATGAACCTTGGGGGTTCCTGGAGCTCGCTTCTCTTTTGCGCACCAAACAAGTTGCTCGGGTCATATGTGACTGAGCTGAAAGAAAGATTGCGACGTTCCTGACTGGCGGAGAGATCGCCATCCTCGGTAACAGTCTGTGCATCCCGGACAATACCGCTAGCATCACTCGAGGTAAGACTAGGCACAACCGTCAAATCGCCATTTCGAAGGGCCTGCCACGTGGGACCGTTGTCGGGAAGATAGACATTGCAAGCAATCTCCAAGATGATAAGCCCGAGAGCAAAGATATCGGCTGGCTTGTCGTACTGTCCCAACAAGATCTCAGGCCCAATGTATTCTCGGTCACCTTCGCCCTCGACCCCTTTGGGAGCCGGCCATGGAACTGCGAATCCAAAGTCGCCGATCTTAAGATAGCCGTCGAACCCGATGAAGATGTTGGCAGGTTTCAGATCCAGGTGAATGAAGCCAGCGCCGTGAATAGCGGAAAGTCCCTGCAATCAATCAGTTAGCATGCCATTGTTAGAGATTCGGAAGCAATTCGGCCTACCTGGCTTAGTTCAAGCAATGTCTTCCAGATGCGGAAATCATCCATCCTGCCGTTCTGCCCAACCTCTCTGAGGAATGCGTCAAGACTGCCTTCGGTGCAATACTCAGTCTGGATGTACAGACATCCATTTTGTTCCCAGCTATCGACATAGTGCACGATCTTGTCAGAAGTACTCAGGGCCTTCAAAACGGTGACCTCGCGCATTTTGCTTTCGCGTTGCTTCTCACTATGGCCAGAGAAAGCGATCTTCTTGACAGCATAGACCTTCTCAACCGCGGGCGTATGTCTGCCAGGAGTTGATGTAAACGACGAAGAAAAGGAAGCCATTGTGGAGCGTTGGACAACACGATACACTTGGGAAAAGGCACCACCGCCAATCACCTCAGCCTTGTCGAAGCGACTATACACTGCTTCATCGACATTGTTGGGGGCATTCAAGTTTTGGGGCGTAGAGCTGAGTCGACGGTTCTGTCCCTTGGCAAGTGGCTGCCCTTCTGGTGTTGCTGACGGAAATCCTTGGCCTACGAGTGTTGTAGGTGTCGACGGCGACCGAGCAAACTTGACACTGCCTTTGCGAGCATTTGAGATCGACAGATAACTTCCGTCGGGCGGGCCCATAGTTTCCGAAGGTGTCTTAGGATTCCTTGGATTCAAAGGGCTAGCTGAATCAGGTGTATGCCGTTCTGAGGCTTCCACTATGGTGGGGTTGGTCTTGACGGGGGCAGGGGTGGTGAAGGAGTTGCCGCGTCCGCGGCGCATGGTGAAGGAAGGAAGAGACTGGCTCATCCGCGGCGAGTCTTTGATGCCAGCCGGAAGAGGTTTACCGTCGGCCGTGGTGGGACGATCTGTCTGCCCGTTGCTGTGAGGACCCAGTGGACTTGTAAATCCGAAGCTTGAGCTCGGTGTGCTGTGCTCCTTGCTAATGCCGAAAGCAGACGCAGAATGCGTAAACCGTGTGGCAGTGGGGGTCATCTGTGCCTGTTGCGGGTGTGCTGGCGTTGATTGTGACTTGAAAAGACTCTTAGTCGGTGTTGGCGGGGGAAAGTCATCGGACTCAGGTGAGTCTCCTGCATCCTCGCCCTCAAAACTCAACAGACTTGCTCTTCGAAGGTTATTTCCACGAATTTGCTTGAAGAACAGACTTGCGGATCGGTCCTGGGGAGCGAATGGGCTGCCGCGCGGCGTGCTCGAAGCATCAGGAAGAGGGGTAGTTGCAGTGCCAAAAGACAATCTGGACCGCCTGGCACTTCCCAGCGGTTTTGGGGGAAACGTTGAAGAGTCGTAAGGCTGCTTCTTGCAAGGAGTGTCGGGCATAATCCCGGAATTATCTCCAGGACGCTTAGGCGGGCCAGCCTCGGGGTTTCGGTTCATCTTGGACACCAGTCCTGTTGACATGAAGGCAGCCTGAAATGGCTTGGCTCGCTTGTATTTTGGTGTAGCCACGGGCGGTGGGATCTTTGCACCTAGGGGGCGAGCTCCCAAAGGCAGTGACTGTGAGAAGTTCAGAGGTACCCTGGGCTTTTCGCCCAAGCTCACAGGAGGATGCGTGGGCGACTCATCGGGGAGGCTAGAGCCAGACGAAGACTGTGTGATAGTCCGAGACAAGGGGTGACGCTGGGCTGGCGGCCGAGGAAACGGATGAACCGAGGCGCTGGGCAAAGGCGCCTGAGTAAAGGGGCTGCCGCGGTCATCAGGCGGGAGATACTGATCGAGGGACAGCCTTGGCCTGGTCCGGGTTGTGCTAGTAGCAGGAGCAACAACTTTTGGTGCCTGGTTCAGCTGTTTCTCTCCAACACGCCGACCCAACGAGATGCGTTGATCATCATGGCGTTGCTGTAAAGTACTCTTGCGGAGAGAGGTCGTTCGTTTGGGTAGGCTCGAAACGTCAGGCGAGGCCACAGAATCCTGAGGAGGGGTGGTACGGCGAGTGGACGACCGCAGTTCGTATCCTTTGGGCGCATCGTCATCGGCGTCGAACGGGTGCGATGTCGCTGGAGGGTCATCGAGGAGGTTAGCCCCGACACCCAGACTGCGCCGCTTAGGGACTGGGCTTCCCAGAGTAGCGTGGTCCATGATCAATGTCACCTCGGTATGATGGACCGGGCTTGCCTCGGGGCTTGCTATCGGGCTAGGGCTGCGCGAGGAATGGCTTCCGCAGCGGGGACGGGCTTCAGGAGCCGAGACGGATGGTGGGATGGGGTTGCCCGAGTCCCTGTGGGAGCCAAAGCACCTTCTCAGGGGACTCTTTTGGGACATTCGTGACCTGGATAACGGCCTGTTGACCGGTCTGGAAGGTCTCAACGAACGGGCCGAGAGACGCTCGCTGGGTTTGAGCGGAGTAGAACCTTCACGCAAAGGCCGTTGCGAAAGTGAAACAGCGAGTGAGGAAAGGGACTGTGGTGAACCGGCTGGCGTAGTCGAAGCTTGGCGAGCTCTGGAGGGTGATCGTGCAATGGATCTTCGTAACGATCGAACGGAATGGATGTGTGTCGGCGAGGGTAGGGTAAGCGTACCCCCACTCCCATTCGGATATGACATATCTTGGACAGCAGTCAATGTCTGTCTTTGTTGTTGTGTTGTGAGAGGTGATAGGAGCCCGTTTGAGGGACAGTCGTAAAAGGGAAGACTGAGTGGTCAAGCTGGAATTCCAGACTCCGATAACCTAATGAAAAGGCGGCGTGATGTCGTGACGTAAAAGAGCCGTTGAATGGTCGGGTAGTAGCATAGATCGAGAAGTTGAGAGAAACCAGTAAAACCGAGACGGAGAGAAGTCGAGTCTGGCCAACGGGATTTGTCACAAGAACACGTCAGATGTTGAGAGGCGAGACCAGTTCATTCCCAGACCAAGCCTGGCATCTTCCGAGGCAGAAAGTGCTCCCGATGTTTTTCGCTCCTTCCTCCAATGTTGCTCCTCTGTTGGGGTAGTTCCAGTCCAAGCTCCTTCCTAGCGACTTACAATGTGCATGTCGCCAACTTTGGGAAGTTGCACTCTTGCGGCCAAGAGGCCGATCGGGGCAACTGCGCAGGTGCTGCGCGCGCGCACTTGACGAGGCAGCCTCGGTTCGTCGGTGACTTGGTGATTGCCTCACTCCAATGTTTCGGAGTGTTGATGTACCTCTAGTGAGAGACGGGTTCCGCGCCGTATCAGGCCGTACTGTATGTAATTCGGTGTCTGGTATGGGCGGCGGGGAGGGTTGCGATCGCTGGGGGTGGGGCACGCGGGCGCTGACGCAAACAATGGAGGGAGTTTAAATGCTAAATCGATGACAATGGACAAGTGATCGCCGTCCAGAATTCGCTGAGGAATACCAGAGCGCCGTAAGGGATGGGATGAGAATGGATCGAAATCCGAGACCGAAAGCCAAGGGTTGGATATGGAGGTTGTCAAGGTCGATGGAGGTTGTATCGTATGAAGGTTGTACGGGCAGTGAATGGGCGCACAAGAAAGTGCAAGTGACAGGGAACTTAATAGGATTCACCTGCAACACTGGCCGGATTGTTTACTAACGCTGGGGCACTGCTACAGTGCCACTACCAATTTGTACGCGTTGTGCAGGCGCGTTCGTCACTTTACGCAGGTGCGCGCCAGTGGGAAAGTGGCAAGGGTACCAGTGCCCTGGCCTGCCAGCGTGCCTGCCTTAGCTCATTGCACTGTGACCCCAAGATCCCACTTTTTTTGACCATCGTGATGCACCTTTTGCTTGCTCCCGCTTTCCAACATCGAAATCAGATTTTAGTGACAGAAGGAGGCTGTTTCGGATGTGTGAATCCATTCCTTTTCCCCAATAAGAGCCTTCAGGTTTCTCCCCATTGCCAATATAATTGAATGGGTGCATTCACGCCTCAAACCCTTGCTGCATCAGACAGAGACAGAACTATTTTGTGGATCTTCAACCTTGTGGGACGAACTGCGGAACTTCACCGCTCCAGCCAGCTGTGCCGGTAGCAAAAGCGTTTTAAGGAGGGCAAAAATACACCAACGAAACGTCACGAGGTCGACACAAAATCAGTCAGTCAGGTCGCCTGAGTCTGGTCTTGGACTCCACGTCCGTTGGTTCTTTTGCTCTTTCCAGTTTCCACAAGATGAGATCTCGGTGATAGACAAGCGGCAGCTACCAATCTTCCTTCCCGGGGACCCTTGATCATCTGGCCCGGACCAATCAGACGAACTGTTCGGAGCGGCTTGCTAGGATCTTTTGGCCCATCCGCCAATGGGGAGCAAGATGGAGAAGCCGTTTGAATCCACATTTTGGCATTGTCGATTCAACATCCAACTTTGCGAAGGAGAGATCCAAAGTTCTAAACTAACCACATCAAAGCTTTTCAACTGAATGTACGGAGTTAAGTTGTATCCCAATGTCTCTGGCTGTCCAGGCCAGCGTCCACCAAGATGATATCAGTCACTCTGTTCTATGCCTTTATTCAATTCTATTCAATTCTCTGTTGATCATCCAGCGGCAGCAATATTCCGGCACTCTGTCTCAACTTGAGGCCATTTGGGAATGCGGCAACTTTTCAATCCAACTTCCACAAGACACAATGGGAAACCTCCCATGACCTTTCCCGTTACTTCTAGTGACGCGGGTATTTCTGATCTCCTACTTGTCGATGACGCGCGCTGTCAACAACGAACTCCATATCAGATCCACATTCCATAAAGCATGTGCCATTTCCCCTTTGTTTCTCTTTTGGGCCACCCTGTTGGTCCCTTGAGACGTTTCTCCTCATTCCTGGAATTCCAGGGACTCAGAATCTGAAGGACCAAGCCACTCGCCCTATGGGCCTGACGCAGGGCAGCGGGCATGAAGAAGGGAACGGACGTCACGGCACGGTAGTTGACGAGGTACGTACCTTTTCATCCTTCATAAGACAGCCAATCAGAGATGGACCATGGTTCGGATCACGGACCACCAGCGTTACACCGCGGTCTGCGTGGCAGCTGCCGGCGACAACTCACTTCCTCCCAGCCAGCCAACAGAGCCTCACATCCCCGCAAAGTTTAATCGCAACATGGTCCCAGCCTCCAATTCGCGTCTCGTTTCGTTTGATGTTTCCACGTTTACGAAACGGATCGTTGGAATACTATGGTGATATGGCGAGTTCAGGATGAAACAGGCGCGACTGGTACAAAAAGAGACTGCAAGCTAACGCCATTCCTTGTTTCAACTACTGCACATGGAAAAAGAGAGGCCATGGCCGCATGGGCCAGCTGGACGAACGACAAACACCATGCTGTCAATGGCGAAAAAGCGGCTCGAGTGAAAACCAGGTACGATTCACGCGGACTGACAGGCTGGACGGTAAGAAGAAGGAGAATTCACTTCGGTCTCAAAAATAAGAACCACCCATTATAGTACGCGCCAGAGACGCCGCCAACCAACTACCAACAAACAGATATGACCTAACATGATACAACTCTCGCGGCTAAGGGTATCGCCATGAATCAGGGTCCGATGATCTCTTCCCTAAGTTATGCCCAAAATGACTGCGGCCAAGATTGACCGGTCATCTGAATTCCATCAGTCCCTCAAGCCCGGCGGTTACTTTGCCTCAAGGGTGTTTTGATCCCGGATCACCAGACCAATCCAAAATCTCCATCGGTAGGACGACCATCCAACAGTGCATCAAATCAGTTGAAGTCGTAGTTGAAGTTGGGGCTCCAAGAGCAAATCTTCATGGCCGAACTTATTCCAATATGCGCATGAGTGTTTAGATCAATTCAGGGCGTAGTCGCTCTGGTCAGATATGAGCACGCTTCATGATCAGCTGAGTGGCCCTCGTTGTCTACAGATATGGGCTCCAGGAACCTTAACATTTGTGGGCGTCTACGGAGCGGAAGATGCAAGCCTAGCAGAAGAATAACAATAGTCTCTTTTCATTGTTGTCGGCCACTGAGAAAGAACTTCTTTCAATTTTTTCCCTAGCCTGTATGAGTCCCTCGGCTCCAAGTATAGCCGATTGTCTCGATCCGAATGCTCAAGTATCCCCATCTCGATGGAGGCGTAGACCCGGCAACGTGCGAGCAGCAACACGCAAGGTATAAATCATTTATGACTCCTCCTACGCCTAGGCGACAAAAGCGACAACCACCCTCGTACCTCCCCACAGGATCAGGAGGATCAGGATCAGAATCCTCTTACTCTCTCAGAACCTGGACCGCTTCGCACCTCCCTCCCTTTTTCCCTCCTCCTCCTCCACTTTCCTCTTCCTTTCCAACCCCCTCTCCCTCCCCCTCTCCATCCCCATCTCCCATCATTTCCATCTCCATCTCCTCACCCCCCTCGCCCCTTGGACACCCTAAGCCCACCTAGTCCTAACAAACTCAACCCACTTCCCAATATCCTCCACCGTCTCCAACATCTTGCCCAGATCCTCCACCCGCCTCTCCCTTCCATTCGGCGCCACACTGTTCCGCTCGTCGAGCACGTTCTGCGATTCCACATGTACTTGCCCGTTCTCGCGGATCTCGAGCACGACAATGGCGGTTTCCGAAGAGCGGAAGGGGAAGGCGATTTGTAGCCGCGGAGCGTGGACCATGGTTAGGTTGATGTCTATTTTGATTGCTTCTGGGTCTGGTCCAGAGGGTCCAGAGGTGATGGTGTGGTTGTTGGGGCCGCCGGTGGGCGGGGCTTGGGTGTTGAAGTGGGAAATGGGTTGGGAGTGGGCGGCTTGGGAGGGGAGAAGCTGTTGGGAGGCGCCGTCGATGGACATGGGGACGGTGCCACTGAGGTTGTGGCTGTGGTTGGGTTGGGAGACGGGGTCGATGGACATGGAGGTGGAGATGTCCATTGGTGTTGGGGCATCGTCACTAGGAGATTTGATGGTGGCGGGGGAGAGGCTCATGAAACGGTCGAATTCGTCGCGGTTGGTGGTGGTCTTTTTGGAGAGGGAGTCTAGGTGGATGATGGTCTGGGGAGGAGCCCGTTTGGGACCGGAGTCTTCTTTAAAGCTGTTTTCTAGTAGGGTGGAGAGGAAGGCGTATTGCCTGAGGTAGGGCAGCATGGCGATGAGGTGCTGCGGGTGTGAGAAGGAGGCCTCGGTTAAGGTCTTGCCGTATACTGGTTTGTAGATGTAGAGTGAGTTGGCGTGTTTCCTCGACTTCCAAGCTGGTGAGCCTGGTAACTGGTACTTGATGTCCTTGGTGTAGTGGATTTCTCGTGGTTCAGTCGGGTCGTAGTAGCCGCCGGGTGCTATGGGGAACACGAGGTTATCGAAGGACTTTGACGCATCCATGGCTGGTATTCCAATGCCCATACTCCGGAACTGTTCCCATAGACCATAAGAGATATGGATAGGAGGATCGAAAGTGGCGCTGAAAGTGACCGAGGGCAGACGCGGGCCCAGGAGAGAATCCCCAGCCTTTTCAGGATCTGGTGGAACGAGTGTATCTTCGGGCTCGAGCCAGTCAACCATAGGACCCGTTTGTAGATCTCCAGGAATATGAGGCCTCTCAACATTCTCGGAGATCCAATGGTGAGAAGCCCGAACCGGATGGACGTTCACATCGAGACTCATGTTGATGGGGGCACATCCGACAAGGATTCCCCAGATCTTTTCGTGCTTCTCAACATGGGCGGCCATCTCTGGGTTTGCTGGGGGCTGAAGATGCTTGTTCTTCCAGTAGTCAATTCTCATGCCTACTTTGCCCCTGGCGTTCATCGCAGGAGTTCCGCTGCGTGTACAGAGGACGATGTTGCGAAGATACTCATCACTCCGTCCAGCAAGGGACGCATCCTCACGAATCTTTTGTAGCTCCCACTGATGCAACCGGCTCAGGCTGTCAAAGACCCCGGCAATAGCCTCGTACAGGTTAAGTACCGAGGCAATGCTCAGCTTATCCAAGATGGCCAGACGCTCAAAGTTGACAGAAAACTTGTCGAGTTGCTTGGTCAATGGACTTTGGCCGGGCTGAAGCTTGAGGTTCTCCAGAAGGATCTTTCCTGCATCTTCGGCGTGCTTGTTGACACTATCCGAAGACTCGGGAAAAGCCAAAGCAAGTGACTGAACGATGTTGTCTGTGAAGCCTATGAGAAGCTCGAGGGCTGAACCAGCTATGATAAGGGTTCGCTTCGACTCTCCGGCGATATGCTCATCCCACATGCAGTCGAGTTCTAGCTTTTGGGCCAGTCTCTCAAGGCCGGCCTCACTGACGTAACCGCGGTTTCGGCTGAGGATGGAGATGACTTCATCTAGTCGTTTGGCCTTTTCATCCTCGGTGTTCCTCCCAACTTGAAGGCCAGCCAGACCACCCAGGCTCTTAAAATCCAGGTCAGACAGCTGCAAGTTGCTAAATGCAGCGGCAGCAGAGGGACTATCAAAGCTGACAGCGCTGGTGCTGGTAGGATGATTTAGCAGGGCAGCAGCCGAAATGGCCGGGGACTTCTTGAATGCCTGCGGCGAAAGACGGGAACCGTGAGGGGATAAAGCAGCATGGGCCATGGAAAAGGGAGTTGACACAGGAGGGGTGGCTGCTGCTCCTTGTTGTGTCTGTGAGGGCGTCCTGCTGCTCCCCTGCTGGGAAAGAGTATGCTTCATGGGGGTTGGCGTGGTCATCTTGCCGTTTGTTTATATGAATGAGCCTTTGCCGTCCCGGGCAAGACTTGGACGGTCGGTCTCTAATATCTCGCTGCCTCCTCTGAATATGCAGTCGTAGGCGCTCTCTCAGTCGGTATTGAAATGTGTCGATAGCTGACCGAGCTTAAAACATGTTTCTTTGCCGTTGTCGAAAGTGGGAATGAAAGCTTAAAGTCCCTCGAAAGTTGACAGACAGCGGCCAATTAACTGAGACCAAAACCTGGGAAAGTGAATGGAGGGTCAGTCTTCCGAGTTCTCTCTGCTGCTCGTGATCCCAAATAATGATAGTTTTGATTGATATGGGCCTGCCCAAACGACCCCTTCCAATGGATCAATATGATGATTAAACGCGTGTTGAATGGCTGTTTCACCAAACAAATTATGTGGAAGTGTGAAGGAGAGGGAGCAAAGCAGGAACGAAGACGGGAAGCCGAGTTGAAGTCGGCGATTTGTTCGGTTGGTGTTGAAGTGAAGGGCGTGCACGGACCCCTGGCTGCCTTACATCACTGACGGTGCCCGTGTACTGGTAGGCGCCTAACCCACTGTAACCGCCTCTGGCTTCAGCGGTCCTTCACTGACTTTGGCACCTGCAATCCCAGGGTGGGTGGGGCCACGGCAGCTCCCACCGGCAGGCATGAGGTCAGCTCCTGCAATGCGCAACAGCAAGTGGAAAGTGCCCCTCGACAATCAACATCCAATGTCAACAAGACAAAACCTCCCAGCAACAAACATCTTCCTCTTCCTCTTCTTCTCAACCATCATCTCCCGTTCTCGCGCACGATTTTCCACGGCCAGTATACGTCTCGATTAGCAAAAAAATAGCTGAAGTAGCCGAGTTCAGTACCAACGCGCGCTAGCTATCAACATCACCATCGCATAAACGCCATCGACCATCGAACAAGCCGCTCCTATCTTTTATCCCGGCCACGACACCGGTCACGGACTCTTCGTTACGTCTACATACCTCGCGGCATCCATTACTCTACCGTCACAATAGTGCTGGGACGCTCTACGAGTCGCCCCCGATCGGGCTCAGACAGGGACAACGAAGGTCCGGACAAAGACACACGCGCATCCCCAGATTCGCGACAGTTACTGGAAACCACGACAGGGAAAACAGCCCAGTTAGCAAGTAGGGTTCCTCTGGACCCTTCACCGAACACAAGCTCTCCGTTTATCCACGGCTCTGCCTTGAATCCAGAGCCTCAACGCCGGCCACGAGAAGGCTCACAAAAGGAGGATCACGACCCTGATCGAGCCCCTTCTTCCAGCACACCATCCGGTCAACGTAGACAGATTCTGGAGCCGCCAAGTCTTGAATGGATCCGTGGACAGACGCGAACGAGTGCATCTAAGGACTAGAAACCTGATTCTGCTGCGACTTCGGATCCTTTGTCGAGTTCAGATCCTTCGCCAACACCTCCCAATTCGCCGAGGCCCCGTTCCGCAAGCGTAGTTCGATCTCCGGGCACACCTCGTGCGTCTGCAACACCTCGCCTTGACCTAGTTCGAGAGATCAGTGGCGATAACGTTGCTCAGACCTTGGAAGCTGCCAGTGCGTATGCTGAGTTTGTCGAGGACGTAAAGGATCCAAAGTCTGTAAGCCGACCTTGTGAACCCAGGTCACCTCTCCCTACTCCGCGCGAACTTCCAATATCATCGAAAGGCCGACAAAGAGAAAAATCAGAAGCAACAGACGAAGAAGAAGAGGACATGAACGGCATGCACGCTGGTAATATGCCCGCCGCCATGGTTGGCCTCCCCACACCGGCAGGGCACCAAGCCGAGCTAAATTACATCTACGGCCTGGTCGAGGAGTTGAGTCGACAACTTGCGCAGAACCAACGCGCCCTAGAGGAGGTAGTCTCAGGCGTTGGTAAAGTGCGTGGGCGGGCAAGGTCACAATCTCTCACCAATGACGAACTGCTCAATGCCGCAGGGGAAGAACTCAAGAGTATGCTCGCCCGTCCTCTCATATAATATGATCATAGCTGCAAGCCTGCTAACTCGTTTGGGGAATTTCAGACCAAGATGAAAACATAGACCAACTAGTGTCCATTCTCACCGAGGCCCTTGAAAAGGCCAAGTTCTCCCGGGACGCCAACGCCGCCCTTCTTTCACAGTACTCACAAGTCATGTACACCATGCTCAAGAAGTTTCACGAGTACAAGGCTAAACATGTCCAAGATGTGGCAGCCTGGCACCACTCATACCGCGCCCAACTAGCCGAGGCGCGCGCCGAGAATTGTCGACTCCGCGAGCAGATTTGGGAAATGCAGGCGCATGCCGGCAAGGCCAACGAGCTTGTGCGCAAGTTCCGCGCCGAGTACGACAAGGACGAAAAGCGATGGGAGCGTACGGTGGATGCCAAGGCCATGAGGCAGGAGCTACGGTTCTGGAAGAGGATGGCGATGCCGGAGCTGCCGGATGACGATGAGTTCTGGAGTGATGACGACGATATCATTGATAGAGCTGAGAAGGAGAGGCAGAAGGAACTGCAGAAGTTGGATGCTGAGCAGCAGGCACAGGCTGCTCAGGCTGTTGCGGAGGAGGCGGCTGCGAAAGAGGCTGCTGAAAGTAGTGGTTTGGGAGAGATGAGTGGGAGTAATGGTTCTGGCGTGACGGGCGTACCGCCGGAGGTACCACAGCCGCCAGTTTCCTGATCGTACGGCTTGAGCCCGTAAACTTGGTCATCTGTTTTTCGTGTTCAGCGGCGTTATCGGGGGATACTTCTGCATATAGTATCTATGAGTGGGAAAGTGTGTATACAATCAGCTCGTAAGCGACTAATACAAGCGCAATCACAATACCCTTGAAGTGTAACTGGTGGAGTCCTAGATGCTTCAGGTTTAATAGACCACGTGGAAGGAAGAGACAAGGCGTTTGGTTTGATCTATGTCCTAAGAAGCTCTCACGAAGAAGCTTTCGCGGGTGTAGTTTTGGCTGTTTATAACGTTGCGCTAGCCAGCATCAATGACAAGCACTATACAAGGGCTGACTCCCACGTGTATGGCTGTTCGCAACTACTGTGTACATATTGAAATTCTTTCACGTCTCTTCATGTAGTGCTTAGTGCAGGGTTGAATAACATGTCTGTACTTTTCTTCGGTATACTCAGATGAGAAGTTCTTCACTTTCCCAGGTTGACTCAAATCACAAAAGCCACTCCAGACCCAAACTCCCCTTTTTGTTTGATCACTTTTACATCCCCAGACCTCAAGCCCATTCTTTTAACTCGCAAAACCCCTTTCCTTCCAGTACTTATGCGTAACACATCTACTGCCACTCAACGCTCCAAGTCTTCTCCCCGCTCCTAAACGGCACAATCTCCACCTTATCCGTCTTCAAACTCTCCTCCACCACCGCCCCATCCCTCTTGACCAAAATCTTCTTCTCCGCCGACTCAACCTCATAAAACCTGCGCCCAAACTCGCTAAAGAAGCCCGCAAGCACCTCCTCCGTCACTGCTTCCTCCCTAATATCCCCCCTCGCAATCCCCTCTTCCAGCGCAGTCAACACATACCCCAGCGCATACGGCTGCGTAAACACACCCGCCGCCGTGTTCCCCTTGCCCTTCTTGCTCGAGATATCATGCGGCGCCGAATCCGTTCCCAGGAAAAACTTCCCCTCGCTCGTTACCAAAGCCTGCAGCAGCGCCCGGCGGTCCTCGGGCGACTTGGCGCTCGGCTTGCAGTAGTGGTGCACGTTGGCGGACCAGTCGTCTACGAGCAAACTCAAATGGTGGGCGGTGATGGTGGCGACCACGTTGGGGCCGCAGGCGCGCACGGCGGCGACCGCGTCCGCGCTGGTGCAGTGCTCGAGGACGATCTTGAGATTGGGGTATTTGGAGTGGAGAGAGGTGAGGGTGGGTAGGAATTTGGATTCGGCGTTCATTACTGTGATGTTTTCCGAGGGGGAAGAGGGCATTTCGCCGTGTAGGTTCAGGACGAGACCTTCGGCTTCCATGGTGGAGAGGACGGCGTGGAAGGGGTCGAAGGAGACGACGCCCCATTGGGAGTTGGTGGTGGCGCCGCGGGGGTAGGCCTTGAAACGAGATGTGAGTGATATGATAAGAATGAGGAAGGGGGGGGGAGGAGGAGGACGAACCTTGACACCGGCAATACCGGCCTTCTTGGCCTTGCGGATCTCATCGGGGGTGATGCTCTCGTGAAGGTAGAGGGACATGAGGTAGTTGACCTCGGGGTCGTAAGCCTGGAGGGCCTTCTTGTACTCGAGAGCCTCATCGACGGTGACGACGGGGCGAGGAGCCAAGTTGGGCATGACGAAGACGGTGTCGATGCCGGCCTTGCGGATGGTCGGGGTGACCAGCTCGGCGATGGGGCCGGGGGCGTTGCGCAGGTGGACGTGCATGTCCGCCGCGGCGGGGAGGAGGTAGGAGTCCTTGAGGGCCATTGTGTCTGGGAGTCTGGTGGTGGTGGTGTTGGAGGAGGGGAGTGGTCTGAGTGGTTTGTGTGAGTGAGAGAGAATGTCAAGTGAAGGTATTCACTGATATAAAAACAGTCACTGACCTACAACACCAAGTGGATTGTATCGAGTAATGATCGACTAATCGAGGTGGAACTCGAAACTCTTGTCAGAGACATGCCATTCCCGTCGACGTCTCGGGACAGTGGGGCATTTCGTGATGGAGTCTCCGGGCCGGTCGACGGAGCTTGATGCCAAGACTGGGGAAAGGTTTCCAGAAATTGTAGATCGGGGTTAGGGTTGGTAGCCGTTAAATCTGAGACCTGCATCCGGCATCTCTTTTCCGCTCTAGTGCAACGATCAACGACTTTACACGACATGATGCTCAACATTCAACAATGTCTTCTTTTATCATGTTTTGTTTCACAGACTCAGGCGTCACCTAAACTGACCCATCGTGCTGGCACCCAAAGCCCCACTGACAGCGCATCTCTTTCAGCCTTCAGGTACAAAACAAACCTCGGCAATCTGGCACTCTGGATACGAAAGGCGTTTGAAAGCGATTAATAATGTACTTCTCTCTTAATCCCCGTCACCCCCGGTTACTACCAATCAGACAACCTTGATGACGTTGGACTTTTCAGATAATGGAAATATAAACTTCACCGTTACTTCATCTTCAAAAGAAACAGGTGGTAGGATGAACCTTTGTTTTGGAAATCCTGTGACCTCTTCCTCTCTTCACCACTCATCTGCTTGCCCAATGAGCTCCAAAAGGTGACTATCCTCATCATTACTATATCTGGTAAGAGTTGATACGACAACCACAACTCAACATCGGATCAACATAGGTCACCGTCATGGCCTTCGAAACAGACGGCCTCCGTCGTCACAACGGCCACATCGATGAGAACGATGTGAGCTCATCGCCAACCCTCACAGCCTCAGCAGCTGAGACTACACCCCTCCTCAACTCTGAGACAGCCAGCTCATACACCATCGGCAATGAGCCACCACCATCACCACCTCAGGATGAGAAGCCCATTGGATTTGCTCGGGGGCTTTCCATTGCGCTGAGCATGTGGGCTCTCATCTTCCTTCAGGGTAAGCATCTTCATATGTCGTATAATACGAGACATGTACTAACATCACCAAAGCAAGCAACATGTCCGGCATCTCTACCATCCAATCCACCATCGCCACCGAGCTCGACGCCTACGACCAAGCCATGTGGTTCACCGGCGCCTACCTCATCACCTCTTCCTCCGTGGCGCCCCTCATCGGCCGACTATCGACCATCTTCTCACCCGGCCTCATGATCCTGGTCTCCTCCTTTTTCTTCTCCATCGGCGCCCTCGTCACCTCCCAAGCCCGAACCCTTTCCGTCTTCATGTTTGGCCGCGTCCTCGTCGGCATCGGCGGCGGCGGCATCATGACCCTGGCCCTAATCCTCGTCATCCAACTGACCAGCAAGCGGCGCCGCGGCGTCTGGATCGGCCTGACCAACGCGGGCTTCACAATCGGCATGTCCACCGGCGCCGTCGTCTTCGGTGCCTTGCTCCCCGTCATCGGCTGGCGCGCTCTCTTCTGGGCGCAAGCGCCCTTCGGTCTCCTCGGCGGTCTAGGCGTCTACGCCAGCATCCCCTCCTTCGTCATGTCCACCGGCCAACCTTTGTCTGCAGGAGACGCAGAGAAAACCAACCTCCAAAAACTGAAAGGGATCGACTACGCCGGCGCCGTCACGCTCACCACCACCATCGTCCTCCTGCTTTACTCCCTCTCCGGCCGCACGGGAATCCACTACGTCCCGCTCTTTTCGTCCTTCCTCACTTTCGCTCTTTTTTTGCTGATCGAATCCCGCTACGCCACCGACCCCATCATCCCGCTCCGCATTCTCCGCTCCCGCGGCATTTTATTGTCTTGCCTCTCGCAGCTGGGCTTCATGTCCGCGCGCTGGACCGTGCTCTTCTACGCGCCCATCTTCGCCCTCGCCGTGCGCGGCGCCTCGCCCGCCCTAGCGGGCTCTATTCTCATCCCCACCAACCTCGGTTTCGGAACAGGCGGCTTGCTGGTAGGTTGGCTGCACATGACGCACGTGGACCATACGAGCAAAGGGTATTGGTTTCCTTCTTTGTTGTCCATGAGTATCTTCGGTCTCGCGATCCTGGCGATGGGGTGGGTGGCCAACGCGGCGATGCACATCAGTTGGTACGTGGGCGTGATTTTCGTCAACGGACTGGCGACGGGCGCGGCGGTGAATTATACCATGGCGCATTTGCTGCATTTGAGTCATGTCCGGGAGCACTTTATTGTTACGGGGCTGTTGGCAACCTTCCGTGGGTTCGCGGGCTCTTTTGGGACGGCGATTGGTGGTGGGATTTTCGGGAGGGAGCTGAGGGCTTCGTTGTATAGGGGCTTTGAGAGCATAGGCGAGGGGGGGATGTTGCCGAGAGAGAGGATAGAGAAGTTGGTTACCGTGTTGGTGGGCAGTCCCGCAAGAGTCCATGAGCCGTCGTTCTTGACGGTGGCGGAGAGGGTGGTGGCTGTTAGGGGATATGAGAATGCGTTGAGGACGCTTTATCAGAGTGCGGCGGTGTTGTGTGTGGTTGTGTTGTTGGTGCAGGCGGGGACGGGGTGGACGGCGGGAGGAGTGAGTCCGGAGGAGGAGAGGGAGATTGAGGAGGCGATTGCGGAACATGATGGGAGGATGGAGGCTTGAACTTGTGCTGCCGGGACTGGCAGCGAGCATCTGGTCTCTGAGTACTGTCCATCTTGCTTTTGGATCTTTATGAAGATTTGGATAGAAAGGGCAGCAACCTAAAAGCTGTATTTATCTAGAGGATAGAAGTCATGACTTTGACATTGTATGAATACTTTCAACAACTTGATCGTGGTCAAAATATTTTCTTTCCGTCGTAGACATAACACTTTTAGTAGTCCTAACGGCTATCCTCCCAAGCCAAGAAATCGTAACCATAAATATAACCATGAAGCGCCGATATGCCCAATATTCATCCATCAATCCCTGAAACCGTTCTTCATGTGGTATAAGAAAACCCCTTATTCAACATGGTATGTATGTACGTATACTCCAACAATGACAACCTTTTCCTTGCCTCAAGAAACTATTCAAACTCCCCCTTCCCAAAAACCCCCCTAACACTCTCCCCCCTCCCCTCCACCCCCCTCCACTTCCTCGCCTCCCTCCTCTTCTCCGCCTCCGCCACCTTGGCCCTCCGCTCATTCTCTCTCGCAAAGTAATTGATACCAGACATCTTACCCGCCGTCCGTTTGATCTTGACATCCTCGCCAAACCCACTCGCACCAGCCGCTTTGCTGTTGGTATAGGGGTTGGTCGTCGTAGAGACTGATACCGATGGAGTACCTGTAGTGGTAGATGAAGAAGAGGCAGAGGCGGAAAGAGCAGATGAGTTGGTTGTTGCCCGACGGAGCAAGGCGGGGACTTTGAATGCTGATGATGAGGAGAGGGAGGAGGAGGGGGCGGCGAAGGCGAGTTTGGATTGGTTTGAGGTGGAAGAGGTGGAGGTGGAGGAGGAGTTGCGCTTGAGGGAGATGCGGTCTACGATGGCTACTGAGCCAGTGCGGCGGGGGTTGTTTGTGGTGGTGGTGGAAGTTGGCTTGGAGGATGACTGGTTTCGGGCGGGCTCCTTGCCGGGAGTGGCGGGGATGCTGTCTTCCTCTTCTTCTTCGTCGTCGGAACCGAGGACCGTGGCGGGGATGACGGAGGAGGTGTGTGGTTCGTCTAGGAGGTTGGATAAGCTCTCGCGGATTTCACCCAGGTTAGCCGGCTTGCGACCGGTCTTTGTCCGGCGGGGGTTCGTGGATGTTGTCGTCTGCGGCTGGGTAGCTGGGATGGTCTTGTCTTTACTAGAGGACTGAGATTCTTGTGTCTCAGGGATGACGGAGGATGGCTTGTCCGCAGGGCCAAAGAGGAAGTCCATCTCATCGTCGCTGCCGCGATCCTCAATGGACTTAAGGAACGCTTTCGTCTTCGGGTTCTCGGCGACCTTGCTGATGCGCTCATCAGCCAGAAGAGCCCGCTGCATCTTGGCGAACTGTCGCCTCTTCATCCGGCGACGGGCCTCGCCGCCGTCGTCCTCGTCTGAAAGGTCGTCCCATTCGCCACCTTCGCCGCGGGCGCGCTTGCGCCGGAGCATTCCCGTGGTGATATCATGGAAAAGCTTCTCGACTTGCTTCTCGTTCGAGGCACGTTCACGGTCGCTGTCCTTTTGTTAGCTTGACTCCCACCTCACGAATATTGGGGCAACTTACGCATAGAAAGCAGCCAACTTCCTCTCATCGCCCTCCCCAGCCTTCGTCTCATCATCAATCATCTCCTTCACCAACTCCTCATCCTCCTCATCACTACTACCCTCCCCATCTATGCCTCCCAACCCCGCATACTCATCTTCAGACTCTTCAGCCTGCTCCTCCACCATCTCCCTCGCCTTACTCTTCTTCTTTGCCTCTTTTCTCTTCTTCTCCCTCTCAGCAGCTCTCTTCATCTTTTCAAAAGCCGACTTGGCCTTCTCAGCCTCACGGTCATCGTCACCCGCATCTCCCATCTCCTGATCACCGTCTTCTTCTTCCTCATCCAAAGTCGATGTATTAAACAATGCAGACCCAGTGATCACATCCCCCCTTCTCCTTAACCTCCCCAAAGGCCTCTTCCCTGACGGACTGAGACTATTCTTCCCACTACCAGCACTTCCACCAGGCGTCGAGGTCGAGGTAGTCGTAGCCGCACTACTATTCCCGCCCTGGCCACTAACCAGTACAGTCTCAACCGTCGAATGCGGCGGCAGCGGCGCATCAACAAACCTCTGCTTCAACGGGGTATAATTCTTATACCCCTGATCCTGCGTCGGCTCAATCAGCTCCGACCCTTGCGTCATGTTAAACGCCGTTTGGTTCAGCAAGCTATCGAAGCCATGCATTTGCGACTCGGACTGGGAGAAGCCGAGCTGGACACCTTGGGTTTCTAATGCCGCCTGAGACTCCTTGTCTTTGGCGGCCTGGCGAGTAGTGAGGGAGGGTTGGCTGTCGAGGATCATATCCTCTTCTGGCTGCTGCTGGCCCGCGGTTTGGGAGAAGTTGGAGTCGGGGATGTCGGTGAGATCGATGTCGAAGGTTGGACGGGGTTGAGAGGGTGAGCTGCCGCCGAATTGGGAGGGAGAGCCGGGTTGACTGTCATCCATGGTTCCGGCGAAGATTTGGGTGAGGCCGAGACCGGCCGGACCGGCGACCGGGACGGGGAGGCCGGGGATGAAGTTCTTTCGAGCGGAGCGTAGGACAGAGGTGGGAACGCTGGGAGAGCCAGAGTGCAAGGCTGATGTCGGGGATTTTGGGAAACGCTGCTTTGGTCGAGGAGTTTCCTCGATGCGCTGCTTAGACGATACGACTTGCTCCTCCTCCTCCTCGTCGTCGTCAGAGAGAACAACGACCTGCTTCCGTGGCCGACGGCGGACAGTCTTGGTGCTAGGCAGCTCATCCTCGTCCTCATCCAGCTTGTCAGCGTTTTCTTCCCCAGACTCATCAGCGCTCTCATCAGCGCTCTCATCAAAGAGAGCACCGGCAGGATCAGCCTCAGCCATATCCTCATCCTCATCCCCCCCTTCGCCCTCCTCTTCCTCCTCCTCACTCCCCGAAAGCTCAATAGCCTCCAGCTCTTCTTTGTCATCATCCCCCTTCCCACTCCCCACAAAACTCTCATCATCATCCTCACTATCATCCCACCCCAACGGATCCTCCTCCCCATTCTCCTTCCTCCTCCTCCTCTCCTCCCTCGCATCCTCCCTCTCCCTCTTCATAATCTCCTCCGCCTCCCTCCTCGCCCTGGCAACAATATCCTCTACCTCCTGCATCTCCTTCGCCCTCTCCTCGGCAGTCAAGACTACCACGCCCTTGGCTCTCAACATCTCTAGGTGCTCTTCGCGCTCGCGCTTGGCTTGCGCTCTGGCGCGCTGGAGAAGTGTCATCTCGAGTGCGCCGGGCGTCATGGCGGGCGGTTGGTGCTTGGAGAGATGTTGTTTGTTTTTGGGCAAGGGGGCGGCGGGGAGTTTTTCGGGGTCGTCGATGTGAGCTAGTTTGCGGAGGACTTGGAGGGGGCGGGGTTCGCGGGTTTGGTTGAGGGGGACACGGTCGAAGATGGCGTCGATTTTGGATTTGCGGGTGGGGGGTTTGACTTGTAGGTCATCATCGTCGTCGTCGAGGGAGATGGTGTTGGCTTGGATGGAGGATGGTTGGAGCGGGAATTTGACGCGGACGTTGCGTTTTACTTTCGGGAGGGACGCAGTGGTCTTGGCTTGCTCTTCGGCTTCGAAATCGGCGGCGGTCGCTTTGCCTTTGCCCTTGTCAAGCTTCTTCCTTTGGGTGAGAGCCTCGTCGAAGGTGGGCAGTTCTCCGTCCGAGTTCTCTTCTAGGAGGAGGTCGCCGGTGGACGTGGCGAGCTCTTCCACTGTTTTGTCGGGCTGCTTGTTTCCCACTGGAGGGGAGCTTGGTGGTGTCTCCTTCTCTGGTACCTTTTCCGTATCACTTGGCCTTGACGTCGCCGGCGACTCAGGCCTACTAGATTCTTTCGCTGGCTTCTCTGTAGTGGCCGCCTGGGCAGCAGCGGCACCAGCAGGTCTAAAGTTGAACCTCTCGAACAGCGTAGCCTTGGTAATCTTGTTCTTGACTTTCGGTTCGTGTGCCAATTGTAGCTCTCTTGCCATGCGTTGTGTCTCCCTGTTCATATCCTCCAGCGCCTTCTTGCTAGCCTTTCGTTGTGAAGGTCTCTTTGTAGCACCCTTTTGTGTAAGCTTTCGCCCGCCCTCGTCGTCGGATATGTTGTCGTCGTCCTCATCCACAGACATACGATCGTCAGCTGCCAATGCTGCCCGTCGTTCGGCCTTTTTTCGTTCTTCTTCAGCTTCTCTGGCCTCGCGCTCTTTGCGCTTCTTCTCCACAAGTGCCTGGAAACGAGGGTTCTTCTGGAGGTTGCTGATGCTGGGGAACTCTTCATCGTCGCTTGCTAAGCCATCTTCAGGACGGTCTGCTGGTTTCGCAGGCGACACAAAAAGCCCGGGGGAGTCGGGCGCTTGGGCTGCTTGTTTCTCGGGAGAGACAAAGAGGCCGGGGGAGGCAGCGGTCGGTTCATCTCGTGGCTTGGGTTCGGGTGTCGCGGTGCGCTTTCGCTGTCGTTGCTGTAGCTTTCTCGGGCGGGTCGTTACAATCTCGTCGTCGTCTTCGTCGTCTTCGTCTTGGACGGGGTTCTTGGTCATAGGAGGATTCGCTGGTCGCTTCGGGGTATCATCTCTCATCTCGGCGTCAGATTCGGACTCGGATTCGGGAGCTGGGTTGCTCTTTGACTGCATTCCGGCAGCAAATCTGCCTCTTGGTCGCAGGATTTCCTCGTCCGCATCGTCAGAGCTATCAGACATGTTGACATCAGACTGATCAGCGTTGAAGACTGGCGAGGTGGGTGTTGTGCTACGCGATCTGGAAGCGCGTCCTGGCGAAGGCGAGGCCGAAGCAGCCATTGTGGCCGCTGATTTGGAGATTTCCGTAAAGCTCTTAAAGTTGGTTCTTCTGCATCACGGTCTCTTCCAGAAATAGCCGCAAGGATCTCGATAGCGAGGGAGGAAGAAATAGTATATTGTGGTGTAAGTGCTAGAGTTACTGTAAATCGAAAGCGGCTGTCCACTATCTTTTAGTGATAAAGTGGGTTAATGGTTGTGATATGGTGGGGAAAACGCGTCAAATGGCGGCTCATGGCGCGTCGTGCAGATCGTGTTCAGCGCGCTAAAGTGCTTCCCTGCAGGGTTACGGCAGGGTTCACAAAGGAATTAAATTGCCAAGCATGGACCAAAGTAAACATTTGGCGCCTCTTATTCATTTACCCCTGAATGCATATTTACATCAGCAACCGCCCGTACCCTTTAGAATCCATCGAGAGAGACGCGCTGAAAAGACAAAGATGATTTTGGGTATCGTCGGTAAAATAATACAAGCAAAGGAATAATCCACATTTCCAACTTCTCAAAGAACCAGTACTAACAAGCAAAATGCCCATGGGTCAGAGATTCAAGCAGTAACCGACCTGTGCTTTTTGGAAGGGGAAAACGCCGTCGCGGAGTATGTTGAATGCAGGGCAAAAGCTGCCCAGTAATGGTATGTAACGCCAGTCGCCCTTTGTAGAAAATGAAAACCCCCCTTGTTGAAATATTCCACCGTGCCCAAGTATTAGCCCACGGCGAGGCATGTATCCAAAACGCTGTTGAGGAAGTCCCCATCCTCGGGGTCTGCCCCTTCCCAAGGCATATCGTCATAATCGTTGTCAATATCCATAGCATCCTCATGATTGACGCCATTGGGTAAAGGTCCATCTGGCTTGCCGTTGGCCGCCATTCCACCCATCTCAACATCTCCATCAGTAGTCGGTCGTACTTCCCGCCCATCCATGTATGTGTGATCGTCCCAATTTTCGAGCTCCCCTTCCCGATAGTCGTAGATGACCGACTTGGCGACAATTGGAAAGTTTGCTAGTCCACAGTCACCCATCTCCAGCGCAATGCGGAAGTCCGCCATGCCCAAAGGTCCACGCTCACTGGCGGCTTTGGCCTCCACGGGTAACAGGCCGCTCTTATCGCGTGTTACCTCGCCTCTCTGAAAAGCCTCTTCTTCCTTCTGCAGCTTGCGCCGGTACTTGTGTGTTTGGATCCAAGCATTGCCTGCTCCGAAACCGGCGTTGCCCGAGTCTCCAGGACCGTTACTCCTCGTTCGGCTGAAAATGGAAGACATGACTTGCTTGATGAACGTTTCCGTGGCTATTGACATGAACTGGGCGGCTTCTGGCGCGTGTCCGCCCGACAGACCGGCCTCGTAGCATATGGGAAGCATTTTGGCCTCGATGTTGCTGACATCTGGGAACTCTCCGGACTCTACGGCCAGCGGCTGCGCATATCGTTTCCTGATTTCCAGGTCATAGTCTGTGAAGAGACAAGTTAGTAACATGTCATGCCTTGTGGGTAGTCGCAAACTTACTCATCCGGCTGAGACCACCTGCGGCACTTGCTGGTACCTCGGCAGTCTTGATAGACTTGGTTCTGGAATGGTCAATGAACACGCTAGAGAGCGACTCGTAGGGGTCAAACTGCATCACGAGCGGTTAGCACTCGAGTCAAAAGAAGTTGGGGTCGTGTTTCACGTACGTCGTTGTGGGCGAGGTCTTTAATACGTCTCCTGTCCCTGCTGGGAAGTTGCATGACCTCTCCCTTCAACCGCCTTTCTGCAGCATCACCGGACACTGGCTTGTTCGACGTGTTGGCTGAGGGCTTATCGTTTGCGCTGACCCAAGGCGCAAGGCCCTGGTCAGGCATTTCTCGAGTGACATTTCCGTATATAGCAGCTATGAGCTGGTTGTGAAGGTGCTCCTTGGAACCATCGGGAGAAGCCAATATTGGGTCGATGCGCGCACTGAGCTCGGCTTGGTTGAGGCGACCTACAAAAGGATATCTGTTAGTCTCGGGGCACGGAGGGCAGTAGGTCTGAGGAGTAGACAAACCAAGCAGAAAGTTGCTAACGGCTTCTTTGTAGATGGTCCATTGTTCCAGACCAATATGTGCCCTAAGGGCGGTATATATAGGTTCGAGGTCAATGCGGGCCGGTATTAGTTGGCTTGTCTTTGGCTTTTGTAATGGAGGAACGGAAACATTTATGGATTTTGTAGCTAGAATAGGAGTCGAGAGGTTGACGGATGGCCGACTGAGGGCCGCGGGATTTATGTCGACCATGTTGATAGATAGAGCTGGTCACAGAGTGGCTGTGGATGTGTCGGTTTGGAGATGCCGTCGAGGTCGAAGATCCGACCCGGAACCGGAACCGGAACCGGAAGACGAGGGCGGACCGGGACCTCGGCGGAGGAGAAGGATGACTCCTGGCGCTCGCCAGAAAGAACCTCGTTGGGTCAGACCACTTCTCCAAGCAGCAGTGAAGTCAAAACAGATAACGGCTTCCTTGGTGCCAAGCAAGAACTCTTTGGTGTGTCTAGTACTGGGAGGTAGAGTTGCCGTCTCGGTATGGGCGCTTTAAGAGGAAATTGGTGGTTGCGGATATGATGCCCCTGCGTATGGCGTCAGACCCAGTCGCGTCACAATTGCGACGCGGGATTAAGATCATCTGGGCCCGAAACCGTCGGCTAGTGTTATGCGATCGCGAATCCGGGCTCAAACTGATGGTTTGAGCATCCTGTCGTCGGGAAATGGATGGTGTACAGGGTGACAAAGGTTGGTCGTTGGACGGTTGGAAGTCTGAATCGAAACGGGAGTTCGCTTCTTTGGTGGTCAAGTCACTTTCCGGTTGTCGTTGGATTTTGCGGAAGAGGGCTGAAGAGAGCGCTGAAACATGCCCTGACGGACGTCCTCTGCCGCTAAAATATGGGCGCTACATGCAACTATGGAGGCGTTGTTGGGGTAATTGTGTCTTCCTGTTAATATGTACCTCAACTCTCACCTATATTTCTTCTGGTCACAGGTACCTTGCTATCTTCGATCTTGACACAGCCGGCGGCCACTCCCGTCCGGTCAAGTTGGGGTGCTGCCTGCCGCCCTACAGGGCACCTGTTCAGGGAGCTGGGAGCACTGGAAGGAGCATCTCCAAGTCCACAGCTGGATGATCAGAAGAGTTCACCAAGACAACCACCTAACAAGATCAACACCATCAGCATTTGTCGCGTCTTGTAGCGCGTCCTCTCCCCGGCCGGCAACACAACAAACCCACCTGCGCTACCACTTTACATCATTTGCTTTACGAAATCCGAGCAAGCAAGGGAAAGCTGAAGGGAGAGAGGGAAGATGTGATGGGCATACAACTAGACAACCTCAGACAATGCAACAATGGCTAGCCAACACCGAGCCCAAAAGATCTCCAGTGCCATCGACAGCCTTATAGCCCACCTGATCCCCGAAAACCCCTACGAAGACGACCATACCGCCGAGCTTCGACACGACGATTATGCGTCAGCCGTCAAGGCCCTTCTCGAACAGTAGGATTGCTCCAGCAACGGCAGGCTTAACAAAACAAACATTGCTAACTCTGCGTTTCTCCCCAACCAGACCCTCCTCGCCAAGCTACGATGCGGACGTTAACAATGCCTCAGACTTGATCAAGAGGAAGTTGATCCAGGGAAATCCGACCCAGGCACTGCGCTTCTCTCATCTCTATACCCGACTACTATCCCTCCCGGTTCTCAACCAGAAATGGGCGATCCTCTACTTTCTATACCAGCTCTCGGACTCGCCAGATCCCAATGAGCCCCTTCCTTTGAGTCCGCTTCCGCAACAGCAGCCCCATTTCGACCCTCAGTTTCAGCCTCAGATCCAGGCGCAAACACCTCCGCCGCAACTTCTAAGACCTCCCCAACAGGCAGCTTGGCCTGCCGAACCCAGGATCCCGGCATATGAAGAGGTTCAGGATGAGGAGGTGATGGAGGATGCCCCTTCTCCAGAGGGATCTCACAATGTTCCGCCAGAAAGGCCAAGACATGGTAGAGACCAAGGTCATACGCCTGCCCAGAGTCACCAGGCTGGTCCTGCTTCAAGAGACGAGAGGGATGTGGCACACGACCCTTCGGAGCCGGCCTTGTTAAGGGACCTGCCTTTTACCCTGCAGGGCCTCTCGTCGGCAACTCTCCCTTTTCTCAACGACACAACGTTGAAGCTACCACCAACACTCCCTATTCCTATCATCTCTCTTCTCAACACACTGGCCGAGCCTTCGCTTCTCTACAGAGGACTGAACGAGTTTACCAAAACGCCGGCAAACGGCTTACTGGGCCAGAGTCTAAGGGCTGCGATTAGCAAGGAGCTTCGATCATATCTGACCCTGGTGGCCACTCTGGAGACCCAAATTCGCCGTGCTCTCTCTGAGCTCGATGAGACCGCTCCCCGTGGTGGCATTGGAAAGACCGGTGTGACACTTAAGCGATGTGTGGTATGGACCCGTGAGGCAACCATGGGCCTGCGCCTCATGTCTCTGATTGCGGAGGAGAGCAAGAATAAGCATGGTGGGCAGTTGATCACTCTGATTCACAGCTTCTCGTCTTCGCATGGCGACCCTGTTGTGGCTGCTTTCGCTGAACGGTTGCTTGTTGACGTGACTCGCCCATTCTACGATATCCTACGCCGCTGGATTTATGACGGAGAGCTCCTCGATCCCCATATGGAGTTCTTTGTCCGGGAACAGAACCCCCACGACGAGGAGAGGAAAGACGCCAAAGCTAAGGGCCAAATGAGTGTCTGGAACTCCAAGTATGAGATCGTTGAGGACATGGTTCCGAGCATTATCACGTCCGACTTTTCTAAAAAGGTTTTCCTCATCGGAAAGTCCCTTAACTTTATCCGCCACAGCTGCGGCGATCACAAATGGGTCGAAGACTACAGTAAAAAAGCCTCCAGGGAGCTCAAGTATGGCGACACGGCTACCCTGGAAGCCTGGATTGATGAGGCACATAGGGAGACAATGAGCCACCTTATGCACCTCCTGAGCGATCAGTTCCGCGTCTTCGATCATCTAGAGGCGCTAAAGCGGTACATTCTGCTGGGCCAGGGCGATTTCATTGCTCTGCTGATGGAGTCGCTAGCTCCTAACCTAGATCGGCCAGCGGGTGCTCAGTATCGGCATACTCTTACTGCGCAGCTTGAGCATGCCATCCGAGGCTCAAACGCTCAATATGATGACCCAGAAATTACCAATCGCCTGGATGCCCGCATGCTTCAGCTCAGCCATGGCGATATCGGCTGGGACTGCTTCACGCTCGAGTACAAGATTGACGCACCCGTTGACGTCGTTGTCACCGAGTGGGGCAACCGACAGTACCTCAAGGTCTTCAACTTCCTTTGGCGTATCAAGCGTGTCGAGTTTGCCCTGGCCTCTACCTGGCGCAAGTGCATGACCGGCGCCCGCGGCGTTCTCCAGACATCAGACGAGAAGGTGCTCCAGACCTGGAAGAGCACCCGGGGTGTTCTCGCCGAGATGGTACATTTCGTCGGCCAACTACAGTACTACATCCTCTTCGAGGTCATTGAAAGTAGTTGGACCGAACTCCAGAAGAACATTCACAAGGAGAACTGCACGCTCGACGACCTAATAACCGCCCACACCAAATACCTTACCTCTATCACACACAAGGGTCTCCTAGGGGCCAAACGACGACAGTACCCGCAGACAGGCGATCCCGCCGCCGCACCTTCCACGACCGACGAAGAACGCAACTCCTACATGGTCCAACTCAGCGAGCTCCTCCGGACAATGCTCGCCTACAGAGACAGCGTAGACGGCCTCTACAGCTGGTCCGTCTCCGACTTTACGAGACGTCAGGAGAAGGAGACAGCCGGGCTCATCTACTCACACCGCGGCGGCGGCGGCGCCCGAACCACGCAGCGAGACCGAGCAGATTCCCAAGCTGCGTCCATGGCTGACTCGATGGACCTCGATCCTCCATACGACTATAACAACGACTCCTCAGCCACCGGCGGCGGCGGTGACGCGGGAGCCGTTAAGAGCGAGTTCCCGGCGTTGCAGGACCGGTTGAAGCAATTGGGCGCCAACTTTAAGACGAGGCTGCAGATCCTCCTGGGAGATCTGGCGTATCAGCCGGATGTGGATATGCGGTTTTTGGGGGTTTCGATGAATTTCAATGATGTGTATCAGCCTGTGAGGAGGAAGACGAAGAGCTCGTCGAGTGCTGCTGTTCCGAGCGGTGGGGCTACCTCTGTAGCTTCGGGGGCATCGTCGGGATCGGGGGGCGCTCTTCAGGGGCAAGCTCAGGCTGCGGGGGGGAGTGGTGGGCAAGTAGGAGGAGGAGGGACGACGAATTTTCGTGGGACAGATACCTCGAAGGCCTAGGCAGCATGCGGATCATCTGACGGGAGCGATTTGAGTAGGGGACCGAGATATTTGTACCGGAGCCGGTAGGGACAGTTTGAGTCGATAGGTGTACCACTAGTTGTAGGATGGATGGGGAGTGGCGGGAGGAATGAAAGTCGGACTTAATACGAACATCGGAAGAATGAATGGATGACAGTTTGTGGATCAATCTATCGTGGCCGAGCATTAACCTACTAACATGAAAGTCATATCCAGCCAAAGCCCCAAAGCGTATTTGGCAGCATCATGGACACCGTTGATGGCTTCAATCAACATTGAGGAGGCAAAAACCCGTAAGTCTAGGTGGTTACTTATGTGGAACCAAAAGGCTACTCCAACATCAATGCGGGTTTAGCTCAGTTGGGAGAGCGTCAGACTGAAGTCCACTTCACTCATAAATCTGAAGGTCGTGTGTTCGATCCACACAAACCGCAACGCAATCTCTTTTTGCATTTTTTCCCATTTGTACCTTTTCTTTTTAGCTGATACTGCAACGGAACATGTTGATTTTCGGGTAACACTTCTTTCTCTGTGGCTGACTGGAAATCTTGAACGAATGCTTCAAGCACCAAAACTTGCTTTTTCATACCAAAGTCACAGACTAGAAAGGACTTGTTATATACCCAACCCTCGTGCATTTTTCCCCCTTAGGCGCTTACTGCTATCACATAAGGAGTCATGCCAGCCCCGTTTCCGTTCTATCAGCTCTTTCTTATCTTTAGTCCCTCACACGTTCCCTGTCCAGTTAGTTCTCCCTCCTCTCCCATATCATCACCACCCCTCCCTCCCCAACCCCCTCTCAATCTCCCCAAAAACCTCCGTCCCCTTTAACAACAACCCGCTCGCTAAACCGACCACGTCCGCGCCCGCCTTCCTCATCCTCCTATACCCTGCCGCATCCAGCACCCCTCCGACGCCAATAACCTGCACCCGATGCCCCAGCTTTTCTTGTCTCTGATCCAACATTTTTCTGAGAGTCTTCACATTCCCCAGCGCCAACGGATGCAACGGCGCCCCTGCTAGTCCGCCCGTGCCCAACTCACTTGGCAACGCCGCTCCTTCTCCATCGTCTTCTGTGAAGGCAAGACAGGAACCGAGGGTGTTGGTAGCGGTGATGAAACTAATTGGACATTCCAGCTCCTCCTCCTCCTCCTCTTTTCTTACTTTCATCGCTCCCTCTTCCTCCTCACCCCCATCATCATCAAGAAGCTCAACCTCAAGTGCTGCTTCTCCCTTCTTCTCCCTCCTCACCGCCGAAGCCTCCTCCAAAGCCTCCATCAACCCCAGGAACTGCGTCTCGTACGTATACGGCGGCGTCTTCAGTCCCACGGGAATCCTCGGTGAACCTTCAGCCTTGGCGGCTTTGATAGCGTCGGCGAGTTGGTCGAGGTATTGAGTCAATGCCTCGCGGGAGTAGGCGGGCGGAGGGTGGTGCGGGATGTTAGGGCAGGAGAGGTTGATTTCCATTGCCAACAGCAGCGGGACTTTCTGCTGCTCTTTCCGAGAAATGACAAGGAGTTCTGACTGGAGACGGGCGATCTGGATGTAGCATTGGGCTACGTCGGAAGAGGAGCCGGTTACGGAGATGATGATTGTTTTGCTACGGCCGCCGGGGGGAGGAGGATGGGAAGTGGCGATGGTCTTTATGAACTCGAGGTAGGTTTGTAGAGGTAAAGGACTGTAGCCGAGGGAGTTGAGGGTGGCGTTTTGGGTTGGAGTGGTCTGGGAATGGGAAGGGTTGGTGGATGAGGAGACGGCGTGCGAAGAGGAGTCGTAGAAGACGTAGAGGTTTTTGGAGTCATCGTGCGGGAAGCCGGAGATGAGTGAGGTGCGGGTGGTGATGGCGCCGGTGGATGGGCAGTTCCAGAGGGGGAGGAGGTCCTCGAGGGTGGTGGCCGCGGGGCAGGGGGTGTTGATGAGGGGTGGGTTGATGTTGAGTTTTGGGATTGTCATTTTGGCGGCTGGCTTGGTTAATCGTTTCTTTACTCTGTGAAGTGTTGAGGTGCTTGTCGTGAAGGGTTGGCTAAGCGATATACATATATATGAGTGTGAAGCTGTCAAGATATGAGGACCTTGGATCGTTCGTCCGATCGAGTCAACCGCACCCCGTTTCATACCCAGCGGGGTTAGACAGCTTTTGATAAGATAACAAGAGACGGGAGAACCCCGCTTGGGGTACTTATAGGTAGCTGAAACTCATTGTCATGCCGAAGGTAACGAGCTCAACAGCTGGCCGAAGTCTGAGAACGCTTCCTTCAAGAACCTTTTAGAGAGAGAGGGGGGGGGCAACATATGAACAGATCTTGGTTGGGTATATACTCTATCTTTTCTTCATTGGTATCCAAGGCAAGCAACTTAGAACATGTCGTCAATAGCCTTGTCCGAGTCTTTCTTGATCAACTCGACCATGCCCTGTTCAAACCGTCAGCCATCTGTTTCATCCATTCCTCAACCAATTTTCTGCAAGGACTTACCTGAGGCATAATTGGCTTGCCCTCCTTGTCAGTGACATAACGGAAGGGCATCTGTGTGCTCTCGTGCTCGCTGAACTTGAGCTCGGGGTGGTCGACGTAGGGGACCTTGTCAACGGGGGCTGGACAACGTTAGTAACAATTACGCAACGGGAACAGAGTGTTGTGAAGTGGCCTTGAAGGGTTTGAAGAGCGACCGTGAAGAGGACGGGTAGCTGAAGGAAAAAAGATCCAGCAATGAGGAAGTATTCTAAGGGCGACTTACTCTTGCCCTCAACAACAAGACGAGTGACACGGACAGCAGTATCAGTGGTCATCTGCACGGGGCCGAGACGGCGACCCTCGAAGCCCTTCTTGCGGAGCTCAGAGGTTCTGTCTGTATGGTTGTTAGTACCCGGTCTCACTGAGAAATAGGTCACCCGGAGCGAATTTACCTCTCGGGGGGTCATCACCTATACAACATAGTTAGCATCTATACTTATCGAACTCTCACCAAAGAGCAAAAAAGACATACCCAAAATACCGCCAAATAGGAACACATCAAAGGTCTCGCCATCCTCAGGGCTCAAGTCCTTCTTGGCCGCGGGATCAAGAAGGCAGACCCTGCTCTTGTCAGCAGCATAGATCTCCTCAACACCACGGTTCTCGGCCTTAAAGGCAGGAACAGCGGCCAGAGCCTCGGGGACCTTGAAGCCCTGGGGCAGGGAAGTGAGATGGAACTCGGAACCGATCTCTTGCGATTCCTTGGCGATAGCGATGTACTCAAGCTCGGACCAGGGGCCCAGCTCCTCGTCGAGGTGCTCGACGATGTAGGTCTTTTTTGTGGCGGCCATTGCTGCGCTTTTCGGTATTGGGTCAAGAAAACTGTCCAAAAGTGGAATATTCAAGAATACCAAAGGTCGAAGTGAGGGTTGTGTGTAAGTGTCCGGACGATCTCCAAGGCCAAGACTAACATTTTCTTGGTGGAGCTCTGATGTTTTGGTGGGGTTCTCCGTGCCAAGACATGCCGTAACGGTGATCCAGTTCGGTGATCCGGGCCCGGTTCTTGGAAGCCGGCCCCGCATTCTCTTATACCATCATTCCGGCAGAGGTCCGGTACAGAGGCTGACCGGACTAATTTGTGTACATGTCTAATTGTCGTCTCATTCACTTGGGGAGGGTATGGAAAACCTGTAATTGGACCTACGTAAATCTCACGTTTGACTGCCGAGATGAGTGGTGCTGACGGACAATAGCTCGGTTGTTTTGGTCTGGGCAGGTCTTATGAATGGATCTTCAAGTCTTGCCGATATCCGGATCCAGGGCTCTCTCCCTTGGTGTTTTGGGCTGTATGAAGACTAGCTCTCTATGGTTGCTCTTTGTCAAACATCAGCGAGTAAAGTTGTCGAAGACTTCGGTCTACGCTCTGTCAAGTCGTCTTGGTGGCTGAATAAGGGGCGGTTTATTCACATCCAGATGCGGTGCCTGAAGATCTCGAAGAAACCCCAGAGGCTCTCACAGAAGGCAGGTTCCGGCTATGTTCTATATCGAATAGCTTATAATCAGAAGATAACTTCACGACAGAGTGGTGGAATATCACTGATAACTTTGAAATCAAGCTTCAACCGTGACCTCGTAACAAAAGTTGAAGGAATGAGAAAGTTCAAAGTTGACGGAGAATTCCATGGGAATCGGCTTGCGCGTCCAATCCATGAGGCATGCACTGCATAGAAGGACCAGGCTCCCCAGCTGTGTGTTAGGCTGGCATACGGGGATCGCCCATTGGCACTAACAGGGTCCCTTTAATAAGCCCCCTGTTAGGCCCAGCTGAAATGGAACGCCACTATCCGTGCCGCAGTGGCATTCATCCCGCGTATTGCCTCCAAGGACAGATTCCCTCTTTCCCGTTTCATGCTGTCTCGGAGCAGCAACATCTCGACTTTTTTTACTATCCTCCCCAATGAATGTGGTTGGTGGTGATAGGTAGCCGAACTTACGACAATTGTCCCCCCCCTCCATCCCACCATAACTGAACCCAGCGACTTGAGTCCAGTTGGTGATCATGGCCGCCACCACCAATGCTGGCCGGTCCATGGCTAGCTGGAGACGACTGCCGACCTTGATCGCGGCATTCACGCTGTCATGGGCGTCCAGCCTTGTCGCCGCTGCTGGCTCCGCCGATTACTTTGTCCATGATCTGCCAGGCGCACCAGACGGCCCTCTGGTGAAGATGCATGCTGGGTAGGTCTATCGGCTGTTTCGGTTGAATTCGAGATGTTGGAGAACGCCCAGGCTAACATGATACCACAACAAGACATATCGAGGTTACCCCCGAAAACAACGGCAACCTATTCTTCTGGCACTTCCAGAACAAACATATCGCCAACAAACAACGAACCGTTATCTGGCTAAATGGTGGTCCCGGCTGCAGTTCCGAAGATGGCGCATTGATGGAAATTGGTCCCTACAGACTGAAGGACGAGGACACTTTGGTATACAACGATGGTGCATGGAACGAGTTCGCCAACGTCTTGTTTGTCGACAACCCCGTCGGTACTGGTTTCAGTTATGTCGACACCAACGCCTACATCCACGAGTTGACCGAGATGGCGGCCAATTTTGTTACGTTTTTGGAGAGGTGGTTCGCTCTGTTCCCCGAGTACGAACATGACGATGTAGGTGTCACACTCTGAACTTTTTGATCCGTTCTATCTAACCAATTCCTTAGCTCTACATTGCTGGAGAGTCTTACGCCGGTCAGCACATTCCCTACATCGCCCAAGCCATTCTCGAACGCAACAAGAACACTGGACCCGTCAATCATAAATGGAACCTCTCCGGCCTCCTCATCGGCAACGGCTGGGTCTCCCCCAAAGAGCAATACGACGCCTACCTCCAGTTTGCCTACGAGAAGGGTATCGTCAAGAAGGGCACCGACCTCGCCAACCAACTCGAGATCCAACAGCGCATCTGCCAAAAGGAAATCGCCGTCAACCCGGACAAGATCGACTACTCCGACTGCGAAGCCATTCTGCAGAACATGCTCCAGCTGACCGCCGGCGGTGTCGGCGCCAGCGGCAAGAACCAATGCTACAACATGTACGACGTCCGCCTGAAGGACGACTACCCCTCCTGCGGCATGGCCTGGCCGCCCGACCTCAAGAGCGTCACCCCCTACCTCCGCAAGAAGGAAGTCATCAAGGCCCTTAACATCAACGAGAACAAGTCGACCGGCTGGACCGAGTGCAACGGCGCGGTAGGCATGAACTTCCACCCCAAGACCAAGCCGTCCATCACCTTACTTCCTGACCTCCTTTCCTCCGGCGTTCCCATCCTGCTCTTCTCGGGCGCCGAAGACCTCATTTGCAACCACCTGGGCACCGAAGCGCTGATCTCCAACATGGAGTGGAACGGCGGCAAGGGCTTCGAGCTCACACCCGGCACCTGGGCGCCCCGGCGCGATTGGACCTTTGAGGGCGAACCCGCCGGCTTCTGGCAGCAGGCTCGCAACCTTACCTACGTCCTGTTTTACAACTCCAGCCACATGGTCCCCTTCGACTACCCCCGCCGCACGCGCGACATGCTGGACCGGTTCATGGGCGTGGATATCAGCAGCATTGGCGGACAGCCCACGGACTCGAGACTCGACGGGGAGAAGCTCCCCGAGACGACGGTGGGCGGCGCAGCGGGAAATAGCACGAGCAACCAAGCGGCGGAGAAGGCCAAGCTGGAGATGGCCAAGTGGGAAGCCTACCGCAAGTCAGGCGAGCTGGTTCTGGTGATCGTTATTGTGGCCGCGGCGGTCTGGGGGTGGTTTGTCTGGAAAGACAGGAGAAAGACTGCCGGGCAAGGGTATATGGGCGTTGCTACGGGCGAGAGACATAGCATTTCTACCAACCCGGGATCTCAGGGGAATCTTGGTGGTGGTGGTAGTAGGACGAGGGGTCAGGGATTGGAAGGTTTCAGGAATAAGAGAAGTGGAAGGAGAGACGTGGAGGCGCAGGATTTTGATGAGAGCGAGCTGGATGATTTGCACTTGAGCAAGCCGGAGGATCCCCATGCGGATAGTAGGTATAGCATTGGTGGTGCTAGTGATGACGAGGAGGAGCAGAAACCGGAGAAGAGTAGCTCTAGTAGGCAACCTGGGGGGAGGTCGTGATAAGTGAGTTGTAGCTTTGGGTGAATTTGACTTGGTTTATTCTTAGACTTTTGGCGTCTCTATATCGTTGATTGGTGAGCTGGTACGGACTTTGGGATGGCTATATCTTGATACATAAAATACGATGTTCATCAGACTATCTATCGGTACCGTATAAAGAAGGACCAAACATCAACGCCCCAAACATGGCGTACAGAAAATACGACCAAGTTCCACGCGCACTGATGTCAGAGGATATAGGCAATGTAGGAAGCATTGTTTTGTCAAAACCATCGTATTTTGAAACTAAAATGCATCGTGACCCCCCACTCCTAGAGGGTTTAAAAGATATCATCCTCCTTTTCCTTTGTCCTTGAGTCTTATATTCCCCCCCGGTCAAATTGAGGGGGGCATAGCAAACCCTCTCGAGAGACTCAAATGTGTTCCTAATAGCGACCCATGAACCAACGTAGATGACGTAAAAGCATGACAGGACAAAACATCTATCCTGAATCTAAAAAGCAAATTTCATAGCCGGGTATCTTGTTGCGAAATCGTCGTGTGTCAGGCCTTTCAGGCTGGCGGTAATTTAAGGCGCTGACTGTTTCGTTCCTCTTTGCATCCAAATTCTCCCTCTTTACAACTGCGGCACGTTGTTGAGGATCGACACCTCCTCGCCGACCTTGAAGGGTGGAAGGCCTGTGTATGGGCAGCCTGTATTTGCACTTTTTATTAGCCATACGCTCTATTCCTCGTCGAAAGGCAAAGCGGGGGGGAGAAGGGATAAACATACCATCACACCTAAAAGCATCCCCCAACGCACAACTACCACAGCTACCCGTCTTACCCGGCACCGTCAGATCCAGCTCCAGCAAATCCTCGCTCTTGAGCTTGAGCGTGTTCAGCGCCTGGTCCGCCTTGTCCCTGCGCGCCTTGTCCTCCGCCTCCAGCCGCTCCGCCAGCCCGCACGTGCAGTCCTTGCACGCCCTCCTCTTCTTGCCCGGCTTGGGCTGGCACTCGGGCGGCTGCTGGATGGGGCGACGCAGATCCGCTTCCGTGAGGAGGGTGTCCTCGTCGATTACATCATCGTCATTTTCGCCGTCGAGATCGAGGTCGTCGTCCAAGTCAAGTGTGACGAAACCGACGCCTGCTGGGGCGGCGGTGACTACTTGGGCGGCAGGCTGGATGGGCGCAACGGCGTTGGGGTTGTTCTTCCTCTTGAGGCCGAAGCGCAGCGGCACGGCTTCCTCCTCGGCGTACTCAGGCTTGGTGAACCCATCGGCGCCGGCGACGAGACCGGCTAGCACGGCCTCGCGGGCCTCGGGGGTGGCGGAATTGGTGCCGAGGGTGCCATCTTCGCTGCGCAGTTTGCCGCCGGCCTTGAGAGCGGGGACGAGAAGCGCCCACACGGCGCGGTTGCTGAGCAGGGCAGAGGCCTCAGCGTGTCGGCTGCCGTCAGGGTCGGTCAGGACGAGGATCAGGTCGTAGGTGGATGCGGGGAGGGTGACGAGGCCGGCGGCGAGACGGTCGAGCATGTGCAGATCGGTGGTGTCACGGGGGTAGGTGGAGAAGAGGGCGCTAATGCGCTCCTCGTGGGAGGCGACAGAGGGCGGCGCGACGAGGAGGGTTCGTTGGGTCGAGGACGACCCCGTGCCGGTGGTGATGGCGGGGTCGAAGTCGGATGTGAGATCGAGGGTTATGGGCGACATGGTAGTGGATGGCGGGGTCGTCGTCTTCTGGGGAAAATGGAAAATGTGGTGCCCTGTTTTTGCTGCTATTCGGGGCAAAGAAATGGGGAAAGAGAAGAGAAGTGTGGTGTTTTTTGTCGTTGAGATCGAGTCTCTGTGTCTTCTGTCTTGTGGTCCCGCGGAATTCCGATAAGACAGAGCCGGAGAGCGAGGAATAACTGTGATGGTGGATGCAATTTGATAGGCACAAGATTAGAAATTGACTGGAGGAACTCTTTTGGGCGCTGCAGGTTTCGACAAATGTACACAGTAAGATCTGCATTACAAATCTTTTGCCACTACGGATCTTCATGTGCGAAACAGAGAAAAGACTGTGCTTTGGCCGAGAAAACAGCGCGTGCAGGGTGTGCGAATTAGGTTAGCAGACGGTGCTGGCCTAACAGAATCCTCTGGCGACATTCACTGAACCACCACCACTCGGCTATCGGACGGATTTGCCGATGTCGGACGACCCCAAAGAGCACACGGCGGAAACCGACAACCGTACGACGAAAGCACAAAGCCGGAATGTGAATGTGAGTTTGCCGTTTCGTTGGTTAAGTTCTGTGAGAAGGGTCGTAGGGGTTCAAGTATTTTATATCGTACAGGTGGGCGTTATTTAAGGTACTTGCGCATCATGCGGTGGCAGGTCGGGAGAGATCCGTCATCAGGCCATTCCGCCGTTGCATTGTTGGAGATATCCAGGTACGGCATAGACAGGGGCAAAGTAAACAATCGATGGCCTCGGCCGGGTGTTTGCCCTCTACCCCTGACCCCTAAAGAGGCTCAAGCATAGCGCCGGGAAGGAATCATGCCATCAGGATGAAGGGACGGGCGAGAAGTCGCGACGCCGAACCTACACAACGCCATCTGCCCAAGTGCTATTCTGAAGCTCTATCCGATGATGTCTTCACGTCAACGCGAGATTCGTTCTGGACAACATGTCCATTTTAGCTGGTGACTGAATTGAGGCTGTATCGAGTTCTGGACTCTTCGATGACGAGGTTGTGGACAATGTCCCATTTGAGTCATTGCCTGACACCGAAGGAAGGACCCGCGATAAGTTGACGAATTGACGAATCCGGTCACGGGCGGGGACGAGTTTCGGATCTGGCCTGATTTTCGGAAACTTCCACTTGCTGCCGTGGATGGTCACATGGAGGGCCCCGGCGTTCGTGGACCACGACTTTGGAGTTCGTGAATCTCGTCGTCCGAATTGCTTCATCCGGATTGCTATCTTATCGACATCGCCTTGATTACCGGACTGTTCTCGAGAAAGGACAGGAAGGTTCGAAAGCGAATTGACGATCCGGCAGGCCTGGAAGTGTGAAGCAATTGACGCTAAACCGCGACAGGCTTGGCGCCGGGTGTGTGCTCCATACCCCGCAAAATCATCACGGCGTCCGGGAGTCCCTGAGACGTGCAGGTGGGGAGGTCTGATGTCACCCGCATTGGTTGCATTGTTCAGTGCCTGTCAGTTGTGTGTCTAAACGGACTGTGCTGCTGCGCGAAAGGTGCACCAGTTTGAACCGCATCTTCATGAAAACAACAGATACAATAGGTATAAAGGGATGGCTTGGCGCGCATAGATACAATGACAAAAGCTCAAGAGGATGACACATATCTCATCAGATCCAAGGACCCAGATCCGTGGCAGTGTTGGTTGTTGACTTGGCGGGTTTGTGTAAGTGAAGCACGGTCCCAATAACACAGACCTCAGGGGAGGTGTGGGTGTCCTTTAACTTCTCCATCTCTCGACTTCCGGAATCCGGATCTTGATATGGAATGGATGAGATGGGTAATGAGCTTCATCCAGAGCTGCAACTACACCAGATAAGAGCAGAATGTGTTGTCAATCGGCAGGGAAAAAAATATGCAAATCACCCTCCGGATAAATTGGCTCGGCTGGGAGTGTCTGAGGCAACTCGCAATAGCAAAACGGGGGCTACTTCATCGTCAACAACGATACTGACACTTTTGAGATTTGGTCACCACAGCTCAGAATGGTGAAATGGTTGGGATTCGGCATTGGAGCTTGAGGCTGAGTTGTTTCCAAGATGGAGACAACAAAGAACTGGACGTGGGCCCCTCTTTCCCGTTGAGCTGGAAGCAGGTCAGGCCAGTCTCATGGACTCTTGCATCAAGTCGCGTGACTGCACATCCGCGGCCTCCTCACCGATCTCTCCCCACCAGTGACTTCCCAAACAGCAGCCGCAGAGCAGATCGTAGGTGCGAGCAACTTCGTAACTTCGTACCTCGACCCCTCTTCGATGATGACTCCTCATCTCTTTCCCATTGGAAGGTTCGGGAGCTTGCCCTTATAAGAGGAGAAGCTCCCATCTCTCCATCCCATCATCGTTTCCTTTCAACATTCACACACACATCACATCACCACATCGCAACAACTGCAACTACCACTACGTACTACTGGTATTACCTAGTGCATACACGACTTTTTCAACCATCTCTTACTCTGTTTACAATAATACACCACAAACCTTCCATCTTCACTACATCTTGTAATAAGTCGACTTCTTTCAACTCTTCCATATCTGTGACATCACCCCACTCAGCACCGTCACAAAGCTGTAAGTCAAAACATCCCGTCCCCCTTTCCCAACTCCAACCATCCCGGCCATCCATCGCCTCGTCTCCCATATCAGCCTTATCAGCCCCGCATTATTGTTTGTGTGACGCTGGCTGACCTTTGTCCCTCAGGTTAACTACTACTGAATAATATCACCCAACAACAGTGACAATACGTAAACACTTTCCAAGAGTAAGTTCCTTCTCCTTGCCATAACATCACACGGGCCTCTACTTACACACGGCTTATAGTGACTCGCTCTCACAAGTTCAACGACAAGGCCCACGTTGCAGGTGCCCTGTCTGAAGACGGCACATTCGTCCCCGTCGAACATGTTCCCAAGTACTTTGGCAAGCACGGTTTCGCCGATGCCGATCCCAAAAAGATCAAGAAGAACGGCGGTGGCAAGAGCAACTGGTATGTGGCCCTTCTCATTCCTACCCCTGCGTGTCTCACCATGTACTAACATCACTCTCAACAGGGGCAACGCTGGTGATGAAGTTATCGACGACCCTGAGTTCAGTTTCGTCAACGCTCGCCGTCACTCCAACGCCAGTGCCATCTCCAACAACTTGGAGCACTTCAAGACCAAGTTTGAGGTCAACGAGCCCGAGCCAGTCTTTGAGGAGGGTGTTCATGGCGCTCCCGAGGAAGAGGAGGAGGTGACTCTTCAGAAGACGGATACTTCCTCTAGCGGTGGTAGTGTCGATGACGAGCACAAGGTCGCCAGTGACTAAACACAGTCCACCATGACCGTCACACCGTTGCCATGATGATGATAACGATGAACGATATCCTTATGCTTATGACGACGACGAAACGATAGGAAACGTGAGGGTAGTCACTTGCTGAAATTGCGGGAATCCAAACCATCTATGATTGATGACTTTGGCGGAGGGTTTCTAGGAGGCAAGGGGCGAAAGTACCCCGAGTGGACTGGACCTCTCTATCTGACTACCAACCATACCTTCAAACATTGAACACCTTGGAGGAAGAAGTTTCGGATGGTGGGACGATGTGACGCTTGATGCTTGAGAGATAGCAGATGGACTACTCTAGTTAGTGGGCGGTTGGGATATACCGCGCTGTATGATATTGAAATTCAACCACTACAACTTTGAAGGCCACGATATCTGCTCCCTTGCTTGCTGCTGTGTTTTGGATGTTTTGTGATTCGTGCCTTTTGTTGAACCTGTCCCAGGTAATCTTAGATTCAAAATCACCCCCAACCAAACCCCCTCATCCCGCCTTAACAGCTAGCTCTTTCATCACCTGCCTAGCCGGCCTGGCCCCCTTCCCCTCCACCTTGATCTTTCCCACTCTCAACAATCCAAACTTCCCTCCATCTTCTGGGATCACAAACGTCACAGCCCCCTTATCTTCCTCCTTCTTGTCATCTAACCCCAATCGGGTACACAAGCCCCAACTCACTCTCGGTTTTCTTTCCGTCACCTTTTCACCGTTGGCACCGGTCGTCTCGACATCGACGTACTCGTCCTCACCGAACCTTAGGAGCCAGAAGAGCGGGTCTGGAGGGGATTCGCGGTAGGATTGGTTAGGGACGAAAACAGCATCAAGTCCTAGCTGCTCGTTGGAGCTAGAGTTTCCAAAGTTCATTGACTGGATGACACGTCGGTAGGCTTGATATTTTTTGTTTTGCTGATCAAGCCCACCAGAATCGCCGTCAGAGGGAAAAAGAAGAAGCTCGGATATCTCCTCGAGAATGATCCGCTTCGGGGATCCCCCCTTCTTTGCTGATGATTCCTCGAGGGGGTGAGGGTAGCTGAGCGGAAGCTCAAGCTGCTGATCTTTGGACCCCTTTTTGGGTTGAGAAACTGGAGGGTAGACGTTCGTCCACAATGACCCGCCAGACCCGCCGCAAACCCGAGCCCTCAGCGCCGCCTCCGCAGCTGAATGCCGGAGAAAGGAAACGCGTTGATCGGATTTGGTGATTTTGGGGGCATGACTGTACCTCCTCTTTTCTGTCATACCCTCAGTTCCAGGGGTGGGGATATCATTATCCACCACCGGCCTCAAAGGCGGGACATGCAGTCCCTCCCTCAAAGAAGAGACAAGCATCTCAGCACCCAGGGGGGCGAGCAGGTCGTGGAGTTGTTGGACCGTGCAAGCTGGGGGGATGGGGATACCGGGCAGGGGAGTTTGCGCAATGACGGTGCCTGCGTCGAAGGTTTTGGGGGAGAGGGTTTGCAGCGAGACGCCGGTGTGGGAGAGCCGGTTGAGGACGGCGTGGTGGAGGGGGGCTGGGCCACGGAGGCTATTTTTTTTTTACCTCTCGTATTAGCGCCTGGTTGTTTGTTTACTTGAAAAGGGGGGACGCGCAAAGGGCGCAAAGGGGGGAAAGGGGGAAACGGGGGAAAGGGGGAAAGGGGGGCAAAGGGGTGGACGTAACGTACTCGGGTAGCAAAGAAGGATGGACGTTCAACCCCCCGTATTTAGCCTGGTTGAGACAACGCGGAGGAACAAAGAGACCGAAGGAGACGGCCACAATGAGGTTGATCGGTTCGCCGTCTGGCGTCTGTGGCAGGGACCAGCCGGTGAAGGTGTCGCGGATGTGAATGGGGAGGGAAAGTTCTTCGGCGAGGTTTTGGATGGGGACTAGAGGGAGGGACTTTGTTAGTTTACTACTGGGTATATGACTTGAGGGGGATTGGAGATAGATGATACCTTGACGAACCTCCTTGTAACCTCTGCCAACAGCTTTTCCCGGTCGGACCATGACATCAATGGACTTGATCAGGCCCGGGTTGGCTTTGTGTTCGGCATGAAGTGCTTTGAGTGAGTAGCAACTGAAGACATCTGAGCCGCAGAAGAGGATGCGTAATGGGTCTGAGACTTTGGATTCAGGTTGTGTGCTGTAGGAGCATCGGGTGAATGCTGATGATGGCTTTCGAGAAAGAGAGGATAGGGAGGACCTGATGCCGGAGGGCACGGCTAGACGTTGGAGTAACATCTTGAGAGTTCTGGTGGTTTGGATATGACTCTTCACAAGTAACTCATCACGAGCTCAGAACCAGTTGAGATCTGGACCAAAGTCACTTACACGACCTCGCTCACGGCGTTGAGGTCGATTGGATTGGTTAACGGGTATTCCACTGAGACAGTGGATAACTGGAACGACACACACGGGAAGAAAAATCGATTCCTGAGGACCTGGTCTAAGAAGTCTAAAGGTTCTTGACCCAAGACTACTCCTCAATGGCTGGAATTGTTGAAGTGTCTTGTTCCTGTCCTTTCGTCGTTGTCGTTGTTCTCACCATCGTAAAGTTCCACTTAGGTTGGCGGGTTGCAAACAGTTGCAGCGCTTCAACCCTAATCCTCTCCCAACTCTAGGGGACCCCGGCAGGCACCCGAGGATCACCAACAGGGGGTCGCCGGGATAGCGTCCGGATAGCGGGCCACCAGCGGGCCACCACCAGCGGCAGCGGGCCAATTCCACTGCTTCTCTCTGCCAATTTGCTCCGCCATTCCGCATCAAATCGTACCAGCCCAGTCCCAAATGCGACGCCCGCTTTCCTCACGATGCGGACCCCGACTCGACTCGACTCGACTCGACGCGCGGCGCATTGCCAATGCCTTTCCCTTAAAGGTAGTCTTGCTGCCGTCCGGCACTGGAACCTTCTTCCAGGATGGCTCAAGCTTCAGCTCAGATCGGCACTCCGTTATTGACCACCCGGCAGGCTGAGGAGCTGTAAGTGTTATCGTCCTAAACGAACTTTATTAGAAACTGACGATAGGTGATCCACCTTTTGGGAATAGGCACAAGTCCATCCTAGCTTACCTCTCCTCCAAGAACCTCGCGAGTACAGCGGCTACTTTGAGAGATGAACTCGACCTTGCTGAAGAGTCCTTTGACACGGAAAAGGCAAAGAAATATGAAGGTCTCCTAGAAAAGAAGTGGACGAGTGTTGTTCGGTTACAGAAGAAGGTCCGTCCGCCATCACTACCTACCTACCTCTTGAACTTGGACCAATCTCCCATCTAACCCTCCCCAGATCCTCGACCTCGAATCCCGCAACACACTCCTCCAATCCGAAATCGACAACGCTACCCCCTCCTCCCTCTCGCGCCGCACCCAAGACCCAACCAACTGGCTCCCCAAATCCCCCCCGCGCTACGTCCTCGAGTCTCACCGCCTCCCCGTGACCTGCGTCGCCTTCCACCCGGTCTTCACCTCCTTGGCCTCGGGCTCCGAAGACTACACCATCAAGATCTGGGACTGGGAGCTCGGCGAGCTAGAGCGGACCATCAAGGGCCACACCAAAGCCGTGTTGGACGTCGACTTCGGCGGGCCCCGCGGCGGTACGTTGCTGGCGAGTTGCAGCTCCGACCTGACCATCAAGCTGTGGGATCCGAGCGACGAGTACAAGAACATCCGCACGCTGCCGGGGCATGATCACATGGTTAGTTCCGTCCGGTTCATCCCCAGCGGGGCGGCCGGCGCGCCGGCCAGTGGACACCTGCTGGTTAGTGCGAGCAAGGATAACAGTCTGAAGATATGGGATGTCACGACGGGGTATTGCGTCAAGACCATCCTGGGCCATGTGGACTGGCCGAGGGCCGTTTGTCCGAGCCATGATGGGCGGTATTTGCTATCGACGGGCAGCGATAAGTCTGTCCGCTTGTGGGACCTAGCGGGCGGGAGGGATGCGGAGTGCAGGTTGGTTATGTTTGGGCATGAGAACCATAATCTCTGTTGCGCGTTTGCGCCGCCGACGGCGTATACGCACTTGGCTAAGCTCGCGGGACTGGAGAGGCCGCCGCCGCCGAGCTCGAGCGCCGAGTTTATGGCTACGGGGTCGAGGGATAAGCAGATTCGGTTGTGGGATGGGAGGGGGAATTGTATCAAGGTGTTGGTGGGTCATGATAACTGGGTGCGAGGGCTGGTGTTCCACCCGGGCGGGAAGTACCTGCTTTCGGTGGCGGATGATAGGACGATGAGATGCTGGGATTTGAGCCAGGAGGGCAAGTGCGTGCAGACGCTGACGGGGGTGTATGAAGGGTTTGTGAGCTGCATTAGGTGGGCGCCGCCTGTGGTGAAGGATGCGGATGCCAAAGAAGGAGGTCCGCTGGCGGATACGGTGGTGGCGGCGAGGAGGAGAGCTGCCACGGTGGGAATTGTGAATGCGACTGTTCAGATTAGGTGTGTGGTTGCTACGGGTAGTGTGGATGGGGCGGAGGGTAAGGTTAGGATATTTGCGAACTAGGGGGCTGGTGTTGGTTTCTTGGATATATAGATCCTTAATTTAGGATGGGATTTGAGGCTATTCAGGAGCATTGGGAGGAGAGATTGCTTGCATCGGTCTACGGGTTTATGATGATGATTGACACGAAAGTTTATGGGTTCACGATTCGAGATGCAGTTCGAGTTGTTGGTCCAAGTTATTCTACGTTGTGTTCTTCCAACAAAAGCACACGGAGCCGGATGTAAGTATAATTGAGGCTCCGTCCCGGCCCCACCCCGTTCCCGCACTGCACTATGTATCCATATCGGTGTCGATATCTGGTTCGGTGTCCGGTGGTCAGATCTGATCCGCGGATGTCCACCGCCGGAGGCGCCCGATGGATGACCTTGATCATGCGCTCCTCATCCAGCCACCCAACATCGGCACAAGTGCCCGATTAAAGCAGACAAAGTTGTCGATCCCGGTCCCGACTCGATGCCCGGAGTCTTGGCACTTTGTGATGTTGGAATCGGGGCGGGGGCCGCCGGGGGTCGCCGGGGTTTGGTCGGTGTCAGTCTTGGCGGGATGCTGCGGCCCGAACGAGACGCCAACTGCAAGGCAAGGTGGGTGCAAGGCAGCTTTGCATGTCTGCAGCTAACAGCCGAGTGAAACTCTATCGCGGAAATGTTGTTTTTTACTTTTGTGTGTTTTTCTTCGTTGTGTTATTTGTATGGGTGCTGTTGCCGCCGACAGTTGAAGTGGGGATGTCAAAGACCGTCATCACAAGACCGTCAAGATTTTTGTCGAAGAGGTTGGTTTTTGACTTTCTGCCTGCCGCCTTCTTTCCTTTGCAAAACGTCACGATTGTCTCGGCGGCATACTGTATCATCATTTTTCTCCTCAACCGCTACCCATGTTGCCATGCCGCGACAACAAGACGGCAGATACATACGTAGGTGGCTCAACGGGATGTTTTGCATATCAAATTCCACTCTTGTTTCGAATTATTGAGTTGGCCTATACACTACAGTATTGCCCCCTGATTTTGCATGTAATACTGTCACGGAAATCTTATGCACTAAATGGCGGATATGCACTTCCCAGACCTGAGCTAGGCCCAAACAGGAGGCCAGACGGAGGCCGAGATACTAAAATCCGGTCCCCTGCTAACTATTTCTCTATCCGGAACGGGATCCTGATAGTGCATATACACCAAAAATTGTCCGAGAAGCCTATGCAGTATGCAGTTATGCACTTGTAGGTGGGAAACAATTCTGACAGCCAAATCCTATGCACTAACTAGCGTATATGCAGTTCCTGGAGGATGCAGTTGCAGGGGTCTTTACTGTATTGTCCAGAGAGGTTGACAAAGTTACAACCCGCACCCATCATTTCAACGGCCTGCTCGGAAACCAGCATCACCGCAATTACCGCTAAATTCTCATTCAAATCGGATTTATCCCCCACACTATACTAGCCAATTACATCTGGAGAGAGCTTCACGGCGACGCCTCCTTGGTTCGGTTTCGGTCAGTGACCTTCATCTTCTTCTTCTTCTTCATGTCCGTCACCCCTTTTGCATAACCGGGCGGAGTGGTCCGCACATTTTCAATCTGGACTCGTGATCTACACTCCTGCTTACTATTTCTAGAGAGGGTTAATAAAGAGCAACGGGAATGTCTCACAGTGACGGGCATGGTGAGAAGTACGACCGTTTATCAACGAACTCGGACTCGGATCCGGGGATGCAGTTCAGGTTCCCGTCTCAGTGACTGCCGGCCCCCCGTATTTTGAGGAGTAAAAGAGGCCCAAGCTCAAAGCCAAGCAAGATGGTCGCTCTCCACAGCCCTTGGGAGTTGGTGTGAGTGACCACTGATGACCACTGGGAACCCCTCTTCGCCAACTTTTCCTCTTTCCAGGTTGTCTTGCGAAACCTCACCCGTCCCGTCGTCCACTGGCCGTCCACTGGCCATCCAGTCAGCGGGAAGATCACTGCCAAGCAAACAATGGATCCAAAAAGCCGGGGACAGCGTGTCATCGATCCAACGATGTCATCAGCCAAGTGGAAACCTGAAGAGGGTGGCATACAAGATGCACTCTGCAGACCTCAGCAACCCAAAGGCACGCCATCTCTTTTGACTCTCATTGACCGGCGTGACCTCCAGTTCTCTCAAGGCTTTACCGCCTTTATGTATACCCCTCAGACCTCAGAAAATTTGCGGCTTTATACGCAGCAGTGCAGCACCATCAGCTTGAAGAAAAATTCACGCCTCCACTCACCCGGGAGTTGCGATACTACCTTGAAGGGGAAAAACAGTACGAAATTGACACATCGAGAGTCTGATTGTGATATCTCGTCCGGTCCCAGTACTAGCGGCTCATCCCTACTAATATATGGTACCGCTAATACTTGTTCGTAAGAGATTTACTCCCCATATTAATTCCAGAGCCTAACCTTCTTACAGTATGGTTAGCTCCCTTCTGCAAGCCTCCTGCAAGCCAAAGTGGGCACGTTAACGTGGCCAGACAAGGGGTGCACAGGCATGGTTAGATAAATGAAGTGGGGTGGTGATGATGTGAGAGATCTAAAATGAAACTCACCTTGAGGTCGGTCGACCTTTTGATGTTGAACCCGCGATGGGAGTCTTGGGGATCTTGATGGCGGTGAGCTTGAATACGTCGCTTGCTTCTTTGATGAAAGATAGTATCGCGATCGATAATGTGGTGTTGTTTGATTGATTTTAGCGATGATGGCGGTTAGAGTGTACAAGTTAGATTTCAAGAAGGTTGTTTGGTGAAAGAGTAAGAGTGGGGAGATTGGGCGAGATTCTCAAAGATTATTGGCACGGGGTATACGGCTGGCATGGGTTACCTGCAGTCGGTTGGCGGGGCTGTTAGGGGGCTGTCAGGGGGCTGCAGCTGGCTAAGCGAGTCTACTATACTATATTGGGATTAGTAAGGCGGCCCGGTAAATCTCTTACGACTGAGTAAAAGCGGTACTAGGAGGCATCGCCGTGAAGGTCTCTCTCCAGATGTGATTGGCTAGTATAGTGTGGGGGATAAATCCGATTTGAATGAGAATTAGTAGTGGTAGTGTACTGCTACTATTAGTAGTAGCGTACTGCTAGTGTAAGGGCGTGTTTGTCTCCCCTGAAATGGCCTTCTGAAGTGGGTTTTCTGAAATGGTTTTCAGAAAGGCTGCACGGAAATTCAGAATTCTGTTCAGAAACGTTCTGAAGCTCCTTCGGGATTGAATGTTGGACTCTGAAATTGGGGAGTTTGATGAAAGATGATTGGCCACAAATCGAAGGTGGGACTCAGAATTTCAGAACGGGGATTTGTGGAGCAATTTCAGTACTGAAATGTTCAGAGGTTTCCAAACAGCACTCTGAAAAAACGGCTCTGAAGACCTCAGAGCCACATTTCAGGGGAGACAAACACGCCCTAAAACTGGACAACTCTCAACAACCTCTTCGTGCTCCTCGGCCGAAGACGAAGCGAGGCAAAAAGTGACCAGCATAAGGCTTTAACCGTCTCTCCACTGTCGATTCCCCACACGAGGCAGATCCCTCTCCACCATAATTTCCGCCTCAGGGTTCCTGACCCTCCTGTTCAAATCACCTTTCTCCTATTACACCGACATCTCATCCCCAAAGAACAACAAGCACCAAGTTCGAGACTCCTCACGCCTCACGACGCTTCAAAAGACAGCCAAGACTTTCTGGAACTCTTCGACAACCAGGAACACCGACCTTCGACACTCAGTCCCCGTTTCAACCTCCGTCTACATGCACCGTGAGCCGCACTGCCACGGCCTTATCATAACGCCAGTCAACACACGATCCTTCGTTTCACACCCACACCGAACTCGCCATAAACTGTCAAGTCGAGACTGGGCAATGCCCTAGAAGGACCTCGCCCCCCGGTGATGACTTGGGATCCATCTTCTCCAAATTCTCCCATATGTCGCGGCTTGAAGGGTTATGGCGACGCTCTGGACGTGATCGAGCCAAAGACTTGACTCATTGCTGCCGGCCTCCTTGACTGGCATCGCCTTACCAGGCGCCAACATCAACATGGAGGCCCATCCTCACCACCACACACGATACGTTCCGTGTCCCGACAGAGGGCCCGCCGTCTTTGTCGTCACCACGGTGACAATATGCTTGGCTACCCTCTTCGTCGCTGGTCGAATGGTATCTCGTATCGGAATCGTACGCAGAGTCGGATGGGATGACTACATCATCGTTTTTGCCTGGCTCATGGCCATGTTCCTATCCGCCACCATTGACATGGCCACGAGACGTGGTCTAGGTCGTCATGACGGGGATATCCACCCTCAGGACCTGCCAAGATTGAGGATGTGGGAATATGTCTTTTCCATCCTATACGTATGTGTTCTCCCTTGTGTCCCATTCATAATCCCCACATCCACTAACATGGGTAACAGAATCCGGCCCTTATGGCCACAAAGACGTCCATCCTCGTCTTCTACCTTCGCCTGGCTAAGCACACGCAAAAGGTCCTTCGGATGGCCTCTTGGGCCGTCCTAGTGGTTGTGAACGTTGCTGGAACCATCCTCACTTTCATGAACATCTTTCAGTGCACCCCTACGCGAGCTGCTTGGGACATCACGGTCGAGTCGGCCAAGTGTTTGCCGTTGTTGACCGAGTTTATCTGCTCCTCCCCCGTGAACATAGTTACCGATCTAGCTGTCTTGGCTCTCCCTATTCCCGTGCTCACCGGCATGCGTCTACCCCCGAGACAAAAGACGATTCTTATCTTTACCTTTACTCTCGGTATCTTTGTGACGGTCGTCGACGTCGTCAGGATCTACTACCTCCAGCAGGCCGTGGGTATGGTAGCCATGAGCGCTTCAGACGACCCCAGCGCAATCTACGGTCAAAGTTCGAATTTCCACTGGAACGCATCACTCTCTTTGATGTGGTCGGCTGTCGAGGTCAACGTCGGCATCATCTGCGCCTGCATTCCGACTCTGAAACCCTTGATTATCCGAATCCTTCCTGCCATGATCATCGACCCCGACGGAACTCGCAGCAGCACCCGGGATAGTGCCCAATTGGTGGACGCCGGCTTCAAGCAGGACAACTCCGACAGCAGCCAACCCATTACCTTTTCGACGTTGAACGACTCCCACGCAAGCGCCCCTCAAACCCCGGAGCAGGTCCATGTACGCAATGGCAGGCTGTCCGAAGAGATCTCCTTCAGAGACTTCTTGTCAGCATCAGCCCTCAACGAAATCCCCGCACCCGAAGGCAGGATGCCTACCCTCCCGGATCGACGAAGGTTCTCTTCAGCCCAAGAGAACTCCATCTACTTTGGTTTCGTGGAAATGAAGAAGCCAAAGAGCATGGTCAAGTCTTCGGTATCCGAATCGCTCAAGTACTGCACCATCGTCAGCATCCTCTTTTTCCTCTGGGGCTTCTCTTACGGCCTCCTCAACACTCTCAACAATGTCGTGGCAAACGTGGCTCACATGACCACGGCACAAGCTTTGGGATTGACGAGCGTCTACTTTGGCGGTGGTTATTTCCTTGGACCTCTTCTCGTTGGAGGCTGGCTGCTCAGTCACGACGAACATCGCCGGTTCAGAAGGAGACGACGTGGCGATATCGAACCCATTGGTGGCTTCAAGGCTACCTTCATTGTGGGTCTGCTCATCTACGGCGTCGGAACCATCATGTTTTGGCCGTGTGCCGTCCTCGCATCCTATAGCGGGTTTATGGCCAGCAGCTTTGTTGTTGGGTTCGGATTGGCCGTCTTGGAAACCGCCGCCAACCCCTTTCTTGTGCTCTGCGGACCACCCGAATATGCCGATATGCGACTTCTCCTAGCTCAGGGCATACAAGCCACCGGAGCCGTCCTGAGTGGTGTTCTCGCTAATAACGTCTTCTTCCACAAGATCGAAGAACGAAGACACAGTCCCACGACTTTGCTCGACGTCCAATGGACCTACCTCACCATCACCCTCCTCTGCGTACTACTCGCACTCTTCTTCTACTACTCCCCCTTACCCGAAGTGACCGACCGCGAACTCGGCCGGCTCTCCGAACGCCTCCCCATCGACCCCAAAAAACGCTCCATCGGCGGTTTGTCGCTACGAACATGGTGCATCCTCCTCGCCGTCTTCTCCCAATGGTTCTACGTCGCCGGCCAAGAAAACATGTCCGTCTACTTCACCCGCCTCATGACCGCCTTCTCCTCCACGCACGAAGAATACCCCGACTCGCGGCCCGAGGGATTCGAAATAAGCACGCTCCACTACCTCGTCGTGTCACACTCCGCCTTTTCCACCTCCCGCTTCATCTCCGCCTACCTCTGCTACTTACATAAAAAACACCCCACCTCCCGATTCATCCCGACCCCGCGCACGATCCTCAACGTCTGCACCGTCCTATCAACAGTCTTCATTTTGGTGACTGTCGTCTACAAAGCCGCCTCCAACCCCAACTTCATGGTCATCCCCATCATCTTCTTCTTCTTCTTCGAAGGCCCCATCTGGCCTTTAATCTTCAGCCTCGGTATGCGCGGCCAAGGAAAGCGAACAAAACAAACAGCCGCTTGGCTAACGATGGGCGGCTCTGGCCCAGCCTTCTGGCCGTTCGTTTCCTACGCTATCCTGCAAAGAGGCGGAAGCATCCAAACCTCCTTCATCGTCGGCATTGTGTTAATGGCAATGACAATGGTCTACCCCATTTTCCTCACCGTCGTTCGAGACGCGCGAGAGATGTCTGATCATGTCATGGTCACCACTCCATCGCAGAAAAGACGGCGGAGCGGGGATGTTGAGTCTGGTGGTGTTGGTCTTGTCTCTGAATGCAGGGTTAGCGAAATGTCGATGACTATTGACCAAATCATTGCCAACCGCCAAAAAGAAAGGGAAAAAGCTGCAGAAAGGGCGGCGAGGAGAGCGGAGAATGGAGGCGCGCTTAAGAGGCTATCGACATGTTTGGGGATTGGCACTGAGAAGACTTCTAATGAGGATACCAAGGAGGAGAAGAGGAAGTCTCAGCAGCAGCAGCAGCAGCGGACGGAGGTGCAGTTTGAGAAGCAGCAGTGGGGAAAGAGTAGTGGTGAGGATGAACCTCGGAAGGACCCTGGGGAACAGGAAGAAGATCATGTGAGTGGACATGATCGGGAGGGACAGGTGGATGAAGTGACGGACCCGAATCCGACTCCGGAGTGGGAAAGACAGATGGCGCCTTGGGAACTTCCGCAGTTGGAGCTTGATACGCGGATTTTGGAGGATTAAAGAGAAGTTGAAGAGTGACGAAAGAAGAGAGAGGTGGTGGATGAAACCTGATCCGTCATGATTGATGATTTATGCAGAAACGAAAAGAGATACCAGGGCGTGGGAGGTACAGTGGAGGATATACCAAGGAAGACATTACCAACGTTTTGCGCCACGACTCAAGAAGACAGACGTAAGAGCGGTCAGAAGAGGAGTTATGGAAAGAGGATTATGAGAAGAGGAAAGAGGACAGAGGAAAAGTGTTGCTCGCAACATCACCAGCACGCACATACCGCACATACCAAAACTTACTGGCACGCCTAAGATACCCCTATAGTTTAACACGCCCAAGGTACTCCTATAGTTTAACACGCCCAAGATACTCCTATAGTTTAACACACCCAAGATACCCCTATAGTTCTAGACTATAGACAGTAGAAGAAATAAAGCAATTAAAGATAATGCTCGCTTCCATACTGCAAGTGCTTCATGTTGGCGTTCTGACACCCATGCCAATGACTCCTTAAGTAAAACTCTTCCGCTGCTTCGCTGCCTTGAACCCAACCCATGAACCTCAAACCCGATCATAAACATCATCCAAATAAAGCTCGCCACAAACCCTCACAACCGCCTCCCAACCCTGGTACAGCTTCATCCACTAATTTACCGTCTCCGTCTCCCCCTCACTCTCATCCCCCGCCTCAGACCCGCTCTCATCCCCACCCTCATCCTCATCCGTATCCTCATCACTCACTACCTAAGTGTGCACCCACTTCCCATCCTCCATGCTCTCCACAACCTCATCCACCTCATCCTCCCTCAACAACTTCTCAATCATCTCCCCATTAACCAAATCGTTTTCAACCGCCCTCTTATCTGCCTCTTCGGGGGTACTCGCAATCCCAGCAGCCAGATGCCTCTTCACCAGTCTCTTCCTGGCAACCGGGAACGGCACTCTGACAAAGAACTTGAGGTCCATCAGTTTGGAAGCATCGGACCAGGGTTTTTGGTCTAGTAGGAGATCTAGTTTCCGTTTCGTTAGCTTTACCCCAACCCAGAAGACGGAAAAAGGATGAGAAAGAAAGAGACTTACAATTCCCCTCAAAAACAACCACCCTCACCTCCCTCGCCACTTCAATCCCCTTCTCCACCGGATCCTTCAAAGCATGATCGAAACTTGGGGCCCACACCGTTTGACTTTCCTCAGTCATCGGCTGCCTCAGTTCCTTCACTAGCTCATAAAACCCCTGCCCGTCAAAAGTAAACTCCGCGCCGCGTCGAGCGTGTGCTAGTTCGGGGTCGGGCATGGCGGAGAGTTGGGCGCGCGTGAGGTGGAAGCCATCCATGGGGAGGGCGGTGGCTATTTCTGTGACGAGAGAAGCAAAGGGGGAATCGGTGGCGTGGAGGTTGTTGAGGCGGGTGGCGATGATTTGGGAGAGGGTTGTTTTTCCTAGAAGGGGGAAGGGGAAGGGGAGGTTAGTGATGGTTAGAGAGAAGCAGGTTAGAGGGGAGGGCTTACCGGAACCGGGGATACCGGCTATGGCGATCACTGTTTGGGAAGAATGAGCAAGGTTAGTATATCTGCTGTTACTACCGTAATGATGAAGGGTGACCAAGGGAGAGGATGTGATCGAGGTGGATCAGTTGAGTATGACCGGACGAGTTGAACACCATCTATCTCGTGGAGATGAGCTCAAAACGCAATGGCCACTGGACGGATATAAAAGACATGCCGAAGGTGACTGGTGTTGATGATGGGTATCATGGAACGGAAAGAAGGGGAACCGGCGAGCACATACAGAGTCTCTGATCGTTGGGCATCTCGAGATACTTCTCCCAGGCCCTATCGACCAAACGTTCCACTTGCTCCTCCATTTCGGTGATTTGTTATTAACTGCGGATGCTGATGATTGCTAGATGGTTGGTATGAAACGATGTCACTTGTAAGTCGGTGATAATGGATGAGAGAAGATGCCGTGGAGAGTTTGTCTACACTCTACAGATGGAGAAGAGGAACAGGAAAAGAAGTAAAATTTATGGGGTTTTGCAGGTTGACGACGACTCTTTCCCGTTGTTCAAGATTGGAAGTTGCTCTCGTCAAGAAGTCAGTCGAGGAAGGAAGCACCCAACCCAACGCCGGCCGGGCCTGGCCAGCATGACTGACATGGCAGGTGTGGGGCCGCCCTACGGAGCTCCACGGGCCACTGCGGGGAAGATGCCGCTCCGTTAGTTCGGCTTTTAGGGCTCCGCAATTGCTGTCTTCACTTCCTTGTCCGGAGAACTGCAACCCGGGGAAAGTCCTTTCATTCGCCAACATCTCTTCACTCTTCTGCATTGACTTCTTCAACCCATCTATCACTCTCTGCTCAGCAATATCAACCATAACTCATTCCACTCAACCTTTATTCAAAAATTTCACCTGAAACATCAAAAACCCCGGCCAGGAACCATGTCCCTCGAAGCCGAAGCCCTCGAGTCCGGCCTCCTAGGCATCGGTCTAGCTTCTGACTCTGAAGACGACTCTCCCACCACCACCACCACCAGCCTCAACAACAAAACCGAAGTCATCGCCGAATGTGCACCCCCAGCCACCAAAGCCGACCGCACCGCCCTCTCAGAAGAAGCCTTCCAAGAATTAAAGAGAACTTACCGAGTGAAAGTTGAGAACGGCGAGGTACTATGTCTTTTCCTCCTTATCCCCCTTCCCCCTTATCCCCCTTACTCCCCTTTTCCCTTCCTCCCCTTTCCCCTTCCTTTTTCCCCTGTCCCCTTCCTCCCCTTTCCCTTCCTTCCTCCCTTTCCCATCCCTCCCTCTCTCATGTATAACACTAACAAACCCACAGATCCACACCACCCTCCCCTTCCCCCTCGGCTCCCTCACCCCCTCCGGACCCTCCGGACAAAGAACCATCAACAAGCCCGAAGCGCAAGAGATCCTGCACGCGGTGGAGGAGCTCTACTTCTTCCGACGGTACGAGGAGGCGGTGGCGCTGATTCAAAAAATATGGGAGGATGCGGGAGAGGAACTGTTTGATCGGGACACGACGGGGTTGTTGAGGTTGTATGAGACGAGGTGTGGGGAGAGGTTGAGGGGGGTGAAGGGGGGGCAGTGAAAGGGGATGTAAGGGGGAGGAGGGGGAAGGGGATGAGAGCGATGGAGGAGAAGATAGGTTGGTGGAATCAATGATACCCTTTTTTGTGCGTTCGTGATTGCTTCGGTTATGTTATGCAGTGCAGCGTTGGCAGGTTGGGTTGGTTGAAAGGTCCAGATGAGATGATGGCAATTCGTCTGGTGTGAGTGCGAGGTTAGACGTCAACCGAACATATTTTCAACATGAGTTCATCGCGAAAAGCCATTGAGCTTTCATGAGACGAACGGGCAGTCACGAACAGCCGCCAAAAAGAAGCACAGCAATGTTGACAAGAGCGGAGAGATGGTAAGATGTCTCTTTATCTATACCTCGAAATGTGAGTGAAAAAATCTAGCAAACGCTCTAAATGTTCTTCTAACTTTCATCCCTAATCCCTCTCTATCCTGTCCATCATCTCTTTTGATCATTCCATCATAGCTGCCACCGGCGCGAACCAGTTTATCTGAACCGTTTAGGGTATGGGTATGCAGTGTGCAGTAGAAAGATTTCTTCTTTCTACCCCGCGCGCGCTTGTTGTTGCTTGGGCCGTCGCATCGGAGGCCATCACCCCTCCCTCCTCGCTTCCTTCGAACCGAACGTGTTCGGAAGACCGGAAGCAAGGCGGTAATGACAAATGATGACTTGACGTTTTTCCACACTCCCAAAAAGAGAAAAACAAAAATAAATCGTTGGGGGTATCTCCGAAAACTCCGTGCCAACACTGCTCGACATGATGGGGATGACGGGGAGATAAAGACACAAGAGATAAGGAGGAAAAATGCAGGTCTAGTAACACATCTCTGAAATCTGAAAAAAAAAAAAAAAAAAAAAAAAAACCGAAGAAAAATGAATAATGCATCGCTTCTTTGCCCCCTAATGAATAATAAACACCAAGCAACGCCGTCTAATGAAGTTGACTCCAAGTCTATGCTTTTTTGGCTAACCCCCGGACTCCGTTCGACACCCCTTTTGTTTGTTGTAAACCCATCAATCGCAAAGAAAGAGCAAGAGAAGTGTGTGATAATGCATCTTTGATGCCAAGCCAGAGACAATGCCCCCGGCGCGGAATTGCCCGGAGAGTCTTTTTCAGCTCAATCCTTTGTTTGCTTGCCGCGGGTGCGTGACACGAATATGTGTCGGCGAATGTCGTGATTTGACGTCGTGAGCGAGCAGGCGTTTCGATGGTGCGTTGCCGGCGTAGAGGCTGTTGTTGATATGTGATGGTGATGCCGTTGCTCAATCGCCCCGACGATGCCGAAATGAATCGAGCATGTCAGAGCAATCTCGGATCGCAAAGGGAGACTTAGGCAGCCATGCGGATGTTACCCGCCTGCTCCCTGATGAGACCCATCTTCTCCTTCTCCCTTTCCTCGGCGAAGACGCGCCTGCTCATGGCCAGCACGGACTCGAACCCTTCCTTGCCCTTAGCCGCGTTCTCCCGGAACCTCTTGACGAGGGTGTCCTCGATGCTGTTCTTGATGCGCTGCCAGCCACCAGCCAGGGCGGTGATCTGGGCCTCCTGGTGGAATTTGGTCTGGTGGTCGTTGAGAGGGGAGTAGACGACGGTCTCCTGGACGTTGAGCAAGTTGCTCCAGGTGATGTTGGTAGAGACCATAGTGACAGTCTTGGTCTTGGGGTCGACGTAGGAGGTCTCAAACACTTGCGACTCATCCATGCCGCCCCCCATCATGCTCTTGAGCCATTCCGGAGCGGCCTGACGGCAGGTGATGAGGCGCTCGGTGCGCAGGATGCCGGTGGCAGGATCGACGCTGCGGCTGATGGTGTCGACGGCGATAACGTGCGTCGACTTCTCGTTCCATGGGCAGTACTTCCGCCAGTTGGCGGTCGATACCTCTTCCCAGGAGTAATTGAAGGTTTCTGTGTTGGAAAAGACCTTCATTTTGATAGATATGTAATAGGTTTTATCGATTTTGGTGGTGATGGGTTTAAGTTATCGGGTGTCGAGATGTAACCCTCTTATTTGAAAAAATCGACTCGAAAGCGACGCGCTGACAAAAAGCAGACCGCAAGAAAGGAAGACGATCCTTTATTGTCGACAATTGCGGTGACGAGGGCGAGCGGTCAGGTAGAGAAAGGGTGTGGTAGTTGGTGGTGGTGACGGTAAGAAATCGTTTGGACCAACGACAAGAATGGGACTTTTTGGTGGTTAAGGATTGGCTTGTGATGACGCTGGGAGGAGTTCGCGGAGAGAGCGGAGGAGCGCAGCAGAAAGTTCTTCGCAGGGGCTAGACTTGCTGAAAAGTGACTAGCTGCAGTGACTGGGACCCTTGGGTAAAGAAAACCGGAGTTCCGAACAACGGCCTGGACCTTGGGTTGATCGACGATAACGGAGGGCGTGCCTGTTTTGCTTATGAATGGACCCGTCCGATAGGATGGAAAAATAGGTAGTGATTGTTTGTAGTATGTGGTCGCGTGAATGCAGGTAAAGGGCAGTGCAATGCTATGCAGGACAAGCGCAGTATAGATAAGAGAGATTTGAAATCAGATTTGAACAAAACTTTGTGAAACTTCAAAAACAGCAAGACCGGAACGGAGCAGAGGAAGAGCGGTTGCGGCCTTTATGACTTTCCGAAGTCATCGAGACATTCTTCGGCATTTTACCAAATGGAACCAAAACGTGACGCCTTTTTTTTCAGCGTTGCACGCCCCCGCGCGGCCCAGTGGCCCACTGACTCCGTTGATCCGTCCACACCCGTCTCACGAATTCTTATCGGGCCCGTGATAAACAAAAAAAAAAAAAAGCGGCAACGCAGGGCAGCCGTGCCATCAGCCAATGGGATGAACCAGATTTTCCACCATCAATCTCCACCAAACCAGGGGAATCACCAACCTCGGGTCGGGTAGGCCGGGCACGGCGAATCAGACAAAAGCACAGACCACAACCATGACTTTGGCACGAAGCGCCGCAGACGTCACAGCCGTCACAGAGAGCAATTGCCTCCCAAGACCCTTCACTGGCCCCGGCATACCTCCGTCATCCCTATATGTCGATCACTCCGCCTCCGTGACCGCTTCCGTCACTCTTCGCCGCTGATTGACATTCCGGAATGCTGTAGAATTCCCCCGTATCGGTACGGCACGGCCTGTGGGTCACTGGGTCCAAATCGTCCGGCACGGAGCAGAGTGGATCTAAGACAGGCTTAGCTCCGCACACGCTCCGGTCGTCCCTTCGGTCGACGGCTATCCATGTTGAAACATGAGCACGCACAACACTTTGGCGGTACTAGTTCTCACATGCTGGATGAGTCCAAACTATCAGCATCGGGTCCCTGATATTAGCCAAACAGTGGTTCCAGATTGATGAACTGAATGTCAAAACGTCAACTCTGTTTTGCCGGTACTCTCGAGGCTGATGGGTGCGCCCTGGGCTTCTGGCTCGAGCTTTCGTTCACTTGTCTCTATCAGAGCGCACCCATCACCATGAACCCGTGATATTACAATCTTTCACAACGTTACAGAAAACAAATCCCAGACTTTTTTGTCGTACCTTATCCTATGCTATGCTATCCGTTAATCCCTTAGAAATCATCACCACGGCTGATAACCTCCTTCACGGTAGGTCTGAGCAGAATGGTGTGCTCATACTGGGCAGTGTAAGAGCCCTTCTTATCAACCAGTGGGGGGTAAGCCTCGACAATACCTTGCGACACAAGGTTGTTCAACTGCAGCATGTGTTAGCAATCACTCGGTTTAATAAATACCGAACATCATGACTTACCCCGAGAAGATACTTGTCCTGACCCAAACGATCAATGTAACGCCTGCAGAAAGGCAGAGTACCAAAGTTCTTGGTAATAACGTTCAACAACGACTTGGCAGACGACAGACGGAGGTCGACCTTGGCCGCATCACCACGCTTGGCGTAGTGCGAAACCTCACCCTCCTCGTGCACGTAACCGTTACCCGTGCTGCCGAAAGTCTCAATAGCAAAGACATCGCCCTCCTCCATCTTGGTCTGGTCATTGCTCTTGACGATCGGCACACTCTTAGTGCCGTGGATGCTGTAGTGGTTGATGGTGTGGCCGTTCAAGTTGCGGATGGACTTGACGGGGAGCATCTGGCCGTTGATTTCAACCTCGTAGCTCTCCATGACCTCCTGGATGACAGCGCCAATGTCGCCCACACGCACGTCGATACCGGCCTCCTTGATACCGGCGTTGGTGGCGGCCTTGACGGCCTCGAGAAGAGGGTCGTAGCGGGGGTTGAAGGCGACGGTGAAGGCGCTGTCGACGATGCGGCCGTTGACGTGCACACCAAAATCCACCTTCATGACGTCGTCCTCCTGCAGAACCATCTTGTTGCCGGCGTTGGGGGTGTAGTGCGCCGCGCAGTGGTTGATGGAGAGACCGGTAGGGAAACCCATGCCGGCAATGAGAGCGTCACCCTCCTCGAGACCGCTGTGGCCGGTCAAGGCACGCACACTATCCTCGATATTCTCGGCGATCTCGGTCAGGCTCTGGCCGGGCTTGATGCTCTTCTGCGCCCACTGGCGAACCTGTCTGTGAACCTCGGCGGCGTGGCGGTAATCGGTCAAGAACTCCTGGTTAGAGGCAAGGTTGTCGAGATGGCGCTTCTCCTCGTTGGTGACGCGCTTCAGGTTGTCATTGGCGTATTCGACCTCCTCGCCCTTGGGGTATTGCTTGTTGGGGAAGAGCTGCGAGACGAGGACACGCGGAGGTTCGCTCTGGCTGGTCGGGGCCTTCTTCTTCTTCTTGGGCTTTCTCTTTTTCTTCTTCTTGGCGGCACCGGCGGCAGGGGCGGCAGCACCCTCCTCGGCTTCCTCGTCACCGGACTCGGCATCGCTGTCGTTGCCGTTGGCGGCGGGGACGGGCTTGGTCTCCTCGACTGTTTATCGAATTCAATAAGTCAGTGGTGTGCTTGAGGTTGCGCAGTGATGCAGGGTGCCGGGAGGATGTTGAAGTCCATACCGCTGAGCTTGCTAAGCTCTTCTGCTGGAGCTGCTTGAGCTGCCATCTTGTCTGTCCGATGTCTCCTGACCGGGAAGATGTCAAGAAGAACAGACGGAGGGTTTGTTGTTGGAGAAGGGAAGCTGGTGTTCTTCAAGCAACAAAGTTCACCCCACCATCCAAAGCTCCCGTCACAATTAGTCAAAAAATTGACGGCTGACCACTTACAGCGCTCCATCCAGAGCTACAGGGCGCAACTTTTAACAAACGCGGGGTTTCAGTGGAACGCCTCAGCGCCCTTGAATTGACATAACTGACAGCTGCATGAGCTAACCCGACCCAGCTCGCTATGTTGCCGCGTTATCCGGATATTGTGTTGCACAAGTCCCAATTGAAGGGACATGCTTCTCACGGGGCGGGAGGTGGCCAGAGCTTCAAGGACACTGTCCCTCGATTATGTCACTGCGTCACCGGCGGCAGGGATCCTGACCACAACTTCCTTATCAGGCTTGAAGCCAAAAACTAATCTGCCATCGACCGACATCGTCAATTGCGCCTAGGTGTTTCTTCGTTTGACATGATATGAACGATTCTCTATGAACCCAGCGAGGACGGAATGAGGAATGCCAGTCCATTACAGCTCTTTCGGTGCGGCCTTGCGCCCTCTTGGTCGCCAATGTCGTCGTCCCAATCTTTCTACTCCTCCGCCATCGATTACCGCGAGAGTTAACGTCGCGAACAATGTCTCTCGAAACTTTACCACGTCGAAATCTCTCCGAACCGGCCGTCAAGAGCCGGAACATCACAAGAACCACTATGAGACGTTGAACGTTCACTTTGATGCCACTCAGGCGGAAATCAAGAAGTAAACATGCCTTCCCTTGAGCTCCTATCGCGAACTCCACCAGACTTTCTTATCACTTACACGTCCTCCACTTTCCATATCCTCCCCATATCCTCATCATGTCTTCCCCTAAATAATTTCCCTCCCCTCATGTCAACGGTGATACCAAGAGTAGCCATGACCATAACTAACCTCCCACCCTCCAGATCCTTCTACCACCTCTCCAAAACCCACCACCCCGACCACAACCCCTCCGACCCTCACGCCTCCCACCGCTTCATGCGCATCTCCGAAGCCTACTCCATCCTCTCTCACGCCGACAAACGCGCCCGCTACGACCACGACGTGCTTCGCCTGCACCTTCGTGCTCGCGCCCACGGTTCTCACCACTCCTCCTCCGTCGGTCCAGCCGGCGGCCGCCCGGCCTCTGGGCTTTCCAAACGCCGGTCAACGACCCAGGGCGCGCCCCCGCCGAGCTTTTTTAAACAGGGAGGGTATGGAGAGCAGAAAGCGAAGAGGGAGAGGGCGGAGGGGTGGTATCCCCAAGGCGGTGCCGGTGCCGGCTTTGGTCAGGCCGGAGGGGGGTTTGGTTTCGGCGGCTTCGGTTCCCAGCCAGGCACCGGCACCGGCACTGGCACTGGCACAACAGGAGGGACAACAGGATCAGGCCAACAAAAACAAGAATGGTCCCAAGCCTTCAACCCCGCTTCCGCGCCTCACTTCGACAGCCAGCAACACACGCGCACCCATGAACAACTGTGGGAGAACTTGAAGAAGTCGCATGCGAGGAGGAATGAGGCGGCTAGACAGCAGGCGCAACAACAGCAGCAGGGGCAGCAGTGGTGGAGCCAGCAGGAGCAAGAGCCATACAAACAGCAGTGGGGAGAAAGTAAGAAAGTCCTACCAGAAGTTCAGCAGGGACATCTGGCGAGTTTCTTTGCTGTTACAGTGGTTTTGTTGGTCTCGAGCTTTGGGCCTTATTGGTTGTTTGGGGAGTGGACGAGTACGGGTGGGAAGAGCAGTGGAGGAGGTGGAGGTGGAAGTGGAGGGGGAAGTAAGAAACAGGCGGCTGCTTGATGGGACAGTTTGATGGCTATGATGATGATATATGAACTGGAAAGCAGGTACAACAGGACTGCGGGGGGACCACAGGGTAACAGAACTGTGGTGGCGTTCAAGTCATGAGAAACTAGAGACTTGGGCTTAACGGAGTTGCACAGTTACATAGAGAAGACAATTGTATAACAGAATACATTCATATGTCAGCTCTTGAGAAGATGATGAGGCTTGAGCTGCGTGTTGAGAAACCACTGCTACAAATCAAGACGCATTTTTGCATACTGGGTATTCCCCGTATTACCTGCATAGCTATCGTATCTTCTCTATTCGAGGTATACGGTCGGTATTGACTTGCGGACAATATGTTGAATAATGGGTTTCCCAGGTTTAGTTAACTGGCTGGGGATTAAGCCTTGTGCTACCATGAAGGGATGACACGTAGGGTTCCATCCCGATGCTTCACTTCATTGCAAAACCCTTTGAAGTTTTTGACATTTCTTGAGAAGTACTGAATGAGCGTGTTTGAAATCGCTATGGGTATTTATACTCTAAAGATCGCGCTTGGTTTCCACCTCCAGTCTAACTACAGTAACCATGTCCATCAAAGACGCTACAACTCTATCAAGAACTTTTGGCCCTCTTCGTTACACATAAACTCAAACCAGTATACACAAACTCGTCAGCCACCCGAAGCAGGGCGCGCAACGTCGTCATCTTCACTGTCTCATAAAATAAAACATCACTGAAAGGGGAGGCTCCACGATGCCAGCAAAGGGGGATTATCTATTCCAGTTGAAAATGTTGTTTCCGAAGGAATCCTATGATGCTCCTGCTCCGTCTCATTTGTCCTGCGATTACTCTAAGACTCGAAGGTAAAGCTGGTGCCGACCTTGTGGGTGGCCTGGTCAAGCTTCTGGGTATCGAAAGAGGCACCAACACCGAGGGTGACGCCCTCACGGAGGAGAACGTTGTAGGCAACGGCAGCGACACCACGGTCGTTGATCTTGCCCTGTAGGGTGGAAAAAAAAACTTGGTCAGCACCCACACATTCCATAACTAGATTCACAGCAAGAACATACCTTGACGAAAGAGACAGGGTCGATACGGTACTTGGTGGCGACCTCGAGGCCGACGGTGTTACCGCTCTTGGAGTTCCAGGTGGCCTTGGAGCCAGCCTCGACCTGGGAGTTGACCTTGTGGTAGTAAGAAGCGGAGAAGACGCTCAGGTTGTCAGTAGCGGTGATGGCAGCGCTGTAGGTAGGGGCGTGATAGCCAACGGCGGCGCTGTAGCCAGTGATGGCAGCCTTCTGGACATCGTAGCCGGCGGAGGCACCAGCGAGGAAACCCTCGTGGCCGACAATGGCGTCGATGTTGGCGGTGGGGCCCTTTAGGAGGTCGAAGAAAGCACGGCCGTGGAAGTTGCTCTGCTTGAAGTGGAGGTTGAACTTGGCGCCGCGAGCGTTGGTGGCGGGGAGGAAGGAGAAGATACCCTCAGCCTTGAGACCCTTGGCGAGGTTGTCGGCCATCTCGACCTTGGTCTCAAGGGCGTTGGCAGTGTTCCAGGTCTGGGTGACGGTCAAGCCTGTTGTTCGCCAGTACATTAGCATTGTCGTGTGGTTCGCATACGGACTATAGTAAAAGCTGAAGTTGACGGGTCGTCCCCAAATCCGAGGACCCATGATCCCGTCTAGAGAGAAGTTCGTCTCTACCGGAGGCCGGACAGGCGCTGAAATCCTCTGCTTTGGTTTCACGTTGGCAGTACCATTGTCGCCGGCGGCTGAACTTCCGTCGGGACGACAATTCCTGGCTTTGTCGCTTTGATGGACGCGTCTGTGAACGATGCAGTAGCCGGGAGGTGTGCTCTGCTTGGTTTTCTCAAAGCCATGGAAACAGCGATGGGCACAACAATAGGCTGGAGGCAGCGGTCCGCCGGGAGGAAGATGACCAGAAAAGGGAGCAGAAAAAGAAGACGAAGATGTAAGAGAAGGGTGATATGTACCATTGGGCTTGTCGGTGAATTTGCCCTCGAGCTATAAGTCAAAAGAGGTCAGCATTGTCTGTTCGCAACGGGAGAGAAGGGAGGGCGTTTGGCGCAACATCAAGATGATGCTATCGCGGCATTGCGCCGAGAGCCCCAAGGGAGGGAGGAGGTAACGTACAGCACCGCTGGTGGCCTTGTCGTGGCTGGACTTGCCGGTAACCTTGAAGGCGACATTGTTGGGGGTGTTGGACTTGACCTCAATGGTGCCGGCAGAGAGGTGGTAGAAGTCCTTGTTGAGGAGCTATATTGCGCGCAAAGAAGTCAATGATTATTCGTTATAGTGCATGCATGGGGTCCAGGCCCAATCATGAATCATGGTGGGGTGGAGGATGACGACGGTGCTTCATGGATGTTGGTGTTGACGATGCTCGTTTGCTATCGCGAGAGTGGGATGTGTAGGTATGGGGAAATGCCGCTTCAGCTTTGGAGCTTGGGCAGCTTTCCCCGGCCAAACAGACAACACGTCTCTCGATAGCATCGTCATAGCTCGGGTTGCGGTGCACAGGGAGGCGTGATTTTTGCTTACGTCGTTGGCCGACTTGGCGATATCAGAGAAAGCGGGAACAGCCATTGTGAAAGATGTTGTGTGAGGGCGACACGGGTATATTGGTTAATGGAGAAAGTGAGGTTGCGGAGTTCAAGAACGCGAGCGGGAGACGGGAGTCGGGAGAGAAAAGGCTTGCGGTTATGTTGCGCGCGAAGCAAGGTCGGGTCGGCTGCGACTGACGGGGCTGGTTCTGGCGAGCCCCGCCTGAGTTGGGAAGTCGGCGTCGGGTCTGGGATACTCCAGCAAAAAAGTGGAAATGGAAATGTTGGGAAGACCAGAGACCCAAGAATGTCCCGAGAAATTTCCCAGACGGGTTCGTGATTGGTCCTTCTCGCCGTGTACATTTGCAGCTCGGCAACGCTAGACTCACGATGACAAGCCTGAAGCAGCACCAATCGCGACCCCACGCCGTTGACGAAACCAGCCCGTTCATGCGCACCATTAACCCTAACCCCTTTGTACGTCATTGCCCCCTTTCATGACTTCTCTAAAGGTAAACAATCACAGACTGAAGGCATCATCTGCAGTCGGCCCTTTCATCTCATGCTACAAGTGCATCTGTGTCATCCCGAGAAAGTTCGCATCTCACAGCACATGATGCAAGCATCTTCCATCTATCGCATAATCGTCATCCCCTTTCATCGTACTCAGATCGTGGTGATCGTCTGTTGGTTAGGTCTTACTTTGTTTCACTTGTCCTGTATTGGGTTAGTCCCAACCAAACGGTCATCACCGTTCGCGAACAAACCAACTGCTTCTTTATGCACATGATGTTTTTGATCACTTTTTGCTTTCATTTCTATGCTGGGTTGCTTGCTAGTATAGGTATACGCGATCCTTTTACTTTGACCCCATATAACGCCCTACAATGTAAACCCGAGACCAAGCACAAAAACATTCTAACTTTTAAATGTTGTTTCCCTTTTTATTTTATTTTGTTGTTTGCTTTACTCCTCCACGTGGTCATACTTGGCCTGGTGGATGGAGATGGCTCTGCCACTGGGGTCGGTCTGCTTAACCCACTTGGGAGTCCACCTCATGACGGTAGACGCGCACGAAGGGGGGAAGTGCTCGTCGAACATGCAGCGGTACCAGTAAGCCTCCTTGGTATCGGGGATGTCGTCGCCCCACTCGGGCTTGGGGTTCTTCATCATCTCGTCGGTGACTTGGAGCTCGGCCTGGTCCTTGAGGGCGTCGATCCATCCGTAGCCGACACCGTCGGAGAACTGCTCCTTCTGGCGGTAGAGGATGTTGTCGGGGAGGTAGGCACCCTCGGGCTGGTCCTTGGTGTCGAAGGCCTTGCGGAGGATGTACTTCTCGAGCTTCTCCTTGGTGATCATCTTCTCCTGGGGATCGATGTTAAGAGCAACCTCGAGGAACTCCTTGTCGAGGAAGGGCACACGGGCCTCAAGACCCCAAGCAGAGGTGGACTTGTTGGCGCGCAGGCAGTCGGCCAAGTGGAGGTTCTTGACGCGACGGACGCACTCCTCGTGGAACTCCTCCTTGTTGGGAGCACCGTGGAAGTAGAGGTAACCACCGAAGATCTCGTCAGAGCCCTCACCCGAGAGAACCATCTTGATACCCATGGCCTTGATCTTGCGAGAAAGGAGGTACATGGGGGTAGAGGCACGGATGGTGGTGACATCGTAGGTCTCGAGGTGGTAGATGACATCGGAAAGCGCGTTAAGACCGTCCTCAATAGTGAAGGTCATGACGTGGTGCTTGGTGCCGAGGAACTTGGCGACCTCGAGGGCGGCCTTGTTGTCGGGGGAGCCGGGGAGACCGATTGAGAAGGAGTTGAGCTGGGGAAGAAAAGTGACGGTCGAGAGCTTGTTATCATCATCGATACCGACCAGACCCTCACCCTTGTCCTGAGCCTCGGGGTCAACCTCCTGGTTGGCAGCCTGCTCCTCAGCGAGCTTCCTCAAGCGGAGGGACTCCCTCTGAGCGATAGCAGCAACCAAAGAGGAATCAAGACCACCGGAAAGAAGGACACCGTAGGGAACCTCAGCCATCAGACGTTTCCTGACGGACTTCTCAAGAGTCTCACGGAGAAGCTTGAGGTCGAGAGGAGTCTGGGGGCACTTCTTCTCATCCCACCACGAGGGCTCGAAGTAGCGGGTGGTCTCGCCAGTCAAGCTATCGAAAACATGGCCGGGAGGGAAAGCCTCGATCTTGTCGCAAACGGGGTGGAGGGACTTGAGCTCGGAGGCGAAGTAGACGGCGCCGGGCTCCTGGGAGTTGTAGCCCTTGTAAAGGGTGGTGATACCGATGGGGTCGCGGGCGGCGATCGTGCGGTCCTGGTTCTTGTCGTAGAGAACGAAAGAGAACATGCCATCGAGGTACTTGGGGGCATCGATGCCGTGCTCGAGGTACTGAATGGCATTGTAAGTATTTTTTCTCGTTTTCATCCGATCTTTGACGAAGCGCGCAAACTCACCAAAGGAATGATGACCTCGCAATCTGAAGTGGTCTTGAAGTGGTAGGGGTTCTTCAAGTGCTTGCGGATAAGACGATGGTTATAGATCTCGCCGTTGGCGGCAACGGCAATGCTCTCATCGGCGTTGGTGAGGGGCTGAGCACCGCTCTCTGTTTTTATCGTCAGTTTTTGTCTCTTCAAGTATATTTCAGAGAAGCGGTTTTCCTTTGTACGCACCAACACCGACGATACTGAGACGCTCATGGCACAGAACTGTGTGAAGCGTATGTTGTCAGCCAATTTTGTTCCCTTTATTTGGGTTCTCGGGTTCGGTAAAGAGTATTCATACTGGTGTTGTGGCAAGTGACGCTGCCGCCTGTTCAGAAAAGCCAATTGTTAGCCATGTGCTCCAAAGCTGTCGGGATTATCGCATTTGTTTATCTGCGATACTGACTCAGGGGCAGGATGCCAAGAGATTGGGATAAGACTCACTCCAATCAGGACCACGGTGACGGATGCTGTAGATAAGAAAAAATGTTAATCGAGTCAATTCCTCCCATGTTTTGCCGGAGCCCGGTCGGACGGGGAAGTCGGGGAAAAAGCGCTTACGCCTTGGAAAGCTTCAGAGCCGTAGGCTTGAACTTGGCGACATCTGGGTGGCTATATGGAACAATATGTTAGTCAAACAATCCCAAGAAGAGAGCTTTTTGTCTCCGCGATCATCCTTCTTTGTGCGGTTCGTTCAACCGTGGATGGAGGGGCGCGCGCGTCTTGGCGGAGGGGCATTTTGGGGTCGCAGATTGTTATCGGATGCGCTTGTTGTTGCCCCTCCCTTCCGATTCCGCTCTTCCCCAAAAAGTTGTTGCGAAACCGCACATGCGATGACAGGTGGAGGAGAAACACCACAAAGACTTTGGAGTCGCAACTTACTTGTGGCAAGCAAAGATTCCGCACATCTTGACTGTTGGTCGGAGTAACTCCTGGTATCTCTGAGATTTGAACCTGAGAAAAGTTGTTTGGCGCTCAGAGGCCGAGTAGATAGAACCGAGTTGGCGAAGAGAGGGCCGCCTTTATAAACTCAGGTTGGTCGTCTTAGACTGAGGGATGCGCAAAGAATGACGCGGGTAGCACAGAAGCTGTGGGTGAAAGCAACAGATGGTCGAGTGGGATGAAGTGAGGGATGAGAGGGAAAAGAGAGAAAAGAGGGAAAAGAGGGAAAAAGGAACGGGAAGTACAAGAGGAGGGTGTAGTCGATTCAAGAGTCAAGGGGCTGGCCGTTTAAAGAGTCATACGCACCCACGCATCCCCCCGGCGAAAATAATTGTGTGGAGAGCCGACGGGACCCCAGAGATCGGGTCCAAAAGTCCGTCTTGATACAGGACGAATCCGCACATCGGCCCCCAGACCCAGTCAAACACTCCAGTCAACTCCAGATCGTGTTCCATGACTCCACGGAAGCATATGATTGACAGCGTGGCCCAAGCCCCAAAACACTACTGTAGCTGCTACTATTTTATCCAGGATATTGCCAATTCCCACGGTCCATTGGCTGCTTAGCTCCCGCTTTGTGATCCAGTCTCTCCAGCACACCGGCCAAGACGACAAGCTCCAGAGCCGCCTCTGCTCCAGAGCTCCAGAGCCTCCCGCCGTCCCGCGGTAGTCCTGCGGTTCTGCGGTCCCTCATTGTCAAGGCCGATGTCGGGACATGCCGGTCCCTGAGATTGTCTGAAAAGAAACGGTCAATGAAACCCCACGCGGGCCCGCGTCCGCCCATCCAGGGATTACCTAAACCGGACTGATAAGAGAACCGCGGAAAGCAACGCCATTTGACCGTCTGGAAGCGATCATCAGCCAGCGAGCCCAGCCATGTGAGCTGGAACACTGTGGAGAGGAGCAAACTGTGAGATGGGGGCATAGTTCATCACAATCTGTCGGCACATCATGTCCAAGTCCTTCCAGACTCTCAACGTCACCGTGTCCACCGCTGCTCGAGCGGGAGGGTCTGGCATAAAGTTAAACTTACAGATCTCAAGTGGGGGGCGGCGACGGGTACCCCAGCTTTCTCGGTAAGCGGAGCGTGGGTTGTAACCTTGTGACTAAGTTTCCCGGACGTGAACTTTTTCTAGAATAATTTCCGGTCACTTTGAAACCGACGCATACCGCTCCCGCCTTGACCAAATTCTCTGCGATGTGAGATGACTCATAAGGGTTCATCCCACTTGTTCCGCCACACCTCGGCCGAACCCGACCGCGAGTTTACCAGAAGGGAGATCTAGAACCGGGACAGCAAGTATCGAACACGAGAGTTGGGTGAAACGGACTGGTCGGTCAGGCGCAGCGTCGGTAATTTTTTCCTTAGACTATTGTTCCTCGATCATGAGCATATAGAGCAGCCCGAAGATATAATCGTGCGCAGAATCGCTACCATTGAATGAACTCCCTCCAAATGCCGCCGCAAACAATGAATTGGTATCCCTAAACTCCGTGTCCCAGTCCAGCAAAACAAAACAGCTCTCTTTTTTCCACCAAGCACCCTCACAATCGTGGGTTCCCAATCTATGGGGCGGCATTCTCCCGCACGACGCGCTTGATCCGACGCTCATACTCCTGACGATCTTTCTTGAAGAGATTGTACGCCTCAGCCTGGGCTGGGGACTCGGGGTTGGGGTCGTTGAGCAAGTCCTGAATGCCGAGCAAGATCTGCTTCATCGTGATAGCCGGCTTCCATGCCTCTTCTTCGTTGAGGATCGAGAGGCAGACCGTGCCCGACGGATAGACATTGGGGTGGAAGAGAGGGGGAACGAATTTGCCTGCGCAGACGCCAACATGTTAGCTATGTGATGGTGGGAAGGGAGGATGGACGAGGGCTAGGTTTCGGCGTACACTTGGGGGGTTTCGTGGGATACTCTGCATGCAAAAAACGTCAAGTCAGCACGTTATATTCCTCTAGACACCGGTGCAGGGCGCATACCGTCAGGGAAAGTAACGGTCAGCTTGAACAGACCACCCTCCCAGATCGTCTTTTCCTTGCCGGGAATACCACATTCCCAAATCTTCAAGTCGAGCACACCCTGCTGGTTCTTCTGGGGACGGGCATAGAAGCCAAAGGGGTGGTCCTTTCGCCACTGCTTCCTGGAGGGAGAAAAGAGAACTGTTAGTCTGCTGGAAGCAGTCACACTGATGCGCAAGGCTTTGCGACGCACCGTTCCTCTTGCAAGCGGTTCTGGCACAGCGCCATGGTGGTTGATGGTGTTGGCGTTGAGGGGTTCGGCGTCGGTTAGAGTTGAGCGGTGGGTGATCAACGTGGGATCTGAGTGATCCCTTGGACGAACTGAATGCGATGACGGTTCAACTCCCACGGCCGGCTTCTTGCTGATGCAATGACGGCGCCGAGAAACGTGGGGACGCGGCTGAAGAGCTGCTCGGGTTGGTCACGGGGGTGATAGGGCGCGGATCAGAAGGTGGAGTGTAGAAGGTCCTCTGCAGGTCAGAGATCCAATGGGCCACGCGGTAGAAGCGTGGAGTAGGTAGCCCCGCAAGGTGAGAATCGGAAGTGGATTTGGGGTTTCGTGATGCCAAGAAATTTCGGAATTGAAAGTCTGGAGTTGTAGATGCGGGAAATGATGCGCAATCAGATGGAAGGGCTTGGGAACCGAATGTGTTTTGATCCCGACGATGATGCCGGAAAGTTTGGCAAGTGCCAGGGAGTCGAATGGCAGGCGACGCGTTCGATGATTTGCACCGGCCGTCGCTCAAGTTGTTGCCTGCCGGAGTCCCTGTCGCCTCAAATCAGGAAGGCGGAGAGTGGATGAATGGTAGGAAGCTCTCCTTGTAACCTGAAGCTTCCAGGCTTTGTAATACCTCAGCCGAAAAAGTACAAACGCTGAATGCGGCCAATTTAAATGGTAATAGACTCTTAGTGAGCTGGGTCATAGTTATATAGCATTAGAAATGGGATGACAGCGGGATGTTACTTTCAGTTTTCAAGGAACCTGATATCAAGGAATTGCTTGGAGCTGGAGGTGGTGTCCCTCGGCACTCAGCGTACCCTGGTGGGCAATGGTGGGGTAAAGTTTAGAGATGCGGGAAAGCGCCATGAGGAGGGGACTGAGCCGAATTGCACATGCAAACCTAAGAGAAACCCCCCGTCATCTGAACCCTTCCGGATGTCAATCTCCATCTGGCTTCTCTCCCTTTCTCTCTCCCACTCATCACCTTTTCTCTCAAGATTTTGGTCAGCGTTTTGGGGCCTCACTTTTGGATTCATCTACCCCACGGGAGATTTTGTATACCCTCATAGGTAATCTATCACTCCGCCTTGCATTAGCTTGGTTTCTTCTCCAAAAGACAACTTCACACCTTCACCTGTTCCAAAGGGGTCGTGCTTCGACGTGGGGTAAACCTTTTGCCCGAGCATCTGGTTCGTCTGCGAAACGAGGCGCATCCACGACCGATCGACGTCTTTGCGATTTACACAACATTCTTACATAACCATACCGCACAATGGCTTCGAATAACGCCGGCGATATCGGCGGCGCAAAGGAGGAGGTCCCCAAGAAGGCCACCGTGGTTGACGAGTTCGACGACGACGTATCCGACCCGGATGAGGATGACTTGGATGACCTGGATGACATGCTCGATGAGTTCGCTGCAGTAGACCTTCAAGCCAACAAGCCCTCGGGGCCAGCAAGGCCAGACGCCGCCGAGGCAGATGATGCCAAGGGGGAAGATGATGTCCTGTCCGAAGAGGAGTTTGCGAAGCAGCTGCAGGCCGGCATGGCTGATCTCCTCGGTGATATCGATAACTCGGTATGCGAAAACAATTTCAACATTCAATTTTGTGACTGTAACTAACTCATCGCCAGCCTGAGCTACAAGCCCAGTTTGAGAGCATATTCAAGGAACTAGGTGCCGCCGCCGCTGCCTCGGGTGCCGAGACCCCAGGCATCCCTACCCCTAAGGTCGCCGAGACCTCGACCAAGACCCCTCCCTCCTCTTCTCGCAGAGCCTCTGCCTCGGCTTCCCCATCGAGCAAGAATGCGGAAGCTTCTTTCCAAGAGACTATCCGACGGACCATGGAGCGCATGCAGACATCTGGCGAGCAAGCCACGGCCGCTGCCGCAGCTGAGGGTTCCGATGACTTCCTTGCTGAGCTGCTCAAGCAGATGCAGTCGGGTGGCCTTGAAGGTGAGGGGAGCGAGGAAGAGTTCAGCAAGATGCTTATGGGAATGATGGAGCAGCTCACGCACAAGGACATCCTGTATGAACCTATGAAGGAACTGCACGAGAAGTTTCCTGGCTGGCTGGAGAAGAACCGGGCGACGACGTCCAAGGAGGACCTGGAGCGGTACGAGTTGCAGCAGAAGCTCGTGAGCGAGATTGTGGCCAAGTTTGAGGAGCCCAACTACGCGGATACGAGCAAGGAGCACCATGAGTACATCGTGGACAGGATGCAGAAGGTATGTTGCCCCATAAGACCCGGAATCCTTCGACAATGTCAACTGACTCCCCTTGTGTGTATAGATGCAAGATGCTGGCCAGCCTCCCAACGACTTGGTCGGAGACATGCCCTCTGCCCAAAATCTCGACCTCCCCGACGATCAATGCACCCCTCAGTAATTGTCTCAACACATCAAAACAAAAACCTGCAGCGAGTATGATACCATGAAGAGTTGGCCGCCATCGAAAAATGTTGGGCAATTTATTATTATGTGCCCGTATATGTATTGCCATCTCAAGAGCAGCGCTAGAGTATGATGATATAGAGTACTTAATGAGATCATTAACTTTAGTGATCCTTCACACCCTAGAGTGGACCAACCCGTATTCCTGTTACATATACCCTTCTAATCCGAAAATCATTATTGGCCGTGTTCCTTTTGTGTCTCGAAACCCAATCAACCCTTTATGAGTGTAGCCGGAACTCCTTGTCCTATGCAAATGCAAGCTATGAAGCCAATATGTGTCCCACGATATGAACGAAGCGCAAGAAATATCATCAACCGTCCCGATGATATTCACCCTCCCATCTCCACGTCGTCCTGACTGTGGTGATGATGCTGTATCCCCGGATCACCACCACCATTCGGCTGTTGCTGCTGCTGCCCTTGTTGTTGTTGCTGCTGCTGCGCCAAAACCTCCATAAACAGCGCATCATACTCATCCTCCTCTTCCTCCTTCTCCATAAACTCATCTCCCTGTTGTTGCTGCCCTTGCCCCTGCTGCCCTCCCCTTACCCTCAAATCCTCCTGCGCCTGCTGATTCAGCGCCAACAGCGCCTCCAACTCCGCCTCCTCCTCTCTTGCAATCATATCCGCCATGTACGCATCATCCATATCTTGATATTTTTCTTGTTCTCCCTGTTCTGTCCCTGGCGGCGGTTGATCTTCCAACAGCCCTTCGAGAAACTGCTGCTGGTGATTGAACTTTGCTCGGAGCTGGGCGAGCTCTTCGATTTCTTGTTCTAATAAGGAGTCGGTGTGGTATTGAGGGTTGAAGTTGAAGGGATTGGGAGGGGCGGAGGCTTCTTTTGCTAGGCGGAGTTCGCGGTTGAAGCGGAGCCATTCTAGTTTTAGGAGCTGTTTTTGAACGATTGTTTAGCATGAACAACCGAACGGGATGGACTGTATGTGGATGTGGGGGAAGGTTTTCAAATGGGCAAAAAGCAAGGGGAGTAAGTAAAGAAAGGGAAAAGACAAAACGAACCTCATTCTCCCCACCCCTCCTCTCCCACGCCTTATCGTCCGCTCGTTGCCGTACATTTTGCAGAAACAACCGCCGTCGGTCTTCTTTGCGGTTGGAGGAGAAAGAGGGGTGGTTCATAGGTCGGGCGGGGCGGGAGTTGTATTTTAGAAATTTGTTGTTCTGTCCTTGTTCCTGTTGTCCATCTGCCGCGGCTTGTCCATTTTGACCTGAAGCTTCTCCTTGCCCTTGTCCCTGTCCTTGCCCTTGACTCTGTAAAAACGACCCGAAGATCGGTGATGATTGTGACTGTGACTGTCCTCCAAAGATTCCTCGTGGTTTCGAGGTTGGTGAACCTGGTGGTGAAGATCGAGACATGGAATCGAATGGTCGGATGGGCGAGGAAGAGAGGGGAGAGCTGATTTTTGGTCGGTATTGAGGTTGGTATGGCGAGGAGAAGGAGGTGGTGAAAGAGGGGAAGGATGGCGTTGTTGTTGTGTTGCTGTTGCTATTGTGGTTGTTGGTGTTGGTGTTGCTGAAGGGGGAGGGTTCCTGGACCTGACCGAAGGAGAAAACTGGAGTAGAGGTAGACATGAAGTGACTTAGGACTAGAGTTGAGGATTTTCGAGTCGCTTCTGTTTGTGGTGACTAATAGAGAAGAAGCGATTTTCTTTTTCGTCCCGGATTGTCGCTTGCAAGAGTGTAGGCAGCAGAGCCAAAGAGGTTCGCAATGCGGGTCGAGTTGAAGGAAGAGTCGGAGTTTGTAGTGGAATATATGAATTTATATATAGAGGTAAAGCCGAGGCTTCGGAACTGTCCACGTTGTTTGATGTATTTGAGATCACGACATGCAGTTCTCATACGCAGTCATGCTTGCTTGGATGTACTGGACGTTTCTTTGTGCAATGTGAAGGTCGCGTCTTCCGTTCGGCGATTTGGGGCTACGCGACGACTGTGGATGATGAACAATCATTGGCGCGCAAAGTGCTTTTCCAGGATGTTGTAGCTCGCGCACCCATGTAATTGGGTCCGCTAAACTATAGGGTTAGGGTTTATGCACTTACCTCTTACATTTGACAACTGCAAGAGACTTTCCCCATTTCACATCGGAAAGAACAAACCTGTAATCTTGCTCGTTGAGACTCTCCCGCATGGGCTGTGTTCGGCATGCTTTCTTGCTAGAAGCCTCTTTTTCAAGCACTTTAATGCAGCTCATGGTGCTTTTCGGTGCAAGTTGATCAAAAGATGGTCCCTCCGCCAGCAGTCAGTGACGCCTCTCGCCCAGTGCAGCCTGGCAAGAGGTCACGAATCAGTTGACATCGACATGGACCGTCCTCCAAAGACACCTGCGCCCTCTCGTTTCCTCCTCGGCAAGAAGCAATCCCAACTTAATGCATCTTCACAACGGTTGCAAAACCAAGAAACACCAGATCAAAACCAGGCACAACAAAATGCAGCAAGCAGGGCACCAAAGTTTCATTCGACTCCGCGGTTTCAAGCTGGAGCGTCATCCACGCCAAGGCCGTCCTACCGAACCTCTACGGGCTTATACTCTACGCCATCCGCCATAGCGAGCTCCATCAAAAGCCGGACCAATGTTCCAGAGAGACGAAATCGATCTATGCTGGAGTTCATCGATGACGATCTGCTGCCTGGCGATGGAGAAAGCTCACCCTTTGCCCGCTTTCCCGACTCGGTGACACGGCCAGGACAGGTGCCAGAGTACCCAGAGCCGATCGATTTCGACTCTTCGTTTGTCTCACAGTCGCCGATCAAGGTCAAGGAGGAAGACGAGGACGAGTTGGACCGGGAACGGTCTCACAAGCGCCGCCGTCTTTCACCGGTTATCGACCTTGATGTTGAGGAAGTGGATGCTAGTAGTCCACCATTTCCGGACGAGGGTGAGGGCGAAGGTGATGGAGTTGAGGAGCTCATTGATGATGCAGAGTCCGTGGTTGATGAGGGGTCGTCACCGCCGAGGGCATTGGACGATGACAATGATATCATCATTTCTAGTCCACTTGCTACCAGTGGCAGCGACCTCGAAAAGGAAGACGAAAGCGTTGCCGGCAGTCACTCAAGCGAACCTCTCTCTTCACTACCGCCTCGTGACCTCCGTTTACACGAGTACCCCAGTGAGTCTGAGGAGGACCTAGAGGGCGAAGACGATGACGGGGACGAGCAAGCGAATCAGGACAGGAACCCAGAATCAGAGCGATTCTACAAAAGTGATGAGGGCCACACTCCAAAAGCAAATCCGAAATCGGCCTCCGACGCGGAACCAGACACAGACGCAGAAGATCACGACCACGAACACAGAGGCCGAAAGTCAAGGTCAACATCCATGAAGCCCCAGGGCCCAAACCCCTTCCTCAGGGCACCTCGCTTCAAGCCCAAATCACCAGGTCCTCCAGACCCTCCGTCAGACGTTCCTGTCCACCATACGCTTCTTCCCGACATCTTCTCACCCCAGCGTCGCCGTGGCGCTCGATATGTCCCGGGCGGGTTAGCATCGGAACTGCGAGACTGGTTACTGGAGGTCAAGGGTGGCTCCGGTACTGAACCGACCCCCGTGGCCGCTACTGCCCACCTCGCCATTGAGACCATAAAGAAGTGCGGACCTGGGATCAGTATGACGCTTGTTACCGGTCGACCAATGATTGGTGGTCGTGATGGAACGAAAGTGCCCAGGAGTTATAGGGCTTTGTTAGCTGGTGATGGGAGGATGGAGGGGCTTAGTGGAAGTGGTGCTGGTGTTGAGAGCAAGCCAGAAGGAGAGGAGGAAGGTGCGGATGAGCCGGACAGAAAGCCGTTGGTATCCGGAGCGATGGTAGCGATTGCACCGCCTGCTTGGGATATTGACTTGGGTGAGGAAGAAGAAGATGATCAAGGTGACAAGGGCAAGTGGGCGGTTGCGTATCGGTGGGATGTGCTTTGAAGGAGACTCCTGAGACGCCGTCATCTGCTCCGCCTCACCGGAACGGGCCGATAGCATGTGACAGTTCGGTGACAGATCGTATGGTTGGGTCTATTGTTGCCGACTCTGACTTTGGCGTTTGGGGCAGTTGGAAAGAAGTTGTGTTTCTGGCCTTCTCTCGAAAGAACACATATCAACACAAGTGTAGGATGCTACCTGACCGACTCTTTGGCGGATCCAAATGTTTGGCCTTAGAGTATCTTCGACACTCCAGCATTCATGAACAGAAGGGCAGTTGTTCAAACTTCCATCGTTACTCATATGCAATCGAAGGTTGTGGAACCGAACCAAGTCGTCGAAAGAGATCTCATGTTGCAGTTCAATCTGAGGCAGAACCGGGGAAATATCCGGTACACAAAAGAAGGAGTTTCCCTTGACGCCGACATCGAATTCAGGCTGAAAGCGGCTTTGGTTTTTAGGCATGTAGGGAAGGCAGTTGTGTTTGATACGGCGTTCCGAACATTGGAACATTGGAACGTTGGATCCGAAGAAGGAGTGTGCCATTTGCCCGACAGTTTGACAGGCCAATGTGGTAGCACTGACCCCTGATACTTGAGTGGTTGCATCAATCTCAAGCCACTCATTTTTGCGTGGGGTGAGAAATGGGAGGCGATTCCCAACTTCCACTGCAGTGGCCTTCCATTTGTCTGCACTCAGCCCTCAAGGTCCCCGCGCCTGCCAGAACATTCCTACGTTTCGAAACACTCTCTTGACAACGAAAGCACGTTTAGATTAGCGAATGCGAAATGGCAAGTACACGTAGGATCCCGAGGTTCAAAGTCTTTTCATGTCCAGTTTTGGAAGGCAACACTCTTGAAAAGGACAACGAGGGAAAGTGTAAAGACTCAAGAGGGTGAATCCGATGCTGTCAATCGAGGAAGTGCATGACAAAAGAACGATTGCTATTGGAGGACTTTTACACGGGAAATTAGGACCAGAATGCGGAGTCACTTTGTTGCGCCTTCCCCAAAATCGGCCCCCTGTCTCTTTTCCCCAGGACTGCTCCTGCCCCGGATTCTACTGTGTAGCACGACGCCGGCGACGACTCCAGTGGGTCAACGGCCATCTCTTTACAGACTGAAGTGGAAGTCTTGGGTTCACAATTTCTGTCTGTCTTTTCTACTAGTATTTTCAGTCTAATTGGGAACTCACTCCTCCCATCATGTTCCACGACCAAAGAAATCATTCAAGCTCTCTTCACTCCTGGTCTCGTCGAAATCCGTGACAGCATCCATCCTTTGGAGAGTCCCGGAGTCAAGGGTGGTGGAACATCTCGCACGGCAACCAGCCGCCTCCTCCCATATCTCCAACTCGCACCAAGTACCTCACCGGCTTACTCCAACGTTTTCCCTCCAGTCAAGAGACAGAGAGGTACAAGGCAGCTGCTACAGCGTCTCGAAGTCTCTCCACTAGACAGCCTATCTCTCCAGTCGGTCCACCCAGTTCCCCCCAGTCCCACGCGCTTCCCACCCCGCCAACCCCTGTCTATCTGGCTAGCACGCGCTTCATCGGTAATCCGTCGACAATCTGTGGATGCTTATTGCATGGCCCTGGCTTGGTTTGACGGCTGATCCAACAAGTTCGGACTGTGGAAGGGGGGTCTTCTCAGACGGCAAAACCATCCAAGCACTCGGCGGAATATTTCGTTCTGACCTTGCTTGGCACTGCTACCGAGTTCGAGGCCAAGATCCCCGGGGCTGATGAGAGAAGTTGACAAGACCAGAGGCCACAACAGTCCGGAGCCTCACTGATACGCTTCATATACCTTCCCCGACTCACTGACTTTGCTCCTGACATCGTTCTTTTTTCCCGTCTTGACGGGTGCTACCTTGACGTACCTCAGCTGTACCACTCGCGGCTGTTTTGGCTTCCACCGCTTGCTTGTCCCTCGCCAAAGACACCACAACCGATACTTGGAACCTTCCATCAACTTTCATCCCATACATCAGAAACATCGATTTTGAACAGCAACTCCTGATCCGGATCTGTGCCAAGTCTTTTCATCACTTTCCATCTGGCGACTTCTCTCATCGTCCACTTTGCATCTCACTCGATAAGGCTTGAAAGGACATTCGAACCAGATGTCGAGGACATGAGTATCGACACAGCCTGACATTAACTTCCGATATAGCCGGTCTCTTTTTCGCCTCATCAACACAGGTATCAACGCGAATTCGGTCTTTTGATGACCAAAAGAGCTCTTGCCGTCAACAACAATTTTTTATGACGAAGGACCGCGTGGGAAACAGCAAATCCCTTTCAAACCAACCTTTGTGAAGGCCATGCGCACTAGGTTTCCTGAGTGGGATTCTGGGTTTAGGTGGTTGGGTGCGCTTAAACAAAAACCATAGGCTCAACGAACTCCTACGTGGACATCCCATCAGACGACTTCTTTGAGTCATTTCAACTGAGGCATCAAGATCATTTCGCAAGTTCGGTGTATTTCGACTCAAATCGACGAAATGGTCAGCATACAGCAGCTAGAGCCGGCACCGGCACACATATCGGCGCCAGTGCCAAGCACCATTACCGCTCATCGAGCAATCGACCTGGTCATGGGAAGGACAACTTCGCCGGCGGTTGGCGACCTCCCGCTTCTGAGGGGGCCTCGCAAGGGAGATACGAGAACAGCGGTGATCGTGTTTGGCCAGGGCCAGGAGAAAATTGTGGCTGTATTTGCCGAAGTCTTGGGGAAATCTTACCGAGTGAGGAATGGGTTCAGAGACGTCTCTTCAGATGATCGGGAAATTGTGGTGGGCATTCCCACAACACAGGCAAAAACCGACATTGCAGGTCGGGACAGAACCTCGATCGTCGCCATCAACGTCCATTGTACCAACATGGGCATGCCCCCAGACGCATATCTATCCGCTCAGTGTGACTACGAATTCCTCTACACGGAGGCACCCTTTTTCAGACGGGACCTGTCACGTTTCATTTCTCAAACACTTGGGCAGTTGAACCACCACGAAACCCTCATGGCCAAACCACGGACGTACTTCATTTCGACAACATTCCCCGACGTACATGCTGCCCTTCCGAATATTGATATCCTAACCGTGGGTGCGGATGCCGTTGAGATCAGGGTTGATCTTTTGAAAGAGCCACTGGGTGACGGAACCTATGCTCCGGTTCCCAGCCTGAGTTATGTCGGCGAACAGGTGATGTTGCTTCGTCAGAGGACGGAGCTGCCGATTATTTTCACCACCAGATGTACGGCCGAAAATGGGCGGTTTCCAATGGATAATCCTGATCTATACTACGAGTACCTTTACAGAGCAATCCAGTGGGGAGTGGAGTACATCGACGTCGAGATATGGCTCCCGGAGAGGATCAGGAGGAAGCTTTTTGAGCAGCGTGGCAGCAGTCGCATCATGTCCGCATTTCACGACTTCTCTGGGACTTTCAAGTGGCCATCAGCAAGGGCAGAAGCAACGTTCCGGGAATCAGCGCGGTTTGCGGATATCGTCAAAATGATCGCCATTATCAACGACCACAACGAAAACTTTGAACTGGAGTACTTCCGTTCTAAGATCAAGGCTGAATACCCCGATGCGCCGCCACTTTCTGCTGTCAACATGGGCGAAACAGGACAGTTTTCTCGGACCTTGAACCGGGTTTTCACACCCATCACCCATCCTCTATTACCGATAATCGCCGCTCCCGGTCAGTTGAGTGCCTCCGAGATCAATCAGGCTTTGTCCTTACTCGGACAACTGCCGAGAAAGAACATCTACGGAATCAACACCCCCTCTAGCCGCATATCGACCCCTCAGGCACCTTTCTATGGGAAGTGTTTCAACGAACTAGGTCTGCCCCATCACTTCTCTGTCGTTGAGAGACCCCTCAAAGGTTTTGCCTCTGTGGAAGCGTGGTGCAACCAGAAGAACTTTGGCGGTGCTTACCTCTATCCGGCTGTTCCTTTTCAGCATTTGATCTCAAACAGTGCCTTCTTTGCATCCATCAACAATGGCACGGGGCCGATTCTCAGCGATTCAGTAAAGCTTATTGGCATGGTAGACACAATCGTGGTTCAATCCAAGGCCTCCTTTTCTGCTTCCTCGGCACCGTCCTCAGCACCGTCCAGTCCAGGACGTCACCAAAACAGCGACTCACTAGGTTCCATTGCTTCGCCGCAATCGGGCCTGTCACCCACCACCGTTATGGTCTTCGAAAATGCCGCTTGGAAAGGGATATTGAGTACACTCACTCGCGACTTTGCTCCTTCGGCTTATTCTGGACGTGCCGCCGTGGTTCTCGCTTCAAACCCCGATGATGCTGCCAGTTCTCTCCTCGCTCTTAAAGCTCTGATGGTGAGCAAGATCTACACAGTCGGCTTCAAAGCGTCGCCAGCTGTTGCCAGGGATTTCAACCTGGAGCCCTTCAACAGTCTCGAGAGTATGCAAAAGGCCCGTACGAATGGTGCTAATAGCGCAAATCATGATGCCTCGCCTTTCGTCGTTGTCAGCGTGTTAGCCCCGGAGAAGAGTAATCTTGTCGGCATGCTGGTCCGCGTCTTTGGCTCTCGAGGCTCATCGACGTCTCGCAAGGTCTTTCTTGACCTTGCTGATGGATCGTTTCCTCGGAAAGGTGATCCCAGGCTGATTGCAGAGCAATGCGGTTTTGCTGCTTATGGTGCTGAGGACGTCATGGCTTTCACTACTGTGGAAACACTGCGTCTTCTTGTTGGCCAGAATGTCCCTTACAGCTTTGTGCGTCTGGCCAGCGGACGGCCAATGTTTTGATATCGGCACAAAGCATTCTGACCCACATCTCGAAACGCACTGAGTGCAGGAAACCCGTGATCTTCCGCTAGGTATTTTGCACATCCTCGGCGGCTACCTTGAGGAAGTTAGTTACACAAACAGTCCCCCATGTGTCCGTTACTGTCGGCTACCATGACTGACATGTTTTTTCCAGTTTCTGATGGTACAGTGTCGCCAACATCAACGCCGGCGTTGTGCATGTCTCGTTGAAGAGAAGCCAGACACATCAAATAATACCGGTCTCGGCGTCGAGAGCATACTGCATGGTGTTCGACACAGCGTCACTCCTTGGTGTGGAGGTCTTCCTCTCTGAAAGACCACACACTGGATTTAGCAACGATGGTTCGCTCTCCCAATGCAAGATCGGTGTCTTGTTTATCCTTACGCAAAGGAAAGCTGGTCGCTCTTGGATATTTTGTTTTGCTATCGCATTTCATCGTGGTACACCCTTGATCATATCCACTATCTTTCTCGTCCTTGTCTTGTTTCCTGATTGACAATAGTTCCAATATTTTGTATTCATACATGCCCGCTTGACGTTTAACCCATCACAAGAGGCCTTAGATACCTCTACAGTCCATTAGATTCACCCCCACTTTTGGTATCGGGAGGTTCGAAGGCGAGCGACACCACCGACACCTAGATGCCTCGGGAACGTCGGATAAGCTACATATGAGCTTGCAAGATCTTTCCCGGTGTTTATACCCATTGATAGCCATAGGCGGTCACGACGTAAGGCCTCCGGCTAGTGGCTGTAAGGCCTCCCACTAACTGGTTCCTTCGCTAGGATAATGCGAGGTGCAACGGCACTTAGAGAGGCATAAGAACTGAGTCAAAATCCTTCGAAACGCTTGAGTCAGAATATCAACCAACACTGCAGCACTGAATGAAGGTTTGTCTCTCTCTAAAACACATGGGCAACCACCACTAACGACATCTGTATTCAGACCGCGCACCCTGTCACTCACACGGAGAATATCGGATACCGCCTAAAAACATGACCACGTTTCACCCGTTTCCCCAGCTTCCGTGGGAACTCCGCGCTCAGATCTGGGAAATGGCTGTCGAGCCTCGCAACGTCTCTGTCGTCCTTCCACTTGGCTACAATGACTTCGAACCGTATGAGGACCATCCCAAATTCGAGCTGTGGGGCCCGAGGATATGGACATACACCCCAGCGCCAGCAGCACTACATACCTGTCAGGAGGCCCGGAATCACCTTCAACGACAGCGAATTTATGAGCAGGCCTTCAGAATCACACCTACCGTCCGTCTCAAAAGATTCCCTAACACGCTAAAATTTCGAGTTTGGCGTTATGGGAAAAAGTCGAGGCGCGGCGTGGTTGACGAGTTGGATGCCAACGCAGAAGCGGAGCGGGCGCGGCGTTATGTCTGGGTAAACTTCGACATGGATATAATTAACATCGGGGTCATAAAATTCTCGGCGTTCAAAAACTTCGACGGGGCAAAAATCCAGCGGCTCCAGACCAAGATTCGCAGCCGGAGATTCGAGTATCCCGAGTCCACGTATTTGGTGGACACATTTCCCAATCTGAGAGAGCTCTACATAGAGTGCTCCGTCGGCGATGTCGAAAACTGGGATGAACATTACGAGAAGCTTGACGAGCTTGTTGGGGCGGAAAACGTCTGGCTGTATCCGCATTGGCTGGGTCCCGGCATCTTCAGTTCGGTTATCACGCTTGCGAAGATGCGTGAAGAGCTACATGAGTTTTGGAGGCGTGAGGAGGAGGAGGAGCGTGAAAGGAGCGGGGATGGCTATCCTATGGGCTGTGACGGTCGATGCGGGATGCATCTGCCGTCACAACTATAGAAGACCACTTGAGCAACCGAATTGCCAGCTTCGGTTAAGTGTATCCTTTTGTTGGAAACACGGCCGATTGGTGTAGTGGTACGATCCCGGTCCGTGACATGGGCCAGCCTCTGATCGAGGTGGGTGTCCCTGATGGCGAGTAAATTGCTCGGTTTCTTTGTACTCGAGGTCGTTCACGATGTGACTTTGAGTTTGGGGGTTCTCAAGTAAGTCGAAAGACCGCAATTCCAACGCGAGACCACCACGCTTTTTTCTGACAAGATCTTTCAACTTGCCGCAGGCTCCAAATGTAGGAAGATTCTCATATTACAGTCAAAGGATGGAAGGTCGTTGGTAATTTCGATGTCGTGAAAGCGGGTGGTTGGCTATTGTGGGATGTTGGTGGCTGCCGCTCGGGTTGGTGATGGCGAGGGAAGTTGACAAATACAGTGTGAGTGCAGCCCGTCCCTACACAGAAAACGACCGTTATACTTACTTGCAGGCTTTCAGGTTGCTCTTATTTCTTGTCCATTAACAAAACCATCTCAGCGTCTTTCTTCGTGGGGCGCGCTCCGACTTTCTTCCCCAAAGACCATATTCTATTTTTATCCTCAGATCTGGCTTGACGCCTCTATGTTCAACCACTGATTACATTCTTTGGTATTCTATTACAGCCCAACAGCATCTCTCCTGGTCATTGATGACAGTCCTTGAAATCTTTATTGCATCGTTGTTGTTATCTCCACGAGCTCCGACGTTGGTCGACGTTCGTTCGTAACCCTAGCCACATGATCAGGCATATACCATTGATATGGCAGTTCAACTCAGTTGAGGTCGGTTAAGTGCGTGTAGTTCTTACACTTGTGAAAATACGATATACTAACCGGCGCGTAGCTGCAATATCCTCATCACAATATCATCTAACTATCATTCATCATGGCTTCACTGTTGGCTTTACGACTTATTCGGCGCTTGAATCTTCTACGGCTCGTTGGGATGGGATCCCTTTCACGAGCAAGTAGTCATCGCTTCCTCGTTGAAGTCCGAAAACTCCGTGATGTTGGTCTTCGACGGTCCTGACGAGGGAAAGGAAACGTATAAGAGCCGTCCGACCCCGACTGTTCGAGGTGGACGTTCATGAGGGCACACACAGCAACACTCTTCTATCATATTCCCCTACATTCAAGAATCGATATCTTGTCGACTACAGACATCTGGTAAGTCATCACCTGTCAGATACGAGCCGAAGCACATCAACTAATTTGAGCTAGCAATCATGGCATCAACTTCAATAACTCCAGTTTCGGAATTTGACAGAGCACAGGGCAGAACAGAGTTGCGCGGAAAGGGCATGTTTAATTTGGACTTCCCAAAAGACGTGTTCGATCCTGTGGTGGTTTCACCCACCTGCCGATCAATCTGTTACCCACAGAAGAGCATGTGGCTCTGGCCAAAGAAGTCCAAGGATGGCCCAACAGTCGTCGTTTTCCTTTTGCTTCCAGACCTGGACCTTACAAAAGTGCGCTGCGAGCTCCAACTCATCCCTATCCCTGATCCTATCGACGAAAACGATCCAATTTATAAAACACCGTTGAAGAACCCCGTCATCCCAGGATTGGTCAGACCACTGGAAAATCAGAAGCGCGTACCACACGGGTGGAAGAGATTAGTGGCTTGCTGGCCTGGCTTTGTCACGGGACAACTTGACCCCGTGCAGGACCTCAAAGTGAAGCTGGGCTGTGATCACTTCTTGAGGGCCTCTTTCGGTTACGGTGATAAAGGGCTGGCTTTCGCACAGAACGGCCCCACATTTAAGATTCATAATGAGGACAGGAGCACGGAGGTCAAACAGGACGGGACTGGCATGAGTGAGTCTTTCTAAATTGTCTTATTTTTTCTTCTTCCAATCCTGCATACCAGAGACAAGAAGAACCTGCCGCATTTTCGATGTTAGATTCTCAATTCCCTGTCTCAAGATAGCTTTCACACATTTCAACGAGCATTTCGCTAACATCGACACACAATGTTGCCCATAAGTCACCGATGTACGCGACCTAGGATGGTTCAACTTGGTCAATTTACACCGCATAGAGAGCCAAGCCATAAGAAAGAGAATTTGGTTGAACTACTTGAGTACTTTGCCGGGTATTGAAGCACCTGGGTGTTTCCACGACCTCCCTGTCCCAGCCAACTCACTCGCTGGTGGTTCCGAAGGTGTCGATATCAAACGTCCTCCCTACTTAGGAGCAGATGAATTTGATGATCCGCCTGAGGGACCTGCCGCTGACGCGACTATTGAGAAGTGGCTTGGAGTGTGTCATGCGATTGATGATGAAGATCGCCGGGACGTGGAAGATCCGAGAACGTCTCCTTCAGTGTACTACGGGAGCACGTATAACTCTAGTGATGGAAGCCCGCCATCTTTCGATCTGTTAGGGTCATGTATGCCATACCTCTCACTCACCTTGTTACTCTGGCCTTTACCTTCTCATTGCTAACCAAGGTGTAGTCTCTACCCGTGCCTCGCCCGATCAAGAATAACTCACTTGCGAGAAATTTACTTGCATGTTGAGACGGGAAGTTGGGGATATCTCCGTTTCGGGGTAGCTGAAGGATTTCATTACATTTTCTTAGGATGGTATTCTCTGGGGTTGGCTTACATTGTGCTCGATACCACACAGTCATTACTGCTTTGATATCGGATGGGTGGATGTGGAGGGTTTTGGGCAACAACACGAGAGATATATGAGGTGAGGGAAGGGATGTGAAGCCGAGGAGGATCTCATTTTCAGTCTGGATCAAGCTCCAAAAGCTGCCAACTTATGTAACGGCCATTACAATTTCGTGATGTATTGGGGTAGCAGGCAAGGGAGGGGAGGTGGGATTACAGACAGTCATTGCCAATTAACAGGAAGGAGGGAATAGAGTGTTCAGTCCTGCTGGCAGCGACAGATAGGTCACGGTGTTCTTCGTGTTCTCAACAGCCATTAACTATCTATACCCTTTACGACTGGAGTGTCCTCGTGATATTTTCCATCCCATACAACCTCCATCAACACTGGGCCTGGAGGACGGACGGCGCCTGTCGGGACCGACGGGTTTATCTCACTACCACCTGCCCGCACAAGCTCAGCCTCGAAGGAAGGAGACCTGTATTAGATGGAAGGAACGTTCTGGCCTGTAAGGAAAGCCATTGTTTCTCGAGGAAACTGTGGCAGTCAGGATGGGAAGGAAGCCTGGGGCGTGGTGAAATCAAGTCAGGAAGCCAGGCTGGAAACCAGAAGGGTGACGGATGGCCATGTACACACTCTTGACCTTACCCCCACCCCCCCAAATTCTTTGACTGGATTTGTTTCTTCTCCAGAATCAAACACTTCATCCAATTCTTACTTGTTTTAGGCATTTCCCCTTACAGCACCAGCCCCGGTAAATGACACACTACTGCAAACAAACCCATCGCGCCTTCCAGTCTGCACTGTATCTGTCAACTTCAACTCGTCGTTACTAGCTTGAGTGGTAGAGACCGACAGCCAAAAAAAAATAAAGTTACCCGCTTATGTGTGCTCGCAATCACCAACGACCATCCGTCCTTTGTTGTGCACTTGACCGTTGGTTCATCAGCTGACCTTCATCAAGTCAACATGATCCATAACTGTGCGTCAAGCCGCTCGTGAAAAGCGCGCTTAACGGTTGCCGCTCCGTCGAAGATATCGTCCATGTAGGAAGCCTTCTGATACAGCAACCTCCCTATGCGTCACGGTTAGCTCTACTAACTCTGATGGCGCCTATTGCCTTTATCTTCCGTCCAGCGAGGCGCTTGACGCCTCAGAAACCGGAATTGCCAAATGATGTCTACTCCAACGTTTCCCAACATGGGTTGGAGGCACTGGCGGTTAGGTCCTTTGACCTTTGTCAGGGTTGTGACATCCTGAGAGATACGGAGCGCTTAACAGTCGAAGCAAACAGGACCATCCATCTCATTGTGTTCCTTAGCCACGAACAGACATTGCTTGAGGACTGATATGCCGTTAGTGTTCAGGTATAAATCTAGGTTTATCCTAGGGAGCACTTCAACATGCACAACCTAGCTTCACACTCAGATAACACGTGAGAAGCCTTGATATCTTTTTATTCGCCAGTCAACACCCCAGTTACCACGATGGAAGAGACTCAAAACACTCCTTCAAATATTGCTGTTTCCTTGGACTTGCGCCCAGCATTCTACCCTGACTCCCTCAGAGAAACTGCCCAAAACGCCAAAGTCGTCCTCAACTTCCAGCGCAAAGTCAGACACACCAAGGACCAGCTCCGCGGCGCTTACTGCACTTTTTCTCTTCCACAAGGTACAAACTCTCCTTGGAATGAGTGGGAACCTCCCAGCATCAAGTTGATAAGACGCAAGTCAGACGAGATTTGGGAGCTCAAATGGGGGGAGCTCCGAGATTGGATATGCGAGTTGGTTCTTTGCGATACGATGACGGGGAAACCGATTGATGCGAGCCAAGAAGGGCGGGTTGAGGGGTTTATGCATTACCGTGAGCGTGAAAGTGGAAAAATAGGGAATGTGGTGATGCTGGGCATGGTGTGGAGGGAGTCGGATATGCATGCGTGTGTAGGGAAACATCCTGGGGTAAAAAGGGGGAGGACGTACCTACCGCGGTTTGAGGCGCTTTATTTTGGGCGGCGTGTTGAAGTGGAGGAAGGGAGGAGGCCCGGGTTTTTTGTGTACGGGGAACCGTTCGAGGTGGTGGGAAGTGATGAAAATGTTGCTGTGGGAGAAGGGAAATATGAGTTTCGAGGTAAGTTGCGATTTTTTTTTTGCTTTGCCTGTTGCTTCTAGCCTGCCTTTTCGGTTTGCTAACTTGCCGCTTACTCGCTTTGCTTCATAGACCTATACGAAAAGGATTGGTGGTGGCGTATCAACCGCGACGACGTTCGAAAGAACATAACCGCCCATCCCAATCATTCGATCAAGGATAAGGACAAGAAGCCATCAACTGCATCCGCTGACAGCGAACAGGCTCTTCGAAGAAAAATCAGGGCACGCTATCTCCGTGGTAGAAAGCCTTACTACGAGGACATCTTAGAGAATCTGAACGTCCGGGCCGCTGACGAAAGCTCAAGTCAGTCCTCATCCTCGTCGTCGGAATCTTCCTACGTTTCAGTGGTATCCGATGAGCCCGACTACATTGGCATGTTGGATTCGGGGATGCTGCCTGAACTTTTTGCTTCAGATGGCGATGATGAAGATTGTGATGGGACAGCCCTTCCTGTTGAACAGACCCGGACTCAAGAGGATAAACCATACGCCGTTGCCCTTGATACCACAGCTTCCTCCGAGTCTGATATTGAGCACGGAAGTCGCCTGGTTTTCTACGCCGAGTGGCGGTCGGACCATTTGACGGCGCTGAACAGTCATTATCGGAGCCACTGATGGATAGCATGAGTCCATAACATGTGCGCGGGAGAGGAGGAGTATCTCAGCAGGTCAGGGTGGAAGGTTAGAGCTAGATATCGTGCGGTAGTCACTACTTGGTAGTCAGTCACATATCGGAGAACGGCTTTTAGACAGAGATGACAAGGGAAGCATAGAGGTGATGAACAAACCCATAGTTAACAGAGCATCAAGACCTTGATCGGCGTAAAAAGATTGTAGCGTGAGCAGGACTGTCATTGTCGGGGCTCATATCCAATCTTCCATATTGAGAAATGTCTTGCCAGATACTCAACTTACCCACGATGGTTACAGGAAGAGTAAAGAAGACGAATATGCAGTCGGTGAAAAAAGGCAAATACAAAAAAAAAAAAAAGAAGCAAAAGTGAAGGAAAAAACATACAGCACCTGGGATTCGCTGGTCGTCACCGACCCAACTACTAGTCAGGCGATTAGTGGCTTATCTATGGGAGAGCGGACGGGATCCCGAGTTATCCACTATCTATGGCCGTATGTGCTCATTACGTTTGAAACTGAATGTTATAAAGCCTTGTTGAATTCACCAGTCGACCGATGGACGCTGGCTTGGTGATGAAGGGGTGAAGAAGGGGGAAAGAAGTTTGGTTTACCCCTGACAAAGAGGCTTCCAGTCCCTACTGAAATGAATGTACGCACGCACCTTAATAATGGTTGTTAGAGACTGGAGCTAGAAAGAGCGCCATAAAGGCCCTGCACAAACCAGAAAGTGTATATGTTATGTCAACTTAAACTGTAAAGACTCACTAAACCAAAGGGCTAGAAGCGTAGCGTCACTACGATATCCAGCGGGTAGCATTTTCGACCTTGCCTCTCAAAGTCCTGCAGTCTCTCCAGTAAATGGTGCGCAACAATACCGAGTTGGGGGGAACATGAATAGTACGGTAGTGCATCCGTGCCAACGGCGACCCATTCCCAAAGCGTCCCGATCCGACAATTCGGTCACTCATCCTCCGAGCCGCCGTTGGCGGTCTGTGCCTTGGACTTTCTCTGGTATAAGGCTCAGTTTCATTCAGAGATGGAGAAACCGGGCCTTTGTTGGTGCAAAGTGTTCTTGAGAAGCTGCCGACTAGGACCGCGGCGGTCAATGGATGACAGTTCCGACACAGAGTGTACGGTTGTTGGTTGTTACCAAGGTTTTGGTGACCGATGAGGGACTACTAAATTGCGGGAGCGGTTTGCAACGCTTTACCCGGGCTGTTACATCGGTGTTTGGCAGTCCCTTTATATATCTAGTGAAGTTAGAAAGCGGAACGTAAACTTGAAGTTTCCCCTGATATTGCAAACATAAGCAAGAGACGGAGACGGCTCGGCTCCGAGCTCCCATTGGTGATGCGCCAGTATTTGTCCGAGACATACTTGCGTCAAGCCCCGAGGGTGTCTCTCAGCTCAAATCCAACAGTCTACTGTCTCTGCAGCATGGTGTCGAAAGAAGGTTGGAGAAATGCATGGCTTTACACCATCTTGATGTGGTCCCTGCCAAGCCGCATTCACATCGATCTTCGTCTCTCGTCGCCCGTCGGTGACTGAAGTCTGGAAAGCTGTTCCATACTCCCTCTTGGCCTGGGGTGCAGTCATGGAGGGTTGCCCTGACACCTGTCTACAGACGGTGAGGATCTGGATCATCACTTCGGGATAGCTCCTCTGCATACGCATTGGGGACTGCTATTCGTGCGGCAATGAACGGATCCAGGGGAAGGTGTCGAGGTCGGGGATGCTTTCCGCTGGATCCCCAGTCTCGTGACGCATGCTCCGTCTACCGTTGGATTCTAGGGGTACATGGGGTCCGCACCGAGACGTGTTTCGTCCAAATTCAGTGACCAGAAGGAGCTGTCCCGGAGGGAAAGGTTAGGCGAGGTGCTATGGATGCATGCCGGACCTGATATTGGCAAGCCAAGAAGCACGAGAGAGCGGTTTCGGCATGTAGGCGGCTCAAGTGCTGTCGTAGTGCAGACAGCGTAGCATACCTGGGTAGCTTTAATCGGCGATATGGTATAAGTGAAGGGTGCTATGCGCAGGGCATGGGCAATAATGGCGGCGAACCTGTGGATCGTTATGAAGAGTTAAATTCCCGGATGGGTTGTGGGATAAGTGAACCTTGGTTAGGCCCGGTAGAGAGCTGCCATAATAAACTTGGAGCTCGAGAACATGAGTGTCGGTGGATGTCGTGTCAAATGGCCGGGGCAGTCATGAGATTCCCCCGTGCCTGGGCTTGATAAGATCTGAAGAAGACAGAGGACGCGTGGAATCAGGGATCAAAGACAAAGAAGCGAGACAAGAACCGTGAAAGTAAAAAGTTAGCGAGATCAGAGGGGTCGAGGAACGGATGGTGGAGTGGTCAACAAGGGATGAAGCCTGCAACGTCCCATTGACTGGGTCGGCCGTCTTGAATTGGACGGGTATGGCCTGGTCACTGACGAGTGAGTACCTTGCTGGCCAGCGTCATTTCAAACATGCGATAGATCCAGGTAAAATGGGAAGGAATCAGTAACGCTCTTCACCAATTCATGATTCGGGCCTTCCGTCTTTCAGTTGTCAATGTGAAGATTCTGTGAGATGTGAGTTGCGAGTTGCGAGTTGGAGGATGCAGTGGTTGTAGCGTACTGTGCCAAAAACTGTGTACTTCTGCAGTCAAGTTCTGAACGGGGTAAACGCACCCCCGGAGGTCTTTCCCCAGCACCAACTGCCCCGGTCTCCCCTTTTCCCCTCACTCCTCCCCCGCAAAGACCCCATGTGCCGACATGGCTCACACGAGAGAACATGGATGTCTTACAGGTTTTCTGTTTCTTCAGTTACAACATGTCTTCGAGACTTTGAGCCTTTGTCCGCCATTGCCTCTTTCCACTTCCCAATGGAAGTCGATACAACCCAAGTGATGTAATGGATGGTTTCTTACGACTTGCCTGACGACCGGCTGGTGTTGTCGTCTCTGCTCACAGACTGAGGCAATCGGTGATCTTCCCTTCAGAGTCCCTAGTTCGCCTCGAGATGCATCCAGCTCGCCGGCGCTAATCTACCGAATTCGATCCGTACCGGCACAGCTGCCCCAGTATCTTACCCAACATCACTTCCAGGAGTCCCAGCATCCCACACGGCATTACCTACCAGTGCCGCTGCTGCGGGGCTACTCCGGGCCATCGTCAAGGTGGTAGTGACCGTAATGTAAGGGTAGGGTTGTGCTCACCTCACCTCTATTCGACCACTTTTACTCTTCTTGGCCATGTCCCCTGTCTTGAAACCTCTCGCTATTCGTTCTCTACTCAACTCCATGAACTCGCTTGCGAATATTGTTCCGAGCTTACTTTTTCACCTTTGTCATGATCTTGAAGTTTACTTGATCATGGCTTGTTATCCTTCAACGCCGACATCTACAACCATCCGCGCCTCCATCCTCTCTATGCTTGGTGTATGATTAGTGAGACGCAGACTCGGGATATAGGAAATCGTTCACGTTGTCGCCTAAGGCCAAAGTCGCCCTCTCGCCAGGTCCAAACATTACATCACCTCCCTCATCCATTGGCCTCTTGCCGACTTGTACGAGACTCCAAGCCCAGAGGTGCTTTGACGACAATGCGACATCAGAGACGGCAATAACAGGACTTTGTGGCTTCCACTTCCACCTGAACCTTCATCGTCATCCACCAAGATCGTAATGAGCGTACAGGCCTATGACGCCGGGGCCGTCACCACTTTTCCCAGAGTTCATCCAGGAGCCATGTCTCCTCCTCGTCCCCAGGTTGGCATTGAGCGGTTGCCTACCCGCCGACTCAGCAATGAGCCACGTGAATCCATGAACTGCAAGTCATGTCGGAAACGCAAGGTATTTACGCCACCTCCACACGTGCTAAGAAACACAATCAAGCTAACCGGGCCGGGTTTCACAGATCAAATGCAACCGCCTTCGACCCGCCTGTGAAGCCTGTCAAATCTTCCAATGTCCATGCATCTACGGTGCGTTGTCATACCCAAAAACCTGCCCCACCTGCGGCTCCTCAAGGTCATCAGACCTAAAAGGCCGAGCAGAAAATGCTGACAGGTAATTTCATCATAGATGCCGTACCCAAGAAGAGGGGCCCAAAGACCGATGTCTTGGAGGCATTACTGAAGAGAGTGGATGGCTTGGAAGCAAGACTGAAGGAAAAGGGGGAGCCAGAAACGCCAACGGTCCAAGACACACCAAACATTGTAGCCGATTCTTCATCTTCCCCAACGTCAACCAGCACCAGTACGAACCAGAGGGAACAATTCTCAAAAGATGACCCGCTGGATACTCCCCGTCCGCACGATTCTAGAGAGCTTCAACAGCCTTTTAGTCAGTGAGTGTAGTGTAGAGCTCAGAGGGAGTGTCAATGGCTGCTAACAAACAGAACAAGGCCACAGAATGTCGAGCAGCAATCGATATCAATGCCAGAAGTCCAGCCGACCGTTTTGTTTGATACATACTTCACCCGCTTTCACGCCAAGCCTTTTCACGTACTTGACGAATCGACATTCCGCCAACGTCTTCAGCTACACCAAGTCCCCAACTACCTGTTGCATGCTGTTTGTGCTGTAGCCGCAAGGTATACACCTCATCCGAAGGGGTTCCGATTCGCGGTCAAGCTCAGCGAAGACTACGCTGCTCGCTCCAGGTCAGAGTTAGACACGGACGAACCGAGTGTGGATACTTTGCAGGCCTTGTTACTGCTGGTAACAGCCTTTACTGCCGCAGGGAAGGGGAAAAAGGCATATATGCTTCTGAGTATGCTTCCACATTGAGCACTTATGCCCTCCCCTAAAGCTAACTTGTACCAGCAAACGCTGTAGGGATGGTCATGGCTCTAGAGCTCCACCGTGAAATGGACATCAATGCCCGAGTTACTCCTATCGAACGAGAAACGCGAAGACGACTGTTTTGGAGCTGCTACCTACTCGACAGGTTCATGGTCTCCGGTTCAAAGAGGCCATCCCTGATTAGGGACAAGACGATTTTGTTGAGGCTACCAAGTTGGTCACCCAACCCAGCAGCACTGCCCGTGGAAGGGGATTTTTTTCAGAGTGGCTCGAATCTGCAATACTTCCATGGGAGTGGGAAGAGGTCGCAAGGAAGCAACGGACTGCTTATCGATATTACTCGAATCCTCGGTACTACGAACCAATATCTGGCGTCTGGAGGAGCCAAAGGCGATTCGCACTTTCCATGGCACTCGCTCTCCATTTTGTCAAAGATCCGGCAGGACCTCGATGTATGGGCTTCTGGGACAGAAGATGCCTTTTCCAGCCTTCATTCCTTGTTCGGTCACACAGACTCAACCGTGCTTGTTCTGAGCAAGCTCATTTACCATCTGGTTCATTGTCTGATATACAGACCTTTCCTTCCGATTGACCTTTCCGAACTGGCTGGATCAGGACAACATCAATCTTGGCAGATTGAAGCTACCAACATGTGTTTCCTACACGCCAACGCCATTGCCGAGCTCGTGGAACTAGGAAAACAGATGGCGTCTATCGAATGGCCTGCCTTTGTTGGCTACTGCATATGTACGGCTGGAACGGTACATGTACATGGCGCCCACTACAGCAGACATGGGATTACGGGGGAAATGAACGTATTCAGCTCTTCCCCCGAGTTTCTGTCGCGAGAAATGCAGCAGCTGAGCGAGTTGCGGTATTCATGGGCCAGTGTCCAGCATCAGCGCGAAACACTACAGAGTATATACGATGCTCACTTGGAGCTCGTAAAGAGTGTTGCCAACAACTCGATCCGATATTCGCCAGTGTTCCACCTGGAAGACTTCTTCGATCGATATGCCAACATCAGTGGTCCAGGAGGACAGTCGTTTAGTTTTGATGCGGCCAACCTGAGTCTGGCCGACGTAATAGTGGACTTTACGACCGACACATATCCCGGACACGATTTGTATGCGCCCCGTCTGGCCGGTAGTGGCGCTGGCGAGTCGGCGCTCAGCAGACCGAACCTCAAGAGAAAAAACACTGCGCCATCAGGAAGGAAACGGCCAGATATCAAGAGCCTATTGTCTATCAGCGGAAACGGCAACTACAGCACCGGCCTCCCCACACCTTCACACCCCCACACCGCAACATTCCCCATGTCCTCCTTAGGCGGCCTTCAACCATCACCCGGGATACCTCACACTCCATCATTAGCACCACAACATGACATCCAACATGAGCGAGCACGGTTCCACTCCATGCTGGGCTCCCTAACCGACACCAACGCCGGGCCTTCAAACAGAACCTCATCCACCAACTTCTCCTCCCTCACCCCCAACAACAATAACCATCCCCGCTCCCACTCCATAGCCCTAGGCCAAGGCATCTCCAACCTCTCCAACCTCTCCGGATCAAATCTCTCCAACTCCTCCTTCAGCCCCCAACTAAACTTCACCAACCTTCAACGCGCCTCCACCCCCACCCCCGGTCCCAGCACCAACCACCACTTCGACCCCATGTTCGGCGACCTACCCACCAACGCCTTCTCCAGCCCAGCACCATGGAATCCTGATGGTGAAGCCGATGATAACCCAGCACCTGGCGAGAACAACAAGCCAACGCCAAGTGACATGGGTAGCACAGGAACCGGGACCGAAGAAAAGGATCCCTTTCTCAGTCTGCTGGAGCAGTTGGCGGAGAATGAATCACTGTTGGGCGGAGGAGGGCCGGGGAGTGAGTTAGATGGGCTGGACTTCTTTCTTGGTAGCGCGGGGGCTGGGGGTGGTGGTGGGAGCGGGAGTGGAAGCGGTGGAGGAGGAGGGGGAGGTGGGTGAAGACACTGTCTGGGCAGTGGAAAGAGGGACTAGGGGAGAGAGGTGTACTTTTTATTTGAAGCGAATGATACCATGTGTTTTTGGGGCAGAAAATGGTGTGTCGGCGTATGTGCTTTTGAGTGATACAAAAGTTTGCGTTGGGGTGGGAGTGACACTGGCTTTTCTGTCGATGGGTGCCAGGTGTGTATCAGCTACAATACCATGTTTGTTTACTCCCCATCCTCCAGGAACGGAACTAAATTGTCTGTCGGTCTGTCATGAACTTTTTTACTTGCGACCTAAGGATACGGTGCTGACTTTTGCCGCTCACAGGTTCTCCCACTCGTACAACCTCCCACTCAATCACTTCTCGGTCACTGAAAGCACATCACCAGCATTTGGGATCAAACTTGAAGTCTAATAATTACATTACTCTACATAGTCTTCCATATGCTTGGAGGTCGATCTATCTAAGTTTCTAGGTTTTTTTACGCTTTTTAAGTTCTTTACCCTTTCTAGGCTGCATCATATATGTCATGCCATACTGCCATGCTCTAATATCGCCTGTATTCTGACATTGAAACAGCAAGGAAAGAAGAAAAAGAAATAGAACCTGATCTCGATATTCCATCCATGTATTGTTGTCGTTCCTTTCCCTTCACCGCGTTCTGCAAGATATTGTCAAGTATGGGTTTCTCACATTTCGAATCATCACGGTTCCCATACTTCGCAATATACCCTTGGACTGCCAAATTTCAACGTGGCTACGTCCGAGAGAAGCAGCCCGTAAAGCTACCAGAGCTGGATAGCACTTTGCCAGAAGCGAATCTAGATCCGGCCAAGCCGCGGTTGATAGGCCTGGGAGCGGGAGCCGGCGAAGGGGCCTCGACAACAGGAGCCGGCGGTTGGGCTTGGACAACAGGCGAGTTGGTACCACTGTAGCTTTCTGGTGTCGGACTGCTAGCCCACCTGGACCCAGCTAAACCAGGGTTGGCGGAGCTGTTAGGAGGAGCAGATTGCTGAGTGTGAGGAGGAGCCGGCACGGAGGAACTCTCTGGCACGGAGAAACTCTCTGGCGCTGGACTAATCGCAAAGCTAGAGCCAGCCAGTCCACGGTTGGCAAGACTGCTAGAGATAACCGGGGGCTCCACTTGAACAGGCGGTGCGTTGATAGAGCTCGGCTGCTGAGTAGGCGTGTCAGCAACACGCTGGGTTGCAAGAGGTGTCTGATCCTGAGGAGTCAGTCCTCCAATACACGAAGTATTGTTGGCGGGGGTGGCGGGCCGGTGATTAGGCACTGAAGTGGGTCTGTCGTTTTGCAGACCAGGTGCAAGGCGAGGAGCCACATGCTCAATGCTCTGATTAGAAGGCCTAGCAGAGAACATTTCTGCTAACTCGTCAGGAGTAGCATTGACTGGGGCCTGCGGATCAAGTTGTGCAAGCTCTCGAAGGGAAGCGCTAGACCAGAACCGAGGACCTGTAAAGGCTCCTTCAGTCTCAAGGCGATCACCAAGTCTAGCCCACAATGAGTGTCGGAGGCCACAAAGATTGGTATGTGTTGACGGAGGCCTGGTTGGCTCCGGGACGGCCAAAGAGATGAGCTCGGGTCCGCTGCGGATGTCTGCATCTACGTGCTCTTCATGGGATGGACTCGCAGTTGTCTCAAGGGAAACTACCGGTGTAGGCTCTTCGATCTGTGGCTCCTGGGCCTCTGCTTGCACATCTTGAGCCGTTGACTCGGAGGTAATGGTGGGCGTAGACTCTACGGTCTCTGAGGCCTCTGTTGCCATCACCCAGGCGTGACTGGCTAGGCTCCTGGAGAAATCAGGAGCCAGGAATGCAGCCGCTGGAAGCGGAGTGGCAGGCCTCGTGGCACGACTCGTGGCTGAAAGCGTAGCTTCCAAGCTCTGACAAGTCGAAGGAGGCTGGTTCCTCCTAGAGAACGCGGGCATAAAAGCCAGCTCATTGAGCCAGTGGGGAGGCTGCAAACGGTTATCGTAAAGTGACACCAAAAATGGACGTTGGTACACTTGACGACGTGTCTGTGTTGTCACTCCAGGGGGAGGTGGCCTGCTGGCTTCACGGGGAGTTGCTCTTGCGGTCTCAAGGGGAGGTCTGGGAGTTTCCGGGCGATTTGGCGGAGGATTAGGAGCTGATTGAATATCTTGGGCAGAATCCTCGGCACCCGAAGGCTGAAAGCCCCAGTTGCCCCAGACCTCCTTCAGAAGCTCTCGCTTGGTTGATTCATCGAGGCCGCATTCATCATCCATTGCTTGATCCGTCACGCACATTTGGAGTCCTTCGATCATCTGGGAAGCACCGCGCCGTGTTTTGTTCTTCGGCATATCACCCAATACTTTGATCAGGTTCTGCAACAGCAACCGGTATCTGTCGACAAATTCCTGCTTAATAACATGAAGCCCGTAGTTCTGTTCCGCGGCTTCAGATTGTGATTGCTGTGACGGAGACGTCGGCCGAAGGTTATTATCGACATGCCCAAGCTCATAGTCGATTGGATCAAGGGTGGAGAGAAGCTCTGTGGCTTCAGTTTGGGCTTGCTGTAGCTGAAGGTCATCGTCGACATGCTCAAGCTCGTACTCAATTGGATCAAGAGTGGAGAGCAGTTCCGCAGCTTCAGATCGAGCATACTGTGGCTGGACCGTCGATGGAACGTTGTCAAAAGTGTCAAGGTCAATCAGCGTACCAATCAGTGTCTCCTGGTTCTCTGCACGGTAGGCGGTGTTGACATTTGGTCCAATTGGTTGTCGTAGGACTGTGTCGAGATCTGGCGCAATTGATTGTTCTGCTCGAGCTTGAGGCACGGGGTTCTGGTTAGCCGGTGTGGAGGGTACATTCACGGTGCTTTGAGTTGCCTCTTGAATGGTAGCCTCCAACACCTGCCTGGAGCTTTCGTTGACCTGGTCCAGGTATTCGCCAGCCCGGAGACGCTTGAGAGTCTGATGAAAATCGTCCGCTGCCATATAGGCCTTGAAGTTGACTGTGTGACAGATGATATGACCTCCTGGACTCCTGAACATAATAACCAGTTCTCGGGACCTGGTATCAATGGAGTGGTGATAATATTGCGAAACAGGACATTGGCAGACCTGCTTGCCTTCGCAAGTCAACGTGAAGACTCCCATATGTGGTCTTCTGGCCGCGGAGAGATAAAGCATGGAAGGCACAGACGACCGGTTAGGCGGACGTGTCGGATTAGGAAAGTCAACTTCACATCTGAAGAGAACATTAGACAGCTCTGGCGAAAGTGGAGGAGATTCGTTGCCTGAAAAGGGAACAATATTCTCGTTGCCCACAGTCCGGAGCTGCTGACTTGCTGGGCCTTGTGCGGTAGGCGTTGACGGTCGCCGGATGCTAGCGGAGTTTTGGCGTGAACCATTTGGCGCAACAGTGTGGTTGACGGGAAGATGACGGGGTGCTTGACTAAGAGTTGTGCGAGGGGTAGACTGAACTGAAGTAGCCCGATGGGCCTCTTTGAAAGGCGCAGTGGACGTTGAACGAGATGCAACTCGATTCAGGGAAGAAGGGAGTGCTCGATTGGGAGGAACCAGTCGAGGGGGCTCTGGGTAAGCCAATGGGCAAGGAGGTGTAGGGGACGGTCGGTAATTCGGGGGGAATTGCCTGACCGGCTGAGCTTCATGATAAAGTACTCCGAGAGCGGATGTTCTCATGTCTTTGCCAATGTTGATTTTTCGGTTCGGAGGTATCTCGCGTCCGCGGCCATGGTATTGCTTAGCGATGCGGCTCTGAAGCTCGGGGTTCAACATTGGAGCACTGTCAAGACAAGGTCAGCGAGGGGTTTGACGCAGAACACACGCATATATCCAATGCTTAGAATCGATACGCACCGATGAGTCTCTCTGACGCCATGAACGATGCGGCTAGCCATAGCCCTGACTTCTTGCTGGCGGGTGGCATAGATTCTTCCGCCTCCCAGATCATCTAGTTCGCGGACAGCAATAGCGTCATCGTCGTTGAACAGACCTTGTCGCTGGGCCTCTGCCCACATGTCTGACACGCCGGGAGCAGGTTGAGGCATGGCAAGACGGAGGGGTCCCCGGCCATCATGACGACCATGACGAGGAGGAGGGTCAACATGCTCCAACGGCAGGTCCTCGACACGAGCAATGCCGAGATCATCCATCATGGCTTTTTCCAGAATAGCTTGTCTCTTCCGCTCCTCTTCGTCCTCGGCCGATTGGCCATTCTTGTCGCGGTCTTTCATGTTGGAGCCGCGACTAGGACCGCCTGGATTGGATGCCGCAGTGCTGTTTATCAGTCGTTAGTGATGCAGAAAGGTGAGCGCTCCTGTTGAGATACGCACGAAGTATTGTGCGTGTTCTTTGGACGCGCCCAGTCTCGGAAGTGTGACGTTGTATGCTGTCCGATGGGAAGTATTTGACGACGAGTCTGATGAATCGGGGGAGAAATTGTCAGTTTTGGATTCTAGTTTCGTGGGAGGGGGTCAAGGTGGTGCGGGAAGTAGAAAGCATGGTCATGTGAGCGGCAACTTCACGAGAAGGAGAACCTGACAGAACCTTGGGTGAAGGGTAAGAAGGACGGGAAGGTAGTGGAGTGAGCGGGTCCAGGTACGTCGTGCCTTCCCCTCTTGAGTGTGTTTGCTTGGGTAAATAGGGGATGATAAAGTACTCACGGAGCCCTTCCGCGGTTCGGAAAGTTAAGTAGAGCAAGAGGTACCTTGAGATACGGCGGGGACACCGTCTTGGCGAGTACTGATTGTGGCAGGAGTTACGTAGCTGAAGGAAGATTCCCAAGTTCCCAGCGGAGCGGGAGTGTCTCGACGGCTGGTGGGGAAGTAGCATCCAGATTGAGACGGTGGAGGGGTGGAAGTTGATATCTGTTCGAGGAGAAGGGACGAATGCGCTGCACCAGTAGCGGGGTGCCAAAGGAAATTGCTTGTCTTTCTTAAATCCATTCGGAGGGCAGGAAAGGCCAAAACTCCCCGTTAAAAGAAAGTCCGGGTCTAGTCAAGGTGCTATCGGGCAGGTGCAATGAAGATGTTTGTGGACAAGGAAATGGGTGTGAGGACTTCGTTGGTCTTCATCTCACGCCCCTTCAAGCTTGATTTTTTTTTAATCTAGCTGTGTAATCGTTTGGTGCCAGCGGTTTGGAATATCAGAAAATGGGCTCTACGGCAATGAGAAGTATCCTATCAGTCAGCGACAAGATCCTCATCATTCAGCAGCAATGCATCTCAGCAATTGGCTCACCGCGCGGCGGTTTGCTCGCCGGCTTTTGATTCTTGTTTGCCGTTGTGAACGATAAAGGACGAAATTCACAAAGAACGATTGTGCCTATCCAAGCGAGTAGAGGGGACTAGGAGACCATACATGTCAAAGTATATGGCATCGTACATAGGGAGCCTCAAGCAGAACGCATTCCGAGGCTATCGAGCTGACGTCTGTGCTTGTTGGTCTGACATGACAACTTCCTACAAAATGCCAGTACTGTCTATGCTGGTTTGTTTGTTAGATTGGTATCTACTCTAAATGACACTTGTCCCACCCAGTTCTAAACGTCCCCAGAATAATGTGAAATTCCTAAATATTGACGAAAAAAAATATCAATGGTGTCTAACCTTGCATACTGAAAGTAAAACCAGGTCTTCATCATCAAGACGGGGGGCTAACTGGATGTAGAAGCGCCTAGCTTGATAAGTTGACCATAGGTTTTGAACTAACTAACTTTCAAAGGGCGTGTTGTATCAGGCATACTACGCCCAGGCCTCATATCCAGATTGTCCGGATTCCCTTCAACAATGCGTCGTGGTATAAAGGCCAGGCATCAGAAACCAAGCCTTGAAAGGTTAAAGATACTTGGGACTTTGACGGCCAAGATTGACATGAAGTAAAACATGAGAAAGACGGACGAATATTGCGGCGTATCATTGTAAGAGAAAAGAAAAGCTGGCTGCTTGCAATGACATGCATGATCAAAAGGGGCGGCAAGTTGCAGAGAAAAGAAGCATTTGGCGGTTTTCAATTGCCAATGTATGCTCTGAGCATTCAGTGAAAATATGACATAAGAATGGAAACGGGTTGCCGCCGTTACGGGACTTTTTGATAGACCGAAAAGTTGCACAGCGATCGTAACAAGCACCGTAAAAGATGTTCGGGGATTCCATGAAGACAAGCTGGACAAAACGAAGGTGTCTGAAGGACTGGACGTGCAATTAAACACGTAAAAGCCTTCATATATCATCCCAAGATCTCGATATATGTCAGAGGAAAAGTTGCTACAAAAGCCAGACAAAATGTCATGGAACGGTAATGGAGTGACGTTGTTGACGACTTACACACAAAGGAGGCCGATTCAGGGGTAAAGCCGGGCGGGCACGTCAGGGTCAGGGTTAAGTATGGCAAACGGGCTCCCCACCAGCCATGCGCCATGCTCGAGCTAATTCCGGCTTCCCGTAAAAACAGGCCCCTGTCAGGAACGCAGGGATCTGCCAAGCCACGGCGGATCGTTTCGCGGGGACCAACGTCCACTTGTCCTCATCAACGAATGTCCGAATGGCATGCAAGGGAACGTCCAGTGTCTATCACCACCTTTTCTAGAACTTCTTTTCTTTCTTTGGTGTTTGGAGTAGCTTGAATCTCCATCACCTTTTCTATCAGCGGGGAGTGGATTTGTTCAACCGAACCGAACCCTCGCGAACCGGATAACGAATTAGCTGGGCGCATTCGCAATTTCCCCCGAAGACAAGAGCTACCTGCAGCGTAGCCTGTCCTTCCGGAACTGCTCACCATCTCTCGACGACATTCGCCCGATAAGACACCAATGCGGTAGCTGAAGCTTACGGACTTGTTGTGGATTGGGATCGAAAGAAATACGAGACGGGAAGCAGTGGTCGCTGTCACCAACAACGGCTTGGGTTGCCGCCCTGACAAGTGGCAGAGGAAGAAGGGGGACCAACGACGCCGGGACGGATTGCTGAATCGCATCCAGTCTCTCGACCACAAACCCAACCAAATATACCAGACGCAACCCCGATCACGATACACGCAAAAATGAACGGCTACGACGAGAAGCGTCAACTAGACGACGACGCCTTTGGCGCCAAGGGGGGTAGCATAGTCAGCGCCTTTGACGCTTTCCGTACGTCTCTCTTTCTCCCATCCCTCCCCATCTCCCCAGGCAGCACCAACTAACAACATGTCTCTCCCAAACAGCCAAATCAAAACCCCAATACGTAACCCGCACCACCGCCGGCGGCAAATGGACCGTCTTCGTCACCCTCATCTCCTTCATCCTCTTCTGGTCCGAAGCCTCTCGCTGGTGGCGCGGCTCGGAATCGCACACCTTCGCCGTCGAAAAGGGCGTATCCCACTCCCTCGACATCAACCTCGACATCGTCGTCAAAATGAAGTGCCAAGACATCCACATCAACGTGCAAGACGCGGCGGGCGACCGGATCCTGGCCGCTTCCAAGCTGCACCGCGACCCGACGGTTTGGCAGCACTGGGTCGACAACAAGGGGATTCATAAGCTGGGACGGGATGCGCACGGGAAGGTGGTCACGGGGGAGGAGTATTTGCAGGGGCATGACGAGGGGTTTGGAGAGGAGCATGTGCATGATATTGTGGCGTTGGGGAGGAGGAGGGCCAAGTGGGCGAGGACGCCGAGACTTTGGGGTGCGACGCCGGATAGCTGTAGGGTTTTTGGAAGTCTGGAGTTGAATAAGGTCCAGGGCGACTTTCATATTACGGCCAAGGGACATGGGTATATGGAGTTTGGACAGCATTTGGATCATTCTGGTTTGTCTTTTACCTTTTTCTTTTCCTCCCTCCCCCTTCTTACCTTCAGCAACAGCTAACAGTGACCGAAAAGCATTCAACTTCTCCCACATAATCTCCGAGCTCTCCTACGGCCCCTTCCTCCCCTCGCTCGTCAACCCGCTCGACCAAACCGTCAACATCGCGTCCGCAAACTTCCACAAGTTCCAGTACTTCATCTCCGTGGTCCCCACCGTCTACTCCTCTTCGGGAAAATCCATCGTCACGAACCAGTACGCCGTCACCGAGCAATCCCAAGAGGTCACGGAGCGCATCATCCCGGGCATCTTTGTCAAGTACGACATTGAGCCCATCTTGCTGAATATCGTCGAGGAGCGGGATTCCTTCTTGGTGTTTCTGATCAAGGTCGTTAATGTCATTAGCGGTGCGCTGGTGGCGGGCCATTGGGGGTACAGGATTAGTGATTGGTGTCAGGAGGTGTGGGGGAAGAGGAGGAGGAGGGCCGGGGGGCCGAGTGAGGGGATGTTGGGTGGGAAGGGGGGGCAGGAGCGTGATGAGTAGGTGGGTAAAATATGGGGGGTGGAGGATAGGTAGAGAGAGAGATATAGACGGATGTAGAAGAATGCTTTCTTTGTTTTTCGTGTTTGATATCAGATGGGCGTGTAAAGAATCGTGGTCAGACGTTAAGATTGAGTTCGAAAGATCTACAGAGTTTCAGGTTCTTGCGGCGTTGGTAGCGTCTATATCTGCATGTTTCGTTGTTTCGTCTTATGTCTTGTCAGTTCCTGCCGTTGTTAGTGCGAGTGCCGTTAAGGTTCGGTAAGGTTCGTCCTGTTGAAGGTCGTACCCTCCAGGCTTAGAACGACGATCAACGAGCCTAAACCGACCTCATGCCCCTTTAACCGGCGTTAGTAGGCGATTAACCGCCTATCCTACCCAGCCATGTTGCATATCAAAGGTCCTTGTACCACATCTTTCACAAACGGGACGGAACCAGTCAAGATTTAACTTTCTTCATTTCTTCCGGGTATACAGACGCTTCTAAAAAGACGCTGAAGAAATCTCTATACACATAACAACATCCCCTCCGGGGAGTGTATGTTGATGAAACCGAAAACGCCCAAATATGCCGTTCTTCTTTTTCTTCCCTGCATGCTTTTGTGCTCTTTTTGCTTTTGAAATGCAAGAGATTCCGCTTTTTTTGTATGGTTCCATGCCCTGGCAGCATCATATGCATACCAGACGTCGTCATCCGTACGTTTGTTGTTTTGTTGTTGTTTTTCAGTTCTCTGAACCTCCTCCACGCCGTCCCCGTCCCCGTATAAGAGCTTGATGGTTTGATGGCTGATGAAAGCCAAAAGGAGCGAGCGAAATTTACTCGCGCTTGGCTTCATCATCCTGCTCTCTCTTCCTCTTCTGGCCAGCGGCAGCCTCATCCCTGTTTGTATCAATTGTCCGTGTGAATAATCCTGCTCTTTTCCAACTCTTTTTGCAAAGCAACGCTCGGTTCAAAAACGATCAATTGGCAACAAAACAGCAAAGAAAATCCAGGAATCCAAAAGGGGGTTAGGTCGAAAAACTCGCTCGCTCGCTAGGGTCGGTGGTCCAAGGGGGGTATCAGATCGCTGGGTGGGTTTATTGGGTAGGCTTACTCCTCGTTGATGACGATACCCCACTCGTGCTGCTCGTTGCCGTACATGATGTCCCTCATCCAGGACTTGATCTTGGCGGTGTAGACGCCGGAGTCGTTCTCGCCGAGAGGGATGTGGACGTCGGTGCCGCGGTGGTGGATCTGGGAGACGGGGGCGATGAAGAACTGTTTACGACATGGTTAGTAACGTGCTGGACAGAAAGATCAACCATGGGGGGACAATAACATACAGCAGTACCGGCGGCGAAAGCCTCGACGATGCGGCCCTCCTTGTCAGCCTCGATGACCTCATCGATGGTGTAGCGGCGCTCGACAACCTCGACCTCCTCAGCAAGGCGGGTCTTGGCGAGCTCGACAACGGAGCGGCGGGTGACACCGTCAAGGATGAGCTTGTCGTCGAGAGGAGCAGTCAGGAGCTGGAGCTTGCCGCCCTCAGACTCCTTGGCGCGCCAGAGGATGAAGAAGTTAGAAGCACCGGCCTCAGTGCAGTAAGCCTCCTGGCCGTAGAGCCAGAGGATCTGGTGGAAGCCGCGGGCCTTGGCCTCGTTGGTGGCGAGGAGGGAAGGGCCGTAGTTGGCACCGACCTTGGCGTAGCCGAAACCGCCAACCCAAGCGCGGACCATATCCTCGGGGTTGGTGTGAAGGCGCATGCCACCGGCGGGGCTGTCCAGGATAGGCATGAACGAGGCGGTGATGAAGAGGAGGGCCTCCTTGGGGGCCTGGACGCCGAGCTGGGACTGGGTGCCGATGACAGCGGGGCGGATGTAGAGGAAGGAGCCGGGGCGGGTCTTGGGGAGCCACTTGGCGCCATCGACGGCGACGAGCTTGGCGATGAGCTTCTCAACCTCGACGGGGTCGAAGCCGGGGAGGGAGATACGGAGGGTGGACATGAGCAGGCGCTTGGCGTTCAGGTTGGGGCGGAAGAGGCGGAGCTTGCCATCGAAGCCGCGGAAGACCTTGAGACCCTCGAAGCACTCGGTAGCGTAGTGGAGGACGGAGGCGGTGGGGTGGAGGGAGATGGGGCCTAAGGGCTTGAGCTCGGGGACGCCCCAGCCGGACTTGACGTTCCAGGAGACGGTGACCATGTGGTCGGTGCAGATAGTCTCGTCGCCGGCGTTGGCGGTGGCCTCATCGGGGACCTGGCGAGCGTTGGGGTCGGCGAGGGTGACGACGAGCTTGGAGGCATCGAGCTCCTGGACCTTGGGGGCATCGGAGGTGCCGTTGATGATGGCGTTGGCCTCCTCGATCTTGTTCTCGAGGGCAACGGCAGCAAGGTCCTCCTTGGGGGGTTCCGAGTGAGACACCATTTTGAATTATTAGGGGTGTAGTGGTACCGGGTATGGGATGGTATGAAGAGAGAGTATAGAGAAAAGAGAGATATATTAGAGATGGGGAGAAAGTTTTATGAGACGGCAACGCCACGCGAGAGAGGGATAGAAAAGCAATCTAGATAAGAACTCAAAACTGCCAGCTCCTGGGCCAGATACGGGACCGATAACAAAGGCCGGGATCACTCGTGGACGGGAGTCATTCTTTTCTTCCCTGACACTGTCCGGGTGGTACGTAAAGTTACAGAAAGCTTTATGTTTGCGCGGCGCGCGCAGGGGCAGCTGACCCATTGACCAATGGCGTTACGGGTGCGAGACAGATTGGGACAAACCGTTAACCGACTGGACATCAGGTTTGGGGATTTGAGATGTGGGTAAAAAGAAACGGCGCACGTGGAATTGTGGCTGTCCGCGGCCTTGGTACGTACGGCCTGGAAAAAAAGCGATATGCCGCAGATATGCGCACCTTACAACATGTCTCTTCAACCTCTTTTGGGATATTTCCGTCGTGACTCCCGTGACTCCCACGTTGTTCGTCCACATTTGTCTAACCCGCTGCCACGCTCGTTTCAGTAACACGAGATTTAGAAGGTCAGTCATGCAGATTCCGAGCACCGAAGACGGAGGCGATAATTTACCTGACATTGTAAAGACGTTGAGTCATGGAGGTCGAATTTACGTGTATCAAGTTCGAACGAACCCTTGCCAAGTTGGCAAATTGGGTCCACATTGGCACGCCCCTTCATTCAATCCTCGAAACTCCAACAAGAGTCATCATCATCACCATCAATGAAAACAACGGAGGAGTCATTCCAGGTACGTAAGATCACCAGAATGATCTATCCGATGCGACGCAGTGTAAGATGCGGTGTAATGCAACGAATTGCAGCTTGGAATTCCCATCACCCAAAAGCGCGGAATTTGACCCCTTGACGTCAATTGGGCCGCGAGTAGCCGTATATACGCGGTATCTTGTGATAAGATAAGAAATGCGCCAAGAAAAGAACCAAGGCCGCCATTCCCATTGTCTGGAGCGAGGTCCGCCGATTGGTTGCCCTTGTTGTCACGGGATTTTACAGTGATGGTACCGGGACCGATCGGGCTCGGCGGCAGCCAAACATTGGAGAGCACCGGGGCTGACGCGGCAGATTTCACGGCGGAGCGCGGGGTGGTGGGGCCAGACGGGATTCACCTTTGGCCGCCGACAAGTGACCGGATGGAGACGCCCTGGGCAACTGACTCCGATCAAAAAGGTCGCCGCACCCGGGTCGGCCAACCTCCGTTGCCTGGTTGCCTTGCTTGTGTGATCAGTTGTACGGCAAAAAGCGACCAACACCCAAGTGCCATCTACCTGGGATCGGACATAAAAAAGACTGAGCACAGCTTTTGGTCACAACTGATCACAGCTTCCATGTTTCAACCATCTCACCGAAACACAGAAAGTCGGGTTTCATGTTTTTCTTGGACAACCACTCCCATCCTCTCACCACCTTCCGGCAACATCTCTTCACCTCAGCCGACCCCTTAGTTCCTGTTTGCTTCCGTCATGTCCACGGCCTCTACGAGAATGCGTTCAACACGTGTACCAAATCCACTCCGCCTTCGGTTGCTTAGCTGCTGCTGGCCGCGCCAATGACTGCGTCGACTTGCTGTTGCTCTCACCACCAATGAGACAATCTCTGCAACTCCTGGCTCCATCGTGTCGCACAAGGACAAGTATTGGATTTGTCTGGATTTGCTTGCTAGTGCTAGCTTGTCGCATGAACCGCTGCCAACTGGCGCCCTTACCCATCACTCGGAAACACAGGAACAAACGGGTACGCGCTCATCGCCTGTCCATTGGTTGTGAACAGGAGACAACAGATGTTCTGGATGGTCTTGTTGGCACGAAAAAGGCTGGGGTGCCCATGATAATCGAGGCCAATTCAGGGGCACGCCAGCCTCGAGTATTTACAGAGTCGCTTGACTTTGCTTTTTTCTTACCAAACCGTTCTCCGGGCGCCTCACCCGTTCTCTATGACTGCCGATTACGGGTAAAATCTATGTCATCTCATCGAGTGATGCCAAATGGCATACAGCCAGCGCAAAAGCTGGGCTGCATGGTTGTATGATTGCTGATTGGCTTCCCCAACATGATAGCCATTACGGATGGGATCCCAATGGCCCATCGCGATGAGTTTTGACCTAAACCTGCCCGAGGCCACTTCTCCAAAACCACTCAGACCCTCTCCTTCTCGCAGGATTCTTTAGTCCATTTCAAGTGATTGGATTTGCTGTCACCTTACGATATATACTTGTTGGCACATAGCGCTTTAGCCGGCACCCCTACTTTTGTATCCTACCCTAAACCATCCTTATCGGTCAAACAAAAAGGCAGAAAAGGAACCATCAGCGCCATGTCCAAAGAACCAAGAGAGTCAAGCAGGCATCGTCATAGAAGGGACTCCTTCACATCCGTTCTCTCGTGGGCAGGGTTACAGCCAAGATCCAGCCTTACCAAGACATCCACAGCATCTTCTTCGTCCGACTCATCACCACCATCCCCATCCCACCATGGCCTGTCAAGGGGTCGTAGGCACAGTTCCAGTGCCGATGATAAAAAGAAGTCACGTAGACGCTCAATGGCTTTACGGAGATTCTCTATATCAGTCCCCGGTGCTGCCGCCGTCGACGAAGACGGTCTCACTAAGACCAAGCTTAAAAAGGCCCCTTCCTGGACGCTGGACAATAAGGCATCGGAATCTTCTTCCAGGACGTCCACCAAGGCCGCATCAACAGACGCCGTCAACCAGACAAATGCATCAGCATCAAAGATCTCTGACCAAAACACATCAGCGGTCAAAGAAGAAGCTTCCAACGGGGACCATTCCGAAGAAAAAGCTAGCAAAGAGAAGCTCACAAGGTAAGCTCCCCTTATAAACATATCAATGGACATAATGTCATTAACACGGCCCTAGTCCAACCCAACAACTTCCCTTGCCTCCCCCACCAAAGCCCAAGTCAATCCTCCGAGTCGCCAGTCCAGATGGACGGAAACCACCACCACGCAAGATCCCTTGCTTTTCGACCACGCTCCCAGAGTATGATCCCAGGAAGCCCACAGCAGACCACGCCTGTCTTGTGCCTCTACCGGAGTCTAGCTTAACCTCCATTACCGGCTCGGTATCTTCGTCAGAATCATCCGTCTGCAGGCCTGGAAAGCATGGAGCCGCCACCGTTCGATTCGCCACGGCAACGGTGCACAGGGTTGAGGTCGGACCCGGACGTCGGTTCCTCCCAGTGAAGCGCAAGAGCAAGAGCACAGTCACCTACATCTCCCGCTTTGACGACGAAAACTCCCTCAAGAAGAACCTCACGAGCCCGACGAAACAACGAAGGCATCGGGCGAACCAAGCAGCGATGGGGCGGTACTGGCAAAGAACGGAGGAAGAGGAGGCTCTAGAACGGGAAGAGGCGCGGAAGAGAGCTGAGCAAGAAGCCGAACAGTATCGAGCCGAGCCTTCTAGTCCCCCTGATCCGGATCTTATCAGCAAAAATGGCACAACACCACCCAGTCCGGAATTGGCTGCGACGGATGATAAGCTCGAGGAGATATATGTGGATGACGAGAAGCCAGAGTCTGACAGCCCGCGGAGAGCGAAGAGGGATGCGTCTCCGGCTTCATACAGGTCGTCAAGCCTCAACCTGGCATTGCCTGCGCCCGAACCTGACACAGGCTTCCCGTCTGACGATTTGACATTGGAAGAAGAGCTGGAAGCACAGCAGGAGAATTACAAGGCAGAGCCGGTACACATCAATATCAGGATTGCAGCAGCAGAAACCGGAGATTGGCCCTTGGCTGACCTGGAGTCTGAACAAATTCATCAAGAAGTCCAGACATTGCTGGAGATCAAGACACCGAGGGGAATCGTCTTGTCACCGATTGCAGAGGAATTCGCCATTGACGACGAGGAAGAGAGTGACAGCGGCAGCGGCAGTGATAGTGATAGCGAGCTCCTAGAAGAAACCACCGGGACCGACGCCTACCAGGAACCCGAGGAACACACGCCACTAACAATGCCCCCAACACCACCACGCCAGTCAACCGCTCTACTCCTATCGGAAGAACCCGAAGAACAAATCACCACCCAGGAAGACTCCACGGACGACGACAACGACACTTCGCCTTCAAGCTTTCTCACCCCAGAAAACCAAAGCCTCGGACAAAAATGGTCCAGCCCCCGCCTCCGTCCCACCGTTAATAACGTCCCCTCCAAGCGCCACAACAACACCCACACCCATCATGTCCCCTCACCACCCGCAACTCCTCCAAAGAAACAACACCCCTCGCCCAAAATCCCCGCCTTCACCATCCCCATCCTAATCCCCAAAATCACCATCGGCGAGAAGGACGATAATCAGGGGCATAAACGGTCTTCGTCGTGGGGACACAGACGATCGTCGTCCTCCTCCTCGTCTTTGTCTGATAAGAACGACAAGAGAAGCGGGTCGCCAATGGGGAAGGGGAGTAGTAGTGATAGGGAGTCGTCTCCGGGGAGGTCGAATAGGTTGCATTTGTCGGGGAGGAGGAAGAAGACCTCGAGTCGGTCGAGTTTTGGGGAGGAGGGGTCGAAGAGTCATCATGGGCATGGGCATGGACATGGACATGGGCAGCATGGGGTGCATGGGGTGCATCATACCTCTAAGCAGTCTATTGCTGTCTAAGTTGGGGAAACAGACAGGAACCTGACCTCCACTCCCCAACGGGTAACTGCCATTACCTCATTTGCGTGTTTTGCTCGCGAGGTTCGATCGATAATCTGGATACAACTGGTCATCAACCACGAAACTCGGGGAACGCTCTTCACATTTCACGTTTTTTTTTTTTTTCCCACGTATTTTGTCAACGAAGTAATGAGTAATGGTTTTAACGAGGGAGCATGAAATTACCTAGCATAGCATGAAACAGCATTATATAGCATAGATCATCATATAGGGACGAAGGACCAAGAATGGTAATTGCGTCCCGCTAGCATAGAATAGAGAAATTGAATCGAAAGATCCGAGACGGATAAAGTGACCGTATAGCTGGAAAAAGTGAGACCGTATCTAACCCAAAGGAGAAGTGCACTCAACCTGCACCAACCGCCACGACCACCACCACCTCCTATCGTCATTTTCAATTGCACCAAAAAGCATCGAATTCAGAAGAGATTGTCATCGAATGTCTTCAAGTGCTGCCCTGATTTCTATTTAGCTTTTGAAAGTGTCGTAGTGTATACCCAAAGTGGGAAATTGGAACGGTTTAGCGGGTTGACTTAATAGGTCTAGTAGTAGGTAGGTAGACTTTAGCCCTAAGTTCCCGTCCACCGGGCCCCTTTAGCAACCGATTTAGAAAAGAGAAACGGCGATAGAAATTGAATTTAAAAAACTACGGAGATCCATCCTTCTTTTGACTATCGATTTTCATTCTCCGTCGCGGTCGCGTACATGTGCGAAGACACAGATCGTCGGTCTTTGGCTGTGGTGTAAAGCGTATCTCCTTTAGGTTAGATACGGTTACTCTATCCGATTACACGGTCACTTTATCGGCCTCGGAAAGATCGAAACCATTATACACTTCATATACACTTTAGGGACTGTCGGCCAAAGACGAACCCCGTTGGTTGAAAGGCTTAACACGCTCCTGCTGCCACTCTGCTTTGGTATTCAAGCTTGGAGCTAATCGACAGTGGGGACATTAAGAACAGTTTTCCTACCTCTGCTCGGTACAGGATGAAGTTACCATCTACGTCTACGACGTTCCTCACCAACAGCTCAACCGAGACACACATCATCAACTTCAACTTCCACCTCCTTCGAAATGCTATATAAACATTAAGACCTGAGAAAATGTCTAGAGTGACTAGATACCTAGCTAACTAACAGAATGGTATCTTGTGTTCTAATGAAACTTCGTGCTTCCTTCCTCCTCCGCCTTGGCCTTTGCTTCCTTCCTTGACGTATTTGTGAGACGTCCTTGCTTTGTGCCTTGCTTTCTTTTCCTTGCCAAGGTGATCCTGATGTGAGAGTATGTCTGACAGCTTTCCCTGCCACAGGATAATTATATATGGGACACGTTAGATAAGGTCCCCCTATATGAACAGTCCCGCCGCGGATGTCAGAGATGATCCCGCCACGAACCAAGAGAGAAACCCCTCCTTAATCCGCGTATGACAAGACAAGACCCTCCAGTCCTCTCACCCATCACTCCTCACTCTAGACTTCCCTGACTTCCACTACCACCAATATTCGAAATCTTCCTCCTCAGCTCCCTAAAGCTCATCATCGAGCTTTTCCTAGCCAAATTTGGTGTCCTGCTACCCTGGCTCGCCCAACTCGGTGACCTCGACGGAGGAGGACCAAGGGGACCAATAGGACCAATGGGAATGTGGCCAAAAGGACTACTCCTCGGGGTCGTCCCGGCCGTAGTCATCCTCCGAGGGGGAGGTGGTGGACTGGACCCGAGTACCTCGACAAGGCTCATCACCTCGGATGCGCCGTCAGTATCGTCGTCGTTGCCGACAAGAACGAAGGTGTCGTCGAAAGTGTCGTCGTCATCATCAGAGACATCAGAGGGCTCATCCACCTAGGAGTACCTCTTGCTCTTATGACTGCCTTTGCCGCTGCCGCTCTCGTTGCTGCTTTCCACGACCCTGTCTAGGGTTTTGGCTCGTTCTGCTAAGGGGGCGGTTTCCCTGTGTTGTGAATAATTAGCTCGGTGTTCCACTTCGTATGGTTGGTCGTTCGTTCGGTCATTGTTTCATAGCAGTTCGGTTGCGTTGTGTTGCGTTTTGGACATGGATGGATGGTAAGCCCCCTTTGGACCCCTAAAGCGTCCTCGGCGTCTGTCTTTTCGAGGTCCGTAGGTTGGCGGACAGGCAGGTAGTACATGTAAGTGTAAAATGGATAAGGATGAATGAAACCACACCAGAACCTCTCGCGAAGCCAGTGTAAGCAAAAAAAAAAAAAAAAAACTCTTAAGCGTCAAAACACTATAGCCCCCGGTCCCCTCTTTTTCCTTTGCCCTGCTCAATACTTTTGGTCCCACACGTAAGCCTGCCAAAAACGAAACATAATCAAAAGAGAACATCGCCAAAAAAAAAAAAAAGCGAACATCACACATCAACAACGTCAAAACAAACATCAACATCACAGACATCACGCATCGCGCAAAGAAACACTCACATCAACCCCCCCAAAACAACTCTCCCCACCGCTCCCACCTCCCCCCTGACTCCTGCTCGACTCTGCTCCTCAAACTCCTTGATGACACCCTGAACAATAATCTTGCGGATCTTGGCGTCCGCCTTGGTGAACAACTCGGCCACCGTGCCGTTACACTCTCTGGCCGTAGGTACCAAGGACAGCAGCCTCGTATAAGTATCGATCAAAACGTCGCATAGCGTCGCAAAGGTTTCGAAGAAATCCGGGTCAAACGGTAGATTAGGCGTTAATAAGAGCGCGTACTCCTCTCCCGGAAGCAGCTCGGTTTGCTCGGCTGGCGAGAAGGAGATGGGTGCTGGGGAGTTGGCTGACGATGTTGTTGGCTGTGCGGTTTGACCCGAGGACGGGGCGCCGGCGACGGTGGAGGCTGCTGTTGATGATGGGGCAGTTGATGTTGCTGAGGTGGAGGAGGGGATGCCGCTACTGCTTGTTGATGTGGTCTTTTCTGTGAAAGTTGAAGTGTTCCCCACGCCCGAATTGGTGGTGGTGTGGGTGAGCATAGACTCGTCAAAGGTACCCGTGTGGGAGGGGACGGATTCAAGGGCGTAGCCAAAGTCGTTGGGGTCGTTCCCGTTGGCCGTAGGTGGTGGGATGGGCATCGCTGGAGTGCTGGATCCGTTCACGGTGGTGCTGCTGCTGCTTCCTCCCATGCCGGTAGCACTACTTGATCGTCTTGTTTTGGTGCTGGGCGTAGCTCGTCGGAACATTTGCGGGATGCGCGCGCGTGATAGGGAACTGGTTGACGCTGTGCCATTTTCCGAGTGTAGTTGTTGGAAGGAGTCGAACTCGGCTAGGAGGTGGTTCAGACTTCGCAAAAAGTCGGTAGGATTGTTGCAGTTGAGATCGAGCACGGTGGGTAGTGACAGACCCAAGAGAAGATAGTTGGTTGCCCTTCTGCCTAGTTTGCTGCTATTAAAATAAGGCATCTTTTGTAAGTCGGGCTTGTCAAAGAGGATAGTGTTGAACCAGTAAATACGGCCTTCGTGACTGCGAAAAAGGAGACATGGTCAGCATGTGATCTGGGCTCTTTGACGTGATGGGGAGATGTACGCTTTCCGCAGATAGTCCAAGGTTGATATCCTCTTGTTCGCCGTCTCTTGTATACGCGCGTGCACCTCTCCCAGCTCGCTATGGGGCCCAGGAGCCACCATAGCGGGAGGCGCTAACTGTGTGGTACTTGGCCCGAAGCCATTCACAGGCGTAGGAGCGCCGCGGCTCAACATCCTCGAGAAGTTGACAGTCTCGGTAGCAGACGGCGGAGAGAGTACGGCGTCGGTCAGTCGCGAGGCGGCAAGCGCAATACCGGGGACCGGAGGGATCGAGTTGGAGCTGAAGGAGCCGTGGCTGGCGACGAGATGAAGTGGAAGGGACGGTTTTCGGGATAGACTGCTTGAGGTCGGTGTCACTGCAGCTCCGCTGCCAGGGCCATTTCCCCCTGGGGCTCCGGATGTCGATACCTGGGACGAAGCTGTGCGACGATGTCTGTGTATGAGGGACGAAAGGGACGGCTTGCGACCGAATGAAAGCTGGCGATCGCGATTCTCGCGTTTGGGATCTTTGGCGTCCTTGTGGAGGACCTTGTGCTGGCGGGGACCTGGCCCTGGACTTGGGAGCGTCGAGCCAGCGGCGCTATTCCCGTTGGTGCTGGCGCTAGCCTGGCTAGTGCTGGACCTGGGGGTTTTGTAATCGGCGACGGCTGTGATTGGCGAGTCCAGCACTGCAGTTGATGATGCCGATGATGGAAGTGGTGGTATTAACTCGGTTAACGGTGCCGGTAGTGTTGACTGCGGTGGTGGTTGCCCCTGTGCATCCAGATGTGCCTGGTGTGCCTGTGCCTGAACGTGTCCCTGTAGCTGCACCCCTGACGGCGATAGAGCTGCACCTGAAGATTGGTCTCCAGCTGAAATTGGAATTGGATTCCACTTGGGGTCTCCGCCAGCAGCAGCGCCCGAACTGGTCCCCGGTCGCGATCTCCCAAACGACGGTTTATTCCGGGGGACCGGGGGAGGAGCACCTTCCCCCGGAGGAGATGAAGGATCGAGGGGATCGATCATGTCGTTATCGCCATTGCCATTGCCATTGCCATTGCTCTTTCTTCTTTTCCCTCCTTCTCCTCCAAAAGGTGACGAGAAAAAGGGAGTCGCGTGTGTCGTCGGACTGGTTCGCTGCATGTCTCACACTTTATTTTGCTCCTGATAAATATTGGCAATTGTCATTGACCCGTCAGCCCATCCGCTGTGCATCCCCGCAAGGGATCCTCGGCAGGCCACATTCGATGCTGTGGATATCCAGACGTCGTCGTTCACATGGGATATTCGTTGGTTGTCGCAGGTCTGGAAGAGAGAATATTGTTTTGGATATGTGTAATGATCTTGCCTTGATCAAGGGTTGAGTAAACAATCGTCACAACAAAGGGAGTCAAAGGAGAAACGGGTACTCTGTCAGGTACGGTGTCCCGACTCGATATAAAGACTCAAAAAAAAGCTACGACCATCAAAGACCCCAAGCTCTGACGACAACGACGACGACCCCCCGTTTGTCGCCTTGTCGCAAATCTTCAGCCGCCAGCCGCAGGAATCCCAGGAACGGGAGCAACGGAATCCCAGTTACCGCCCGTCAGAGACATTAATCGCCCAGCTGCTCGTGGCGATTCGATGAGAGCATTGGCCGGCAAACGAGAGACCTCCTGGGACTTTTATAAAGAGCCGAGCTGAGACTTTTCATCCCAAGAAGCTCGTGATACACAATGCCGGTGGCCTGTGATTCATTTGTTGAGAAGAAAAAAAGGAACGTCTTACTAGCGAGCCCAACAGTGGCGCCCTTTCCAGCCATTACAGCTGAATGGAATCTGAATTCAACACCAGCTATTGGCACGATGGACACTGAGCCATATGCAAGGAACAGTTGAGAAATCTGGACCCTAAAAAAGAGCCTCCAATGGATCACCAATGTTTACAACAAACCGCATGCTAGATGAGAGGAACCGATCGGGTCGCTGTTTGGGCCGCGGTTGTTGGGCGGCAGGGCGGGAAGGACGGGCAAGCGTCGTACAATTTAACCTGCAAACAAATGTCACTTATAGAGTCAATGCACACTTATAGTATCGCGGTGAGATGAGTAGTCAACAGACCTTGGTTTCTGGCATGTACATTTAATTATGCCGAGTAGAACATGTGTCCATAGACCGTAATTGAAGTCTCACCATGTGGCCTCGATATTTTGTCCACGAATAAGTGGGGGAGGGGCAGATTGGAAAGAGGGGCAACAAAAGGGGTAGGGTATCAGTGGTCTTCTTCAGGTACCGATCAACACAGCTTCCTCGTGACAAACACTTTTCTCCTTCATCACGTTTCAAGAACTCTTTCTTAATCAGTAATCACTGGACTTCTTGGATTAATATTTCTTAACAACCTCCAAGCGCCCATTGTACCTTCTTGTACCACAACAAAACAGGACAGCTTTCAGGAGAACTTCAAGCTATCACAGCCCAATACCTCACCACATCCATCCCAAACCAAACCAAAACACACAATGGCCCCAACCGACCCTGTTAACCCCCCCGGCGAGCCCGCTCCCTCCCTTTTGGAAGGCCGCCTCTGGGTCGACGGCTGCTTCGACTTCTTCCACCACGGCCACGCCGGCGCCGTCGTGCAAGCGCGCCAGCTCGGCACCGAGCTGTACGTCGGCGTACACTCGGACGAAGCCATCCTGGAAAACAAGGGCCCCACCGTCATGACGCTGCGCGAGCGTCTCCTCGCCACCGACGCCTGCCGGTGGGTGACCAAGTCGGTCGCCTACGCGCCCTACGTCACGCAGCTGGACTGGATCAGCCACTTTGGGTGCAAGTACGTGGTGCACGGGGACGATATTACTTCTGACAGCAGCGGGGAGGATTGTTACCGGTTTGTCAAGGCCGCGAACCGGTTCAAGGTTGTTAAGCGGACGCCGAGTATTAGTACCACGGATTTGGTGGGGCGGATGTTGTTGTGTACTCGGACGCATTTCATCAAGGATTTGGAGAGGGTGTTGCAGGGCGAGGAGGGACATGGGACGGTGGAGGAGAAGAAGAAGGTCGGGGAGGAGATGAAGGAGAGGATTAGGCTTTATGCGACGGACGAGACGGCGAAGAACCCCGGGGCGGACGTGTGGTTTTGGAATGGGGAGGAGAAGAAGGAAGGGAGGGAGGAGAGGGGCGTGTTTAGGGAGTTGTTTAAGGGGATTGGACCGAAGCCGGGGCAGAGGGTGGTTTATGTTGATGGAGGGTTCGATTTGTTCTCGAGCGGACATATCGAGTTTTTGAGGCTGGTGACGCAGAAGGAGGAGAAGCTGGCGCGTCAGGAGGGGTGGTACTCGCAGCAGGCGATTGACGAGAGGAAGGGCAAGGGAGCGGATTACGGTCCGGCGTTTGTCGTGGCGGGTGTTCATGATGACGAGGTCATCAACCGCGAGAAGGGTGTGAACTACCCCATCATGAACGTCTTTGAGCGTGGTCTCTGCGTTTTGCAGTGCAAGGTATGTTTGTCACCAACAGAGACATCGAGAGATCCATGCTGACACCTGATACAGTACATCAACGCTGTCGTTTTCGGTGCTCCCTTCAAGCCCACCAAGGGCTACCTCACATCTCTGCCTTGGGGCACTCCTGATGCGGTCTACCACGGACCGACCTCTTTCATGCCGCACACCGAAGATGTGTATGCGGTTCCCAAGGAGATGGGCATCTACAAGGAGATCGGCCATCACGACTACGAGGAGGTGAATGCCGGCACCATCGTGCAGAGAATCATGAAGAGTAGAGATCTCTACGAGGCACGCCAGAAGGCCAAGGGCATGAAGGCCGACATCGAGGCCGCCCACAGGGAGCGCGAGTTGCTGGAGGAGCAACAGAGGAAGAAGGAGGAGGCCATCGCCGCGCAAAAGGAGTAGAGTTCCCGTACGGGGAAACACACCAACACCATCATAGGCATCCGGAGCAAGGGGTAATCTCAACAACTGACTTGGATAGACGGAGTCACGGAGATGTAATACGGTAGACGGCTTTCAACGTGCCACAGGAAATGCTCATGAGACACGAGCATCATAGACGGTGTCGACGAAGAGCGGAAGAAGCTAGACTAGTACTACGTAATGATAAAAGGGAGGCTTGAATAACAAAAAAGCAAATGTTTGGGAAGTTCATCAGATCATATTCAATAAGAGTCATCAAGGGTGATGCGCGAAGATTTACCCCGGCACCACTTCAGAGCTTGACTCTATTATTGTGTTTCTCATCACCTGAACTTGTGAAGCCCCCAGATCGTAGCAGATGCTTTTACGTTGCGTCAACCAAGACAATGTGACATGATCGGATGGACGGGTTGGGGACCTCCCGCGAAGTCCAGAGTTTCAAAAGATGTCCAACCAAACCACATCGCATGTCCAAGTCGGAACAAACGAAGAAAGCAAAGATGGAAAAAGATATGTTGTTGTGAAGCAACCCCCCTCGCACCAAGAATAAGCCCCGTCGAGTAACTTCGCCCCTGCCTCCCCGAAGAGAAACAAGAGCGAGCAATCGCATATCTGTGGTATCATGACGAAACCTCTCGAGCCACCGTCAAAACTCCCCAAGTCCGGACCACCCAAGCGGCTGAACCCACCATCGACCCCAGCTCCCCAGATCAGGCATCAAACTCCTTACCCGAGGCGCGGACTCATATCTTCGTCCATGTGGTCCCCGAGCTCGAAAAATGACACCCTCCCTGGAGAAGCAGACGAGGCCGACTTTGGTGTGATGGGCAGGGCTGGGCAAGACAGACGAGGAACTGGGCGGCCGAGATCAGCCGCAGTGCTTCTATGGCGGCGCGTTTCCGCAATCCGTTCGCAATTGAACGAATGTCCGGGGACTTTCTCCCAAAGCTCGAGGAAATGAAAGAAGCACGCAAAAAGCGCGATCTCTCCGTGTGGAAGCTTCGAATAGCGATTTGTCGGACGAGGGGGAGTTGCTTGGAGAGGAGAAGGAAAGGGAAAAGTCTGGTTTGGCGGCTCCGAAATTTTCTTAAATGGCACTTGCGGCGGGGGTGGGTCTACTTGGTTCGAGGTGGAGCTGATTGTCCAATCAGCACTGCAGTGAAGGCTGGTCGATGAACGAATGTTTCTGGAAAGCCACGGTGTGGCGTGGACCTAGTAGCGGGTCACCAAAGGCAGCAGCGCCGGGCAGAGCAGGCAACGGCAGGCAACTTTGGGCCGGGTTGCAGCCTCTCTCCAAACTTTCTGCCGGCTGGCGTGTGTGCATCCATCCCACTGTCCAAGCGCGACCCGCGACTGGATTCCATCACAGCCAGCAACTTTCGCTGCTGCTTGTCATTTAAGTCTCATAACCGTCTTCGAAGCGGTTCTTTTTCAACAAAACGACACATCAGAAGCTGCCCTGTACCATTGCACAGCTTCAGAACCTATAGCAAAAGACCGACGGCTTTCATCACAACCAGACATACGATACGCGCGACAGCTATAACCTGCCCGACTCGAGTCTCACGACTCCCAGCACAAGCCAAACATGGCTGGTCTTTTCGGTTCCGCCGCTGCGTCGGCGAGCAACACCCTCGGCGATCTCAAGCAGGATGTCGAGCTCGGTCAACCCCCCGAGGATAGCATTACCGATCTCGCCTTCAACCCCAATCCCGCCGATCAGAAGGACTTCCTCGCCGTAGCCAGCTGGGACAAGAAGACACGCATTTACGAGATCTTGAGTAACGGTCAAGGTCAAGGACAGGCCATGATCGAGCATGATGGTCCTGTTTTCTCCACCGATTTCTTCAAGGTATGTGTACCTCTGTTGTCTTTACGGTCCGGCCAGACACTAACATGCATTCTCCCAACAGGACGGCACAAAGGTCATCTCCGCCGGCGCCGACAAGGCCGCCAAGGTTCTCGATTTGGCCACCGGCCAGTCGATGCAAGTTGCCGCCCACGACATGCCCATTAAGTGTGTTCGCTACTTCGAGGCCAACGGCACGCCCATGGCGGTGACAGGTGGCTGGGACAAGCAAATCAAATATTGGGATTTCCGCTCCGCGAACCCGGCCGCCACGCTGCAGGCCCAGGAGCGCGTCTATACCATGGATGTGCGCGACGACTTGCTCGTGGTCGGAACCGCTGATCGCTATATCAACGTGATCAACCTGAAGGACCCCGGCAAGTTCTACAAGACAATGCAGAGCCCTCTTAAATGGCAGACTCGCGTGGTCAGCTGCTTCAACGATTCCCAGGGCTTTGCCATCGGTTCGATCGAGGGTAGATGCGCCATTCAATATGTGGAGGACAAGGATTCTGCGTGCGTTTTTTCCTCCTTTGACTTAAACTGTATACCGGACAAGCTGACTAACCTACTTTCCTCTTCCAGCTCCAACTTCTCCTTCAAGTGCCACCGCGACCCCGCCCAAGGTAACACCACCGCCGTCCACGCTGTCAACGATATCTCCTTCCACCCCCAACACGGCACCTTCAGCACAGCCGGTAGCGACGGCACCTTCAACTTCTGGGACAAGGACGCGAAGCACCGCCTCAAGGGCTACCCCAACGTTGGCGGCAGCATCACGTCGACAACATTCAACAAGACCGGCAGCATCTTTGCCTACGCCATCAGTTACGACTGGAGCAAGGGCTACCAAGGCAACTCGCCCACGTACCCGAACAAGGTCATGCTCCACCCAGTACAGCAGGACGAGTGCAAGCCCCGCCCTAGCGTTAAGAAGAGGTAGGAGCAGAACTCGACGAACGGGGATAAAGAAAAAGGGGGAGGTGGAATGGGACCAACAGGAGGTACGAAGAGGAAGAGTGCATAGAAAGTTGGCTATCTGGATTATCTGGATAAGGAACAGGCACTTTCCTTCTTTAGGGACCAAAGAATGAATAAGGACAAAGCATGGAGGATGGGATGTTGGAGTAGTAGTAGGAAACGGGTGAAGACGGTACGAAAGTGATGGATGACAAGAATCAACGATACCAGAGGTCCGCACGGCAAGGAGCGAAGGAAAGAAAGAGGAAGCAAGCAACAGCGCGACTTCTTTTACGAATTTGGTAGTTTCGGTAGTTAGGTTAATCAATGGGTTTCAAGCGTAACTGAGCAGAAGATGGACTGAGCTACTGATTTCCAGTACAGACCTAACCGGAACATTATGTAAGTGTTGCACTCGGTACTATCTAAGCTCACTCAAACACATAACATACAAATAATCGCAAACATAATCTAGACCAGTCTCCAACGAGAGGCACCGAAAAGAGTAAAGCCATGTCCGCTCATGGAAGGGAGATCAAAGAATAGAGAGCGCTCAGTCTGCTCTTGTGCCTGAAGTCTACGGTTTGAACCAGGAACAGGGGTCTTTAACGATGGGAGTGCATGAAGCCCGTTCAAGCCTCCATGACTTCATACCTAGTTGTTATTGAGAACTCTTCACCTGAACACAACGATTCAGACATAAGACGTATCTGAACCTTTTATTCCACTCACTTCGCGTTTTGTATTCAAGCTTATGTCTATTGTCTTCCGTTCATCAATAACCGGTCACACATTACCTACTTGTTCTCCCCTCAGAGGTGTGTCCCTGCCAGCCAGTCAGCTTTTAAGGCACTTTGCTTGCTTGCTCCTTCAAAGATAGATGATCACCAACCTTTCTTGTGGTTGTTGGTCATGAAAATGCCAATCTCTTAAATCTTCATGTCTTAGTGAGACTTGTCCCAACCCTTCGTCCTAACCGTCGCAAGGATAACTGGAAGGAAATATGTAGTTACCTAGGGTGGAAATCTATGTTTGTTACTGTGTGAGGGAGTTCGCCATATTCGTGGGAAAATGAGGCTTCTGCGATCCGTCGAAAAGGACCAATTGATAAGTTCTACGGGCATGGATATTGACGATCCGATCAGACCTGAAATTATGTGCGGTACAATATGGAGAGTGAGTACCTTACCTAGGCCCTGATGGGAAAAATCCAATTCACGTTTATCTGCTGAACGTATAATGATGATACAAAAGAAGGACGATCGATGTCCATCTATCTGCCTGATGCAATGTCAGTCAGTGTATCGTACAATCTTAGGTAGGTACATTAATGACCACATCAAATACTCCCTCCATCCACGGGGAATAATCATCACGAAGTTTCGAGAAACCCTCAGTTAGGAAGCAAGCATACTGCAACCAATATCTATTCAGGACAGGTTTCCTACCTCTAGGTAATTAATTGCCCGATTAATAGGTGTATTCATACTTTATGTCACAGAAGAAGACTGATCAGATGGATCTCGGCCAGGCTCGATCAACAAACCAGCGAGACGGGAGATCTAGAACATACCTACCTTACCTACCTAACCCTCTTGTCTAAAGGCCCAGAATAGGTACCTTGGCCGAACATTTTACTCTGTCACTCTTGTCACGGTCTGGTCTGTCCAAATGACAATCCTCCTCCTCCTCCTCCTCCTTTGAAAACTCAGAAGAATGGGGATTCCAAAAGCAACATGTCCTCGCTCCCCAAAAATAGAAGTCGGCCAAAGTATGTACATATGACGCTTACCTACCTATCAATCACCACGACCATCAATCAACTCGCCTACGCTACCTTGATCTACCCCGTCGGAGTCGGAGTCGGCACTTCACAACGCCCGCCCCGTCCATGTTCCTACCTAGTCTGGGATCTTCTTACAAGTAAAGCTCCCACCAGTTCTCCGACGGAGCTTGACGAGCCGGAATGTTTCAGTTAAAGTTGACGTTAGCGCTGTTAATGTCCGGTAGTCTGGTCTGGGCCAGCTGGCGTCTTGGAGGCTCTGGGGTAAGTAAGCATATGACTTGATCATGTGAACAGCGAGGCATAATGATCCCGGTACCCCGGGGATTTGTGGAGACAGGAGGCCTGGACGAGAGCTTGATGTCATTCATGCATTACCGGCATTTCAATTGCTTGCTTGTCATTCATTTTGAGTTTGTCGTCGGTCTGGGGTAAAGAGGGGGGGTCTAGGCCTGATTTGGTTATAGAAAGCCAAACTGGGGATCGTCTTGCTTTTGCTGTGGTAACTGGCTCACAGGGGGCTGCTGCTGTTCGTCGGCCTTGGAAAGGCGAGATGTTGTAGCTCACGCATCAGCACCCCAAAACATCACATCCTGTTTCCACTTGTCCTCGGCTTATAAACAGAATTTGGGGAGGTAATAAGCACATACGACCATACCCACTGGAAAACTCGGGATCCCGTCCGCTCTCCCATAGATAAGCCAGTGAGGGCCAGACTAGTAGTTGGGTCGGTGACGACCAGCGAATCCCTGGTGTTGTATGTTCTTTTTTTCCTTCTTTTCTTTTTGCTGGTAGGTAGTGTTGGTGAGGGTGAGGCGATTCGGAAGCTATCGTCGAGACTTATGAAAATGCCAAGATTTGCATATCAGCAACAACGACGGTGTTAAACGGTGACGGCAATGTAGATATCGTTGAACTCGAATAATGAGTGAGGATTGAAATATCAAGAGGAGAGGGATGTCGCTGCTTGTTCATAGAAAAGAATTATGTGGATAACGGGATCGTTTAAGTGATGAATTTCGAGGCTCAAGCCTTTCTCAATTTCGTTATCGAGTCAGCGAGCCCACGAGTGATTCACCCGCAGCTAGGTAATAACTATGCAAAAGACACTAATGCTGATGCGTTGTCGCCAGTCTTCCTCATATCGTAACAAGGAGAAACAATGAAAGTACCCAAAACACCTGCTCCATCCAAAATCAAGAACAAGAAACCCAATCTTGGACATAGAGGTACTCATATGCCAAAAAGCCCATAACCATGACAGGAATCAAACCCATTGCCGCTCGCTTTAGTGATCAAAAACTCAATGAAATCTTCTCATCTTTGGCAGAGAGAGAACATTAAGCTTTAGAACCACCTTTAGCAGGAGCGCCAAACACATCCTCCACCATACCCCTCCACAGATCCCTAATCATGCCCTGGCCACCGGCCTGCTCCTCCTGGGCCTTGGCCTCCTCGCGCGCCATGTCGCGGACGAAGCTCAAACTGACCCAGTCGGCGCCAGTCCAGTTGTCCATGTCCACAACCTCCTGGCTGAGCGAGGCGGGGAGCACCTGGCCGGGCTTGTTGGCGACGACGGCGACGGCGGGCTTGTTGGCCATCAGGTCGGCGTCGCCTTCGGAGGCGATCTCGCCGCGCTGCTCGGGTTTTAGCTCGTCAAAGAGCGGCATGCGCTGTACCGTGGGGGGAGGGGGGGTCTTGTTGTCTGGGAGCAGGGGGACGCGGATGGTGTCGAAGTAGGTGGGTTGGAAAGGAGAAGCAGAAGAGAATTCTGTGGCGGCAAGGTTGGGGAGAACGACGGCGTCGATGCCGTTGGTGGAGAAGGAATGGCCGATGGAGGCGTTGGTAGGGGCCGAAATGTGGAAGCCCTGCATCAGGGGAACCTTGCGGGGGGTGCGAGCCTGGTGGAAAATGTTAGTATCATGGTTATTCAGATTGTGTCTTTTGGTTTTGGTGGTGTGGACGGGAGTAAACGGGACGTTGGTGAGAGAGCATTTCCCAATTTGGGTGCTTATGCTGCAAGGACGGGAAGATGATAGGAGATAGCGGTCCGAGTGTTTGATAGGTGCCGTGCAGTGGTGAGGGGAGTCGGCAATTGGAGATCATGCACGTCTCGGTGGTTGTCCAAGGAGATGTGGCTAGTGTTATGTAATGGAGGAGGGGCAGAGCTGGAAGAGATGTAATGAGGGGAGAAACAAAGGGGAGGAAACTCACATCGTTGCTGATGGCATTGAGAATATGGCTAGGCTTGGCAACAGCAGGAGATGTGCTCAAGGACCTGGTGAATTTTGTGATGGGAGCGGCGATTCTCGACATGATTGTTGTTGTTGTGTTTGTTTGACGGATTTCCCGATTCGGATAGCTGGGCTGAGTGCTTCACTGAATGGCTGGTTGATGTCGAAGTGGTTCGAGGATTGGAAGTGTGAGACAGATATAGGAGACAGAGACAGAGGATGAGTCGAGAGGAAAGAGATGGCTGGTATTTAAATTCAGAGTTGTACAAGGAGCTGACGAGATGTTGAGGATGTTGGGGACCGAAGCTGGAGGAGAAGCGGTCGATATAAGTCAAGGCCGGGAACGGACCTCCGGACCCTCGCTCGAGAGATCTGGCAATCTGAGGACGGACAGGGGGGGTACAAGAAACCTCAAGAAAGGAGGGGACAGGGGAGCTTGGAGCATGCATTGCAGCAATGGGGATTCGACGTGGATCTGCGTGGAGAGTTCACAGGTTGACTCGTGCGCTGTTGCTGTTGGAGACGACTGCCCCTCTTGCATCCCCCATAGGTACAGCTCCAATGCCACTCTCTTGCAATTGGGTGTCTGCTCTGGTGATTGACCAAAGTCCCCAGAGTCTGCAGTACGGACCCCTCTTTCTTAGTGTAAGTGATGTTCGGAGGCCTGAGGACATGGTGTTTGATTGGCACCATCTCCAGCTTGGAGACGTTGGATGTTGCCAAGGTTACAATGTTTATGATGGCATATGATCATCCGTTTTTTGGAGGTTTTAGCGTTTGTAATACAGATAAGGTTGCAGGTCCAGCATCCCGAGATGGAATGGGCAGAGCACCGAAAGGTCAAAGCTAAGGGGGTTCGTAAAAACGGTTAGTAACGAACAGTCTGTCGCAGTCGCAGTCGTCGTCGTCGGTACTTCCCGGACGGCTAGTCGTACAGTATTCCGCTGTATGAGCCGATGACGACGTAGATGCGAGTGTGAAATCCCGAGTATTCTCGAACGTCAAACAGCCCATAACTGCAGCTTTGTGCTCCCACGGGCTTCCATTTCTCCTCTGCCCCGAGTTTCACAGGCTTGACTGACAAATGCGATTCCCAGATCGTCCACGTTCGGGCATCCGGGTAAATGCAAAGCGGATATTCAGCAGTGACTGACACGCGCAATGACCAAAACCCCAGGTTTTGAGGTCGAAGAGATGGAGTTTGGGTATGGAGCTGGTAATGGAGCTGTAATGGAGTTCGTAGAGTTCGCAGTGTCGCTGGCGAGCCAGATAAATCGACTGTGTGCCCAGATATTTCGGCGGTATGGAGCCCGTCTGACCAATGAGGGTGCCATGAGTACCTCAACGTCTCAACTACCAACGTTCACTGTGATGTTTCTCACGATGCGCCCAAGAAGAAGATGATGACAAGAGAGCCAGAGGGAGCAGAAGGCGAGGGCGGAAGAAGCCATGAGGCGATGACGGAAGAAAGTATAAGGTGATTCGTCTCGAAATTGGACTCTAAGAGTTCAAGGTTAGGGCAAAGCGAGGCACAAGTGGAAGCACAGCTACGGGAACTCCAAATTCAGTGCGGTGCGCCTATGGAGATGCCCTCATCCATGCCAAATCAGAATGTCAACTGAGCGCTTCGAAAAAGGTCGTTCTGAGCTCTCATTGTCGTGGTTCCAAACGATGGCTTTTGGTGAGCATTTGCCCTTGGTGAGCATTTGCCCTTGGTGAGCATTTGCCCTTGGTGAGCATTTGCCCCTGGTGATGGTTGCCGGCGCGCGAAGTTGATGCCAAGCCTGGGGTCTTGGCTTCTTGGCTTAACCCTGGCTATTAGTTTGTATGGCCCCACACCGCCGAAATATCTGGGCACACAGTCGATTTATCCGGCTCGGTCGCTGGCGTGGCTACTGTAACGGGGGGCATCACAAAATGAGGGTCTTGTCACGTGATAAGTTCCTTTTTGTATCTTCTCCCCGCGAACGCGCCGTTGATAGCCGCATTTCAGTAAATTACATATTAGTGTTAGGGTTAGTTAGGGTTAGGGTTAGCTCCGGGGGGTGCAGGGGGCCGGTGAGAGCCCCCCGCGTATGAATATTTTATCATATGTCAATCATATGTCTTCTATGATTACGGTAATTACACAAGATACGTAATTTACATCGGGGTATACATTTGGTACTTTCGGCTTAAGAAAAGTGGAGTATGCACGGACCTTTCTGGTGCCCCCCGTTACCCACCCCGCTGGCGTCGGCCTGCGTTAAGCGGTAAGCCAAGCATCCCGAACCCACCCTTTCCCCATACAGCCACGACGGACACCCCAGATGGGGTCCGTGCTTCCCAAGTCACAAGATCTCAACGATCCAAAGCCAGATTCGCACCTTGCTTGCCAGTTGCCTGCCGAGCCTGCGAGCTGCCTGTTCCTGAGACAGTGGGGAATTCTTGGGGAAAGTGCGACGCCCTGGACAAGCTTCGACAGGGGGCGGCCCAGCTGCTCAAAGCCTCAACAAGAGGAAGCTTGGGCCATCAAGGTTCCATTCCGGCAACGCTGACGACACCCGTGTCTAATTGGCTGGCTTGGCAGTGCCAATTGGCTGGATTGGCTTCGCGAGGCGGTCAGTCCGTCGTCGGTCTTGACTTCGCCGTTGTTTGGTGAGGCTTCGCTTCAAGTCCACTTTCTCCCACACGTCGCCCGCGGGCCCGACACAACAACCAGTCCCCTGGTTTCACAGCCGCGACGGAATGCTTCCAAGACCACAAGCGAAAGGAAAGCAATTCAACACCAGAGCTGTCCAGACCATTGGATACCAGCACCAAGCTTGATCCGGTTAGCTGGTCAACAACTTTTTGCAACACGTGGGCAATCCGTGAATCGCATCTCATCTGTCAGTCTGTCACTGGTGCGCTTGGTGCGCTAGGTACCTCTACGTACACATTGTCACAGCTTACGGATGGCCCGGCTGAGCTACAATCATCTCGATGGATCGCGAATGGGAGTTTCTCCATGTCCTGCGTGTTTCGAGGCGGTAAGCTGTGCAGTTTGAGTCACTCTCTTTCTTTCTGACAGTCATGTTTCCGGGGACTGGAAAGTGGATGGTCTTGCTGGAAACAGACCAGTTCCAGTTGGGACAAGCGAGTTGCTTGCTGATCTTTGATGTTCATCCTGAACGCCTCACTTCAGAGTCATAGCCTCAATCAGACACAAGATCTTGGGATCTCGATAATTCCAAATCTTGCGAGAGCCCAGACACATTCCAAATAAACTTTTTGGCTCAATGTGCTAACGCAGAGTCATCGACTTGCCTATCAAAGTTAAGCCAGTCGAAGCTTCTTGGAATCAACTTTATTGTTCCATGCAGGTAAGCCGTGCGTCCAAGATCACGGAAACCCATCAGCATCATTACATACTTGGAAATCAGCCACTCTCTGCCTTTTGAGCATCCTTTTTCACTTTGATTCGTATTTTTGAAACCCTCCGGGAAGTCCTTTGCTTCATTCGGCTCCTTGCCCAGCCTGTTTGTCCTGCGCCGTGTAAGCCGGACACCAATTCCGATCCCGGCGCCCTTTATCAATCCTTATCAGCCACTCATATATCGGGAACTTTGTACGCACATCACAGCCTCGCTTCGGACCGCACCTTGTCTGATACGAACGAAAAGGGATAGGCTTTGCATCCTCAACAATACGACCTTTTGGACCGTTGTTTGCCGCTGAGAGACGGTTCAACACACCGGCCACGGCCGTCCGCGGAACTCTCGGCTTGTCCTTCCACGTGTATCCTGAGGTCATCCACTTCAACAAAACCACCAGCCACTTTGAATCCTTTCGTTACCTTTTTGGATATTGATCTTTCTCAAAGCACACAAACTGACACAAAGAGAAAGACAAGCAGGCGTGAATCTCTGTGATGCTTTTTGATGTCACTGGTCCCTGCTCAAGACGACCAGGCGTCAGAAAAGCCATCTTCTCCCAAGGAATCACCATTCACGACGGAGGATGGCGCACTGAAAACCATATTGATGAAGAAGGGAACGGAATGAGGCTCCTCGATATCCATCTGTGGAGCACCTGTCAACCTGTCACTCTTGACAGTTCCACTTACAACCACATCGGTCCTAGGGGTCGGCTTTTACGGTAAATATTCCAATTTTTCAATTCCTGACCGTTTACCATACTTACCGAACGTCAGGGGGCCGTGCACTAGTCCGTGCACCCTCGACTTTCTGATAGGCCTCGGTACTGCGGGCAGCCAGCTCTCACCAGAAGCTTATATAAGTCTATCGATAAGACCGCTTGGCGCGGTAAGCCATTCGATGTTTTTCCATTCACTAACGGTAATTACTGGTAGTGACCCTCGTCACGTCAGGGTGGCCGACCCCTAAATTCGGTCCTTGCCGTGGTTCCAACCCATGGAATCAGGGACCACCGGCACTTGATGGCTGATTTGTATACATCATGGACTGCATTCACGTTCGGTTTTCGGGTCGTTGACTCGAACGTCGACGAGACATCGTCAGATGGTGACGGAGTTTGAGCCGTTTAAGCCGCGCGTTCACATCGGTGATGGAGCTATCGATGCCCCTCAAGGAGGACCTCATCCTAACTAACATACCACGTTTTTTCGACACCGTACAATGGAGATAATTCGCCCAGTAATGGTAAACCTCATTTTGACGGATGAGAAAAGAAACGCGAACACCTGGCCGGAGGTGGATGAACCGTTTGAATTGTTAGGTAAAAGACCCGAGCATCAAACGTATATAGATGCGAATCGCTTGTTGACTGACTGTTTCATGAACATTTGACGTTGAACCATACTGACAGATGATACCGCCTATCAATCCACCATACAAGCTTTCTCTTCTCTAAGAGAGTATGTACATAGTGGCGTTCTTGACATCTTGCTCTACGTTCGGAATTGCTTGCTCCATCACCTTGACTCGTACGGTCGACACACCGCAACATCACCGCCACTTTACCCTTTCCTCCACCACAGCCCCGGAAGGCCCGGAAGGCCATCATCCCATGCCATGAAGCGGACATAAAGATGACAATCGTGCGATTCTTATCGTAAGTACAGCGTAAACAAAAAAAAAAAAAAAAAAAAAAAAAAAAAAAAAAAAAAAAAAAACCCCTCTTTGTTTTGCTTCATACTGTAAAGAGGGAATGAGGCAAAAAAAAAAAAAAAAAAAAAAAAAACTGTCAAGTGACCGTGACATGTGATGATGTCTATGGCGATCAAAGCTTTTGGACAATCGACTGCGGAGTAAGCTTGACCTTGGTGAGGGGGTCTGGGATTGTCTGTGATGTCAACGTTTTCAACGAGGACGAAACAGCTTAACCGAGAGAGTCCGCAGAGATGGAAAGAGTCGAAGCTATGTGGCCATCACAAACTCTAACAAAGAGGTGTACGAGAACGACTCTGGTTGGTGTCATGTTGCCATCTTTTACTCCCACTACCTACTCACACAGTTCAGCCGCTGGAAGACAGTTGATGTTCATTGCTTTTGATGGCTCGTTACGAGTTAAGGCTGCCCAAAATCTACTTGAGCCACGACATCACCATAGCGTGATGTTTACACTCACGTAGCCAAGTTCTTGGTAACTGTACTCACACAATACCCCCGGTGGAAAGTGTAATTTTGTTTGGGGTGGAAAGTGTAATTTTGTTTGAAGTTCGAAACATCTAGTCACTTAATTTCTTTTCTGTTGAAGTTCCTTCAAGTCAATATTCCCATCAAACATCCTCAATCGAGGTGTAGAAGAGGTGCAAATCCGGGATGATCGCCTTCTGATAGTCCTAAACAAGCAGGTTAGTATTATCTGTCGCGGAGAAGATTTGGGAGAAGCGACACGCAACTTACCTTCTCAAGATCCTTCATCATCTGATAAGTCAAGTTGGTCAACTTCGTCACTTCTTCCTCCGCCTTCTCAATCTCCTCTTCGATAGCCTCCTCATACTTGCTCAACACATCCCGCTCATCGTTCTTTTCAGCTTCGAGTGCCTTTTCAGCGTCTCCGCTCGCCTCAAGAACATTTTCACCCTCACCATCCTCCGCCCCAAAACCCAACTCCCCTCTAGTTGCCCTTCCCTTCTCATCACCCCCCTCCTCTCCACCCCTCCCCTTACCCAGCTCCTCAACCTCCCCCCAAACCTCCTCCCAAACCCTCTCCAACCCCCTCTCACTCTCCACCCACTCCCTCCACAACCCCTCCATCTCCCTCTCCGCCTCCCCCAGCTTCTTCTCAACCCCCTTCACCAACTCCCTAACCACATGCTTCTCACTCCTCAACACGCCATCACTCCCGCGCTGGTCAGAGCGGATGGCGAACTCGGACAGCGGTAGCGAGAGCTTACGGGCGCGCTTCTCGGCGCGCTGGAGGAAGTCCTCATCGGAGGAGGCGATGCCGTCGTCGAGCTTTTGGATGAGGAGGGAGTGCGCTTTGACGAGGGAGGTGAGGGCGTGCGAGTGGAGGGTGGTGGCGGATGTTAGGTAGTGGGCTGTGGGGAAAGGGGTGTTAGTGGTTTTGGTTTTGGTTTTGATCTGATGAAGGGGTGGAAAGTGGATGGTTACGTACCTCGGAGCTCGGCGAGCATCTCTTCAGTTTCGGAGGAGAGGGCGTCTTCTTTAGCAGGGGAGTCACGTTTTCTTTTGCGGGTTTGGACTGTTGGCTGGCGTTTGAGAGGAAGGGCGGAAATGTGGACAGCCTCTTGTTCTTTCTCTTGTTGTTTCTGCCTCTGTTTATGTTTTGGAGGCTGGGTTTCTTCTCCAAAGGCGGCTTGGATCTTCTTGAAGAAGGGGGCAATGGTGGTTTGAGGCAGGGAGTGAAGCGCGATCTTTGCAGGCTCTGGTGTCGGCTCTCGTTTCTTCTGTGGACGGGCAAAGAGGCGCTCCTTGAAGGACTGGGCTGGTTTTGGCTGAGGAGCGGAGGGGCGCGAGGACGAAGCATCGTCGGTTACGCTGATGTTAGCTAGCCTGGGAGAAGTACGTTGCTGCCGCTTCGTATTATTGGGCAAGGGCTCTTTCGGTCGGCGCTTTTGGGGTGGTGGCCCCATGACGACTGTGTCTGGGGCAGTTTTGGAGCGCAGCATGGTTGACATGGTGTTACAGATCTCGGATGCGTGCTGACATCCGTTGATGGAGGTTGCAGAAAAGAACGAAGCCAGCAACACCGCTCAGATATTATAAAAGCATACGATGAACAAGAGGAATGAGGGGTGATGATCAATGAAGAAGAGATTTCTTGAGGTTGAAAAACGTTTTGTGCGCACGGATATCTCAAGATCGCCCAGTGTCCGCGGAAGGAAGTCGCGAAGGAGAGCACTTGCCATCTTGGTACTTCCACATTCGCTCAGCCTGCGTGCCTGATCCGCCTCAACATTTTTCTGGGCCAAGCCTTAGCACCGCACATACAACTGAAAACAGAATCAGCCACTCCTATGGCAAGAATCCAAAAGGTGTGATGTTTCATTCTTGAGAAGGGTAACAACTAGTCATCGAGCCTTGTTGATCTCAACAATCTAGTCAACATATGGTCACAACTTCTTTTTGTGCCCCTTCATCAAATCTTGTACCTCCTTCATTTTGTGGCATGCGAAAGGTTTCCCGGAACATGCCCACTCGTCTGTAATGATCGCATGTTTTTCCATCGTTTTCCCCGCAGTGCGCGAAGCTCAATATCAACCCATAGTAATGAGTGTAACTACTGAAACGGTGTTCGTAGGACATGATCAGCAGGAAAAGAAAAGCATCCCCATCTGCGGGCGGATCGTCCCAATATATCAAGGGTGAAGTGGCCTCGCTAAAATGTACTGATCCCCCCGAATGGAAAGGTCCCTTTTCCTTAATCCTACCATCAACCCGCACTGCCCTTCTCACGTAGCCTTTTAATGTAATCGTAGTCTCTTTCTCCACTTCCCCTATATGATGCTTGCTCATGGTAACGGGCTGTGTTGTTGAGTCGATAACGTGTGCTAGACGGTAGTTTAACCAAGAACTAATCCTGATAGCAGGGAAGCTCTTTGGCCCTTCAATTGTAAGCCATGACCATGAAGGGGTCTTTAATCCGCTGGGCATTCTCCAATCAGACTCATGAAAGAACCACAACAAATCTAAAGGCCAGAGCTCCTTCCAAGTTCCAGCAATAGGCGTCCAACTGGTTCCCTTTTGAATAGCCTCGATAATGCCTGAAAAAGCTATAAGTCGATCCTTTGTGTAGGTTAGGTGACTTGCGGAATAGGCCCTCAGAATTTCCGCCCAGTCATATAACAACTCTGTTTTCTTATGGTTGACTCGGACTTCGTCCCAGGTACTTGTCAGGTCAATTGTTACATCGTTGAGAGACAAGCGGCAAAGCGCGTGAAATCTAACTTTCTCTTGGGAAAGCTAGGAGTGGCTAAGAATGGCTATGGCCTTATTGAATTCCGGAATGCTCTCACACCGAGTCAGGCTTGAGCATTCCCAGTATAGCTCGGGAGCGCCCAAATAAAGAGTCCGGGGTGAGAGAAGCCTCTCTTGAAGGAACCAGCCACGTGAGGGAAGGCGCGCCCCTTCTTGCGTGAGAGATTCCATAAGGCGCACACGGTTGCTGTGAACAGTCGGATAGGCGTATATGCCTTTTTGGAGCTCACCTAAATAGCACGGGGTAACCAAGAGAGGATTCCTGCGTCTAAAACAGCCATCCAGCCCGTCCATCCCTAAAGCTGCGATAGTAAGAATGGATCTCCCATAGACATCGCACATAGTGGCTGACTCTTTCTCCCAGTCTTCAGTAGAGTCCTGAATAATACAGAGAATCAATCCATATGTACCTGTAGCCAAGTTGTTGGGTGACTTCCATCGCATCCCTGAATGTCTGAGACAATTTTTCCAACGGTATATCAACTTGGAGATCTTCGATATTATTCGTTGAAAGCTTCAAGCGGGATTCATTAACGGTTACGGACCACGCGTGGCTAAGGGTAAGGTACTGAATCTTTTCCAAGGTTGCTGAGGTAGATGGAAGCACAAGACGAGGCCTCAAATATCCGAACTCCTCGCCAATGTCAATAAGTCGGGTAGGCAGGCTCATGCTACCAGGTTTTGAGCCTGCCGCTGAGGAATTCAGGGGATAGCATTGAGGGTGATCATGAATGCATCGATGCAGCCAGGATCTCACCACATCCATCATTTCGGGTGAGCCAGTTGATGTAGGTAGAAGTCGCCCGGAGCTCGTCGTCGGACGGGAGAAGAGAATGTCTTGATCTGATTCCGTTCCGCATCTGATCAGTTATGGGTCTCAACCAAACCAGGGGAATGATCGAAAGGGGAGAGAGGGGGGGAGTCGTACCATCAATCTCACTAATTACCGCCTGGCCTATGTCGTGAGAGTAAGTCAACATATCGTAATCACAAGCCGCCAGTAATTCCTCTATACGAGAATAGTCGCTTTCTGTGTGAATTACTGCCTGCCCATTTTGGTTTAATTGCCGGAGTGTGATCCAAAAGACTTTGGAAGAAGTGTATTGGAGAGGCATACTCCAACATTTGGCAACAATACCACCATCTGGGTGGCCTTCAACTCGTCCGAGGTCAATGTTTTGAGACATTATCGCACAAAGATGACATCCAGCAGCACTAGACTCCAAGAGTTGCCGTAAATTCTGGCTATGAAAGAACACCTCCGGCTTGGTATAATCGCCGCGGAGAGTTCTGAGCATGGCGGACTTGTCGCGGATCCGAGAGCAGCGCTCACACAGAACATGGCCAGCCACATAGTCGGTTTCCGGGATGCGGTTCCCCTCGGGTGAAGATCTTTGAGGGATTCGATATCGTTCATCTCGAGAGCAGGCGCCGACAGGCACAATGGCTCAGAGCAAGGCTCGATATGGCGGAAGAGAATGACAGAAGAGAACCACAAAGGAAGGAGAGAGCCGCGGAGGAAGATGGCTGTGATAGTTCTATGTAGCGGTTGTGTTGTTGAGGTGATTGTCTGATCGGTTTTGTACCACCTGGTTCGACGTGAATCTCCAGTCCGGCTGCTCGAGCTTGTGCGCGCAACAAGTCGGCCGCACTTTCCTAAATTCTCGAGAAATCAAAGCAAGAAAGAAATAATCCAAGATAGAAAGTTCGATTCACCTTGGACCTCGACACGAACGACGACCAAGGTCTGTCGTTGCTACCTGAAAAGTGAGTCCGCAATGAGGGGTAGCATCGACATGGAAAATGCAACGGCAAGTACCACCTAAGCACGTAGCCAACAAGAACCATCACCTACCTATAAGCTGCTTGTTTGACTACCACTAGCACATACGGCCATAGATAGTGGAAAACTCGGGATCCCGTACGCTCTCCCATAGATAAGCCACTAATCGGTGGCTTATCTATGGGAGCCATTTTTTGTAGATTTCGACAGGGGTTTGGATGACTCAGCTGATGACTCAGCTAAAAACGCCGCCCCCGTTTCTAGAACCGTTTTCCCATTGCCTTCGCCGTCGAGTGCACCGTTCCACCTACGCCAAGCCCAGCTGAGTGGGCTAGGCATACACTACACAAGGTACTTACCCCTGCCATTTACCCCTGACACCTACTCCATATACTTAGTACTTCTAACTGGGAGGTGTGGTTGGCTTGTGAGAGGTGTGTTTAGCTTTTGGGAAGTGCGGTTGGCTTTTGGGAAGTGTGGTTGGCTTTGGTGAACAGTTTTCGTACGTATATCCCTTCAGGCGAGTCAGAAGAGCCTCAAGATATATATTGCGTCTTTACCCTCAGATTCCCGACTGAACCAAACAAGCACACTTCTGTCCCATTCTCATTGCATTCATTGTATATCAATTCTTCCCAGTTGATTCTACCGCATGAATTACGGCCCCTACATTGCGAGGGTTGCGTTGGTTTTCATATGAAACCCTCCTTCCGAGTTTTCTAATGGATTTCTCCTCCAAAACATGCTGAGCTCGTAAGCCAGTGCAGCTTGAGAGGGTATTGTTTGAGTCTCACGGTGCCGATCGCACTCCATCCATATGCAATACGGAAGGGATGGAGCTACGAAAACCGCCGATACCGCCGACTGAACGCGACGTCGAAGAACGAAAAAGAAGAGCATTTGCCGACGTCGACGAATTTACGGTAACAACACATGAGCGTTCGCTTTGTAAGAAGACCAAAGCCCAGCGAGAACGCGCGTGGCGTCTATGGAATAAGTATGTACCTTATCATTTTGCTGTTTTCTTTAATATTGCGTACTAACGCTTTCTAGATTTGTCACAGATGTGTTACAATTAACACAAAAAGAGGCTGATAAGGTTTGGTTTGGCATGTGCCAAAACAAGAAAAAGTCCATTGCTATCTGCAAGAGCTTTCTGGCCGACTATACACGCTATGCAAGATGCAGGCGTCTGTGTATAGACGGGACCGAGGAACGGAAGCAGGTACCAACAGTTCAATCAGTAGTGACTATTATTGCTGTATGGAAGCATATAGTTGTTGGAGCACATGAGTGGGCACAGGGAATTTGGGGCAGAGGATCGGCAAGAGAATTCCTTGATTGATTGACTGAAGAGCTAAAGGAGAGTAGGTGCATGATGAGAGGGAGACCCTCGATATATATATACATGACTGAGGTCCATGTGTGGATCGATTGCCGAGACGGTAGTCTGCTTCAACAATAGTAGCTCCAGCTGATGCTGTAGTGCTCGCGAAGAGAAGGGATCAAGATTCAAATGAAGATTCAGACGAAGATTCCGAACAATGGACATTGCTTGGCAACCGTGGGAAGGCCCGTGGAGAGGTTATCCAGGTAGATTCCCTCCTTACCCATACCGATACTGTGTACTGACATTTCTTCTCACAGTGGATCCAATCAACTCTTGCCCAACAGTTCAACCTCACATGCAAACAAACATTTGAGAAAACCGAAGCCACAAGAGACGATGTTCTGCTTATTCTTGTGACGATGGGGATCCCGCAACCCTGACATGGGTACTGCAGTCGCCACTTGTCCCATCAGGAAGACGGTAGAGGCTGGCAGAATCTGGGCTCATCCCATATAAGAATGCACTCTAGAGCCCAGCTCTCAATCTCTCCCTCTTCTGTTCTTTAGCTTTAGTTATTTATTCATTTGTACCCAACTACGCGATACGGAACTACGTGAGCTGGTGCATCGTAACAACTGGGCGATTCGATTGGAGGTGTTGGGCCGCGTTTATACTATGGGCAACACGTGATTTGCACTGGTAATAGGCCTCGGGTTGCCCTCGGATTAATGGTTTTGGTGGACAGTTAAGGCACTGGGCGCCACAGGGGCGCGCCAGGGCAATGCTCCTATTTTTGTACGCTAGATTCACCGATGTGGCACGTCTCATGCCCTACTGGAGGCGGAAGTAGACGTTGAAAATAACAACACAAAAAGCTGCCGCCCAATACAACGCTGTCCGTTTATACCGGTCCCGAGGATCTGCGTCAGCCTTGCCGGTATCGAGAAGCAGCTTAACAACCGCCTCATGCCCCTTCTCTGCCGCCCAATGCAGCGCTGTCTTTCTAAACTGGTCTTGAGCACTTGCGTCAACCTTGCCAATATCGAGAAGCAGCTTAACAACCGCCTCATGCCCATTCATCGCCGCCATATGCAGCGCTGTCCATCCAAGCTGGCCCTTAGCACCTGCATTAACCTTGCCGGTATCGAGAAGCAGCTTAACTACCCCTTTATGCCCATTCTTTGCCGCTATAAATAGCGCTGTCCGTCCATCCTTATCCCGAGCATTTGCGTCAACCTTGCCGGTATCGAGAAGCAGCTTAACTACCCCTTCATGCCCATTCTCTGCCGCCATATGCAGCGCTGTCCGTCCATCCGTATCCTTAGCACCTGCGTCAACCTTGCCGGTATCGAGAAGCAGCTTAACAACCGCCTCATGCCCCTTCTCTGCCGCCCTATGCAGCGTTGTCTGTCCAAGCCAATCCTTAGCACCTGCGTTAACCTTGCCGGTATCGAGAAGCAGCTTAACAACCGCCTCATGCCCATTCCCTGCCGCCGAATACAACGCTGTCCCTTTATACTGGTCCCGAGGATCTGCGTCAACCTTGCTGGTATCGAGAAGCAGCTTAACAACCGCCTCATGCCCAGTTATCGCCGCCATATGCAGCGCTGTCCGTTTATGCGAGTTCCGAGGATCTGCATCAACCTTGCCAGTATCGAGAAGCAGCTTAACAACCGCCTCATGCCCATTCCCTGCCGCCATATGCAGCACTGTCTGTCCATTCCGATTCTTAGCACCTGCGTCAACCTTTCCAGTATCGAGAAGCAGCTTAATAACCGCCTCATGCCCATAGTTCGCCGCGCTATGCAGCGCTGTCCATCTATCCTTATCCTTAGCACCTGCGTCAACCTTGCCAGTATCGAGAAGCAGTTTAACAACCGCCTCATGCCCATTCTTTGCCGCCATATGCAACGCTGTCCGTTCATACCAGCCCTGAGCATTTGCGTCAACCTTGCCGGTATCGAGAAGCAGCTTAACTACCCCTTTATGCCCATTCTTTGCCGCTATAAATAGCGCTGTCCGTCCATCCTTATCCCGAGCATGTGCGTCAACCTTGCCGGTATCGAGAAGCAGCTTAACTACCCCTTCATGCCCATTCTCTGCCGCCATATGCAGCGCTGTCTGCCCATCCGTATTCTTAGGATCTGCGTCAACCATACTGGTATCGAGAAGCAGCTTAACAACCGCCTCATGCCCATTCTTCGCTGCCATATGCAGCGCTGTCTTTCTAAACTGGTCTTGAGCACTTGCGTTGACCTTGCCGGTATCGAGAAGCAGCTTAACTACCCCTTTATGCCCATTCTTTGCCGCTATAAATAGCGCTGTCCGTCCATCCCTATCCTGAGCATCTGCGTTAACCTTGCCGGTATTGAGAAGCAGCTTAACAACCGCCTCATAGCCATTCTCTGCCGCCATATGCAGCGCTGTCCGTCCATCTTTATTCTGAGCATTTGCGTCAACCTTGCCGGTATCGAGAAGCAGCTTAACTACCCCTTTATGCCCATTCTTTGCCGCTATAAATAGCGCTGTCCGTCCATCCCTATCCTGAGCATCTGCGTTAACCTTGCCGGTATTGAGAAGCAGCTTAACAACCGCCTCATGCCCCTTCTCTGCCGCCATATGCAGCGCTGTCTGTCCATTCTCATCCTTAGCACCTGCATCAACCTTGCCAGTATCAAGAAGTAGCTGAACGACTACCTCATGCCCAGTTATCGCCGCTCGATGCAGCGCTGTCTGTCCATTATTATCCTTAGTACCTGCGTCAACCTTGCCAGTATCGAGTAGCATCTTAACGATCGCTTTATAGCCTTTTTGCTCCGCAAGCCACAGCGGCGTCTGTAGCTCCTCCTTATGCAAGTTGACCTTGCCAGTGTCGAGAAGCAATTTTACGACCGTCTGATGCCCGCCTCCTGCCGCCAAGCATAGAAGCGTCCATTGGCCCTTGTCCTCAATAAGTTGATTTACCATTGTTTCCTTTGCATCTTCCTTTTCTGAATCCTCGGGACCTAGGCAAGTCTTTTTTAGGCTGCTCATGCTCCTCAATACCCTCTCAAGAACCGCCGTTTCTTCCCGAAGATTATTCACTGCAACTCCATACTGTTTCACCTCTTGTAATGCCAATCTGACATTCCGTATCCTAGTCGCCGCATTTCGACAACCTTCCAACCCTGTCTTTGAATGCTTTGGAATGTTTGCAAAGTAGTTGTGGTTGTTTTTATCTTGCTGCTTGTTTGGATCTATATCCCAATCCCAGACAAGTAGAAAATTATGTGGAAAGACTGTTATCGATTGTTTGATATCTCCGGTCGTAGCTTGTAAATCGCCTGCTGGGGAAACTGCAATCATTATAACCGCCCAGTGATCGATGCATGGCCTGAGGATCGTGGGTCTCGGCGCCCCTTGAAGAAGGCAGACGACATCTCCTTTTTGGACGGATTTTACTGTGGTCGGGAGGGTCCAGCAAGAACCCCATGCTTCCTTCACGCAAATATAGCTGGGGGCATTACTCCAAGTAATGGCCACATCTTGTCTGTCTTCCCAAGTAGCATTTCTCTTGACCGAGGACACTTCGCCAAGAATGCAGCCCTTGCCCTCAATGACGGCAATCTCCTTATTGTCCGAACAGTCTACAGAGACTAATTTAGGTAGGAAGAAGTGGATGAGTTTGTTGAAGAGTTGTTTCCACGAAATATCGTAGTCGGCGAATAATCCTGCTGCGGTTGTATTATCAGAGCTCATACCGAGTAAGGCATATACTTTATCGCGACGATCCGTAGCTTTGCGGGTATGGTACATCTCTATCAGTTCACCCAGAGGGCGTATGTTAAGAGAAAAGTTGTCTGACTGACTGGTCACATATTTGGGCCGGAAGATTGCGCCCCTTATGAGGTAAGTTACCGAAAGGATTCGAGCCCACAGGTCTGCGGGGAGTTCATTGGACAGGTTCAATGTTTTCAGGCCTGAGCAGAATGCAAATCCGTCAATCTCAGTAGAACCACACTTGATCAGGATATGGCGAGCCGCGGCAACTTCCTGAAGCACCTGCATCAATCTGTCAGTTTCCTTAGTCATGATACTTTGACATCGGTTTCCTTACCCAGATGCGCTGAAACCACGGTCGTTCAAGCAGTGTAAGGATTCCCGCTTTATTGTCTAATCGTTTTGTAGGCAGCTCGGCTGCGATGAGTATTTCTTCGAGCGCTTGGTCGCTACCGGCTGCCTCCTTTCCAAGCCAAACAATTACGTGACTTGCTTTAGCGTAAATCTTCGCCATAGATTGAACTTGGTGTCCTCTTTCTTTTAGGTCATCTTGGTTGATGCAAATGGCATCTATCCATATAGTTCGTTCAATGGAGTGATCTCGAAGATGTAACAGTGCTGCGTGAAGGTTTTCTCCGACGGGCAAGTCGCACCCGTTTATAGAGATGGAACAAGGCTTGGCCTCGGAGCCCCACACGTAGGACAAGGCCTCGTACGGACGAGTACTTTTTGAGTCCAATGCGGTGCCTTTTGAGTCCAGTGCGGTGCAGAAGAGCCGACAGTGTATTGCGGCGTCCTCGTTTTCAGACGGCAATAGTTGAAGCAAGCGAATATGGCTACGTGATATGGGAAACTTATAATATAGATTCTTTATAAGTGTTAGCGTTATTTTGAAATGTCGTAGGGGGAAAAGAAGTAAACCTACTTTCACCTGCTTCGTGTTATCCACGCTAGCGGACGTCTCTGTATCGGCGGAACCGGTAGCTGGAGCGGCTGGGAGCCCGGGGGCGGGCATACGGGTAGCGGACATAGCGGTGGCGGCGGGGATTTGTTGCAGAGGTGCAGGGCAAGACTGCTCTTGGCCCTTATCGTCTTCCCAACCCTCCGTATTGTGCAGTCGTTGAGACATCGTAGCTTTAGGGAACGAAGGTCTTGAGCGAGGCGACGTAGATGAGGCACTCGAGGATGATCGTGTTGTCCTAGAGGCAGCGAATGCTATACAGTTGACGATCAGTGGATTGAGTTTGTAAAAATGCTGGAGATTCCTTTATCCTGCTCCCGAGGACAAAATAAAAACAAACTGGAGCACTATGTTTTCCCAAGGCTATGGTGGAGCATGAGGCGTCGTGTTGAGTCTGTTTCTGTTTCACCATGTCAGGCGTAGGATGGCTGGCGGCTCCCTCCCAATTACATGTTAATTACCCAAACGACATTTCTTTTTTGAGGCTAGGCATTCTAGACCTAGAGACTTCAGGGCGCCAATCAATAACTCGACTTGGGCGAGGGTCGTGGCTTTCTGTCACGGGGTCTACAGGGTTGGCAATAGTGTACCAGTAGCGGCCTGGTAGCTTGCACCACTTATAGGGCCGTGGCGCGGGTAGGGCTGTAAATCCGAGTGGAACCTGCAAATTGCAGTAAAGCCTAGGCTGCCAGTGCTGTCAACAACCAGGCGTTGCGATAACCAGTGTCCTTGAGCGGACAATGCATTGATGCCTTCCTTTTCATTTCCTTTGGGACCTATAGGCGCATAGAACCGACGCCAAGCGGCGATCGCACTGACAGTAAGACATAAAATAGCTGTCCATACTACCAAAGAAATGCTTTCGTTGAAGTCTGTTACGGGCCTGGCGCCCGAAGATACGGGTCTGGGTCTCCACCCAGACGTTCTGATAGTATGGACACCTAGTCGACGGCTCCAACGCCGTCTACGTGGCTAGTGCCGACAGTGTGGGGTAACGCCTTAGGGGGCGCAGGCGACGCATGGGTGTCGTACAACAGACTCAAGCAAGTCTTCCTCGCTATGCGAGCTAGTTTTCTTCGTAGAACCTTATCCATTCATTACACATAACTGGGCCGAGGAGTACTAGGAACCAATCAGGAATGGTCTTCTAACCGAGTGCAATCTTGGTGTTACCCGTGTAAAAGATCTTGCGGCAGTATCAGGACGGTCAACTTTTCTCGTAATCCGCCCAATTATATTCATCTTTTTAGCGCCTCCTCCCCACTTACCGTCTTGCCTCCGTCCGAACGATATGGATATGGGAGCTGGTGGTTCAGTTTTTTGACCCTACCACGTGATTAAAAAGACCCGTTTCCTGTCCTTCCCGCTCCCATAGATAAGCAGACATATCGGTGGCTTATCTATGGGAGGAGGTTTTTACAGGGGTTTGGATGACTCAGCCAAAAACGCCGCCGCCGTTTCTTGCAACCGTTTTCATTGCCTTCGCCATCGAGTGCACCGTTCCACTTACGCCAAGCCCAGCTGAATGGGCTAGGCATACACTACACAAGGTGCTTATCCCTGCCATTTATTTACCCCTGACACCTATTCCATATACTTAGTACATCTACCAGGAAGGTATGGTTGGCTTTTGGAAGGTGTGGTTGGCTTTTGGAAGGTGTGGTTGGCTTTGGTGAACACTTTTCTCCGTACGTATATCGCTTCAGGCGAGTTAGAAGGGCCTCAAGATATAAATTGTGTCTTTACCCTCGGATTCCCGACCGAACCAAACAAGCAAACTTCTGTCCCATTCTAATTGCATTCATTGTATATCCATTCTTCCCCGTTGATTCTACCGCATGAATTACGGCCCCTACGTTGCGAGGGTTGCGTTGGTTTTTATATGAAACCCTCCTTCCGAGTTTTCTAATTGATTTCTCCTCCCAAACATGCTGAGCTCGTAAGCCATTGCAGCTTGAGAGGGTATTGTTTGAGTCTCACGGTGCCGATCGCACTCCATCCATATGCAATACGGAAGGGATGGAGCTACGAAAACCGCCGATACCGCCGACTGAACGCGACGTCGAAGAACGGAAAAGAAGAGCATTTGCCGACGTCGACGAATTTACGGTAACAACACATGAGCGTTCGCTTTGTAAGAAGACCAAAGCCGAGCGAGAACGCGCGTGGCGTCTATGGAATAGGTATGTACCTTATCATTTTGCTGTTTTCTTTAATATTGCGTACTAACGCTTTTTAGATTTGTCACAGATGTGTTACAATTAACACAAAAAGAGGCTGATAAGGTTTGGTTTGGTGTGTGTCGAAACAAGAAAAAGTCCATTGCTATCTGCAAGAGCTTTCTGGCCGACTATACACGCTATGCAAGATGCAGGCGTCTGTGTATAGACGGTACCGAGGAACAGAAGCAGGTACCAACAGTTCAATCAGTAGTGACTATTATTGCTTTATGGAAGCATATAGTAACTCAAGCTGATGCTGTAGTGCTCGCGAAGAGAAGGGATCATGATTCAAATGAAGATTCAGACGAAGGTTCCGAACAATGGACATTGCTTGGCAACCGTGGGAAGGCCCGTGGAGAGGTTATCCAGGTAGATTCCCTCCTTACCTATACCAATACTGTGTACTGACATTTCTCCTCACAGTGGATCCAATCAACTCTTGCACAAAAGTTCAACCTCTCATGCAGACAAACATTTGAGAAAACCGAAGCCACCACAGACAATGTTCTGCTTATTCTTAGCACTTTGTGGGAACGCGCAGTCGATATACCCTGTGATCCTAGATGTCGTCTTGCCTTTCATACATTGGTGCTTATAGGAAGCATTGGCTTTCGGCCCGGCACTTATGAGAACATGCTTTATCGACAAGTCAAGCTACTTGTCGTTCGCGACCCGGATACAAAGCAGTCAAGGCTTGTTGCTGAGATCACGATCAATCAAAACAAGCTATCGGCTAACAAAATTGATAAGGGGGCAGATGTGTATGTATTCTTGCCTTTAACCGTTGATCCAAACTAACACTTTTCTAGGGTGACCTTTTCTGCTACTATGGTACCATGCCAGATCGTTTGTTTAGTTACGTTTGTAGCTATTCAAGCTCTACATGATGATGCCTTCGAAACAGAGTTTTCGTCCTTCGACGAATTACTTCAGCGTCCAAACTTGGAAGATGTTGATTGCATTGAACTTAGGTGGAAGGATGGGATGCAGGAAAAGCCTATCTTTCCCTTAAAGTACTACAAATATCTGGAACTTTGGAACCGGACATGGTTGGTAGCGGGCAACAGAAACACTCTCCGGCCCTATGCGCTGCGAATCGGCAGTGGAAATAAAATTGATGGTAAGAACCCTTTACCCGTTTCCCTTACTATTTTGCTTACAATTTTTACACAAGGTTCCCTTACATCCGCTATTCGAAACCACATCCTGAGCCATAACACAAAAACATTCGAAACCTCTTACCAAGTGTCACACGGACATCGCCCACAGTCCAGGGTTAGGGTCGCAAGGCTCAGTAGAGCCTCAACGCTTGGAATGAGCCTCGAGATGCCCGGTGGCCTCCGGCCGCAACACTCACCTCGGCCGGACTCTCGGCCACGGGAACTGCTTACCCGAACCCCTTTCGACGCTACCAGGCTAGCGAGCCAACTATGGAAGTGCCGAAGACGCTGATGAAACACCATGAGACAATCCCCAGTCATCCCAGAAGTAACACAGCCAACCAAGCAAGAAGCACGGCGCTCGGATGAATGATAGCGCCAGAAGGAAGATGAAGAATGGATGAAGGCATTCAGGAAGATCCACATGTATGCAGGCTGCTAGATAGATGCCTTGAAGCCTCAGGCGACAAGTACCGATTCCCTTTGGCATAAAAGGCCTTGAAGCCCAACCTTCTCCTGGAGGTTGAAAAGATCAACAAGGCCTTCGAGACCAAAGTAGTTTATCAGCTGAATTGAACTACTGTTCCAAGCCCAGATCACTGCCCTTGTCACACTTACATCCGCTATTCGAAACCACATCCTGAGCCATAACACAAAAACATTCGAAACCTCTTATCAAGCGAGGCATATTCCACACAATTTGATGTCATTCGTTTTCGATGGTACATCTGAAGACGATTCCAAGCTATTCAAGCTATTAGCCTCCGCATCCTTGCGCAGGGATGACAAAGCACCGCTTTACCCGACAGCGGCTACGCTAGAAACGTTTGAAAATCGCGAGGATATGAAAGCACTTCGCGCACAGCGTCGTCACTTCCGGGAAGAGCTCAAACTCTCTGCAGACAATAGAGAGGTAAAGCAACTTACCGCAAAAATTGGAGATCTACGGACGGTATTGTCAAACTTGGCTGTCAAGCAGGCTCGAGAAAACTACTTCGCTGAAGTTGATTCCCTTAGGGCTCGTGGCCTGTCAACCGAAGATATGCCAGCCCCCCCTCCAAATCCTTTCAGATGCTCCTTCGGTCCCAGTTTACCTGCAGCAACAATCATTGGTCGATACTTGAACCCCAAAGATCCGGTTTCCGACACCGCTACGAAAATGGTTTTTCCAAATTCGACCGACAGTGGTTCTGACCAAACTACCCAAAAGCGGCTTGCAGTATCGGAAATGCTTTTTGCGTATCTGAATGATAGGTACGGAGAAGTAGAAGGGATTGCTCAGGAAATGGAGCAACCAGCCTCCGAACATATGAAAGCAGCTTCCACGCTCTCTACATGTCTTCTCTGCCTACAAAGCTTCACTCGTTGACGTAACCTCAGTAGACACCATCGGAGCGTCCATTTCACAGCAACGACCTTTGAACCTTTCTCATGCCCTGAATGTCAGCGGCAAGGAAAGGAGGAGTATAGAATTGAGAGGGCATCGGAGTGGAGTAACCATGTCGAAAGAGTACATGGTTTCATCAATACTCCGGTTCTCTTCACTAAGTCAATCGTCAAACCCAAACCAATGGCTACAACTACCAAGTCGAAATCCGCTCCTTGTCTAAGATGCGGCCAATTGTTCTATGCCGGAAACAGTTTGTCAAGGCATATGAATAAGTATCACAGAATCGTAGAGTGTCACACGGACATTGCCCACAGTCCAGGGGTTAGGGTCACAAGGCTCAGCAGAGCCTCAACGCCTGGCATTAGCCTCGAGATGCCCGGTGGCATCCGGCCGCAACACTCACCTCGGTCGGACCCTCGGTCGGACCCTCGGCCGGACCCGCGGCCGGACCCGCGGCCGGACCCTCGGCCACTGGCACTGCTTACCCGAACCCCTCTCGATACCATCGGGCTAGCGAGCCAACCATCAAACTGCCGAAGACGCTGATGAAACACCATGAGACAATCCCCAGTCATCCCAGAAGCAACCCCAGCCAACCAAGCAAGAAGCAGGGCACCCAGATGAAGGACAGCGCCAGAAGGAAGATGGAGAATGGATGAAGGCATTCAGAAGATCCACATGTATGCTGGCTGCTAGATAGATGCCTTAAAGCCTCAGGCGACAAGGCTTGATACGTACCTCAAGTACGTACCGTTTCCCTTTGGCATAAGAAGGCCTTGAAGCCACAGCCTTCCCCTGGAGGTTGAGAGGATCAACAAGGCCTTCGAGACCAAAGTAGTTTATTAGCTGAATTGAACTACTGTTCCAAGCCCAGAACACTGCCCTTGTCACATAGAGCCATTCGATTGTCCAAAATGTAAGGGAGAAGGGGAGAATATCCAGATTAATGACCTCGCTTCGTGGCTTACACATACGTCGGATGTTCACGGTTGTAATGGGCAAACAGGAGTGGTTATTGATAAGGAATGCCTACCAAAACAGGGACAGAAGAAAAGGAAAAGAGAAAACATAGTGGAGGAAGCAATAAAACGTAGTAAATTAGAATCCTAAGTATATAGAATACAAACAAGAATGCTATCTCCGTCTCTCCCACCGAGATATCTCCTCCTGGAACCACGATGCCAGATCTCGCTCTCCACAAGCGTGCTCTGATCCAAAGCATAATCGACTGTAGACTAAAGGTGACATGGATCCAAAAGATGACGACTCAGCAGAAATAGTCGGCTGTACTGCCCGCGCAATCCCCGCATCCGATCAAACCTGCTTCACTTCGGAACTACAACGGCACCACCAAACGGCAATCCCGCTTTGTTGGGGCGGCCTCACGCCACAAATAGGTTGACTCGGGGATTCGCGACAGTGCGATGTTCACGTTGAAGAATCTTCTTGTAGCTCGCTACCTTCGCCCTTCTCAAAAGAACTAGAACTGGAAGTGATATACACTATTGCGTCATAGACTCATATTCCATTGGTACCGCAGCGCGGTGAAATGTTACGTGTACTTGGCAGACGTCTCAACCCATCAACACGGCGACGGTCCCGGTTGGCAACCGGCCTTTCGAGAGAGCAGATGGTTTTCCCGAGGATGGACCCTCCAAGAGCTCATTGCCCCAACGATCGTCGAATTCTTCTCTAAAGAGGGCCAGCGCCTGGGAGATAAGGAGTCTCTGGAACAAGAAATCCACGATATAACCGGAATTCCACGAAAAGCCTTCCAAGGTGTCCCTCTATCTGATTTCAGCGTCGCCGAACGTATGCGATGGATCGAGAAGCGTGACACAAAATACGAGGAAGACAAGATGTACTCTCTATTCGGCATCTTCGATGTGCATATGCCGGTTCTCTACGGCGAAGGAAGGCAGAAAGCATTGAAGCGGCTGCAGGACAAGGTTCACGAGGATTACCTCTGTCTGGCAAAATTGTGGCCCATAGACCCGCGTGAACCGCACGTCGAAAAGGAGCGGATCGAGCTGGCGAAGGGTAGTCTGCCAGCTGATGCTTACCGCTGGGTCTTCGACAACCCCCACTTCAACCGATGGCGCCAGCTGCAGGAGAGTCGCCTGCTCTGGATCAAGGGACTTCCAGGCACAGGCAAGACCGTATTGCTATGCGGTATCATTAACGAGCTAGAGCGGCGTGTTATCGCTGACGGCGGCAACTTGGCGTATTTCTTCTGCCAAGCTACCAACTCGCGCATCAATAACGCAATTGCCGTACTACGAGGCTTAATCTACCTACTTGCCCACCGGCAACCACGCCTGCTCTCACATCTACCGGAGAACACATACCCTTCCGATGACGCAATGGCATGGATCGTCCTGTCTAAGGTTTTATGCGAGATGCTAGAAGACCCGAACTTGAAGGTCACCTATCTGGCGATTGATGCTCTGGACGAATGTGTGAGAGGCCAACCGCAGCTTCTCAAGTTGATCGTCCAGATATCATCTGTGTCTGCTCGTGTCAAGTGGCTTGTATCTAGTCGCAACTGGGTGCAGATCGAAGAACAATTGGCGATCGTCGCGCAGCAGTCCAGACTCAGCCTCGAGCTTGACGATGACACGATCAAGATCTGGGATCCCGCGTTAGGGCAACCTAGCGATGACACGGCCCACGACCGTGATGGGGCCCTTACTCCCACTAGCGCAGTAGGATTGGTAGCGTATAGCCATGATATTAGCCCAATAATACGACCTAGTCCTTTCCTCCAACGCCCTCCAATTGGCCCAAAGAGAGGCAACTGAAACTATGATAGGCTTTCGATTGTCGAGGTGAGGCGTAAAAGTAGATAAAGAATGGCATGCCTCCAATGCACGACCTGTCTGCCTCCATTCGACCCAGGTCTCCGAACAACCGAAACAGCTCCTTGGACTCGCGCTGTTGCGTAAGAACTGGGCAAAAGGGCCTTTAACCTTTGCATAGACCTCTTCCGACTTCCAAGGGGCTAAAAGCCTTGTTGTTTGTTGTCAATCCCATCACGCAGGCTGCGTCGGCGCGTGGAGGCATGCTCTTAGCTCGTCTTTTGCGCGGCGGTGGGCCTCACGAAGGTGAGATCACGATCGAATCTCGACGAAACCGGTCGCGCCCATGCTGTAGGCCTCACGATGAATGCCTCTGGCAAAATGAGCTAGAGATGAAGTACTCGGTCCAGGGTTTTGACGTTGTCCATCGTATAAAAACTTTCGAAGAGCGCGGCTTCTTCGACTCCGACGACGTACACCACGCCGTATCGACCTAGTTCAAATCAACAGCGCACCAGAACACTTCAGTCTTTCTTTGTGACTGCACTTACCTGGGATCTTCCTTACCCATCCTTCCCAAGCATCGACAACATGTCAACTGACGACCTCCCCTCAAACATCGTACCTCTGGAATCAGGTCTCAACCTCCGATTCTACGAGGCCGTTCTCTTCCTTTATTGCCTGAAGGAAGTCAAGTACAAGGCGGAGAGCGTCAAGGAGCCCGATCTCGAGTCCGATAGTGGGAGATCCTCGAGGGATAGTTTTCGATGCTTCGTCAACAAGCTCGGCCAGATATGCGACAACGGTTCGAAAGGCAAGACTGTTACAGCATTCGCTGTCCTGCAGCCTGGCCAGATTCAATATCGATTTGCATCCAACCAGCGGACTAGCGAGGAGCTTGAAGATGTCAAGACCTATATCGCCAACATTCTTGGGTTCTTGGGCAGCGCTGCTGACGACCAATTGAACGGGGTGTTCGGTACGGTTCTCGAAAGGATCCTGGCGTTCAATCGACCTGCCATCGAGAAGTACGTCGATAATTTATTTCAAGTAACGGATTTCTGTGCGGGGGTCTGTGAAAAGGGGGATACTGCAGAAGGTAAGGGTGCCCACTGCTATTTCCCAACAAATTTGTCCTAACTAATCGTCTTCTTTTATCCAGCTCGAGAAGCTGCTCGTCATATCAATTCTCTTAAGAAGCTTTGCGCATCAGCACAAGAAGAAGAGCCGAGTCTGGAGAGCTGTAAGTAAACAGCAGTGACTTGCTCTTGTACCCTATTAAACGTGCAGGTACTAACCATTGTCGCAGTCGTAAGCCAAACACGGGAACTCCTGGATACCATAGGCCAGCTTCACAACTCCTTCTTCGAAGGCTTCATACGCGACAAGGCCCAAGCAGACAGGGACCCCGCTAACAAGACACCCTGGAGCGAGTTGCGGCACGCCTTTGGCCGTCTTCACTCCTATACCATTGCCGTCAAGGTGCTCATCTCCATGCGACGTCGGCGCCGGGAGCTGTTTGAAGACTTCGAGGTCGTAGCTGTCCCATCCAGTGTTCGATCTGGCTGCCCGAACGTCCGTCGTGCCGTTGACGGCATCTTGAAACGGTTTCCAGAGAAAATGAAAATGGCCGAAGTATACAATGCCAATCTCCCGGAAGAGCAGCAGAAGGCCATGACAGACAAAATCAAGGCATACGGGACAGGAAGTAAGGGCAAGTTTAGGCCGTACGTGCATGCCGAATTGCTGCTGTTGGACTCAATTCTCACTGAGGAACAGCGCGAGGGTGTAACACTGCGCTTCTTCGGTGAGGCAGACTATGATCGCTATATTGGTTGCAGCAAGCCCACTTGTCGGCTGTGCAAGCTGTATATTGATAGTCATCCGAGCGGAGTGGAATTCCGGGGTGGTCATGGGAACATCTACCATGCGTGGCGCGCACCGGATATCTATAACGAAGACGGTGTCAATGTCGCTGAAGCAATAAGGACAAGGCAGGATATCCATAATAAGATGTTGGAGACACTGAGGCAGACGATTAAGAGGTGGATTACTGGTCATGTGGCCGAGAGGAAGCACCACGATTCCAACTCGAGCCCAACAAGCTACATCGGAGCGGGAAGCTCGACTTCTTACAACCCACACCTCGCAGCACAGGCTTTTCCCGATAGCATGGACAGCATCTCGACGAGGGGGGCGATGGATGACTCGGATGATATGGCGACTGCATTCGGAAGGATGTCGATTGCCGGTGATAGTGGTCGGTCTTCGTCTTCGCCATCAATCAGCAGAAGCTCGCAGGAAACGACTCCCGTGCCGGAGCGTAACGTCGGTTCCCCTTTTGCATCGTCTGGCGACCTGAAGCCTTCGATCAACAGAAGACAGCGCCCTCTGATCATCGAGGACGAGGAGTAAGAGGTCAGATTGGGCGTGAGATTGGGCCGCTAGAGAAGGTTTGAGTCCAGAGGCGGTGATGGAACATGGGCGTGGGCTTTCGTTGGTGTTGGATGCTGAATCGGGTTTGTCTGCAATCTCCTTAGGCTGTCAGCTCATTTGTTACATGTACTGTCGTTTAACACTGTCTTTTTTTTCGAAGCTAGGAACGCACTTACTTGTTGCTGCTTTGCGTTTGAATCAGGTCCAGATTGGTCAGCGGTGTGACAATGGTTTTGCGATCGTCAAGGGTTTGGGTTGAAAGAGCATTGGAATGGAAGAGTGGAACCTTCCTTCTGGCCGTAGAGATTTCCAGCGTTATCGCACCCTCCAGTCCAGCTTGCTTTCCTTAGAAAGGCGTGTGCTGCTCTTTCCATCTTTGAGAAAGCCCAAGGCTACGCTAGTAAACTCCATATGCCCTTTCCGTTCACACACATTGGACGTACCCGCACCTACCTAAGTGAGTAGTCGTTACCTACCTATGTGCCTATTCCCATCACCACATCCACCAATATCAGGTCAGAAATCGATTGGATGTTACGGATTCCGTCACAAGAAAGGTATGGTGGGCGCTAATGGTTGCGGCATCCTGAGGTGATAACGGTTCCTTCTTTGCGGCTTAACCCGGTCAGCAGGCAGCAGGAGAGCCCGCCTCGATCACGCTCCTACCTAGGAACACGACATAAAACGTGGCAGGAGCAACAGCCCCCGCGTCATGAACCTTTCCCAGGTCGAGCAGGCAAAGCAGGCAAAGCAGGCAAAGCAGGCAAAGCAGGCGAGCAGGCGAGCAGGCTGACGACGAAAGACCCCTCCCGGCCCTCTCGTCGCCCCTTGCAGTGCGCACCCCTACTCTTTCCCAATTATGCTTCGATCTCGATGTTCCCTTGTACCGCCCGTCCCTTCAATTGACCTCCTCGCTTGCGCCCAGTTCGACCTCACATCAGATCAATCATCCTCTGGTCCGTGTATTCCGGGAACATGTGTGCATTGAACCTTCCTCTCCGTTTGCAATCTCCTTTGCACGTCTTCAACATCCCTCATCAACCCATTCACATCAAAGACATCACCAGGAAATTGAGATACCACCTCAAACGAAGGTCAACTTTATGCTTGACCTATCGGAAACCAAAGCGATCGGACGCTGTGCGGTCCTTTCACCCTTTTTTCGGCCACTATCCTATCTCCAACACTGCTGCCTTGATTCTCACCATTCATCTCACATTCTGTGCACTCGAGAGACGGGATAAAACAAAAACTTTATGCCGTATTCAACTCCAACTCTAGTATCTATGAATGCAAGAAATGACTAACAGAACAGGTATTGCGCAAACAACTAACTGAGTGCTGTCCATATATGCATATTTACTTGAATAAGAGCTCCGTGTATCTGACCTGTGTAATCCCTTGACTTTCCGATGTCATCTTTGTGTGCCTCTTTCCGTTATTAACAGTTCAAAGTGTACCTCCCTATCCAACTCAACCAGCTTTCCAAGCAAAACCAGAATGCAGATTTCCTATTATCCGAATTGGCCACCAGCACCAAAAAGATTGCTGTAAAAATCCGGAAGCAATACTAAAGCGCAGTCGATGTAAATGTAACATCTAACAAATCTCAGGACAATACCGCCCCAATACCCGTCAAAGCTCGATGCAGTCCCCAAACCCATAACCCGACGCGAAAGAGGCAGAAAACGCTCCAAGTCCTGACGACCACGACACCTCTCTCACGCCCTATTCTAGGGCAGGGTAAAAACCAAACCCAGCACCTCAGGCCTGCGGTGATCGTCCCGTTGCCCGGCGTGAATTGTCACAGGCTCTGGATGCCCCTGGTTTCCCATATCCTCTTGTTGGTTAGGCGATTTCCCGTCAGGCAGGCTCCGAACAGGCCAGAGCCGGCTCATTGGTGTCAGGGGTTGATGCTTGATGGTACCACAACGTCGACCTCAGATTCGTTGCGTCTCTTTGGGATCCGGGACTGGTTGCCTGTGTTCGTGGTTGTTGTTTTTACCACTGTGTGATGCCTCATTGTCGTCAAGCTCGGAACTGGCTTCGTTTGAAGAAGAAACATATGCACCTCCCTCCTTGTTCGACTCCTTTGACACCTCCCCCTCGTTCATCCATAACTCTTCCACCGTATCTTTCTGAAAGAGGGCATGTTCGGTAGGCCAAGCCTGCTTTCTCTCAGAGATCTAAATAAAACAAATCCAGCCAAGACGTCGACCCGAGTGTCACGCCGTTCCTCTCTTAGGCATTAGTAAAATCTAAATAATCCCATTCCTCCCATTCCTCCCCTGCCTCCTCTTCCTCCTCTTCCTTACTGTACGTAGTCCTAAACGGTCTTTTTTATCCTTAGATTATATCTCCCTACTAAGTAATCTGCAAGGGCGCTAGTATGGATAAGTCGAAGGCAAAGCTAAGATACCATCTATGACAGAAGATTTAAGGTGAGGAGGAGAAAAGAGGAAGAGAACTAGATACATGCGTGTAGACCCGAATAAATACTCTGGTCGCTGTCCTCTAATCCCTTCACCCGCATTCCATTCTCCTGCATTCCATTCACCTGCATTCCATTCACCTGCATTCCGTTCATTTCGACGCCCTTTCTGGTCATGGCCGGACCGGCACCGTCACAACGTCTACCCTACGGCCCCCAACTACTCCGGCTACTAATCTTATTAATATAGAGACGTCCGCTAGTATAGACGATACTACTACCAGCTTACCCGTACAACTCTAGGACTATACCTACAATAAATTTAAAAGAGAAGAGGCCGAATTGGTAAGTGTCACGGCGTAACCAGGGATGGGTACGATGTGCAAAGACTGTACTACCCTAATGGCTAACTTGGACTGAAGACAATAAGTTGAAGAAGGAAGGAAACTTCCAAAAGGGAAGGCTCAGTGGGGAGGACTGGGTTTTATACCCTGAACTCTGGGAGGGAGCCAGGCCAAGCCCTGAACCTGAACCATCTGAAACAAACCCGTGAATGGAAGCCACCCTCAATGGGATCTGTGCACGTGAAAGACCCTTGACGGTCCCAGCCGTCACACGGATGTTATTTTAGACTCAAATGCTTAAGTGTTAAAATCGAACTGGTCTGGGTCAGATATTAGGGGCTTGGCAAACCTGCAATGTCGGCCCTACCGGCAATAATAAACGCCGCTGGTATTCATCATGTTAAGGTGACTTTTTATTTGAAATCGTCTGAGCAAATATCATAGTTTGAAGTTGTGATACGCGGATTGGCCTTTGTGTGACGGCCGACGCGATACGGAACTACGTGCGGTTCGAAACAACTATATAAGACCACTTGAGTACCGAATCTTCCAGCTTCGGTTACTTGTATCCTTTTGTGGAAACACGGGCCTAATAGTGTAGTGGTTTTTAGCCGCCGTGACACTTTGGGCTTCGCGTGTAGTATTAGCGTTCCTTGACATTGCTAGAGTAACAGACGACAGGTTTCATCTGCCTAGTTCCTCATACATGCCCTTCCATCGTGATTAATTTGTCGTATAGATCATCAAACCATGATCCTTTGTGACGAACGGCAGTCTGATCTGCCTAAATAAGATAGCTGAAGGTAAGAACTATCAGTGTCGTTCGGTGAAGCCAAAAGGTTCACAACAAGTATGTTCGTAATACTAGTCTCGGTGATAATGATCAATTGACTACTGTCGAACTATCTGACGATCTGCGTTCTCCAGTCGTCCTTTATAGTCTGTCATTGTGAGTCGTTCCGTCCATAGGCTCACGGCATCGTGAGCCCGTGTCAGGCCCGGCTCACCCGGCCGTGAGTCCTTCCGGCCACTGGCTCACTTGGTCGTGAGCTGGTCCGGCCGGCGGCTCATCCGTCCGTGAGCTATCCCGGCTAGCGGCTCATTACCATGAGCCGTTCGCCGAGTTGTCTCATTCCACGTGACCCTTGCTCCTGTTGGTCCTTATCTAAGTGTGGCTATCTATTGGTCCGAGGGGTTGGTTTGTAACAATACCCCTAGTCCACACTACTCCCCACCTATATGCCGCTCTCAACGTAACTTGCCCGCCCTTCAACTTGCCAAACTCGTTATCTCCTTCGTATTCACACCATGTTTTCGCCGGATCGGAATCCACTACCAGTCGCTCATCGAGCTCGAATTCGTACCCCGAGCGTATCATGTGCTTATACCGTACTGAACATTTACTCGCCGCCGGGTTCCATTTTCCCTTTTCGTATGCCGCTGGGTTCACCGGATAGCATGACCGTAACATCTATAACCAAGTAGGGATGTTACTACCCGCTCGACACACTTTCTCATGGCGGTAGGGTTGCCACAGCAGCGCTCTCGGCAAGTCGCGGAGCTATAAACCGGCGAGGGTACCGATCAGAAGGGAAGAGGAGGGAGCGAATTCGTTTCGCGATGCCGGCTAACGCAAAAGAGCGGTCGAGTTCCTTGGTTAGAGAAAGGAAGGAGTACTCTTCCACACAACGCAGGAAAAAGTCGTGCAGAAGCCGGCTATCCTTCATCATCTGTGCCCGGCGTGAACCAGAAGTAAGATTAGAAAACAACACCTTCTTGGGTATAGTCCCAGACGTCAAAGACGACCCCGGCTCAAAAGTCGACGACCTCGACAGCGGCAGCTGCGGACTCAACAGTCCCGAACTAATCTCAACATCCCCTCCACCTCTGCCGTTACCACTCCCCGTCCCCTGTGCCCCCCAACTAGCAGTAGCGTTATTATTCAAATTCCGCACACTCAACATATATGCCCTCTCAATCCCCCCACACTCACAAAAACACCCACTCCTACACTCCCACAACACCTCGCTACTCCCAAAATGCAGGGTCCTCCTACTCAACAATCGCTCCTGAAACACCCACGCCCTACTCAAAATCGGCTCCTTTAGTGTGCGAAAATACTCCACCTCCCCAAATAACGTCTCATGACTCCTGTCGTGTCCAATCCGCGCATACACCGGTATCTATATCCCTTCCCCACCCCCTTCTTCCAAAGGCAGAGGCAACGTCCCAATCTCAACCGTATCCATCGGCGCCGTCAAACTCGTGCTCCTCCCCGTAACAGAAAGTTTCAGATCCCGAAACCCCTGTCCGTGAAACCGTCGTCTGAACAGAGACACTGAGGCGTCCCGCTGCGCGGTAATTGCTACGTTTAAAGTGGCGTGGACGAAACGCGATGACCCGACCCGACGAGGTAGCACAATGGCGTGATACAACGACGAGGCGATGCGGCGACGCGACAACGCTCAACGACTCAACGAAACAATGAGATGACGAGGGCCAAGCGGATTCTAAGCGCGATAACCTGAAGATAAACAAAGACGAACAACACGCTTGGATCCCAGTGGGAAGTCTTGCGCTCACTGAGAGCGCGACGCGTCGTTTCTGAAGAGCCTCAGAATGACTTCCTGCACGCCCCTAGCGACGTGCTGCCGCAAGATGTCCATCTTCCTCCTGCAACAAAAAGTCTTGGCGACGGAGGCATTCTTTTCACTAGGAAATACGACCGCCCCCCCCCCCCCCCGGACAGCCAGGAAGATTCCGCCACGTCTTCCGGTGAGCTGCCCAGCTACAATTCTGCCCCCTCCGGCCCTGAGGACTCCGACAGCCCTACCCAAACTCAGCCCCCAGTAGATGAGGCTGATAGAGCTGATGAGGATATGATAGAGGTCCAGCTTAGCGACCATTCGTCCTCTGACTTTGCGGTCCGCCGCTCCAGCCGCCACAAAACGCCCTCTAAGAGGGCCGCTGGCCTATGAATAGATACCCGACCCCCTCTCGTGACGGCTTGAACAATCTAGATAAGTCTAGGTTGCGTGTCTTTCAAGCCAACGTAGTACGAATACGAGATACACACGAGATTGCCCTACAAATCGCTAGTGAAATTGGAGCGGATGTAATTATAATCCAGGAACCACGCGCGTAGTTCTACGATGCCCGTTTTGGTATCCCCGGACACCCTCTCTACGCCCTCTATACCCCAATTCACACTTGGACAGAGGAAGCAGCCACCCACCCACGCGTAGCCACCTACGTTCGTAAGGATATGGCAGCCGGGGGGTTTACTCTCGGGTCTACAAGGGATCTTCTATGGGTAAAGACGCAAGGAATCACCTTCATTAATATCTATCGACGATCCGACGACGTTTCCGCCCTTGAAACTCTTCAGAATTGGCAACCAACAGCAAGGACACTCCTCGCTGGCGACTTCAATGCTAAACACCACACCTGGCAACCTGGCGCAGAGACGTCAGAATGCGCCACGCGTATTGTTAACTACGTTGTAGAGCACGACCTCGATTTACTAACGGTGCCCAGCATTCCTACTCATATAATCGTGGCAATACTATCGACCTCACCCTTTCGAATATTCCCCTTTGCTCAACAAGGGTCGCTCCGGAATTGGACTGCGGTTCTGATCACCAGGTTTGTATCACGGACATCCCTACCCAGCTGGTAAAGCCTCCCCGCCGTCGGCTAGTCCTTCGGGAAGACCTAGAGGCTATTAAGCTTTATGCTGAAAACGTCTCTTTTCTTATGGGTTTGGTTCCGCTCCTTCCCGCAGGCGAAGAAGCCCCGGAGAGGCTTGACGAACTCGCTGAGGCCCTCTGTAACGTTCTTACAGAGGCCCTCCAAATCTCTTGCAGGCCCTCGAGACCTGAGAGGAACGCAAAGTGGTGGAATAAGACGTGTGCGCAGGCATCTAGAATATTCCGCAACTATCGGCACAACAACCCGAATCCCATCCCCCAACGGGTAGAAGCGCTTCGATAGGAGTATAAGAGGGTAGTCAGAGAAGCAAAGCAGTTGTTTTTCGACAACCTTATTACTAAAGCGCAAAACGACAAGGATATTTATCGGATCGTGGCGTGGCACAAGCCCCGCGACCGAATGGAGGCCCCCCGCTAGTCATCAACGGGCAGACCGTTATTGAGCTAGAGGCCAAGGCGGAGGCCCTCCGTACGGCCCTGCTAGAAAGGAATAGCGAAGACGAAGACCTCGAAACCGGCTGGACACCTACGGTACCACGCCGTCGCCTACCCTGGTCGTCCGTCGTCTACGCGGACGAAGTCTACAAAACCCTTTGCGGTACTGGCAATACGTCCCCTGGCGCCGACGGCATTACGGTCCGTATGTTGAAGGCATCCTGGGAATCTATTAAAGACTCTGTCCAGCAGCTCTATCAAGGCTGCGTCGCTACCGGCTACTACCCCCAAGTCTTCCGACAGGCGGAAGTGGTTATGATACCGAAACCTGGGAAAGACCAAACAACGGCCAAGGGATGGCGGCCCGTCTCACTCCTATCTTGCCTTATGAAAGGCATTGAACGCCTTATTGGTAGGCGGATCGCTTGGACGGCTATTTCTAACGGGGTCTTAAATCCCCAGCAGGCTGGTGCCCTCCCAAGGCGTTCGGCTGTCGACATTGTGGAAGCTTTGGTTCACGATATCGAAGCTATACTCGATAAGGGACTCGTTGCTGCACTAGTAGCTGTGGATGTTAAAGGTGCCTTTGATGCCGTCCTAGTGAATAGGCTAGTCTTACGTTTGCGGGAGCAAGGGTAGCCAGACTGCGTGGTCCGCTGGGTTGAGTCTTTTATGACGGACCGCATGGCCTACGTTCGATACCCAGGGGTGACTACTCCTATGCGTCGCCTTAGATGCGGGCTCCCCCAGGGCTCACCAGCTTCGCCAATCATCTACCTGCTCTACACAGAGCCAGTACATCGCCTCGGGGAGAGCGAAGCGTAGCATTTTGGATATGCAGACGACTGTACAGTCCTTATTACTGGCTCTTCGAACGAGGAGGTTGCAGGGAAGGCCCAACGAGAGTTGGACGCCATGGTCCGATGGGGAGTAGACAACGCTGTCGATTTTTCCCCGGATAAGACAGAAATTCAGTTTTTCTCCAGGAAAAGACTAACCGCGCCTTTCCCGACTATTACGCACGGAGGAGTCGAGGTGTCTACACAGCCGGCAATGCGTTGGCTGGGGATTTGGCTTCATAGCAAGCTGAACTGGAAGCACCACATTGAGGCTCCATGGTGAAGGCTATGAAGGCCGTCGTCCTGCTAAAGGCCCTCTTTGGCTCTGAAATTTGGTGGCCAGGCCATAAGAAGCACGCCCTTCACCGCAAACAAGGGGATTTCCCGCTTGTTAACAACGGACTGGCGGACCACGTCCGTAAAGTCCAGACGGCGGTTAACATTGCCATCCGCGCCAGCTTACCGGTGTGGAGAACGGCCCGCCTTGCTATTCTCTACCGCGAAGCTAGCCTGCCCTCCGCCCCCCTTCTTCTAGAAGCGGTCCGCCGGCGGCACGCCGTACGCCTCCTCGCCTTAGATCCCGCCCACCCGCTTGTCCTGCGTCTTTCGGAATCTCGAGTCACGCCGCACGGCCTGCCTCGCCGCCCTACAACGCTACAGACGGCTGCCCAATTCGCCTTGTCTTTCCCGCGGCCGATTCTACAGCCGCCCGTTTATAACGGAGACACTCACAAGGATCCAGCGCCCACGTCTAAGGATAGGGCTGCCAAGGATTTCAAAGAATGGCTTCTCTGGCTAGATCCCTCGGATATCGTCGTTTACACCGACGGCTCTATGTGTGACGAACGGCAGTCTGATCTGCCTAAATGAGATAGCTGAAGGTAGTAAACTATCAGAGTCGTTCGGTGAAGCCAAAAGGTTCACAACAAGTATGTTCGTAATACTAGTCTCGGTGATAATGATCAATTGGCAACTGTCGAACTATCTGACAATCTGAGTTCTCCAGTCGCCCCTTTATACTCCTGCGGGACCCTCATTGTTCTTCCGCCTTGAGTACGTATCGTGATGTTGGCTCACTGGGAGTCGTGGCTCACCGTGAGCACTGGCTCACCGTGAGCCACTCGCATCGGTGAGCCCCTTTGTGCCCTTCTGCGCCAACCTTGGCTCCGAGGATTACACTGTCTATCTACAGGCGGGGCTTGTCGGGTCCCAAGGGCTTGGGCCGCCCCTTTGTCTCTTAAGTTCGTAACACCCCCTTACCCTCTCCATCCCCGCTCTGAGAATTCAGATCGAGGGTCCCGTAGTTGCCATACAAAAACTCCTTCCCGAAAGATCTTGGCATACTAATCCTTTGTCCCTAGTGTTTCCGCAGCCGGCCGGCCCGAAGATCGCCAAACTAGCTGCAAGTAAGGCCAAGAGCCAGCTATAAGTATAAGTCTTAAGATTAATCTACTATATACTAATTTTTAGCCTTCGCCTTAGCGCGACACTTTGTCGAGATTCTAGAACATGACGTCTTCTATAACACTGAATAAAGTCGGTTGGAATTGCAGAAGATCGAGGCAGCGATGAAACTGAGGTGTATTAGTAGAAAAAGACCTACCAGAATTTCATTTGGTGCAATGTGACGAACGGCAGTCTGATCTGCCTAAGTAGGATAGCTGAAGGTTGATACTATCAGAAGACGTTCGGTGAAGCCAAAAGGTTCACAACAAGTATGCAATACTGGTCTCGGTGATAATGATCAATTGACTACTGTCGAACTATTTGACAATCTGAGTTCTCCAGTCGTCCTTTTATACTCTGTGCCTGTTCCTGACTCCTATGTCCCAAGTGTCCATTTGTGGTGATGGCTCACCGGTGAGCCTGTGCATCGAGTGAGCCCGTGCATGATTGTAAGCATGCCTATGCGCCCTCCTGGTCAATCTGGTTTCTGAGGGTTACACTGGTCTCCTTGGGCGGGGCTGTCGGGTTTCGATGGCTTGGGCGGCCCCCGTGTCGCTTAAGTTCGTAACAGCCAGTCAAGCGACTTTCCACACCCTGTCACGGAGTGCCCGAAAGGGTGGTGAAGACCGAAAAGCAAGCAGAGCGACCGAGGGATGTGAGAGATGATAGCTCTCTTGCTGTTGGCTCTGACATGCAGGCAGTTGAAAGCCGCGAATGGAATTATTATAAATCGGCCTTTTCCCCCGGCTCTATGTCCCGGCGTCCTTCCCACCTCCCCAACCCTCACAATTAATGGCTGATGGTTCCTGGCTTACCGGAACTGGGTACTGATAGGGAAAATACACGATTTGCAAGCATTTCGGCCGTACTTAAGCGAGAATAGATGGATGGCGCAATGTATCGCACCAATGGTCGTATGGTCACATATGCAACACCTCATATGTTTAGCATTTTGATTGCGCTTCGACAACTTGATGACTTTGAAGAGATTAAGGACCGCATCAGTGATCAGCATTCGTAAATGCTGATGCGCCTTACAAGTGGCATAATGCCACCTTAGTCCCCCGCTTCAACCTCCAGGCTCCCAACAGCGGCGGAAAGGATGTCGCCGACTCGGGCGACCTGCTGGCCCTCCTGACCTTTAATATTGCGTACGACACCGGCGTCGTCCCTTGGGAGGGGCATCGCGTAAACTTGTCCGGGTGCTACCTCGGCCTTGCCTTCACGGGGGCGCGGACGGCCGAGTTTGTTGACGGCGAGAAGAAGAGCCCCAAGGACAAGTGTTTAGAGGAGCTTTTCGGCCGAAATGCCATCGTAGGGTCCTCCGGCGACAAAGACAAAGACGCTGCTCTAGATGAGAGTTCTAGCGTGCTTGAACAGATACTTTCGCAAGAGATAGTTGGCCGCGGACGGCCTAAGTGCCTCTGTTACGAAGATATTTTGCTGATGGTCGTGCGCCACCCGGAAACCGGCGAAGACGTCCTGGCTATGTTAATCAAGTCCATTCATCATAAGGGGGCAGACAACAAGCCCAAACCGTAGGTAATCCCCGATTCTCGTCAATGAATTTGGATTTAATGTTTTGCTATCTGTGAAAGCGTGATCCTACAAGTGATAAGACAACAAGACTAGAAGCCACAAATCAAAGTAATATTAAGTGTAAGGAGGAAAAGAAAGCTGTCAAACGAGGGCATCACGGTTCTGGACATATGTCAGAACTGCCACTCGTTCCCGCCTTCCCTTTCCGTACGGTCTTATCGATAAGAACATGAACCTCATTCCATCCGATGTGTTATGGTGACCTGTCCAGCCATGCCATGACAATTCCCGTCAAGAACGGAGGAATTATGGTGAGTGTCGAGCCGACGCTGAAAGGTTCAATATAATTGGGCAGATTACAAGACGAATTGACCGTTCTGAAGTTGCGTCTCTGGTGGGGTTCGCTCCAGATCCCACACGATCCACGCTGCAAGACGTCCACCACAACTTAGTGAACAAGAATAATAGAGACACCGATTCTTCACATGCGACTGGCCTGCCAACCTGTTTCAGTCGTCAGAATCTATCCCGACAAAGAACTCTCGGCAACGAACAAGACAAGAGTGTTACGATCCAATCAGAGATCACCTATGTAAGCTAGATCAGATAGACCAATCAGGTTGGACCCGAAGGGAGGACCCGAAGCTCCGGGTCCATGGCTCGGGTCCCCGGGGACCCGAGATGAATGTTCGGGTCCACGGGTCCAGTATATCGGGTCCATGAAGGCCGGTATATAAAGACGGCCTTCCCAGGCCTCTTTACATACTGGCTCTTCAGCAAGCAATAGCTTTCACAATCGATCAGTACCTTTTGGCTACTGCTACCGTTATTCTTATTATCCCAGCGATATACTCCTGTGCTTGTAACGGTTCGTCACAAAGAGGAGACCGGCCGGTTCTCTTTATCGCAACATTCCACTAAAAGAAACACCGTCCACTTTAAGGAAATGAGGATCAACATCATGACATCCAAGCAAGTGCTCTCCTAGTTCGCTCCCACATCGGGGATGATATTCTCGTTGATCAACAAGCGCGAGTACCCCGGCTTCATGGCCGCCTTAACGTTTTCCAGGATGGGAATGCACTGCTTATCCGGCCAGTCGTGGAGGACGGAGTGCATGTAATACGCGCGGGCTCCTATGATCTAGCTTCAAGGATATCAGTCCTCCAGCTCACCAAGCCGAGTCATATCAACAACTTAGATGAACACTCCAACAGGGACAACCATCGCAAGACATCTAAACGCCCTGAAACAGAACCCATATTTCTGTCGACAACCCCAGATTTCCAATCGTCTCACCTCATCCTGGCACCGCCTTTTCCACTTTCTCAACCACCACCACCACCACCATGGAAAGGGAAGCGGTCAACCCCCGTCCGCATGACCGTTCCTGCTTCGGTTGTATCCACCAGGTCAAAATGTCTATATATAAACATCTCATCCCATCTCCGTCACCTTCCACAGCTACGGCCTCTCTAACCATCTCACCATCTCAACAACATCGACAGCCAAAATGAGCGCCTTCCTCGGTCTAGTCCCCCAATATCCGAGTCCAACCCTGGAACCACCACCACCCTACGGCAGCACATCCTCTCAACTCCGACCCCTCCGCCACCGCCGCCCTGCTTCTTCTCTCCCCAGCACTTACACCCCCTACCCGCCAGACGCACCATGTCTGCCCAACCGCACCATGGTCCAGGGATTCGAGTGGTACTGCCCTCCGGATTTCCAACACTGGCGGCGCCTGACGAAAATCATTCCCACGCTCGCCCAACTCGGCATCACCCAGATCTGGATCCCACCCGCTTGCAAAGCCAGCTGGAAGACCGGCAACGGGTACGACATCTACGACCTCTACGACCTAGGGGAGTTCGAACAAAAGGGCTCTCGCAAGACGAAATGGGGCGGAAAGGAAGAACTCCAGCAACTAGTCGCCGTCGGAGCCCAATACGGCGTCTCCGTCCTCTTCGACGCCGTGCTCAACCACAAAGCCGCCGCGGACTTTAAGGAGCCGGTCCTCGCTCGACGAGTGGACCCCAAGGACCGAAGGGTGGTGTTAGACAAAAAGCCTTCGGAGATCGAAGCCTGGACCGGCTATGATTTTCCGGGAAGACAGGAGACATACTCCCCGCTCCGCTGGTCGGCGCGACACTACAAGGGCATCGACTACGACGACCTGCGCAAGGCGAACGCGATCTGGAAGTTTGAAGGCAAAGAGTGGTCAGAGGACGTAGACGAAGAAAACGGAAACTACGATTACCTCATGTTCGCAGACATCGACCACCAGCACTCCGAAGTGAAGCGGGATCTTTTCCACTGGACATGGTGGCTCAAATCGGAACTGCCCCAACTCGGCGGGTTACGGTTAGACGCCATAAAACACTACTCCTATTCCTTCGTCCGCGAACTGTTGGGGCACATCGACCGCCACGTCTCTCCCGGCCCACCCGGCAGTCCAGAGACTTGGTTCATAGTAGGCGAATACTGGCGCGAAGATTCCGAGTTCTTAGCTCGCTACATCGAATTCATGCACCACCGCCTCTCGCTCTTCGACGTGCAGTTGGTCTCCAACTTCTTCCGCATCTCTTTAGCCTCCGAACACCTCCAATCCTCTACCACCGGTGGCGGTGCTCCAGGAATCACCTACGGCAGCCCCGACACCGACCTCCGTCTCCTTTTCGACGACACCTTATGCGTCTGGAAACCGCACAATACCATCTCCTTCGTCGTAAACCACGACACGCAAAAGGGTCAATCGCTGGAAACCCCCATAGCGCCCTTTTTCATGCTCCTCGCCTATTCCTTGATCCTCCTCCGCGCCAACGCCGGTATTCCCTGCGTATTCTGGTCTGATCTCTACGGTTCCTTCGGCGTCACCTCCACTTCCACCCCCTCGTCCGAAGACGCCGCCTCGCCCCAAGATACGCCCCTACCGAACCCACAACACTGGAAGCCACCAATGTGTGGCGGGCAAGTACTGCCGAAGTTGATGCTGGCGAGGCGGTTGTGGGCGTACGGGACGCAGCACGATTACTTTGATTATCCGCATTGCGTTGGGTTTACGAGGACGGGACATTATAGTCAGTCGGGGGGCGCGGGAGTGGCGTGCGTGATGGCAAATTGGTGGGAGCATGCTAGTAAGAGGATGTATGTGAGCGTGGAACATGCGGGCGAGGTGTGGACGGATTTGCTCAAGTTTGCCCCGGGCGAGGTGGTGATTGATGAGGAAGGATGGGGAGTGTTTCCGGTGGCGGCGAGGAGTGTGGCTGTTTGGGTTAGTAGGGAGGCTGAAGGGCGGGAGGGGGTTGATGCGTTTGAACTGTAAGTTGTATTAGCACTATATGGTTTGAGTGATGATGATGCTACTGCGGTGATAGGGACACCGACGTTTACGGTTTCAACAAGAGACAGCAGGAACAGGCGTATGAGAGTCAGAGGGGACCGGCGGTGGAGGAGGAGCCGGAGGATTGGATGGTTGCTGCGAGGGGAGCAGCGGCCGAGTACTTGGCCATGACAGGATCTGATTAGACGTAGGTGGAGAGGCGACTGGACGTTGATGCCCTAGCGGTGTGATGTCTAGGCCAGTCTAGAGACGACGGCGGTGATGAACAGGCACTGGCTGCCATATAGAGAAGTATCACCAGTGCATCATACGAAACATAGTCATAATGTAATGCTCATTACCAATACTGCAGGAGCTTTCCAGCGTGCAAACGTCACTAGGATTACAGTACCAGCCCAGTCATCCTCGGACAATTCCAGATCATCAACGAGGTCCCCGTGTCCATGTTTCTCGTCTCGTCCCATTGTTCACCGCATAAACATCAAGGCTTCCCCGTATCTCTCATCTCCCATATCCAGTTTTCCTCATTAATTCCTAAAGCTGATCAAGCATCCCTCCAACACCCACTCCTGACATCACCACTGATACACTGCGTGGTACAATCCAAGCCCACCCTGGTATCTTGCACCTTCCCGTATACATACTCTCCCACCACGCACCTGTCCAGCACCTTCTTGCCTATCTCGACGAAATACTTGGGCAGGTCTTCAACAATGCTGCTCACATGGGCGGAAAATCTGCGTCAAGGGGATGCCAAAGTGATGCAACATTGCTTCTGAGTCGACGGAACAGAAAGACAGACTAAACGGGGGCCGTAGGGCAGGAAGGGGACTTGGCGGGGCGGCTGGTCGGGCTGATTAACGGTGGGTGTGGAGGGGGAGGTGAACGTGGAGGTAGAGGCAGTGGCAGTGGCAGTGGCGGTTAGGATGTTGGTCAAGGTGATGGTTAAGGTGACGGTGACTGTGGGAACGGAGGAGCCAGGAGCCTTGTGACGGTCGTCTGTGGTCTTATCTGAGGGGTTACCAGCACCCAGATAAACTCCTCCGAGAATGTTCTCAATCAGCACCGTGCAAAGGTCGGCCGAAGCGGGGTAGTCGTAGCTGTTGGAGCATCGAACGTTGCCGGGACTGGGTGAGCAGGCTCCTATGGGAGCGGCGGCGCGGTTGAGAGAAAAGTGGGCGGGGTCATCGGCGTACCTGTTGAAGTCATTGTCAGTATGGATCTTCAGTTGCCTTGAGGAAGTGCAGCACGAATGGATGGTAGAGAGGGAGGGAGTTTGGGGAGGGGAGGGGAGAGGAGAGGGTGGAGGCGACTCACTAGAAGACAGTACCCAGATATGAGCCCTCTTCGTGGTCATCACGGTTTTTGGGGACCTCAGTGTGGAAGAGCTCGAGGATCCGGAGGCCATCGGGGACCGAGACATCGTAGGGAGGGTTATCAATCAGATTGGTAGTCTTCGTGTTCCTGATGACATGTCGGATTGTGGAGGCGCCAGGAAGAGCGGAAACGCCGGGGAGGTCATGAAGACCCAACCAACCAAAGATGACTGAGAGTGCCTGGATGGTGAGCATCTTGTTGGTTGCGATATTGATGATGATTGTAACGATATTGAAAGGACTGATATTTGGTACTCTAGTGTTGTTGTTGTTGGGTTGAGATGTCTCCAGCCTAGATGAGTGCCGTGGCTTCCACTTCCCGGTGCTGTGGTCGGGACGGCGGGACTCACTTGCCTAACCCGAGACTTGAAAAGAAAACTCATATGATCAGGCGGTTTCATCCATGATAATTTCTTCGCTTTCCGTTACAGAAATGGCAAGTACTGTCGTCAAATTCTCTTCAGCAATTAAAAGCCAGGGAAAGAGCAGATGGGCTTCGACCTTTTTGGGTTGCCAAGTAAAGATGGAAAGAACAAAGGCCGGTCACTGCCGCACCTTGGGTCAATCATCCTCGCATGCCCGTGTGTCGCAGCTGCACAGCCCACTGCTCGAAAGTTCGTCTTACCTATTTCTCCCCGCTGTTATTCTCAAATGAATGAGTAGAAGCGGTAGATCGGTAAGTTTACACGCAGTAAGGCTGTCTAAATTGGCCGCAAACGGCCGGCAAGTGTAATTTGGTAATCTGCGGGTCGTCGTTGTCGGGAAAGAATATCAGGATGGTGATGGCATGAGCACCGTACATGTAACTTGGGAAACGGGGAAGGGGAAGGGGCTTGCGTTGTAAGTGCCCAAATAGGAAAGATGAAGCTATCGTCAATGCTTGGCACTGCGGATACCTTGTACATTCAATCATCCCGCTGTATTTTGGGTGGTTTTCCTGTACGACTAGCTTGCGAAGCTAGCATAACTGAATAAAGTCAAAGTCAATTTTCCGCCACCTGACACAACCTCAATACCCTCTGCGCCTTGATTTGGGTAGATTAGTCCCGACAACGACGTGACCCCTTCATCGTCCACGAACGTCTCAACCGAGTTCTGGTCTACATAAATCGCCAGTTTGACCCGGCTCCCACCAGAAGGATTCGTTGCAGTCCGTACCGCGTCCCAAACTGTCCTCGGTCCCGACGCCAACGTATCCGAATCGGATCCGTCAGAACCTCTAGCCAAAAATACTTGGGAATCGGAAAAGTCATAACCGATTGTTGTGTTTGAAGTTCCATCGGATTTGATGCGGAAGTAAACTTTGTCACCATCATCACCATCGGCCTTGGTAACTGTTGCTCGAATGACATACGCACCTCCGGCGAGATTAGAAGGAAGCGATGCCGTCGCCGGGTCTGTTGTGATGGTCGTCCCGGTAACCGAGACAGGGCTTGCAAATCTAGCCGCATACCCTGCAAGTGGAATGCTGACAAGGGTGGGAGTGCCGTTAATCGTGCGGTATTTGACCTCGCGTACTAAACTCATCTGCCCTTCGAAGCCGCCGTAATAAGGCAACGTCGGTGCATACTCCCAATTATTCATCCAGCCAATGGCATAACGGCTGCCATATTTGTTGTTTGGGTTCTCCCAGCTGACCGTGGCGTAAAAGTCGGGACCTTCATCCATCCACCGATAGCTGGTCGTGGCTGTGAAACGGGTCCCGTCCCATGTTCCAGCCCAGTAGGCCGTACCTGTCGTCTTTCTATTCAGATACCCATTGGCGCCGACAGCAAGAAGCCAGACCCGTGACGCCGGGTTGCCGTCAAGATCAATCTGATATACATCTGGGCACTCGAGTGTACCCAGATCCACACCAGGAGGATAGAATCCTGAGACATAGGTCCAACTTTTGAGATTTGCTGACGTATAGAACCCAATTTTGTCTCCTTCTGCCACCGCCGCGACCCAATGCCCTGCTGTGTCATCCCAGAAGATTTTAGGGTCTCGAAAGGCTGGTTTGGCGCTTGGATTGGGGTTTGGCATTACGGGATTACAATCGTAGGCGGTGAATGTGTATCCGGCGTCGTTGGAATAGAAAAGGGACTGCTGTTGCACACCGTCTTGCATCTGAGTGAGGACAGTGACGACAGCGTTCTGCCCAAAGCCGGCTGAATTGGCTGTATCAATCACGGAGCTGCCAGTTTCGATGTCACCCAAGATGGCGCCCCCGGGAGGGTTAGGTTGGTACTTGCGGATCGCCACACCCCGAGAAGTCCACTGCACCATGTCACTACTAGTGACATGGTACCATTCTGTTCCGCCCGAACCGGGATTGGATTTGTCCCAGTTAGAGTTCCAGAGGTAATAGAGATGCCATTCGCCTCCTTGAAAGAACGGGCGTTGGGGGTCACTCATCCATTTCGTCGCAGGAGTAAGATGGTAGCTGGGTCGCGTCTGGCCGGCAACGAGGGGAACCACTGTGGCTAGCAGGGAGAATGATAAGAGTAAAAAACACTGAAACAAGGGCTTCTTGAACCTTGGTATAGAGGAGGGAAAACTCGACATTGGGAGAAAAATAATCAGAAAGATTCTTGAGGAGGGAAGCAGCCGTGGAGTCGAGTATGGAAGGAAAGAAGATGAAGAACTTACAAGGACAAGCCTTTACTTTTATAACCAGTTACACTTTTACAGGCCTCCCTGTGCCGCTGGCTTCGATAGGGATTTGCAAGATCATCGCGTACATGGGTACCGGCCATGGACTGCCGGTTCAAGCGCTATATTACTAGAGCCGTCTGATGTAGAGTCCCTAGAAGAAAAAAAGACCTCATGCTACAGCTACCCTAGGCACATGATAATAAGGTGATTATGGGGTATTCGAAAATCTGGGGTCTATGTGCGGAGGCATCATTGGTGCGAAGTAAGCGAGGTGGCTGCTACCGTCGAGGGTCAAGGTTGTCTCCTGGGAGTTGCTTATTGCGCTTACAACCTTGGCATGCACCACCTCGCTCCCAGTAACGGCGGCCGTGGCCCGGGAGTGCTGCCGGGACTTAACTTTTCCCAGCCGTCAGCGCAACGACAGATCGAAGTATGCCTTTGTGAATAGCAAACGTAAACTCAAGTGATTTGAAGCAATTAGACTGGAAATGATCTACTATGGAAGAAAGAAAGAAGGAAAGAAGCAAATGAATTCGTCGCGAGCTCCCTTAAATCGAGGTACCTGGATGTGATGCCTGCCGGGATGGCGCGCTTACCTAATTGTCTATGCATAGGCGCTCACGTCCACGACCCCGCGCCAGAGTCCAGACCTTCTAAACTGTTCCTGCCCGCGTTGACAACAACATGGCCACGACATCATCGTGCTCTTTGAAGTCAACAGAAACAGCAATTGACTTCCCCAAGGCCGTGGTAATCGAGGCTCCCGTCGTACATTCTCCGGGGCACCGCATTCAGCAACCGGTATCCGAAAATCTCCGGCGCACCCCGGCCCTCCCTCAATGGCCCGAATGCCCGAACGAGTCCAGTCTGCGGTGCTGTTCGCACTCACACCCTGACTGACATGCACTAACAGAAAGACATGCTGTGCTGTTAGGCCTACTCACTAAATTGTCCGCTGAAACCTACACAAGTAGCGTGCATCAAACCGCTGTTAGTGTAAAGAAATATTTTGCCCAGGCCAACAACCAAAACTCACTTGCACGCTAACATCGCTTCTGAACGGTCGCTCGAGGTCTGCAAGTTCCGATCCCAACACCAGCAATTCTGTGAGATTGTTCTTTCCTGACAACCTGACTGCTGCGGGTGCTGCTCTTTGAGGCAGTCGCAGTTGGTTGACACTACCAATTTTTCTGTTTTCCAGGCAGACGCATTTCCTTTCTTCCCTTTCATCCTCCAACGGGCGCAAATATTCCGCTCAGCATTTTTGGTTGTTCCATCTTGTCTTTGCTTTTAATCTCACTCCGATTTGCTCACCTCCGGGCTGGCTCCGACCCCCTTCACCGAACCGGCCCCACCAATGCCGGCGCCGACCTTCTCGATAACACCGCGGTCGCGGTCCCGGTCACGTCGACGCCCACTGCCGTCATGGGTATCAAAATGACCGCGGCGACTTACAGTTTCCCCACCAAACATTTATGTGATGACGATAAGTGCAAAAAGATATCACTCGTTTCTACGGTCCTCTTCATTCCCGATCTTCGTTCGGTCTTCGCAATGCACTTCGTGACCAATCCGGCCCCCAGGCATGATCGGCCAATCGATGGCGATGGCCTGGATCATGGCAATGCTTACCTTTATGTCCACTCAGAACAGCCCAAATCGTGAGGCTGAGGAGAGGGTCCCCTCATTTGACGCTTTTTTCCTCCTGGTCTCGAACCTGAGCTGTACGTGATGCCCAACCGTCTCTGCCCGATACAATGCTGACTGGCATATTTTTTGCTGTCAAGATAGTCTGTAAGCTCTACCAAGCCCTCCCCTCTCTCGCCACTCCTCGACTTGTCCTTTCGCGTGTCTGTCCATCTTTCTGCGGCAAACATATCGTCCGTCGCCCAACACGATCCCACACGCCGTTACCGATGTAAAGGCTTGCTAGTCGATGAGTGTTCAATAGGTTGTTCTTGTCAACGAGTCGAGCACGATGGCTACCACGATGGCCACACCAGTAAGAACGGGCAACGAGCGTACCTATCCCCGTCCTGCAAGCCGGTATGACTTCGAGATCGCGATAATCTGCGCACTTACCCGCGAAATGGACGCTGTCGAGTTGCTCGTCGATGAATTCTGGACGGATGGGGACGATCAAACACGATACGGCAAGGCTCTAGGAGACCCGAACACATACGAGCTAGCCCGAATCGGAAATTTCAATGTAGTCCTCGTTGTCCTGCCCAGCATGGGAAAGATTGAGGCAACCGCGGCAGCACACGGTGTTGCGACAAGCTACCCGAATATTTCCCTAGTCCTCGTGGTCGGTATTTGTGGGGGCATGCCTGTCGCCAACGTTGGAGGGGAACGGGAAGATATCGTCCTTGGCGATGTGGTCATCAGCAGCATGCTGAATCAATACGACTTTGGACGACAGCTACCGGATCGTTTCCTCAGCAAAACCGAGGTCGAAAATACGTTTGGCAGGCCGAACAGGGACCTTAGGGGCCTGCTCAAGAGTTTGGAGAAAGTGAGAGCGCGCAAAAACTTTCAGCGCCAGGTGGCCGACAACTTAGTGAAGCTTCAGGGGAGCAGTGATCGGTTCTCATGGAGGTATACATACCCGGGAACTGACAAGGACAGACTATTCAAAGCCTCATACGAGCACAAACATCACCGTCTCGAATCAGGGTGCCTTCCTTGCGCGCAAGGATCGATATGCGAGTCTTCATGGGAAATTTCGTGTGATGATCTTGGTTGCGACGCCACGTATCTGGCTACAAGAGAGAGAGCCGGTCAACCCAATTACCCTTCGGTCTTCATAGGGCGTGTGGGGTCAGCAGATGCCGTCGTTCGCTCTGCGAAACACCGCGATGCTCATGCCGCAAAGGGCATTATCGCCTTGGAGATGGAAGGTGCCGGGGTATGGGATGTGTTCCCTTGCCTCGTCATCAAAGGCGTGTGTGATTACGCCGACAGTCACAAAAACAAAGGGTGGCAGGGCTATGCTGCGGCCACAGCAGCATCAGCGACGAAGGCATTTTTGAACCACTACCAAGGGAAGGGAAAGATTTCTAGACATGCAAGTGAGTATCCAACAATCCTTACTCCTGTGCCCTTTCTTGATGGTCCGTTTCGGGCTGGCGATGATTTCGTCGAACTCTGCCTGATTGCTGACTCTACATGTTCCAGTAAATAACTGGGCAACCTTCGATGTCAACCATTCTCAGTACATGACCTCTCCATGTACCGATCTCGATGCTGGGAAGGTGGCTCGGCCAGGGCTGGATCAATCTTCATCAGAAGCAACGCTTGATACAAGGATGGGCAAATGTACTGAAGGAGGAGCGCGAAGCCAAGACAACCCAACCCTTCGCAACTTCATCGAGCAGCTTCTTCTCCCTAAACTGTCATCCATCAATCGCCTGATGACCTTGGAGATACATAGTGTGACAGCGGCCCTGGACACCGGTTTTCCCTATCTAGCTTACAATTATGCAGTCGATGGATCTTACCGCATTGGAAAAGGAAACGCCAGCGAAGACCATACAACTTTCAGTATGAACCAGCAAGAGGACAACTTATGGGACGATTCTTGGTACCAGGAAGCCCGAGATTATTTTAAAGACATCCGCAGGTCTCCAGGTCAGGGCGCTACAGTCTGGAGATACCATAAAATTGAATCAGGGGACGACGCTGGACACAGGTTTTGCAAGAAAACAGCGCATATGCAGATTTGGATGTATGGTGATAGTAAGTGTCTTTGCAGGGGAGCCTGGAGAGCTGAATTGAGCGGCGTCGCTAACACTTTTATTCTACCTCTAGCCATCACCATTACCAGACTGTACATGCTTGCCGGTTCTAACGAAATTGTCTACGAAGGAGCACAGTGGACCAAGTTTGAGTTGTGGATTGAGCCTGGCGTTTTGCTGACCAAGGAGAACGGGAAGTAAGTAGTCTCTACCTTTGATCCTCCGGTACTTCTCACCTAAACTGGTGGTTGTGGCAACGCCGGAGGAAGACATATATGCTCCTCTAACGCTTCGTCATAGGATTTCCGTCCGAAGTTCCTGGAAAATCACCTTCACCGTGCAAGAAGCGGCCGACGGCGACTTGCACATCAGCATTCAGCACGTCAGGCCTGATCCGAAGTTCAGTGGGAACTACAAGACATATGAAAAGCTCCGGCCAACAGAAAGCAAGCTCAAGGAGATGTACAAGTGTGCAAGCAACAACTTCGATAACTTGGCCCAGTCGCTCCGCGACTACCTCGATCAACAAGAGAAACTTGTCTGCCTCAGTCCGGGGTCTTCTACTTCAAATACCCCGTGAGGACAGCGGAGTGTCTAGGGCCTTCTGATCGTCAATAATGATGTTGTCTTTCATACAACCCCATCTCATCCCTACCGATCCTTTCTTTTCTTGGGGGTGTTTTACTTCGGTTTCCTTTCTGTCTCGCTTTCCCGTCTTACTTTTTTTCTCTCTTTGCTTTGTCCATGCCCAAATTAGTCGTCATCAAACCAGCCTGGAAAATAAGAATGGAGCTACGGTTCATAGCCTGTAGGCCGGGCAGTTATTAACAAACCGGGTTGAGCTGAAATTCGTGATGAAAAGTGGAAGTAACCCTCCATAGTAGAACAAAAAGAGAAGATCTGAGGATGTAATTTGTCGAGTTATTGTTCCTATCCAAGGAAAGACATGCAAGCCTTCCGTAGATATATTCGCTAAGGATACACTCCCTCCTCGGTTCACAAAATGGGTAGTGTCATTTGGTTGGTGCCGAGGCCGTCGAAGAATCATCTCGCCATCAACAAGACTTTCCCGCATACCTACTTCAGTGCTGACTCTGCCGACTCTTAGTACATACGACCATACCCACTGGAAAACTCGGGATCCCGTCCGCTCTCCCATAGATAAGCCAGTGAGGGTCTGACTAGTAGTTGGGTCGGTGACGACCAGCGAATCCCAGGTGCTGTATGTTTTTTTTCCCTTCGCTTCGTGAAATCTTTTTGGTGTTTTAGTACTTGCTTATCTTCTCTTCTTATCGATATCATTCCCTTATCGTTATCGGATCCTTATAACATCATGGGAGAGCATGGAAATTGACCCGAGTTGATTGATATAATTACAATGAAAAACGAGCTGACTGACGAGCTCAATTATACACTAGTAAATAACCCCTAACTTATCCTAACAGCCCGAGGTTCAAGCAAGCCCCCTAAAACGCCATAACCCACGCCGGCGCCGTCGCCAGCGCATCAGCAAACGCATCAATGGTCTCAATGAGCCTCGCATGCCTCTTTTTCGAAGCTACTGTAGCATCATCATCGCCGTCTTTCTCCTCGGTCGCCTTCCGATGAGCATCACTTGCCCACATGGCCTGCATGCGCGGCAAAACGTCCGTCGTGATCATGTTAGACTTGCTCGCAGCGAGCGCCATCTTGCCGCTCATGAACGTGTCCCACTTTCCTTTCAGGTCCTGGCTAGGCCATGTCGTCCACCCGGGATTCTTGGGCGTGTTGGGCAGCACCTCGGTGTCGAGGCGGCGGAGCACCTCGCCGACGCGGGTTTTTTGGTTGATGAGGATGGTCTGGATGGCGGGCGTGTTGTGGTAAAGCCGCGAGCCGAGGATGGCGCGCAGCGACTTCATGATCTCCTCGGCGCCGTCGATGTTGGCGATCTTGCTCGTGGACGGGTACTTGGGCGGGTTCTGGCCCGAGGGGCTGTTGGAGTTGGCGTTGGGGTCGGTGCCGAGCCACTTTTCGAGATCGACGATCTGGATGTTTTTGCCCTTGGGGCTGAAGCCGGCCCAGGCGTTCCCCTTGGGCGGCGCGTTGATAGGCTTTTCGAGCCGCACGTACTCTTTGTTCTTCCACTTGTCGGTGGGGAACTACGCTGCGACGTGTTTGAAGGCCGTGAGAGCGACGCCGGTCCCTTGGGCGGTCTCGAGGTTTGGGATCACAACCGGAGCGTTCCAGAGCAATTTGACGAGCGCGCAGAAGTTGAGCTTTATGTCCTCCTGGGCCCTTTCAGGGTTGGGGTGGTCGAAGGGGCCGAGATTTTTGAGCGTGTTGAAGAATTGACTGATGAGTTGGGCCTCGAGAACGTGCTCGGAGTCGTAGCTGACACCGGCAACTTCGGCCGTGAGCTTGTCGAACGCGTAGTCCTTGCAGTCGGTGCTTTTGAAGCCGTAGATGTCGTTGCCCAGCGTTTTGGCATCGTAGTCTGTCGGGTATTGGAATTTGGTTGTCACGCCGCAGATTTCGGTGGGCTTGGAGGAGGCCCGTTTTTCGAGGACGTGTACAAAAGGGTCCGACCGCCTGAAAAGTGCGTCCGCGATGATGTCGCTCTCGTCCCAGGCGTACCCAATCTTGGAGCACGGGGAGCCCGGGCCGGAGCTGTCATCGGCTTCGGGCGGGCAGAAGTAGCTACCCACGGGCACATTGAGTACTGGACCCCAGACGGCCGCTCGTTTGGCCAGGCTACGGCTGTTGTGGGTGTGGCCATAGCCATGGATCAGGCTGTTATGGGTGTGGCTATGGCCACGGGTGTCGTTGGCCTCGATGGTAAGGAAATTCAGGTCACGCTTGGTCGGAAGGGGTCCCAGGCCTGGACACGTACCGCCTTCAATGATGGGCTTCTTATAAGCGGGCGTGATGGGCACCTCGGCCCCCGGCCACCCGAAGCCTGGTGCCGTTGCGCGCGCAAACAGGCGTGCGCCGACATCAACTCCAAATGTGAAGGGGCAAATATCCTTAGTGGAGCCGCCGACGCCCATCTTCAGCATAACGCTGGCCTCAGCCACAATGGCCGCGGCGGCCGGGTCGACGTCCCAGCGCTTGTCGAAGCGGATGCCGAACTCGGCCGCCGCCGACATCTTGGCCGTCACGTCGCCGAGGGCCTGGACGCCGGCGTAGAAGTTGGGCTCGTCCAGGCCCTCGTTGTCGCCGGTGCGCTTGAGGTCTGGGTCGCCGAGGCCGATCTCCTTGGGCGTGTACTTGCTGTCGCCGTTGTCGGGAAGGACCTGGCGGACCTCCCAGTTGGCGAACTCGAGACGTGTTTCCACCTTGCCCGCCAGGGTGAGCGAGGCGTCGATGTTGCTCTCCACCGTCAGCTGCGGGCCGATGGTTGCGATTCCAGGGATCTTGAAGGAGGCGCCTGGGAAAGGGATGTTCACAATCACGTCTCCCTTGTGATACGAAAACTTGGCGACGGCTTCGAGGGTTAGAACACCCGTGATCTCGCCCTTGTTGTAGAAGGTCAGGTAGCTTTGGGACACGTCGACGGGCGGGGCTAGCTTTGTAACAATCAAAGTGAACCCGAAGCTGGTCGCTACCTTCAAGTTAAGGAGGGCCTGGGCGAGGATGTGACCCTCGTAGTCAATGCCGTTGCGGTTGCATTGCCACGTCTCGTCAATGAGTTTGGCTGTCAGGGTGTCCTTGTAGTCGTAAGTGAACTCACGCGTGATTTCTGGCTTGACAATGCGGGCAAGCCAGTCGAGGATGCCTGAGCCGAACCAACGCTCCTCGAGGTCACGGCGCGAGAGGGCCCCGAAATGGTAGTCGTCGCGGAACTCTTCCTCCAGATCAGTATGGATGGACTTTCCTTCCGTGGACAAGGAGGATTGCATCCTGTGGCTGGATATCGGGGACGTCGACCTTTTCGAGAAGGTCTTGTTTCCTGCGGGTTGCCGGATACAAGAGTCGGGCCATGACGGTGAGCATACACCCGGAAGGAGTAAGAGCGTGTCAGCGGGGTGAACTGACTGTAGAGGTACCTATATAGGCAGCGATGGCCGTTACAGCCTCCAAAGGGCGTGTTGCGCGGCTGCCACCTTGATATTCGGCTCGCAGCTTTACGAAGCAATCGACACGAGCCGGCTACGGACGTGGGAGAGAGAAACGGCTGGACTAGCCGACACAACGGACTGCATTACGATAGAAGTACATGCGACCGACGAGCTACGCTACGGTACCCTGCGTCTCCGTCTCGAATTCCTACGAGGGGTCCGGATCGCGCAGCGACTCTTCACAATCTCAAATGCGAGCCATATTCAAGCTAACAATGGCATTGCAGCAGTACACTTCTACTTCCCCCAAATTAGGTAGACTTCTACGTTCGCGGGGACGATCATCTCCCCACTGCCTATGGTTGTCCAGATGACTTTGCCGCTAGGATTCTGGAAAGTCGCGGTGAATTAGGATGTTGCTCATAACGATAGCAAGACTGGAAGAATGAAGAAAGGAGAAGGGTGGCGTTTAATTTCTGTTTCTTGGTGGGGGCCCATGAGAAAGCTTTTTGAGGTTGCCATGGGAAAGACCGTAGAACCCGTATTCTGGACAAACAACTCAATATCAATCCTGAACATTGTATACCATACCATCCGTGAACGCTTGTTATCGGATATGTTCAGAGACATGCCACCGTATCCAGCCTCAGCCAGGTCAAGAAAGGGAAGACCCAGTTTGACTGCCAGGTTGTAGTTGATGACATTAATATCAGACCCTTGATCAGCCTATATAGCTCGCTCCAACTTATATGAAAGCCATTTGTTCCCGACCTTGTGAGATATGATGCTATAGAGACGAAAGGCTTTCACGTCTTCGTAGTTCAGGGTTAACATGTCTTCGTAGTTCAGGGCTAATATGTTTGAAAACTTGTTTTTGACTGAGCGTTCAGCACTGGGCAGGTTGGTGAACTCAGCAGAATGGGACTTCATGTACTTTTTCGCAGCTCTGATTTCCCTCTCAGGGACTCGGGTACCAAGTATGCGAATATTCTTGGCACCATCCGGACAATATTGCAGAAATTCCATCATCGTAAGGTGAATGATGGTCCGGCTGAGCAGAGCCTTGTAGTTAAAGGGGCCTTCTCCCTTTGCACTATGGTTATGTTTCCCCGGTTAGTTTAGTATGGGGTATTCAGAGCCTAGAGGTCCTATCGACGTTGGACGCTCGGGCTCGATGTAGTAGGCGTCGTGTAGACGTACTGAACCTACCTCTATATAAGAGGTTGTAGTCCGAGACTTGTGCTCTCCACTCAACTCTCCCCTCTAAACTTAGCTGGCTAGACTCATTACATCTATCTCGCGATAGCCCATCGTTAAAGTAGAAATAAAGTAGTAAAACGTATGTATGAAAGTGTAAACGCTTTTTCTTATTCAATAAAAACTCACTATTAGCCGTAATACTTCTACTAAATTACTATCCCTATATCCCGACAAATAATCCTAAATACCTTGACTATCACAGGATTAGCCTGTGATGGGTGCAGCACGTGACCACGTGCCATGTACGTTGTGCGTGCCTAGCCATGCCCTCTATGTAAGGCCTGGCTGGCACACCACTTCCTTCCTCCTCTCCTCGTACAACTACACATATCCATATCCATACCCAACGTCGAGTCCACCCGTGATATTGACCATCTTTACAGGTACTCATATAACGTAATTAGAGATACCCACGTCCACATTCTGTAATACAACCAACTTACCTTATTACTCTAAGCCCCTTTCTCCCTGACCCGGCGCCAAACGTACGGGTTTGCGTCCCCTCTTCGTTCACGTAGCGTCTTACCCCTCGCAAAATTCCATTCAAACCCCTCCCACTCTACACCACCCGCCTTCGCCCTCTTGAACACCACCACAAAATCCTCCACCTTCAATCTGTTTGTCCCTTCAACTCCGGTCGGTATCAGTTCCGTCATGGGTTGGGCGAATGTCATTGTCTTTTCTGACCCTGTTTGTTCTGATGGGTTCTTGTCTTCGCGCAGCTCGCGGAGTAAGTACCCGTATCCGGTACCGTAGAAACGCAAAATCAGACCCCTTTGCTCAGCGGTTATAGTGATGAAGACGTCGTTTGTGAGTTTGTACCTCCCCTCTAAGGCTACGTTTAGTCAGTTTGATGCGGCGAGTAGAGATCCCCTTGGGAGTTTAGCTTTGTTGTGGAAGTTTGGATTTAGGTGACCTTTTTTAACCAGTGTCCCTCTCACATAACCATCTCTAATAAGAATACTAGTCACTGGGTGGCGCTGGGTGCCCTGACTACCATAGCATTGCTCGGTTACGATCCTGTTTTTCAAGCGATGGTTACCCGGTCAGGTGGCAATGAACCCGTGACCGACACGGCAATGGGGTTATCTCGAACATCCCGCTTGCCCATCGCAGAGTTAGCGCCTTTTGGGACATTATCCAAGGCGGGTAGCGTTTTCCTGACCAGCGCCAACGGTTCGAGAGGGAACAACATTCGGGTCAACGAATACCAGATAGAAGTCGAAGAGGGATGGAGCCTCGCCGTGTTCGAGGGGTTTGCGCACAAATACGACGGCAACCAGAAGGCATATGCGCCCACCTCGTTCACGTGCGCCTCGGCAAATTGCACCTATGAGATATTCGACTCTTTGGCCGTTTGCAGCGAGTGCCGCGACGTATCGGAACATATCACCAGCGAGCCTTACTCGGATTCCACCAGTGGTGAGCAAGTTGAGTACGCTTTGGGGAGGCAGACACAAGGTGATTCAGCAGTTACGCTGAGGAACTCGAAGGGCAAACTGGTGCAGGGAAGTCTCTCCAGTTTGGAGGATTCGTTCATGCACACCGGCGGGAAAGTGATTGCCGACCGACGGGAAACCTTTCACTTTCGCGACGCCTTCACCACGTTTATCGCCTTCCAAATCCTCAAAGCCCCGAGGAACTACACCTTACAGGTATCGGCATGGGAGGACGAGCCACCGGAGGCTTGGGAGTGCGGCTTCTCCTTCTGTCTTAACCGGTACAACTCGACAGTCCAGGACGGCATTCTGTACGAGACGATCCTCAGTTCAGCCACGCAGGCATCACCACAGTCCATGAGGGCTTACCCCCACCGCCACGGTAGCGACATGAAAAACATCACCAACGGCACCGAGCAGTGGCACTTCTGGAGTTATCCAAGCAACTACACCCTCTACAGCCCCCTAGGAGCCGAAGTCGCCAACCTGTCCAAAGGGGATACCTCCAAACTATGGGACTTCGACCGAAACTCTCTCGACCTGCAGATCCCCGATTCCTGGGGAAAACTCACCTATGCACACAATGCAAGCCATCGCTCAGACAGCGAAAACCTCCGCACCTTCCCCATCACCGCGCAAACTGTCCGCTCAACAATCTACTGGTTCCTCCAGCAATACCCCATGTTCAACGGAATGACCCCGCGCCTCTCCTACAACGGCGCAATAGGCACGGGCGACAACGACGTCGTGGGAAAGTCCATAGCCAAGTCGGCCAACGTCACCGAGACCTTTGAGAACGCAGCCAAGCGGATGACGGCCTTCATGCGCGAGCTGCCCCAGACCGTCGATTTTGAGCAGTACTACGTCAACGGCCAAGCCTTTGTCTGGGTGCAACACATTCGCATACGCTGGCCGTTTATTACGTTTCCTGTCGCGGTCGCGGTCGCCGGGTTGGTGTTCGTCCTGTTGACAACGTGGGAGACCAAAAGACTTGGGCTCCGGGCCTGGAAGGAAGGATCCTTGCCTGTGCTTATTCATGGTCTTGATCGATCGACGCGGACGAAGCTTCGGAACGCGGACAGCGCGGGGGTGGCGGATAAGGTCTCGAAACAAACTGTTGTTACTCTGAGCAGGGATTCTGCTGACGGGAGTTTTGAGTTGAAGGAGTCGAAGGAATCGGCTTCGTCTGCCGGCGCGTTGTTGGACAGCGACGTTTCTTCGGTTTGGAGCGCGTCGCTCACGCATATAAACAGAGACGGGCGGGAAGGCATTTGAATCTTAAGGAGCCGGGTGGTGAGGGTGGCACCTCGACATAGCCAGAAGGCGTGACCGGCAAATCAAATAAAAAGGGGGTTAACGACTGCTGTTTTCGGGGAAGGTTGGGTCGCTATGACGAAAGAAAAAGGGAATAAAAAAAAAGGAAAAAGGAAATATATAACCCCAGGGATTCGCTGGTCGTCACCGACCCAACTAGACTACTAGACTGGCCCTCACTGGCTTATCTATGGGAGAGCGGACGGGATCCCGAGTTGTCCAATGGGTATGGCAGTATGTGCAAATTGCTCAACAATCATAAGTTTATGAAAGTCAATGTTCTTTTCCATTAACGAAAAAGGGCTAATGAATCATTGGATGTCACCGTCGAGGCCTCCCCAGCATCCTCTCCCAGGCTGACTCTCTACAATACCCCACCTTTATAACTCTTAGCGGGACACATTATCATGCTTGTTCTATCTATCCTACGTCGATTCCATATTACTCTCCAAATTGAAAGGTAGTATCTCCCAAGAAACCGCACCACCTGCTATCCAATGTGAGGCACATACCTCGACCAATTCGGCACCACGTATGCCGAGTCAGGGAGATGAGCGAGATTGACAAAAGAAATGATGACCAAGTAGCTCCTAGCCAGAGCATAGAGCGCGAGAAGCCCAGTGTGACAAGGGCTGTGTTCAGGGCTTGGAACCGTAGTTCAATTCAGCTAATAAACTACTTTGGTCTCGAAGGCCTTGTTGATCCTTTCAACCCTTAAACAAAGGCTGGGTTTCAAGGCCTTCTTATGCCAAAGAGGTTTGGTACGTACTGCGGTACGTATCAAGCCTTGTCGCCTGAGGCATTAAGGCATCTTCTAGTAGTCATACATGTGGATCTTTCTGAATGCCTTCATCCATTCTCCATCTTCCTTCTGGCGCTGTCCTTCATCCGGGCGCCCTGCTTGTGGTTACTTCTGGGATGACTGGGGATTGTCTCAAGATGTTTCATCAGCGTCTTCGGCACTTCCATGGTTGGCTCGCTAGCCTGGTAGCGTCGAGAGGGGCTCGGGTAAGCAGTACCCGTGGCCGAGAGTCTGGCCGGAGTGAGGTTGAGTCTCGCGGCCGGAGGCCGCCAGGCATTTATAAGGCTGATACCGGGCGTTGAGGCTCTGCTGAGCCTTGTGACCCTAACCCCTGGACTGTGGGCAATGTCCGTGTGACACCCAGTGACGGCAAGATCATAGCATATCTTGACGAGAAAGAAAGCGACCACCTGCAAGGCAATAAGGGCTGCAAGCGTACCCCGTACCACAACACCCAACGGAATCATGGCGAAAAGCTCAAATCTGCCCCGTCCTTCCATCTGCCGCTTCCGCTCCGCCGCTTGAAGTGAATTTTGGGTGCCGCCTTCCGCGTCTGCCCCTGCCCCCCCCAACGATTTATCCCCGCCAATCTATCCAGCACCCTCATAATCTTACCACCATAGAACAAGTTAAGAGCTTCGTACACCTCCACAATCAGATCCAAGGTCTTCGCCGGCTTCAACCAAAAGGGCGGGAACTTGGTCCAGACTGACAAAAAAACCAACAAGAAGGTGGTGCACGCAATGGCCACGCTGGAGACCCTCCAGAGAACTCTTTCGAGGTCAGAAACAAACGGGGCTTTCCATGCCACGCAGTGAAGTCCGCCGTAGACGAGGCCGAATAGGCCGAAGTCGGCGTAGAAAGTGATGTGTCGGTCACCACAGTCCGTACATACAGAGGTAAGCAAAGGAAGGTTTCGGACCCGGTCGACCAAGAGACCGTTGGCGACGCTGTGGAGTCGTCCGTATCCGAGAGCGAGTTGCCAGCGTCTGACGTCGGAATGGGCGAGCTGTAACCGGGCAGAAGGGAGACGAGGAGTCGAAGATGTATCGGATGTGGCCGCATTGAGTATATGCCGGACGTCTATCCACGCGCCGGAGTGTTGCTTACCCGCCCCCAGAACCTCAACCTTGCCTTGGGAGGATAAGCGGGCTGCTTGCAGCAGGTCGTGGGATATCGACATGGTCAAAAGACCGCTGGATGCGTTGAAGGATCTGCATTAGTCGTCAACCTACGGTGAAGCAATATAGGAGAGAGATCGTGAAATAAACTGGCATAGTGGGACAGCAGCTTGCTAGCCTGGATTCCAACGGATGTGAGAGCGCATCGTGCAAATCGAAGGGAGGGGGAACAAGAACGACGGGGAGTACCAGCTTACTTGTGTGGGCTGTATAAATACTTGGACGGAAACAGGGCCGGGGCAAGAGCGATCTCATAATTCGTCGCGGTAGGTCGTCCGTGATGCTCATGCGTCCACCATGGCAAAGGAAGTGCGGACACAAGCACATCTAGAGGCACCTTTTCATCCCACACAATGGATCCAGTGACGTCTCGTGTAGCTTCGGAGTATGTATACTTTATGTTGACTGCAAAAGCCTTCTCCTGCTCATGGAAGTGGATTGACTCTGCCACTTCGTCGAGCTCACTTCGGACACACGTTGCTGCGATGAGTCTCGACAGACGCAGAGGCCCGTTGTACATGTTCGCGAAGGAGATCGTCTCTGATTCGGGGACATCAAGAGCCTTGTGCCATCACATGATGTAAATAAAAAAGGTGCAGATGGCGTGGCCGAATGTGTTGAGCTCTAGCAGGCTGATTGCTAGACCCTGGGCGAAGCGTGTCAAGCACTGAATGCAGAACCATGATGCTAATAGGGCACCCAAGGTAGCAAGTTAGTAAAAACACACGGCCATGGCGAGGACATGCCAGGACAGCGGAGATGGAGTCGTTTTTACACACCTTGTATGCATACCAATATCTTGGCCATTGTGTTTCCTTTGCTCTTATCCCGTATATGCTCCAAAGAACGGGTTGGGATAATATGGCCATATCCATTGTTCTTCAAGCACTCAAGCCCACGGTTGGTTATTGTGAGACGGGTGCGTTGAATTCCGGTCGAGCGCTTTGCTGGGAAGAAGTTTCTGATCCTGCATTGATGATCTCGATCGTTGTGGCTCATCTCTTAATGCAAAGCCTCCCATGGCGTCCAGGAAGCCATGAGCAATAGTCCATGAGTCGGGGGAGGAAGCCTTGTACCACGAGGGAAAAAAAAGAAAATCAAAGTCAGAGCCTTCATATTACTTGACAGAATTACACAGAGACTGAGTCGTACCTACCTCAGTGTCCTTCTGGCGCTGTTTCAATCTCCAGCTGGACAAGAAACGGCTCCTCCGCTTGCTCTTTTCCTCGGTTGGAGGTAAGCCATCATCATCGTTGTCTTTGGCAAAATTAGAGCTCGGATACCCCCAACCATCCGAAGAATTCATCTCTCTTGCAATGTTTCTGGCCTGCTGGTACTGTTGAAATGTGGTATAGGCAATCTTTTCAAGGTTAGCGAATTGACCAAGCCGTCACCGTATTTCATTTTCTCTATGTATCAAGGGGCGTGGAACTCGACTCACCAGTTCAGGAATGAGTAGGCCCAAAAGCATCCACCCACACTTGCGCATGTACAGTTTTATTGCCCCTTCTTTGTGTTCAGGAGCGTTGAGATGGATAGCCGTCCAAACGCAGAGGACAAGGGTGACGATACATGTGGAAAGAATGCTGAAGGTCCCACGAAGATCAGGCTCAGCAACTCATCTAGGGCTAGAAGAGTTGGTGAAACTATGACCAAAGATGTTTTGGCCCACGAGACCCATCGCGCCTTGTGTTCTGAAAACGCTGAGGCGTTGAAAAGGATTGATGGATGGGAAAGTGTGTTAACATCCGCTCGAGTTGTTGTCATAACGTCCGCCACAGACAGGCGGAGGCCCGGTATAAGTACAGGTTCACGCCGGAACCGACTGGTGGCTACGGTTAATATCCACAATACCACCCGCAAGGCAGCAGGGCAACATGACAGTGCTTACCGGATCCTCCAACTCGTGAAGTGATCCTTGGAAACATGGTTGAGGTGATTATTGAGAGCGTCGTGGCCAGTCGTGATATTGAAAAGTTGGGGGCGAGCGGTGATTGTTGCACCTGGAATTTGAACGATGGCCGTATTGACGTGATAACACCGCAGAGCTGATTTCTTCGAATATTAGAAAGCGTGTAGATGAGGCCTTTCGATAAAGCTCGACTCCATTCATCCTGATATCTTGAGGGCGACGTCTAGAACCTCAATGGTGCGGCCCTCCATCGGTCCGGTCCATCCCGTCGTGCAATGCACCTTCTCGACAGCATCGAACCTTGATACAGTACGTCACTCCTGTCTGGTCCCAAATATAAGTAAGTACTGGTTGCATTCATACTTGCGCAGCATTTTAATGACTCGAATTTTTGTAAGAATCTACCGTATAATCGCTGGAAATTGAGGTTCGGGAACGCGCTTTTTACGCAGGCATAAGCAGGGTTAAAGGTTTAAAGAAGCAGTAAAGAAGCATGTACATAGTTGATCGACACCTTTAACCATGTTTATGCCTGCGTAAAAAGTGCCTTCCCGAACCTCAATTTCCAGAGATTATACGGTATCGAATACTCATTTGGTTATCTACCGTATGAACTCGTCTAATTCGGGTTTCATCCTGTGCGCCATATGGCTGTGTCAAGCACTTTTCACGCACATACTGTAATATGTTTGCCTGTCCAGAGCTCTTGACCCTAACTGTTCTGTACACAGTAGGCGTTGAGCAGGCAGGACTGCACTGAAAAAGTACATATCTGTACAGGACGAGAACCGGATTAGACGAGTTTCTTCGGTAATCTGCCAACCATTCACATATTTGTCAAGCGCGCATATGTATGCTGCATACAGAGCATTAGCTTTACCGTGAAGAGAGCGCAGCAGATCTGAGGCTCAGTTGGAACAATCAACTGAATCTCGCCTCTCTTTCCACCCTTTCTTCATATGAATCGTTGCTTATAGACTACTCTCGTAGGGCGAACAAGTACATACGACCACACCCACTGGAAAACTCGGGATCCCGTCCGCTCTCCCATAGATAAGCCAGTGAGGGGCAGCTTATGTATGGGAGTTGGAAGGATATGAACCGGGTCTTTTAATCACGTGGTACGGTCAAAAAGTTGAACAACCTCCTCCCATATCTATATCGTTCAGATGGAGGCATTACGGTGAGTGGGGAGCCGGCGCTAAAATGATTGATATAATTGGGCGGATTATGAGCAAAGTAGACCGTCCTGACACTGCGGCTAGATCTTTTACATGGGTAACACCAAGATTGCACTCGGTCAGAAGACCATTCCTGATTGGTTCTTCGTACTCCTCGGCCCAGTTATGTGTATGCAGATGAGAGCGTGGCAACGGAATCTCTCGCTCTTATCTTGTTGAATCACAGTTTAGTAATCCACTACGACAAACTAATCACAATAACCTCCTTCATATACCTGCCTTAACCTACCTTCTTCATCTGCCTTCATTAGCCTACCTCTTCCCTTCCATCCTGGCATATCATAACCATAGCGGTTGGCTTGCAACACACTGCCGGCGCAGCCGCCAACACCTTTGTAGACGAATCGATTGGCTGAGAGAGCTGCATGCTAGGGCTGCGAAACAAGGTGACGGCGGCGTTGAGAACGACAAGGCAACCACAGCTCTAGCTCAGAATACTGTACCCGAAGCTCAAAGGCCAACTCGCGTATCACAACTTCAAACTATGATATTTTCTCGGACGATTTCAGATGAATGTCACCTCGATATATTGAATACCGGCAGCGTTTATTATTGTCGGTAGGGCTGACATTGCCGGTTTGCCAAGCCCCTGACATCTGACCCAAACCAGTTCGATTTTAACACCAAGCATTTGAATCTGAAGTTTGGCAACAAAATTGCCCTCCAGACAGGATAAGATACACTAACTCCACACTGAGTTGCGTTCTGGGACAGCAGCAAACTCCCTTCGACATATCTCGGGTCTTCCTCTCCTCGATCCCACCGTCCAGCACGTTCTATCTGGACCTTGAGGGCAAAAGTCTCAGCCGCAATGGAACCCTCTCCCTCTTGACGTACTCGTCCTTCCCACGCAAGCAACAAGCAATGTCGATGTCCAAACCCTCGGCGACTCTGCTTTCACCACTCCCGGCATAGGCGGAAATACCCTCAAAGCCATCCTCGAGGATCCCCACACTTCTAAATGCTTCTGGGACGTACGCAATGACGCGGACGCGGCAGAAACGTGGGCGGTCTGGAAGTGCCCAGGCGGTGGTGGTCCACCTGCAACATACCCATAGACTGCCTAGTTTGAAGCCATGGCCAACCTCCCCTCCGAATACCAAGTACAAGTTCCATGGTGTTGGCCTTCCTCTGTTGTTCCTTGCGTCTGATTCTCTTCGTTGAGGCGTCATCTCCAGGGGTTGGTGGTGGAATGAGACGGTTGCGAGGACGCGGCGGGCCGCTGCGGGGCGCCACGCCGAAGTGAGCCCACCCCGGGCCCGCTCCTTTTTTGGTGAGTTTCCCTCGTGACTCTCGGCGCTTACAGTAAAATCGCGTTTCAGTCGGTCTCCGAGATACTTAGGGACGCTCAGTCTTTTAGCAATAGATGGCGAGGACCAAATGCGATGGAGAGCCTCTTTTGGGAATTCTAGCCACGGCTATAATCGATATTATCTCAACAGAATAACGCGCCGCCCGGCAGTTCTACGTTCTTGGGCAAAACTTCCTCTCGGTGCTCGCCGGTAACCCTAACCCGCTGTGTTAATCTTGGGATTTCGTTTTGAGGCTTCACATTCGGAAAGTTCGTCTACGCTCACACCTTCCTTTCCTCACCTCACCGTTCCTGAATGTACCTTCTTCCCTGAAGCTCACCGTGACTTTCAACCACGTGATGTGGAGGGCATCAGAGCGAGCAAGCATCCAATCAAGACCATCTTTCCACTGCATTGCCTTCTCCTCTTTACCCATCCACTCAAGAGCAGCTCTCCATTACAGTAAAGGCTGAGAAGAGGCCCCTCATGTATGTCCCAACGCCTTCCCTTTTCGGGCTTGGCGCCCTGGGCCTGGTCTCGAAGAGTCAAAAACGAGCCGCAAAGCCCTATAAGCTTTTCCAGGGACTGCGGATCATCTGAGATATCGTCTGACATCTCGACGAGAGTGGTCAGTTCTTGAAGGCTGATGGGTCGGCGAACAATAGAGGAGATGGCAAGAATTTGCCTGCACAGATCCGCATCATCGGACTGAATAATCTGCTCCATCATCCGCGCATACAGGGAATCCAATCCGGGGGGGAATGCCCGTAACTTTTTTAGTGTCTGCCACTTCTGAACTCTCGGGTCCGCAAGTACTTGGCAGACTAAGGCCACCCAAAGAAAAGTCCCATTCGCGTTAGAAGAGAGATAGTCATGTACTTCCGTCTGCATTGTGCTGTCGTACTGTTTCCGCCGCGACAAGTGAAGGACTTTGTGGCGGATATATGCACTGACGGCAGTGGTGACGGATTCGGCGTTTAGCTCGAGGCTGAGTCTGGACTGCTGCGCGACGATCGCCAACTGTTCTTCGATCTGCACCCAGTTGCGACTAGATACAAGCCACTTGACACGAGCAGATACAGATGATATCTGGACGATCAATTTGAGAAGCTGCGGTTGGTCTGTTACACATTCGTCCAGAGCATCAATCACCAGATAGGTGACCTTCAAGTTCGGGTCTTTTAGCATCTCGCATAAAACCTTAGACAGGACGATCCATGCCATTGTATCATCGGAGGGGTATGTGTTCTCCGGTAGATATGAGAGCAGGCGTGGTTGCTGGTGGGCAAGTAGGTAGATTAAGCCTCGTAGCACGGCAGGTGCGTTATTGATGCGCGAGTCGGTAGCTTGGAAGAAAAAATACGCCAAGTTGCCGCCGTCAGCGATAATACGCCGCTCTAGCTCGTCGACGATACCGCATAGCAACATGGTCTTGCCTTTGCCTGGATCTCCCTTGATCCAGAGCAGGCAACTCTCCCGCAGCTGGCGCCATCGCTTGAAGTCGGGGTTGTCGAAGACCCAGCGGTAAGCATCAGCCAGCAGACCACCCTTCGCCAGCTCGATCCGCTCCTTTTCGACGTGCGGGTCACGCGGGTCTGTGGGCCACAATTTTGCCAGACAGAGGTAATCCTCGTGAACCTTGTCCTGCAGCCGCTTCAATGCTTTCTGCCTTCCTTCGCCGTAGAGAACCGGTATGTGTACATCGAAGATCCCGAATAGAGAGTACACCTTGTCTTCCCTGTATTTTGTGTCACGCTTCTCGATCCATCGCATCCGTTCGGCGACGCTGAAATCAGATAGAGGGACACCTTGGAAGGCTTTTCGCGGAATACCGGTTATATCGTGGATTTCTTGTTCCAGAGACTCCTTATCTCCCAGGCGCTCGCCCTCTTTAGAGAAGAATTCGACGATCGGTGGGGCAATGAGCTCTTGGAGGGTCCATCCTCGGGAAAACCATCTGCTCTCTCGAAAGGCCGGTTGCCAACCGGGGCCGTCGCCATGCTGATGGGTTGAGACGTCTGCTAGGTACACGTAACATTTCACCGCGCTGCGGTACCAATGGAACATGGAGTTGAGAGCGTGCTGAAGCTCGGCGCTGTCAGACTTGTCGATGCAGCATGTGTCGACCCAGAAGAATTTCAACCCATCGCGCCAGGCTTGGTCTCCGCAAAAACGAATCTTAGCGTAGCTTACTGTATTCTTGCCTGTACCGTCCATCATATCTCTAAAGAGGACCTCTTCGGGACCCTATATGTGTAAAAGTATCGCATGCAGTGGAATCTTATTGTTGGGAAGGTCCTCCGTCAGACGGACCCCGCCGGTATCGTCACGCTCCAGGAATCGCATTGCAGAGTCCGCCAGGCTCAGCTCCCTCGGCAGCTAATCATACAAATGTTCGATGGTGGGAAAAGGCTCGCAGGCTTCGCGAGCGGACGGCCTATGTTCGCGGGACTGTAGGTACAGTAAATCAGCAGTTGAAACTGGGGGAGTTGCTCGACGGCCGAGAACTACTTACTATAAGTAACTGACAAAATTTGTAGCGTATATCTCGGTGGGTTTGATTGGGAGCCTTGAAGGTGGTTGCTGTTGTTGTCTTTGTTTCAAAGGCGCTGCCTTTGCCTGGATCACTGTCACAGGGTTGTGACGTCCCTATATAATGTGCACATCCGAGTTCTGCTGGCAAGCAGAACATCGTCCTATCTTTTACCTCAATAGAGGATAGGTTTGGCGGACTTGGCTAATGTGCACGCCTCGCCCTGTCATAATCACCAACCCCGCACGCTGCGCATTTTGTCTGCGTTAGCGCGTGGAGAACAGGAGCCAACTGCGCATAATTCGAAGCATCGTCATTGGCAGTGTTAGTCGCGCGACACTCAGTCACAGCCTTGCCGGAGGTAAGGTGGGAATTCGAAATCTTAAACTTGCATATGTTCGACGAAGAGGAGAAAAAGGCTTATGCTAAAAGCACTAGCTGGAGGTTGCCTACAAATACAGGTGGTCGGTGCAGGATTTAGGCCAGTCAGAAGTGTGCCCAGCCGAAGTAGTCTCAGTGGTCGGATGCACCTAGTGAAAGGCTGTGCACAGCTGGCATACGAGCCAGGTTAACACTTTGGGCGCCAAGCTCTTGACATCTGACCCCGCATATTGAGATAATTGGGCATAAACGCTCTATATTATTTCTACGCTGCTACTTCGTGCGGCTGAGCGAAAACGGCCAGACCAGTTCGGTTTTTAACACTAAGCATTCCAGCCATTGCTTACAAGAAGCGATCGGTATCAAACGCTTCATATACACCATCAAACGCAAAAGGCCGAAGTAACGGATTTCCTCCAGAGGCTCCTTTGGTGGAACCTGCGCGACGTGACGTCACGTAGCCGAACCCAGCAATGCGGCGCCGTATTTGAGAATTTGCATTGGGAGTAAGCCAGGAGGAACAATGCAATCAAGTCATTATCTTATGGAGTATCAGCATCTTAGCAATGGGTGACGAGATGTGTTCCACGTTAAGAGAGAAGACTCCTAACCTGCTTAATTACCCAACGGAAGCCTCGCTCGAGCCGTCTTTCGTACCTGCCACCCACTTCCAACGCCCCTACCTAGGATCCCACGCCAAGTTCGAAGTTAGCACGTCCAAGTTGGTCACCCCTCAGATGATGAATTCCCCGCCTCCGCCGGATCTGCGTTTGCTGGACATGACAGATGGCAAGGAAATCCAAGGAGAGACACAGTCGGCACCAGGTGATGGGCGCGATTTTGGTGAGGTAGGAACATGCGTCCCCGAATAAGCAGTTGAAAGTCTATGACAGTCACACCCGTCTAACACTGATTTCCTCTAGATCCTGAACAGGGCAATGAACAGGGCATCTGGACGCCTCATCGCGCTTCTCCAAGAGGAGCTGGAGAGGTTAAGCAGCGAGAACGAACTCATCGAGGATATCGAAGAGACGGATGAGGCACTATCGAACCTCAATCCCGACAATAGGAAGTCCGGGTGCCGTCTCTGAGGATGTCAAAACGACGTTTTCTGAAGATGTCTGGTAGTACTCAGAATCACGTTAATTAGGCCGTCTAGCAAAAATCAGATGATCGGCTTGCTTTGGGGAAGAAGGTTGGGATCAGGAACGATGTTATATGTCTGATATTTCTTTCTCTCTTTTTTGTCAGAAGACAACAGCTCCACCCTGCCTTGTCGTCGTTATATCTGGTAACTCCCTTGCTGCTCGGTTTCTTATTTGGTTGTATCGTTTGGCCAAACGATGAAGGTACCTTGGCAATCTTTACCTTGCTGCCCTCCTTCGATACATCATCATTTACATTTACAAATCATAATACTCTCGATCCTTTGTGAATCCTTTCTAGTAAACTCTTGGGATACCCTTGAGTGGTCACATGCCAAGCGCACATCGTCGAACCAATCAGATGCCGCAAACGGCCAAAATGTTTCCCTTTTCGGACATGCTAGCAGCTGGGCGGCGGGTAATCCATACAAAAAGCGATCGTAAAAGTAGTAGATTGGATATGGCGCCGTTTCTAATGTCTAAGATACGTTTCTTGGATGGAAATAGAGAAAGCAAGACGTATATTCTATGTGGACCTAGGTATCAAATATTTCGCCCGTGGGCATTAGACGTCAAAACCCGGCCCCATTTCTTGAATGACTTGGCTGTTTGTATGCTACTCCAATCGGCATTTTGGTTGAACTGGGCAAATAGGGAGGAGCTGGAAATCGTACACGCAAATCACTTCATCCTCTGACGGGCGCGGTTGAGGTGTCGCTGGGCGTCGTCGTGTACTTGAATCATCCAATGGGCGTACAGGCGGCTTCCAGGGTTTCGAGGCGCGCCGTCAGGAGGATTGTGGGACGCTGGGTGGTAGCCGTAGTTGGCGTAGAAGGGTGTGAGGCCGGTGGACGACGAGATGGAGTTATTGTATGCGAACTCAGCAGTGGCCAGAAGGTCTTCCCAGTTGCTCACTTCGTAGTTGACGAATGCTCGAAGGTAGATGCACGTGCCTGCCAGAGCCTCTAATATCGCCCAAACTATTTAATCAATCAATTGAGCTAATCATACATGTGATGCAATAGTCCCGCATCAATCTCAAACCTCGCTAAGGTGTGAAAAAAATTCCTTCAACTCCATATTCGCCAATTCAGCATCTGAAAGTCCTTCGAACTTCCTTTCCTGAAACTGCTTTCCCTCCCATACGGAATCCATAAACTCTCTACCCATCTGATCCAAGGCTGATAGCTTTTCCTTCCCATATCCTTCGAGATGGTTATACACTTCGGTAGGTATTACCTTCTCAAACTTGTTCAGCGAGAAACTTCCTCCGAAAGAACGGGGTAAGAAACATATTAGTCCTTCATATTCCCCGACGCACTGCCCCATCTTTCGGCCATATCGCGCGTACTTCTTTATCTTTCCCTGCTCCTGTTTGTTGGTTGATATGGCGTTTAAGCTGTCAGGGCTTGCCCGCTCTCGGCCGTCGTGCAGCGTTTTAGACATTTGAAAGCATGAGATTAAGTGGAGGAATGAAGAAAAGGTGATTTGATCATTCGCCTTTTGTCGTAGTGTGTCGAAGTGACGAATACGAGTGGCAAAGTCGCTTCCTACCGCTTTTCTGAAACTCTCCAGTAACGATGGATTTTCTGCCTCCTGAATCCTGAAAAGTCTGACAGATGTGAAAAAGGCCCGAATCCCATCACTCATAGTGAGTTCTGCGAATGTCTTGCTAATTTCTAGCTTATCAATATCTTTCATCCCTTTCATCGTAGCCGAATGTTTGTTAGTATATGGAAGAGTCCGAATAGAATAAACGGCAGGATTTTGATTAATGTCCATCAGATCTTGGCCGGTATTTTGATCGGTCGTAGTAGAATCCTCGCCAGCATCTTGATCGTCGTTGGCTGAATCCTCGTCGGGATCCTCATCATCGTCGGGATCCTTATCGTCGTTGGCCGAATCTTCGCCGGCATCTGGAGTATGATGTTGACCCCCCATAATAAGATCGGTATCTCCGCTTTTATGTATGTCTTCGTTATCAACATCCATCCTATCGCCCTTCTTCCTTTCTGGGAGACGTCTGATCCGTTTCGCTTTTTCAGACCTTACTAATTCGACCTCGGCTTTCCTCTTAGGTTTAGGTGATTGTTTAAACTTTCGAAGATTTGGTTCATCGAGTAGAAACAACCCATCCTTCGGGCAAACAAGCCAGTTCGGTCTGATCGGTATATCGTCTTCGTAAACAAAATTCGTCGAAACAGCAAGAGAATCGGTAAAATTGATGACCGCGTGGTATTGTCGTGGTTCTGTGACAATCAGATCCCCAGGACCCGTGCAAACAATGTCGAAATTGATTCCTAGGCTAACCAGAAGGCTAGGGGCGAGTATACAACATTGGTGTCGAACCCTTTGATCACATTTCGATTCCTTGCGATCGGTGTAGCGGGTGTCAAAATACTCTTCGAACTTTGTTGTGTCTTTGAGATCGACCAGAATCCAGATTTTGTATCCATAGATGGTGACGTTGTAAGAACGGAAGTCGGCGTCTTCGCAGTGGAAAGCTGTGCCTGATCCTGCTTCGCCCATATGGATATATGGGATACTAACCCCCTCGATTGGACCGTATTCCCGAGAGAGTTTCCCGGACGGGAAGAATTTTGGAAGTTTCTCATCGTTGGCAGGTCCAACGTAGTAGATGAGTTTGTCTTTGCTGGGGGGGGTAGTGGCAATACGTTCCGTAAAATCTAAAGCAGCCTCCTTAGACGATGGAGGTTGCAATTTCTTGTTGTTTGTGAAATCGATGGGGTGTAATTCATCCGAATTTGAAAGGTAGAGGTAGGTAACGCCTGGAGTGTAAGGGTCCTTGACATAATGGACTGCGTATTGATCATGCCAGGGCGGGGGATCAGCACGTGATGCTAGCCTAGGCCAGTCAATCCCTGTGTTTTCGATATCGACCTTGATGATGGACGCTGTGGAAGGTCGGCAGCGTTCTTTGAGCTCGCGAATCCAGTTACTTCCAAGCTGTAAAGGGGATAGGGAAGTATTCGTTTCCAGATGGTTGCTTCGGAGTGGTGGAGGGGGCGAGTTGATCGGTGTTATTACGCCGGTGTTTCTTAGGTTTAGCGTTAATTCTGCATTCGATATGATGTCTTTGAGATTGTTGATGAGTTCTTCAGTGGGTTTTCGCAACTCGGAGGCTGAAGTAGATGTGGCCGTCTGGACTGTGTATTGGGAGATTGCGTTCGAGAGGCCCTCTATAATTCGTTGTCGATGTTCCATAATGTCGAAGGGAAAGTCGTATGTGAGATTGTATGTGCTACTTGATTTGAGGTGGGGTTTGTCGCTTCCGATGATCGGTTGTGAATGGGAGGGAGGTAAGGAAAGATGTGTTATTGAAGCGCCAATACCTTCAATTATCGAAGCGTGGAAGGCGTTGTTTAGAAAAGTAGTGGTTGGGAGTACTTTTCGTAAATCTTGATTGTACGTTTTAAATTTGCGACCGTGGGCAAGTTCCCCAAATGATCCAGACCCCAAAATGGCCAAGATGGTGGGGGAGCAGATGTGGTGCACGGGCCACAACGACCTCATGAGGTCGTTGTGGCCCGTGCTTGAGGGGATGGGGGACTGGTATGAATGGACAGCGCTGCATGTGGCGGCAGAGAATGGGCATGAGGCGGTTGTTAAGCTTCATGCCCATACTTCGCCGCCCTATGCAGCGCTGTCTGTCTATTCTCATCCTTATGTGCGTCAACCTTGCCGGTATCGAGAAGTAGCTTAATGTGACGAACGGCAGTCTGATCTGCCTAAGTGAGATAGCTGAAGGTAGTAAACTATCAGAGTCGTTCGGTGAAGCCAAAAGGTTCACAACAAGTATGCGTGATACTAGTCTCGGTGATAATGGTCAATTGACTACTGTCGAACTATCTAACAATCTGAGTTCTCCAGTCGTCCCTTTATACTCCTGACACCTTGCCTTCCATTTGCCTTGGTGGTGTCTGCTCACGATGGTGTTGTTGGCTCATCGTGAGCCTTCTTCTGTAGTGAGCACTCTTGCACGCCCTTCCGGTTCAATCCTGGTTCTGGGGTTACATTGTCCTCCTTTGGCGGGGCTGTCGGGTCCCGATGGCTTGGGCGACCCTTGTGTCGCTTAAGTTCGTAACACGATGCCTCCCCTCCTTAGCCGACGTCCTCGGCGGCTTTGCTAATTTTCCTGACGTGTCTGCTCACTCTTATCTCTACACCGCTCGCTCCATTATTCTAGATACAGTAGGCTCTCCTTCCTTCCCCATACTCGCCGTCATGTCCAACCGTGTTTCCAAATGTTCGACCACGTCGTCTGCTCGACGGCAGATCTTACTGACTTATATCGAATCCTTTGGTTCCATAGTCATGCCTTGCTAACGTTGCACCGATCGCAAGTTCGTCTGCAAGAAGTTCCCTGGGAACGCGAAGTGCAGCGAGTGCGTCCGCAGCGCTCGTCCTTGCGTGGAGGTGGACTATGACTCGGAGTGTGAGTTTCCTGGTTGTTACTTGGCCGTCCGCTCGCTGACTCCTTAGTAACTCGGATGGTCGCGGAGAATGAGAAGTTGAAGCAGGAGCAGGCAGCACTTGTGAAAGCGATGCAAGACCATGCTCTCCGTTTGTCCGAGGTACAGCGGCGACAGGAAGAGTTGGCGGAGAAGGCTCGCGACGTGTCCCGTGTCGCGATGGCTGAGTTGGAGACTTCGGATGAGGAGGATAGAGCTGCTGGGAAAGAGCCTGAGCCTCTGCCTGAGGAGCAACCGGCGGAGGCGTCTACCTCCGCCGCCTCTGCGCCCGCGGATTGGACGGTTTTGGACGCGACGTCCTTTCCGGTTTCTTGGTTAGGCAGTCCTTCTCCCCTGGTCGATCCGGATTCCTCCGGTGGAATTCCTCCAGCTTCTCAGGGCAATTCAAATTCTTGACGGGTTCCCATGTGTTGTCCTTGGGACCAAAGCCTTCCCATTTGATGAGGTACTCCAGTTCTCCTTCCTCTATCCTTGAGTCCAAGATTTGCTCTACATCCCATTCTTCTTCCTCGTCCTCAATACTGGTTCGTGTGTTGACTCGTGCGTTTTTAGGCGCTGGTTCCAGTAGTGAGATGTGAAATGAGTGTGATCTTAGCTTCATAGTGTTAGGAATGTCCAACTGATATACCACATCTGAGATCTTCTTGATTTTGAAAGGTCCCACCCGTCGGTCATCGAGTTTCTTGCTGGGTCGCTTTGTTCTCAGGTTTCTGGTGGACAAAAGGACTTTATCCCCCTCCTTAAAGCGAGGTCCCTCGAGTCTTTTCTGGTTGTAATACCGGCTCATCTTGTGTCGTACGAATTCCAGCTCTGCTTTGAGCTTTTCGTGCAACATGTGCAACTTTTGGGCCTTGACTGCAGCCCTGGGAACGTTCGAGTCTGGTCCCTCCAAGAATTCTGGCTCATACCCGTAGTTTGCGAAGAAAGGTGAAACCTTCGTGGTTTCCGTAGGGGAAGTGTTGTATGCCAATTGTGCCGTGGGTAGTAGTTCTACCCAGTCGCTTTGCTCGAAATTGACATAATTCCTCAGATATTGTTCCACGATTTGGTTGATCCTTTCCGTTTGTCCGTCTGTCTGCGGGTGATGGGCTGTTGAGAGCTTGCTCTTGGTACCGAGCTTGGTCATTAATGCTTGCCAGAATTTGGATGCGAACTTGGTATCCCTGTCTGTGATCCATTCCTTCGGCCAACCGTGTACCGAAGTGACATTCCGGTAGATCACATCTGCAAGTTGCTCCGCTGACCATGTTTCCTTATAGGGTAGGAAATAGCTCCACTTGGTCAGCCTATCCACTACCACCAGGATACTGTCATAAGTGACTCCTGTGGCGGTATCTGTGGATGGTGGTAACTTGGTGATGAAATCCATAGTTACCGAACTCCACGGCCTTTCCGCGACTTCCAGGGGTTCAAGGAATCCGTATGGCTTGTGTCTTGCAACCCTGGTCTTGCTACAGCGTTCACAGGCCTGCAATGTTCGAGCCACTTCGGCTTTCATTCCTGGAAAGTCGTAGTGTTGCCGTATCCGTGCCATGGTTTTTGCAATACCCATGTGTCCTCCTATCTTAGACGCATGGATTTCCATGATGAGAGCTTCGCGCTGCTCCGGCCAGACGTAGGCCTTGTCGTGGTACCATAGCTTGTCGTTCTGAAGAACGATTCCTTCTTCCGGGCTGTCCTCCCATCGTTGTCGCTCTTCGGGAGTGACGATGGTAGCCTGGTAACCGGGGTCCTGCAGTTTAACCCGGTGGACGGCACAACACTCTACCCATTCCTGTAGGGGGTGTACAAATGATCTGTCCGGTTGTTCCTGGAACAAGGGTGCAGAGGCTTCTGCTGCATCTTTCACATGATCTGCCCGACGACTTAAGGCGTCGGCTCGAGCATTCTCTGATCCCTTTTTGTAGTTGATCTTGAAGTTGAATTCTGATAAGAACTCGGCCCATCGTGTTTGGCGGCCGTTGAGCACCTTCGTGGTCGTGAAGTACCGGAGATTGTTGTGGTCGGTATAGACTTGTACTTCGTGCGTGGTTCCACTGAGGTATGGCCTCCATTCTTGGAATGCTTCGATGATGGCCAAAAGTTCCTTGTCATGGATGGGGTAGTTGCGACGGGGTCCTTCCAGCTTCTTTGAAAAGAAAGCTACAGGATGCAATTTCCCCTGGTCGTCGCGTTGTCCCAGTTGACCTCCGATGGCGTAATCTGACGCATCGGTCTCAACTTCAAAAGGCTTGTGGGGGTCAGGAAGTTTTAGTACGGGGTCTGCAGTGATTGCATCGCAGATGGCCCTGAAAGCTTCCTCTTCCTCCTTTCCCCATGTGAAAGCGGCCTCTTTCTTGGTAAGCTCGTACAATGGCCTGGCGATCTTCCCGTAGTCACGTATGAACATGCGATAGAAGTTTGTGAATCCTAGGAATCCGCGGACTTCTGTCGCGTTCCTAGGCACAGGCCAGTTCCGTACGGCTTCCACCTTGCTTGGTTCCATCCTGACCTCATTCTCCGAGATCAAATACCCAAGAAACACGGTTTCTCTCACATGGAATTCACTTTTCTCCATGTTGACAGAGAGCTTGTGTTCGTGTAGTGCGTCCAGCACTTCCTTCACGTGTTTCTTGTGCTCCGCGAGAGTCTTGGAGTAGATGAGAATATCATCTAGATAGCAAATGGCTGTCTTGTCGAGGTAGGGTCGGATCGCGTGATCGATGACGGATTGGAATGTCGCAGGTGCATTGGTCAACCCGAAGGGCATAACGAGGTACTCGTAATGTCCGTAGGGTGTGCGAAATGCTGTCTTCCATTCGTCTCCTTCCTTGATCCGGATGTGGGCATAGGCAGCGGGTAAATCAAGGCGCGTGAAGTATCGTGCTCCTCCTAGTTGACTTCGAATGCGTGAAATCAGGGGTAGGGGATAACTGTTTCTCACGGTCTCTTGATTCAGTTGCCTGTAATCAACACAAAGGCGCAGCTTTCCGTCCTTCTTCGGTACGAAGAGGATGGGGTACCCGGCTGGCGATGTGGATTCCCGAATGTGTCCTCGTTTCAAGTTTTCGTCCAAGTACTTCCTCAACTCTGCGTTCTGCTTCTCGTTGGTGTGGTACACTTTGAAGAACTTGAGCTTGGCTCCTTCCTTGAGCTTGATCTCATGATCCCACGGTCCTCGTGGTGGTAGTCCTTCAAGGTGCTTGCTGACGAAAGCCGGGTGTCCTTGATACTCTGCTGGGATCACCGTCTTCGGCTTCTCCGCCTGTTGGTTCTGGTAATAGTCGAACTTATGTTGAGCATTGACTGCGGATACCTCTACCAACGTCACTAACCCTTCTTCCGTAACCTTGCCGCTTTTGTCGATGGTACAAATCATGACTTCTTGTACTGCTTGCGGTGGGGCCGTAGGAACGACGCCGTCGCGGCTCGCTTCCTTCCGTGCTCCGGGTTTCCCATCAGTGGTTGGGTACGTCCTAGGACGCAGGCGGCCACCTTCCTTCCAGCTGATGTCTGGATCATATGCAATGTGCCATGGGTGCCCTAGGATCATGTCCTTAGATGGCCCCATATCGACGACGTCGAAGCTGATTTCGACCGTCTTTCCTTCTACCGTGATGGGGAGTGGTAACGTTTCCCTTTTCACGATCTGTGTCTCGAAGGGTCCTTTTACCACAAAAGGAGCCTTCGATAATCTACGACGAAAAGCACAAAATCTCGAGATTTTGTACACCGTTTTGGGCATGTCAGCCAGTTTTCGGCTTTCCAAAGTCATGAAAGAAGACCAACAACGACGTCGAGCAAGCTCAGGTTGTATGTCAGCTGTGTTAGCAGGTCGTGGCATTAAAGACACTCCTGCAGCGCGGAAGGCATTCACGGCGGAAATGTGTCAGGCTCGGAAGATCATGAGGATGGTAGAAGGATACGATGGGCTTCTCTGCTTTTTACCCCTTGGGTTTGGTAGTGGGTTCACATTAACAGCTTTGAAGAGGTTTTCGAACAAAGGCCTCGAGACCTTCCGTGCCACCATTGCTCGGTATAAAAGCCTAATGTTGTTAAGTGAGGTGGGCAATGAGTTTCTACTTTCTGTTTGGGGTGAAGGAGAGTTCAAGGAAAGATTGTTCCAAAGGAGACAGCTTGACGAACTGCAAAACCTACCCAACGAAGACCTCATTAAGCTTCTGACACCCATTCAGCCCGAGGATGGTATATAGGGTAGTCTTATAAGGCTGGACATTACGTTCAAAATAAGCAGTATCAACCGTAGCTGTATTATTATTTTTTCTGCTAGTTTTTGTTCTTAAAGCAATCATCATCAAACTTTACAGTGTTATAATGCATTATCTCGCAACCGCACTCGTCGCCTTTGCTTTGGCCCATGGCGGCTTGGCCGACAACGAACCACCACACATCATAACCTACACCGGGTTTCAGTGCACGGGCGAAGCAACATCCAGCGTCGTCGGCATCACCGGCTGCGTCGCCCCCCCCCCCCCGGAATTCCGGTCTTACAAGGAAAATGGATGGGGCCCTCACCACACTCGCATCGGGTTCTACGAAGAAGGCACTTGCCGGACGCAGCTGTTCGACACCTGGGCTTATGATGGAGACTATTTCCAATCACATCAATGCTACGATGTCGGCTCTATTGCCGCACACGAGAACCCACTTGGGCCGATGCCGATCAGCGCCAGTGGACTGCTGCTCAAGATTGTTGTTGTACGTTGCCATGCCTTGCTCACACAGTCTCGCAGTGTACTAGTTGACTAATTTTTGCGATGAAACAGTGATAGAGCTGCTCGACCCTGCGGCCGCTGAGGACCCAGACTTGGCTAGGATATCGGCAACAAATGACGGGAGGCTGTGGAAGCTGGAGTCAAAAACGCCAGTCATTACCACCTACATGCACACACACACATGTATCACATAACACAAAACTCTCCACGAGCCTTAATAGAAACTGATCCTCCAACTTGGAGCACACTCAACGCTTAACTTATTCTGCGCAGCATTAATAGCGATGTTGCCCCGTGACACTGACGAGGTGATTGAAGTGATCAAATCAAACTAGAAGACGGTTGCGAGATAAGTCTTGATATGATATAGAAAAATGGAGTGGAGATTAGAGAACAAGTCTAGCTAGCCAAAATATTCAAAGATGAGCGACCCGAGCACACGCTTCAGGCCTGATCCGAGACGCCCGATAGTCCTCGCTTCAGTTCCCGTCCTTGTCGTTTTCGAGCGGCGTGTTCAACCCCAAGCGCTCCCGCGTCGAGTATTCCGCAATGCCTCCATTGCGGTCTGCCTCGGTGACAAGCTCCTTACGGCGGGTGTCAACCAGAAGACGAATCAGATCCGGCCGCATATAGTGTCCAGCAAAGTCGGCCAGCGCTTTCGTCAAGTGGCATTCGTTGAGGTCAATCTGTAGTAAATTGTCTTGTTAGTATTTTTTTCCTTTCAGATAGACAAACATCCCAATAGAACAAAGTGTGGCACAAACGTACATCGACAAACAACAATCCGTCAAAGTCCTTGTCCGGCTTGACGACAAGAGTACCGTCCGGCCTGTAGATGCGCGCATGGCCGTTATACGTCGACGGGTCCGTCTCGGGCTCGACACCCTCGGGCGTGTTTTTCTTCAGGCCCTCTGCGCTCAGCCGCTGGAAGGGTGCCAGCGTCCACGTGCCCGTCTCGATCGCATAGGCAGGCGTCACGAGATCGGACGCCGGGTCGGCCACGTTGGTCGCCGGGTCGGGGTACTTTAGGGTTTCCTTGCCGGGATAGACAGGCCACGCGGCGATGTGGATCTGCTCGCCCATCGAGACGTTGAGCGACTTGAGGAACGGGTTCATGTTCTCCCAGCAGTTGAGCTGACCGAGCCGGCCCAGCTCGGTCGGCGTGACCGACATGAAGGTGTCGCCCGCGCCGTCTCCGTAGACGAGCTTCTCGACATGGGTGGGCTTGATCTTGCGACGGAGGTTGATGACCTCGCCAGTGGGATCGATGAGAGCTTGCGACAGGTAAAGTGTGGCGTGGTCGATTTCCGAGAAGCCGACCGACACATAACTGCCCAGGTGAAAGTGTTGTGTGAGCTTCATGACGGATCATCATCGAGGTTGGGGCCGGTGACCGGATACATACATTTGGTTGTCCCTAGCAGCCCTTCTAATGCGCCGAAACTCGTCCGAGTCGACGGCCATGGAATTCTCGCGGTATTTCTTCAGCATAGGCAACGACTGCTGGTAGTTGACCTTCCACATCCAGTATGGATAGCCCGGGATCCATACTTCGGGAAAGGCAACGAGCTTACAGCCGGCCTGACCCGCTTCGTTGATGAAGTCGATCGTCTTGCGAACGCCTCCCTCGAGATCGAACCAGCACGGCTCAGAGGTGACCTATTTTGGCGTCAGATAGATAGTCGACAGAGGCATTCTTTCTTTGACATACCGCTGCGGCCTTGTACTTGGTAAGGACCATGTTGGAGGATTGATGGGGGAGTTGTATTGGCGAGATGGATGTTAGTGAGTGAGGACTTGATGATGTGTGACCGATGATGATTGAACCTCTTGCGGAAATGGGCCGCCTTATATACCTGGTGCTGCCCTCATTCGATACACACGAGTTAGATATCATCCATCGGCTCTACCGGTAAGATGAAACGTCGTGGTGGTCAGACACCTCGCGCAATTCCGGAAGTATGCCTGTGTTGCCGCGCTCAACAATCATGACACATACTCGGTGGAATTCACTCTACTCTCAATGCCACGCTGACAGGGTTCTGGGGGTCGCTGATCAATAAATTGTTGAGTTTGAAGGTATGGAACCGTCTGGAGGAGGGGGGTGGGGGTGGGAGGGGGAGGGGGAGGGTGGTTGGTGATGGCCTCATTTTTCGGTTTCGTTGTCCTAGGTCATGGTATTTTTCCCCGCGCTTTTGTTGTGTAATGGTGCCAATACAGCTATTAGAAGTGTGTAATTACTGGTATGTCGGGACCAACATCGAAATGAGGCAAATCAAACGATTTGAAACAATCTGAGGCAAATCAACCGAAAAGAATTATTTGTTTGACTCAGTCCGAACACTGGAGTGAATACCTATCGCACAGGGCACCGAGGGGCCGGAGCTGCTTCGGAATGTTCAGAGCCCTGGTATAGGCCCGTCTAGACATACCCGTGCGAGTCTGGGGGCGAGGCACGTAACCCGTCGGTGGCTGAAGTTTGGAAAGCTGTTCTGTACTCCCTCTTGGCCTGGGGTGCAGTCGTGGAGGGTTACCCTGACACCTGTCTACAGAAGATGAAGATCTGGATCATCACTTCGGGATAGCTCCTCTGCATACGCATTGGGGACTGCTATTCGTGCGGCAATGGATCCCCAGTCTCGTGACGCATGCTCCGTCTACTACCGTTGGATCCTAGGGGTACATGGAGTCCGCACCGAGACGGGTTTCGTCGTTTTTGTTCCTTCTGAGATACAGGGCCCACACTTTCGGAAGAAGAAGGGACAAACTCGCTCTTCCGCCAACACATGAAGTTTGAAGTGGAAAGAAAGAAACGCCGCGGTATCGAATATCCGGAAGACTAGGCCCACCCGCGCCAAGCGCCGTCGGTAGAGGTAGTTCAAGTTCCGTGGTAGTGGGCCCTATGCGTTGCCAAAGCGGGGCCGCGCTGCGTTAGTCTTCCCGCCCGACTTCCGGGTTGCATCCGTATATCGCGCTTAGTCTTCCCTCCCGACTTCCGAGTACATTTGTATACTACTGTAAGATGGCAAACCTGGTCACATCAAAACAAAGACTTGATGATGGGAAATTGATTAATTCTGATGATCCGAGGAAAAACTAGCTATGCTCAAGGCGGACTCTCCTGAGTCCGTCTTATACTCCATGGTAGTGGTTGGACTTGCCTTGCGAGAAGCAAGTTGTCCCAGACTCGGGCTTCAAGTCCTGGGGAGCTTGACTTAGGCAAGTCCAAATTGTAGAGACTTGTCTTCCGACCGAATCCCGGTCAGCCAGACTTGTCCTCTAACAACTACGCTTGATCTTCCCTCCCGACTTCCGGATACAACCCTATATCGCGCTTAGTTCTTGCCTCCCGACTTCCGGGTACATCCGTATGGATATCGCCCTTAACGGTCGGCTGATCGTGTGGATCCCCCGACGACACGGGCGGTCCTAGACGGGCTCCGCTTTGGACTACCGGATGTGGTCGATCCCGGTCCGTTAGGGGCTCCACTGGACCCGGGAAGAACCGAGAAATCTCACGATGGCTTCATTCCGTGTTTGTCCGGGTTTTACGAGCTTCATGAACTCGGAATCAAAGTATTGTGTGGTACATACGTAGCGGCTCAACTCGGATCGGATCCCGGCTGACTGGAAGACCAAGCGGCAGTCGGTGGCCGGAACTGTCATCGCAAGTTCCCACGTCTTGTGGACGGGAGCGGACAATCGCGAAAGTGCAGTAGCGGCCTGGTAGTTTGCACCACTTATGGGGCCGTAGCGCAGGTAGGGCTCAGCTTTTCAGCTTTTCCCAAATGTTACGAGCGACGTGGTCACGAGAGACAAACCTGAACACGTTGGTTCCAGGTATATAGTAGAATCACAAGATAAAGAAGAACAAGAGGGAAACGTGCAAAGGCGCGCCTAGCGCCCAGGGTTTCAACCCAGGGCCCAAATGGCCGGTGCACGCGGCACGATATCACGTGCACGTCCCGCCGTGCCGGGACCCATCCGCCAGTGCCGTGACACCGAAGTTATGCGGCGTTATGGTTTCCAATCCTCCTCTGATCTTAACCCTCCAAGGTTCGGTCGCCTTCCTCCATGTCGGAGTTAAGGTCGAGATCATCCTCCTCCTCGCTGCTCATCCGATCAAGTTCATTTTGCAACAATTCCATGAGCTTCTCCTGAGTGTTCTCGAGGACCTTTGCCACGATCTAGTGATAGTAAGTTTCCAGTTCCTCATCTAACTTTTTGCTGCTCGTTTGCTTACCTTGTCTCTGAGCAGATTCTTGGCCTTTATGTAGTCGCAACAATGCTCGATCGCAGAATCTTCCATCGCTTTGGCCATTTGCGGGGAGAGTTCACAGCCGGGGTGGGCGGGGATGGGAGGTTTCAGACGAGACGCATTCACTGAGAACCAGCTCGTCAAGTTGTCGCCATTCATTGGCGACTTCATCACCGGGGACCAGTCTTTCTTCATGGCCACGTACTACATGTACTTCCCGTTCCTGACTTGCGAGGTGAAGTGTGGCGCAGCGGCGCTCGACATCGCAGATCGGCAGAACGCCCACAGCATGACCCTTGCGGTACGGGGCATCGTCGAGCTCTTCCGTGCTGTCAAGCGCGAGGATGAGGTCAACCGGAAGATCCTCGCCTTCTCCGTCTCACACGACCACCAGTCAGTACGGATTTATGGCCACTACCCAGTGATAACCGGGAAAGACACCAAGTATTACCGGCACCCGATCCGAAATTTTGTCTTTACTGAGTTAGACGGCAAAGAGAAGTGGACAGCGTACCGATTCACCAAGAACGTCTACGACACATGGATGCCCAAGCATTTCGAGAACATCTGTTCTGCCATCAATCAGTTGCCATCGGAGTTGAACTTTGATGTCCCACCGCTTTCCGAGGCGACCGGGCTTTCCCAGGATTTGGGGAACTTGATTCAGTCAGATGCCAGCTGCGCTTCTCTGCCTGACGAGCGGGGCAGCCAGTCGAGCAATGCCGGGCAGCAGGCGGTCACTCCAGGTACCTCATTCAGTGAGCCGAAGAGGAGGAAAGGATAAGGCCTGGAAGGGCCGTAATGTGTTGGCGGGTAGATAGCATAGGATTCAATTGACCGTCATCTTCACCTTGGCTACTTCGCTTCTTGCCTTCCATCATTCATAAACCAAGTCACTGTCCTGGCCAGGTGCTTTGAGTGATCACCCTAAATATTCGGGTACCTTCGTTATGGCGGTCCCCCAGTAGACACTTTTACGGTAGTTTTACATGTAACCGAATAGAGGCCTTCAGATTGCACTATACAGCAAAAAGAATTAAGATGAGCCTAGCTACTCCATTCCGACACAGTAGCCAAGGACGACGGCGTCTTAGGATGCTTAGGCCCAAGGATTCGCTGCCGAGCCTTAACACAGTCTTGTATTAACGCTAGGGCATCTTCATGTCGACCTTGACTATTCCACGTGAAAGTAAGGTTGGCCATGCTCGTCAGCGTGTCGGGATGATCGGCCCCGAGCTTCGCCTTGCGAGTCTCCATCACCTGCACCTCCAGCTTCTCTCATTTCTACGGTAATGGGCATTTCAAGCGACTCCAACCGACTCCTGTTCACTTGTTGGAGGACGCTAGAGATGACGTCGGTGTGAGTGGAGGAAGAAGAGGGTGGATTTTTTACGTTATCTTGACAACAGTAGAAGATTACTAGAATTTACAAGATTCCTATAAATTTGCCTATCCTCCCAGACCCTTCTGGTGGCACGCTAGAAAAATGGAATAGAGAGAAAGAAATTGAGAAATACATGGAATACATTATATGTCTTGCGAGAAGCCAATAAACCAAACCAGTCCCGATACGCTGCCGATGAATATCATCCGTCCCTGGAGGTCATAACTAGATGGTCGGTAATTCGGTGGCAGCCAGAGTACGTTCTGGCCGTTACAAGTAATCCAAGACCTATCCTGTCCCAAGCTATAGCTATGGCTCTCTGGATTATGCAGTACAACTTGGCTTTCGGTAGTTTCTGTAACTATTTTAATACGTCCAACGTTGGTACGTAGGTAGCGATTAGTATGGTCAAACGATATATTGGTCATCATAGTACTAGTAATAATCGTTTGGAGGCAGCTCCCCGACGCCGGATCCCAGATCTTGATCGTCTGGTCCACCGAACCAGACGCAACCCGCTGGCCATCAGGCGAGAATGCCACTGAGCCAACGTAGCGACTATGGCCTTTTAGGGTCTGGAGGCAGCTCCCCGACGCCGGATCCCAGATCTTGATCGTGTTGTCGTCCGAACCGGACGCAAGCCGTTGGCCATCAGGCGAGAATGCCACTGAGCCAACGTGGCCGCTATGGCCTTTTAGGGTCTGAAGGCAGCTCCCCGACACCAGATTCCAGATCCTCCTCGACACTGGATTCCAGATCTTGATCGTGGAGTCCTCCGAACCGGACGCAAGCCGCTGGCCATCAGGCGAGAATACCATTAATTTAACGGCCTCGCTATGGCCTTTTAGGGTCTGAAGGCAGCTCCCCGACGCCGGATCCCAGATCTTGATCCTATAGCCGTACCATGAACTGGACGCAAGCCGCTGGCCATCAGGCGAGAATGCCACTGAGCCAACGGCGCCGCTATAGCTTTTTAGGGTCTGAAGGCAGCTCCCCGACGCCGGATCCCAGATCTTAATCGTGAAGTCGTCCTTCGAACCGGACGCAAGCCGCTGGCCATCAGGCGAGAATGCCACTGAGCCAACGGCACCGCTATGGCCTTTTAGGGTCTGAAGGCAGCTCCCCGACGCCGGATCCCAAATCTTAATCGTGAAGTCGTCCTTCGAACCGGACGCAAGCCGCTGGCCATCAGGCGAGAATGCCACTGAGCCAACGGCACCGCTATGGCCTTTTAGGGTCTGAAGGCAGCTCCCCGACGCCGGATCCCAAATCTTAATCGTGAAGTCGTCCTCCAAACTGGACGCAAGCCGCTGGCCATCAGGCGAGAATGCCACTGAGCCAACGGCACCGCTATGGCCTTTTAGGGTCTGAAGGCAGCTCCCCGACGCCGGATCCCAGATCTTGATCCTATAGCCGTACCATGAACTGGACGCAAGCCGCTGGCCATCAGGCGAGAATGCCACTGAGCCAACGGCGCCGCTATAGCTTTTTAGGGTCTGAAGGCAGCTCCCCGACGCCGGATCCCAGATCTTAATCGTGAAGTCGTCCTTCGAACCGGACGCAAGCCGCTGGCCATCAGGCGAGAATGCCACTGAGCCAACGGCACCGCTATGGCCTTTTAGGGTCTGAAGGCAGCTCCCCGACGCCGGATCCCAAATCTTAATCGTGAAGTCGTCCTCCAAACTGGACGCAAGCCGCTGGCCATCAGGCGAGAATGCCACTGAGCCAACGGCGCCACTATAGCCTTTTAGGGTCTGAAGGCAGCTCCTCGACGCCGGATCCCAGATCTTGATCGTAGAGTCCTCCGAACCGGACGCAAGCCGCTGGCCATCAGGCGAGAATGCCACTGAGCGAACGGCGCCGCTATGGCCTTTTAGGGTTTGAAGGCAGCTCCTCGACGCCGGATCCCAGATCTTAATATAGCCGTACCATGAACCGGACGCAAGCCGCTGGCCATCAGGCGAGAATGCCACTGAGACAACGGCGCCGTTACGGCCTTTTAGGGTCTGAAGGCAGCTCCCCGACGCCGGATCCCAGATCTTGATCGTGTCGTCGCCCCATGAACTGGACGCAAGCCGCTGGCCATCAGGCGAGAATGCCATTGAGTCAACGGCGCCGCTATGGCCTTTTAGGGTCTGGAGGCAGCTCCTCGACGCCGGATCCCAGATCTTGATCGTGTCGTCGCCCAATGAACTAGACGCAAGCCGCTGGCCATCAGGCGAGAATGCCACTGAGCCAACGTAGCGACTATGGCCTTTTAGGGTCTGGAGGCAGCTCCCCGACGCCGGATCCCAGATCTTGATCGTGTTGTCGTCCGAACCGGACGCAAGCCGTTGGCCATCAGGCGAGAATGCCACTGAGCCAACGTAGCGACTATGGCCTTTTAGGGTCTGGAGGCAGCTCCCCGACGCCGGATCCCAGATCTTGATCGTGTTGTCGTCCGAACCGGACGCAAGCCGTTGGCCATCAGGCGAGAATGCCACTGAGCCAACGGCACCGCTATGGCCTTTTAGGGTCTGAAGGCAGCTCCCCGACGCCGGATCCCAGATCTTGATCGTGTCGTCCCCCGAACCGGACGCAAGCCGCTGGCCATTAGGCGAGAATGCCAGTGAGCGAACGGCGCCGCTATGGCCTTCTAGGGTCTGGAGGCATGCATTCCAATCCAATTCTACAGCCGGCTTAGTTCGAATCCATTCAGGTTCTTCTGCCCTGAAACTCCTCTTTATCAAGCTACTGCTTGGAGCAAACACAAGCGCTGATATGTATGCTTGAAGTGGAGCTTGCTCTATTATTGACTTATAAGACAGAGCAAACCGGTAAGCATCCCAAACAAGCTTTGATAACTGCGACTGATCATTACCTCCCTATATCTTTAATTAGACCAAGTTCTCAGTGCGGAGTTAGACTTGTACTTACTAGCAGGCTCTCGAGCTTTCTAATAGCAACAACGCTTACAGGCATAACTTGGAGTAGACTTAGAACTTCCAGCCAGTAAAGGTACTTCGTCTTGAGGAATGTATAAACAACCCCGTTATCCTGTAAACGATCATACCGTTTTGTGTTCGTGCCAGAAACCGAGTCACAGAAGTGATCAACCCAGTAGACGCACGAGTACCGCACCGTCGCTAGCGGGTCCGGATTCGGTACTTGGACCTTGTCACCCGGAAATCCCGGTGCCCTTAAGCCGTATATATCGCGTCGCAGTGTTGTAGACATGGCTTCAAGTGACCTCAGGAAGATGATATAGTGTACATCTTCTTTCCCTTTAGGGAAGATCCAGTCGAAAGCCTCTTGAGAAGCTTGATTGCCAGCTTTATCAGAGACATTGGAAAGCAAAAAGTCCTTAGCTGATTGATGAACAAAGTAGACGGTTTGTTCTCGTAAAGTTAGAAATGAACCGCAAAGCCCTATAATATCTTTTAGAGATTCAAGATTGTTGCAAATCGTATTGGGCAACTCGGCAAGAGAGGCTAGTTCTTGAAGGCTGATTGGCCGGCGAACAATTGTGACAACAGCAAGAATGTGCTTGCAGTAATCGGATTCATCGAACTGGCTCATATCCTCTCTCATCCGCGCATATAGAGCATCCAGTCCAGATGGAAACATGCGTAGCTTTTCTACGGCAAACCCTTTCTGAACTTTTTCAAGCGCTTGGCAGACCAACGCCACCCAAAGGAAGGTATCTTGCGCGTTAGAGCACAGGTAGTCCTGAACGGTCGTTTTCGTAATTGGGTCGTACTCCTTCAGCTCTTTTAGGTAATCCACCTTCTGCAGAATAAACGCATTTACAGCCGTTGCGACGGATTCCGCATTTAGCTCCAGGGAGACCTTCACTTTATCTGCGGCTTTCTTCAACCGTTCCTCAATTTGCGGCCAATTACGGCTTGAGACTATCCACTTGACTCGAGATCCAGATGATGATTGCTGAGCAATGAAGTCGAGAAGCTGTGGCAGGTCTGTTGTAATGCACTCGTCAAGCGCGTCAATGACTAGGTAGGTCGTTCGGAGGCTTGGGTCTTGTAAAATATCGGTGAAAATGTTCGATAGGGCGACCCACGTATTTGCATCTTTGAAGAGGTTCTCGCCTGCACGGTCATACTCCCTCCGCAGGTGTGGGAGGACAGATGGCTGCTGCTCGATAAGCAGGTAGATTAGGCCGCGCAGTATGGCGGTTGCATTGTTGATGCGAGAGTCGGTAGCTTGGCAGAAGAAGTAGGCCACATTGCAGTGGCGCGCGTTGGCAGTATTGCCTTGATCCAGCTCATTAATGATGCCGCACAACAACATAGTCTTCCCTTTGCCAGGGTCGCCCTTGATCCAGAGCAGTCGGTGCTGTGGGTCGTCACGCCATTGTTGAAAGTCAGCGTTATTGAGGACCCAACGATACGAGTCCTGCAAAAGGCCGCCTTTGGTCCGTTCGATGCGGACTTTATCATCGCGAGGATCGGTAAGGCGCAAGTGCTTCAGGCATTGCTGGTCCTTCTCTGACATTGTATAGCGTCCCGGTCAGCCATGATGAAGACGTGGTGAGGAATCAGTGTACTGACCTTCCTTCTCACGTTTGAGATGCTCAGGTTCTTGATCAGTTCCAGAGTAAAAAGCTGTTAGATGTTAGCACAGGCCCATACCATCACCACCCGTAATGGAAACCTACGTCCATAGTAGTTGTGGTTGTATTGATGCCCGGCGGCGTTGTTGTTATACTGAGGCCCAGGGCCGGTATTGGCGTTGGAGAAACCCGAACCAGAATTGTAGAAAGACATATCGCAGGGATTGAGCTTCGGGAGGTGTATAATGCTTGCTTACAAGATCAAACGTGTGGAATTAAAGGAGTTGATCGTCTTGCAATGTTCAGGGAGAAAGCGAGGGGTTGACAGAACGGAACGAAGAGATGAATATTGTCCAACTGGTTGGCCAACCAAAATTTCAAAGGTGTAGCATCCCCAAACTTCGGTTTGCAGCTCAGAAGACTCATCCCCAACCAAAGATGGTCTCAAAGCTGTGGGAAGACGGATGTGGTAGCGAAATGTACACATTTGCAGCATCAGCTGTTGACGCCTGGCCTTCCAGATCAGCCTAGGTGTCAAGATACCCAATGGACACTACCTGTTAATGCCCAAATTCCCAGTCTGGCGTGGGTCGGCCACCAACCGCATGTGCCATTGGTAGTGTGAAGATATCCTTTCCGGGAAAGCTGAATGCGACGCCTGCCCCCACAACTGCAAGTAAGACGCCAATCTCCTAGACTGGGATCACCGTCACTTCGAGAGAGGTCCTAAGCAAATTCGGCCAATCAGAAGCTTCAAAAGAACAACTCCGCATCGAAGATAAAACACTTAGGCTTGAAGGGTCACCTGGCCAAGAGGGGATTGTCTGGTCTGGATGCCCTCCATATTTCCCATCATGGTGGGTGGAGGTATGTGAGGCCACCAACCCGACAACGCCGAGCCACAATGCTCACTCTTGGAGAAAAGGGTGCCAGAGCTGGGCCTTAGCCTACCTCTGTCCACCTTGGATCTTGCCTCTACCACCCCGAGTAGACGTTAAAACCAAAAGCACCTTCTCTGGTCCTTGGTGTATCTTTGCAAGCTGAGACAGCGTTGTTCTTCGTTTTGGATAATCACGTTCGATGTCAACAATTGCCCACATGGATCCCTCACACGACACTTCTCGGTACACAGTCGGCTGGATCGCCCCCTTGCCCTTGGAACTCACCGCTGCGGTGGGAATGCTAGAGGACCCCAAAACAATGGAAATTCCTGACGACGACGTTGTTCTCTATCACGTAGGACGTATAGGCTCGCACTTCGTCGTAATGGTTGTGTGCCCGCGCATGGGTATCGAACCAGCCGCCACGGCCCTTGCCAACATGCACCGCTCGTTTCCCAACATCAAACATGTTCTGGTGGTCGGCATCGCAGGCGGGATGCCCTGCTACGGTCCAGATCTGCAGGAGCAGATCGTCTTGGGCGATGTCGTTGTCGGCGTTCCCCAGCATGGAAGAGGAGGTGTGACGCATTATGAGTTCGGTGCGTGGGAGGGCCAGAAAGAATTGACTGTCAAAGAGTATACGCTTCACCCGTCCGCTACTCTACTCACTGCGGTGAATAATCTGCGAAGCATGTATATGCAGGTGGTGGGAAGTAAGATCCCGCAGTACCTGGAGGAGTTGCGCAGAGGCTTGAATGAGCGATCGAGGCAGGCTTATGAGGATCCTGGGGCCGAATACGATCATCTCTTTGAGGACAGCTATCTTCATACGGACAGGGGAAGATTCTGTCAAGGCCTTTGTGACGCGACGCGAGCAAAGCTGCGCAAGAGTCGGGGCAAAAGAGCCGAGCGGAAGAGTGACTAACCCTATATCCACTATGGCAATATCGGCTCGGTAAATGTAGTTGTCAGGTCGAGCGCTAAGAGGAACGAACTCTATGCAAGGTACAATATCATCTGTCTTGAGATAGAAGTTGCGGGCGTGATGAGCGACTACCAGGGTCTGGTGATCCGGGGAGTCTGCGACTATGCGGACTCGCACCAGAATAAGAAGTGGCAGGGCTATGCGGCAGCGACGGCGGCGGCATACGCGAAGGAGCTTCTGTTGCTGCTACCGGCAGGTGGAGGGTCGTCGACAGAGTCATCTCTTCCCGATGAGAAGAATGGGACTCGGGGAGATGGGTGGTATGTGGGACGGGATCAGTTTCACAACTCGGGAGGCGGGTTTATGAACTTCAATATGGGCGCAGGGTATCAAACGAATAACAACACCGCCGGCAACCAATATAATGCGCCGTTTTATGGGCATCCGTCTGCCATACCGCAGTGGCCCAAGTACTAGCAGGCGGGGTTCAAGTAGACAATGTCGCTCTCTCTCCTCCGTCGACTGGGACAACTTCTCCACCGCTGACGAGCTCCCTTGCTTTGGCGTCGCAGGCTTCGAGGCTGGCAGAAGTCTTGGTGAAGAAATCCTGGATTTCAGAATCGATGGAATAGTTCCTTGCCGCGTCAGGACTCGGGCCAGTGATGGTGATCTCGGACGATTCCTCCATGGCGTGTTGGCTGGGTGAAATGACGAGGAAGAAGATGACGAGGAAGAAGATGACGAGGAAGAAGATGACGAGGAAGAAGATGACGAGGAAGAAGAAGAGAGGAAGAAGAAGAGAGGAAGAAGAAGGGGAGATGGAAGTTGGATAATGCTAGACGCGGGGTTGCAAGTTACGCTTCATACGGGCGACTTCCATGTTTGCCGCTGGCGGCAGGTGTTTGTTATCACCTTCTATGAATTATTTGCGCAGTTGTAAGAACGAGCGTTCCCAACGTACTTCTCCATACATTCTTTGTTCTATTGTACCTTACTGTGTGGCTCCTTCTTCGTAGGGCGGTTCCGTCTACCCACCTTCCCTACAAGACCGGGATCGATAATACTGAACCTCCCCGTCTCACGGCAAAGAAGCCGCCTTCCTAATAATAACCTCCCCATTAACAATCCCCAAAGTCGCATCCCCCCTCTCCATCCACTTAGTTCTTGGACGACTTGTCACTGGGAATAGCCCAACTCCCACGGGCAATCACCACTTTAGACTTGGAGGACGTAGCCAACAAAGTAACCGAAGCTGGCAATTCGGTCGCTCAAGTGGTCTTATATAGTTGCGATGGCAGTCAAGAGGCACAGCTGCAAGACTGCCGTCACATCAGTCACCTTCCTTCATGTCGAAGTCAAGGTCGAGATCATCATCCTCCTCCTCGCTGCTCATCCGATCAAGTTCATTTTGCAACAATTCCATGAGCTTCTCCTGAGTGTTCTCGAGGACCTTTGCTATGATCTAGTGATAGTAAGTTTCCAATTCCTTATCTAACTTTTTGCTGCTCGTTTGCTTACCTTGTCTCTGAGCAGATTCTTGGCCTTTATGTAGTCGCAACAATGCTCGATCGAATAGTCTTTCACCGCTTTGGCCATTTGCGGGGAGAGTTCACAGCCGGGGTGGGCGGGGATGGGAGGTGGGACGAAAACGGTTCCGTCCGGTCCGGTTATGGTGCGCGTGGATGTGCCCGCGATGCCCGTGACTGTGGTGATGGTGAGGCCTATGGCTCCCGTGCCCGTGGTCTCTGTGACAATCTGGGATTGCTGGGCTGGCGCTTCAGGTGTAACCGTGACAGTGGAAGGGGCAGTTGCAGGAATGGGAGACTTTTTGTCCGCATCCATGTCCGCTAAGGAGAGCCTGGCGAGCCAGTTTGCAGCAGACCGATCCCAACGGCAACCAGGTGCCAGCCAGCCAGCAAGCCTTCGTTCCCACAAACACACGATGTGCGGTAAGCATGAATACCGACGCCGGCGCCAGCATCAGGCTATCAAGCCCGCGGAAGGTCATGAAGGAGCGTTGAGAGCGTGTTTGGACCAATGACTGGCCTGGAAGCAACTTGTTCCTGAATCCAAAGGCCCGAGAAGGCTAGACCAGCACGCAGACTGGGGTTCGATGGCACCCAAAATCACCAACTGCAGTCTTGGCAGGGGTATCCTACCTTGAGCCTACCGTTCGATGCAACCTTTTGATCGGAAAGGGAAGGCCGCCAGGGTTGTTCAGACTCTTCCATCGAGCTATTGAATCTGTCATCCGCTTAGCAAATTTCTGAGCACAGCGCTAGAAGCCCAGGCAGCACACCCACCTGGCTAAAAAAGCGGTCCAAAAGATAGCAGCGAGAGAGGAGACACGGGAGAGAACGAGAAGGAGAGGAGGAATTAGGTATCACAGGCAAGGGTACATCCTCGGTCCTCAAGGCTCAACCCATTTTGCCTCAACTGTCCTCACGAGTTGGCTTGACTGTTCACAGGAAAACATCATCATGCCCCAAGCGTCTTTTATGGCTTTTTTGTATGTAGGTATGGACAAGCAGTTCAGCGAATATCGATTCTTTTATGCATCAAATTGCCTTACAGTACCGCATCACAGATCTTCATTCTCCGTAGTCGTCTCTAAACTGGAAACGCCCCGGTTCTCTGAGAGCACTGACTGAAGACATGCACGGTTCTGTCCCCAGACCCCAGAAAATCATGCCATATGATGCGTTGGCGAGGAGTGATCCAATGGGAAAGATGGCTCTGAATCCCACTTTGAACAATATGATCGTGGTTAATTTCCACTTGCATCAAGACAGTCGAACTGCACAGTTGTCGCCCGGCCAAGCTGGCTTACCGGAACGCTGACCCAGCTTGGGCGCTTGGCCGGACCGGGGCCTGGCTCATGTCGTCACAAAGTCCAGAATCCAGCGAGCTAGACTCTTCGTGGACACTCGGGATGCTAGCCCTCAACACCGGTGCAAGATCGGGAGCACTATGAAAGGTCAGCTTGCCCACCCATCCGGCTCTTGTATCTTCTTCTTTTTTTTCTCCCTACGTCCCTTTTGATCCTGTTCAACCCCATCACCAAACGGCGTGCTTTCCAGCCGTGCAAGCCTTGTGTTTGCGTCCTCTCTTTGAGATCATATCATCACATACACTCTTTAAGGCCCCGGCCATTACAACTCATCTATCCCTTTTCACGGGTATAGTCATTCTTTTCAAAACACACAAGCTAATCACTTAATATCATCATGCACAAAAGTCTTGTGGCAGCGGCCGTCTTGGCCGCTACCGCCCGGGCTGCTACCGTCTCGGAGCCCAAGGTCAACGTTTACTGGGGACAGGCTGGAAACACTAGGCTCAGGGATCACTGCGACCAGGCCAACTTCGACTATGTTACTATCGGCTTCGTCAACAACTCCCCCGAGCAGGACAAGTCCGGCCTGAACTACCCCGGTACCAACTTCGGCTCTCACTGCGATGCCACCTACTACACGAACTCCAAGACCAACGTGGCGTCTCCTCTGCTCAGCAAGTGTACCGTCATTGCGGCGGATATTCAGTACTGCCAGGAGAAGGGAAAGAAGGTTCTGCTCTCCGTCGGTGGTGCTTCGGCCACGGGCTCGAACTATTCTCTCTCGAGCGATGTCAAGGGTCAGGAGTTTGCCAGCTTCTTGTGGGGAGCCTTTGGTCCCTACGATTCCAAGTGGACGGGACCCCGTCCCTTTGACTACGCTGGTAACCACGTCTCGGTTGATGGTTTCGACTTGGATATTGAAGTCAAGTTCAACACAGGTATGTTTCTGGGCGTTGGAGAGTCGAATCTGAAAGTGAACACGGGCTAACTTGCTGCAGTCGGCCAAAATGCTTATGTCGCTTTGGCTAAGAAGCTTCGCGAGTTGTACAACGGCAACAGCAAGTACCTCCTTACCGCCGCTCCCGAATGCCCGCTTGATGTTGCCAACTTCAAGATGAAGTCCATCATTGCCAACGCCCAGTTCGATGCCCTCTTCATCCAGTTCTACAACAACCCTGGCTGCGCGGCTGCCTCGACGGCTGGCTTCAACTATCTCGCTTGGGAGGCGGCCATTGCCACCGGCAAGAGCAAGAACGCCAAGCTCTTCATCGGTCTTCCTGGCTCCTCTGACGCCGCCGGCTCTGGCTACGTTGAGCCCGTCAAGGCTGCCGCTCTGATCAACACCTACAAGACCCGCGCCTCTTTCGGCGGTGCCATGATCTGGGATGTCTATTACGGCCAGGAGGTGACCAACGGAAAGACCTTCGTTGATGCGATCAACACCGCCTGCCACGGTACCGCCAACCCCACGACTACTACCACCGCTGCCCCGGCTCCCACTGCCATCGGTTGCACGGCTTACCACACCGTCACTCCCGGTGAATTCTGCTATCTGATTGCCCAGAACTATGGCATCACTGTTACCGAGCTCATCAGGTATAACCCTGCCTTGGATGCGGCCTGCGCCATCCAGGTTGGTCAGAAGTTGTGCGTCAAGCAGGGTATTGTTACTCTTACGAGCACCAGTGCCTCTGCCACCACCACTACTAGCACCAGCTCCAGCTCGTCGGTCGAGTCTACCACCTCCACTAGCACCGAGGCTCCTTCCAGCACTGAGACTTCCACCAGCACCGAGGCTCCTTCCAGCACCGAGGCCGTTTCTTCCACCATCACCTCTGCTCCCGCTGTCTCATCCACCGAGGCCGCTAGCTCGAGCTCTGAGGCTGTCAGCACCTCTGAGTTCTGCGAGGACGAGACTACCACCTCTGCCCCTGCTTCGGAGACCGAGACTGTGACCTCCTCTGCTACCGTTTCCGAGTCTGCCTCCGTCATCGTCAGCGAGTCTGCTTCCTCTACCATCACTTCCGCCCCGGTTGTGATCTCCAGCAGCGCTGTCAGCTCTGAGGTCCCCACCTCCACTGATGAGGACAGCTGCGACGATGAGACTACCACCTCTTCCGAGATCGTCTCTTCCACCGAGGCCCCTGTCGTCTCTGCTACCGAGTCCACTATCGTTTCCGAGACTGCTTCTGCTACTGAGTCTGCTTCTGCTACTGAGTCTGCTTCTGCTACTGAGTCTGCTTCTGCTACTGAGTCTGCTTCTGCTACTGAGTCTGCTTCTGCTACTGAGTCTGCTTCTGCTACTGAGTCTGCTTCTGCTACTGAGTCTGCTTCTGCTACTGAGTCTGCTTCCGTCACCGAGTCTGCTTCCGTCACCGAGTCCAGCCTGATCAGCGTCAGCTTCAGCACCGAGGTCCCCTCCGCCACCGAGGGTCCTTCCGATGGCTCTTCCACCACTGTTGATCCTTCCATCATCACCTCTGCCCCCGTCGACGTCGTTATCCCCAGCGGCAGTGGCAGCTCCGAGATCATCAGCAGCACCACCACTGAGGACGACTCTTGCGATGATGAGACTACTACCGAGGCTCCTGTTGGTTCCGCTACTGAGTCCGCTGTTGTTTCTTCCACTGAGGCTCCTATTGTCTCTACCACCGAGTCTGCTGTTCCCTCTAACATTGTTAGCGAGAGCATCATTCCCAGCGGTGTCGTTCCTAGCGGCGTTGTTTCCAGCATCATCTCCGATGTCACTGCTGGCCCTACCGATGGCAACAGCGTCGTTGTTCCCTCTGCCTCCGTCTCCGTCCCCGCTGAGGGCGGTATCTCCTCTGCCCCTGGCGCCGGTGTCACTTCCGCCCCCGCTGAGGAGTGGACCACCTCGACCATCTACACCACCACCACCTCTACCATCACCAGCTGCGCTCCTGAGGTGACCGACTGCCCCGGCAAGATTGGCCAGGTCACCACCGTTGTTGTCGCCATCGGCACCACCGTCTGCCCCGTCACCGCCACCGAGACCTCCGCCAGCGCTCCCACGGGCATCATCACCTCGGTCCCCATCGAGTCGATCCCCGCTGGCTTCACCACCTCGACCATCTACACCACCACCACCTCCACCATCACCAGCTGCGCCCCCACCGTGACTGACTGCCCCGGCAAGATCGGCCAGGTTACTACCATTGTCGTACCCGTCGGCGTCACCGTCTGCCCCATCACCGAGGCCTTCCCTCCCGCCACCTCGGTCCCCGCCGCTCCCTCCGCTGGCGCCCCCGGTGCCCCCGGTGCTCCTGCCGTCTCCGCTCCCGCCGTTCCCTCCGGTGGTGCCGGTGTCCCCGCCGTCTCCGCTCCCGCTGTTCCCTCCGGTGGTGCCGGTGTCCCCGCCGTCTCCGCTCCCGCTGTTCCCTCCGGTGGTGCCGGTGTCCCCGCCGTCTCCGCTCCCGCCGTTCCCTCCGGTGGTGCCGGTGTCCCCGCCGTCCCCTCCTCCGGTGCCCCTGGCGCTGGTACTCCTGAGGTCGATACCACCTCCACCACCTCCGTCACCTCCGTGCACTTCACCACCGTCACCGTCGCCAAGCCCACCGCTTCCGCTCCCGGTGCCCCTGGTGCCCCTGGTGCCCCTGGTGCCGGTGTCCCCGCCTTCCCCTCCGAGGTCCCCTCCGGCGGCAACCCCGTCCCCCCCGTCGTCAACGCCCCTGCCGTCCCCAGCGGCACTGCCCCCGCTGGCACTGCCCCCGCTGGCACCGGTGTCTCGCTTGCTCCTTCTAGCGCTCCCTCAACCTACAGCATGCCTGCGCCGCCTGCTCAGACTGAGCCTGCCACTGGCGGCTCTGAGCCCTCGGAGGTCCCCGTCACTGCTGGTGCCGGACGCAACGTTGTTGCGATCGGTGTGCCCGCGTTGATGGCTGCTTTGGTTCTTGCTTTGTAAATTCTTGATATGCATGTGGGAGGAATGTTGAATGGAGAATGAAATGCACAATGGGTGTACATGGAAGAAGAAGAAGAAGAAGAAACTTTTGGACATGCATGATTAGCAAGCTTTTTTTTTGGACATATTAGGAAGTCTTTTTACATAGTGTACATGCACGATTGTTTGTACCTACTACTGCATGTCTTTTCCATTCATGTCCATGGTGTTTTCCCATTCTCTCTGCATGCATTCATCCTAAAAATATCCTTGGGGTCTATGGAGGAGGCAAAGCAAGCGAGCATATCTGATTTTCATTTTCATTTTTTTTTTTATCTGTCACTTGTTTCCTAGAGTAAGAATTCGCCTGCATCAACCTTGCCAGTATCGAAAAGCAGCTGAACGACTACCTCATGCCCAGTTATCGCCGCTCGATACAGCGCTGTCTGTCCATTCTCATCCTTAGCACCTGCGCCAACCTTGCCAGTATCGAGAAGCATCTCAACGATCGCTTTATAGTCTTTTTGCGCCGCAAGCCACAGCGCCGTCCGTAGCTCCTCCTTATGCAAGTTGACCTTGCCGGTGTCGAGAAGCAATTTTACGACCGTCTCATGCCCGTTTCCTGCCGCCAAGCATAGAAGCGTCCATTGGCCCTTGTCCTCAATAAGTTGATTTACCATTGTTTCCTTTGCATCTTCCTTTTCTGAATCCTCGGGACCTAGGCAAGTCTTTTTTAGGTTGCTCATGCTCCTCAATGCCCTCTCAAGAACCGCCGTTTCTTCCCGAAGATTCTTCACTGCAACTCCATACTGTTTCACCTCTTGTAATGCCAATCTGACATTCCGTATCCTAGTCGCCGCATTTAGACAACCTTCTAACCCTGTCTTTGAATGCTTTGGTACTGGAATGCTTGCAAAGTAGTCGTGGTTGCTTTTATCTTGCTGCTTATTTGGATCTATATCCCAATCCCAGATAAGTAGAAAATTGTGTGGAAAGACTGTTATCGATTGTAAAAGTTCTGACCACTTGATATCTCCGGTCGTAGCTTGTGAATCGCCTGCTGGGGAAACTGCAATCATTATAACCGCCCAGTGATCGTTGTATGGCCTGAGGATCGTGGGTCTCGACGCTCCTTGCAGAAGACAGACGACATCTCCTTTTTGGACGGATTTTACCGTGGTCGGGAGAGTCCAGGAAGAACCCCATGCTTCCTTCACGCAAATATAGCTAGAGGCATTCTTCCAAGTAATGGCCACATCTTGTCTGTCTTCCCAAGTAGCATTTCTCGTGACCGAGGACACTTCGCCAAGAATGCAGCCCTTACCCTCAATACAGGCAATCTCCTTATCGTCCGAAAGACCTACTACAGAGACCAATTCAGATAAAAACGAAGTGGATGAGTTTGTTGAAGAGTTGTTTCCACGAAATATCGTAGTCGGCGAATAATCCTGCTGCGGTTGGATTATCCGAGCTCATACCGAGTAAGGCATATACTTTATCGCGACGATACTTAGCTTCGCGGGTATGGTACATCTCTATCAGTTCACCCAGAGGGCGTATGTTAAGAGAAAAGTTGTCTGACTGACTGGTCACGTATTTGCGCCGGAAGATTGCGCCCCTTATGAGGTAGGTTACCGAAAGAATTCGAGCCCACAGGTCTGCGGGGAGTTCATTGGATACGTTCAATGCATCTAGGCCTAAGCAGAATGCAGATCCGTCAACCTCAGCAGAACCACACTTGATCAGGATATGGCGAGCCGCGGCAACTTCCTGAAGCACCTGCATCAATCTGTCAGTTTCCTTAGTCATAATACTTTGACATCGGTTCTCTTACCCAGATGCGCCGAAACCACGGTCCTTGAAGCAGTGTAAGGATTTCCGCTTTATTGTCTAATCGTCTTCTAGACAGCTCGGCTGCGATGCGTATTTCTTCGAGGGCTTGGTCGCTACCGGGTTCCTCCTCTCCAAGCCAAACAATTACGCGACTTGCTTTAGCGTAGATCTTCGCCATAGATTGAACTTGGTGTCCTTTTTCTTCTTTGTCTCCTTGGTTGATGCAAATGGCGTCTATCCATATAGTTCGTTTAATGGAGTGATCTCGAAGATGTAACAGCGCTGCGTAAAGGTTTTTCCCGACGGCTAAGTTGTACCCGTTTATAAAGATGGAACAAGGCTTGTCCTCGGAGCCCCACACGTAGGATAAGGCCTCGTATGGACGAGTGCCTTTTGAGTCCAATGCGGTGCAGGAGTCTAATGCGGTGCAGAAGAGCTTACAGTTGCAGGAATGGGAGATTTTTTGTCCGCATCCGTGTCCGCTAAGGAGAGCCTGGCGTAGTAGTGACTGTTCCGCTGAAGAAGTAACCCTGTCCACTGTTGATGTTCTGGTTGCCGCGGCCAGAGTGGACATATTGTGTTCCAGTATCGTAGTTGCGGAAGACGGACGGCTGGTGATACGACATGGGTGGCCTTGGTTCTTGTGACAAAGGTACAGACGACTGCTCTGACGGCACTAACGGCACAGAAGGTTCATGGTCCTCATCACAAGCAATTGGATTCGCACATCTAGTCGGAGGCGATGGGCAATTTCCCAACGACGGGACGACATCATTCTGAGCTGACGCATTCCTCTCGATCCTGGCCTTCATCTTATCTCTAGTGGCCTCATCCAGAGCACGATTGTTCGTCAGAAGCTGGATGTCTTGCAGGATACCCTTCATCAGCGATTCGACCTTCCTGCTCCTGCCGATATGTAGCGTCATGATGGCGGCGGTGGTGAAGCGCTTGCGCGCCGAAGGGAGCGAAGGGGGCGGTGGAAAGATGGAGAAAGGATATGCTCAACAAGGCGGTGGGACCGTTGAAGATATGTTGCGAGTATTTGGCTGGGAAGGGGGTGGAGGATTGACTGGATGTTGGAGAGAAAAGAAGGAAGGGAAGCTAAAGCGCACAGGAACAGAGATTCATGATGCATATGGCGTACCGGTTCCTATGGAAGTATACCCTATTGATGCGAAAGAGAGCCTGAAAAGGAAATAGAAGCATGCCGGAAGCCATAAACAGATAAACAAAATAGACCCATACTGGATGTTATAGATACATCCCCAGTAAGACAACTGCTGGTGGGTCCCACGGCAGTCAGTATCCGACCACGCTTGGATCTGGCAACTGTTTTCCGTTTCACTTGTCAGCAATCATGTTCATCGTTATTAATCTTTCTCCTTGTCTCCCACACGCCCTTAGCCCTTCCACATCCCTGTTGAGCTTCCTCCCCCCTTCCTCCCTACCATCACCAAGTCACCACCACCAGCACCACCAATACACAACACCCGCCATCACCATCACTATCACCACAACCATCACCAGGTCACCAACACCATTACCCACCACCACCCAACCACCAACACCCAACACCACCACCATCATCATCACCAATAATTATATAGAGGTTTGTTTATCAACTCTGTCCTCCGGGACGAAATATTTCGTCGGTTTGAGAAGGGATCCTTGGATGTTCGCAACATTTACATCCCGTTCCCATTCTCAGAACAACGACCTGACAGCTAGCCACCGGCTGGACGGGAGTCGGTACACTCGCGAGTTACCTATTCTTGACCTCCGCACTAAATCTCAGGTACACATACATATCCTCAGTCAGCGCCCTCTGTCCCGCATACCGTATTCTGGCACCTCAGCTGCTTTCTTCAGCTGGCCATCGGAGTTGGGGCGCCCACTGCCCGGGAACCTGGAAGTCACGGCTGTCCAATCTATCATCATGTTTCGTAAAATCCGTATATTACCACCGTCAGGGAAACTATAGCTATCTAATCAATCATTATGTTTCGTGAAATCCGTCTATATCGCCCACCGTCCCTTCCTAGAGTCTTTCATCCAAAGCCGCCCCTACCGCAAATCATCGAGTCCTTCGGTCAGCCCGACTACTCGCCCGACCACAATCTTCCCGTCCCGACGACACCATCCGACCCAGCACCAACCCAACGATTACTCCTCCAATCCAGTTCCTGCAAAGCACACATATGAAGATTAGCAGAAAGAACGAACATTGAATCCTCATTAAACAAAGGGCAGTTGAAAGGAGAGGTGACTTACGCAATAAAAATGAAACCACCGATTATCACTCCCCATATCCCCAAAACCCCCAAAACCCCCAAAACCTGCCCCTGAGTACAGGTATCAAATTGCATCCCGGCCACCGGCACCCACAAGAAAAACCGTGGCACCCACCATACGCCCCAGTCCTGTCCGAGTTCCGGTTTTTCTACTAATCGATCAACGAGACCTCTTTGTGGCCTTTTTCCGAGGCCGCCCGGAGCGCTGTGCCGTAGTCTCCACCTTGTGCATTAACATCGGCACCCTTATCGAGCAGCATCTCGACGACCTCTTTGTGGCCTTCTCTCGAGGCCGCCTGGAGCGCCGTGCTGTAGTTTCCGCCTTGTGTATTAACTCTCTTCACCTATCACTCCATGTTGGATGAAGTTCGACGTCTTCGACCATGGTGGGTTGGCATCTAAAAAGCCCTTTCGGTTATCCATACCGTGCCACTGCTATCATCTGCGGTGGTTGTCATGCAGACGCTCGCAGATATTGGATGGTTGCGCTGTCGGGAGAGACATGAAGAACAAGTTGCATTGGCGTCGACACAATTTGGGATATGGATCTGACGACAAGCATCCTGCTGCCTTGTCTGGGTGATCTGGGTTTCTCTCTCCTTTCTTTTTCATTCGGAAGACACCTTCTCCGACGACTTACCATCCTCGACAATCACCCGTAACCATCTCGGGGAATACTCTCGATTTGGAGGACGGATTGGCCTCAAACTGGTCTTCGTTTGTAGTCACTGACAAGGACCAGGGTTTATTACGCCACGAAAGCCTCTTTTCTGTCTCTCTCCATCTATTCTTATGCATCTATCCGTCTCCTTCGAGCTCCCAAAGACTGGAAGAGATAAGAGGGCAGCCCCCTACGGCACCTGTCCGCTCAAAGCCTCCCGAACCTTACCCTTGCATCCCCTGCCTTCAACCCCCTATCTTCTTCCTCCCTCTTCCTCCCTCTTCCTCCCTCTTTCTCCCTCTTCCTCACTCTTCCTCCCTCTTCCTCTAACTTGCTCTTCCTCTAACTTGCTCTTCCTCTCTCTATCTTCCCTCATCTATTATCATGGCACCTCGTCAGCTGGCCTGTATGTACAAACTGCGGGATCGAATCAATCAACTGGATTCAATCCTCACCAGGTACCGCAGCCTATTGGAGCATCGTCTGGTTATTGCGTGCAGTGAATTCAAGCGCCAAGACACGAGAGACTGACAGCCTCGCAAAGTCATTCGGCGTTGGTCCCGACTACTCCTTCTCCTCATTTTCACTGCCAATGCTCGCCAAAGCCAGACAATGGCGGCTATCAAAAGCTTATTTCACTGCCTCAGAAAGGCGCAACACATTCTCTTCTCTCTCGTTGGATTGGCGACGTCCTTTACATCAAGCCTGATGTCAGCGTGCCACATCAACTTTTCGTCTTTCAAGGATCAAATGCAGCTTTGATGCTGCAATGGAGGACATGCCAAAAAGGCAACCAGAGGGTTCACTTCGGGTAGTGTTTGTTTTGATATCAAGGCTTCCAGCCTCGCTTCGAGCCAAGCCCCATGCAAGTATGCCAGGGGGGCGGGGGTGCTGACACGGGCCCCCACCCAGGCTTAAAGCCATCCCACCATACCGTCCGTCCACTCAACCCCCAGCATATGGCGGTAGCGACGGCGAGGTGCTTGGCTTGAAGCTATGCTTGAAGTAGTTGTGATACGGGTGGTGGCCTCTGGGCTTCGCGTGCAGTATTAGCGTTTCTTGACATTGCTAGAGTAACAGACGACAGGCTTCATCTGCCTACCTATGTAAAAAATCTAGCCGCAGTGTCAGGACGGTCAACTTTTCTCGTAATCCGCCCAATTATATTCATCTTTTTAGCGCCGCCTCCCCACTTACCGTAATGCCTCCGTCCGAACGATATGGATATGGGAGGTTGTTGTTCAGTTTTTTGACCCTACCACGTGATTAAAAGACCCGTTTCACATCCTTCCCACTCCCATAGATAAGCTGACATATCGCCTGACTAGTAGTTGGGTCGGTGACGACCAGCGAATCCCAGGTGCTGTATGTTTTTTTTTGGTCCAGTGTTTTTGCAGTCGCTTATCTTATCGTATTTGTCCCTTATCGTCCTTATCGGTCCAGGCGGGAATTGGATGGAACGGAATGTCTTCCTGTCAGAGGCCAGGGGATCCACTGGCGTGCACGTGCCCAATTGGGCTAGGATATGCGGAATTTATCATAGAGATGCCAAAACTTCGAGTCTACAGATCAGCTCTTACATAGTTACATATAATCAAGCTACGTTGAACCCCATATTGATTATTACCTATAATATTACAATTAAGAATCTTATTAATTTAATCGTTAAAGCTATCGCTAATAATAATGACCAATTAAATGACTACTAATAATATTTACGACTAAAATTAATAGTATTACTCTTAATAGCCCTAAGAACTAGCCCGCTTGGGAAGATGCCTTTATTTCTATAGCCCAGGACTTTAGTCTTTAGAAGTATATCGACCCTGATAACCGTATACCCTAGTTAATTAAATCCGCAAAGCCTAATATCGCTAACTACTAAGGAGAAGTCCCTATTAGAAAGATTAGAAAAGCTAAGAAGGAGAAGGAATCTACCCTATCGACTACCGCTAAGATCCACAATTTCCATTATAAGCGCAATTATTGTAACTATATAATTAAGAAGTTGGACTAGCGTATAAAAGTTAAGACCTTTTCTAATCTATGTATTAAAAAAATTATATTAAACCGCTAAATGTTTAAAACCGTTAAAAATAACTACCGGGAGATTAATTTTACCAAACGTACTAGTTTATATAAATAGTATAATAATCTTAGCAAATTTACCGCCTTTAACAATTGTAAAGTAAAGAAGCTCGCCCGGGCTATACTCATTAATATTCTTAAGCCCCCTAGTAAAGCCAATCATAATTAGCACAATTAGACCTTTTAATAAGAGGCGGCTATAGTCCTTTATATTATTAGAAGGATTATTAAAATAAATGAACCAAATTTGTAATTCTCCGAATTCTATATAATTATTCGATCGAATCCTTATACCGCCAAGGCAAATAACTACTAACTTTAATATAATAAGGAGATTAAAAAGAACCCTAAATTCAAAATCTCCTTCTATACTATTACTAAGAACTTTTATAAAGTAATAATAGCGAGTACTATTTAAGGAAGGGGTCGTACCCCTCTATTTAAAGGTATTACGTTTACCATTACGTTAGGTAATAAGCCCGCTAAGGAGGACGCTCCTAATAACGAATAAAACCTTAGCCCAGAAGTAAAGGGACGGGGAGAGGCTATAAATAAAAATAATAAATTTAGGAAAAATATTAATAAGAATAAGCGCCCCTCTTCCTCGTCCCTACTTACAAATAAACGATTGCGCTAATCCCCGTATAAACTTTATAAGCAGCCGGGGTATAATTTAAATAAATACTACTATACTAAATTATAGCTAGCCTTTAAAAATTAGGTCGAAAGTCCCATTATTAAAAAACGCGCTATCGCTAATTTAAAGAAGAATAAAAACCTTAAAGAGGCTATTAACCGTCTACGAACTTAGTAGGATAATAAAAATTAAAATAATCAATTCTATAAACGCCGGGTAAGTAAAAGTAATTTCTTAGTACTTATAGCGAAACGTAGCGCTATATATCTACTAAGAAATTCTACAATCTTTAATTTAAATACAATAATATATATTTTTAATAAAATCAATTAATTTAAAGACTTTACCTTATTAAATATTAATAATTATGTATAAGTTAGAAATAAGCGGATTCCTATTAAGGGGTATAATATTATTATAATTATAATCTAGGATAATATTAAAAATAGAAAGCTCTAATTCCCCAACATTATTCTAATACCGGGTATAGTTTATAACTTCGTTTCCTTAAGATAATTCGAAGAGGAATAAATCTATTAGGATTATAAGAATAGCTACTTATACTCCCGCTTTATAAATTCCCTCATTTATTATATCCCCTTTAAATATAAGTAATTTATTTTAAAGTATATTCTTCTATAAAATAGCGCTAACAAATCTTCTTTTATTATATAGTATACAAACTATATTAAATGGAAGTTCTAAAAGGGTAAAGCCCTTCGTTAGCACCTTCGATTTTACTACCCGGGACTTAAAACCTTAATTAAATTAATAGAATAAAAATATAACGTACGATTTAAGGAACTAGATATAATATACTACGAACTATATAGTAAGGCCAAATTAAAGCGCTAAATATATAAAGAAGTTCGTAATTACTTAAAAGGCCCTAAATTATAATTAACTATCAACTTCTTCTTTTATAAAAAAAATAAAAGTAGGAGGCTAGAAATATTCGAACTTAATAGTAATTGTAGACCGGTAGTCTAAATTCGTTTAAGTATACTACTTAAGTAATAAAGAAGCCGAATCTATTATTACTTATTTAGAATCCTTCTATAATAGGCTATAAACCCAATACTAAATTATACTTTGGGTAATCAAATATAATAACGAAATAATTGGTAGTAAAAAGATTACCGCCTAGTTTATTGTAAAAGGGATTAATATCGAACCTTTAATACCTTATATATATAAATTTGAAACGGCGGCGCAAAGCGTTTAAGGGGTATAATCAAAACTAAGGGTACGGTAATATAATTAAATACAAAACTCCTTCACGAATTATAAATAAAAACTACCAAAATAATTATATATTTATATAATTTAATTCCTAAAGCGAAGTATTACTAGAAATCTCCCTAAAATTAATTCGTAATATACTACTAATTTAAAAACAATATTATACCTCTATTAAACTCCTCTCCTACGATCGTATACCTTAAAATATATAAATATAAGGCCTTTATTCTTATAATAGAAACTATAAAAGGAGAGAATAAACTAATAAAGCTCAAAGATCGTACTTAAGTCGATTATTTAGTTAAATACTAATTAACGAATATTTATAGGATCTGGAATCCCTATATTAATTCTATTATTATTATACGAAACGTTATATTTAATAAAAACGAAATCTTCCCTAATATTAACGTTAAAGAAATCTATAATACCCTTAGTATTTCCCTTAAAGAATTGGCTATATAATTAAAAGATTTTTACTAAGTAAATATTATACAAATAGACGTCCTATAGGTCGAAGTTATACCTACTACTCGTCAGGTCTTCAAAACCGACCCTCTAACTAGCGGGCGAGCTACTAGTTAAGGACATTGAATCGTACATGCCCATTGATTCGTACCGAGCGGGGTACTTTCCCCACCCGCATTTTTACTAGCAAATGAAAGTTGTTCATCCGGAGCTAATAATTTTATTTAGTAATATATCTATATTTTTTAGTCGTATATAAAATCGCTAATACGACCAGTATATGTATCAACATGTAAAATTATTGTTATTTTGTACGCGCATCAATCTAATAATATAGATTATTTATACTAGAAACTATACAACCTTATTACTACAGTGGTTCAACCTCCTCACAGTTAAAATCCCTATATCCTTCTATATTATTACTATCCTCTTCCTCCTCCTTATCCTCATTGTCGTCGTCGTTATCGTCGTAAATAATTTTATTCTTATACTCTTTATACTCCTTATTTTCCTAATTCATTTATACCTATCGTCTATTATTAGGGTACTACCAATCCGGGTCTCTCTATATATTTACCGGCTCATTATCTTCAATAATTTTAGCCTCCTCCTCTTTTAGAAATAGGATATTCCCCTTGCTGATTAACTATATAGTAATAGTATTATTTATAACCTTCTTTCGTACTTTATTGAATACCTATAGAGTACGTAGTTTAGGAGGATCACCAGGAGGTTGCTAATATAGGGGTAGAATAACGTTTTATATAATACGGGTACGGTTAGATCTTAATCGTTTAACTTCCTTATCTATAGCCTTCTACTTCTCTATTTAATAATAATTCTAGCGGTTAATTCTCTCCTTATAATATTTACTAATTAGCTAATTGAGGTTAAAGAAACGTACAATATATAATTAAATATATATTTGAATCTCCTTCCTTAGTATTTTAAAGATATATACCCGTAACTGCTCGCTAACTAACTATACCTTTTGTATAATAATAAAGCTACTAACCTATCCCCTTACTATACTTTACTCTTATTAAAATTTATAATTATAGATACGCTCGTCTTCTTTCTTAGTAAGGGTAATACGCTAGTATTTATTTATTGAAGTATGTAAACGGCCATTACTAATAATAACTATACCGTTACGCCGCAATAGACGGTTAATATTACGTAAGTTACGCAATACTTCCTTAATTACTTCTTCTTTATATTTGTATTTAAATTTAACCTCCTTCATAGCTACTAGGTTAAAGGTATTACTAGCTTTATTTTACTTAAATAATACGTATATAACCGTTAGTAAGATAGCGCAATCTCCTTTAATTGTAAATAAAAGCCGTTATTTAATATATTCGCTATATTCTTTAATAAAAAGGAGGTTAAGTATTAATATAATTGTACTACTCTAGTCTGTAACGGACTACTTTATTTATTTAAGAGTAGAGGGCTCTCTTACAATAGGGAACTTACGTATTAGAAGGGGGTTAAGTAATAATAAAGGACTATTTACTAAAATCCTTAGTATATAAAGGATTGTATTTTTTTCTAACCCTAAATTAATTTTTCCCTATTTAGTAAGACGGGCAATATACCTTCGCCTCTATTTAAGATACTCTTTATTTATTAATAAAGTTAATGAATTACGAAGGTTCGAAAAAATCAAGTTAAGGTTGAAGGGATTCAAGCTAGTACGCTTCTAAGTAAATAGGATGTTCTTTACTTTTATTACCTTCTTCCGAACCCTCTTCAAACTATTAAAAAAGTCTAGCTTATTATAGTTAACGTTATTAAAGGCGAGCTTCTTATGTATATCTACTTAATGAAAGTACTTATAAACTTAAAATACTCTAACGTCGAAAGATTAAAAATAGTATATTGAATAAGGAAGTAAGAGGAAGAGGGTAATATAATTTTTCCTATATTACTTATAAAATTCGATAGTATAGTAATTACTATAGTTATTTAATACTAAGACTCTCTTCTCTTCCTTATCGATAGGACGAGAGTATTCCTCCCAATACTTAAACCAATTTAGTACGTACTAGTCATCTATATAATTTTGTAGAGAAGTGGTAATAATTATCCCGTCTTCGAGGGAATTATTAATATATTTATACGTAATATTAATACTAAGAAGTAAGACGAAAGGAAGTATAGTTCGATTAAATATACAAATAGCCTCAAAGATAATAATAAGAACCTTCTAGTCAAAATTCATAGATTATATTTCTATTATTTCAATATAAATCTATACTAAATAGGCCTTATTAAAGATACTAACCCTAAAACTAGACTCATTACCATTCTAAATATTATTTCGCTTGATTTTATACTTGGTAATAGTATTATTAAATAGATAAAAAACGTCCTCGATATCTATACGGGTCTGTAAAGCCTTTCGAACCTATACTATTAACTTGGTGCGTATATTGTAAAAATCACCCCTCTCTAAATACCACCGTACCTATTTGGATAAGGCTCGAAATATAAAGGTATCCTTATTACTATTATCACAATTCAATCTTATTAAGGTAATCACAATTAAAATTAACTGCTAAAGGTTTATTTCGATCCCTATAAAATATAGTTAATTATATATAACTTAAGAATTAAAATTACTAGTACTAACCGACGGATATTTATATATTAATCCAAGTATATACGGCAAAATCCTCTTTTTTAATTAATAAGGTATTATTCCCCCCATTACTCTCCCTTAACTATAATCCCTAATAGCGACTAATAATTCGTCTATATAGCACTCGAAATACCTTCGCTACGTCTAATATAATCTTATATATCCCCTACTTAAAAGTACGTACGGTAATTAGAATTCTAGCCTCTATAGGAAGCGTATCCTAAACGTTATCTAGAATATTTTCAATATTAAAAGGCATCTTATTGAGGCATAGATTAGAGTTTAGGGGGGCGCTAGCGGGTTTATAAGGATGGAGAGGCATAGGGAAATAAATAGGGGTACTACGTTAATATAATACCAGAGTAAGAGAGAAATAGTGAAACCGGATAACTAAGGGGTATTATAATCGATCAAAACTAATTGCAATCGATCAAGACTGATTGCACTATATTGTAAAATACTGTACGTATATAAAGATAGGTATAATTATTAATAATATTAATGTAACGGTGGATTCGAACAATTTATAGTATAAATGGCGGTTACGATTAGAGTATTAGGTAGTATGGGGAATTAGGCTGCATATAGGTAAAAAAGTATACAATTGAACAGATCTATATTAATTTGCTAGTAAATTGGCGGGTGGGGGAAGTACCCCCTGTTTCGGTACGAATCAATGGCCCATGTACAATTCAATGTCCCTGACTAGTAGCTCGCCCGCTAGTCAGAGGGTCGGTTTTAAAGACCTGACGAGTATAAATAACGGAGTTCTTAACCCCGTTGTTTAAAACTTTCCTACCAAGACCGAAAATATACTAGGAGAAGAGGAGGAATTAAGGTCTCTAAAAATATAGACGTAATCTAAATCTCTAGAAGTCCCGTAAATACTAGAAATATAATCGTAAATAGGTCTAAAAATACCGTAAGTATCTCTAGAGCCCTTACTATCGCCGCCCGTATAATCGCTATCGGATTTCTAAAATATAGTATTAAATTTAAAGGATAAAGAAGAAGGCTATTTCCCTACTCCTCCTAAAAGCTTAGCCGCATTTCTAGTAACCGACCTCTCTTATTCTAATAAGGATTTATAATCAATTATAAATTAATACCTTTATTAGGCTATATTATTTTTATTTATAAAGGGCAATTGACCTATAGGCCTCTAAGGAAATAAGGTTGTAGATTAAACCTTCCTAGAGGAGATAAAAGAGCAGGCTATCAATATTGAACCCGGCTACAATCTTAAATTAAAAATAATAAGGGGGATTATTAACCGTTATAGAATAAAGGGTACGTTAAAGACCCTCTATTAAATTAATTTCCTACCTCTTTTAAAGTATTATAATAATTTCAAGTCTTATTTCTTTAGAGAATTCTTTAAAGCTATAGAAAAGGAATACTTGGACGAATATAAGAATAAGAAGTTTTAAAAGTAGGTTAGTATCGAAGGAATAGGAAATAACGAAATACTCGGTTCAATATAAGTATATACTTATAAATTCGATTAAGACGGCCGGTTCTTTAAATATAAAGTATATTTGATTATACGTAGAGATTAATAATTTAAAGATAGTATACAAAAAATATACGTAATGACTCTAACAATTAGGTCATTTTATATTTTAATAACTATAGCTACCTACTTTAACCTCGATTTCATTTAGTACGATATAAAGCACGCCTTTATTAATACTATATTCGATAAAGTAGTATTTATAAAGGCTCCCCTTAAGTATATTAGGAAAGGCTAGGTGGTCTAACTACTGCGCGTACTATATAGTCTATAGAGATCTCCCCTCCTCTAGTAGCAGGAACTTACTAAGACCCTCGTAACTATAAGTATAAACCCTTTCCCTATAGAGCCTAATATTTTAATTAAAGATAATATATTCTTCTTCTTCTATATCGATAATATTATTATTATTTACAAATATAAGGATAAAGAAATCGCTATAATTAAGGGAGTAGTAGGCGCTATAGAGAGGAAATATTAATTAATAGGTAGAGATCTACTAAAATAGTTCCTAGGCATTGAAATTATTCGAAATTGAAAGAAGAAAATAATTTGGCTATTATAGCGCGACTATATTTAGAAAATTACGAAGAAGGTTAAGTATATAAGGAAACTATATTCTATACTTATAGTTAGAAAAGAACTTTTATTTTACTAAAATAGTATAGCCCCGTATGAAATTTATATGTATTAAATTAAAATCAGTTCGATTCTTTATATCGCTATTACGTCGTAATTAAACGTAGCCTTCCTAGTCTTTAAACTCGCTCGATTTAATTTAAATCCCAATTTAGCATATTACGTAGCTATAAATAAAATACTCTTCTACCTTTTAATAATTCAAAATTATATTCTTTAATTAAATAGTAAAGATTATTAAAATTTTTATATTATAATTAATTCCTTATTTATAAATAATTCTTTTAATTATAAAAATTTATAAATATTTGTATTTAAATTATTAGGTATTATTATCGATTAGTAAGTTAATAAGTAAAATATAATTATAATTTTATTTATAGAAGCCGAATTATTATCCTTTAATTAAGGAGTTAAGGAGGCGATCTACGCTCGCTATTTTTTTAACGAATTTACCTTAAATTTCGAAAATTAAGAGGCTACGCTTATAGGCTATAATAATAAGCAAACGATATATTTTATTATAAAGGAGGGAATTCGGCTCCTAACTAAATTTAAATACGTCGATATATATAAATATTAATTAAAGTAAATATAAGAGAGAAAATTAATAAACGTAATTTACGTATTTACTAAAAAGTAAATTGCGGATAGCTTTATAAAGAGCCTCCTTCCCGTAGTACATTTAAAATCTCTAGAGTAGCTAGGATTCGTAAAATTATAACGGCTATAGATTCAATTACGAGAATTTAATAGCGGAAATATTGTTATAGGCCGCCCGAAAGGTATAGAGGATTCTATAAAAGAGGATTCGGATAACGAATTAGTAAGTATAATAAGGTAAAATTCTTACGAATAAAAGTTTAAAAACTACTGTAACGAAGAAGTAATTTAGGAATAGTATTATCTCTAGCTAGTTTTGGGAGGATTTTAGGGCATTTTAGGGCATATCTAAGTAAATCTAGGGTAGTTTGTGCACCAGATCTAAGGGGGTGTGTTAGAGGCTAGGGGATCTACTGGCGTGCACGTGCCTAGTTGGGTTGGGATATGCGGGATTTATCATAGAGATGCCAGAGCTTCGAGTTTGTAGATCAGCTCTTACACAGTTACACACAATCAAGCCACGTTAAACCCCATATCGATTATTACCCATAATATCACACTTCCTCCAATTTCACAATCCCGTCCCCATCACCTTCCTCTTCTCTTCCTTCAACTCTCTTCTTCTCGCTCGTCGATAAATAGTCCGTGTCCCTCTCTGCAAATGTTTTCCTCCAGGGAAAAAAAAATACGATGCCACTACCACGCCATGATCCTGTCCGCAATTGCCTACCATCCTCGATGATGGGTCTTTGCGACAGGTCGCGAGTGCCTGCTATCCATTGGCCATTTCGCGAAGAGGTTTATTTCTGGAGATGTGCGACGAATCCTTCATTGCTGCCTAATTTCTCACTCCTTTTTACCACTGAACTACTACGTCCGATTCCCGTTCTGAAGAGAAACAACCAGCGTCTTTCTACTTCGACGCTTTCCACAGTAACGGCAGCGATTGACCACAATGGACGGCAAACCTCTTGAGGAGTCATCATCCGAAGACGATGGTTCGCCTCGACAGTCTAAACATATTCTCGAGAGCAGTGACATGGAACCCAACCGTTTATGCAAACGCTGTTCCCGCGCCCTCACAGCATCCAAGACACTCTGGCAACCGAGACCGGTGGGCGACCCTGACTGGCCAGGCGAGAGATTCTTCCACAGCAAGAACACAAAACAGATGTTGAGGGACTCGGTAATTGCCGCCGGTTGCCATCTGTGCATACAAGTCAGTCAAGATGACAACTTTCCGCGCGCCGGGGATGACCAGAGAGTCATGGTCGAATGCAGCCGATCGAGGGCTTTCGAGGGCGATGAAGGGAACATTCCGATTGTTTCATTTTCCGCTATTTCCTGCGCCGAGTGGGACGACAATTGGGCTTCATTGCCGGACCCTTCCAAAGATGAAGAGCCTCAAGGTGATTCGGATATGACCCCATTGGCGAAATTCAAGCTCGAACGGACCGATGGTAGCGCAGGAGCGAAATCTCTTCTACCCCGAAGACTACCAGATGGTTCGATGTTCGTGTTGCCTTCCTCAACCAACTCGCCCGAAGCCTTTGGCCTTGTGCGACACTGGCTAGATGACTGTCTCAATAACCATCCGGAATGCAAGGGGTCCAACTTCAAGAGACTCCCGACAAGGCTTGTCGATGTAGGTGTTGCGGACAACAATGGACAGAAGAAGCTTACACGACCGCGCATCTTCGTCCCAAACACGACTTCCCAAACACCGGCCACGATCCCGTATCTCACTCTCAGTCACTCATGGGCCTTGACCGGATCATCTCTAAGGCTAACAACCAAGAATATCGAGGACTGGCAGAAACCTGAAGCAGCCGAACATGGAGGAATACCAATCGACGGTCTAGCCCAGACATTCCTCGATGCAATGCGAATCACGCAGCAACTAGGCTACCGATATATCTGGATCGACTCTCTCTGCATTATGCAGGACTCATCAGAGGATTGGAAGCGGGAGGCCCAGACGATGGCAGCCGTCTACGGTAACTCTTTGTTGACCATCTTTGCTTCGGGGATGGGCATGGCAGGAGGTCAAGGCGCCAATGCCGACACTTGCTTCTCAGTGCGAAACCCCCTGAAAGTGTATTCCCCCATCATCACGTCTCCTTTGTGCGAGGAAAACGCATCTTTTTACGCCATTCGTGAAAAGTACGAACCCAACGTGGACGAGATGTTATGGGGCGCTAATCAGAAAAACCCGCTCCTATCACGAGGCTGGATCGTCCAAGAGCGTTTGCTGTCGCCTCGCATCATCTACTACGGGGCCGATGAGCTCTACTGGGAGTGTCGTCTCCATGAGGTCTCAGAAAGTTGCCCTTTTGGAACTGGCTTGAAGAAGGATGCTGAGGCTTCTCAATCTATCTGGACCGCTAACGCAAAGTCCGTATACCAAGACTTGCAGGATCCTTTCCCTGCGAGCTTGAAGGCGACGGGCATGGATATGGGTAATGACAACGAAGACGCAAAATACGCACAGCATTTGCATGAACTCGCTGCCTGTTGGATGACCTTACTCACCTATTACACCGCCACCGAACTCACCTACCCGTCCGACAGGCTCATCGCACTCGCAGGAATGGTAACAGCGATAGAGGACAGCAAAGGCTGGACCTATACCCTCGGGAGCTGGCAAGAGCTTTGGCCTTTTGACCTCCTCTGGGGCTTCGATAGTGTCCTCAATGTCGAGCTGTTTAACCCGGGTTGGTATCCCGATGACAGCGAGAAACGACGCCAAGATCGCGATGAGATGGCCCAGAAACTGTTGAAAGGTCAATCCTACCCCGAGTCGCATGCCAGTACGACCCTGGGCCTCCCTTCATGGTCATGGGCAGCTACCGAAGCACCCAAATCCTTCTGGTTTGGATCTTCTGGTTCACTTACATGGAAATGCCAGGTCGATGTTTTCGGCAGGACGACCACCGGTATGCCGCAAGAAAGTGGGATCCTGGCCCTGAAAACGTACAAAAAGCAGTTGTACGACATGCCCCCCATCGACTTGAGCTTGATGTGGGACGACGACGAAAGTTTCTATTCGAAAGATGAGGTATGCTGTTTGTTGGTATTCGATCATTTCGCACGGGGTGGGCGACGAGCTCTTCAGCGGGGGTTGATGGTTGTCCAAGTCCAAATGGCCGAGAGTGCTCCGTCGAGTGAAGTCGCCGATGACACCGGAACGATGACGGGAATGCGGTTCTACTGTCGCCGGGTAGGAAAGTGGGAAAATACTTGGGGCCCGCCTGTTATCAACAGGAGTAAGGATGAAGAGGCGGTGGTGTATTTGTGTTGAGATGCCGTGATTCTCGGGCATGTGACTTGAACGTTGCGGGAAGGAAGGCGGTGATCAACGCGGTTTCCGGCATCGTCGTCGGACAATTGACGGGATGCATGGCTTGACGAGAGGTCGAAGAAAGTCACGGTCTCATGAAGGTGCAAGGTTGACGAAATGGGTGCGCAACATGATTTCATCATTAGAGTCAAACCATGTTTGATCTTCGAAACGTGCAGCGCTTATTGTAGGCGATGGCGTTAAAAGGTCATCCGTGATCCGTACGCGTGAAACGAGGGACAATGGTTTGAAGGTCTTTGCTCGTTGAGGGATTCGAGTGCCAGTCATGGGATCTTGAAGGGGTTGGAGGAGGCGGTGACGATGCTGAGCGGTTATGTTACGGATATAAAAGGACATGGTGATGAAGAGGAGGACGTGTGAGGGGCGTTGCAGCCGGTGGATTCCATCTTTCCTATTTTTAGAAGCAACTGGTGACATTCCGATCTTCCGAACTTAAATCAACAACACCAGATGTCAGACACACAAGAAAGAACCACCACTGCATTGCACAGCGACATCGACAACAACACGGAAAATCAACCCCCAAAATGACCACCCAACACACCCCATACACCATCGGGCACGCGCCTTCCCAAACCAAGCACCACGAATGGCGCACCGCCTCCAACAGCGCCGCCCACCTCCTCCCGCACCTCAAAAAGGCGCTCACCTCCAACCCCAACCTCAAACTCCTCGACATCGGCTGCGGACCAGGCACCATCTCCGCCTCTCTCGCCCAACACCTCCTTCCCTCCGGTCATGTCCTCGCGACCGACATCGCTGACGACGTCCTCTCCCGAGCCAAGGAGCACGCCATCTCGCAAGGTCTAGCGGTACCGGAGAACATCTCCTTCCAAAAGGCCTCCGTTTACGGGTTGCCCTTTTCCGACAACGAATTCGACATCGTGCATGCCCACCAGGTGCTCTGCCACCTCGACGACCCCGTCTCCGCTGTCAAGGAGATGCTGCGAGTCTGTAAACCGGGGGGTCTGGTGTCTCTGCGCGAGTCGGACATGAGGATGTGGTGTTTCTGGCCTGAACTTCCATCCCTTTTTGCTTTTCACGAGTTAATGGTTGAGATAATGCTAGCCAACGGCGGGCAGGATAAAGGCGGGAGGAAGCTGGTTTCATGGATCATGGATGCTGGGGTGGAGAGGAAGGATATCGAGGCTGGGTTCGGGACTTGGTGTTATAGTGAGCCGGGCGATAGAAAGGCGTGGGGGGAGGCGATGATTGAGAGATTGAGAACGGGGCAGATGAGGCAGCGGGGAATTGAGTTGGGGTTGACGACGGAGGAAGGGGTGGAGGAGATGGTTAAGGGGTGGGAGGTGTGGATGGAGAGGGGGGATGCGACGTTGGGGATTGTTAATGGGGAGGTTATTGTGAGGAAGGCGTCTTCTTCACCGAAAGCTACCTAACAAGAAAGAGCCACACATCAAGGTGCGGAATAACAAAGAATGTATGGGGGTTGCAGGGAACAATGGAAAGTGCTTTGTGAGCGGTCGATCGCGTGCAACAGTTTGCGGAAGACACTGCCAACGACGTTTGATGATAACAAACACCTGCCGCCGCAAACATGGGAGCCGTCCCTGTGAACATACCATATAACCCCGCGCCTCGCATTATCCAACTTCCATCTCCCCTTCTCGTTCTTCTTCTTCTTCTCTTCTTCTTCTCCGTCATCACACCCAGCCAACACGCCATGGAGGAATCGTCCGAGATCACCATCACCGCCTCGACTTCTGACGTGGCAAGTAACTACTTCGTCGATTCAGAGATCGATGCCTTCTTCACCAAGACTTCTGCAAGCCGCGAAGCTTGCAATGGCAAAGCAAGAGAACTTGTTGGGGATGGAGATGTCGTCCCAGTCGACGTCCAGGGCGTGTGCATCTACACCGTCTACGCCGGACCTGAGCTGGAATGCGTCGTCCAGTTCCGCCTCGAATCTCTAGCGCTCAAGGCCGAAATAAGCTCTCTAGCGACCGAGATTTACGGATCACTCGTGCCAAAGGTGTCCTTCGAAGGCAAGCTAGGGGAAGAAGGAGATGGGAAAAAGGAACCACTTTACGTCTACTTGATGACCCGAATGCGTGGAGTGACTCATATGGATTTCATCTTGGCTCATGGCTTTCCGGAAAACTCCCCCGACCATTTCCTCTGGCGAAAGAACCTGATGGGAGACGTCGCGCAGTAAGGTCTCAACCGTCGAAGTCGACTTAGTTGTGATGCTAACTCAATGCTTGCAGCTTCATGGCTCTATCTTGGAACGCTCCTCAGCCCGTCAGCCCGGGGTACCGCAGTAGGTTACGAGACGCCTACGTTGGCGACCTGCAACTCTTGAACAATTCACTCCCTTCTCGATTCCGACCCATCATCCAGACCTGCATTGACGCAATAGACGACATCCTATCCCTGCCCATGGTCCTCTTCCATCGAGACTTTGGCGCCTGCAACATCATAGTGGACGAAGCAACCTGTCACCTTGTCGGCGTCATTGACTGGGCGGAAGCTGAAGTGTGTCCATTCGGGCTCAACCTGCATTCACTTGGGTTTCTGACCGGGAAGCTTCATCTGCGCAACGGGTGGACGCGGTACGAAGACTACCATACTTTACAGGACACATTTTGGGAGAGATTCAAAGTGGAGGTCGCCGGAGTATCAGACCATCAGCTCCGGACGATTAAACTCGCAGGGGCTTTGGGTCTGCTACTGTCGTCCGGATTCACCAGCCGGCTTGCCAATGAGCCAAAGCCGGTGCCTATCAGCGATGATGAGCATGGACGTTACAATATGATGTCTTTGGATGGATTTCTTATCAATCCGGAGACGAAGTTCGACATTGATGGACCTTTGAAAGATAGTCCGTACAGGTATGTTTACTCGACAATCACTCTTGGACCCCGACACTGACATCATCTTTCCCTGCTAGTACCTAGGCCCCCCCGGGAAGGCAGATGGATGCCCGAATGGCATATTATACTGGTTTCCGACAGCATTGTTGTTCGTCTGAGACCCTGACCCTGTGTTAAAGCACATAAACCCGGCTCCGGAGTTGTGAAATGTCTCCCGCCCCCGTCCACTTCCCCATGCAGAATTCCCATTCCTGTCATCGGAACCAGATGACTCCGTCGACGCCCTTCTACCTGACGGGAGCAACAAGAGAGCCTCCTTTGCGTATGCTGCCGCCGTTGCCGCAGCATATTCCTGCCACTTCTTGTTCTTGTGTGAGTCCGCATAGTCGCAGATTCCCCGGATCACCAACCCCTGGGAGTGGATCATCACGCCGGCGGCTTCCATCTCAAGACAGAGGATGTTGTGCCTCGCGCGGAGTTCGTTCCTCTTTGCGCTCGACTTGACGACCGCATTAGCCGAGCCGATGTTGCCATAATGGATATGGGGTTGGTCCCTCAGCCGCTCGGCCCACCTGCCTCGATCCTTGCGCCGCTTTGCTCGCGCCGCGTCACAAAGAACTTTACATGACCCCTCCCTATCTTTCGGATGAAGATAGTCGTCCTCAAAGAGATAGTCATTTTCGTCTCCGGGATCCTCATAATCCTGCTGCCACTTATCAATCAGGCCACTGCGCAACTCGTCCAAGTAATCCCGGATCTTGCTTCCTCCCACCCGCATATGCATGCTTCGCAGGTTGTTCACCGCGGTGAGCAGAGCAGCAGACGGATGAAGCGTGTGCTCCTTGACAGTCAATTCGTTTTGACCCTCCCACGCGCCAAACTCATAGTGCGTCACTCCGCCCCTTCCCTGGTGGGGAACTCCGACGACAACATCGCCCAGGACGATCTGCTCCTGCAGGTCTGGGCCGTAGCAGGGCATTCCTCCAGCTATGCCGACTACCAGAATATGTTTGATGTTGCGGAACGATCGGCGCATATTGGTGAGCGCCATGGCGGCTGAATGGATGCCGATAGATGGGCAGACGACCATCACGACGAAATGCTGGCCTATACGCCCTACGTGGTATTTGGCATCGTCGTCGGGCACTTCCATTGTTGTGTGGTCTTTCAGCATCCCGACCGCGGCGGTGAGCTCCATGTGCATGGGGGCGATCCAGCCAACTGTGTACAGAGCTGTATTGCGGGGAGGAGCCATTGTGGGCGAGCGTTTGACTGTCATTATCTGGTGATCAAGAGCCTTTCGGGACTGGAAGCAAGCTTATGATAAGAGGTGAGCCTAAGGCAGGAAGTGGGACTGGAATGGACATAAAGGCTGCTTACAGGAGCTGGGATGTGGTTGTCCAAGGCGACAAAAGACACCATGCCAACGTGTGAGATACAATCCGCACGACAGAAAGTGGTTGGGATCCTTTGACATCTGTCTCTACTTCGGGTCTTTTATGAGAAGTGGAATGGAAGAGAGTGGTGGGTTGCGGTTCAGTTCTGGCAGGCTTTGCCAAAGAGTGAGCACTCTGGCTCGGCGTGATAGGATTGGTGGCTTTACGTAACCCCTACCGACCATGATGTGCAGAAAAAGAGGGCATCCAGACTGGGCAATTCATACTTGGCCAGATGACTTGTCAACTTCAAGTGCTTCATCTTGCAAGCCCAGTCATTCCAGGTACTGGTGCAGGCGCATTCAGATCTTCCCGAAGGTGCAGGTAATATGCTATTAGTGGCCAATCGACAGTCGGCTGGGAATTCAGGCAGGTTGGGCATCTACGTCCATCCGCAAGGCATCAACAGCCGAATGCCACAAATGTGCACATTTGGCTCGCACATCCATCACGTCCCACGGGCTCGAAATCATACTTGACTGGGGACGAGTCTTGGAGGGTACAACCCGAAAGCTTGGGAACAAGAAATACTTCAGTTGTTTCTTTCCTCCTCTTATCAACAATCCTCTTAGCCGTCCGATGCTACACCTTGGGGCTTTGGCTTGGCCGTGAAACTGGAAAAAGTCTTCACCTGTGCATTCTGCTCTGCTAACCTCTCACCTTCTCCCTGCGCCTTTGCCTGCAAGAGATCAACTAATCTCGTCACGGAGGCCAGGGGCTGCAATCAAGCACTACTGAATATCCAGAAACTCAAACTCCTCGAAAGTGGGAAGAGAGTGCTGACGATGACACAATGTCTTTCTGCAATGCTGGTTCAGGCTCCTTCAACGCCAACACCGGCCCGGGGTCTCAGTATAACAACAACGCGGCCGGGCCGCAATACAACTACAACTACTACCCAGGCAGGTTTTTGTGTCGGATAATGGACTCAATGGGCACTTACTAATATCCCGTAGGTTCTTACTTTGGACATGATATACACCGTGACACCCTAGAACGTGAAAAGGAAGGTCGGTCTGATCTTAATTCTCACCACGGTTGGTAAAGACTGACCCCAACAGATTGTCTACAATCCCTCAGCTTCTCCAGCATAGACGCTCGCCGGCAAGATATCGTCCAAGTCCATCCCAACACCGGTGATTGGGTTATTGGGACCCCTGAATTTCGAGAATGGCGCAACTGCACAACTTTATCAAGGCACAATGGAGTGCTTTGGATCAAAGGCCATCCCGGAACGGGAAAGTCGACGCTGATGAAGCATATCTGGAGACACTGTCAGCGGGAGCTTAAGGACCGTACCATTGCTGGATATTTCTTCCACGCTCGAGGCGAATCATTAGAGAAGACACCTCTCGGCATGCTACGTTCCTTGGTATGCCAGCTTCTGGACCAGGAGGAGTCAACTTATCAACACTTTCTTCCTCTCTTCCGCCAAAAGAAGCGAATTCACCAGGAGTGGGAGTGGCGAGAGCCAGAACTCAAGGAATTCCTAATCTCCGAGATGCAAGTTCACCAGAGGCAACCACTCGTCCTTCTTGTTGATGCCTTGGACGAATGTAGGGACTCACAGGTTCGAGACGTTGTCAAATTCCTCGAACAATTGAGTCTTACCAGCGTTCGTCATATGGTAAATGTCAGCATATGTCTATCGAGCCGCCATTATCCACACATTACCATGACAAGATATCGGGAGCTGGTGGTAGAAACCACGAACGGGCATGTCGCGGATATCTCTACATACGTCCACGATAATCTGACTGGGTCGGACCCAGATATTGAGAAGGGGGTGCTCAAAAAGGCATCCGGTATCTTTATGTGGGTCGTTCTCGTCGTTACCATGCTGAACAAAGCATATGACGAGGGCAAGATCGAGGCCATGGAGCGGAAGTTACTCGAGGTACCAGAGGACCTTGATCAACTATTTTTGACAATACTCAGCAAAGACAACCCCGATAAGCAAGAAACAATCCTGATGCTGCAATGGGTTTTGTGTGCAGTACGGCCTTTAACGGCGGAAGAGCTATACCATGCAACGTTAGCTGGAACCGGTGTAAAAGACTCAGGACCTTGGGATTTGTCACGGCTAACGGCTGACGATATCCGGAGGCGAATTATCCACTCGTCAAAAGGGCTCATAGAGGCTCGTAAAGACACCGGTATTTTTCAGACCGGTAGAGGTATTGTTCAGTTCATCCACGAATCTGTCAAAGACTTCCTCATAAGAAATCATCGGCTTCAGAGTATAGACCCTACGCTTGAGTCGAATCCCATTGGTCAATGCCATGACCGTTTGAAGACTTGCTGTATCTCATACATCCTTAGGATGGATGCGGCTGTGGTTGAGCTTCATTCAAGTCACTACCCCTTTTTGGAGTACGCATCTATGTACTTTCTCGATCACGCTGAGAAAGCGGAAGCAGCAAACGTCTCCCAAGCAGAGTTTTAAGGCAGATCCAAGAAGGCCATGGTTCCCGCTTGGCGCATGAATGTATATGGCGCCGTGATTCCAGCTTCGCGTGGGTAGCTGAGCGCGAAACGGAAAGTGGACCTCTATTGAGCAAAAATGGCAGCCTGTTATACAGGTTCGCAGCTCATAGATACGATAATCTCGCGAGAGCGCTTCTTAGAAGCGACACCGAGATGAATGCGCGACGGGGACGTCGCGGTTATGTATTACAGCCGGCTGCGGCTAAAGGCTCTACGAAGACTGTAAAGCTTCTTCTCGATCACGGTACTGATCCTAATGGCTGGTACGGGGGATTTACCGCATTGCACCGGGCTACATGGCAGAGACACAAAGACGTCATACGAGTTCTTGTTGAGTACGGCGCAGATGTTAATGCGCAAAACAAACGCTGGGGCACGGCGCTACACCAAGCCTTGGATTCGATTGATGCCACTGGCTTTGCTGATATTATGACTGTATCAGTTCTTCTCCAGCACGGCGCCGATGTTAATGCACAAGGCGGACTATACGGAACCGCGCTACAAGCAGCAGCAATATACCGCCAGGAGGAGATTGTAGAGCTTCTTCTCAAGTACGGCGCAGATGTTAACGCGCAGGGCGGGATATATGGCACCGCACTCCAGGCAGCTGCGACAGCGACTAAATCGCTCGTAGCTCTGCTTCTCGCGCATGGCGCCAAAGTTAACATAAAGTGTGGGAAATATGGTACTGCGCTGCAGGCGGCTATGGTAGAAGGCAATAAGGAGATTGCAATAATTCTTCTCGAGCATGGGGCCGACGTCAACGCCCAAGGCGGGAAATACGGTACCGCGCTACAGGCTGCTGCGTCTGCACCCTCCCTGTGGACGATGGCTGACCCAAGAGATGCTACAAAGTTGCTTCTCGATTATGGCGCCGATGTCAACGCGCAAGGCGGACAGTACGGTGGCGCGTTGCAGGCCGCAATATCGACAGGTCGTAAGGATATAGAAAACCTTCTTCGCAAGTATGGCGCTACTATGTAGCAGCCCGTGCTCCGCAGGGAGAAACTGTCTGAAAGCAGGTCTGGTGACGAGGACGAGTGGCAGATGTCTTGGAGCAACTTTGTATTCCTTGCGAATGTCTGGTAGCAGGAAGGGGAGCGTATACGATCCGATGTAATTTGGTCTTTTAAGTTCATGTTTGCAAGTTTCCTATAAATCTAGTCATTCTCGTGTCTATGCCCAAATGCCTTATGAGTACATCTACGCCCCTCTCCTCTGACTTAATACAAAAACTAATACCGAAAGAGGTTTCTATAACATCATTGGAATCGAGTGTCGGCTGGGTAGTGGGCAATGGACGCTGGAACAGCAATGCGTGGAACCCTTCAACACCTTAACCGCCTCCCTCAATCCGGGCACCATCACCCATACCAGGGTAATGGTATCTTCTGGTTTCGTCCTGGATTCGTCATTGAGGAGTGTCCGCGTCCCCATTCACTGTGCTTCCAGGGGCATTCAGTTCACTAGCACTCCCGTCCTGGGTATTTAGGCTCCCCTGGTTTTCCGTTTCCTTTTCTCCTTCGTTACTACTACAGAATGAAGCAACATTTCCGTCGTCCAAGTCCAACACTTACACAACTGCCTCTGGAATCTGTGGGGCATGGTGTTGTCTCCTGTCCGGGGTCACCGTAGCGATTGACGGCAGTTGATATGGGCCTTGGCACCTTGTACGATAATGATGTTGGTAGACTTCTCGGATCATTTATCTCGGACATGGATTTTGTGGTGTTGCCGTTCAAGGACAAAGCAAACGTATGTGCACCCGTGATGCCTTCCGGTAGTCGTCTGTCACTGCAAAAGAAAATGTTAGCAGATACCGAACTTGGTCTTACCATAACTGATAGAAAGAAATGCGATCAATGAAGGAGCGTCCAGGAGCTTTGAGAACCGCTCATCATGATTCTTCAACCTTTTGGACGCGAGTGACCATGGTGTCTTTTGGGCGCTTCATGTTGGGGAAAGTTATGGTCAAGCAACTAATAAGACCAGCACCTGCATTCCGTTCTGCTGCACCCTTACATTCGGGAGTTCTAGGGAGCGGAACATGGCTGTCCATAGAGGAAAGTTGGGCCTAGGCCTGGGCCTATATGTTTTACTGAATATTTCCAAATTAGGCTTCCGGTTAATCCCGCTCTACTACTATGCTGTTTGGTAGTCTAGGATTTAGTACGTATCCAAATGTATTCTTTCACTACACCCCGGGTCTGCACCGACATAACCTTCCTGCTGTGTCCAACGGGCAGCAACCGTCAATACCATCGGGTTAATGCAACGGTGATACTAAAAGGCGGGTTTGCAGGGCTCGTAAAAGGCAGATTGTGCAGGCTGGGGCGCTCGGAGCCTGCCGGTGTGGGGCCGGTGCGGGGCCGGGGGGAGGGCCGGGGAGCATTTCAAATGCCGGGTAGAACCCGGTAGCCGTAGTCGGACAATCGCCACCTACAAGCAACCAGGTGAAGGCGAGAATCCGAGCGGTCGGCCGAAGTCGGGAATACTATAGTATTGCTGACTCTGCCGGTATGCCAAGTGCAGTTGCTTTCCGGAGATGCCATGCCAGGCCGTAGCTCCCAGCTCTCAGCGTTTTTGGGCCTCATCCACAGCTCGGGTACTTCCGGAGCACTGGGGTTATGTCTAGACGGGCTCTGAACATTCCGAAGCAGCTAGAATTGCGCGAGGTATCAGATCACCACGACGTCATCTACCGGTAGAGCCGATGGATGATATCTATTTGCAGCCGTGTATCGAATGAGGGCAGCACCAGGTATATAAGGCGGCGCATTTCCGCAAGAGGTTCAATCATCATCGGTCACACATCATCAAGTCCTCACTCACTAACATCCATCTCGCCAATACAACTCCTCCGTCAATCCTCCAACATGGTCCTTACCAAGTACAAGGCCGCAGCGGTATGTCAAAGAAAGAATGCCTCAGTCGACTATCTATCTGACGCCAAAATAGGTCACCTCTGAGCCGTGCTGGTTCGATCTCGAGGGAGGCGTTCGAAAGACGATCGACTTCATTAACGAAGCAGGTCAGGCCGGCTGTAAGCTCGTTGCCTTTCCCGAAGTATGGATCCCGGGCTATCCATACTGGATGTGGAAGGTCAACTACCAGCAGTCGTTGCCTATGCTGAAGAAATACCGCGAGAATTCGATGGCCGTCGACTCGGAGGAGTTTCGGCGTATTAGAAGGGCTGCTAGGGACAACCAAATGTATGTATCCGGTCACCGGCCCCAACCTCGATGATGATCCGTTATGAAGCTCACACAACACTTTCACCTGGGCAGTTATGTGTCGCTCGGCTTCTCGGAAATCGACCACGCCACACTTTACCTAGCGCAAGCTCTCATCGATCCCACTGGCGACGTCATCAACCTCCGTCGCAAGATCAAGCCCACCCATGTCGAGAAGCTCGTCTACGGAGACGGCACGGGCGACACGTTCATCTCGGTCACGCCGACCGAGCTGGGCCGGCTCGGTCAGCTCAACTGCTGGGAGAACATGAACCCGTTCCTCAAGTCGCTCAACGTCTCGATGGGCGAGCAGATCCACATCGCCGCGTGGCCTGTCTATCCCGGCAAGGAAACCCTACAGTACCCCGACCCGGCGACCAACGTGGCCGACGCGGCGTCCGATCTCGTGACGCCTGCCTATGCGATCGAGACGGGGACGTGGACGCTGGCACCCTTCCAGCGGCTGAGCAAAGAGGGCCTGAAGAAAAACACGCCCGAGGGTGTCGAGCCCGAGACGGACCCGTCGACGTATAACGGCCATGCGCGCATCTACAACCCGGACGGAGCTCTTGTCGTCAAGCCGGACAAGGACTTTGACGGATTGTTGTTTGTCGATGTACGTTTGTGGCACACTTTATTCTATTGGGATGTTTGTCTATCTGAAAGGAAAAAAATACTAACAAGACAATTTACTACAGATTGACCTCAACGAATGCCACTTGACGAAAGTGCTGGCCGACTTTGCTGGACACTATATGCGGCCGGATCTGATTCGTCTTCTAGTTGACACCCGCCGTAAGGAGCTTGTCACCGAGACAGACCCCAAGGGAGGCATTGCGGAATACTCGACGCGGGAGCGCTTGGGGTTGAACACGCCGCTCGAAAACGGCAAGGACGGGAAGAAGTGAGGACTATCGGACGTCGCGGGACTTAAGCACGGCTTGGATCAGGCCTGAAGAAAAGACTGTGCTCGGGTCGCTCATCTTTGAATATTTGGCTAGACTTGTTCTCTAATCTCCTCTCCATTTTTCTATATCATATAATGTGGCACGTGGTACTCACATGCCCTACTGCAGACCGCTCTCTTAGTGCCGCCTACACTTTTGCCAGCCAGTTTCGGTCCTCAGAACCTCCACTAATTCGATAGACATCGATCACCACATCTTCTCTGGTATTAGGGGTAAATAGCAAGGGTAAGTACCTTGTGTAGTGTATGCCTAGCCCACTCAGCTGGGCTGGCGTAAGTGGAACGGTACACTCGATGGCGAAGGCAATGAAAACGGTTCTAGAAACGGCGGCGGCGTTTTTGGCTGAATCATCCAAACCCCTGTCAAAAACTACTCCCATAGATAATCTTCCGATATGTCGGCTTGTCTATGGGAGCGGGAAGGACAGGAAACGGGTCTTTTAATCACGTGGTAGGGTCAAAAAACTGAACCACCAGCTCCCATATCCATATCGTTCGGACGGAGGCAAGACGGTAAGTGGGGAGGCGGTGCTAAAAAGATGAATACAATTGGGCGGATTACGAGAACAGTTGACTGTCCTGACATTGCGGCTAGATCTTCACTCGGTCAGAAGACCATTCCTGATTGGTTCCTAGTACTCCTCGGTCTAGTTATGTGTATGCAGATGAGAGCGTGGCAAGGGAATCTCTCGCTCTTGTCTTGTTGGGTCACGGTTTTGGTGATCCACTACGACAAACTGATCACGATGGACCTCCTTCATGTACTTGCCTTAACTTACCTCCTTCATCTGCCTGCATTAGCCTACCTCTTCACTTCCATCCTGGCATATCATAACCATGGAAGTTGGCTTGCAACACACTACCGGCGCAGCCGCCAACACCTTTGTAGACGAATCGATTGGTTGAGAGAGCTGCATGCCAGGGCTGCGAAACAAGGTGACGGCGGCGTTGAGAGCGACAAGGTAACCACAGCTCTAGGATCAGAAGCCGGCATGTGACGAACGGCAGTCTGATCTGCCTAAATGAGATAGCTGAAGGTAATAAACTACCAGAGTCGTCCGGTGAAGCCAAAAGGTTCACAACAAGTATGGTGGCGTTATACGTGTCTCGGTGATAATGATCAATTGACTACTATCGAACTATCTGACAATCTGAGTTCTCCAGTCGGCCCTTTATACTTTCACGCATCTAATTACAATTGTCCGGCTCGTTGACTACGAGCTGGTTCATCTTCGTGAGCCTGGGCCTGCTTATAAGCCTTCTTTCCCTGTCATGGTTACACTGTCCAGCCTTTACGTGGCTGTTGTGTACTAGTGGCTTGGTTGGCCCGTGTCCTTCGCTTATAGTTCGTAACACGGCAGCTAGGGTGGGATGGCTTTAAGCCTGTGTGGGGGCCCGTATCAGCACCCCCGCCCCCTGGCATACTTACATGGGGCTTGGCTCGAATCGAGGCTGGAAGCCTTGATATCAAAACAAACGCTACCCGAAGTGAGCCCTCTGGTTGCCTTTTTGGCATGTCCTCCATTGAAGCATCAAAGCTGCATTTGATCCTTGAAAGACGAAACGTTGATGTGGCACGCTAATATCAGGCTTGATGTCAGGTGCGGCGCTACGAAGATCCCTCCACCTTTCCGCCGCTAGAGGGTGTGCAATCCATTAGGCGTCATTCCCCTATCTTGATCTCTTTTCCATTGTCACTAGCGTCCTTCCGGATCATCGTTCCCAGTGTAATAGCAACCAGTTAGGGTAAACAATTACACCAGACCAGACTCCCAAACACCGTCTCGATGCAAAGATACTCCACCATCACCGACGCCAGATTCATCCCCAGCGTCGCATACACAGCCGCCTTCACCGACGCCGCCGCAATCAGCGCAACAGTCAACGGCCCCAACAACTTGAGAACTTTGTCTGCCTTGTCTCCTCGCTTCCTCTCTGTTTAGTACCAACGTCGAGGGCCCACCGACATCATTTCGCTCTTCCCCTCCTGTCAGAAACCAGTGCAGTTCTGGTTGTCCACTGGTGGCTGAAAGCTAAGCGCACAGCTCGATGCGGATGGGCGTTGTGGCAGAGCCGTTCGTTGGTAATACATCGGTTCGACATGGCGTCAACGACTGGTCAAATGGGAAGCATCCGCGTTTCAGCCCTTTGGAAATCGGGCACTTTTCAGCACCGCCGCAGTCCAACAATTGGCTCAACGTGCAAGATGCGTTCCTAGATGAGAAAGGAGAGAGCAAAACGTGCGTTCCAAGGTGTATTAGGCATCAAAACCAGGCCCTATGACTTGCCGTCGTTAAGCGCCCAAGACACAGCCGCAGCCCCACTCCGTTATGAGCTACCGCACGTTTCCATCGAAACGATTTATCCCCGCGCTGTACGGCCAATTATATCTTGAGAAGGGCCTTCAGACTAATGCCTCAACATGGTTAGCACACCTAGCAAACCACGTAATTGGCCAGTACAGCCTGGGGATAAATCCTACTTGAATGAGAATTAGCCCTAGATGGAGAACGACTGATTCAAAACGATGTTCATTCCATCGGTGAATGTTCTCACCGGAGCAAACCGCCGTCTACGCCAAGCATCTTCGCAAAGAGATGAACGATCCCAACATCCACGCTTTCTTCAAGGCGCGTGCTGTTTACGGCCGCAAGCCTCACCCAGGTGAGGTAACTGCTTGACTCTGCAGCTAGAGTACAGGTAGGTACCTTATTAGCTTTTCTTCGAATGTTATGGATTAGCGTGGGTGATGAGGTGCAGGTGACCAAGAGGAATGAGGAGAGGACGGTTATGGATTGGCCGTTTTGAAGGAGTCCAGTCTGGTACAGCCAGTCGTGGACGAATTTACGATTTCTCATTTGGATCAGATCATGAAGAAGAGAAGAGAGGGTGGCGAGAGCATCGGAGTAAAGGTGCGTTCTTTCTTTATCAGGACCATGCATTTTAGCCGGCACAGAGTCAAGTCTTTGTCTTGGATTAGATCGGATCATGATCAGTCCGTGGTGTTCCCGTCGTTATCCTGGCTGCTTGCTTCCACGTCGTCGTCATCCGCTTCTTTCGAAGATAGGGAATTCGTTTCCGTGTCCCTGGTTGACGGCTTCCACCTGGGGAACCCCTGTTTATAATCAACATCATCATACAACTTCAAGCAATCCTCACCCTCCGGTATCTTGGCCCTCATCTCATCCGTCGAAGCAATGTACAGTTCCCAGTCACCCAAATACATCTGCTCGACCGCTCCATAAATATTCTCCTGATCAAGCTGATCGTTCGGCTCCTTTATGGCCAGATGCCTAGGCAAGTAGCACAGAGGGTTGTACGCCAAGTCGTCATAGGGTTCCTTGATGACCCTCGCCGCATTCCAGCACCAGTCGTGCGCAGGGTAGTCGCATATCGCACCCCTGCCGCCAGCAAAGCGTTCACTTGCTACAAGTCCTAGCTCGGAAGTGCGACGCTCGAGGTAGTCGACGAAGTGGTTCCGGACGCTGGAATCGCATTTAAGAGTAGCCATGTCCCACAGCTGCTTGCACGGCTTCGGCGCCAGCTTGTCCCACAGCTCCTTGTAGTTCCCCGCGATGCACGCCATGGCTACCTGGAGGTGCATGTCCGGCCGGCGTTTGGCAAGGGCCGCCAGCGTTTCTTTGGCGGGAACGAGCGGCCACCAGATCATGCCGGGAATCTCGTCGAAGTCAGCTTCGGGATCGGGATCAGTCTCGGTGATGTGCGACAGGTCGTTGACCATGATGAAGCGCGCGAGGGTGGCGGCTCGGATATCTCCCGAGCTTTCCCCATCCCGTGGCTGAAGCGACCACCACTTGGCAAAGGTGGTGTTGTGGTATATCCCGCGCAGAACGGCGCCGTGCTCGCCCATGACCATGCGCGGCCGACGCAAGCGGAGATAGCGGTCCAGGTTGCCTTCATACGCGGCCATGATTATCAGCGGGTCCTTCATCATGGTGGGCAGATGCAACGGCAGAGGCGAGTAAAGCAGCTCGACGTGTTGCGGGGGCAGCGTGTCCTGCCCTGCATAGATGTGTGTCGTCACGAGGCCGATGTGGTCGTCTTCGGCGATGTCGAAGGGACAGGAATCATAGTAAGGGTTGTAGTTGATGGTCCTATAACGGTGATCCTCCGGGTTTACCGTCACATCCAGTGTTGATCGGACGGCCGTGTCGCCGTTCATAAAGGCCGGACACCGAGGGTTTTGGTGGTTGACGGACCGGGTGTAGTCGTCCAGGACGGCGTAGCAGACTGGCTGCTTCATGATGTACTCGAAGATGGCCTTGGACCCTGGTTTATCCGATTCCCTAGCCTCTTCGGCGATCGACACCTCGGGGAGGAGACTAAGCTCATGGTACAACCCCTCATATCCTGCCACGGCACATGCCCGACCGACGAGGTATGCCATCTCGGGATAGCGTTTTGCCAACTGTCGGAGCGTGTTCTCGCTGGGGACGTCCGGGTGCCAGAAACAGTAGGGTTTGGCGTCGTCCGTTGCCATTTTCGGGATCTGGTTGCTCATGATGAGCCGGGCATTACGTGCCCGAGCAAAGTTGCTATCGGGAAGCTTCTTGCAGAGCTTCACCACTTCTTGAGACTTGGCAAGTGCTTCGTTGTGTCGTATGCCGTAGATGGCGCAGTAGAGGAGTCCGTTTGCATAGTCATTGGGAAGGCGCTCCCCACGTAAGGCGACGCGACTCTCATGGTAGAACTCCTGGTCAGCCATTTGGCGCGAAAAGAAGTGGAGGCTGCTGAGGCCCTTTTATATAGTAGGTAGACTTGAAGGTGTTTTTCAAGTGAAGAAAAATGGACATTGGTGTGTTTGAGTGTGTGAGGGAGGGGAGAGAGACGGGTAACAATTAAATAGGTACTAGAAACGGCGTCTGGTACTTCTATGGTACTGCAGTACCTCTAGGTAGGCGTGGTACTTCCCCTTGGTGTACTGTAATACCCCTGTACGTATATATTACTACGTACCTGCCCAACTCTACCTAGCCCCTTGCACCTTAACGGCGTGGGATCAGCGAGCCAGGGTTGGTTAGCTCCAAAAGTTTGGAAGGCAAGTCTGGCCCTTCCCGTCTTTTGACACATGCAGGCTTGCCGCTTCTTCAGGGGCAGGGCAGGTTCTGTCTTTGGTCTTTCCATTTTTCTTTTTTTGTGCAACATGTGATTGTCCGATTTCGCTATTCCAGCTACATCACCCCTCGAGTCTCCAACTCACCACTCACTCGCGAATATTCCCCAGACTGGAATATCTCTATTTACTGTACAATCTTGTAATATTAATGTTTCCTTCCCCCTCCTTTGCCAAATTACCTGTACCTTACCCAACCTCGCTCAGCAATATTTACACGCTCCTTCGGGACAGTAACCCCGACTGCAGATAAACTCACACAGATCAACATAATACGCATAGTCCGAGTTGGTAGGACTCTGGTTGTCTGCCGGGCACCCGTGCTTTCCTGCCAACTGGGCTGGTGGCGGAACTGCTACCGCCGCGGACCGGGTGCAGACACAGGCAGAGTCGAGGCAGTGGTCGAAATCGCAGCTGTAGGAACAAAGTCCGAGGAGATTGCCCGATATTCCTTCAGCCGTGGTACCACCTGGTGTTCACACAATGTAGGTTAGCTTGGATGGAATTCTTTGCAGAAAGACTTGGTAAAGACATACCTGTGCAGTGCGTAGTGGAGGATGGCAATGCAGGTGCAGTGGAGGTAGTAGTAGTCTTGCTCAAAGTCAGTGACAACGATGAGGCCGGAGCAGTTGTTGAAGACATAGCCGTACTGGACCCAGAGGACATGGAAGAAGAGGCCGCCGACGTTGTCTTTGAAGATGCTGAGCCTGATGAGGTCGAGGTAAAAGAAGGAGCAAAGGAAGAAGAAGTGGTGGTCTCAGTCGGCTCTGCGGGCTCTGCAGGAGGTGCGATCCATTTTGGTCGAAGACACGAAAGTTCCACCCTCGGCTGGACTGAACTTTTATACCCAGAACTGTACCCAAACACAGTAGCAACCAGGTACGTCCTGTTGGATGCGGTATAGTACGTTGTCTCTGTGCTGGGCTCCTGGAAACCGTCGCCCACCATCCACGAATAGCGTCCGACTTCATCCACTGTCGCATCTCTGGCCCCGACCTCATCTTCGAGATAGGACGCATCAAAACCTACGAGGAATTAGACGTCAAGCTCGATGAAAGATCATGGGATTGCACTTACCCAGCACATCTGCTGTCACAAATCCCAGAGCCTCTTGGCAGCTTGGCGTGATGGTGTCAAGGGACCATCCGCCGCACATGATACCGCCCGACTCGTCCGCGTATGCTCCCCAGTTCGCAACCATGTCGGCTTTCAAGTCCTTCTGACATTGGCTCGGCAAAAAGGAACAGTCGTGCGCAACGTCCGAGGCTGCGTCAGGCAGGTCGCTGACATAATAGTGCTGACAGATGTACCACGAGGGATGCATGCTCTTTGGGAGGCCATCTGCCTTTCTCATGGACGGTGGGATGCCGTTATTGAGAGCTGCCACGTCGATTGTGGCATTCTCTGTCGTCACAGCGGCCGGAAAAGGCAGATGGTCCGCTATCCGCAAATGGGTAGTGAAGCCTGGCAGCGGGCTCCCAGGGTACGGCTTTGTCCAGTCTAGACCGGTGAAATTGGCAATGTCCTCGCGGATGGGGTCTGCAAAGCCGGCTTCCAGCGCGGACCAGGACATGGGGATGACATTGGAGCCGTTGGCAAGATATGGGATGTTGTCAAAGTAAATGTAAGTAGTGTCCGGGTCCTTTGCTGCCTTGGTGAGGTGGCCATGGCCGAAGAGCAATAGCGCCAGTGACAGAGCGCCAGAGCTGATGGCAGACTTGACGGACATGATGCAAAAAAACACCCAGGCGGCTCGAGGTCCGGTAAAGAGATGGGTTGTACGTGATAGTGGAGGAATATCTTGAAGGTTCAACTTGGGAGCATGGCAACAGTTGGGTTTAAGAGCGGCATCCATACCTCTAGGTAGCCACCTTAAAGGCCTGGCCGAAACATGTACCTTGGTCGTTGTGCTTTTACCTCACACTGAAGGTCTGGTGCCTTACCTACCTCCCTTGAGGTAGACATGGATAGAGGTAGAGGTACCTAGCTGCCGAAACCGGCTTGGATCATGCAATTGAAGGTGCGTTCCCGAGGTCCTGAACTTACCTACCTTCAGTCGCCTCATTGCACTTAGTGTAAGTAATGTTTACCCCAGCCGGAGCCGCTCCAGGTTGCAATGCTACCCCTAACTTCTTCCTGATTTTCTGTCGAGGCCTGGATCCAGCAAAACGGACCCGGGAGTCGGAGATGATCCCCTTTACGGGGTTTAGGCGCTGCAGCAGTGTGATCTGGAGTGCAGCGTACCTGCGTCTGGGTAGAAGGTATCTGCCTTGCACATGGCATCAGTTGATGTTGTGAGCGTAGAGGTACACCATGAGAGTGGCGTGGTGGCAGACGCAGGAACGAGAAGTCTGAACCAAAAAAGAAGGTGAAGGACCAACATGAACCTCAATACAACATCGCTTAGAGGGTAGTGTACGCTAAGCTTTTTCTCTCTCGCTACACCTTGCACTAAAAAAAAGCAGGGGGTTGTCGGCCCGCAAAGGCTTGTTGGCTATTGGCTCTTGGTTCTTCAAAAAGAATAACACTGTGTCGACTGCAGCGTTGGTTGTTGGTTCCTGAAAAAGCGCTTTCTCAATCCTGCTGGCCGAGAGTCGAGACTCCATCGCCGTCTGGTTCGAGTTTGCCGTGGAAGATTGCAGAGTCACAGAATTTTACGCTCTTGCTAACATAAATGTCGGCTGAACCTAGTACATGTAACCTTCCTCATGCAGGATCGGAAAAACGGGCCCTTCTAGCGCGCGTACTAGGTATACGCTCTAGACTGATAGCCGGGTCCGGGTGAGTAGCCCTTTCCTATTAGATTTGCGGGTGGGTTTTTGGCTAGCCATTATTGGGTTAGCTTCCCAACCTGCAATGAGAATTCGGATTTCGGTCTACCAAAGTGCGCTACAAGTACACTACAAGTCTTTCATTGAGGGAAACTACAGGTAGAATGTGCACCCCAATGGCACAACCACAAATAATGTAAAGAAAATGAAGTTTCTTTGTATCAATGCAACTTCTATTTCTCTATTCATATTTTAAATGTTTCAACAATCGCATTTTGCCAAGAGGTTGAGAAGTCGGAGTGACCAAGTTGAGTCTTGGGCCTTTTTTTGCGGGAAAAAGTACCTACCTCTAACCGGTCGTTTATTTGTGAGGGGGACTAGACAATGTGTTGTTTCTGGTGCTGTGCCAGGCAAACAATGCTTTTATCATTTCATTGAATGTGAAATCCCCATTCCATATGCCTCCAGTCAATCAATGATTCCTGTGGTAACGACGGGAACTTCATGTTCAGCAAGGTCGAGGTTATCAAACAGGGCCGTACGTGATTGCATCTTTGCTGCAAAGGCATAGCAAGCTGCTTCACAATGATACAGATGCCTGACCTAATGGAAAACAAAATGGACGAGAGGGAGCCATTGAGTTGTAAAGGTAACTAACATAGTGTACATGTGCTCGTGCTTGCAAATAACACCGGATTGACGAAACATCCCATGCTCATTTTCATTCCCTCCACCCAAGCTGTATCTCTCCTGGTATAGAGGTATACATGTATTCAATGTCCCTCCTGGATCTACCAGATACTGCCATTACTCCGCTTGGCACGCAGGAGTATCCTGTGCCTTCTCCTTGAGGGCCTTCACAGCCTCCAACACTTTGCGATGGCTTAGTGCCGACCTTTGCGCCTCCCTTTCCTTTTTACTCATCAGTTTCTTCGTTTCTGAATGTTGGTATGTCTCCCGCCCATACTCGACTACCAATAACTGAAACCTCTCCTTCCAGTCGACAGGGTCAAAAGGCAGTTGGTGCCACCCAATGGCTTTTGCCAAGATGTCTGGCATATTGCGCTTGTTGACGGGGTCGCTCAGAGTTTTCGCTACATCAACCATCTTATAATTTTTCTCGAACTCGGGAATGGCGACGTCGAAGCCCAGGATCCTAATGCCAGGGAACACCCTTTTCAGGTCCGCACCGAGATATTGCGTCTGCCGAAACTCGGTCAGTCGAATAAATTTGGCCTTCTCGTTCGCAAGAGTTATGGCTTTCAAATCATTCCTCATGGGTGCTACAGGGCTATATGTGTGGGCAAAAGCGGTCAGCTAGGTACACACCTAAACATTGTAGGTACTATGAAGTGGCGGTGTCCGTTGTCAACTTACAGACGTTCTCGAGCTTCCACCACCATATTCATCCACTCCGTGAGCAATTCATGATATTTCTTCTCCTGCACATTGCCTCCGACTTTCACCGGCAATTGGCCAGATGCGAGTGCGATTGGCACCATCCTCGGCTCTTTCACAGCTTTAAGCGCCTTGGCCGTTGCCTCGATATTGTCCAGATCCAGTGGTGGAATCCTGCTAGGGTCGATGCTGTCATCCCTGAACCAAGCCGCAGCAAATTCTTCCCAGTTCATCTTGCCGTTGGGTAGGCTTCCTCGATGTCCCTGCTGCCTGTAAGACTCCTCGACTAGTTTTTTATCCCTCTCCGCATCGAGGAGAGGATAGATGTACCGCTGGTCCGCACCCTTGTACTGCCAGGCGATATTGTAAATGCCGTAGGCGGACATCATCTCGTAGAAAACGGAAGGGCTCTTGCTGGCGACAATGCTTGCCCACGATGCAATGAGGAAAGTCCAGGCCCATGCTAAGCGTACCAGCATCGTGATGGTGTGGCCGGGCGGCTGGTTGTTTGAAGAGAGTGTTGTGTGTGAAAGATGTGGAAGAAAGAGTGGAAAAGGGCATGTACGTACGTCCTAGCCTTGGGTAAAGCCAAAGGGAAAGAGTTTGATTAAGAGGTCAGTCATTCTATGAGCCTTGCAAACATGGCCGTCCGACTCTTTTCACGTATTTCGTACTGTCTCTCATCTAAACCTAGAGGTCTGGTACCTACAGGTACGTACCAGACCTACAAGATGTACCTCTAAAGGTTCATGTAAGGTATCTGGTTGCACGCCGCCGACGGGCTTGAACGCGGTATACGTCGGTACCTAGAGGTACCTTCGCGTACGTGGGCGCGCGGATAAACCGGCACGTCTCATCGTTTGCCTTGAAGGGGCATAATAACGAAAGGTAGCACGAGGATTAGCGAGAAGTCCAGAGGTCTGCATGTTGGTGCGAGATGTTCCAACCAACACCAAGTTACCGCAGAATCTCAAAATGCCCACATGTTCAGAGAGCCCCTCTACTCAGTACTCTAAGTTGCCTCGGCAGATACAGAGGTAGAGGTACCTATCTGACTTTGTTCATATCACCATCAACGGCGACACTTCCGTATGTAGGTAGATACCTCTATCATGTCAAACCCTGGAGACCGCCGCTCCGCTCCGCTCCGTGTGATTGTTAGTTGCGATGGGCCCTCATCACGATAGGTACCTGCTCTACCTAGAGACGTACCTAGGTTCTCATCGAGGGTTAAGCGTGGGTTTCTACATGTAGAGTAGGTTAGCAGATGCACTAACACACCAGGGTCGAAATCCCGAATTTCAATCTCGGCGGTTTTTCGTGGTCGTGGATATCAAGACCACGCTTTTCTAACCACCTCTAGGCAAAACACCGCCAGGTAGGGGTCTGGTAGCGCAGGGCAGCAAGGGAGCAAGGGTACCTCTCGGTAGGTAGTAACCGCAACGGTTTAGAGCATACGACCCTACGTGCAGGCATTCCTTACAATACTACCCTGTACCAACCAACAACCGTACCGCCGGGACTGGAACTTCTTTAACAAGGCTACCCCAAGTGGGTACATATGTACCTGGAACGGCGGCTCAGATGGGGCCGCTGGGGCCCAGTTCCAGCCTCCCCTGTCCGCGTAGCGTTCTCGATATGCAAAGTTCTAACGGGGCAGATTTGCATGAGACCACCCCTGAGCAACTATCAAACCCTGAAGATTTCCGAAGTAGAATCCATGCAGGTGATTTTCGACACACCCAGGACACTCTAGTGTAAGTCAGATACCGAAGTATACCTATGGCAACCTGAGAGTCTGGTTGCAATAAAGTAACAATGCCAGGATGAAGAAAAGACAGACCCGGAGACAGGTCCGGACAGACAGGTCCGGAACTAAAGCTGCCCCTGGATACCTAGAGGTACCTTTCTGGTAGTCGGTCTGATTACGGTAGTGGAGAAGAGACATAGTTGCCACTTCATCCTTCCATGTCACCAACCTAGTTGGGACGCCGGTCCGTAGATATCGTTTGACGAGCGTGCATATACTACATTGTCGAGTTGTAGTAGACCCTTGGGACCCTGGAATGTGGTCTGTTGATGTGATGAAGCACGCATCTTCGAAAACTCTGCAAAGATAGTATGGAAGGTACCTACCTACCTAAGCCTAGAGGCATCATGTTGGTGACTTGACTTGCTCCTACTACCTCTACTCCCTAGAGGTCTAGTCGGGTCCAAAGTCGTAGGCGGCTATCTCGAGAGTCGTGCGAGAATTTCTCAAGGTGGGCGGCTCCGGCAACGCTTCCGTGGATCCGATTCCGAACGACCCGCGAGCATTCCATTCCTCCCTAGTCCGAGAGGGATTGGAGGCAGGTGGGAGCAGACCTACAGGTAGGTTGTAGAGGTAACTTGGTTGACGATCGGAGCATATCCCAGAGGGATCCAGAGCTAGGGACTGGGCCTTGCCCCTGCCTTGCGTGCGTCGAACAAGAACTTCATAACCCATAGAGAGAGACACCTCTACATGTACTAGAGTTGCCGCAGACACTCACTCCATGTCCTCGCTGAGAGAGAGCTGATTCACTCATCCTTTCGACCCTTCTCTCTCATTACACACGCCGCTACCTTGCCCGGCCAAACCCAAATCACCGGTAACACTCCATTGCAACCTACGCAATGCGGTGGTTTACTTTGGCGGTGGCCGCTGCCGCCACCGTGACTCAGGTCACGGCAAAAGCTGTGTTTGCCCATTTTATGGTATGAACGAGATTCCAGTCCGCCCTCCAGTCATCGTTGACGCATTCTGGTCCATCGAATGTACAATGGAAATCAAGCTCAGCTGTGATGCTAACTTCCATGTTCAAAGGTTGGCAACACAGAGAACTACACAACAAGCGACTGGCTGGATGACATGCGTCAAGCCAAGAAGGCACATATTGATGCCTTCGCCTTGAACATGGCCCACGGCGAAGAGACCAACGAGAAGTCGCTCTCGGCCGCGTTTTCCGCCGCCGCGAGTGAGGGCATGCAGCTCTTCTTCTCGTTCGACTACGCCGGCAACGGGCCCTGGCCCAAGGAAACGGTGATCGAATACATCACAAAGTATGGTTCAAGCGGCGCCTATTTCCACCACAACGGCAAGCCTTTTGTTTCGACTTTTGAAGGACCCGACAACGCCGACGACTGGATTGATATTAAGAGCCAAACGTCCTGCTTCTTCATGCCCGACTGGTCTTCTCTGGGGGCCAAGAAGGCAATGGCTGCCGGAGGCGGCGTCGCTGACGGGCTCTTCTCATGGGCAGCATGGGCGTGGGGAGACTGGGACATGTACACGTACACGGATGCTTCGTACGCCCAGTACATGAACGGAAAGCCGTACATGATGCCGGTTTCGCCCTGGTTCTACACCAACCTGCCTGGGTACAACAAGAACTGGCTCTGGCGCGGCGACCGAGCGTGGGGTGACCGCTGGATCCAGGCGCAGTGGTGGCAGCCCGAGTTCATCCAGATCATCTCGTGGAACGACTACGGCGAGTCCCACTACATCGGTCCGGTTCGGAAGCACGCCATGGAAGCTTTCGACATTGGCAGGGCTCCGTACAACTATGCCACCCTACCTCATGATGGCTGGCGTGATATCCTGCCGTTTGTCATTGACATGTACAAGAACAACGTCGCCACCATTGACCATGAGCGGCTCGTGGCCTGGTACACATTGGTCAATCCATCCAGATGTGACCACAACGGAACAGTCGCCAATACCGCTTCTCAGCTGCAGCAGGAATTCGAACCCGACGAGGTAATGGACAACAAGATCCATTTCGCTGCCTTGCTGAAGGGCAAACCAGACAAGGTTATCTGCGACGTTGGCGGCGACACCACCGTCGGTAAGGTCTACCAGGGTCCCGACAACGACGGGACCGGCATGTATCTGGGTGAATGCGACGTTGGAGGAACCGGGACAGTCCGAGTCATCGTCACAAGAGGCCAGGTGACCATGACCGTCTTTGGCGACGCAATCTCAGGCGACTGCTCGAGATGGAACGGTTTCACAAACTTCAACGCGCATGTGGCTAGCACGCTTTCCACGGCAGTCATCAACGCTCAAGCGGCAGATATCAGCCAGGCTGTCTGCGTCAACGGAACCGGCATGCATGTTGTCAAGGACCTCTGCGAGTTCACCTGCTCTTTGGGATACTGCCCCCAGACTGCCTGTGTCTGTACTCGGCTGGGCAAGCAACCTACTTTGCCCAAGCCCACGGGCGTCCAGGGATATCCCAAGGGAAACCTAGACGCAAGTGTCTCGGGGCTGTGTTCCTTTGCCTGCAACTACGGCAACTGCTCCGACTTTCGCCAATACTGCTCCACTACCGAATTCCCACTCGTAGTTCGGCCGCAGTCCCTTTTCGAGCCGCTATACTGTGACGGCGGCGCGGCCCGGGAGGGACAGGAATACTTTGATGAGCTTTGTAGGTTCACCTGCAAGCATGGGTATTGCCCGATCAGGCGCTGCATCTGTTCCGTCGGCTGGGGATTCGCCAACATCCTCGACCCCAACACAACGTCCACCGCCAAGCCTCTATCTGGCGTGGACGACTATGGCCTCTGCAGCTTCGCCTGCCAGCGTGGTTTCTGTCCAGATGACGTTTGCTATGAGAATGGCGAGTTCGACGACTGGTGGCTCTGGGGCGAGTACTATGACCCGATTGAGGACATGTACATGGATGACGACGACATTGAAAGCCTAGGCTGCGACCCCGCCAAGGCGCCGCGGACGTTGGACGATCTTGTCAAGGCGGTTGACACTGGGTCAAGTCATTCCATATGCTGGAATCAGTGGGCGCTGGAGATCCTGTTTCAAACGCTTTTGGGCATCGGAAGCGAGTATCAAGAGAGCCTCAAGGGATATGACAAACTGTTTTCGACTTATGAAAAATATATCAGGGAGAGCGTCGGCCCGCAGCTGGAGAAGTTCGCCCATCCAGGAAGTATGAACTCGCCCGGACTCAAGTACTTTGACTGTGTGGTGTCAATAAACGGAAAGAAGTACAGTGATAAACAGGGTTGTCAGTACATTGTCTTGGAGAGGCTACCGGTTGATAACTGGCACATCGACTATACCTTGCGTGATGAAAAGGGTTTTTATGCCGAGGTCGACGAGAAACTGGGAATAGCGAGGGAATGGATCACTTTCGGCGAGTGGAAACTTGAGAAACAGTGCGACGACGACATGGTTGGTGACGATGGAGCTCATATCCGCCCGGGCACTAGACCCAGGCTCTGCAAACCGAAGGTCACGAGCATGAGCAACTTTCCTATAGCTATCGACGAGGACAAAGTAAGTGTTGAAACCAACTTCCACGTCGAAGAGAAGAGACAAGCGCTGACATGGGTACCTACCAACAGATCGAGGTCCCCAACCCCAAAGTGGTGATGGAGGCGGCCATGGCCAACATGACAAGTCTGGTTGACAGCCTGCAAATCGGGCACTTTCTGGTGGCTACCGCCACCAACGAAGTCGAAAGCGCAGACATTGTCACGGCGGCCAGCATGCCCGTTTTCATGCTACAACAAGCCGTCGATGCCATGAACAACATCAAGAAGACGGGAGCCGATATCATCAAGCAAAACAAGAAGAATCTCATCACCTTAATCCTGAGTATCGTGTTGATGGTGATTCCCATCATTGGCGAGTTTGGCGGAGCCCTGTTTGGTGGAATGGCCATGATCGCACGCATCATTACCCTGATCGACATTGCGGGCAACGTGGGAATGACTGCCTATGACATTGTCGAGGACCCGGGGTCGGCGCCCTTTGCCATCATGGGCATGTTGATGGGATTCGCAGGAGGTACAAGGTCCGAGAAGAGCCTGGCGGAGGCTGGCAAAGTACGCAAGGCCATGCCTGACTCTGCCGTTACAAAGCTCGGCAAAGTCTTTACCGAGAATGACAGGAAGGTTCAGAAAATCGTCAATGCCTGTAGGGGGAAAAGGTAGGGGGTTAGATTGAGCGAAACGGCAGAAAGGAATCGGAAGACGGGCACCTTACATGGCTAGAAAATAAGTAGCAGGATCAAGAACTTCACGAGCCCAAGAGATGTCGTCGATGATCAAGATGGGGATACCTGTCCAGCAAGGTGTGGTGAGTGATGTCGCGAGGTCAGAGTCCGTGAGATTCGCCCAAAATGGGAATAAAAGAAATGGATAGGTGAGGCTTGCGGGTGGAAAGAGTTCGAATCTGATTCAGGCTCAATTGTTGCAGCAATATCCCGGACCCCTTTTAGGAGAACAGTGGCTACTATCAATATGATCATATACTTTTCAAGTTTTGGGCTTCTTTTGTGCTTGTAGTCTTCAATTACAGGGAAGTGTCGTAGTCAGTTTCGCTGCCCAACACGGGAGAGAACATCCAACAAGTGTAACCTTGAAAATACCCCATAATCTTCATGACCGTCTTTCCCCGAAGTCTACCCCCGCAATTAGTTAGGTTCAGGCACCTCACCCGGCTGCGGCTTCGGGCCGTAAACAGTACTCGCCTTAAAGTAGGCGTGGATGTTAGGATCGTCCAGCTCCTTGCGAAGATGCTTTGGCGTAGACCGCAGTCTCCTCCCTGTCGGGGGTCCACACTCCACCCCATGACAACATTGAAGATGTGGCCGAGGTATCCTGGCAACGAGTGAGCATAAGCTTATCCCATCTCTCATTCTCGTCACTCTCACTGTCAACCGCCGCCAGACGGGTCAACCCCTCGTTATACCGCTGCCAGGCCGGGTTCATGTACCCGTTTATGACAGCTTTGGGGACGGACATTGGGCCCTGTAAATGTGGAGCGGGGGTGTGCACCACGTGTGAGAAGAACTGCTCGGCAGCGTAGGTCTAGGGTGGTGGTTCGGGAACGAGAAGGGGAAGGGGAAGGGGTGAACAGACCTTTTCGTTATGCTCAGCAAAGACGTCCCAATCGTGACCGATGACTATCACCCGCGGTCTGGTGATTCGCTTCGTCCCACTTCCACTTTCCTTCGCTTGATCCTGCTCCCTCCCATCCTCGCTCCCTTCACCCTCCCCAGGCAACTTAACCTTCGGCTTGTCAGAAAACGGAAGTAACCCTCTCAACCCCCTCCGATCCAACCTCTCCGGATTCCCCACACTCGGATGAAACTTCTCCCTAAACTGCTTCCTCGCCCACCTCAACGCTTCCTCATCCACCCCCTCTTTCAAATATTTTCCGGGATCAAACCCAGGCGCATCCGGATCGGGAAACACGGAGACAAAAGAGACAGTCGTGCCCAGAGCCCACATCAGGGCCGAACGACTCACTGAAATGCACCAGACGTTGAAGGATGAATTAACCTTTGTTCGTGAAAGGATGAACAGATATTACGACCGCACGAGGTCGTCAGCGCCGACCTTCAGGAGGGGAGACAAAGTTTACCTTCTCCGTCGTAATATCAAAACCAAGCGTCCCAGCGACAAGCTCGACTACAAGAAGCTGGGACCATTCAAAGTGCTCGAGAAAGTCAGCACCAGCAACTACAGACTCGAGCTCCCCAAAGGCATGCGACAATGGCCCACGTTCCACGTCTCACTGTTGGAACCAGCGCCGAAGAACGCCAGACTCGACAAGAATGTGCAAACATGGAACGAAGGGAGCGATCAGTAGGAAGAGCAGTCGAACGACGAGACATCATGAGGACGAAGAATGATGAAGAGAAGAGGAAAAAGGACAAACTCACCAGGAATACAGGGTCATACAGGGTTATGAATGACGAGGAAGAGTAAAGGATCAAGGAGAAGGGAGACGGCAGGCAATAAGGTTGTGACCAACAAGTCCGTTGGCACCCCAGCACCTGAGGGATGACATTACGTGACAAGAAAACATCGTGGCGTTTAGGGACAAAGCACAGAGAGGGGGCATCGTGTTACGATCCAATCAAGGATTACTTATGTAAGCAGACTAGATAGCCAATCAGACCAGCGCCGCAGTACCGGAGCCGCAGGGCCGCGGCCGTAACGGCGGCTCGGCGGCCACGACTCTGAAGGCCAGTATATAAGACGCCCTCCCCAGGCGTCGTATATACAGGACCTTCAGCAAGCAATAGCTTTCACAATCAACCAGTACCTTTTGGCTACTGCTACCGTTATTCTTATTCCCAGCGATATACTCCTGTGCTTGTAACGGTTCGTCACAATGCCCTGGTCGATAGTTGATGATGAACCAGTAGTTCGCTAGTTGCATGGCCCAACGAGCCTGACGACGGTTGAGGACTTTTGCGTGGGTGAAGTAGGCGAGATTCTGGTGGTCCGAGAAGACTTCGATACGGTGTTTGGCCCCTTCGAGGTAGATTCTCCATCGATCAAAGCTGTCGACGATGGCTAGGAGTTCCTTATCGTGGATCTCGTAGTTCATCTCGGCTGGAGTCAGTTTCCCTGAATGGAAAGCGACAGGATGTAATTTGCCATCGTTCCCTTTCTGTGATAGGATAGCGCCAACCCCGAAATCCGAAGCATCCGTTTCCATGATCGCCGGTTTTGACGGGCCGAAGTGGGCAAGGACTGGTGCCGTTGTGAAGGCTGTTTTCAAGGCTTGGAAGGCTTTCGCCATGGGTTCGGTCCATTTCCAGAGCTTCTTGTCCAGCGCGTTAGCCGCTGTCACACGGACATTTGCCCACAGTTCTGGGTTAGGGTTGCCGAGGCTTAACAGAGCCTCAACGCCCGGCATCAGCCTTATAAATGCCCGGAGGCCTCCGGCCGCAACACTCACCTCGGCCGGACTCTCGCCACCGGCATTGCTTACCCAAGCCCCTCTCGACACCGTCAGGCTAGCGAGCCAACCATCGAACTGCCGACGACGCTGATAAGCATCACGAGGCAGTCCCCAGTTATCACAGAAGCAATCCCAGCCAACCAAGCAAGAAGCAGAGCGACCGGATGAAGGCCGGCGCCAGAAGAAGGAAGGAGAATGGTTGAAGACACTCTGGAAGATCCACATGTATGAAGATCGCTAGATAGATACCTTGAGGCCTCAGGCAACAAGGCTCGGTACGTACCTCAGTACGTACCAAACCTCTTTGGCATAAGAAGGCCTTGAAACCCAGCCTTCCTTTGAAGGTTGAGAGGATCAACAAGGCCTTCGAGACCAAAGAAGTTTATCAGTTGAATTGAACTCTTTGTTCCAAGCCCAGAACACTGCCCTTGTCACAGCCGCCGTGAGGGCTTTGACAATGGTGGAGAAGCTGCGAATGAAGCGTCGATAGAAGTTGGCGAATCCCACGAATGACTGGCATTCCTTGAGCGTGGTAGGTTCCTTCCACTCCATGATGCTTCTAATCTTGTCGTCTGCCATACCGATGCCTTCTGTAGAGATCATGTACCCCAGTGTGACGAACCGTTACAAGCACAGGAGCATATCGCTGGGAATAAGAATAACGGTAGCAGTAGCCAAAAGGTACTGGTTGATTGTGAAAGCTATTGCTTGCTGAAGAGCCCTCTATCTAAGAAGGCCGGGAGGCCTTCTTATATACAAGGCCTTCAGGGACCCGAGCATATTGGACCCGAGGACCCGAACGCTCGGGTCTTCCTCCTGAGGACCCGACGTTCATGGACCCGAGGACCCGAACGCTTCGGGTCCTACCTGATTGGTCTGTTGGTTCTACCTAGTCTGGCTTACATAAATGATCCTTGATTGGATCGTAACACCCAGGAACTCGACCTTATTAACGCCCCATTTGCATTTCTGAGGAGCTACGGCCAAGTGGTTCTTTGAGTCTCGTAGGCAGAGGCTCAAATGCTTGGTGTTAAAAATCGAACTGGTTTGGTGATCTTGCTCAGCCTCACGTAGAAGTAAGGCCGAAACGATATGACGCGTCCATGCCTAATTATCTCGATCTGAGGGGTTAGATATGAGGGGTTTGGTGCCTAGTGTTGACTTGGCTCATGTGCTAGGCTGGAGCCTTTGTGTGACGAACGGCAGTCTGATCTGCCTAAGTGGGATAGCTGAAGGTAGTAAACCATCAGGTGCAGTTCGGTGAAGCCAAAAGGTTCACAACAAGTATGGTAGCGTTATACTGGTCTCGCTGATAATGATCTATTGACTACTGTCGAACTATCTGACAATCTGAGTTCTCCAATCGTCCCTTTATATCCTGAATGTCTGGTGTTGCTCGTCCATCTTGAGTGCTTGCTCACCAGTGAGTATCTGCTCACCGTGAGCGCCTGTCTTCAGTGAGCACCCCTTGTGTGCCTTCTGGTCCAATCCCCGTTTGGGGTTACACTGTCCAACCGTGAACGAGGCTGCTGCGTCCCGATGGCTTGGTCGGCCCATGCATTCGCATAATCTTCGATCGCTTTGGCCATTTGCGGGGAGAGTTCACAGCCGGGGTGGGCGGGGATGGGAGGTGGGACGAGGACGGTTCCGTCCGGTCCGGTTATGGTGCGCGTGGATGTGCCCGCGATGCCCGTGACTGTGGTGATGGTGAGGCCTATGGCTCCCGTGCCCGTGGTCTCTGTGACAATCTGGGATTGCTGGGCTGGCGCTTCAGGTGTAACCGTGACAGCGGAAGGGGCAGTTGCAGGAATGGGAGACTTTTTGTCCGCATCCATGTCCGCTAAGGAGAGCCTGGCGTAGTATTGAGCCAGAAAGTCCTTTTCGGATTGCGGATGAGACAGGTGAACGGGGTTAGTATGATCCATTGAGGCTGGTGCTGAATTCAGGTCTCTTGGATGTCGTGTATATGGCTTCGTTTCCAAAATGTCAAAGAATCTGTCGACTATAGGTACGTGATCGGGATTGAATTCGGGTCCAAAAGTCGGAAGAGAAGAACGAATGTGCGTAGAGTGGTGTGATGTCCGTTCCTATGAGGGTCTTGAAGAGTTGACATAAGTTTCCAGTTCCTCATCTAACTTTTTGCTGCTCGTTTGCTTACCTTATCTCTAAGCAGATTCTTGGCCTTCATGTAGTCGCAACAATGCTCGATCGCATAATCTTCCATCGCTTTGGCCATTTGCGGGGAGAGTTCACAGCCGGGGTGGGCGGGGATGGGAGGTTTCAGACGAGACGCATTCACTGAGAACCAGCTCGCCAAGTTGTCGCCATTCATTGGCGACTTCATCACCGGGGACCAGTCTTTCTTCATGGCCACGTACTACATGTACTTCCCGTTCCTGACTTGCGAGGTGAAGTGTGGCGCAGCGGCGCTTGACATCGCAGATCGGCAGAACGCCCACAGCATGACCCTTGCGGTACGGGGCATCGTCGAGCTCTTCCGTGCTGTCAAGCGCGAGGATAAGGTCAACCGGAAGATCCTCGCCTTCTCCGTCTCGCACGACCACCAGTCAGTACGGATTTATGGCCACTACCCAGTGATAACCGGGAAAGACACCAAGTATTACCGGCACCCGATCCGAAATTTTGTCTTTACTGAGTTAGACGGCAAAGAGAAGTGGACAGCGTACCGATTCACCAAGAACGTCTACGACACATGGATGCCCAAGCATTTCGAGAACATCTATTCTGCCATCAATCAGTTGCCATCGGAGTTGAACTTTGATGTCCCACCGCTTTCCGAGGCGACCGGGCTTTCCCAGGATTTGGGGAACTTGATGCAGTCAGATGTCAGCTGCGCTTCTCTGCCTGACGAGCGGGGCAGCCAGTCGAGCAATGCCGGGCAGCAGGCGGTCACTCCAGGTACCTCATTCAGTGAGCCGAAGAGGAGGAAAGGATAAGGCCCGGAAGGGCCGTAATGTGTTGGCGGGTAGATAGCATAGGATTCAATTGACCGTCATCTTCACCTTGGCTACTTCGCTTCTTGCCTTCCATCATTCATAAACCAAGTCACTGTCCTGGCCAGGTGCTTTGAGTGATCACCCTAAATATTCGGGTACCTTCGTTATGGCGGTCCCCCAGTAGACACTTTTACGGCAGTTTTACATGTAACCGAATAGAGGCCTTCAGATTGCACTATACAGCAAAAAGAATTAAGATGAGCCTAGCTACTCCATTTCAATACAGCAGTTAAGGACGACAGCGTATAGGGATGCTCGGGCCCGAGTACTCGCTCCCGAGCCTCCACGCAGTCTTGCATCAACGCTAGCGCATCTTCATGTCGACCTTGACTCTTCCACGCGAAAGCAAGGTTGGCCATGCTCGTCAGCGTCGAGGGATGATCAACTCCGAGCTTCGTCTTGCTAATCTCCATCACCTGCACAGACAGCTTCTCGGCCTCGTCCCACCGGCCTTGGTTCCTGTACGTCGACGCCAGGTTGCCCATGCTGGTCAGCGTCGAGGGATGATCGACTCCGAGCTTCGTCTTGCTAATCTCCATCACCTGCACAGACAGCTTCTCGGCCTCCCCCCACCGGAGATCAGACTGCCGTTCGTCACAAGCAGTCTCGCCCTGCACCTCTGCTCGAGTTGCCAACGTCTACACAGCACATCCCCGCCACTCCCTCTACGTCCTCCCTCCCCTTTACAGCCGCTCTAGCTACCGGTTCTACCGACGTAGAGACGTCCGCCTCACGGCTTCGAGTCGCTCCGGCTACCGGTTCCATCAACATAAAGACGTCCACCCCACGACCCCCAGCCGCTCCAGTTACCAGTTCCACCGACGTAGAGACGTCCGCCTCACGGTTCTCAGCCGCTCCGGCTACTGGTTCCGTCGATATAGAGACGTCCGCTGGTGCGGATGACACCACTACCAGCTTACCTGTACGACTCTGGGAAAGCACGTCATACCAGAGCAATGTTGAAACCTATTATAGTAGGATTTAACTGAAAAGAACCTTCCTTCTCAGCTGCATTTAGGCTTTCGATAGGTAATGACGGAGGTCTCATGTAGTCGTTCTACAATGGGCTTAAAGACCGGATCAAAGACACAACATATTCGCCAGGTGTAGAATATCAGTACTCCTTAATCACAGTACCAGCGCGCCCACCGACCGCGAAATATACTTTTACTAAATTAAGGGCTCATTTATATCTATCCCCACGTTCCAATAGAGCATTTTCGACTTAACTATTAGTTACTCTGAGAAGGGATTCCCTCAGGTCTCGTTGTCGCCGGCTCCTGGTGATCCCTCCAGTGCCCGAAGACGAGCGTGCCAGTGTGCTCCAGGAGCGTACCGTATCTTGGGTGAGGTAGCTGGTGATCGGCCCATCGTCAAGAGGACGTACTGTTCTATCCCCTGTCAGCACCTTGCGTGGGCGGCCGCGGCCGCGCTTGATGCCTCTTGTCATCAACTGTCCCTTCAGCAGCTGAGCCTCGGCCCGGGGTTCGGAAGCAGGGGGTGCATCGGCCATCGCCCGGTCCGCCGGTTGCCCCGCTATCAGGGGCGGGGGGATCAAGGCCGGCTCTGAAGCCCTGGATCCATGGATGTTTCCGGCCCTCAAGAACCTGAAGGCCAGCGGGCGGTACATCATTGCGGCCCTGAGTAACACCGTCATCTTCCCGCCTGATCACGAATATTCCCAGGGTGATTACCTCAAAGATACCCCGTCCAGGAGAAAAGAGGGATTGAACGTTTTGCAGAGGAGAATGATAAATCGGTCTCCACAGGAAATCGAATTATGCCGTTAAGCACTTGATGGCTGCGTGCATATCGATGCCAGCCTGACGAGACTCAAGAAAGTCCGCTTCGCAATGCGAACCGAGGGGGTTCCGTGCTCCTTCCGAGGTGGCTTGACTATGGCCCATCACTAAGCCACAGCAGACGTCGGACCAATCATGTATGCCGGAAAAGTTGCAGGCCAAATGGCAGGCGAATCTGCTGAGGATAATACGGTACCCTTCGTACGCCTACGGTGGCTTTCAAGCGTTAAAGCAATGATTACATCTCTCCATACACCGAATTCATGTCAAATATGGAGCTGTGTGTTGTGATTATCACAAAAGTTATATCTAGGTCAAAATCGCTTCGGAAAGAGTAATGGACAGCTGTAAACATGTTGTATACCATCACTTCTCTTCATCGGCCTTGGGCTTCAGACACTCGGAATCAGGATTAAGTCTCCTAAACTCCTCTCGGGCCGCACGCTTCTTGGCCCTCTCCTCCTCTGTTGGTATCCTCGGAACATCGCTCTGAGCAGGATGCCACTTGTCCCACTCCGAGACATTACGTCCATCGGCAGTGAGAAGCGCGGGCGGTATCTGATCGTCTGGGACGTTGTAATATTCTCTAATCTGGGGTTGAGTAAGGCCACGCGCGTCCACGACGTTACGTACGGCATCAAAGTGCCGCAGAACACCATCGTGACCAAGGCACCAAATGCCGTGTCGGTCGCTTTTCATGGCCTTGAATATTTCTTTCAAGGTCATGTCATCGGTTGCAGGCTGAGGGGTTGTGGTTTCGGGCATGGCTTGGATCTGAATCTTGTTAATCAGCATCTTGGAAAACAATTCGACTCGAGACTACTTGCCTGGGCGTTGTCAGACATGATGCTAAACTTTTGGCTCAGGGAATGGTCGCATAGGGTAACCAGAGAGGAATCAAGAGGAAGAAGCGTGCGAGTTGTTGATTGCGGGGTACAGCCTGATCTATACAACCAACAAGCGTACCTTTATCAAAAGAGACAGCCCAACATAATGACGTAGGGCGCCACAACCCGGAAAACTGGCAAACACCTGATTCGTGTGCACATGGCGCTGACTCACTTAAGTGTTCGAGCGGGCCACGGCAAGGTGCACTGAAGCGCCATGCACGACCCCCGATGCATGGAGCCGGCTTGCCCGAAATGGCCTTGCCCGAAATGGCTTGCACAAGGGGGCATCCCGGAGCGATGCAGGAACCCCCATGCCGGAGGCCATCTGCAGAATCCACGATCCCGATTCGCCATTTGCGGGTGTTGAGTAACTGGTGCATCCACATTTTTATCCTACATCACCAACGACCGTTACCTACCATAGTCGTCAACCGCTCCAAGACACAATAGTGAACACACTGTTAACGGCCATTTCATTTCCTTCCATTTATAAGGTAGGTACCTGTCTGCGGCTGTCTCCAAGTACAACAAGTCCTTTAGCCTATCACGTCCTACAAAGACCAACGGGCAACTACCAAAATTCTTGGATGGGAATCTGAAACTCAAACCCCTCGGACACATCCAAAGCATACTCCTCCGGCTCATCCCAATACTCGCTATCCAACCCTCTCTCCCTCAACCACCCCTCCAACACCTCGACCTTCTCCTTCATTCCGGGGTAGGTAATACGACTGCCTAACAACACCCGCGCAAAAGCCAGCGGCGTTCTTCCTTCGTTGTTTCGCAACATCTTGGCGCCCCGCTCCAACAGAAGCTTGACCATATCCGCGTCTCCGGAAAGAATCGCAGTATGCAGCACATAGTTACGCAGCCAGACCCGCTTGTTTCGGTTCGTCGGGCTCTCCCCTTGAATATAGTTGGCCGTGTTGAGTGCCTCGCGCAGGTTTCCTCCTTGCTTGTCAGCGTCATCGAGCAACCAGGCTAGGAGCTCTTTATTCCCCTTGTTTTGCGCCGCGCGGGGTAGGATCTTGAGTCGGTCGAGTTTGGTGAGGGCGTCTCTGAGTGATGGTGGTGGTGGCGGCGGCGTCGTTGTAGGCGTGGTAGTAGTAGTCGTACTAGACAACGCAAGAGCATACCGTATAGCTTCCACCACCAACCCCACCTCGCGCGGCCTGGATTCCCACGGCTGCAACGGGTCAGTCCCCTGTCCCTCCGCCAGACTCATCAGGGTCTCTACCTTGCCCTCTTGCGTGTCCAGGTATCCCACCTCCTTGAATGCGTCCAAGAGAGTCTTGAGCGGCTGCATTTCGTGGCCCGTGCCGAGCAGTCGCATGCCAAACAGGCGCGGCGAACGCCACCGCGAGCGAATCAGCGTCAATTCGACGTCGAGCGGCGCCGGGCGCTCGCTGCCCCAGCTTTTGGGCATCCAGTCGCGGTACCAGGTCATATACGACGACGGCTTGTCGGGTTCGGTGCTGTTGTTGCTGTTTGTCTCAGGTGGTGGTGGTGGTGGCGGTCCCCCCGAAGAAGCGAGCATCTTCACCAGCTCAAAGAACTGCTTCGTCGCCGAGCTGTTAACCTGGCCACCCATGTCCAGGGACCAGACCGTTCTATCCGCCAAAACGAGCAAGAACTCCCTTATGACGGCCGAGTCCGCGCCGGGGTGCAGCGGAGACAAGTGCGGTGGAAGCTCCGACGCCAACGAGGCGAAACTGGCCGCCAGATCACCCTTGCCCGTGGGGTCCGCGTCAATGGCGTTCAGCGCGGCAAGGAAGTTGTCAAAGTCGTCATAATCTAGTTGCGAGGGTACCGTTTGCGGGCCCAGCGCCAGCCCGAGCAGGGACATGAGCGAAGGAAGAAAGCGTTGGCGGCTGGACTCGCAAAGGTCAAAGACAAATTGCAACAATATCTGGCTGGGCTACTACGTTTGCGTCGGCGTTTAAATCTCTATAATGTCTTAATACATCGCTCGCTTCGTATTCTTCGGGACAACATTTCACCTGCGGAACAGGAAGACGCCTGCAATTTGGCGGCGTTCGACAAGCCAACCACAGCTCTAGGATCTGATGCCAACTCCATTTAAAGTCAACACCCTGCCGGCACAGCCGCCAATACCTTTGCAGACGAGTCCCAGTCAGACCAGATCACACTACTCCTCAAACAACTTGATAATTTCGAACGCGCCCCCAAAACACTTCCCGAATCATGGCAAAAAACTCACAAGCTGAATATAACTCGACTGCGAGAATCTTTCTTGACGAGGGCCAATTTCCAGCCTGGCTCGTATATTTCCTCACCAAGAACGCTGCTGACAAGCGATCCCACTTCCTCGGCTCGAAACCCGCGAGTTGTAGGATATTTCGTCAACTGGAATTTGTGCGCCACTGTCAGTGCCACTGTTCTTTACGAGTCCTATTGGCTTTTCTGGGACTGGGGTTGGGCTCACTAGGAACAGCCAGAACCGGAGACTTCATCACTGGCGCCAAGCCTAACGCATTAATTCCGTCTTGAGGTGGTCGCCGAAACCTGCGACCCGTCCACGATGATTAGCCACAAACGTCCACACTCAGAAGCCACGTCAATAGGGGTCACGGGGCACTCACGTTGGAACTTCGTCCCGGTACCTAGGGCCCATCGATTCCAGCGGCATCATGACAAGCGTATTGGAGCGCTTCCCTGTCAAAATGGTGCATGCATGAAGTGGATAAATCAGTTTGTTTTGTTTAGATACCGTACATATTCTTTTGTATCCTAACACACTAAGAAATCAAAGAGGATCGAGTAGTACTTAGATGTTCTTACGTAGGGTTGTCCGAGAAGTAAGTGAAGGTGGAGGAGACCTTAATACCAAGAGTCGCTACTGGAGTCGAATCCGAGCCTGCTTTCTAATACTTATGCCAACTCTCTTACCCCTGAGACTGCGTGTTATTAAGTTCGTAATCGTTGCCGGCTGCCAGCTTGTCAGCTACCCGAGGGGTACTGAAACGGTAAAATGGTGGTAAGTGTGGCCGGCGAATTCACTGAGCTACGTACAGCTGTGGCTTAAGAGATGGAACCGGTCAAGCTGTCTGTATTAAGCGAGGTAGGTTATAACGGCGATCTATGGTTGGCGACGTTCTTGTTCGTGTGTAAGACAAGGTGAGTGCAAGCAAGGGTCCGTCCGTCTACCAACCTTTGTTTATGAACGTGAGGGAGTCTAATTGGCATCCGTTGGTTGGGGTTTCATGCCCGAAAAGCCACAGCGGTAAGATCCGGGTCGCTAGCAACCCGGTCAGGCTGCAGGTTAGTGAAGGTATATTAATGAAGGTAGATTCGTGAAGGTAGGTTAGTGAAGGTAGGTTTCTTTTGTTCACCTAGTTATACCAAACCGCTCTTTCAGTAGCGATCATTACATCATGATATCAACCCTTGCAGCCTAGCGAGTTCCAGATGAAGCCTTGGGCTAGGCAGCGGCGCAACAATCTAGCTTAATTTACAGACAACACACCGCCCCTTAGTGACAATTCTCATAGCGCCACAATGTGACATGCAAGAGGAAATAAGGACTCGTGCTTCATTCTGACGACAACGACTAGTCTGCCAGGCATCCGAAAGTCCTTCATTCCTACCCGGAATGGTCTGTTGGCAATGCCTATCTCTACATTCTCCGCGACCGTGCGCATGAAGAATTTCTTGGACCGGACTGAGTGGGCAACGAGGCAGGGGCCGGCCGATCATTTCAGTGTTGACTACTTGGGCAATCCGGACAAGGGGGCAGGAGGGCTTGTTGACTTATTCTGTCATCAGAGTATGAAGTGAACCAGGTGAGACCGAGTTATAAACAGTATGGCATCTCCTGCAAAACCTCTTCTCTTTTTTCTGTATCCGCTTTTCTCTTTGACTATCAAAACTTGCAGGTCACTGCCCCTTCACAATAGCCGAGTAACCCTCGACATAATCGATCAGTCTTTAATCACTTTCCGTCTGCGGCACGGCATTCTCTCGCTTTCTCGCATTCTCACACGTCCAAACCCTTCGTTCGAGGATTGCCTAGTCAAACAGACTTATTTGCCACGGCGGTCCGTATTCCACCAAACAATGTAGCAGTTACTCTTCCTCGGACCATCACTCCACCCACTCCCACCACGGTCATACTCTCAAGGGATAATAGGCTCAGCATCTGCTGCATTTGGTGTTGGAGCTCTTACCATAACTGATCAAGGGTCTTCATCAGCAGTGAATATGGAGTCGCGGTCCCAGAAGAAGAAGAGGGTTGTTGCTGTAGGTTATCTCTGACTGACAATCTCACTGACTTCACTTCTTGATCAAAGCTGACAGCCATCAGTGCGAGCGTTGCCGCAGACGCAAGATCAGATGCAGTGGCGATTTGGGCCAAGGCCAACCCTGTACGAACTGTAAGAATGCAAGGGTAGAGCCGTGTCTCTTCCTCCGGGTTAGTATAGACTGTTGTTGCTTCTTCCGATCTGTTTGCATCACCGTCACTAACCCCCAAATTATATCACAGGTTTCGTCCCACAACATCCCCCTCAAGCCCGATACCACTTCTACCATCGGCTACTCCGTCAATGATGCCCGACACGCCAACGGAACCATCATTCCCTACGGCCAACACCTTGGGGCTGTTGGTGTCAGCGACCATCGTAGTTACCCTTACGGTCACCATCAAGCCCCGCCGCCGACTAGTCATAAACAGGACTTCCCTGCCACAGCCACTTACGCGTCGGCTCCCAACCCCTACGGCGATCTTACCGCTGTTGGTGTGGGCAGTCAGTTTGCTGATTATACGGCAGCGGGGCACCCGCCGGTGCATGCCATGGCTCATGAGATTGTGGGCATGGTTCCTAGTTGGAGTTCTAGAAAAACTACTCCTTATGGCGGTGTATATATGGACTCAGCTCCATAATCTTACGGGGGATATGGCAGCTCGAGCCTCGTCCATCGCCCGGCACACTATAGTGGTGCCCATCATGGCCACGGAACTCCTACTACAACCGAATCCCAGTCCCCCAGCTTTTCCTTCTCCGGTACTGCGTCCCTACCCACCACTAGTACCGGCGCCGATCGCTTGTTGCCAAACCCCACAGCCAGAACCGGTACCTCCCGCTCCTCCCTCCCTTATGCCGGCGGCACAGCCATGAAGACCTCTTTCCAACCAGGAGTATCGAGCCCCCCCGCCAATGTCGCTGCTTCTGCAACTGCCTACGGCGGCTTTGATGGTCTTCCCGCGTCTTACGGATCAATTCGCGAAGTTGAGGGAGAGAATTGCGAAGGCGCAAAAGCTTCTGGAGGAGGCGGATGCTAAGGTCATTGATGGTGTTGCTGAGCAGCCCGTTGACTTGTAAGTGCCCCAGTCCGCCGCGATTGCCATCTCGCTGCGGTTGCATATCGGATTCTAGCCATGCGCCGTCAGTAAACAAGTCTGACTCAGAGGTCGTAGAAGTATCGCTTCCTACCCTTTCCACACGTTCACGCTCTTAGCCTGGTTCTGTTGACCTTGGTACTAGGCAGAGCCTACATCAACCCTGAGAGACGAAGACTGCCTGCAAACAAGACCGCGCTTCTGTGTTTCCTTGAGATAAGAAAGTCGAATTTGGATGGGAAGCAACAGTCGTAAGGAATGCTTCGATGCCGACTTGTTGAAGCCTTATTATTTTCTTCAACGAGAACCCAATACGCCGCCCAAAGGGTAGAAAACAAAAAAATCCATCGTATTCTTCTACAATCTTCATAACATTCCCAGCATGGTGTATTTCTTCTCTTAGTTTCTTCTGTGTTTTGGTTGTGACTATAGCTATGTCTTGCAATCCATTGTAACGGCCTGTCTTGCCAGTAGTGTAGACCTCATGCATCCCCACCAAGCCGTCCAAGGTCTCGGCAGTGAAGAAATGACCGCAGCCCAAAACCACAATGGGGGTTTCATTGAGATCGATCTCTTCGTAAGTCTTGAACTCCAGCAGGTCGACCCGGTCGTCTTTGCGGGAGCAGCACACCTGGCAATAATCCTGCGGACACTCTTCCCCACACAGACTTGAACACTGGTGGCCACATGTAAGACGACGGGTACAACGTTCATCACACGGCAGCCGATCGCATGGCGCTGCACAAGGCATTGTGCATGACCCTTAATGTTGGCATGAGTAAAAATGGCATCATTTTCATCGTTTTCCTTTACCATTCAATATCCTCTCTCCGCTTCATATCCCCATGCCTCCGGCTCTCCATATCCCCATTCTCTTACTTCTTCCTCAATCCAACCTGGTTAAACCCAGCCTCCACTGCCGACCTCCCCTCGCTTTCCAACCTCTACCGCATCACTGGCAACGCTCACTACCAGAGGGGAGTCTCTGTATATCGGGCGTGCTGGGAATTGCTGATTGTGTGGAAAATGGATGGGCAAAGAAGACGGTAAACAACAAATGCTGGTTATTGAAAGAAGAGTTAGAGAGAGTAAACAAAGACCCACTATTTATGGACCCGGACATTGGCTGTCTACCAACCATGGCTGTGCAACCACCCTGATCCTCACTGTTAACTCTATCCTGGATAGCCTCAACACCAAAGGATCTGCTATGGGCAAACAAGACCCAAATATTCCAACATCACCCCAACTTCGTACACAGTCCGGTTACACATGCAGGGCCCCGAAAGTGAAAAGCACGCTGCCGACTTGGACCGATTGAGACTGTTTGACACACGACGGTCTCACAAGAGATGCCGGCTTCACCGCTTGCCCACATGCGATAGCTTCATATCAATTATTCATCACTCCCGTGGCGGCTCGCCAGTACTTGTCAATTGCGGCTAAGAGCATCTGCATCAGCATGGTCCTGTTCTTTATTATTCCATCGCTGCCCGCTTGCCCACTTACTCATACCTCTTTCCACTCATTCACTTTCCCTGGTCTTCTCTCCCATTCCCGTCTTCACCACCGACAATGCTCTGTTGGCATCAACATGGCTTCCACCATACAAATACAGCACGCAATAGGTCAAGACCTTTTTACACTTTAGCCGCCGCAAGACAACGGGTATGGCTGCCATTATCGTCAACAGCATCAACACCACAACCCAAGTCAAGTCCTCAACAACGCCACCTTGGTCATTTACGTCACAAGACCATTGGAGATCAGGAGCACCAAAGACGAAGAAGCGAAGTTCAAGATATTTGATTAGACCCCCGGCTGTTGGCCCTGATTACCAACAACAACAACAACCTGTTATGATGAGACAACAAAAAGCAAACGCACACGTTGAGACCCTGCCGCCCAGAGGCCCCCAGACCGAAAACCCCTGATTACAAAATCCGGATCCAAAACCCGCCCAAGATTAACAAGAAATCTGAACCAAGGAAACGCCGTTGGTGTTGCTATTGCTTCCCCCACCATTCATCCATCCTCCCAGTTAAGTCACGGTCCTTTCTTTTTGTGCGCCCTCGATGCATGCTGGCCGTATGCTCTGAAAAACAATCGACGCCGCCCAACCCTAAAAACGTGGTGGATGATGTATCCACGGGTACCATCAAAGAGAAGGCAGCCTCCCAGTTTTGGCTCCAAAGTTCAATGACTCGCACCAAAAAATCAAAGCAATGCATCCACCGTCATAACGTCCAACTTCCCATGTTCACACAAACATTCTTCCTCGGGACACTCCAACAGGCTAGTGCCTCCGGGACCTCGACTTTGACGACAACTCCTTATCCTTGTTGTGCTTCTTTTCCTTGCCGCTGTAGTCCAGCGCAATGTCGTAAGATGTTGGTTGTCCGGCCTCCTCTGCGGTCATGGATACACCATCTTTGGGGCCCCTTGTACCGCGCTTGCTGGAATCCTTTCTCTTCTTCCTGGAGCTTTCAGGAGCAGAGCCGGGAGCAGGTGCTGGTTTGTCTGTTAGCTTATTGCTACCGAAGTCCGAGGTCTCAGGTCACTGGAGGAGGGTCCACCACATACCTTCTCTAGGACAGTTCCTGCAGCACATGTGATCGCAGGTCTGGATGTACTGCCACTCGTTGGTAAGGGCATTTCTCTCCCATCGCGGGCTCGGCAGCATGCCGCCACACCACCCGGTTGTATTTGGGGAGCCGCATTGGCAGAATGTCCAGTTGCCGTTGGTGTTCTTGAAGTCACAGTTCTGCAAGGGACAACCGGCGTTTGAGGGCTGTTCTTTGGCCATGGTCGTGTTGCTGCATTGCTCTTGGTATCCCGTATTGAGGTCGATCTTGGCTGCTGGGCAATAGTGCCAGCGCAGCGAAGTATGGCCGCATGAGTATTCCGGCGGGGTGTCCGTGGCACATCTTGATGGTATATGGAGGAACGGTGATGTCTTGGTGATGTTTGTGTTGAGGTTGTTCTGATGTTGCCACTCGGGGTGTGCAAAGTACGTTCTCACTCGGAAGGTAGGCTTGTATTTGTCAAGTCAGAGCGTGCTGCTAACTTCTTGTTGTAGATGCTTATCGTGGTCTGGATCTTGATCTCTGTCGTCCTTTCGGTGGTTTGGAGGCCGGATATATAAATGATCTCGCTCAGGTTTCGCTTGATCATGACGGGAGTATTTCTTATTCTTCCATGCCCCGATCCTTTTTGGCAAAGCTAGCAAAGCTAAAGATAAGTCAAAGGCCTGAACCCTTGCCGCTCCAACACCAACATTCAGGAGTAGTGTGACCAAGCGGTCGGCTTCACATTCTCCGATGTGTGTGAAGAGAGAGGCTGATCGGGTCATTGGTTCTTGGAATTCAGGGTATTGCCAAGCTAAGTGGGCTAACAGAAACCTACACGCCTTGGGATCGCAACACAAATTGTGTGTCCTTCATATCGAGAGCCAAAAGTACACAGGGGTACCTCCCACTTCCCCAGACTGAACCGAGCCTTATCGATCTTTCAGCCGTGCTCATGGCCACCGTGGGAATACGACACATCTATTAATGCCTTCTCTTACTTTATAGGCTCGAAGCATCACATCCTGCCCGAAGCCCCACTCCATGCTGCAGGCTACGGCAGTGAGGGCCTATGTTATTCACGCGGATCTTGGATTGTCTGCGAACTTCCCGGTCATCCCGCTGGCTTAACAGGCTTAGCCAGACTTTGTCCCCCTCCTTCGGACTGATTACTCTGCCTCCGCCGACGGCTTCGCACTGGGAGCATAAACGTCTTCGACCATGGTGGATTGGCATCTAAAAGGCCCTTTCGGTCATCCATACCGTACCAGTACTATCATCTGCGGTGGTTGTCATGCAGACGCTCGCAGATATTGGATGGTTGCGCTGTCGGGAGAGACATGAAGTCGGCTGAACAAGTTGCATTGGCATCGATACAATTTGGGATAGAGATCTGACGACAAGCATCCTGCTGCCTTGTTTGGGTGATTTGGGTTTCTCTCTCCTTTCTTTTTCATTCGGAAAACACCTTCTCCGGCGACTTACCATCCTTGACAATCACCCGTAACCATCTCGGGGAAGGCTCTCGATTTGGAACGCTGATTGGCCTCAAACTGGTCCCTTGCTTCCCCTGCCTTCAACCTCCTATCTTCTTCCTCCCTCTTCCTCCCTCTTCCTCCCTCTTCCTCCCTCTTCCTCTAACTTGCTCTTCCTCTAATTTGCTCTTCCTCTAATTTGCTCTTCCTCTCTCTATCTTGTTAACGAGGCAGATAGGCTCGTATTCTGCCTTGTCTGACGAACTTGTACAAATACTAGACATTTAGCTAATACCCACCTCCCTCCTCCAGGCAGTAGCCGCTCAGTGTTACGACGCGTATCATAGTTGTGAGGACTTCCGTGCGAGATATCGGGAGAAATTTGGCCGCACGTCATACGTTTCCAACGTCGATAGCACCTCTAGGCTTTGAATGCCCCGTACTGAACTAACCGGGGAAACATAACTATAGTGTGAAGGGAGAAGGCCTCTTTAACTACAAGGGTCTGCTCAGCCGGACCATCATTCACCTTACGATGATGGAATTTCTGCAATGTTGTCCGGATAGTGCCAAGAATATTCGCATACTTGATACCCGAGTCCCTGAGAGGGAAATCAGAGCTGCGAAAAAGTACATGGAGTCCCATTCTGCTGAGTTCACCAACCTGCCCAGTGCTGAACGCTCAAAAACAAGTTTTCAAACATGTTAGCCCTGAACTACGAAGACGTGAAAGCCTTTCGTCTCGATAGGATGCAGATATATAGATTAGAAACTTTACCGGTAGTTTAACCGAATGGAGGCCTTCAGATTGCACTATACAGCAAGAAGAATTAAGATGAGCCTAGCTACTCCATTCCGACACAGTAGCCAAGGGCGACAGCGTGTCAGGATGCTCAGGCCCAAGGACTCGCTGCCGAGCCTCAACACAGTCTTGCATCAACGCTAGGGCATCTTCATGTCGACCTTGACTATTCCACGTGAAAGCAAGGTTGGCCATGCTCGTCAGCGTCGAGGGATGATCGGCCCCAAGCTTCGCCTTGCGAGTCTCCATCACCTGCACAAACAGCTTCTCGGCCTCCCCCCACCGGCCTTGGTTCCAAAGCGTCGACGCCAGGTTGGCCATGCTCGTCAGCGTCGAGGGATGATCGGCCCCAAGCTTCGCCTTGCGAGTCTCCATCACCTGCACTTCCAGCTTCTCGGCCTCCTCCCACCGGCCCTGGTTCCTGTAGGTTGATGCTAGGTTGGCCATGCTCATCAGCGTGTCGGGATGATCGGCCCCGAGCTTCGGCTTGCGAGTCTCCATTACCTGCACAAACAGCTTCTCGGCCTCCTCCCATCCACCTTGTGCATTAACGTCGGCGCCCTTATCGAGCAGCATCTCGACGACCTCTTTGTGGCCTCGTGCCGAAGCCGCCTGGAGCGCCGTGCCGTAGTATCCGCCTTGTGTATTAACGTCGGCGCCCTTATCGAGCAGCATCTCGACGATCTCTTTGTAGCCTTCTCTCGAGGCCGCCTGGAGTGCTGTGCCGTAGTCTCCGCCTTGTACATTAACGTCGGCGCCCTTATCGAGCAGCATCTCGACGATCTCTTTATGGCCTTGGAAGGAGGCCGCCTGGAGCGCCGTGCCGTACTCTCCGCCTTGTGCGTTAACATCTATTTTCTCCTTGGCCAAGATATCTTCGACGACCAGCCTTAGACCCAGATAGCTCGCCAGAGCCAAATCAGTCCAATTTTGCCAACTGATCCACCTCGGTTCGAAGTAGTTAGGCGCCCAAACCATCGCCTTCCCAACCACATTACAGAGCGCGCGCGCATCCTTCCGTGATCGGTCTGCAAGGACATCTTCCTGCGAGATGTGGTGCGAAGGCCAGTGGACAGCTGCGTAGGGGAAGAATGAGCGTTCTTGACTACCGGGAGAGTTCTGAACTGGTGTTGCGAGATCTGGCAGGAGTAAATAGTGAAGGCAGACCAGTGACATCGTGCTGTGCGACTTTGGCATGTTCAAGCGCCCTTCCCACTTGCCTTGTCGTTGAGGATTGGTGAGGAATTCCCTCGCTGTCTGATGAATGAAAGACAGCTTTGAGTCGTAGACGCTGATGAAGAGGCCGCATAAGTTTTTGACGATGCTTCGGAAGTTGTCTCTTGGCCACAATTCTGATTCAACGGCCGCGTATGATGCGAACCGTTGTTTCTGTAAAGCTAACGTCAACGCAACGTTCGCCTCGTCGAGAGTCAGGGGCCGTGCAGCGGTGAGGGTGATTCGGAGAAGTATATCGGTTTGTACTTCATCCTGGCTTCTGCTCAAGATCTTTTCGTACGCTTCAGACACCTGGGATGGAATATCAGACAATAGGCTCTCAACGCTTGACCGCTTCCCGTATCGACTCAGGTTCTCCTCGATTATGTCGAATATGAGATAAAGCCACAGGTATGTGCGGTTCTCCATGCTCTTGAGGCGCTGGGAAATCTTGCGTCGATCATCAGCGTTGAAACTACCCATGACTGTATTTACGCGCTCATCGATGACCAGATGGATCTCGCGGCCGATGTCGGCAGACTTGTCGTCGCCATCGAATCGCAGATACTTTGTCGTAGGGAAATTCCCAAAATTAGCCTCTAAATGGTCGTATGGACGACTGGTGATGAGAAACTTAAGCTTCGAAGACGAGTGGGCCAGATGGTGCGGCTGGTAGTAGAAGTCTTTAAGCTTGTTGATCAATTCCTTCCGGCTACTTTTATCGCATTCATCAAGAGCATCGAGGATGCAAACGACTTCTCCAGTGTCCGAGGATCTGACACACTCCAGCAGGGTTCGCCAGAGCTCAGAGAAGTTTTGGGTCAGCTTTTCACCGTAGTTCTTGTGGCGGGGCAGCGCATTTCCGATCAGGCCGCCGGCAGGGTTCTGCGTGAAAAGCTGGTGGAGGATGGCACACAAGGCGTTGGTGCTGTGCATGCGGCGTTCATCTCCGTCCTTGAAAAAGAAATGGCAGACGGTCGAGGTCGTAACGTTCGTGGATAGCCGATGGTCGTCGATCAGAGCCCGCGACAGGACCGACTTTCCACACCCAGGGCCGGCAGAGACCCAGAGAAGGCTGGACGTGTTGCTGTCTCGCCACTTACGGAATCTGTCATCGTCGAAGAACCACTCGCATGTGCCTTCCACCTTAGGCCGGTTGAAGTTTTTGTAACCTTCGTAGTCGGACGCGAGATCTTCAAGGAGAGCTCTTTCCTTCTGGTCCTCGTAGATTCTCTGGGTCTGCCTCCCACCTCTTTCAAGAATCCCCCGGATCTCGCCGAGAATGGTCCGCGACTGTTGTATCTCTTGCAGCTGGCAGTTCCAGCGTTCCTTGATTTCCCCTTCATTGAGATGAACGATGCAGCCGCTGCAGTCTTTACTCAACTTATCAATCTCTGCTGCCTTATTATCCCAGTCGTTCCAGCCGGCCACGTTTTGCCACGCGCGCGAGAGTTGGGCTATGGAGAGATGGCATATGACGCGGGCTTGATATTCGATGATGTACGAATAGACCTTGGCCAAGGGTTCGACGAGGCGTTTGTAATATTGTCGATGTTCGGATTGGAGATAGGTCTCTTCGCAGATTCGCCAATATATTTGGAGGTTGCCGATTAAATTGAAGCCTTTTAGCATGGCCTCGTTTTGGGTGGTACCGCTTGTGAGGAGCTGCTCCGGTAAGCATGCGCATAGGAGCTGGGAAGATCATAAGACCTACGGGGAGAAGCAACGAAACACCGGTCCATGCCAGCGCCGTGTACGGCTGAGCGCTGAGAGCGTCCTTGACTATCGGGTCGGACCAGAGGAGAAACTTTGCCAACTTCTCCGCCTGCTCTCGTATCTTTAAATCCACCCCCCAGAAGCGAGACTCGCCACTGCTTCTTCTCCCGATCTTCTAACAGCTGCGTCATGATTGACTCGACGGACCGCGGCACTGAAAGGTCGATGCTGGCTGGGGGGTCGCCTTGCACGGAGGCCAGATGCTTCGCGTAGTCTGCCGTCAGCTCGGGCTCCCGCTCCCGGAATATCTTGTATGCCTGGCCCCACGGATCGACATCGTGGCTTGGGGAAGAGGCCGTGTCGGAAGCGGTGGCCAGACAGCACGATCTCCTCGGGAGGCGGATGCGCTATAATTGTCGGGACTGGGGGGATTTCGGAAGCGGAAGCTAGCGCCGACGCGGACGGTAAGGCTGGTGCGGTTGGCGGGGTCGCAGGCGGAGATGAGACTCCGCTAGCCGCCTTGGATGCGCCGTCGGGTTTATACTTTCTCAGCAGCCTGTTCGTGACCTGCGAAAGTCGTCCCATACTGTTCCGGACACCGGCCACGAGCCGCATCGTAGCTTTGAAGGAACGTCTTGACTGAGGTGACATAGTGAGGCACTTGAAGATGATCGTTTTGTTTCGGCGTTTTGTCTCAAAGGTAGCGGATGCTATGTTTGATGATCAATGGATCGAGTTTATGAAAGTGCCGGGAATTCCTCTCTCCTGCCATCTAGGACAAAACAAGGAAAAGAAACTAGGACACTGTGTTTTCTCGAGGCTATGATGGAGCATGGGGCTCTCTGTGTTGTCACCTTGTCAGGCGCGAAATGGCTGACGGCTTCCTCCTAATTACACGCCAATCACCCAAACGACATTTCTTTTCTAGAGGCCGAGCATTCATGTATACCAGCAGCGGCCTGGTAGCTTGCACCACTTATGGGGGCGTGGCGCGGGTAGGGCTGCAAGTCGGAGTGGAACCTGCAAATCAAAGTGGAGTCTGGGTTGTCAGTGTTGTCAACAACCGAGCCGTTGCGATAAGCAGTGTTCTTAAGCGGACAATGCGTTGATGCCTTACTTTTCGTTTCCTTTGGGACCTATGAGCGCATAGAACTGACGCCAAGCGGCGATTGCACCGACCAGGAGACATAAGGTAGTTGTCCATACCGCACAAAAAAATGCTTTGTTGAAGTCTGTTACGGGGCTGGCGCCCGAAGATGCGGGGTCTGGGTCTCCACTCAGACGTTCTGACAGTATGGACACCTAGTCGACGGCTCCAGCGCCGTCTACGTGGCTAGTGCTGACAGCGTGGGGTAACGCCTCAGGGGGCGCAGGCGACGCATGGGTGTCGTACAACAGACTCAAGCAAGTCTTCCTCGCTATGCGAGCTACTTTTCTCTCCTTTGTAGAACCTCATCCATTCATTACACATAACTGGGCCGAGGTACTAGGAACCAATCAGGAATGGTCTTCTGACCGAGTGCAATCTTGGTGTTACCCGTGTAAAAGATCTAGCCGCAGTGTCAGGACGGTCAACTTTTCTCGTAATCCGCCCAATTATATTCATCCTTTTAGCGCCGCCTCCCCACTTACCGTCTTGCCTCCGTCCGAACGATATGGATATGGGAGCTGGTGGTTCAGTTTTTTGACCCTACCACGTGATTAAAAGACCCGGTTCATATCCTTCCGACTCCGATAGCTAAGCTACCATATCGCCTGACTAGTAGTTGGGTCGGTGACGACCAGCGAATCCCAGGTGTTGTATGTTTTTTGAGGTTTTTTTTGCCTTCCGCTCTCAGATACGAACCTTCTTATGCATGCTTCCTTTTCGCAGCTTTCACGCATTCTCTTTGTCTCGAACAAAATTGCTGCTGATATTTTGAACATCGCCATTTCGAGCCCGTCCTGAATTGTTGTGGGGCCTGGCTCTTTCGGTTTGGCCTTTTCGCTACCTCTTCAGGGCGCCTTACCGTGATAAATTGGTCGAGCATCACGGACATGCTCTTCGGAAAACGAAGAATGGCCGGGACGAGGGGCTTGGCCAGCAAAGGAACTTCTTTTATACCTTTCGGGTGCGATGCCAGGGACCTGAATCCTCATGTACACTGCCAAATCCTTTTCCTTTGGTAGGGATGCTTGGAAATCCATATGAACATTCTGTCAAAGCACAATGGCCTTGGTACTTCCCCTAACTGAACGCTGCTGTAGACTACAGCACCTCAAAAACATCTTGAGACAGACGTAGGGCAAGAAGGCAGGGAGGCAGGAGAAATGTAGAAAGAAGACCAGATAGACAACAGCTGGCAACCATCAGAAGGAAAGGAAACATACTCAGCTCGTTTAACCTCAGCTCCAGATACCCGCTTACCGCCTTCCTAAGAGCCTTCTTCTCCGTCTAACCGCTTGCGAAATGTCAGTGAGAGGTTGTCTTCACGGCTTCCTCCATTCCTTCTTCCCACCCGCTCGAAGACTTCCGCCTTGCTTCTTCCGCCTAGCGTAGCACTGCAAGTCCAGGCTGTCCATGCCCAGAGCGGGTACGGGATCTGTCTGTCTACTACTCTACTCTAGATAGCAGTCGGCATCCTCCGTAAATTCGGACACAGGAAGCGAACGGGGAAGGAGTTTATTTTACGCTTGCTCACGATCTCGGCCTAGGCACGGGATCTTTCATCTTCCTCGTGCTCAAAATGGAACGTAACGGCTATAGGGAGGTAGGTAGATTGGGTAGGTACGCAGTCTAAGAGTACCTATCAGCCAGATCAGATCGAGGCCGAGGCCATCCAGGCTACATGTCCAGACCGCCCGTCCAGGCCACCCAAACAGGCCACCCAAACAGGCCACGGAGATGCACATCCCCATATCGGGTAAGGCTACCCACGAGCCTGTCCACGAGATGCGACTCCAGACGGATCACGGAAGTGACGGAAGTGAAGGCAACATCCGCCCCAGGTAGTTCCTTGGCCCCCTAGTTCCCTGGCTCTCTAGCTCCCGTGCATGTGTCGCGCTTACGGCGGCAGGGCAGGGAAGGCAAGCTAGGCAAGCTAGGCAGGCGAGGCAGGCGAGGCAGGGCAGGCAGGACAGGCAGAAAAGAACTAGGGGAAGGCAGGCGGTTCGGCCTGTGACCCTGTTCGGACCCCTTTCCGGACCCTGGTCGGGACCTACTCGGGATCTGGTCGGATAACTAGGGAGGGTTATAGCGAGTTTGAGCGCGATATCTGATCTGATCAGCTGCTTGGCGGCGGGCGGGTAAGGGTTGGTGACGTTACTTCTGATTCCCGGATGGAGAATGCCGAACGGATGATTAGTGAGTGTATAGTAGCCAAATGGACAGATATGATGTGTGCGTAAATGGGCAGTTGGGTAGCCATCATCGGGTTCCCTTCCGGAGTAAGGCATAGGATGGGGCATCTGCCGGTGGATCTGACGGGATGAACGGGAGGAGGTCGAGGTAAAGCTTGCGACTGGAATGCCCTGAGGCTGTGACCATGTGCTCTTTCCCACGTTCCGTAACAGGAGTTGGAGTTGGTGGAGTGGGTTAGTGGGAATGGGCGGGTAAGCGGGCGGTTGATGTGACCGTTAGGATGGCCTATAAGTGGAAAAGAACACCACCAGACTGATGCTTTCCTATTTGTGTATCCATCCCTTACCTACCCATCAACCAACATCCGCACGGGTGTACTACCCACCCGGCCTGGGTTGACGGAAATAGTCGAGTGTCAAGAGCAAGCATTGTAGCTGTAAGTTGGCAGGTACGGACGGACGTACCTCAACCCATCACAGAACCGCATTAACCGCGGTTCCAGCGCTTCAACCCGCTTCTCCCCATTCCCGACGTCATACCAGATGATCAGCCTCATGGCATGACACCCGAACCACCTCTACTCTGCAATCGCCGCATCGCCCAATCGAATCGAGTCAGTCCAGTCGGTCAGTCCGGTTCCGGTCACCGACTCCAGGCGGATGAACGTTTGGCTCCAACCCGTCTCTTGTTCCCCCACGTAAGTTGAGGCCCAAAGCTCGCCTTACCTGCTTACTGTTACTCAGAGCCGGAAGATGAAGATGGAAGATAATCATGACTGATGGAAAGCAGACCGGGCGAGCGGTCGCCTTGTGGTTGCCTTGCCTTGCCTGATGGCATTGTCTGTCTTGAAGATCACCCATCCGTTGCCTGTGACCTCAGAACCCGTCCTTCAGGACACTACTCCGTTATTCGTCTCTCCATCCGGTGTATGGCTCGTTCACTCGGTGGTTGACGGAGTGAATTACTCCGCATAGTGGATGAGCTGAAGAAAAGCGCAGAAAAGATCATGCATTTTCCATCAATCCCTTCCAATTGTGTCCTTATCACCTGAAACATATCAAGTCAAGCCCACAGCTTTTGGGTCCTTCTCTGGCTGAAGCGCTAATCCCTTTTGTTCCCAATCCCACTATCCGACCGAGTGGAACTATCCGACCGAGTGGAATGTTAATGGGTTGGTTGGTTGAGTAACTGGCCCGGTGCTGGCCGAGGCCGTGATTCGTGCCGCCGATGTCTTGGAGTTGAGGTTCCGGACACAGTGCTTGACGTAGGAAAGAGATGGCCTTCCCTTCATGCGCATGCTAGACAGCTACTAGCTACATGCATACAAAGGGTAACTGCTGAGCCTGCATCTCGCAGATGTTCACTGTATGAGATGCAGCTGGTCTCTTTGCTTTTTCAAGTGAGACTGTTTTGGGTGTGAAGGAAAAGAAGGGGATCGATGCTGAAAAATGAGGCAAGTATAGAACACTGACAGCATAAGGTGACGGCGAGGGTAAAGTAGAAACTTACTGTAGCCACAAATCGTCGACAATGTCCATTGTGTTCGTTTCTGAAGTTTTCCCCTTTCTACACTGTAGAGGGCAGAACACCACGGCACTTGTGTTTGCGGCTTCTCCTTCCTTTTTTCTTCCCGCCCTTCCCTCGAATCCGCCATTTTAATCAATGTAGGGCAGCGCCCAGACCCTGTAGGCTGTCGGTCTTTATCCCGCAATGGATTTCGAAGTCACGTCCAGACCCTGTAGGGTACCGCACACGAAGCCGGGGAATGAGAACATGGCAACTCGCAAGGTTGACCGGTGAGTTGTGCCGCCAACCGAATGTCGAATCTTTCTTCTGTTCGGCAGGTAGCCGAAACGTGAGGGGGAAGGGAAACTGCCAAGAGAATCTCTCGAAAATGTAGAAAGATGAATGGCGAATGGTGAATGGGGACTGCCAAGATCGAAATGTGCTGAGTATGCATCCGTGTGAGAAAGTTTGGTTCACATCAGCCCTTGTTTCTACTCCCACTTCCAGTGCTAAGCGCCCTGAATTATGTGGTTATCCTCGTCGAGCATACTTCCACGCTTTAATTTCGATAAGGAGGGTCTTTTTCGCCCAATCGGTGTGGTCATACAGAGCAACGACCGAAACAGGACATCATACCATGGTGACGCACCTACAATGATCCAACCGCCTGGTGAGAACGGACTGACCATCTCAGCTCTTGATCCTCAGAAGAGCTGCCTAGTTGATACGGAAGAGAGACTCGACGACGACGCTCATCATGCCAGGCAGCTTGCTTGTTTGGAGAACCTGGTGGAGTGGCGTAGCGACCGAACCAGGTGTAACAAGCGGCTCTTAGACAAGGGCAAGGTATCTTCGGAAGCCCCGGCTTTGGTGTGCTTGAGACATTTGGTTGTCAGTGTTGCGCACCTCACACACAAGCCAAGTAAGATAATGCAGGCGTAGTGAGAACAATGGGTTGGAAGTTGATGTTGACTTAGCCCTTGAAGCTCACTGACGAGTGAGGTGACCGGCACATGACGAAGCTTCTATGTAGACGCACATATGTCTGGTTAAGTAACACCTGACTTGTCACAAATGGATCGGTGTGCTAAAACTTGCATTGAGAACCGTGAAAGTTGCAACCTTGAGCCATCGCTGGAGAGCAAGGCACCCGCAAAAACCTGAAAATGCTCAGGTTCTTGACGGGGAGATGTCCAGTTGGTCTGGTTGGTCGCACCACTCCCGTCGAATGATCGATGAGAAGCACTGCATACCATCGAGAAGGACTTGGAGATGGCCGGTAGGCAAGCCTGAAAGGGAGATTCCACGGGACACAGGGCCATAGAGACCGGAAGGCGATAGACTGAACACAGGGCCTTACGGGGCGTAAGTATGTAACCCCCGAAACCATGGCTCAAGGAATACAGACCGCGCTTCCCGGATCCTCAACTGACGGAAAACTACTGTGAATGTTGTCGAAGTTATCCGAGGGTTTCTAGAGACCTCAATGGCATGCCCAACCAGGACAAAGGAAGAGGAGGTAGAATATTGCCTGAAGGAATAGCGGGGAACAACCAGGTTGGGCAAGTTGGGGCAACATCCGGTCTCACCATCCCAGTCATAAGTGACCTTATCCGCTGGCTTCGGTATGAGCCGCACCTTACTGGTAGGCCTGTCATCGAGAGGGGATGTGCGTGTCCTTGCTGAGACAGTATCCAGATGTCTCGACTTAGTGTTGTCTCATAGCTTGGAGTAGAAGCCACATATGGACAGTTTAAGCCCAACCGACTTCTCACTGTACTGATATGAAATAGGTCGATGGAGGGGAGCATTGGGAGTCTTTTTCCAAGCTTGATAGTGGTCGCAATAGCGAAAGCTACCGTGGGTAGGTAGTGGAGTTCCTGGTAAGGTAGCAGAACTCGGTCTGTCGGGCGCTCTCTGCCCGCATTTCTGCGTATTACTGGAGGAAGTGTATGCACGCATCCGCTATTATTGTTGTCCAGCCCAAGAGAAAATTATGTAGTATGTCGACACAAGTAAGCCGGACTATGGACTTTTCCAATCAGGGCTGTAATGAATTTTTGTTGCCATTCGATGCACAGCTCAGAGCCGGGTAGCTGCAGCGTCCAATGCAATGTGCGGGATCGCGGACTCGGTGAGATAGTGCATCTTGCTTGAGGTAATCTCTCGCTCGACATTTCAAGCATGCCGAGAGGAAGTCCATGTTGCTGCTGCAAAGAGCAGGATGAGCACAACCGAGACAAGGCGGGAGATGCCTTCCAGAAAAGGAGCTAGGGCAGTTTCTGATACAGGGTCGAACCTGGACAGGCTTACTTCGCTGGCAACATTGGCCCGTCTCTTGTGTGCCATCGGCCCAACCGCGATGTGCTTGAGAGTGCCATGGTACCGGCCAAAGGGCGCTGATGGTCCAACATACCCCCCATCCCAGAGCGGCAGCATCATCACCGGTCAACCACGTTGATCAGCAGACCCCTCTGGAACGGCTTCGGGTCTGGGATAGGAATACCAGACACCGGCGTAGACAACGCTACGTCAGGATATGGTGCAAAGGTTAGTGTCTAGCGGTGAGGTGGTGTCTCTGTGTAAGTCATAATCGTTTGTATCTGAAGATCCCGAGTGCGTGCCGTGGTCCATAATTATAAGAACTCCGCTCATCCAACGCCGTGCTCTGTCTGTCTCATTAGTCTCCAGTCTGACAAGATAATCTGATCTTACCACCAACCTCTTTATCATTCGGTAAACGACTCGCCATCTACCTCGCAGAATCAGGACTATCTTGCCCATCAACAAAAGTTCATCATCATGACTAGCCACCAGCAACCCGAAAGCTGCGGATGCTTTTTGTACGGCGGACGGATGGTGCAACCCGAAAATTGCACAGCTTGTGCTAGCAGTATGCGCCAGTTAATGTTAGAAGACCAACGTTTATGGCAGCTCTGGACTTGATGCTGACGATCCTTAGGTGGTGTGGAAGCTGTATAAACGGCATGATCTACAGAGAGTGCCCTCACGGTCCTCAAGCCCCCTCTTCATACCAATACGGCGGTGCTGCTTCTGGTGGCTCTGGAGGCGGCGGTGGTGGATTCCGTGATGGGCGCGACGGTCGTAGTGGTGGGCGATGTGGTGGGCATGGTGGCTGGGCACCAACATCTCACGGACACGGACGCACTGCCTAGTGTGATATGGGGAGAAGGGTGCTAAAGGTTTCGGGATGCACAAACAACAAGGCACAGTTGTGCTGACGTTGGGCTAAGGGCGGGAGTACAAGGTTATGTTATGTTTGGCAAGGTGTTTGGGGGTCGTGCTTTAATCAGGGTCTTGGGATGTTTTGATACCTCTTGATTTTCATTTGCAAGGGTTCAGGGGTTGGGTGTCTGGTCCTCGTCTCTTATTTTCCCTCTTTTCTCTTTTTCCCCCTTTCTTTTCTGCAGGCGTCCAGGAGGCCGCACAGGGTTTCTCTGTTGGCTTCAGATCAGTTGATCTGGCATTACGCTGCGTCGCGTTGCGTGCGTCAGGCTGCGGCCCCGAGCCTGCAGCCTAGCCACGAAGGAGCAACAGGAAAGGGATCATTCGCTCAGCACATTCCGTATCAGCCGAATACTATTTGAACCCTCGGTTGGAGCCGAGAGGGTCATTGAATTCTCCTTAGACACGTTACCACCTGTCGTTCTAGATGGCCCAGTGCCACTGATGTCAACGCTTCTGCTAGCAGCCGCATTCCCGTGTCTTGGTTCATTCCACGGGAATACGAAATGGTTCATCGGGCCTTGCTGGGTGATCGCGTGAGGGAACGGTACCATGCATGCATACCAGCACGCTGTTCTTTGATATCGGTTGCTTGCATCACCGGTAGTTTTGCAGGAGAAGGACGGCCAATTTGCTGACATGGATGGGTAAGATAGATCCAAATTAGCCGTCGTTTTCTCAAGAACCCAAGGCTAACTTGTTTCAAGGCTCTGCGACAGAGGTGAAGCTCGAGGAAGGACAAAGTCGTGGGTGGAGAAGCGCTCCTTGTACGACCCGGTGGCCAGCTGTGCTCCCGGTGAGACCGGGCATCCACCGAGTGACCAGCGTTGTGCTGCCCAGCACCCGAATCCTCGGTTCGCCTTGTATGGGAGACGAAACGCGTCCAGTCACGCTGTTCCGAGTGCTACCTGAGGTGTGGCCTCACCGCAAGTCCGAAGGTTGAGTTCGGAACGGAAACCGAGCATGTGTGCTTCTCGAGATGCGGGCAGCTTGGATTCATCCCAAGTTCGGACATGGAACGAAACCGACAGGTAGCACAGCGATGGTGGGCGACATGACGCAGGTCGCTGGGAGGAGACGATCGGGCAAATAAAAGTCCAGTGCGGGAATGGTGCCCCGTCGAAGTTGGTTGATCATGCTGATAACCGGGAGAAGCCGAAAGCTCTGGCGGAATCGGGTACCCGTACCACACTCGGGCGCCGAGAAAGGCTCCAACAGGTGGATGTCCGCCGCGAAGACGGGTTCTGAGACGCAAACAGCCGATTATGGAGTTTGAGGATTGGTGACTTGTGCGGTGTGTTCGTCAGGCCGGGGCTCAGTTGCGCAGGGGGGAAAATATGGGATCTAGACAGGTCAGCCTCCACCTGTGCTCTCGGGGGTCAATCAGTGCTATTCCCACCCACTCACTTACAAGAAGGCTGTCCACCGAGCAAGTAGGACTGTAGGGTGTCGGTGGTACAGAAGCAGGGCCCACTCGCGCTTAAAGTTGCAGGTCCCAGAAGATGTTGACCAACAGAGAGCGAATATTGATAGGTCGCTGAACGGATATCGGCGGACGGTTGTACAGAACACTCTATCACAGGCCAACCTGGGAGGCGGGGGACAGGAAACGGGAAGCAAGGGAAACACCGCATCTGGCATTCGGATTTGCCGTAGACCTCATCACCAATGAATGCGAAGCCCCGGGTGTCGAAGTAGTATATCCAAGACGGATATGGATAATGACGGCATCAGGTGCAACGGGCGGGTGTTCGTGTACATGGTGTTTCGCGGCATCAAGGTGGACACTGAGAGTTTGCTGGACGACAAGGGCCTTGAGAAGGAGGACAATATGCTGAATTTGAGATGTTGCTATTTTTGGATCATAGAGTAGGAGAAGAGGAAAATTGAAGTGGATTATGCGTATAGACAGGATCCAAGCCTCGAGGATAGGGAAGCTATACAGAAAAAATTCAATGTTGATGTCTTGGTGTAAAAGTTGCCCGGTTGTGCTTGAGAGGAAGGAAAGTTGAAGTTGGGAAACGGAATTGCTGTTGCTGGTTGGTTGAAGGACGTGTTAGTGGGCGGTCCCGGCAGGCAATTTCAACGACAGCTGCTGACATAAGCTGTGTCCAACTTGAGCCCCACCGTTTGTCCCTCCACTGTGGGGCAACCTTAAGTCCACTCCACTTCATCCGTCTCTTGCCTGCCCCTGCCGCCCGCTGCCTTGTCCATGCAGCGCTATCAGTTGCTATCAATCGATGCAGTCCGGTGCCGTCCCGCGATCATCAGGGCCTCCTTCGACCGTCCCGTCGTTAACATCGATTTCAGTTCCACTTCGAGACATCGCGTTGCACGGTGATCCAAGTCTCATCTTCCCATACTGACGCGTTCGCTGCCTGTTACCGACTGCCCGAGCACCGGAAGAAGAGTATCTGTGGACTATGGAATCATAGCCTCTGTATTCCCGTCGCAGTCGCCATCATGTCGGTTATCCTTTGCACAGGTATGGCTTGTCTTGTCCCGGTCTACCTTGCCGATGCAGTAATGCCCCAACCCCTCGATCCTCAAACCGAAACAGCTGCTGACTTTTCACTTTGCCCTTTACAGCTGGTTACGACCACACCATCAGGTTCTGGGAGGCCCTCTCAGGAATCTGCTCGCGCACCATCCAACACCCCGAGTCTCAAGTGAACCGTCTCTGCATATCCCCCGACAAGCGATACCTCGCCGCCGCCGGCCATCGCGATGTCAAATTATTCGACATTCGTTCCACAAATCCACAGGCCCTCATGACCTTCCAGGGCCACACCGGCAATGTGACCGGTGTGGCCTTCCACTGCGAGGGCAAGTGGATGGTAACAAGCTCGGAGGACGGAACGGTCAAGATTTGGGAAACCCGCACCGGAACAATCCAGCGAAGCTACAACCACGGTTCCCCGGCGAACGACGTTGTCATTCACCCTAATCAGGGAGAGATCATCAGCTGCGACCGCGCTGGAAGCATTAGACTGTGGGATCTGGCCGAGAACACTTGCTCGCACCAGCTAATCCCCGAGGAGGATGTTTCAGTGACAAGTGTCACGGTTGCCAGTGACGGTACACTCCTTTGTGCGGCCAACACTGCTGTAGGTTTTCTCTCCACCGAGACATTCCTTGCTCGAGACTGACACCTCCTTTCTTTCTACTAGGGCAACGTATTCGTTTGGCAACTCATCCAGGCCTATGACCGCACCCAGCTGATCCCCCTCACCCACTTTTCCGCACACAAGGAAAGCATCACACGCATCCTCCTCTCGCCCGATGTCAAGAAGCTCGCAACGTGTAGCGCCGACCATACGGCCAGGATATGGGAAGTCAAGGAGATGGAACCTGCCACGGCCGATTCGGAACCGCAGGCGTTCCCCCTCGAGGCCACTCTCAAGGAGCACCAGCGCTGGGTATGGGACTGTGCCTTCAGCGCTGATAGTGCCTACCTGGTAACTGCCTGCAGCGATCATTATGCGCGGCTGTGGGAGTTACACACGCAGCTTGTTATCAGACAGTATAACGGCCATCACCGCGGTATTGTATGCGTCGCTCTGAACGATTACTCCGAAGCTCGCTAGTGGGAACTTTTGGATGAGGCTGAGGAGACGACGACAACTTACAACACCGCTGAAGTGTAGGGCGGCTGCCGAGGGATTTCAATGTCTACGTCTCTATATTGTGCTGTCTTTGTAAGCATTCCCCCTTACAGTGTCATGGCAGGGGCATCTTTATATGTTTTTTTTTTCCTTTTCCCGGGTATTCTTTTCGAAAGCGACTGGCGGGCTGTTTAGTAGAACCGGCTATGGCAATGGCGTTTTACGGTTATGCAAGTATTGTTTGGTAGAAGTCCAAAAATCACACAACGTCATGAATTCTCAAAATCGCCCGCCACGTCGTTTTCATGATACTTGGTAGCAATAAGTATTGCTATATACAATTCCGTCGGATATAAGGACAATTCAAGACGAAAGCTCGGCCGAAGTCGCGGACGATTAGGAACATACGGGTTATGATTGGTCCGAAACGGCGAGAGGTGATCCACTGTATGTAACATGTCAACATCGGTCAAGGGTACTGCCAGGGGTTTACCTGCGATCCGGGACTTTTGGGGACTTGGGCATCCCAGAAAGCCAGAACTAAAAAAAAATTGGAATCAAAGAGGAAATACAAAAAAGTTGCATTTGTTAGAGAAAATGCGGAATATCATTGGCCAAGAAGGCAGCTAGCGTGCCTGTAGTGTACCGCATCCCCGGATTTGCTGTTTGGTTGGCGGCGGCACTCGCAATGGCTCCGTAATTCGGACCAAGGTCGGGTGAAGATAGTGTAACCGGCAACTTTTTTCCTCTTTTCTCAAACAACCAAGTCCTCCTCCTGTACAGTCTGTCAGTCCAGATCGTACATCATGAGGTCAATTGATCTTGCCAGTCGCTCAGGCGTTGCCCTCAAGGTATGCCATCTACTTCTTGCTAAACTACCGAGCCCAATCCTATACAAAATAAAGGGCTATTTGGTGACTCACCAGCGCTAACATGTCGTCCTTTCTCGTAGCGGGCAATCCAAGCCAAGCAGCTCCCGCGCGTCGCATGCGCTTCCGCCCGTTCCTTTTCTTCCACCTCCTCCAACAACACCGGCGTTCTCCCTCCCAGATATGAGACCCTCTACAACAAGTATTCCGAGGTCCGCCGCGTGCTGGGTTCGCAGCGCCTGACCCTGGCCGAGAAGATCCTCTACTCCCACCTCGACAATGTCGAAGAGTCGCTCCTCTCTAACACCAACGGCGGCCGTGACATCCGCGGCAAGGCCAACCTGAAGCTGAAGCCCGACCGTGTGAACATGCAAGATGCCTCCGCCCAGATGGCTCTCCTGCAGTTCATGACTTGCAACCTTCCCCAGCCCGTTATCCCCGCCAGTATTCACTGCGACCACTTGATTGTTGGATCCAAGGGTGCCGATGAGGACTTGAAGGCCGGTATTGCGACCAACAACGAGGTTTTCGACTTCCTCGAGTCGGCTGGCAAGAAGTATGGCATCGACTTCTGGCCTCCCGGCGCTGGTATTATTCACCAGACCGTCCTCGAGAACTACGCCGTCCCCGGTCTCATGATGCTCGGAACCGACAGCCACTCTCCCAACGCTGGTGGTTTGACTACCATTACTATCGGTGTCGGCGGTGCTGATGCTGTTGAGGCCCTCGTCGGTGCTCCTTGGGAGCTCAAGGCTCCCAAGATCCTCGGTGTTCGCCTGACTGGCAAGCTCAACGACTGGGTCAGCGCCAAGGATGTTATTCTTCACCTTACTGGCCGTCTTACCGTCCGCGGTGGTACTGGCTACATTGTTGAGTACTTTGGCCCTGGTGTCGAGACACTCAGCCTGCCCGGTATGGCCACGGCCTGCAACATGGGGTGAGTCCTTCTGAAGCTTTTCTCTCGTCGTATAGAACGCGTTGGCTGACATTTGTTGCTACAGTGCTGAGATTGGCGCCACTACCTCCATCTTCCCCTTCACCGAAGCTTCCAGCCGCTACCTCAAGGCCACCAACCGTGAGCAGGCCGACAAGGACGCCAAGAACTTCGAGAACTTCAGCAAGGGCTCCGGCCAGGATTCCTTCTTCAAGTTCAAGGCTGACGAGGGCGCCCAGTACGACGAGTTGATCGAGATCGACCTTTCCAAGCTCGAGCCCCATATCAACGGTCCCTTCACTCCCGATCTTTCCATCCCTCTTTCCGAGTTCAAGAAGACTGTCCAGGAGCAGAAGTGGCCTGAGAAGCTTTCTGCTGGTCTGATTGGTAGCTGCACTAACAGCTCCTATGAGGACATGACCCGTTGCGAGAGCATTGTCAAGGCCGCCGAGCAGGCTGGTATCAAGCCCGCTGCCGACTTCTACATTACCCCCGGTTCCGAGGGCATTCGTGCCACTCTTGAGAGAGACAACACGCTCCAGACCTTCGAGAAGGCTGGTGGTATTGTCCTCTCTAACGCCTGCGGTCCCTGCATTGGCCAGTGGAAGCGTCAGGATGACATCCCCAAGGGCACTCCCAACGCCATCCTTACTTCCTACAACAGAAACTTCCGCGGTCGCAACGACGGCAACCTCGAGACCATGAACTTCCTCGCCTCGCCCGAGATCGTCACCGCCATGGCCTACGCCGGTTCCACCACCTTCAACCCCATCACCGACAGCCTGACCACCCCCGACGGCAAGGAATTCAAGTTCCCCACGCCCAAGGGTCTCGAGGGTCCCGAGACCCCCTTCGAAGCCGGCCGCGAGGTCTTCCAAGTCCAGTCGGGAACCCCCAACCCGAACGTGGAAGTCGCCATCTCGCCTTCCTCCGAGCGTCTCGCCCTCCTCGAGCCCTTCGAGACCTTCCCCGACTCGGACCTCTCCGGCCTGCGCGTGCTCGTCAAGGTCACCGGCAAGTGCACAACCGACACCATCTCCGCCGCCGGCCCCTGGCTCAAGTACAAGGGCCATCTGCCCAACATCTCGGAGAACACGCTCAACACGGCCGTCAACGCCGCCACGGGCGAGGTCAACGTCGCCTACGACCTCGACGGCTCCAAGCACACGATCCCCGAGCTGGCCAAGCAGTGGAAGCAGCGCGGTCAGCCGTGGCTCGTGGTCGCTGAGCACAACTACGGTGAGGGTTCCGCGCGCGAGCACGCTGCCCTTCAGCCCCGTTATCTGGGAGCCAGGATCATCGTCACCAAGTCCTTTGCCAGAATCCACGAGACCAACCTCAAGAAGCAGGGTGTCGTGCCCCTCACGTTCGCCAACGAGAACGATTACGATCTGATTGACGCCGGCGATGAGGTGGCTACTGTCGGTCTGTACGAGATGCTGAAGAACGGTGGCCAGGGCGAGGTTTCCCTGCGGGTTACTAAGAAGGATACCGGCAAGGTGGTGGAGATTAAGACGAAGCATGCTGTTTCGAAGGATCAGGCTGGTTTTATTCTGGCTGGTAGCGCGCTGAACTTGTTGGCGAAGGGTAACTAAGTGGGTGGCCCTGATCTGTCTGGCGGAGGAAGGGGCCCGGGGAGAGGATAGGTAAAAGGAAGGAAAAGAGGAGGACGATATCCCGAAGCGAGTTGAAAGTTTCTGACAAGCGTTCGTGCACAATACAAAAAGACATGGATATAGGTACAGGAAAAGGGTACAGGTTTCACCAAAAGGAACGGACCGGACATACATAAAACGTATATGGACGGATAGATGAGAGAAGATTGTATATACCAAGTTGTATTTAGTGTCGATATGTATGGCCAAAAAACATACGTAAAAGCAAGATCACGGTCTACTTCTGATGTGAAGGGGTGATACACGATGATGAGGACTGCTTGGACGGGTATGGATGGTGGTTGAATTGAACTCGTGAGGTGGGAACCTGGGGGTTTGATTATCACCATGGTAACCCCCCTAACCCATCTGACCTATTCCAAAGGCGCAGCAGGCACCTGGAGGCAGGTTCAAGACGGTATATGGTGGTATAGTTCGAGTGACTATGAAGCTATCATCAGCCTCCAATCAACGTTATCATTACTAACTAGTCGTATTATAATTGTACCAGTGCCTACTTACCCATACCCCGGGGACCTGTCACCCGGGTACATATACCATACTTTCCGCTCCTTCCTTCCGAGGAACTCATGGGCTCCCGGTTTCATATGGGTCGCAGGTGTAGTGGTTCGTCCCGCTGCCCTGCAACTTGTAGCTCGGGAGCACATGGGTTCATTTCTCACTTCGAGCAGGTAACAATCCTTTTCCCCTTCTGGCCCTCCCCCGCATCCTTTTTTTTTCTGCTAGATCTGTGGCAGGCTATGTATGGCGTGTTGGATGAGTCTGAACCACAGAAATTGTTATGTGAGCAAATCGCAATGTTCTTTTTGGTTCCCCTGGTCTTCTGTCGCGTTCACTTGTTTCCTTGATCTTACTTCCGTCGTCTCATTCAGAGAAGACAACCACACCTGAAGGCTAGTTGTTTCTTTCTCCCCTGGATCTGTTCGGCTCCATAACTAAGTCTAGGCGTCGAAGACCTGTTGAAACTTGAAAGGACGGATATCCTGGGATGGAAGAGGCTGGAAAGTGCAATGAGGTTTCGGATCTTATTAGATGTTCATTGCTTGTTATCTGGTCGTCGTCGATATCTAATTTCAATAGGGAAGGTTCCTGTGTGCGTGATACATAGATAGATAGTAAAGGTAGATTCGACAGGACTTCCTTCGGTTATGAAAATCACATGGAAGAATGGGAAGAATACTTGGAAGGATTACTTACAGATGGAGTAGAAGTATCATTATCTGAACAAGCACACAATATGTAGCAGAGAACATGAAGTCATCTAAGTCAAGCTCAAAGTTCAGCATCAAATATTTTTTATTTCATGCCTGCCTGCCTGCCATAGCCGTCTAATAAGATTCTAGGCCATCCGTCTTCAACCAACTAGTGTGTGAAAGTGCCTGCTAAAGAGAAACTCCCGCGTCCGTATGTTGGTATCCCCAAATTGCCTGAAATGTTTGTTCCCCGTGAACGCCGTCAAAATGAATCCATCCATCCGCCAAAAGTTACATGCGAAAAAGAAAATGCAGAGTAGAGGTATGTGCAGTGTAATGTGGTCGGTCCTCCTGACCAAGTTTCGGTTGTTGTCGTCGTCCCCTTTGTCGACTTCAAGTTTCGTTTCTTGCCGATGTTGCACAGATCAGATCGGATCAGATTCTATATGGGAATCTGATCTGTCCGTATCCGATCGGCTCGGCTCGGCTCGAAACTCGATGCTCGATATTGTGTCGTGTTACTCCTCGAAGGAGAAAGGCTTAAAGCTTGTAGCGTAGCTTAGATGTGACCATCAAGCAGCGTCTTAGCAAGCAAAGGCCAGCCGAGGATGGAGGCGGCGACGAAGGGGAAGCTGTTTTTATTCACAAATTCAGTCAGTCTTTCAGTCCCTTATGTTTCAATTCATCCTCAGATTCATCAGGGGTAAACTTACACAGCAGTCTGCTTAGTGATCCTCTTAGCAGAAGCACCCCAATCGGCACCAGCAGCGCCCGTCTGAGTGGGGATGCGCTCGTAGGGGGTGTGCAACTCCATCTTGCGAGCCCATTGGCGCATGGACTGGATGACGGAGAACTGGCGGGTGCCCTGGACAACGGCGTTACGAGAAGTGGCCTGGGTGGCGGCGCGGAAGGCGGAGCGGGCGAGGATGGGGGAGACCATTTTGATTGTGATGTTACTCGAAAAAAGTTGAGTGAAGTTGTGTGGTTTTGGTGGTGATACCGAAGTGGTATTGGTTGAGTTGAGTGTTGGTGGTGAAGAAGATTGAGGAGAGTTGTTTATTTCCGAGATCTAGGAGATCTATTGATTGCTTTTGATGTTGATGTTGATGCTGATGATGATGACAGAAGAAAGGGTATCACAACGTCGATGGAAAGTTGTGTTCTTATACCAAGCTTTCCATCTCTTGCTTCCGTCCGTCCCTCAACAGTCAACACCAAGATCCATCCCGCATCGCGACCTCTCCCGAACTTGCCAACATTGAACTTCCGCAATAACCCAACGAGACGGGTCCAGTCCCAACTAGACGGTACCAAATTGGTCCTTGCAAGCAAGTCATCTCACCAAAACCGCATCATGATGGTCAGATCCCCCATCCAGAATCTCACCACTGCGCTCCGGGTTCTGTTCGTCCACACTTCTAACCCTCCCAACCCTCAGTCCAGACGGGAGAAGCGAACGGCCCAAATCATACCACCAGACCTCCTAAAACACCAGATGCCAAGCCCCCCCTTGTCCCCCAGTCTCCCTCAGCTCCTAGGTGTGCCAGGCTGCCCAGCCCTATGAGTCCCTCCATCTGGCCAATAAGATGAGGTGTAATTGCCCCAGACTCTTCCCTGTGACTGCTGAAAGATCCAGGCTTTCAGGCTTTCCAGCGAGAAGCGAGTGAGAAACGAGTGAAGAGTGAACGACAGAGGAAGGGAATGGCACGATCTGGTGCTGAGTCTCGGCCGGTCGTGGTGTGATCGGGGGAGTCCGACTTTCTTGGTCTAGCTGTGATTGGGTAGATTACCAAAAGGGAAGAAAGGGGAGTGGGTCGCGGAAGATGGCGTTGTTGGCCGTTGCCGTTGCGGTGACAGGGGGGTTTGATTGGTGCATTCAGTTTCGGGATGATTTGGGATGGAAGGGCCTGGATTCCCTTGTTGCCGATCTGACGCGGAAGTTAAGGCGAAACGGAAACGGCTTTCAGCTGATTGCGCTGACAGGCGGGAAGGGCCGGCGACAATGACAGGAATAACTTTCAGTTGTTTCTACCTGGCGGTTGGCGCCTGGATGTTTCCTCCTGATGGACACTGGCGGGCGGTCCCTGACGATGGGAAATGGGAAAGGACGAAACCTAACCCAGATACTATCCAGGGAACGGGTGTGGCAACTCGCGGGCTGTGATGCACTTTCGCAATTGTCCGCTGCCGTCCACAAGACGCGGGAACTTGCCATGACAGTTGCAAATGTCTCAGTTCCGGCCACTGCCACTGCCATCTTCCAGCCAGGGCCCGGGATCCGAGTTGAGCCGCTACGTACCACGCAAAACTTCTTGATCCGAGTTCATGAAGCCTTGAACTTTCACCACAGCTCGTAGCCCGGACAAGCCCGGACAAACCCGGACAAACACGGAATGAAGCCATCGTGAGATTCCTCGGTTCTTCCCGGGTCCAGTGGAGCCCCCAACGGTTACGGACCACATCCGGTCCAAAGCGGAGCCCGTCTAGGACCGCCCGTCCATGTCGTCGGGGGCTCCACACGTTAGCCGATCGTTAAGCGCGATACTGTACTTGGGGGTTGTGGTGCGGTTCGGTGGTGGGACCTTTCCTCAACCCCTAGTCATTAACTAGGGTGAAAAAAAAGTCTGGGACAACAAAAAACTCATGGGACAATCTGAATAATTAGCAAAACACTAAGAAATCTGATAGTGTAGTATAGATATAATATATTAAAACTATGCTCGAATTTTCTAAAATTCTATTAAAAATCAGATAGATTCTTCTTTGTATCAAAAACGAAAATCCTCATATTTGAGCTGGCATTTCAACGGGGGAAAAAACGGTAGGTCAAAAAGTATCATTTGGCTACCAAAGTCGAATGAGTGCATCCGCGAAACGAATTTCGAAATCTACAGCTAAAGGTGTACTTTGAACCCTTTTTTTCTTTCTCTCGTTCTATACCCGACCAAAATTGATGCAACTTTGAGAGTGTCTTTTTGAGAGCTTTCTTTACCTTCCTGATTTTTTTTTAGAATTTTAGAAAATAGTGGTGCGATTAAATGGTTTGCGATCTGGGCTGCACTAACACGTTTCTTAGTATTTTGGTACTGGTTCAGATTGTCCTATGAGTTTTTTGCTGTCCCAAAATAAAATTTCCCCCTCTTTAATGAGAGGGGGTTGAGAAAAGGTCCTAGCCAACCGCACTACAACCCCCAAGTACCCGGAAGTCGGGAGGGAAGACTAAGCGCGATATACGGATGTACCCGGAAGTCGGGAGGGAAAACTAACGCGGCGCGGCTCGGCTTTTCTTTCTTTCCACTTCAAACTTTCATGTGTACTTCGAAAATGTCCGGAAGAGCGAGTTTGTCGTCCCTTCTTCCGAAAGTAACAAAAACGCCCTCGGCAGGCATCTCATCTCGTACGATCGATTAACTTTCGGAAACATAGGTAAGCTTGAGGGCATTCGGAACTGGGTCTGGTCTGGGGATGAGGGGTATCACAAGTTTTTCTTCTGTTTTTTTTTTGTTCTTGGTTTTCTCCAATGTCTAAGCCCACTAGAATAGTGGCCCAATCCGCTTTTTCACCACTCCCCCCTCCACCTCTTACCACCTGCCTGGTCACCCCTTTCACAGGCATCAACGGGCAAACCCATCACAGGCGCATCCCCATCCCAGGCGCATCTAAGCCCTAGTAACCGTAGTCCCCTCCGCCGGCTCCAACAGCTCCCAGCGGCAGACAATGTCGTTGGACTTAAACTCCTCCATGATCTTCTCAGCAATAGTCTCAAAGTTCTCCGTCGCCAGCGCCAAGATAGTCGGGCCGGCACCGGACAGGCACACGCCCAACAGACCGGGCTGCGTGGCGGGCGTCATGGACTCGACGATCTTGGTCAGGCCGGGAATCAGAACCTGGCGGTACGGCTGGTGCAGCTTGTCCTGCATGGCCAGGTTGATGAGCTCCGGGTCGGGAGGGGATTGGCCGAGGGCGACGGGGAGGAGGGCTATCCTTTGGAGGTTGAAGGTCTGGTAGCAAAGGTTAGTGGTTGGTTGATGAATAGATAGGTTTTGGAGGGGAAGGGGGGAGGGGAGAAAGGAGAAGGAAAGAAAAGACGTACAACATCCGCACGGGGATACTCAGCGGGAAGAACCTCGCGGGCCTTGGCGGTGGGAACCTCGAACTCGGGGATGATGGCCACGGCCTTGATCTCGGGAGCCCAGGGGAACTTGATGTGGTGACCGATGCCGTGGGGAGGCGAAGGGGGCTTGACGCCGGTGTCGACGCCGCCGGCCGGAGCGGGGAGGACCTCGCTGAGGGGGATCTCAGTGCGGGCAGTCTCCTCGGGGGTGAGAGGCTTGAGGTAGGTGCCGACGAAGCCACCGAAGAGGGCAGCGCCGACGTTGTCGGGGTGACGCTCTGTAGTTTTTGTCAGTTTTCTGATATCATCAGATTCTGAGGTGGGTGAGTGAGTGTGTAAGTGACTCACCAATCATGAGGCAGTAGTCAAAAAGACGCTCGGGGGTGAGGTCATGCAGACCGCCGACCTCCTTGCCGAGCTGGACACCGGCGACGACAGCCGCGCCGGAGGAACCCAGACCTCTTCCGAGGGGGATGGGGTTCTTGATGTGCACATGAGTCTCGGCGGGGAAGCTGCGCTGGTCGTTGCAGCGGAGGACGTATAGAGCGACACGGGTGATAAGGTTCACCTCGGGATCCAGGCTGATATCCTCCTCGCCCTGGCCCTCGTAGGTGATGCGGCAGTTAAGCGGCTGGTCCGAGGTCGTCTTGGAGCGGTCGATGGTGACATGGAGCTCCAGGTACATGGACAAGGCCAGGCCGATGACGTCGAAGCCGGGGCCGATGTTGGCGCTCGAGCAAGGCGTCTTGATGACGAACTTTTCGATCTGCTGGGAAGATGCCATTGTTGTCTGTCTGCTTTGAGGTACCTAGGGATAAGGAAGTCGGAGTGAAGTGGTTTACTACCAGGGGTTGAACCCAGTGGTGATGGTTTCACAGAAAGAAAGGGGGGATGGATGACAAAGTAAACAATCGGCCTGCCTATGCCACAAACACAAATGGTCCTTGTGAGATGCGTCACGTTCACTGAAATTTTGTTGAATTTAAATTGATTCCCATTTCTGGAGGACGGAGTGAGGGTTCCCCGATTGCGGAGCGGAGCCCGGCGGGCAGTGGGCAATGACTCCCGTCTACAGTGCCCACTTGGCGTTATGGAGCGCGGGGTGCTCCACCTTTTAGGGTTCGGTCCACTGGTCTAGTCTAAACCCCTGACTTGTCTGCTCCTTTTCTTGTTCAAGTCAACACAGTCATCAAGGTTCTTCTTCACTTGAGTCAACAGCAATGTTACCATAGTAACGAGGGTCGATACAATAGTGTTTCGATAATCAGGACCAGGTGTTTTGACAGTCGAAACTCAGTGATGACCTTGCTTTGTTTCCGTCAAATTGGAGTGTCCGAAGCTGTATCAAAAGACACCCAGGAAAACGTAACAATCAGGCGGGAATAGGAAATGTTAAATTTTGCGAGCTGTTTGTTCCATATCAGTGCGATAAGGATTGCCGTTTGTGGTTGACAATTTATTTCAGTAAGTTTCGAATTACAACTTGAAAGGTCTCCCTGTGTCTTTTGACACAATGGCCACGAGTAAACAACACAACCAAACCGTCAACACTAAAAGGTTTCCTTGAGGCCAATGATGTTCAAGCACTTCCATCTCGCAGACATCACATATAGAATTCTTCGTCCGGGTTGAAGTACCAGCATAGCCTGGGAGATTCTGAGACTTACAAGGCTGAACAACCCTTTTTGGTCGTTGCTGGAGATACGGCGCCAAGGAGTCCATGTAAACACTAGCAGTCGCTTAGAATGGAACTGATGCTGGTTTTGCTGTTTCTGTTTCATTACTATCTTTTCTCCTGGATAAGAGTCTGTACCTTGATTTTGTGGTTTCTTTCAATTCTTTCCAAACACTCTTATCCTGCACTTCAGCAGGAGTGTTCAGAAGAGACTCTAGAAAATGCGGTAATTTTCCTTCAACAAGCCTTTACTATGGGTAGCAGTTCCCGGTCCCTTTTCTCGGTAATCGAGGAAGACGTGCCATCTAATCTTCTACAGTGGCGATCCCGCCGAGACATTCGAAAACGCCCTCCTCAGCCCAGCACCGGTTGCTCTCCTTTTTGGGTTAGGAGTAGTGACAGCCTTGTCTGCTGGTTCGGCTGTTTCAGGCTCACCACCATTGGTAGTGGTTCCCGTAGAGACATTTGAGAACGTTCTCTTCAACCCGCCGCCGGTTCTTCGCCCTCTTGTAGTCGTCGCTGTTGCTGACGCTGTCGTTGTGGTCGCAGTGGCAGTACCACTAGTTTCATTTCCCTTTCCACTTCCAGCCGCAGGCTTCATATCCCGTAGCTTCTTGAGCATATCCACCCAAGCCGGGTTATCTAGCACCTTATCCGGTAACGTCTCCTCAAGGGTCTCCGGTGGTCCTTCAGCCACCCGCTGCCTGTGCATACTTCGAGCAGCTTTGCCAAAGTTGGCTTTACGTTTACCGCGGGCTTGAATCTCCTTTTGCTTGGCTTCAAACCATTCTTGCGAGTGTCGCTGTGGCCAGTGTATCCGGGGATCAATGTGAGCGTACAGTGGCTCGTCTGAGACCGGTGGTTGTGGAGGTTTCGTCGGGGGGGTTAGTAAGGCTGCCGTTGCTGCTGCTGAAGCAGATAAAAGATTTTGCTCATATGTTGAAATAGTTGGCGTGGTATGAGGGAGGAGCGACTCGGTTGGCTTCGGCTGTTCTACCGGTGTTGGTACCTTCCTTGGGAGCGGATTGGCCTGTTTGCGTGGACTGAGCTGAGGTGCCGGTTTGGCTACGGGTTGGGGTATTAGTTTGGGTTTCGGTTGAGCTTTCGAGACCGGCTCAGGTACGGGTTCTGGTTCTGTGTCTGGAGGATCCGCTTCTTGGGTTGGCTGCCCTTGAGGTTGTGGCTTCTGCTTCGGCTGCTGCTCTGGTTTCTTTGCCTGTGGCTGCTGTCGTATTGTCGGCTTTGGATCTGGTGCTGGTTCAGCTGGAGGGGTTGATTCTGCTTGCAGCTCCGGCTCCGAATGTTCTGCGGATTCCGAATCAGAATCTGATATTATGATCGGCTCATGTATATTGGTCACTATGGGCCGTGGCCTGGGCTGAGGTTGGTGGGGTTTCTGTGGAGGCAGTGGTCTAGGTTGCCCAACTGTCTGATCTGGATTACTTGAAAACCTCGACCCTTGTAGTAGATCCTGACCACGAAGATCTGGGAGAGGCTCCGTGGAATTTGGTTCGGCTCCATTGGCGGTGAAACGGGTTGACACAGACCCTCGTATTAGCCCTGCTGGAGGGTTATAGCCCGCGAGATCAAATGCGCTCCTGGCATAGTGAACCATAACCCTATCGGCCATAGACATATAGTTACTGCTCTGACCGGTTGGCATTATAACTTGTAAGTTTGGGATGCCTCCAGATAAGTTTTGCTGGTGGTTTGCAGGAGGAAGATTGTTCTGCCGCGCTTGATTCTGAGCGGGGGTCGGACCTTTCATAGGTTGCTGAGGAGCATGCACAGCCGAGCCGCTGCAGGCCGCATCTTGCATCTCATCAGAAAATCTCAACTGTCGTGCAAGTTCTGCTATCCTCCGTGGTGGGAGCCCCGGGTTTGACGGTTGTGTAGAACCATTTTGGCGCTCACCCGGTGATTGCTTTTCAGCCGACAGACAAGGGGCGTCGATTGCCATGATGGCGGGCTGCGTAGACTCCTGAGATTTGGCCTCTGATCGAGGCTTGTCACGAGTCTCAGAACGGTTAATGCGACTGCTGTCAAGACTGTTGGAAGAAGGCGATAAACTCGGGCTCTTGTGAGGTGGCCCACCGTTCAAAAATGACAAGGAACTGATGTCTGTGGTCAAACGTGGGGAGATGGAGTTTGCTGTGGTAGAAGAGAGGACCTTGGGTCCAAGTGAAGAGGGCCCATTTGACGTCGAGTTCAAGGTTTGCGCTAAGGAGGTAGAACCTTTATGCGTGCCGGGTCCAGGTTTGGGAGTCCGTCCGTTTAGGTATGGGTCTTTGCCGGCGGTTTTGCGCCTAACAATATTTCCCGGCAAGAGTTTTGACTTTGTGGTGGGAAAGGGCGAAGAACGGTTCTTAACCGGACCTGCCTCCGGAGGATTTGGTGTGCAGCCTTGTGGACTTTGTCTAACAACATCGGCAACTTCAGCCTCGCTGTGAGGCTGGGCTGGTTTTTCGGCGCCACCTTGACCATCAACTGAATGTGAAGTGATGGGTGACTGAGACGATGAGGATGGGTGTACTGATGACCTTGATAAAGCAGCAGTCGTGTCAGGTTTCTGAGAGGCAGAAGTGGCCAGGTCGACGGGTAGTGGTACTGGAAAAGACTTTAGATGCTGGGCACAGAAGATATTGACTGAAGGTGCCTCGCATTGTGGAATAGAGCAGGGGGTGAAACGAGTAGCCTGAGTGTTTTCGGTCGAGGAAGAGGAGATAGAGTAGCCCATCGCTGAGGAGGGCCTTCTGGGGAGACCGACAGTGGAGGTGGTGGAGAGACGGAGTGAGGTGGTTGACGAGGCTGAACGTAGAGAGAATGACGACCTGGCATGGTAATGATGGCGTCGTGCTGCCTCTTGGCTATCCACTATACAGCGATGACATGTCCAGTCACTGTATATAGTAGTGAATGGTCAGTATACCCCCAAAGAGAGAGACAAGCAAGAAAATAGCGCGGTGGACAGCTAGTCTTTTCTTTGAAAGTTGATGGGTCGACTGTCGACATCTGTAACTGAGTGCATGTTGAGGTTGTCTTGAAGCTAAACTGCGAACAAGGTGAGACGAGTGTGGAATGGCTATGTTGTCTGTTGTGCAAATCCGCAGCAGGCAGAGAGAGAGGAAAGAGCAAAATAAAAAGGGTAAATAGGCAGGTGGAAGCTTTAATTGGCTACGAGTGGGCCCGCTCTAACCTTTACCATTTACTGCGAACCCTCTGTCAAGTACACAACAGTAACTGGTGCGTTGGTTGTCATCTCTTTTCTGGCATTTTTGTGGCTAGTTCCACGTTGACTGTAGTGAAGACGAAGAGGTGATTGCGGGTTAATAGAGGGAGGGCAGTTGAAAACATGAGGGATGACGGGCATGACATGGAAGTACAGAAAAGAGAATAAGAGAGAAAAAGACCTACGTTGACCGGGTGGGATGTGGAATATGGCATGCCGAATGATAACTTCTATCACAACTGATGCATCGGAATAATGGTCTTGTAATACTGGCTTCCTTTTTGCAATATCTGCAACGAGACGGCATCGATCAGGTCGTGCCTCAAGAAGTCCGAGGCGCCAGGTGTGGCCGCCCTGGGCTGTATGAATGTACGGGATATAACGTTTGGTCTAGACGTCTGCAACGGGACATCTAGAGTAAGCAGGATGTATAAGCCGTCCTATGAGAGTCTTTGTGAGAAGTTAGCAGGCCAATCCCAGGCTGTGAAGCACGAAAACAAAAGTTTCAGGGGACAAGGAAGCCATATAAGGGGTGGTTTTGGTATAGTCCTTGTGATAGGACAACACAGGCAACTTGCGTCTCAGGTCTTTTCAGTTTTTCCTAATAGTCCTCATCCAGACCAGCCACAACGGTTTCATGATTCTGAGGTAACAAGGACGGGAAGACCACGATCAAAGTCGGGTACTCTCCCCATGTCTTTCCTGTCCCCCACTGCCTTTGGCCCGGCTTCATAGAGCAGTTGAGAGTCGGGCTCCTGGAAAGTGGAAGTAGCCTCTGTCGACAGAGACTCAGAGAGCTCCGGACAGGCAGCTATCAGATGTATCCAATCGCCAAGCATGCCGTGCTGCCGATAGTCTCAGGACAACACGAGGAGTGGGCAAATGAATTGGCAGCGGACGCGCACTCACAAAGAGTGAGGCGCCGAGAATCCCCATTGTACCAGCAGAACCATGACCCCAGAAGAGCTATCGGTCGTCGGACCTTTTACCAATTGCTCATCATAGACGTTGCCGTGTGAAGTGAGAGGGTGAGTTGGAGTGAGGCAAGCTTACCTGATGCGAGATACACGGGAATGCTCCCTATACCAGTAAAGCAGTCAATGTCAGAGCACACATAAACACCAGAGCTTCCCTTGGTACTCAATCAGGTCTCAACCTTGCGTCTCTCCCGCTTGAGTAACCAAACCCCGCCTGCCGGATCCCGGGTTGCCATCCAGCGCCTGGAGATGCTTGCCTGCTTAGGCCATGTAAGGAACCAGCATCGATGTTGTTGACCATCGACCAGAGACCCGGAGATCACAGAGGCAGGGTTGGGGACATGTGGTGTGTTGATGAAGCTTGCTGATCATGAATACTTGATGTTGTAATAATAAACAAAGGAAGCGAGGACGTTGTCAGTGGAGGGAAGATGACGATGGAAAGACTGTGGAGTGTGGACCAAAAGATGTTCCAGTGGAACCCAACTTGCCATAAAATCCGCCTGGCCTCTCCTTCCCGAACCGCCAACGCCAACGGGCAACACCCGCCGCTAAAAGTGATTCGTGCACGGACCCTCTAACCATCGAGATGTCGTGGAGTCTGAGTGCTAGGGGCCACCCTGGCCTACAAGCTCCCTGTAGCTCGCTAGCGTCGTGTTTGCCCGCCGAACGAACTTCCAGAGCGGCGCTGCCTGCAGGGGAATGCAACAAGTGGAATTCGCGATCACCTCCTTGGACATGTGCTTTGCGACAACTTGCATCCCACCACCCCCTTTCTCGACTCGACACTCCAAACGTCCAGATATATTGCTACACGGCTGTAACATCGACTAAAGGCTCTTTGAGCTTTCCAAGACAAGTCATCCGCCATGGACTTCCTCAAATCGGCTGTCGCATCGGCCATCGCAAAGGGGCCCCCATTCCCCTATAACTTTGGCGACAAGGTCGATCTGGACCCCTCCATCTGGACCCTTTACAACGGAACTCGACGCGTAGGTGCCTGTCCTCGTTACACCCTTAATTCCCCTACCCGCGGCACATAAGAGTTTGCCAGCTAATCCCTCTATTGTTTCCAGGAGGACGGGTCCAACTGCAGCATCTTCTCCTTTGATATCTCCGCCAACCGATCTGCGCTTCCCCTGGCCAAGAATGCGCTCAAGAAGCTACGAACACTACGACATCCCGGCGTCATCAAGGTCTTGGATACGGTCGAGGTAGGGCATCTTTGCCCATGGAACGTTGTGGTCGCTTAAGCTGAGCCTTGCGCAAAAGACAGACTCCTACATCTACATTGCCACTGAGCGGCTAGTTCCCCTAAGTTGGCACGTCAAGAGAAAGAGCCTAAGTCCGGAGACTGCGAAATGGGGTCTTTATAGCGTAGCGGTATGTTTCCAATCTCTTGGTTTGACTATTTGGACCGACGGCTGACCCTGGAGCTATAGAAAACCCTCAAGTTCATCAACGGTGACGCATCCTCGATACACGGCAACCTCAAGGTCGCCTCGATATACACATCCGAGAGCGGCGAGTGGAAGCTTGGCGGCTTTGAAGTCCTGAGCAATGTCAAGGACGACGATGCTTTGATTTACGTACGTTTTCACACTCGGTACAGGCACTCGGGAGAACATGGGGCGCTAACATGCCAAAACAGAGATACGGCAGTGTTGTGCCAGACTCAGGAAGGTACACTCCTCCTGAACTTGCAAACGGCGGTTGGGATGTTATCAAGAAGAGCCCGCACCATGCGGTTGACTCGTATGATTTCGGCATCCTGATCTACGAGGTCTTTAACGGCAGTTTTCTGGGCTCGGACCAACTAGGACAGACCAAGAGCATCCCACCGAGCATGCAAGCCAGCTACAAGCGCCTCATCAACGCCAACCCCAAAGCGAGACTCAGCGCCGCTCACTTCCTCGAACAAGGACTACGGACTGGAGCCTTTTTCGACAGCCCATTAATCAAGCTTACCGAAGGAGTTGACAACTTGGGAGTGAAGTCGGAAACCGAACGCGAGGCTTTCCTGGAGGATCTCGATCAACTTTCTGACGACTTCCCTGAAGATTTCTTCAAGATGAAGGTCCTACCCGAGCTACTAAAGTCAGTAGAATTCGGTGGCGGTGGTCCTAAGGCCTTTGGAGTAGTGATGAAGATTGCAACAAAGCTGTCGAACGAGGATTTTGACACAAAGGTTACTCCTGTCGTCATTCGCTTATTCGGAAACCCCGATAGAGCGATCAGGGTGTGTTTGTTGGACAACCTGTCGCTCATGATCGACAGGCTACCACAGAAAGTGGTAAACGACAAGATCTTTCCGCAAATAGTAAGTCTCAGCCTTGTTATAGGAGTGGGCTGCAAAAAGAGGCCCAAAGCCTCGTGTGTTTAATACTAACGGCAAACACTTTTTAGGTTGCGGGTTTCACCGATCTTGCACCCATTGTGCGCGAACAAACCCTCAAGTCCGTACTAGTTATCATCAGCAAACTGTCGGACCGTACCATCAATGGCGATCTGCTCAGATACCTCGCCAAGACCGCCAACGATGAACAGCCCGGTATTCGTACCAACACTACAATCTGCCTTGGCAAGATCGCCAAGTACCTGGGAACCTCCAACCGAGCCAAGGTTCTCATCGCCGCCTTCACCCGCTCTCTGCGGGACCCCTTCGTCCACGCCCGCAACGCCGCCCTGATGGCTCTCGCCGTCACAGTCGAGTACTTCTCCGACGAAGACTGCGCCACGCGCCTAATACCCGCCGTCTCCCCCCTGCTCATCGACAAGGAGAAGTTAATCCGCGACCAAGCCAATAAGACCATCGACGTCTACCTCCAACGCATCCGCAAAGCCCAACAAGACATGCCCGAAACCGTAATACCCCCCGAAACCGCCCAACCACGAATGAGCACCCCTCAACCAGCCGAAGCCGTAGCAGCCTCGAGCTCCGGCTCTGGCGCCGTAGCCGCCGCCTGGGCAGGCTGGGCCATCTCCAGCTTCACCAACAAGCTCTCCAGCGCAGCGGGGGAGATGCAACCCAACGGTTCTGGTGCGCCCTCGCCCGTTCCGAGCGCCAGCGGGCTACCCACGCCCACCTCTACCACGACTCCCAAACGGCCCACCTCATCTTCTGCTTCGGCACTGCATAGACAGGCACTCAAATCCCCAGCGCCCACAACTCCATCAATGGGAGACTCCTTCTTTGCTGACCCCGAACCGCAAGAAGACGACGCAGACGCTTGGGGCGATATGGGTGATATGGACGACGACACGGCAGCGGGCGCGGGGGATGATAACTGGGGCACTAGCTCTGAGACTCTTTCACAACCAGCGTCAGCATCAGCAAAAAGGTCAGTAAGCAGTAGTAGCAAACCAGCATCAACCAGCACACCCTTCGGCGATGATGATGAACCGGATTTCGCGGGGTGGTTGGCGGCGCAAGCGGAGAAGAAGAAGAATCCCTTGGCCGCACCGAAAACCCTGCCCAAGGGGCTGGCCAAGACGGGGACGGGGGCGGGGGCGGGGACGGCAAAGGTGGCGCCGACAACGACGGTGGTGAAGAAGACGTTGCCTATTAGCAAGAAACCTGCACCGGCGACGGTGAAAAAGATTGATACGAAGCCGAAGGCAGATGTGGATGGGGATGATGGGTGGGGGGATGGGTGGTAATCATTATGGTGGTCGGTGGTGAGGTGGTGGGGTGAGGTGGTGAGGTGCCAAGAGAGAGGGTTGGATTAGAGTTTGGGAGGGAGGGGGAGTTAGTTGTGTTAGAGTCCAAGGTCAGGTCCTACTTAGTTTGTAATAGATGGGACGAAGCAAATGAAGCGAATCGTCCGGTTGGGTACTATCAAATCTGGTTGTGTGAAATCTTGTGCCAAAGTTGCCCCTGGGACAAATACAATAGACGACTTGAACTTGCTTCCTGGTCCCACTGCACTTACCCCCGTTCAAGTTGAATACAGCTGCCTGGACCTCCGATCGATCTTATTCCTCTGAACTATGTTATTACGATAATCACGACTGACTGAGGAGAAAGATGCCCAGGTATGGCTAGATACATTACCCAGACAGACACGTTCGATATCATTGGGATGTCATCAGAGAAGTTTGATTTCTGGCGGGGCATGTTGAGAAATAATGAAAACGATCGTGCGTCTCCCTTCCTTAGCTGCACTCACCGACTGAGACAAAAAAGGAATACGGTCAGAGAAAATTGGAATAAAGTAAAAGGTAATCAACACATCCAACCAGACGCCATCAAAAAACCACCGCGATCTATTATACACCTATAGTTTAGCACCCCAAAAAATGAAAAGACTATATATACATACTACTACTTACTCCTTCGGTCCGCGTCATACCCAGCCACAGACTCACCAAAAAAAAAAAAAAAAAAAAAAAAAAAAGAGAGAAACGAGGACGGGAAAGGTGAGGGAAAAGGATTGTTACCTGCTCGAAGTGAGGAGTGAACCCATGTGCTCCCGAGTTACATACAAGTCACAAGGCAGCGGACTGAACCACTACACCTGCAACCCATATGCCCATATGGGAGCCCATGAGTTCCTCGGAGGGAAGGAGCGGGAAGTCTGGTATATGTACCAGGGCCCCAAGGCCCTCGCTTGGAGTGTGTGCCTTTCTCCTCTCCTCATCAGCATTAACACTTTTACCAAATTTTGGGGTTCCCTTCTTTAGTTGCCTTACATCCGCAATCGCCATGATTGCTCGTACACAGTAGTTAGGTCAGGAGATGAAAACGCAAATCGATTCCTTTCGTTGGTCGTCTAAAAACCCGAACACCATAGAAACAAGATACCTAGGTATATAAAAGACACCATAATAAAACAAAGACAGCACAACATTAAGCTCCCACGGCACAGAAGAAGAACCGCGGTATGATTTGAACCCAGATTTCTCTCTCTCTCTCTCTCTCTCTTCCGCCGAAATACCTCCACCTCCCAAGGATGTAACCCAACCGGCCCAGCCCGGACCAGACGACAGACAGACACCCTTCAATTCCTTTACTCGAAGGTAGTCTTCTTGCCCTGGTGAGCAACAGGCGCACCGGTAAGTCTGGCAACGCTGATATCCTGAGCCATCTTGATCTGACCACCACCACCTCCCTCTTCCCTCTTCTGGTAGGGAGCTCTGCTCTGCTGTGGCCTCTCGCCCTGTTGTTGTTGTCCTCCTTGCTTCTTGCCAGCACCAGCGCCCTTGCCTCGGAACCGCTTCTCGTATCTCGTCTTATCGTCCTCAGCCAACTCGATCTTGAGGGTGCGGCCGTGTAGCTGGTTGACCCACCACTTGCGGGTCTTTATCCTCTTTTCCGTTTCCTGCTTCTTCTTCTCTTCGCTGTCGGCTTCGGCTTCGGCCTTTTGATCTTCATCCATGAAATCCTCCAACTCGGGAATTTCTTCGCGAATCTTGACGAACCCCTTAACCGCCCACTGCGCAGCTTCGCTCTCCTCAAAGTTCACCCACCCGTACCCCTTGCACTTGCCGCTGTCCTCGAACGTGGCCACCTTGACCCACCTGATGGCACCGCACTTGTCAAAGTGGCTGCGCAGGTCGTCCTCGGTGGTGTCGAAGGAGAGGTTGCCGACGAAGATCTTGGTTGAGCCGGCGAACTTGCCGCCTACCAATGGCTCGTCCTCCTTTGCTCCCTTGGCAGTTTCGTCCTCCTTCTTCTTCTCCGGTCGTCCCTCGAACGACGTCGCATCCTTGATCAACAGCTTACGCCTGTACCACTCCGTCTCGCTGAGAGCAATGGCCGCGACCTTGGTAGCCAGCGAATCGAAATCGACGTAGGCGAAACCGCGGTTCTCGGGCTTCTCCTTCTTGGGCTGGCCGGGCTGCGCCTTGGCCGTAGGCATGTGCACGCGCGTGATGGACTCGGGCGTGATGGAGCCGCCGCTGTTGTCGACGAGCCATTGCTTTAGTTCAGCCTTAGTGACAGTAAAGCGCAGGTTGCCGATCCAGACGCCGTGGGGGGAGCGTTCCTTCTTCTCCTTTTTCTTTTCGCCGTCCTTGGCGGGTTCGCCGTCGCTGTCGGAGTCGTCGCCCTTGTCGGAGGAGGGCTTGGTGGGCAGGGTCTTGCCCTTCTTGAGCAGACGCTTGGCTTTCTTGGAGGGAGGCTCGGGGGCGGTGACATCGATTTCGATTTCGGTGATGTCGGCCTTGCGCTTCTTGGAGGACTTCTTGGGCTTCTCGTCGTCGGAGGCGGCATCGGCGGCATCGGCAGTGGTGTCGACGGTGTCGGCGGACTCCCCCGTGGCCTTGCGCTTCTTGGAGGATTTCTCTTTCTTCTCTTTCTTGGGCTTCTTCTCGGAGGCGGAATCGGCGGTGGTGTCCATGGCGTCGACAGGAGCGGACTCCTGCGCGGAGGCGGTTTCGAGATCTTTTGTTGCTGCCATTTTGGTTGGCTTTTGCGTATTGACCGTGATGATGCAAATACGACAAGAAATAAAGTTGGGAATAACAACAAATTCAAGGTTGTTGATTCCTCAAGTTTGCAGTGTTTACAGAAGGGGACAGCCGCGCACTGACATTGAGATTCCCCAATTGCTGGCAGCACAAGATTTTCGAAAATTTACTTTGCGATAAGCTCGCGATAAGGAAGGGGTCACCGTTCGCTCGCGTGTCCGCTTTTCTTCCGCTTGGTCTCCATCGCGCAAAATGCGGGGGAGCGGGAACCTCCACTTCGGGTTCTCCACTGATACCCCTCTGAATCTCGTGCCAAATTTGAAAGAGCCTCCATCTTTTCAGATCTCCATCATCTCTTCATGGGACTTGACATTTGCAGGTTGCAGACATGCCCCTTTTTTAGTGAAATACGAGCTTGATTTTAGGTGTAAAGTGTGCCTTGTGCCGACGACAGGTCTTGAAGTGCAGCCGTACATACATACCTATCAGCTGTCGTCTGACTGATGGAGCGGAATAAGGTACAGTACAAGTACATTGGTCATCGACCCGATGTGTAGTGGAATATTTCCCCGAAAAACGCAAATCAGAGAAGACGGCCCAAAAGGCGCGATGCGATGGGCCAAATGTGATGCCAATATTCTGACTTGGCCCATCTTCTACCTTGATGTTGCCAGGATATCCCTTAGCATGAATAATAGCTCATAGTGTAGACACTCGTCCATATTGAGTGAGTTGTTGGACGAATAGACAGCTCTCTCAGCCCGTACAGCTACACTCAGCTACACAGCTGGACAGTCACTCCCGATAGGTCAGTCTCCTCCCAATGGAAGGATATCAAATCCTTCGGAAGTTGTTCCAGAGTGATGATGACCATAAAACCCCGCAGAATCGAAACGGAAACGACATGAGCTTGTTGCTGACGTTGGGCTGATCGGGTGCAATGTCGTTTTCCATCTCGCCAAGCCCAAGGGCCAGGAACAGCTTGACAGCGTTGGCAAACGCCTGTCCAAGGACCAGGCCGAGAGAGATGCGGAAAGCAACAATTGCTTTTCCAAGGTCCTCGATGAGGTGCTGACCGTACCGTGGTTAGTGTATGTACCGTTGTCGCCGTCGCTGTCGCTGTCGCTTCAAAGTCGAATCGTTGCGTTTGATGGAAACGTGGAGGCAATTGGTACCCGAAACCATCATCTTGGGCCTCACGTGCCGAAAACCACCGATAGGGCTTGGCGAGATCGGGCGGCCTTGAAAGGAAAAAAAAAACGACAAAAGGTCCTCAAAGACCCCACCAGTCCACGTCGTACCTTTCTCGGAAAAAATGTCACCTCAAGCAATTCATCGGCAAGCAGGCTGAACAGACTCTGGAGCTTCTCTCTTCCTATCACGGCAACGCCTCATTGCTTGGGCTTGCAGGCCGGCTTGTCTTGACCGCTCAACATCTTTCGAATCGTTCGTCGTCTCGGGGTTTGATGCATGCACTTAAACATTCTGGTAGGGGTCTACCAAGTACCAACCACAATCGGTTTGGTGAGGGGACTGGTACCTGATCTGGTTAGTGTAACAAAAGGCTGAAGAACTAATAGCCTCTTCTAGTTAGCCACCATTCTGACCACATGGACTCCATCAACAAAGCGGGCCCTGGGCCAGCTGGGTGAGTGGACCGGTCCATTGAAAATCGACATCCACTCCATGTTTTAGGTTGAAGTTCCTTGCAAATGCAAAGGGTCGCTGCTTGCTGGTGCTGCTCCTCCCTTCCGATACACACCATTGACAGTTGACAGTCCCGGCATCACCAATCGGCGTAAAAGCTGCTCTGACCTTGAAGAGGCCCAGCCAACCGTTGTTTCCGCTGACAGACACTGGCCGCTGACACCACCTGACACCACACACACACACATCACAAGCTGACTGGTCACTCGTCACCACTGCTTGCTCCAGGACCGGGACACCAGTGAGAACCAGGGAATGAGCCACTGGGACGCTCAAGCGAAGGTCAAGCGGATGCGCTTTTGTTGTTGGCTTGGTTGGTCGCAGAGCACCCATTCACTCCATTCTGCATTCCCTCCATTTACAGCCCTTGATTCGGCGCAATCCCGTCGGAATCCGTTGCAAGTGCAGAGAGAAAAGCGAAAAGGCTCCTCACTTTTGGTCGCTTCTTCAGAGCCAAGAACGTCCAGCAAAAAAATCTCCACCGGACCATCGCACTGTGAAGTGGAAAGCAGTCTGACTGCGCGGCACCTGCCTGCCATTCACAAGAGTTCGCTCCATTCTCTCACTCGCCATTCTGCGCCTCTCCTTCTTCCACCCTTCCCTTCCTTTCATTTCCAGTCCTCTCTTCCTTGACTCGCATTTCTTGCGACTCGCAACAGTTTGCAACTCAAAACAAACCCAACCCGCGAGCGGTCTGACGCCGGCTGCTCCCTTAACTTCTTCAACCTCTGATCGTCTGGCTTCTTCCACCGCCGTCGTTCCGTCGTCCGTCCGCATCGTCGTCGTCTCCTTTTTGCGTCGGTAGCGCCACGCAACGCTATACCGCCAAACGAGCATTGTTGTCAATCCCACAATGAACGTGCTCCTATCGCCGCAGCCGCCCTTCTTCCCTCATCAACAGGAACCCTCTCGTCGCTCGCCCCCCAGAACAAGTAAGTAGTTACAACAGTGTTTGTCGTGCATCGCAGCGTGCATCCAGCACTGCTGGTATAAAACCTGGCTGTCGCTGCAGGCTTGCTAACAACGTTCTGCCAGTGTCGCACTATACCATGGCGTCCAGGAAAAGAAAAGCCGACGACGATGACAACGAAATGTCGGTCTCGCCGACCGGCTCGCCCGCAATCAACTCGAGGCAGCTCTCGAGGCCGTCCAAGAAGGTCAGGGCTGGAATCGAACTTGCAGGACGTCCGCTGCCTCTTCCCCGCCTACTCGAAACTCTCGACAAGTCGCAGCTGCGGGCTGTCCTGCAGAGGATTTGCGAGCGTCATCCAGACATTGGACATGAAGTGATGACTTCAGCACCGCGGCCGTCAGTCAACGGGGCCCTCGAGGTTTTGGGCGAATACCAGGACAAGCTACGGGCCGCCATTCCTTTCGGCAACTCGAGTTCCGAATACACCTATTTCCGGGTCAAGCAGCCGCTCATGGCGTTGGTGGATGGTCTCGGCGATTTCACCCCCCAGTTCCTGCCGCCGGTTGAGCAGCAAACGACCGTGTCGTTGGAGTACCTGAACCATGCAACAAAGATCATTCACGACCTACCCGATTTCGACAGCCAACAGTATCGCCATCACAAGGATGGAGCGTACGACGAGATATCCAGAGCTTGGGCGTTGGTGATTACAGAAGCGGCCAAGCGGGGAGGAGGCTTCCACTTGCACAACGGAAAATGGGATCAGGTTCTGGCTAAGCACAACCAGCAGTCCGGAGGAAAGCTAGAGCAGGCCATGAACGCAATGGTCAACGAAGTTGGATGGATCGGCGCGAACCCGAATGCTCATGGGCAGGGTTCTTCTTCGGATCCCAACTCGATACTCAACCAGCTCATCAACGGCACATATGGCGCACCTGTCCAAGTTGGTCCCTTCTAGAATCGGCGACGAAATGGACATCGAAGTGCGCCGTGACTTGGCATTTATAGGGATACTTGTGGGACTGGGAGGAAAAGCAAAGCGGACATTAACGCTGATTGCATCATGGTTTCTTTTGTCGTTCATTTTTTCAACATTCAGGGCATTGTTTGGGGCGAATGGGGAGGGATGACATAGACAGGCGTGGGTTACTTGCGGTCAGGGATCATTGTTCACACGGCGTTGGTGTGTTGGCTTTTCAAATGCTGTTGTCTCTTTCCTTCATTGAGTGTTGCGTTTCTGGCAACATCTCACTGGCACAACAAGATACCTCTTTCCTACCGGCTGTCTCTCGTTCTAGGGAACAACTTGTCAGTCACTTGCATGTATACAATTTTTAGCATATCCTTTCCGAGGTCGGAAGTTTGGAGCATGTGTGTAACCAACCATCACTACCTTTACCATATATTCATTCCACCATAGCCATGCAATTGGGAAACGGAGTCTCGGATGACACAGTGTGCCTGGCGGGTGACTTGGTGTAGACACCCGTTTGACGTCCCGGGTTCCTTGGGTGTATCCCGAGGTGAACTTTGGGGCACAGCGGCTTGTTTGGGATCAATCAAACTCGCCTTCCATTTTATGAAATGTGTAATCCAATAACTCGGATGATCATCTCTCCCCTTGAATCACCGTCTTGTTGGTAGAGACCAAAGCAATCTCGCAATAAAGTCCCTTGCATACATGTTCCTGATTAACTGCGGTCATTCTCTCACACAGTGGCGACTCCCTTTGGAACCACGTACGGTATTGTACCATTGCCCGAAGCCATTCGAGATATGAGATGGCTATGATGAAATAAACATTGCAGGATGACTAAGCCGGAATATGAAGGATAACTGAGGAAGCTGATGTAAACTCGCCCTACCCACGCTCTCCATGGGAACTTTTGCTGGAGGAAACGAGGGACGGCAAGATTGACGATAGTGGGGCCCTGGAGTTCCCTGTGTGATGGGATGACAAAGGCCTAAAAGTTAGTGAGGTCACTAACCAAACCCCACCGCCACAGGGGCCAATTCAGGCGGGTGTTAGGCAGACGCCGTTAGTGCCCCACGTGATAACCTGTACTGAACGTGCAACCAGAACGCACCCTGAGCGCGCCTGCCCAATTTGCACAGCGCGTCTTGTCGTTCCTGCCTTGATACATCACTGCATATCTCGCGACGTTTGCTTTGGGAAATTCACAAAATCTTTGAAACTTTCTCCCTTCAACACGTCAATCTGAATTTCTCTTGCGGGGGATCCCACTGCGAACGACTCGCGAACCACCAGCCTCGAGGCTGCTCTGCCAGACAAGATGCCTGCGTATGTTTACCTCTGCTATCGACCCGTGTCAACCGCGTGTCTCGCTCGCGGCCTTCCAGCGACGGTGATCCCCATTGACACTTCTTCAGAATCGGCGACCAACACAAACTCATCACCAACCCGTTCGAGGAACCACAACGGCGAATTAGCGAATACACGGCCCAAGAGATCGCTACACTACAGAGCCGGCTCGAGAAACAACTAGGACCCGAGTACCTGTCGAGCCGCGCCGGCCCATCAGGCCAGAAAGTCCACTACATCTCGTCAGAAAAATGCATCCAGCTCGCGAACGAGGTTTTCGGCTTCAATGGCTGGTCCTCCAGCATCCAGAATATTCAGGTCGACTTCGTCGATGAGCATCCTCAGACGCTGAAAATCAACATGGGCATCTCGGTTATTATGCGAGTCACCTTACGCGACGGAACGTTCCACGAGGATCTCGGCTACGGTCACATCGAGAACTGCAAGGGCAAGGCGGCTGCCTTTGAGAAGGCCAAGAAGGAAGCCACGACGGATGCCCTGAAGCGCGCGCTGCGCCAGTTTGGCAATGTGCTGGGCAACTGTATCTACGACAAACAGTATTTGGCCAAGGTCACCAAGATGAAGGTCGAGCCGACCAAGTTTGCGGAGGATAACCTACATCGGCACTCGGATTTCGTCAAGAAGGAGCCGGTTGAGGCGGATGCCATGAAGGTAGACTCAGTCGGGGCGGGCGCTCGTCCACCAGCGCTGGGGAATGAGGAGTCTTTTGAGGATTTGCTTGGAGGTAAGGTCTCTCACGCACTACTTTGGGCTTGGCTAACGATGTACTAGAACTTGATGAGGCCGACTTCAACATGGCCGATGAGGGCCATCCGGACGAAGTTGTCGTACCACAACCTGTGCACAATAGCTTGAACGACAAGCCTGTCCACCAGCAACTGACTAACCTCAATCCACAGGCTCAACAATCTCGACCCCTGACGAGATCAGGGTCAACAGGCAGCCTGAACACCCGACAACAACCACAGACTTCCAACCAATTTACAGCGAGGGCCCAAAGTCGGCCTCCACAACAGCAGTTTAACAACAACCAAAGTCGTCCTATGGGCCAACCTGTCAATAATTCTAGCAACACAAACAATCCCAGTAACGCTACGAACTTTACGACACCACAGAAGCCTGCTCCTGCCGCTCCTGCTCCCCAAGCAGGTGCGGCTGTAGTTCCCGCCCCAGAAACCGTTGGCTTCTTCTCCGCTAAAGCTGTGACCCAACTTCCGGAGGAGGCTTTGGCTAGCGGCCAAGTCGCGCCGAAACCCGGTCTAGCATTCAACCCTCACGCCGAAAGTCCGTCGATCCGCAAGACGCCCGGCATCGATCACACCAAGTCTAAGCCTTTGGCCAGAAACGGTCAGCACGTCCCTCCAGCCAAGACTACCTCCAAGACAGAAGCTGAACCGAGCACGTCGTTTTCAAGACCTGCGGGAGCTGCTCCGGCCGCATCACGACCAGTAACAATGAGCGAGGCACGCTCAGCATCGGGAGGTTTCTCTCGTGCTGGGCCACCGATGGGCGGTGGTAACGCCGGAAACAACATGGGCAAGCCAAACGTCGTCAACCCCCAACTTGATCAGACACGGCGGATCGGTGCGCCAGGCACGGGAGGTTTCTCTAGTAGTCCTAGTGCCAACAGGAACCAGTATCGGCCGTTGACGATGAAAAGGCCTGCTACTGCTATGGGAGGAGGAGGAGGTGCTGCTGGTCAGACCAAGGATGGTGGTAATGGTGATGGTGCAGTGGCGACGACGACAGCGGCGAACACGGCAGCAGGGTCGACGACGGGAGGTAATGCGGCGGCTCCTTCTGCTGGTAACGGTGGGAACGGTGGGAGAGTCCCGTTGACTGACATGTCGGCTAATACGTCGAATGCTACGGCAGCGGGGGCCGCTGGTAGTGGACCGGAGGTTAAGAGGCAGAGGGTGGCCTAGAATGGGTTGAGATCAAGGCAGGGGCTTCAAGAACATCGGTGTCTCCGCTAGGCGCGCCGGTAGGATGGATGGTAATTGGTTGGTATGGTGTAAGGTGTTTCGAGGCGTTTTCTTGGGCGAACATTACTTGCGAAGATAAGGTATAAGTCATTTCGTTTTATGGATTGCTGAATGGGACTAAAGGCAGCAAGCTTTCTAAGAGGCGTATCAACCAACACTGGTTTCTGATGCTTTTCCATCATCACTTTATGATCAGGAGTAGTTTGTGGTGAGATCACATGTTTGTACGATATGAGTTTAAGTCGACAACGGAGCAAGAGCCATCCATGCCATGTTCGTTCTTGATGGAACAGCTTAGACTACATGATTTATATATAAGAAGAAAGTTTTCCACGATGTTACGTTCGAACATGACTGAAGCTATCACACGGTCGTGTCGTTGTATGGCCGGCGATCCGAATGTACCTAGAATTTGAATAACGGGAACAGCGTCCATTTGTTTCATTTGTTTCTAACATATACCAGCTATTTGAACACAATCTGAGAGTGATCATAACGAGTTACAAGAGAAGTGAGATCTAGATGGACAAGTGGTGAATTCAAGCCTTCAAGAACATCCGGACATGAGACTGGATGTGCAGCGGCGAAAACACCACCAACGCCACCAGACCCTTCAACTTATCACTTGATTTCTCATTAGACACTTGTCTTTAAGACTTATCACATAAAGCAGAGATTTAACAGATGATAATAGGAGAGGAGAAATTCCACGACAACGAGGTTACGTTAACAAAGGCAAGGAAAGAAAACTAGCAAATAAAAGCACCCATCAATTGACCCAAGTGACCCGACAAAACAATCCTTCCAAGCACTCCGTTATCCATGGTTCCCATCGCAAATTCCTGACCCCGACGCAAGGTTCGCAAAGCAAAACTACTTCCTGGGGCCGCTAACAGACTCCTCATCCGAGGCGTCAAGGATGTCATACTCCTCATCAGTCATGAAGGACTCGGACTCATCCTCGTCCCACTCGACATCTTCACACTCCTCGTAATCCTCCTCCTCGGGGCGAGACTCGGCCTGAGACTGAGCGTCCTCCTGATGAACGCTAGCAGAGGGCGACTCCTTGTCGAGCTTGGGGAAGACCACTTGACTATGATCAATCGGGACAGCGTCATTGGTCTCGGGCTCAATGTTGAGCTTGGCCATGTTCTCCTCGAGATCCTCTACCTTGGCGGGGGCCCGAACCTTCTCCTCGGGAGCGGTCTCGGGCTTCTTGACCACAACATCGCACCACAATTTGTGGCCAATCATGAGGCCCTGCTTCGTGGACACCCGCCAGTGCGACAAATGTCTGCCTTCCCTGGAAGGGCTCCGGAGAAGAACCGTGAAGGGCACGGATTCACCAGGAGCCACCGGATGCTCGCACACGTTGGATTGCAAGCAAGACTCGAGGTCACCGGTGGCAGTGGGGTGAGCTGGGTCTACATGACCCATGTACTCACCATGAAGGTACTTGACAAAGCATCCAGCCGGCCAGGGGGTGGGTCCGTCATTGCGGACGACCCAGGTTTGCTCAAAGACGTGGTCAGGTCCGAAAACGGTACCATCAACGACCTTGTCTCGCACATATGTAGCGACATACACAGGAGCCGGGGTCTTGGCCTCTTCGGTCTTTACAGCGGGAGCAGGCTCAGAAGGCTTTACGTCAACCACAGTCATGACGCTGGGCTGGAACGACTCGGTGCCTGTGGCACGCGAAGTGGTAACGCGACGGCAAGGACGCGGCCGATCACCCATGGCCGGCATCCTGCGTCCATTCTCATGCTCGCCGGTAGTCGTGACATTGACGTTACGAACGGGAGTCTTGAACTTGATCAAGGGGTGGGTCTTGTTGTGAGTGTTGGCGGGGCTCGCCTCGCACTTGGCGCAGAAGTCCACATCGTCACAAACAGCGCACTTGTAGCGGTCGCCAACAATGTAGGTATAGCCAGGGCGGTTGTTGTTGCACAGCGGGCCATCGCAGCATACTCCGACGTGAGTAAGAGCGCGCGGGACAGGGCAAATGTTGGCAGGCTCGAGTGGCTCGTAGATAGGGACGAAGCGATGATTGGCATGGATGAATGAAGCTGACTCGTAGCAGTTTGAGCAATAGTCCCAGTCGGGGCACTGAAGGCACTTGTGACGAACGCCGCGGATGTCCTTGTCACAGCCATCGCAGATAGCGTGGTGAAGTTGGTTGCGGCCCGGAGCGAGACGGCTCTTTACGTCCGCCTCCATACAAGTGCCTGGTACAAGAGGGGAAAAGGCGTGCTTGGGGTGATGTCCGTGGCGATTCTTGGCAAAGCAAACCTTGCAGAGATCGAAGTCGTCACATGTCTGGCAATGGACAAATTCGGCCTCGGGCAAGTCTTGAATGCAGCAGTTGCAGGTGCGCAGAGTTACCTGTGAGTAAGACTCGACGGAAGGAAGGACGCTCTCGTAGCGGGAAACGGGAGGAGAAGGGTGAGAAGATCTCCAGCTCTCAGCCTTGGCCTGAGCCAGAATCTCGTTCGTTCTCTGAAGGGCGGCCTTCTGGGACTCAGCCTGCTGGAGCATGGCCATATACTCGGCATGAGCTTCACCAAGGCGTTCCTCTGCAGCCTTGGCTTGTGCGAGTCTCTCCTGGTTGACGATGGGGGGATATGCGCGAGACATGGTGTCAACGGTAGTGATGGAGCCATTGCTAATGAAGCGCTTGGTCAGGACGTGATCATAGTGGTGGCAAGTAACACCCTTGTTGTTGTAGCAGTCAGGGCAGAGATCAAAATCGCCGTCGTCACAGATGGAGCAGTGGTAATGCTCGTAGGGGATGGTCCGGTCGCAGCTGTTGCAGCAGACGGCATAGCCGGAACGGGTCGACTCCTGGGTGCCCGTGTGCGAGAGGGCGCTGATAGGCATAGAAGCCTCACTGGCGGCACGGCCGAAGGGCAGGCGGGACTGAAGATCCTCGATACGGTCCATGGCCTTGTTGACGCGCGTGATGATGTCGGAGCGCTGAGCCTGGAGAGACTCGAAAGTTTTGCTGGGTGAGCTGGGTGTGGCGTCAGTCTCAATTGACTCGATGACCTCGGTGGTTTCTTGATACACGGGACTAGTGGGGTTTGACGCTGAAGCATCGCCCTCTGTCTCTGTGGGTTCGGCTTCGACCGAGGCCGGCTTGGGTGCCGTTGTGGTGTCCTGGTGGGCCTCGGGGGTGGAGGCCTGGGCAGGCGTCTCTGCCATGGCACGGGTAACACGCAGTTTAAGCTTCTGCTTCGCCTTGGCCGCGCGGAACAGCTGTTTGTACACCGAAGTGTTGGCGGGATCAAGTGTGAGGTATGTCCCAGCAGAATCGGAATACCGCTCGAAGATGGCGGTAGTTTCGGCGGGGATCTCCAGGTGGGCACGCAACTGGTCAAAAGGTCAGTGGACATGTCGTATATTGCAGAAAAGGGGATCATGACGTACCTTGGTCTCCAGCGAGCTAGCAGTTAGGTCGCGGAGCGGGAGCTTGAACCTACGAGTAGGCTCACCATCATATACCACCTTGAGGGTGATGAGGGTATCAGGGCCTGGTGGTGCCGCCATGATGCCGGACTGAATGATTGAAGATGGATGTGTTAGTCAAAGGTCTAGTCCAAAGGTCGGGTGCGAAGAAGGGGACAATAAGCGGGATGCAGGGACTCTTAATAAATGGTACGATAGGCGGTAAAGGTAGCGCTAAACCCGCCACAGCAACAGCACTGAATGGGCACCAGAAGGGAAGGCCATCATTTGAGCCAGCAACAGCGAGAACCGAAACAGGACAAGACCACGACGACGACAACAACAACGACAGCGAAAACGAAAACGGTGTGTATCGAAACAGAACGGAAGGTGCAGATCATTCACCGCAAAGTGCTAACTTACTGTGGTCCGTTGCTGACAGCCGCCTGATGCGGTGTTGTTGATGGTTGACGATGAAGGGATTCTGATGGGAGGGAGCCTGTTAGAGAGAGGTCCTAGGTCATTCCTCGACGTCAATCCGACACGAGTGTAGTGGACCACAACCGAGGCGGTGTCCAAAACTGCGACGGGTTGGCGAATAACGCTTGAATGTGAAAGGTCAACTTACAGTCAAATTGATGAAGCAGGCTGGAAGCTGGATTTGACGATGATTGCCGAGTTGTGATGAACGAGGCCAGAGATGAGCTCTAGCTGTGATGGTGGAAAGAGAGAAAGAGGAAGCTGGGCAGGCGAGTTTGGAGTAGTGCCGGGCTCTAATAGTAGTTGCCTCACGTTGGCGGGTGTCCGTTAGTACAGATACTGTGCTGCAGTGCGCGGTGTAAAACCGAGGACGCCTTCGATCATCGTTCAGTTCCCGTTCCGGTTAGAGGTAAGTTTGCACAGGGCAGGTACATGTCCGAGTTAACAGACGTGCGGCTCCAGGTATTAATACACTAGCAAACTGGAAGCGGTCAGTGGTAGGAGAGTACGCAAAGAGCTGTTAGAAAGACGCCTGGCTAAGCACTAACATTGTCCAGGTGCCGAGTGTGTAATGTTACACATCATTACCCGAAATACGACAACAGCCAATCAGGAGCTGGGCTTGTCTCACTGCACTGACCGTCTTCCTTCATTCTGACCAACCTCTCGAGAGCCCGCTTTCCTACGCAATCAATTTGCAATAATCATCAACGTATGCGAACATGTCAGGATCCTGGCTGTTTCTGCCTTGAGCTTCTCTGAGGGGCGAAAACACAACGATACGTCGCCATTTGGAGGGCCTGCGGGCTTGCCCGAGTTTGCCGACTGCCAAAACTGCGAGGCGGGCGAGTGATGATGGCGCCTTAATTCGCACTGAAAAGACCAAGCAAGCCGCGGTATCGTCCGTCGTCACCTGTAGAAGCCTGCAGTGCCTACATAAATGCAGATAGCGGTAGGTTGTTGAGGACTTGTAGACGGGCAGGCAGTGCTTATCGCCGCGTCACCCAAATACCGTAACCGTGCTAGTGTCAGATGACAGTCCCCCGGCAGGAGCCCCGACCCCCGACCCCTCACGTGGGGACACGCCTCGCTTCAGTCTCCGGTTAATCGGGTATCCAATGAATCCATTCAGAGATTCATTCCCCCAATTTGTTCGTTTTCCAGTTACCACGACGACCTATGAATTGGGAGCCTTTCCGTGCAAACGATCCCCGTGTCGACCGCCTCAGAGTGTGTTGGCTGGCCAACTCAATCCTCATATCCCACGTGTGACTGATCAACATGGACAACAATCCGTGACGATCTCGTCATCTCAGCAGAAACCAAACGGACAGTCGAACCTCTTTAAAAGCAGACGGATGAAAATCGACAAGCCATGGAAGAACGCCCAAACGAGAAAGAATGAGAAAACAAGGCTGCAATCACTGAAAGCGAGGAACCGCTTATGCTCACCTCGGCATATCCAAAACAAGCTGTTTCAAGCTTGGAGCCCAGAGCCTCGCCTCGAGACAAGTATCTGCATGTGCCGGTAGTTCTGCCATGCTTGTCTCCCCTCTCTGCATAAAACATCAAATATCGCAATCCTCCCGGCTCAGATACTGCAATCTTCCCGACCGTACGAAGCGACTCGGACAACTACACGACTATAGATGAACGAGGCAGCTGAAGAAGGCGAACATGGCTCACCAAAAACAACTTGCCCAATCGAGTCAAAGACTTGACTTGTGAACCCTTGAACCTACACTCTCACAATTCGTTCCACCAACATATACCTATCTCTCACACAACAGCTCATTCACGCAACACAGCAAAGAGCCTTGCCCATGCTCTACCCATTTTGCCTTTTTCAGGTAACGGCAGAGACAGCCTGACTGACAGACTGACTGCTAGAATAGAGTGCACAACAGCGCAATACAGGCCAAGGTATCGGAATCGGAAGTTCGGTTGGAGACAGGCGGACAAGGAGGACTGTAGGACAGGCAGGACGGGGCGGACAGCCTGATGTTGCCGACTGACCGAGAACCCGGAAAGGTCTCCTCGTTGGTGTGATTTCTCTCATCTTTGTGCTTGGTTGTTGTGCACTTATACATCACGGAGCAGAGGTCATCATCAACTGCACTATCACCAATTCATCCGAAATATTCATATAAAATCTTCAGTCCGTTCGTTGGTCTCAACATCAGAAGATCGTTCCTTTCTTCCCATGTCATACCTCCTTCTTTCATCTAATCCAGTCCAATCCTCCGAAGGGCACTCCCGTGATTTACCTACCTTCAACAACCACGTACCAGTAGTACCGTATAGACTCGGGAAACCGGGCTTTGGGGATATGGCAGGAGTAGGACCTGGCCTGTAGGCAAGCTGTAGGCCCCCGACCAATGGCAATGGTATTCACACTCGTGGGTGCTTTAGGCTTTGGGCTTCAGAAGAAGAGAAGGCGATCATTCTGCGATTCTCGTGTGCTTAAAATCTTCCGGAATTTGGCACGTTTTGAAACACACATCTTTCAGAGATTATACAGAGTATGATCCTCTCCCTCTCTCCGTAACCAAACTAGACTACACCCACGTAACTTCCCGCTGCCTGCTTGCTGCCGCGGAAAGGTTCCAGGCCTTCAAGCGGGAGAGCTCAAATGCACACGCACACGCACACAGTCAGCAAAACAGCAGAGTGGGTGGGTGATACAGACGGCAACTTGCAGTTCTTGCAAAAAATTCTAGCAAATCCAGCAAATCCAGCAAATCCAGCAAATCCAGCAAATCCTACATAGGAGATCCTACAACGCAGCAACATATATCATATCATTCGTAGAGAGACGGGACAAGGTTCGGACCGGGACCGTCGGTGGTCGGGTGGGATTGATGATGAGCTGAAGTAGACGGGCGGATCGCCTCCTATCGATTTTTGTTAGTTCGTACTTGTTGGATCACATTCCTCGGAGACCGTTGTGAGTAGTTCTACCGACAGTTGTTCGCCTCAGCTGTCCGTCTCGACCTTGGATTCTGGTCGTTGGGTTGGTAAATAGAGGTGGTGGCATGGTGAGTTATCAGTTTGTCTCACTATTCATCATCTTCATTTTTCACTACCTATCAACCGATTGTTCGAAATGGGAACTGGAATCCTGGACCGTACGTGTATAATAGAAGCGAAAGCCACGCGGTGATTCAATATCGATCAACCGTCTACTTTAGAACAATATATCTCCTCCCTCTATCTATCTATCGTTCTACAATTTCCTCCATAACCAAAACGTTCAAATTATTCAGAAAAACATGTCATCCCTAGGTACTTCCTGTGAACTTCCGAACCTCAAAACTTCAACCCTCACCGAGATCACCAGGGGGCAGGAAAACACATTATCATTACTACTAACTTATCACTTCTACCGCCCCACACCACTACCACCACTCTCTTCTCAGAAGCTACTCACTCACCACTCACTAAATCACCACCCACTTTACTTCTCACCAGTATCACTCAACAATAATGCCCTCCAGTTGTCAGTAGTTGCCTCACCATCATGGTTCACTTTCAACCGATTGTTCGAAATGGCAATTGGAACCGTACATATAGTCTATACTAATCGATACAAAAGAGCCACGGGGAATACCTACCTATCTGTCAAATGTTCCGTCTACTTTAGGACTTGATGTTTCTCTCTTTTCTGATCTATCATGTCACCAACTCCCTCCCTGTCTGTCCCTCCATCAATGTCATCCATACTTCCTCGTCACCTTAACCTCAAGTCACAAGCCTGCCTCACTAACATCACTAGGTAGGGGGGCAAGAAAACATTACCATTAATTACCATGAACTTACTTGGCTCACTCTTCTACCACGGTTATTTCAGAACCCACTCACTCTCTTAAGAACCCATTAAGATTTCCCCCATCAGTTATTCAGTTCACTCATCGATAATCCCCTCCAAAGCCTTCCCCAACCCTCCCTCATCATACCTAACCTCCTTCCCATCCTCCTGCACTCTCCCCTCCACCCCAACACACTTAATCCCCAACCCTTCCAACTCCCTCACATCCACTTTCGGCGCGTTCCACGTCCCCGTCCTCGCCAGTCGTCCTCCGCCTACTACTTGTTGTCCGTCGAGGTAAATCAGGTGGGTGACGTATTTCCTTAGTAACTTCCCCTCCTTGGAGGTGGCATCCAAATCGCCATCGACCTCAATGGAATCGTTGTCCTCCGTACCATGAGGGTGAGGGTGATAACTCGGGTCCGAACGTCGTGACTGCTCCCCCGCCTTCGCCACGGCCCTCACAAAATCCGTTGCCGTCATCGGCTTGCTCTTAGGTCCCGTCTCACGATCAATCGTGGCGTTCAAGACCAACACCTTCCTCACGCCACCCTCCCCATCTTCTGTCTCTTCTTCTTCTTCTTCCCCAGCCAAAGCCTCCCCAACCCCCCTCAAAACCAAACTAGGCACAATACTAGTCCACAAACTCCCAATACTGTACACCACCATTTTTGTCGCTGCAAGCGCATCGATCACCTTGGGGTTCGCGTTCGGCCAGATCTCGTGGCCGTACGGGTTGATGTACCACACCCTTTCTATTCCCGCGCTCAATTGATCGGCTTCGTCCGAATCGGATTTGCTGAAGGAAATGTTTTGGGTGCGGAGGGAGGGGAGAGAGCCGGGGAGGGAGGCGTCTTCGGTTTCGGTTTGGGAGCGGGCGCGGGTTAGCCCTGGAGGTTTGGAGGGGGGGAAAGAGGATTTGGTTGGGGTGGTGGTGGTGGTTGTGACCACCGAGGAGGAAGTAGTAGTCACGGAGGAAGAAGGGACGGTGGAGGTGGATCCAGATCCAGATGGGACGGTCAAATGCTGAGGTAATGGGAGTTTGTTGCTGCCGCCGTCATGCATAGCCATAGCCATGGCAGCGGGGTGAAAAAATGAAGGAGCGCCGTGCCCGTGTCCCCCATGCAAGAGTGGAGGGAAAGAGGGTGTTGCCAGAGAGATCTTAACGTCATCTGGCAAAGCGGTGGGAGCGCTCGGGTGGCTGATGGCTACCTGGCCCGCGATGGTCGTGCCGTCTCCGAGGCCGGCGGAGATGTGGTGCGTGAAGTTGGAGTTGATGGCGGGGAGGACGTTGACGTTGGGCGGGATGGAGCAGATCATGGAGAGCAGGTAAATGGCTGATTCGAAGGAGCCAGAGAAGATGCGGGCGCCGGTCAGGAACATGTTGCCGATGGAGGCTTCGGCGAAGTTGAAGGTGGATGTTGGTCGGGTTCGCTTGACGATCTCGAGGTTCAAGGTGTTGAGGATAGAGCGGATGAGTTCTCGTTTGGGAGAGGAGATGTAGGCCCAGAGGAGGTGGCGGGCCTCGACCATGTCAAGCCATTCAATACGGGCTTTCGAGGGGTCACCGGGGAGACGGTACTCGAAGAGCGCTTTGAGGGCGGCTTTTTCTTGGTCGTTGGAGGGGTTGGGGATGAGGCGGACCAGACGACCTGGGGTGTGTTAGTGAGAAGATACAGAGACTCCTTGGATATGATTAGAAAACTCACTCCTGATATCACCAACACCTGTATCATCATTAGCCCTCGTTCGACAGACAGAAAGGGGCTCACTCACTTGGCCCTCCAATGAACCTGATCAACTCGGACGAACTTCCTCCATTGTCACTGATGGGAATGATGTAGTTAAGTCGGCAATTCTTCTTTTCAATGATCCTGTTGAACACATCAACAAGACTGTTGGCGGCGGTGCCTTTTGAGTTGTTGCGGTTTGTTGTTAGCTCCAGTGACCAACAAGGTTCCCCATGGGAGATTGGGGGTGGAAGAACGTGGGAAAGTCTGGGGAAGTTGATGGCTGATTTCAGGCGGATATACCTCCAGAGAAGACAGTGATGCCCGTCCTTTTGTCGCTCATCTTGGATGTGTTGTATTGTTGAGGTTTTGTGTTTTATGCTTGTCTTGTTGTCGCCGTCGATGCTATGACGCAGTAACCGAATAGGCGATGGAGCTCTCTGACCGACAAAGGCCGCTTGGATGAGGTGACCTGCAAGTTCTTTGAGGGTGCAATACAGAATGCGATTCTTGAACAAGTTCAGAAGCACTCGAAAAAATCCACCTTGGTCAATTTCAAGGAGCGTGTTGCTTTATACCTTGATGTAAATGGAAGTATACGTTGCCTTCCCGTGAGTCCATCCTCAGGTGGCCCGAACCCAGCGTCCGTCCGTCCTTGAAAGCCCAAAATCCGAGCCAACACCCGAAAGACGCTGACAACACCAGCAAACGTGTCATCTTCGTATTTTAATCCCTTGATTCATGAATCACAAGTAACGTTTCCGTTGTTTTCAACATCTGAAACGGACACATATTCATAATCGTTCTTGCACAGCCATCGCCGTCATTTCGGGAGAAGGAACGGAATTGTGGGGTTGATCCGAACGCCCTGGAAATCGGGGATGGAAGTTGCAGACTTGCAGTGGACATGGAAAGTGACAACGAATTCCCAATGTGAGCCCTAACCCTGGCGAATTACCACCCCCTTTTTGTTCTAACCACGCCTTCTCTTTCAAAGAGTTGTGCTTTTGATGCGTTCATCATTGAAGCTACCATATGAGTGTTCAGTATAGCACCGCGTAAAGGTTAAATGAGCAGCGGTTTATATACACGCTATAAGATCAAGCGGACTATCGTACAAGTTGGCTAGCGAGAGACCTCTCTTCGGGAGAAGGCCATGCTCGTCGAAGGCCATGTTACGACACCTATGATTTTGACAGTTTCAGGAAAAGTCCAAGAGCATTTGGCATGAAATATGCTAACCAAAACGGGCAAAAGCCGACCAAAGTAGGCGAAAAGAGGACTCATCCGCACCAAGTTCTAACATGAAATTGGCCGTCGCCAGCAATGATGTTTTCGCACAGAAGAAATAAACAACGGAACATCACTACCAAACATGAAGCCGCTTTCCGCTTGGGAAAGAACAAAACGAATCTGCCGCCGCAGAAACCACCCAACCGACCAGATATAGACAAGTGAAAACATACATATAGTAGCCACTTGGACAAGAAAAACATACACTCCATCGTCGCAATTATCGCTCAAAGAAGTTGTAGGTAAGATGGACGTAGTCGTGCATTAATGGAGGTAATAGGTAGATAAGTTATGGTTGCTGGATTGCTTGGGATAATGATGGAGATCCTGTATCCTTCAAAGCTGACAATAGCCCCAACACTGAACGTGTGATGCCATGCTTCATTATCAGCCGTAATTCCCCATGCCCATCCACGGGGTACGACTGTGGTTACTCAGATGGCAATGCAATCGCCCGAGATTCCTCCTCTTGATAGCGCGCGATCAACCATGACCAGACAGGTATCCTCGCAGCCCTTCCCACTCATATCATCCATCCTCTTGTTGGCCCGATCAGCTATACCATACCAACATGCGTTACGCTATTGAGCATAGTATACCATCCCGGGTTGAACTGGCTGCTGATAATAGAAGGCATCTGGTCCGGGAGCCATCATGCCACCCATTCCAACAACGCCAGGAGCTCCGTAGCTCGGTCCTGCAGCTGGATACTGAGGGTATGTAACCATGGCAGGAAGCGTGTTCGGATCATAATAGTACACCATGCCATTGATTTCTTGGGCGACGGGACCTTGTTGGCCGCCGTTCTGCCCAGCCTGCGCATTTGCTGCAGTTACTGGGTCGACTTGGCCAGAAGTTGTATAGGCCATAGGCTGAGACATCTGAACTCCTGGGATAAAAGCAGGCGCCGTTGCATTCGGCTGCATATCGGTGCCCATTCCCTGAGGATAGTAGTATCCCTGCTGGGGAGGCATCATCTGTACTGGTTGGGCATAGAAGCCAGCCTGTGAGAAGTTGTTGGGCTGGAACGGAGCGGCGTGGATAGCTCGCTCGGGAATTTGCGAAAGTGGAGTCGTCGAAACCTGGGACTGATAGGATGGGTTGCGAGCATGCGACTCCAATTGAGGAGGAACTTGCTGATGGAAAGCTTGTTGATAAGCTGGAGGCACAGCGGCCGTTGGGTGCGCTGGCGTCTCAATGTTTTCAACCGACACGGACTTCTGGGGACGCGGTTGATACATGGGAATGGTGTTCCCACTGTTATCCTGGAAAGCAGGCTTTTGGGGAAGAGGATGAGTGTGCGGTTGTGGGAGGTTGTTAATGGACGGCTCTACCATGGGCATACTTTGGTTTGCGACCATGGTTGGTTGCTGCTGTGCATGTGGTGGCAGACGGACAACAGGTCTGTTGGCGTCAACAGGGAGAGGGGGGCGGGAGATTACAGAGCCTGTTGGCGACATCATAAAGTCCCTGCCAATCGATGATCGTCGACTCATAGCAATGCTAGGTGAATAGGCGCTGCCGTAGAAGCTTCCACCAAACACACTGGTCCTGCGAGAGAAGCCCCCAATGGAGCCATAAGCAGAACGCGGTCCCTTGCCACGACCGCGCTGATTGTTCGGGCGCAAGGCCCGCGGGATGAAGATGAATGATCTATCGCTAGCCGGGAAGATATAGCGGGGCATCACAGGGAAATTGTGGTATGGTATGGAGATCCTGACGGGCTTATCCCTTCGTAGAGGCGGACGATGATCGGGAAGTTTTGTGTACTGTTTCAAGGGTATGCCAGGGAAGTTTTTGGGCCCAAGGCTGCTGTTGGGGATGAAGACCCGGACGGTTACGTTGCCAAGGGTCTTGACGCAGGACATGGCCCGGTTGATATGGGTGTTGCTCAGTGGCGCGTTGTGTATGACGCCGTTTCCGTTCGGAGGGCCTTCATCGTTAGGTATATACCTGGGTGGCTGCTGTCGCTGAGGGCGAGGGGCGGCGACCTCTTCGTGCATATCGTGAGCCCACTGGCCGCTCGTCGTGGGATCGGAGGGGTTGTTAGGAGGGCTGCAGCAGCGGTCAGTATGCGAGTATCAAAAGATATGCACAAGTATCTTGGCCAGCTTACTTTACAGAAGTGAAGGGACCCACAAGCCCACCACCTCGTCCACCACCCCTTCCACGGCCCGGTCGAGTAAATGGGCGGAAGCCGTTCGCGGCAGGTCCAGCATGTCGATGATCGTGTAAGAAGAAAGCACCCCGGTTGGGCACAAAGGTTGGGTCTTCGTCCCTCTTCCGCCGGTATTCTTCATGTTCCGACCGCCGTTTCTGTTCGTGTGGGAGGACGCGCGACTGCTTTGCGACAGAGTTCGAGCTCACGACGACAGGCGCCGCGGGGTCCTTAACAGTAGGGCCTTTCTCAGAATGGTCATCATGCTGAACTTGATCGAAGTCGACTTCCTCAACCTCGCCATCCCTGTCGGCTAGTGACAGTCCATGTAGCATGATTTCCGTATCCGTCACGGTTGGCTTCTCGCCAGACTTGTTGACAGCTGTGTCGCTCGCACGGCGTCTCGTTCCAGCTTTTGCGGCGCCATTGCCGACGTGCTTGTGAAGTTTGGGGGAGGAGGGTGAAACCTCATCGACGTTGCTAGTATCGCTGTCGTTATCAGCGAGGTCGTGGTCATCGCTTGCGATGGAGGCTTCTGTCACCGAGTCGTCGTCGAGGTCCAAGGTGTCAGGGCCCTCCTCTTCACCCTCGTCCTCAACCCTGCGACGTTGACCGATGGCCTTTCTGCGTCTGGGCGCGGAAGCCATTGTTTCTATTTGGAGGTGACCGAGGTGGGGAGAGAAAGGATATATGGATGATCGCGTTGGGGCTGTTCAGCCGATGGAAGGGGGCCAGGAAGCTTCGACGGTGGTAATGTTGTCGGTGATCGGCAAGCTCATGCGTTGGTGGACCAGACGACGTCAGGACAGGGAGGCCCAGTCGGATGGACTATTTCTAGCGTTGTGGTGTGGTGGTCCTCTCCTCGGGAGAAGATGTTGAAAGAACGGGTTGGGATCTGTGTCCGTAACCGCCCTGCGGTGCAGAAAGATGTGTCGAGGTTTGTGACGGCCGTCGTCCAAAGTCGAGTCCGAAGCTCGCAGGGAGGGCAACCTTGAATCCCTCGGCGGGCGGGTTTGTTTGGGTTGGGGCAAGGATATTAAAAAAAGGTCGGGGGTCAGAAACAAAGCCGGGCTGGAATGTTGGCTGGGCAGGGGAAAGAAAAAGAGGTTACAGAAGATGCGGGCGGACTTGATGTCGAGGACTGAAAATAACCAAAAGGATGGACGATAGAAAGAGTCGGAATTACGCAGCAAGCCCAAGCAGGTGTTGAACTTGTGAAGTGCCCCCCTCTCGGTCGTTATTTACGAGGAGCACCTCCTACACGTAGCTGGCGGGCGGGCGGTAGGAGCAATACTGGGCGGAAAACCTGGGCAGAATCGCAGCCAAGTGGAAAGGTTGGGGCCTGGAAGCTCGCCAGACACCCGGACCGCCCAAGGAAGGCCTGGAATCGGAAGGCGCGGGGAGCCTGGGGACCTGACGCTCTGTAGTGGGTCTTGCCGCCCGCTTCTGGGCTCGTCAACCTCGAGTTACCTCTTAAGATGTGATCGCAACCATATCTAGAAGCATTGGAGGTTTTGATGTAAGCTTGTGCTTGAGTATGGTAACCAGCTTCTTTGGAGATGAAGGACGGTCAATGATTGATTGTCAAAGTCATCCCGTTGAGACCAGTTCGCTGCCTGTTGATCTCGGGCTGGCACTCCCCTTGCCGGCCGGGGCCTCACTCACTGGGCTGATCCACTTGCCCCCCAGCTCTAGCAGCTTCCCTGGAGCTAAAGCCACTGGGCGGCTCGTGCGCTGGTCCCCCTACAACTCCACAACTGACCTCTTCGTCGTCCGTTGTGTCAGTCCATCAACTGGTTCACTCATTACAGAGCAGAGCCCAAGCACGACAGACGCACGCCAACAAAAAAGCACGATGATGCACGCATCTTTTCGTCCACTTGTTGACCAATCCTTCGTCAAGAAACCCGGCCAATCAATAGGCTCTCGGGATCGGTTCCCGAGATGAGGGACCGTGTCTCGTCATGGTCCATGGTCATGCCTTTTCCTTCCGGAGTGCTTCTCCTTCTCCTTTCTCCTGTTCTCCCTTCCTTATCGTTGCATTCCGTTATCGCTACCTCTACATACATTGGGCATCTCTTCATCTCAACTGAACGTCGGGTCGTACAACAGTACACTGAAGATGGGGCTTCCCCTCTCTCGTTCATGGTCCTTGGGCAGCGGGGCAGTTAGATTTGTTGACCTTAGCGGTCATGAACCTGATACCTCTTTCATCCACCGTATCGATATGATGTTTCTATGTACCAGCTTCCCAACCTTAACCTGAGCTCTCACAGAAAAAGAGCTCACGCATCCCAGGTTCTTCCCAGCACCAAGCCCACACTAAGAGCTCGTCGACGTCAAGTTGAAGCTCAGAATTACGTATGTGCCCAAGAGTCCCAAGACACACACCAACAAGCCAACTGAGCCGCGAGTCACTCGGGCCTCTCGTCAAGAGATAGGATTGATCACTCTCAGCTCGTCCCAGTTCGAGCCCCTAAACTAACATGAATCTTGAAGCAACCATACACAAGTTGAGCAGCCGAGGGAAATTGGAGCCTCGCTGAGCAAAGCTTGGGCGAACCTGTTATGGCGCACACACATCCAGATGGACTAGTTTTCCTCCTTGAAACCCAAGTCCTTTACAATGATAAGCTTGGGGAGCTGTACTCATCCGTGTCTAAATATCGTAAAATGAGCTTTAATCCCTGCCGAGGACTACTTCTTCACCTTCTTCATTTTGCTCTGCACGACATAGACAGTTCTGGAATAGGCAGGCTATTGGTATGCAATGGGCCGTTAACCATTAGCTTATTTTCGCGAGAGCAAATTAGGAGCGTATACGTGTGTACATTCCCTAGGAACTGTATATGGGTGAAGGATACTTGCAGCATCTCACGTAGTATCTAGTTGAGATCGATATGATCTTTGCTCGTAAGGCTTACATAGATACATAAAAGGGTTGAGATACAGAGCTAGAAACTTAAGAAGATCCCCTTGCCTGTCATTCTTGTTATGTATAGGAGTCACACATCCACATGTAGGTTCTGTTGGTGGTGATTTTGGCGTTCCTATTTGAGCCCAGTGAGGAGCAAAGACTTCATCTTTCTTAGAGCTTGTGTCTCTTTCTACTTCAAAACTCTTCGTCGAAAAACAACCTGGATAAGACACGAGGCTGTCACATTCTTTGGACCCTTCATTACAGGCTTGCCGAGATCACAAATGTCACGTCCGAAGAGGCTCTGTCAATCATGAGTATCGACATCGCTTTGGATTACTTGCACCTCAAGGAGATGTAGTGAATTTGATGAATGGGAACAGTTTAACATCGGTTTCCTAATCAGCAATTGACTGACCAAGCCATGACAGTGGTGCATACGGCGAGTAACCGGGGAGAGGCTTGTCACAGGGTCGCTTCAGCCTCATCACCTCTCCATCATCTACCTCACTTTTATCATATCGGTTACGGATTTGTACCTCTATTAGTTCCTGGTATTAGGTTGGTATACACTATTGCACAGAACATAAGCACAACCAAGGGTCTATCTGCTCTTTCCATAATACGATCAATTGAAGCATAAGAGTTGAGATTTGGACGAGTAACTACCTACTCATCTCGGAGGTGCTCAAGGCAACACACTTCCTCCACTGTCAAGCCACTATTTCCATATGCGATACAGTAAAGACATCGACAGGACTGACTTCTTCCTCCTAACGAGCGTCACGCAGACCATAAACATTTCGGCCTCTCTCACAGCTTACAGCATCTGCAGATTCGCCACTGCATCCCTGACTTGCTCCAGAGAGGGCAAGAGGTAGACCTCGCCAATTGGGGCTGCGGGTTCAGGTGAAGGTGAGCTGGCCTCAGTTGATGACTCGGTAGTAGGGAACACGGTGTGTTGGTTCACCTCAATCTTGGGTACAGCTCCAAAGCGGTTGTTGCCCTGGTCCCAGATCTGCCCATCGCGTCAGCAACAGTTTCACTCCCTCGGAGATGTGTGAACTTACAGCGTAGATGGACTTGAGGAATATATCACCCAAAATATCGAAAGGCATAGTACCCCTCGACTGCACACCACCGTACCAATGGTCATTGTCGGCCGGTGCCAGCAACAGATCCTCCTTCTGAATAATAAACTGACTCCCACCAACCGCGACACTCAGCTGAGGGAGCTGATCAGTTGTGATTGTGCTCGGGATGAGGTAACCTTGGTATTGGTAGCTGTACTTTGAGCCTGGGATCTTTGCGTAGAGTGCTTTGCAAACCGTGTCTGAGACGAGCGCCAGTGTGGTGCCAGTATCAGCAATTGCGGTGTTTCCACTCACAGAAACATTCTCGCCGTCGACTGTAGCGCTCTCACTGGGAAACTTCCAGAAACCCTCCGAGTTGTCGATGGGCGTCCACGCGATGTCTATTCCGGAAGCTTTGACGAGATCCTCATCGACCCAGCCGAAGGTGTAGAAGGATTTCTCCTCCGACTTATCATCACGAGCACTGTAGAAGGCGGATGTGAACAGCTCAGCCTCCTTGGGGATGTCCTCCTGGCTGATCATGTTCTCGACCGGTGTGGGCTGTGGATCCGGTTTGCCGTCGCTCTCGATGGTGTTGATCTTGGAGAAGGCAAGTCCAAGAAGACCGTCAGCTTCGCCGCTGGAGAAGGCACTGGACACCTTCTTGGCAAGTTCGATGGCTTGGTTCTTGACCTGAAGCCCACCGACGGTAATGACGTCCGTACCGACGGTGCCTGAGGCAGTGCTTCCATCGCCATACTGGATCTTCCAGGTCTGATCGGTCTTGCTCTCCTGGAAGGTGTCCGACTTTTTCGGGTCGAACTTCTTGTCGGCGTGATGAAGAAGGGATGAATCTCTGCACCGGACCTTGGAAGAAAGTAGTCAGTATTATGCCAAAAGAGAAAGGGAAAAGGTTGAGTACTCACCCAAAGATCAGCGGATCCCGTGTCAAAGTCAAGCTTGACCTTCTGTGGCGGGGTGCCAATGCCAATCTCACAGAGATACTGAGTGTCGTACTGCTGATCCTCGGCAGGTACAGGCTCGTTCTCTGTGTGAGGATCGTCCGGACGTTCCTGGGGTGCCCTGACCAGCTGCTCCCAGTGACGAGTGTAGCCGCGGCGTTGGAACTCCTTGGTGAGATCGGTCTTCTTCAAGTGGAAGAATCTGGATTCCTCGGTGGGGTTGAAGCCGTAGCGAGCCATTGCACTGACGTAAGCCTTGGTGCCATTGAGTTCACGACCGGACTTGCGAACAGCCTGAATCTTGTGGAGGCCAAGGTCCTGACGGAGCTTGGACTGGACTTGGTACATAGAACCCATGGTGACTGATGATTCCTTTCTGAAAAAGGGCATACACTGAGGGGGGTCGAATATGTGAGGTTTGAGGGGATGAGATGTATCTCTCGAGCGAACAGTTGAAAGCGTGTGCGAGAAGACGGTAGGCGATCTGTATGTTGATGGACAAAGGTAGTAGGATTGTGGTGGAAAACAATCCAAGTTCCAAGGTGGGAGAGTTGATGGGGGTTATTATAATGTTAGGGACTGCCGGGAACCACAGTTCCCCCCACGAAATGACTTACCGCAGGAATCACGACGAACTGCCGGAGAAAGAGCAATGGGTTCCCCGAAAGGAGTCACAATGGCATCGCTTCCTGGTTTGAACGAGATGAGTTCGTGACCCCCTTGCAGCAAGAGGCAGCGAGTCCGTTGAGGCAGGCAGAATCTCGGCCGCCCTGCGAGTACGGCCGTTCACCTCACGTAGATGTTTAGTGACTGCCCTGTCTATTCTACCCTGTTGCCTCAAATAGAACGGATTGCGTGATGAGGGATGGCTGAGTGACACGTCCACCCGCAAGCCTTGTCCATCATAGGTAGGCACGATCTGTCCCATGTGGAACTGAGCTTTCGTCATTGTCACCGCCATTGATCTCGTGCTACTGAAAGCGGCCGGAAGGACTCCCGTGAACAGGTGTGACTGATAACCTTGGGTCCCTCCAAAGGCTCATGAGAAGGAGCTGGTTCCTGGCCAGGGTAGCGCTTCGTGACGCGTGCATGCTTCTGTTTGAAGTTTCTGGGTGAAACGACAACGACTGCCTCGTGATGTTCGCGAAAGTGAAGGTTCGAAGCCTAATGGAGAAGGAACTGAAGACCTGAGTCACCGGATTGCTGATAGGCAAAAGTTGACCTTATCTCGAGATTCGGGAATCGGGGGCACTTCTCAGTCGAGGAAGGCACGTCTGTTGTTCCAAAGCCCTTCACCAATGGAACCGTGAGTCCGTGACCCCTTCCTCGAGTACTTCTGGACCGCACCTTCCCTCTCAATGTCAGACAATCTTCCTTCATGACCTTCCCCGCTTGTATGATTTCGGAGAAGACGTCGTTCTCCGACTCGTGTCCGAGTTCGATAGAGGTGCCCCTGGGGCTTCGGATGTGTTCAGCCTGCCTGCAGTCTTGTCCGGTGATCATCAGAAATCGGAGAGTTTGTAAGGTTTGAAAGGGAATATGGAGCTATCAACCCAAACAACTCGGGGCTAATCAACCCACAAGATGCTTGAAGCGAGAAACATGCGGAAACGGACAAGTCGTTGAATCCTCATGTAATCGGATTCCCGTCTTCAGTATCACTCAACTCACGAGTGCTCGTGTCGATTGTCCACTGTTTGTTCACCCCTTTCCTAGTGCCTATTTTTGTTGCCATGGTAACGGCGACTGTGAAGTGCCCGAGGTCCGCTGTTGACATGCCCCCATTACACGAGGTGAAGCATTGATAAGTATAGGCGCGCACTGATCAAGGCTTTACTGTCAGCATCCTTTCCTTGGTGCCTTTTGGATGAGACGCGCGGTTAGTTGGTAGCATCGTGGTGGATAGCAACCCTCGTCGTCGACGGTCGATTCGACACATGGGTGAAACACGGCGATTGATGAGGTGACGACGCTGATAGAATGGCCAGCCAGGCACGACCCAGCGAGGCGCCGCAGCGGCACAGGGCGGGGACAGGTTCGGGCAGTTCCGGGGTTGATTGACAGGTCCCCAAACCCCGCTGGGATAACCTAACTCCGTACTTACCTTCCTATGGTGACGGGTATGATGAGGACGGACTTGCTCTTCCAATCCTCGGGCACCTTCTCGTTCCTTCCCGTCTGGCGATTGTGCCTCCTGCTGTGTCTGCTCTTCTTCTTCTCAATCAACTTCACCAGGAAGGAAACGTGGAAGGATGTCGACTTGTCATTTCCTTTCTCCAAGATGGAGCACATGGTGCTCACCAACAAGCTGCGAATAGTGGCATCCGTTTGGGGCTCAGCTCTCCAGTGGAACGCCTGGAGCCCTGAACATGCTCCCAAGCGACACGTGTGGAGCCGCTGATGTGGGCTGGAACCGATCAACACCATTTTAGCGGGCTTGGGGGGATCCCTGTGCATTTCCAGGGGACGCAAATCGGCAGTGCCTGTTTCCGCCGATATGGACAGGGCACTGGGCTTGTTGATGGCGTCGCTAAAACATGGCCAGTGACTTCATACCCACTCAGTCGCAAGTTGTTGCCATTCATAGCCATATTTAATGGCCTTGTTTCCTCCGTCCCGTGGCTGAGCCCATTCGTTTTGTTTGGTCAAGAAAACGTGCGCAAGCGTCACAGTTCCCTTTCTTTGCCTCTCGCAGCGGCCGCCCCAAGCAGGTCCCCTACTCCCGTCTGTAGTCTGTACTCCCGTCCCGCTGGTTGAGGTATCTTGATCGACATTGGTCGAGATTAAAGTTTTGGAAACTTCAACCCAACCAACACCAACTTCAACCCTCGAGACGAACGACTGCTTTATTACCTCTACAACTATCTACATCCACTTCGAGCAAACGAATTTTCGAAGCGCATATTGTCGTAATCATCATCAACAACCACGTCAGCCATGGCGCTTCCAACAGATCAACCGCCTGCGAATCCCATGTTCGCTACCTCGAACTCGTCGCGCCCAACGGCCGCTGAGAAGGCGAATCCTAGCGCACCAGTAGAACCCTCACAGACCTCATCACCACCACCAAGCTTTGTCCCGTCTCGCAAATCGGTTTCGCCTTCGCATCAAGACGGCCCTCGCTTGTCAACAGGTGAAAATGGCGTCGCCGCGCTGGACTTTCAGGGCTCTGTTGATAGCAACAACGACCTACCAAGCCTGGCGACCATAAAGAAGATCGAAAACTACCATGTCCTCGATCGCGATGGCAAGTCGCACACCTTCCGGAGTCTCTACACTGGCAAGCACGTTGCCCGCCGAGTCCTCATCATCTTTGTCCGCCACTTCTTCTGCGGTGTAAGTTCATGGACCTGGACCCCTCATGACAAACATCAGCTAACACCCCCTCTCGCGAACCAGCAATGCCAAGAATACCTCCGCACCCTCTCTGCCTCCATAACCCCCGACGCCCTCCTCCGTCTTCCACTCTCGACATTCATCGCCGTTGTCGGCTGCGGCGACCCACAGCTCATCAACATGTACGCCCAAGCGACCAACTGCCCGTTCCCCATTTACGCCGATCCCACACGCAAGTTATACCAGGAGCTCGGCATGGTGCGCACCCTCGCGCTGGGCGAGAAGCCCGCCTACATAACCAAGAACCTGGTCAAATCCTCGTTGGGTTCGATCATCACAGGTATCAAACAGATCCCCAAGGGGCTAGCCAACAAAGCGGGAGACTTTAAGCAGATTGGCGGCGAGTTCTTGTTCGAGCCGGTGGACATTCAGAGTCCCGTCAACGCCGTACAATGGGAGGACATGGAAAGAACCCTGGAAAGGGCAACAAGGGAGAACAATGAAGCGGCTGCTGCTGCTGCTGCTACCGAGAGGAAGAGGGACAGTTCCGACTCACGGCTAGAACCAGACTCTGACGACAAGGAGACCGGTGTAGGTAGCAACAGCAAGGGGACAATAAAGAAGGAGAAAAAGATCTTCGGCGGTCAAGGACACCGTCCGTCGGAAGCCAGCATCGATGGCAAGAACGAAGAGGACGAGGGCGAGGAGAAGAGAGTGACGTGGTGTCACCGCATGAAGACGACGAGAGATCATGTCGAGATTCCTGAGCTTATGGAGGTGCTGGGGCTTGATGGGCAAGGGGAACCCATCAAGGACTCCAGGAGGTGGACCAAGGCGCTGGAAACAAGAAAGGGAACAGGGTTTAGCATGGCGGGTAGGATGAATACTATGAAGGCGGAGGCGGGGGCTTAGGAAGGCTTTATGTGCTCGCCGTTTGGAAGAAAAGGGAGTAAAAAGAAGACGAGGGAGGGTTCGACATCATCGGGGATGACGGGACGATGATGAGAAAGGAATTGGTATAGGATCAGGATCCTTACAAAGGCAGGAGAAAGGGTAGCAAGCGGGTGAAGAAGCCTAGTTGACTTTGGCATGGTGCATGGTTGTTTTTATTCTCTTGGCTTAACTATTCCCACACGGCATGGCGGCTGTTTTTATGCTCAATTCAGTTTATAAGCATGTTATTTGAATCAGATTGATACATCCCCGTTTACGTTCATGGGTACTTGCTCGATCGACTGTTCGTTTCCGTTCTGCTTTGGTCATTATCGAACCATTGCCGCATTGGCTTCCTTCATGCTCAGGGGTTGTCGGGTGTGGACAGGCGGCCTGACACTCGCCCGCAAGCGGTTCCTCTTCTTTCTCTTCCAAATGCTTGTTGGCTCGATGGGTCGATGTGGTTTCCAAGCCACAGAAGTATACTTGGCTGGATTTCGTCTAGTCTAGCCGTGTCTAGAAACCCGCCACCACCGGTTGGTGTTTCTTCCCACATACCGCCTAGCCTACCGGAAGTGTCACTATTGTCACACGAGGTCAAACGTTCCTGGCTGAGACAAACCGTCGGAATAGATTTCGTGCTACGCCAGATACTCTACCTCAGGATCTTCACCCCGCTTCTTGGGTTCCGGTTTATTCACTCACCTCCCCGTTGGTCTAGACTCCGTAACTCCGCTACTTTTTGTCCTGAATCTTCTTCCAAGTCCGGAAAGGGACATTCATGCTCCGTATGGAGGGAACCGGATTCAGGAGCGACCTATCATGAGCATTGCTTTTGTAACTTGGACCAAGTTACTTGGTCCCAGACGCATGGAGCATTGTCGCTGGACTTCAGAAATCTCGTCGTTTTAAGGTAGGTTCTGGGTGTTGATCAACGTGCCAACGCCCCTGTCTGCAGAGGATTTATCCTGTCCTTCCTTCACTCTGTGATAGTTCCTGAACCGAAGAGGCACATACAAAGACATTCTACGGACGTAAAATCCCTACTCATCTAGTCCCTGTTGACGTGCTGTCTTCTGTCTCGGCTGCGTACGCGACCGCCATTGCCACCGCCCTACGTCGTTTATCCGATTCACTTTTTTAGATGCGGTGCTTTTCACTTCTTTCTTGATTCAACCGGCCAACCTTGTTCCGGACGTTGGGTTGGGTACCCACGCAGCTTACACAGGCAAAGAAAGGGCCTGGAGCCTGACAGAATAGCTTCCGGTATATTACGAACAAGGTTTGTCAGTTGAGCTACCTACTTGCCTCATCAGACTCGGAATGGAAGATCAAGTATTAACTGTGCCGTGAGGTGAGATTCCGCGCGCCGGTTTGAAACTGGCTGAGACTCGGAGATGTCGTGGGACTGTTGACGGACGGAGACCAGCCGAGCTGTCGTGGGGGTTGGTTTGACTTAAAAGGTTGTTGAGGAGAGTTAGCCCAGACAGGAAGACGCAGTTGTACGTTTTGATGCGGTTGACAATGGCTTAGCCTGGATGTGACTAACTTCGTTATTGAAAGCCTGGTTTTAGATGAGACATGCTTCTCTGCGGTAAGGTGTCACATAGATGTTGTAGTGGAGGTAAAAGCAAGCGAAGGCCATTGACCGGCTGGATCGAAGACGGAAGTTTGACCTTCGTACGTTACGTGCATGTAAGCAAGGCATTGGACGACGAGCCCAGGATATCTGAGCCAGAGGTGTATGTACTGGACGTGAGCACAGGTAGGTACAGAAGGCTGATGATGAGGAGCGAAGAAGCTATCCTGGTAGGATCAGAGACTGACATCCAGGGATCTAATGATGAATTGTGTCAGGGGCGGTCCAATAATCCCTAAAAGCCATCGAAGCCTCGGGTTCATGGCAACCTGTCAGTCGTTTACCTCCTTTTTCAATTCGTACCTTACCAGAGGCGAGACACCCAAACGTCCACTTGAAACTCAACCTTGCTTAACAACCAGCAAGCTGAACGACGACTCAAGGCCAAGATGATAACTCACGAATCGTAAAACCTCAACTCAAGATTTAGACACAACAACTCACCAGACGATACCCTCCTTACATACCACCTCCAAGATGTCCACCTTTACCCCTTCCCCCTCATGTCTTGCTTCTCCTTCTCTTCCCTCAACAACCGGCCTCGGCATCCGCCTCTCCTTTTACCTCCTCTGGTTTGGTCTAATCCCCGCCACTCTCGTTCGATCCACCTCTCCGGCGCCATATACCGTGTTGCGGGCCGCACATGCGATTCTCTGTTATGCCGTCTTCATTGGGCTCGCTATGAAAGCAGCCTCTCCTAGTTCAGATAATGTATTCGGGGCGGTGGAGGTATACATCGCTACCCTGTTAGTCAGCGGGACGGCTTACCTCATGTTGGGAGTGGTGTTCTGGACTGGGGTTAGGAGGTGTCTAAGTCCTGGTTCTGGTTCTGGGACGGGGGAGGAGAAGGGGAGGGGGAGAGGTGGTAAAAAGAAGGGTACTAGTAGGAACAACAAAGGAGGGAAGGAGAGGGAGTCCGGGTGTGATTTGCTGGCTATCATGGAGTTTATTCTTTTGCTAATGGCCTGCGGGTTTCAGTTATGGTTTTGGTGTTCGGGGGTTGTTGGACTAGCAGCCAAAAGAAAAGACGAGAAGCTCTGTGGGGAACAATATGGGTTCTTGTTTGCCAAAGCGGACTTGGATAGTGTCGGGTTCAGAGCGTTCAATATTGCGGTGGTGTTGATAGTGTTGGTGGGTGGGATGGTGATGGGTGTGAGGAGTTTGAGTGGTGGCGGAGGAGGCGATGAGAAAAAGAGAAGGAAGAAAAGGGGGAAGAGAGATGAGTACGATGTTTCCCCCCACTCTCGTTCAATATACCAAGCTTGCTAACCTGTATCCGATAAGTCCCTCTAGCAGCTCAACCCTGTCCCACCAACTCCAACTCCTCTTCAACCTCCTCATCGCCACCACCGTCCTCGTAGCCATCGAGCTTTCCATCCACTGGAACCGTGTCTCGTCCGAAGTCAACAAAATCAACAGCGCCTCACAACTAATCCCGCTCCTGTTCTGCCTCGTCCTCATCGCAGCTTGTATCGTCGACTGGTTTTCAGCAGCACCCGACAGTGGCCGCAGAGGCAGCCGTTCCAGCCGGAGCAGAGGCCGAGGAAGCCGTACCAGCGGGAGCGGGAGCGGCAGCGGTGGTAGCGGCAGTGGCGGAAGCAGAAGGAATAGAAAGGAATCCCGTCGTCCTTCACACTCTTCTGCGAGCAGTACTAGCAAATCAAGTCCGGGACCGCCGCGACCGAGTAATATCTTTCCTCCAGCACCGCCTCCTCCAGCAGCCCCACCGGGAGGATTCCGGCCTCCTCCGATGCCACCGATGCCGGGTATGCCACCACCACCTCCATTTCCTCCATTTCCTGGTGCAGGGCCTCCGGGCCCTCTTCCGCCACCAATGTTCGGCGGCGGCGCACCCGGAACACGCACAGCGAGCGCAAGTGGCAGTCGCTCAGACAGGGGGGGCTCCGACCAGCATTCTGAGCATGGTTCCGGCTCCGACCGATCGTACCACTCCCATTCGGAACACGAAGAGGGACACAGCGAAGAAGAAGAAGAAGGTGATTACCACCCAGACAGCATCGACGAGGAAGAACGCGGTGGTGATGGTTCCGCGCCTCCACCACCTGCACCTGCACCGCCCGGTGCCTTCCCCTTCCCACCACAACCACCACCACCAGCACAGTTCCCAGGCGCACCTCCTCCCCTACCGCCCGGCTTCGCCCCCCCGGGAGGAGGAGGAGGAGGAGGAAGAGGAGGAGGAGCAGGGGCTCCGCCTCCCAGTATGATGGGGAGAGGAAGCGGTAGTGGGCCGCCGGCTTTCTTCCCTTTTGCTCCTCCGGGCGGGGGAGCAGGGAGGGGAATTATGATTCCTCCGCCGCCTCCGCCGGCGTTTGGCCCTGGTTAGAGTTAAGATTATTCTCGATGATTTCACGACATAATGATAGATCACATGTTTAGCGTACATAGCGAAGTTTTGAATGTTTTGTGTTAATGTATTTGTACATTCATTAGGCTGACTGCCCTGTTCTCAGAGGCGTGTCCTAGCCATGTCATATCCCAAATTATGTCGTGCGTTCGTGACCGTAATTTCCTTAAATCCCAACAAACGCCGAGTGTGATGATGATGTCCACCGGCGGTGTCCGTGAATCCTCCCAGAGTGATCACATCATCATAATGCTATTCCGAACATAAACTTCTGTTCCTCCCAGTGGTGCTGTACTCCCACTCCCATTCCAAATGCTTCTGCTACTAATGTCTTTACGAAGACTTGTCCTTCTGCCCCTTGCCAACGTACTGCGCCTCGCCCTTGCCAACCTTGGAAAAGTCGATATTGGCGGGGTCCGTAGAGGCGGGCTCGCGGAGACCAGCGGAGACGCCCTCGCCTTGGGAAACATCGCCAGAGAAGCGGCCGCTGCCGACGTTGACGGTGCGGGCATCGGCGGATTGCCAGTCGGAGGGGGCGGGGGGCTGCTCGGGGAGGGGAAGGTTCTGCTTGACCTCCTCGATCTTGTCGGCCTTGGACTGGGTGGACATTTCTGGGTGGGTGTTGGTGTGTGTTTGACTTGATATGTGAGGGTAGTCGAGAAGGAGGAAACCTACTGATGGTGATTTTCTGTTTAGGCGGGTTTTGCGCTTGGGTGTTTTCGCTTGATTGTGATTGTTGATGTGTTCTGATCTGTCAAAAGAAGTCCTGAAAAGCGATCAACTGGTTGCTTATATGCCTCTTCAGCTGTTTCTTGCAAACAGAGCAGTCTATGATGACTTCAATGATCGCTTCAATCGAATATCAACATGACGTCAGTGACGTCAGTCGCAGCCCACAGTGGAGATGTTGGTCCCCACCGCTTAAGGTAAGGCTCGCTGCCGCTGTGGGGCTTTCTTTTTGGCAGCGGCCCCGATTCCCCGAGTAATTGAGCGCGATGGTTGCAAATGACCAAGTTCAATAGGATGGCAATGATGAGGGAGATTGAGTGCAATGAGGAGGATTGAAAGCGATAAGGGGGATTGAAAGTGATAAGAGGGATTGGGTACGATAAGTTGAATTGAGTGCGATGAGGTAGATTTAGTAAGCTCAGCGCTTCTATACTTAGCTAGAGGTATCGCTTCCAATCCCTCTTATCGCTCCCAATCTCTCTTATCGCTCTCAATCCCCCTCGTCGCATTCAATCCTCCTCATTACCATTGAACTTGGCCATTTGCATCGCATTGCACTCGTCGCATTGCACTCAATCCGTTGCAATTGATTGGATGCATCCAGATCAGCGCACGGACTCACCCTATTACACCTCATTGGTGGGACTTGGTCATTTGGGGGCCGTTCCCAACCAACCCTTCGGGAGACTAGACCCCCGCAACCCCATGGGGCATTCCCCGCCTCTCTCCACTTCCTACCCGCATTATTGCAACGCTATTACTCAACTATAGAACCACGGCAATGGAATTTCAGAACTATTTGATTCCAAGTGCAACCTCTCAGCTTCGCTTACCGTCGTCTACCGTGCTGCTTATGTGGATTCTCGGCCCTTATTCGGTCCTTGGCTGTGCCTCCAACCACTCGGGACTACTTAGTTTGACGACCATCTCGTGATGATCGCTCCTCTTTACCCCGATTTCGGTGCGGCTACAGAGTACCAGAAGAGGCAGTCGACATGAAATCCCTTCGTCACAAGTCGCGGCCTAGGTACTTCGTCGTATAGATCCCGTTTTAAGAACCCACCGATGAATGAGAATGTGTATTGACCAAGAAGTGCGGCCAAAGTGATTCCGACTTTTCACCAAAGCAGAGGAGATACATCGGGTGTCACGAAGAGAGGGACATACACGTACCTCCTACAACACCACTAGAACCAAATCCCATGAAACTTAACACCGGTTTGGTAAGCAGCGCGGGAGCAGCGACTACCGTTAGTCCGCCGGCTGTGAGACCGAGAGCTGCAGGATGTCAAGAGACGCCGAGACGGAGACACTTCGGGGTAAGGTGCGGTGTCACGGGCCGACACCGGGCCATCAAGCCAATCGGCGTCCGCGCCAACACTGACCAGGGCATGTTAGTCGTGACTTGGGATTCCCGATTAGGAGAGCTAGTGCCAGGCTTATAGGAAGCTAGGGTGTTTGAGGGTTAGCCGACGGGCAACGCCGCGCACAACGTGGTTTGACAAGTTGGGATTAGAGTTGGGATAAGTTTTTTGCCGGGTTGTTGTCCGTCTTGTTGTCTGTTGCTTCCCCATGGGGGACAGGGGGGGCAGCTCCTCTTAAAGTGAAGCTCATATAAGATCGTCTGTCGTACTTCCTCTTTCCTTATTGCCAACCCTCCTCAGCAGCTTTCTCCCATCTTCTACAGAGTCTTGTTCAACATGACGAAAACCATACCATACAAGAACGTGCTTCTCGGCTTGTTGTCATTAGCCTCGGTTCTCCCTGATGGTACTACGGCTGCCGTACTGCCTCGTACCGCAGGTTGTGGTTGCCACAGTAACCATCACCCAGGCCCCGAGAACCCGAGCTTCGAAACTGGCGATTTGTCGGGCTGGACAGTCGTTAGTGGAACAGCCTTTGGCAATGCCTCTGTCACCACAACAGCCTCGTACAAGAGCGGTTCGTTCAACCAAGTCGGCCCGCTCAACCAAGTCGGCAAGCAGTTCCTCTGGGGAATGCTGCAAGATGGCGACGCAGCCGTTGGAACACTCCGCTCCAGCACGTTCCGGGCAAGCTCCACGATGAGTTTCTTGGTCGGCGGCGGCTATGATCCCGCCAATCTCTACGTGGGAGTTGTCCTGGAGAGAGACGGCACTCTCCTGTTCAGCCAGACTGCAACCAACGACGAGGCGCTCATTCGCATTGTCTGGGACACCAGTGCTTATGCCGGTCAGAACGTTTACATGGTTGTGGTCGATACCAGCACGCAGGGCCACATCAATTTGGACGACGTTCGAACTGGCTGCCACGCCCTCCACGACGGCGGACTCTCTTTCAACGCCCTTGGACAGCACAATCAGCCCCCTCAGAACTCCACCGCTCTCTCAGCTGCTTCACTCTATGCTCTTGACCCGATTCGTCCGCAATTCCACTACACTCCCTACCAGGGCTGGATCAACGACCCGGCTGGACTGATTCAGTGGGGCGGCAAATATCATCTCTTCAACCAGTTCAACCCCGTTGCCCCTCTCTGGGGTCCGATGCACTGGTCGCACGCCGAAAGCACCGATGCCGTACACTGGAGGGAGCTACCGGTTGCCTTGTACCCGCCATACCCCGATAACCCGCAGGATACCAGTGGGCGCTACACCGGCAGCGCAGTCTTGAACAAAGACACGGGTGCTCTGCAACTCATCTACACCGACGCCACTAACGTAATATGGCACCCCAAGGCCGTAGCGGAAGTCGTCTCATCAGCAGTGAGCTCCGATGGAATCAACTTCGACCTCTCCAACAGCAACCCCATCATTGCCGCGCCGCCTCCCGACTCTGCCAGTGGATTTCGTGACCCCAAGGTGTTCTGGGACCCAACAGACAACACCTGGAAGATGGTCGTCGGGTCAGGTGACAGCCGCAGCGGCAAAGTCCAGCTCTACAAGTCCACCAGCCCCACCTCGTCCGAGCTCACCGCTTGGGAGTACGTCGGTGTTCTGCACCAAGGTGACGACAGCAGCAGGGGCACCATGTGGGAATGCCCCAACTTCTTTCCCATCGGGGACAAATGGGCTCTCTTCTACGGCCAAGATAAGGCCAGTGTAGGCTGGTACGAAGTGGGCACCTACAACGGAACGACCTTCACTTCGGAGAAGCTCGGACTGCTTGACGCCGGCCCGGACAGCTACGCCGCCCAGTGGTTCGTGGACGACGCCGCACGCAACCTTCTCGTCACATGGATGGGCAGCTGGACCACGTCCAAGTGGCCCAGCCGGGTAAACGGCTGGGCCGGGGCGCAGTCCCTCATGCGCGAGCTCTTCATCCGCGAAGACGGCGGGCTCGGCCAAAAGGTCGTCGATGAAGTGTCTCTGTTGGCGAGCGGTCCGGCCAAGTCGCTTGGTCGGACTGACGTCCACAATGGAACCATGACGGTTGGATCTTCAAACACGGCACGCCTTCAGGCTTCTATTGACCTTGTTGCTAGTACTGCACCGGCTTTCACCATTGAGCTGTTTGCCTCCAAGGCCGAGTCTGTGTCTCTCGTCTACAGTTTTGGCAACCGGTCGTTGACATTGGACACGACGCGAGCAGGATACGGTCAAGCTGGTAAATGGAGCGCAACCATTGCGAAGCCGGCTGACAATCGTCTGTCGTTGGATATCTTGATCGATCGATCGAGTTTGGAGATATTTGTCGGGGATGGAACAGCCATGACTGCGACGGTCTTCCCACGTTATCAGGAGTCAAACAACATTAGGATCGTCTGCCGTGGAGGTAAGACCGTCTTTGATGATATTGTTCTGACGCCGTTGGGGTCCGCTTGGGTATAAAATGTACATAGACGGGTGTGAAGTTCGGAAACAGCCGAGGAGATCCTGCTACTTCGGCCTGAACTGGTCGCTTGTCAAGGAGGGCAAGCGCGGCAGGCGCAGGTGGTCCTGATTTCGTCCGATGGTTCTTCCCCTCTGTGTACGTCTGTGAAGGAAGGTACGGAGTGGACTGTACGGTAGACTAGTGTAATAATCATACGTCCCGTCGCATAACGACCATGCCGTATATCGTCGATCGGTGATAACTTGGTGTGCTAGTGATAACTGAACGCGGGTGCGTTGGAAAGAACGTGATTCCTTTGTGTGTGTGTAGCGGTGATAATCCACCTTAATTCCGCGCCGTTCACGTTCGGTCTTTTGGTATCGTCCGAGGATTTGAAGCCTCTTCTGGGCTCTTTTTTTTGCATTTTTCCACCACTACCAAGAGATACATGTCTCTGGTTGCACAGTAAGCTACACGACAAACGGAGCATCCCCTCCTGTAGACTCAGAACATCGAAGAAGCCTCGAAGAAGCCTCCCCTAATACCTCTCCATAATCCAATTCCTCCTCTCCTCCTCTCCCATCTCCGCCAAGAACTCCATCTCAAACTCCTTGACATCACAATACCTCTCCACCACCTCCTGTCCGAAAAACTCTACAAACTCCTCGTCCCCTCTCAGCGCCGTCAACGCCTCTTCGACACTCGCTGGCAACATGTCCTTCACGCCCAGCTCCGCCCGATCATTCGGCGTCAGTTTCGCGGGGTCAATCTCGCAGTCTCCCCAGGTTAACTTCTCCTGGTCCATGTACCCGTGGATACCAGCCAGCAGCACAGCTGCCATGGCGAAGTAAGGGTTGGCTAGGCCGTCCATAGCTTTCAACTCCCAGTGTGAGCCCTCGATCTTCCGGAGGGGGGTTTCCCGGTTCTGGGTGCCCCAGGTGACCCACCGGCCGCCGGCCCATGCGCCGTCTTTGAGGCGTTCGAAGGAAGCCGGGTTGGAGTAGGTGAAGGCTGTGATGGCGCGGAGGTGCTTGAGGATACCGGCGTAGAAGGGCTCGTAGACTTCGGGCTTGTCGCCGCCGGGAGAGGAGATGCTTATGTGCGTGTGGGCAGCGGTGCCACATGCGGTTGAGAAGGGTTTGGGGTGGAGAGTGATCTTGTAGCCGGCTGCGGTGGCGAGGGCGAACATGACATCGCGGGTGTGGAGGAGAGTGTCGACCGCTTGGATGGGTGGGTAAGGGGGAAGGATGAGCTCGAACTGGCCGGTTGCGGACTCGGCATGGAGTTGTTCGACGTAAATGCCCATTGAGTCGAGAGCCTGGACCATATCGCGCAGGAGCTTGGAGACCTTGGGGTCGGCAAAGTAGCGAGAGACAGACCAGGCGTGGCCATCAGTAGTCAAGGTACTGAAACGGCCTGAGGCTTCTGATGGGCGGTGTTTGAGCGGGTTCAAAGAGTTCAAGGATAGTGTTGCGGAGGTATCTGCACCCTCCACTCTTTCGAGCAGAAGGAACTCAATCTCGAACCCAAGCAGGAAGGTCAATCCGTTCTCGGTGCCCAAGTCAACGGCCTTTTGCAGTAGTGTCCGGGGGCACAGGGGAACGGGGGCTCCGGACTTCTCACGGAACTCGCCATACATGCTCACATGTCCTTCAGTAGGACCAGGACGGAGCGAAGAAAAGTCCGGGTGCAGACGATACTCTCCAGTAGGAGCGATAGATGGAACAAGATGATCGTTCTGAATGAGACCGAACACGGCTTTTGGGATGGAAATATCGGTTGACTTGGCTTGGTCAAACAAGGACATGAACTTGCGGAAGGGGACCATGCGCATCCGTGGGGTTGCAGTGTAGTCGTTCCAGCAAATACGGACAAAGTCAGGAGGCGGTTGGTCCTTCAAAAAGAGCTGAAAAAGCTCAAGGTCGCTTGCGTAGGGTCCGACCTCGGCACCGGGCTCTTCATCGAGCTCCATGAAGTCTATATCGAGATGGTAGAGCTTATTGGAGTTTCGGAAGAGAATGTCCTGGACAAGTTCAATGGCGGCTTTGTATCCAATGTGGCCTTTGCGGACGTAGTTACTCAGTACCTGGTATTCATTAGCCTTGGTCTTCTGCAGCAGCAATATTTGTCCAACTCACATTTGTGAACACCTCGCGCATCTGGGTGACGGCAAGCAGGTAGGTCTCGGGAAACCAGTGACCATCTGTACTCCACAATATCTTTGACCAGGGGCAGAGCTCGAGGATCTGTCGTAGGACCTGCTCCTGGCCGTCTTCACTAATACACGGGAAGACCTCGCCAATATCCGCATAAACATGCTCATACACACTGGCGAGATAGCCGACCTCTCTCATAAAGGGATATCCAGCATGAAGGAGCACAATGGGCACAGTTGGATATGCGCGAATGAAGTGCTGCAGATGGGCTGGCGATGACTTGGCAAGTGTAATGTCATTGTCACCCAGACCGGTGTGGAACTGAATAGGCTTCTTGTTCTTGGACGGACTATCGCGGATCAACATGGCGGTACGGTGGACAACCAAGTCGTTGAGAGTGACCTCTTGTAGCTTGGTGAAGTCCAACAAGGCGAAGTTGGCAATGATCTCTGCAAAGGCAGCACGAGCTTCAACCTCGTTGACCGTGCTGGTGATGTCCAAGCCGGTACGGTAGCAGATAACGGACTTGAAGGCCACCACGTCGGGGTCATCGATAGCTTCGTTCATAATAGTATCAAACTCGACAATCCAGTCGTCGTAGGCGTCGTTCAAGACATCGTTGCCAGTCCTTGGCGAGGCATCACAGGTCTTTCCAATCCTCTTGATGATATCGGCAGCGACCTTTTCGATACGCACAATGCGTTTGCACTGGGTACGGGTATAGTCATTGTGCCAGACCATGTCTTGGGCATCGTCTTCGTTGTCGAGCCCATCGTCGAGCAGCAATGTCTCGATGCCCTCCAGACACTGGGCGGTCCATTCCAAGGGGAAATCGATGCGCTTCTGCTCAATGGCAGCCACAACATCCTCCCACGTGTTGTTACACTTGAGCAGTTCAGACAGCTGTCTGACGGCACGCAGATGGGGGAGCGAGTGGATGGCCGAGTTGACAGCATCGCTATTGTGTGCCTCGGAGGTGATGGACAGCAGAGGGTGCTTGGCGAGAGCTTCGAGCTTCAGGAGAGGATGGGCATGGTTGTCGATGATGGGCGTGTTGCGGATGGCGCGAGCAAGAGCCTCAAGTTGTGAGGGTGTCGCCGACGAGCGAGCACCAACCCAAGCTGTGTTCATCTTGACTGTGTAGTTGGTTGCCAGTTATGATTGTCGTGAAGTCGTGATTGTTGGATGTCCAGTGGAAGATCCAGGACGGCCTGACCAGTCGTGGTTACGGAGCTCTGACGCTGAGGGGTTCCATGGTTACAAAAGAGAGACATAGCGCAATGTGGGAGAAGATGATCGGACGGTCGCCATTTCCCCTTCAGCTGATGGAGCATTCTGTAGAGTGAGGCAGGTGCAATGTCTCTCCCGTGCATTAGCAGGTGGATTCGCCTTCTGTGTTGTCACACAGCAGATCCAGTGTTCCGATCGCATTCTGCACAAGAGAGGGGAACCTCTTTCAGCCAAGATTGTAGAGACACATCTTGGACAAATCAATGAGGTTGTACGCGACAATGGTGAAGAGCTACAATGAGGCTATAGACTTTTGCAAGAGAGTTGTCCTAGAACCATGTCCAAGGAAGACCCTAGAACTCTATAGGGTTCAAGGAGCAAGCTCCGCCGTGTGGGGTTAACCCCCGCTTGCTCCACTCTCCGCCGCCATGACCCTAACCCTTGATGAAGTGGGGTAACAAGTGGAAAAAGTGCCGCTTTCAGCTGTTGGTCAACCTCAACTAACCAACCACTGCAATTTTCATTCGTTGACCAAGAAACTCGCAACACTGTTTCTCGTGTCTGTCCGGGATTGTACTGACTGACCAACAACAAAGCCAGAACAGCGTCTTGTGGCTGTCCGCTGTTCAGTGCCGTTCTCGTGCCGTCGAGCTTGTTGATCATGGTGTCCTTGGCAGGAGATCGCCAAGTAGCGTGGGCTAGAAGCTTGTTTTCTACCCTGCTCCATCATTTGTCCATCGACAGAGAAATACGATGAGATATTGTGAATAGGCTGAACGACAACGAACGAATCAATGATGATGGTGATGTATTGAGTAGAGTAGAGGTCAGACTGTGTGTAAAGTCTGGAGGTCTAAAAGTAGGGCAAGGGAGGTCCCTGTGCGGTGGGGCCATGGCCAGTGAAGGGAGAAGGGAGCCATGGCTGGCCGCACGTGACACGGGACACCTTCAACAGATATGCTATCGAAGGAGATTCACTATGGTAGGGGTTCATCAACTGCTCTCATATCGATAAATGGCGGTACGACTGGAAGCATCGTTATCAGGCACATCCACTTGTCGAGGGCGCCAAGACTAGACCAATGGGTATGCCCTGTTCCTGACCAAGTGTTAGGGACGCGTCATCCTTTTCTCGTATTTTCCGAGTGAACAAGCTGCTCACACTAACATCCTGTTTATCCCATCCACTGCCCATCCCATCTCCCCGTCGGCAACAACACGGATGTGCGTGTCACACCGGCAGAACCACTGCTCACTGCACTGCAAATGCACTGCCACTGCAAACTTCTCCATGCCCGTGGTTGATAGCCGGTGGTGTACAAAGGATTTTCGTCTACCACTTACAACTTTCTCCCAAATCACTCCCCATCCATTACTTGGTCGTCGATTGCGCCTTTGTTCTTGTACCACAACAACCTACCTTCAACGCCGCAATCTTCACCAAAAGGCGATAACCGATGGCCACGAGCTAATCGAAAATCAACACTCATCAACCATCACGCTCGTTTCTTTGAATTTGTTTTCCAGTCGCTCGCTATTGTCAGCCCACCATCATGTTTTCGACATTACCACGGCTCGCCGCCGTCGCCCTTCTTGGGGTTGACGTCGCAAATGCCGTCTATAGTGTCGCGACAGTCGGTACGTTTACTCCGAATCGCAGAAAATGACATTAGTGCTAACCGATATACGCAGCCGACATCAAACAGACATCAGCCGACATCGCATTCGACATGATGCAATACTACAAAGGAAACTTGTCGGGACAAACACCAGGAATCCTCCCCGGCCCTCCTCCAGCCGGTGATTACTACTGGTGGGAAGCAGGTGCAATGTGGGGGGCTTTGATCGACTACTGGAGGTTCACTGGCGACGAGTCATACAACAAGGTTGTCACCCAAGCCCTCCTCTGGCAAGTCGGTCCAGGACAGGACTACATGCCACCCAACGTTACGGCATCCCTAGGGAACGATGATCAGGGCTTCTGGGGAATGTCGGCCATGACAGCCGCCGAAAACAATTTCCCCGATCCACCACCCGATCAACCACAATGGCTGGGCCTCGCTCAGGGTGTCTTCAATACACAAGCAAACCCCGATAGGCACGACGATACCTGCAATGGTGGTTTGCGCTGGCAGATCCCCCCGATTAACAACGGATACGACTACAAGAACAGCATTGCCAATGGTTCGTGACCACAACACTTTCCTAGAAGACCTTGAACTGACTCAACATGGTATAGGCTGCTTCTTCAACCTCGGCGCAAGACTGGCGCGCTACACCGGCAACCAGACATACGCCGACTGGGCCGAAAAGACGTGGGACTGGATGAGGGGTGTCGGGCTCATGGACGACGACTATAACATCCACGACGGCGCCCACGTCGAAACGAACTGCACCGATATCAACGGTGCTCAGTTCTCCTACAACTTTGGCGTCTTTGTCCTCGGCGCCGCTCACATGTACAACTACGTATGTTCCCCCGTTTCCCTCAGGAAAAAGAAGTACTAACACCATACAGACTGACGGCTCCCCCGTCTGGAAGGACCGCCTCGACAAGCTCGTCAATGCCACGCTTGTCCGCTTCTTCCCCGACGGGATCGCCTACGAGCCCGCCTGCGAAGACGCAATGAGCTGCACAACCGACATGCTCTCCTTCAAGGGCTACGTGCACCGCTGGCTAGCCACCACCACACAAATCGCACCGCACACGGCCCCCGTCATCCTCCCCGTGCTGAAAACCTCGGCCGAAGCCGCCGTCCTGACTTGCACCGGCGAGCAAAACGGCCGCACGTGTGGATTCAGCTGGAAGAAGAAGAAATACGATGGCAGTCATGGCGTGGGACAGCAGATGAATGCCTTGGGAGCGGTTTCTTCCTTGTTGGTTGATCAGCCGGGCAAAGCACCGGTGACGAATAGTACCGGTGGAACGAGTAAAGGAAACCCGAATGCGGGGAGCAACAGTGATAGCTTTATGCATAGTAAGCCGATGACGACGGCGGATAAGGCGGGCGCCGGCATTGTCACATTTTTGTTGTCGGCTTCGGCGTTGGCCACGTTTGCGTGGATGGGCTTTGGTAAGTAGGAAGGCCGGGCCCACCAGACGAGGGAGGAACGTCGGCAGACGAGGAGGATTCTGGTGCCGAAGGGGAGGTTGTTGAGGAAGAAAAGGGATGGGAGGCAGATTGGGAGTGATGATACTTTGGTTGAAGGGGAGAGTGTGGGGAGGGTTTAAGGATAGGCGGGTGGATGGGTGGCAGGTCTCTTTTTCATTATTTTGAGGTCGCGGTTGTTCCGCAGACTATTCTAAAGGGAGATACTCTTGTGTTGTCGTATTTCTAGGGCAGGGAGTTTCGCGTTAGCAGGCAGGGTTGGCAAGGCGTTGACGGTTCACATAATCGATGAGTTATGAATCACTTGGACAGAAACATGGGGTATGATAATCAAGGGACTATATTTCACGAATCATAAAGTTAGATATCTTGAACCTCCAACTCGTACCTCTCCTGTCATCTCTTGTTACCTTTCTCGTGTCAAACAATATCAAAGAGCGTCATATCCACCGGATGTCGTACCCACCTGTGATCCTCCAGGTGACGCCATCCCGAACCTTAATTCCTCGCCAAGCTGCTTGGTCTTTTGGTGGAATTTCACGATGCCCCCCTCTTACTCCTCACTTGGCCGTTTGAAGCGTACTGTGTGGGCACTGTTGGGGGGTCAACTCAACATGTGTCGAGCTCGAGTTCGAGTCCATGTTTATGCTGCTTGTCGTGCTCATTTCGTACTGGTCGACGTATTCGTAAATATTTTGATAGAATCCTGAAGAGTCTGGACCGTTGTTGGCGCACTAGGCGCATCAATGTATCTCGTGCAGATGTTGACGGGAAGCATGCGGGTGCACCATTCAGCAGCTGCGCCCACAGCTCAGGGGTACAGCGTGCATGCTACAGTGGGGGAAGCGCCAAAGGTTTAGGGCTGTTTCAATGGATTCCTTCCATCCCCCCCGCGTTCTCGTTTTCCGGACCTATGTTTCATCTTCCAAGGTGTTCCGTCACCCCCTTTACGCACAGGTGAAGATAAAACGTGAATTGAGAGTTTCCATTTTTGAGAAGCGTTTCTTCTGCTTGCCCCCTTGACATAGACATCAGCTTCCATCATTTCCACCTTCAACATCAAACGGAAGCAAGCTCGATAACTCCATCCAGACAACCACGACCTCCAAAACAACATCCAACGAACAGACAAAATGCCCATCCCGTCACCAGACCAGCTCACCACTTTCTCCTCCCTCCCCCTTTCGGTGGACTCCCCATCACCTGTTCCCGACCAGGAGAAAGACAAGAAAGACACCTATCTCCTAGCAACAATAAAGTCCAACCTCACCATCACCAAGCCGACCCTCATCCTCACCGACTCCAGCAACCAAGACTTTGCTCTCGTCTTCGACCCCCCTCCCTTCACCGTGCGTAACCCCAACGCCGTGGCCGAGAAGTTCAAAGAGCTCGGCCTCAAGAAGGGAAACGCGGTGGTGATTAGAAATGCAAGGAGGACCAAAGCGGAGAGGGAAGGAGGGCAGGGGTTTGTTGTTTTGAGTTCACTGGGTGCTTTGGCAGAGGCAGAAGCAGGAGCAGATGATGGGAAGAAGGAGAAGGGAAATGAGGGTGATAGAGAGAGTGGCGGTAAACTCTTGGGGGTGGTGCCAGGGCCATTACAGATGACGAAATGGATGATGGAAATCCTAAGGCAGAGGGATGAGAGTAGTCCGCCTGAGGAAAGAGAGGAGAAGATGTGCGATGGGAAGTTTGATGGGTGTTTGACTCCCAGGGGGAAGGATCGCAAGGACGGCGGGGGTTTGGAGGCGTTGAAGAGGTGTCAGGGGTGTGTGGAGGTTTGGTATTGTTCCAAGGTGAGTTTTACTTACCTTTTTAAGCTGATGTTGAGGGACAGGGTAGCTGACTTGAAGACAGGAGTGCCAAAAGAGAAGGTGGATTGCGCATAAAGATGAGTGTAAGGCTATCAAGGCTTTGAGACGGATTTGGCCTAGGCCTGAGGGGGTGGAGTGAGTTCACGGGAGAGATTATGATTGATTGCTATGTGCTACTGCTAGAGAAGAGTATGGAAAAGGAGATATCAAGTTACGAAAGATTATCAAGCCTACTACTTCCCACCACCGGCCTCCTTCAGCGGCTTGTCATATGTCGTCTGCCATCTTCTCAGCCTTCTCATTTCCCTCCACCTCCACCTTCACCTCTTCTTCCTTTCCCTTCCCCTCTTCTTCTTCCTTCTTCTGCTCCTCCTCCAAAACCTCCCGATACATAATATCCGTCCTAACACTATACTTGACCCCCCTCACCACATCCGCGCCCGCATGAAACACTCTCCGATGCTGAAAGATCAGCACCCTCCCCGTCTTACACTCAACATCATACTTCCTCTTCTCGTCCGCAGACAACAAGGCCGTGGCACCACCAACTAGTTCGGTTTCGTCTTTTTGGTCTGGGGGCACTTCCGATTTGCAGTCGTTCAGGTAGAGGTGGATGGTGAAGAACGTCTCATTGATTCGGTCCGAGTTGGTGGGGTCTAGTTCGCGGTAGGGGGAGTCGCAGTGGGCTATGTGTCACATCGTCAGTGTCAGTGTTCAGTTTGATTTGGGATTTGGGATGGGAGAAAAGGGGATAGATAGGTGGGGGAAAGAAAGAAAAAAGAAACAACTCACCTCTAAAGAATTGCCCCTCCCCATACTTCAAAAACCTCATCCGTTTATTGACTTTGACAAACTCCCACTTCCCCGTCGTCCTCCCCTTTGCATTATCTTTCCTCTGCTGCTTACTCTTCCCCTTCTTCTTCCCATTAGCATACCTCTCCACCACCTCCTCCTTTGGCTCAAGCTGCTCCCCATGCCCATCCCCCAAAGACCGTCCAGTAATGATTTTCGCATCTCTTTCGGTTTTCGAATCCAGCACCGCCAATCTTTTTTGGAGTCCGGGAGCAAGACAGCATCGCGCCCAAAGCCTGTCCACAACCTCTTGCTGGTCCCAGATGATGCGCGACGAGTTGCGGTAGGAAGGGGTGAGGACTTCGTAGCCCATTCCGACGTTGACTAGGGCGGGGCCCCATGGTGTCTTCCCCTCTGTTGTCTCTGTTTCTTTGCTCTGCTGCTCGTTTGGGGTTTCTCCTTCACCTCCCTTAGAAGAAGACTCTTCAGCAGCATCGGGATCTACGGGGACCCATTGTGCAGGAGGTACACTCCCCTCCGCCAACTTTTTGAGAGAATCACACTCCTCCCTCGTCAGTACTCCATCCAACACCACCGCGTACAGTCCCTTGTTCTCGGGTAACTTGGTCTTTTCCCACTCAATCTCCGTCAGAGTTGGGACTGGGGTAACACCAGGTTCGGTGGCGAGAAAACCGGGAGGAAGCTCGATGGGGAGGGATTCGTAGGTGGTTTTAATGGGCTTGGGGTGAGCTTTCTTGGGGGGTTGTTGGTGGGCGGTGGGGGTGACGATTTTTTGGATTTCGGTTAGGAGGGAGGATAACATCTTGCCCGGTCGGTGTTCGTTAGTTGAGGCAAGCTTGGGAGGTGGGCGTTTGTGTGTGAAGTGATGTGATGTATGTAGGTTAAGAGTCGAACGAAAGCGAAAGAGCGGTCGGTGATGGGATGGATGTACTTTGAGCGGAGTAGAATAGATGGATAGTAAACCGCTTGCTTGGACTGCGAATGAAGGCCAGAAGTAGTATTTATTTATATAACATGACCTTGGGATAACTTGAAGATATTATAGAGCAAAGTGAAGAGGACAGATCCCATCGCCCGACTACACAGCCTCTAGACTACAAAAGATGTCGAAGAGTCACTGAATGGAGGCGCAGTAACTAACTAACCAATTCACTCACTCCGTTAGGTAACCATAGAACCGCAGCACCTGTACACTAGAACCGTGCAGTAAATATCCACGATGGATGGCTGCCTAGTAGCATCCCGGTATACAGCTCAGTGACTGGACAGCGATCACTCTTGGCGCCGGTGTAGGGCTGACAGCACTTCGCACTTCACAGGGGATCACTGAGTCCGAAGCGGGGAAAGGCTTTTTCAGTGGTGTTTTGTTGTCCTTTCTTTCTCCAGGAATAGGGATGATAAGACGGGAGTTGAGAAGACAAATGTCTGAGGTGTCGTCAATTCATTTTCACCATTACCGTTGAGGTAGGCATCTATCTCCTGGGATGAGAACGATGATGACGACGCCAGGCTGCCGGATAATCCTATGAATGATGTGTGAGGTGGCTGTCCGAGTTATTCAGTGTCCTCTTGGAATACCTATGGGTAACACCTGGAGAACAAGTGAGGTGTTATAAATTGCTGGGATCATCGCAAGTGGAACCAGAATGCCCCTTTTCGAGATGTAAACAAACCACTTGTTGCCACAAGACGACCAAGATGGACGAGGGAGTGACCCAAACGAGGCTGGCTGGCACCGCAACCAAGAAACAATAGGTATCTCTCTACATCTACATCTAGGTAAGTTCTATTCTCTAATCACACAATGCAATCATCTCATGCACTCTTTTAATCCATAAGTCTCATCCATCCATCCATCATCCATCACCCACCCCCTTACGCCGTAGCCGTAGCCTCAACCTCCCTCTCAACCTCCACCTCCAACCTCCTCTGCCCCTTCCTCCCCACCGGCACACTTTGCCCAAACCCTCCCTGTCCCAACCCAAGCGCCCTCTTAACCCTCAACCACAACTCAAAAACCTCCAACTTGATCTCCACCCTCGCCATCTCCCACCACGCCTTCACCACCAGCACCACATTCCCCGGCCTGCTCCACAAACTGCCTCTGCCTCCCCCTCCTCCGCTCATCTCCCGAATTTTTTCCAGTTGCTCATAAAACACGGTACGCATACAATACCTAGCCAAAATCAAAAACTGCCTCACCGGCCCCTGGCTCGTATGTAAACTCTCATCCAGCGCTCTAGTTAAATCATTCGTCTTCAAAATCAACAAAATAATCCTCGGCACCTGCCCCAACATCTGCACCAAATCCACAATCAACCCTTCCTGCAGTGCCGTAGACATGGATTTCTGTTCCGATGCTTCCTTGGGTTTCAAGACGCCTCCGCTGTCGGTGGCGGAGACGACATTAATAAAGTCGCGACCGGTGATGGCGCTGGCAAAAAGGGGGAATTTATCTTCCCCGATGCCGGCGACTTCGTACACGTATCGTTTCATCTTGGGAATGTCGCCGTCGATGATGGCGAGCCAGAGTTTGGCGTAGGAGCGCCGGAGCGGGAGGGGGATGTCGCGGTAGAGGCCGTGGTCGTAGAGGATTATGTCGAAATTGGTCTTTGCCTTGTTGGAGCGAGAAGAGGGGTTGTGGCGGATGGCGATGTTACCCCCGTGCGGATCGCAGTGGAGGGGCGCGCCCTCGCCGAAAATCATCTCGTTGAAGATCCGCGCCAAAGTGGCGGAGACTTCGTCCCGGTCGATGCCGTGGGCGTCCATGTACGAGAGATCGTCGAGGCGGTGGCCTGATTCGCAGGCCATTACCAGCAGGCGCTTCTTAGCCCAGAGGACGTCGGGGATGACCAATGGCAAAGAGGGAGCGTGTTGGGAGAAGTGGCGGGAGGTGCGGCGGGCGTTTTCGGCTTCGCAGGTGAAGTCGAGTTCTTTTGGGAGAGAGATCTCGACTTCGGAGGAGAGCCATTCGAGGTCGTATTCGGGGAAAAAGTACTTGAGGGTTTTGAAGGTGGTCGACGTCAGACGCATGTCGAGGGGCGCCCAGCGCTGGAGGGACGGGTGTTGGACTTTGACGGCGACGCGCTGGCCGGTTTCTTTGATGGTGGCTAGGTGGACTTGGGCAAGTGAGGCGGCGCCGATGGGCTCACGGGAGAATTCGGAGAAGTAGTCCCAGAGCGAGGTGCCGGTGTCTTGGAGGAACATGCGCTCGATCGACTCGAAAGAGGAGACGGGGCATTTGTCTTGGAGGGGGATGAAGGTCGTTGTCCATTCGGGGGGGAGGAGGTAGTTCATTGCGCTCTGTTTTGTCGTCTGTTAGCATTCTGTTCTCGCCCATCTTATAGTATCTCTCTCTGTACCGGGTACTAACCAAATGCTGTCCCAACTTGATAAAAATCCCACCACTCTTCTCCAAAACCTCCAGCGTCCGATCCGCGCACCGCTGATGACACTCCCTCAGCAACCGCTGCTTCTCCTCCGCATCCTCAATCTTCTCTCTTGCGTTCAACGTCTTCCGGTAATCGTTGACGCAAACCGCCAGCGCACTCGCCACCCTCCCCGTCCTCTCCACCGCTTCGTATGTATACTTGACATCGTCACCAAACGCCAGCAATCCCGCGGTCGCTACGCCTCCACCAGCCGCTAGCAGCACTGTTCGTCGGCCGTTGTTTGTGGTTTTTCCGTTGGTGTTGTTCGAGGAGGAAGAAGAGGAAGAGCCGTTCGAGCTTTGGTTGCTATATCGTTTCGAAGAAGCGGAAAACGATCGTCGGGCAAGTGTCGAGTTATAGGAGGAGGATGACGAAAAAGAAGAAGAAAGTTGGCTGCGACAGCTTGCGCACGTCCACCCGTTCGTTATCCTGCCGCTGCCAGTTCGTCGGAGAGGCGCATGGACATGGTTGAGCGTCTGCAGGCGCCTGAGCGCAGCGAGCGAAGGGAAAGAAGTCTGGGCTGGCATATTATAAGACGTTCGGACAACTAGTATATGGACAAGAAGAGCAGTAAATTAGGTCGTTCGTCGTCGGGTTATCGTTAAATCATGAACTGGGAAGATGTCGTCGTTGACATTGCGCGCGCGCAATTAAGGGATATGGCCGTAGTAGGAATCGTATATGATGTAGAGTTTCTTCGCCAGAGATCAGAGTCTAGCGGTCGGCGTTGCGAACGGACGAACAAAGTACAGACGAAAAGAAAGGGGTTCATCCAAAATTTCAAAAAAAGATACAACAAACGAGAGATGAAAGATATGACATCGACAGGTTGCATTGCCGCCCGTGGGGAATTTGCCGCCACTGAAAATGCCAATTGGTCCTCGGGCGACTTCGGACAGGCCACGAGACCGTTCGGGTTAGGGTTTTGGGCATGGGTCCCTTGGCTTCAACATGTGACAGCAATCATCATCAGCATCAGATATGGAACATGGGGACTTTGTTGGTCAGTGGGAATCATTTTGTCTTTTACCATTATTGTCCCGGTCATATCCGAGAGAACTATATCCAGCACAAGGCTACCCAGCAGCCCAGTCTAGCTTTAGCTACCCAACCTACACTCAGCTCATCCAACAGCCCAGTGAAGATTTCATCATGACCATGAGATAGAAACAACAACGAAATGCTAGTTTATACGTTACTGGCAAGCCATGTAAAAAGACTCGGTATCATCAAAATAACAAACAACGCCCAAATAATTTTCCCCCAGCAGAATAAACTAACGCAGGCACGCACGCACGCTTGCTTTCCTTTCCTTTCAACATCAGAGATATCCATCCATCCATCTTTGTCTCATCCGCATCCATCACATCCACCTAGACATCCATCGTCTAGATCCACCTCATCGTTTATCACCCGATTATCCCATCATCTAATCCCTCAACAAGCTTCCAGTCCTCCTGCTTCCCTCGCTCAGAATTCCTCCACTTCCCCTGCCCTCCCTATCATTCGACGGCGTCATCGGCCTGGGCCCACTAGGCCGTCTCGACACCTGACCCGTCGCTCCACTCAAATTCTTGTTCTCCAACTTGCGCGTCTGGCTCGGGCTGTTAGGGCCGCTGCCAGTGGTGCCATCAATGGGCTCCTTGGGCGGCCTGGGAGGTCCGCCAGAGGTAATGCTAAGGGCCGCCGGAGCGGGCGAAGAAGAGTAGATCTGCTGCCAGTTCGGGTTGGCCTCGTTGCTCTGAGATTCGAAACTATCGCGGTTCAGGTTGCGAGGCAGCCGGTTGAGGCTGGTGGCGGATCCGGCCCAGTCTTCGGACTTGGGGCTCAGCATGGGCGAGTTGCCACCCGTGAAGCCGAGCGCCTGAGACTCGAGGGCTTGCTTGAAGCGCTCCGTCTGGCCCTGGCGGGGCTGAGGATGTACCAGGTTGAGCGAGTTGCGGTGCGCCTTGTACTTGGCTTCCTCAGGCGTCATCGCCACCCAGTTAGGCTGCGGTGGCTGCATCGAGTTGTACGCAAGCACGGGAGACTCGGGGTCCTCGTGAAGGTCGTGGCTCAGCTCAGGTCCCTGGGAGTAAGGGTCGTTCTTGGGCTTGGGATGGGGGTTGGAGAACTGGAAGTTGTCCGAGTAGGTGGAGGTGCCAATCGAGTCCGCCCGAGACGAAACCGTGTTGTTGCGGTACGTAGGCATGGTAGGCTGGTCGGCCGGCCTGGGGCTCCACTGCTGCTCGTCTTCCTCGTCCTTGCGTGACTGACCGCTACGGCGGAAGAGTTGAGTAATGTTGGTAGTCGTAGTGCTCTCCGACCACCGGGACTTGAACCAGCTTGACCTCCCCTTCTTCTTCTGGTCCTCGTTTTGCTTAGCAGCATTCTGGTAGTCTGGCGACCTGGTATTTTCGTATTGCTGCTGGTAATCAGGGGACCTGGCATTCTCATAAGCGGGCGACCGGCAATTATCATACGCAGGCGACCGCCGAGTGTTGTCGTAACCAGGCGACATCTGAAGAGCGCCCGAAGCGTTAGGCGGCGACCCACGGGGCGTTGCTTGCAACGAGCCAGAACGCTGTGCGTGGGCAGGGGTCATCAACACCTCCGGCCCGCCAAAGCGAATGCTCTCGTTGTCATACTCATCATCCTCGTCGTCCTCGGGCACGGTACTTATCCTGTGACCGGACACCTTGCGGACGTAGTTTTGCTGGCCGGGGGTTCCCCGAGACTGGATGGACAGCTGTCCGGACTGAGACGCACTGTTAGTGGAAGTTCCAGCATGTCCCTCCGGCTCGTAACCACGATCTTGCTCATATTGGCCCTGAGACTGCATGTTCTCATACGAACGCTCATCCTGATGGCTCATCGGGACAGAACCAGCACCAGGAACAGTCTGGGACTTGAGGTCATCAACCTGAGTCAGGAGCTGCATCAGCATATCCTCAATCCTGCCAAGGTCGTTGGGTCCTTTGTGACCCAGACCCTTCATCAGAGCACGGCGGAAGATGTTCTTCTGCTTCTTGTTGCTCATCTCATCCATCGTAGTGGTGGTAGCCGCCTGCGAGTTGGAGTGAAGAGAGCGAGGGGCGCTTCCGGGAAAAGGACGAGGGCCGTTGATGGCACGCTGGACCGTCTTCTCGGTGTTCTCCTTGACTTCGGTGATAATAACATCCTCAGTATCAGCAAGAAGACGCTTAAGGTCCTCAAAGTTGTTGCGCATCTCGGTGGCGGCGCGAACAAGGGTGACCAAAATCTCGGTATCGCGAGCACTGCGCTGAGCATCGCGGACCATCAACTGTAAGCTGTTAGCGGGCATACTTCAGTACAATGACACGAACAAACTTACATGTTGCATCAAGGCCATGATATCCTTGGACTCGATCTTGTCAATGCCCGTTCCAGTGGCGGGGTCATACATCTGCGAGTCCATTCCGTCCGACATGCCACTAACTTGTCGCGAACCGGAGCCGAAGAAGTCCATGGGGTTCTGGTTCTTAGCACCACCAAGGTTGAGAGGGGTGCCATAGTCGATATCCTTGCCCTTGTCCATCGAAGTATCCGGGGTCTTGTTAGGTCCCTGGGAGATATATCCCTCATCGACCTTCTGACCGACAGGGCTACGAGTGGCATTGCCGTAGTTATCGTAACCACCAGGAGAAAGAAGGCTGTCTCCAAGACCAGCAAGGTTGGCGATGGGGCTGGCGTCCTCGTAAGGGTTGGTGACCAAGGTATCGCGCTTCCGGTCCTCTTCAGTCCTGTACCACTCGTCCTGCTCCTGACCGGACTGTTGGTTGCCGTTGAGGTTGAGACCCTTCTGCAGAGCATCGTGAGTGCCGTCAAGAGGACGGTAGTTGAAGTCATCAACGGACGACTGGGGGCGCTGCTTGGGAGTAGCATCTCCCTCCCAACCACCTTCCTCTCCGTTAAGCATCGATGGGTTAGTGATCAGATCATCCTCGTTCCAGTACTCAAAGTCTGGCAACGGGTCGCCGATATCCGGCAAGCCACTGAAGCCCAACTTGATGGGCACAGAGACGTCCGACATCCTGTCGATACTGTGCTTTGGCTCAAGTGCGGGTCCAGATCCGTTCTGGGCGCGCTCCTTGAAGGACTTGTTGCGCTGTACGCCTTCCCCTTGCCATTCAGAAGTGCCCTGATTCTCCTGCTTGCCCTGTTGTCTGAGGGCAGCAGCGGCGGCACCAACCGCAGCGCTGGTAATAGCAGCCTCTGAGGCGGTGGTGTAATGGCGCTGTCTTGGGACCTTCCTTCCGTACTCATCAAGATCATATTCTTGGTAGTCGTATGAGGCCTGGCTATCGTTACCTGCAGTGTCTGGCCTGTCACCCTCTTGGCTTCCATTGGTAGCCATCGAGTTGCGGTATGGTTGCTGGTTGATACCGCTCGATCTGAGCGAATCCACCATGGAGCCTTCAACGAGCGAAGCATGGTTGGAATCGACACCAGAGGTGTGGACGTAGTTCGGGATGGCTCCCACGGCACGGACAGCGTGACCATTGCCGTCAACCTCGCTGTTGGTCATTCCGCTCACATTGCTCTGATCCATGCCCGGTGTCCTCAAGCTGGCTACGGACATGTTGCCAGGGGTACGCGAGCCGTTTGATACCGAGCCACCGAATGCGCGAGAATCGCGGTTCGGCGCCTCACTGCCTTCGGTGTATCCGGAGACGCTGGGAATAGGGCTCAGACCACGCTTCTCAGGTTGGTAAGGAACATACTTGAGAGGAGGCGGCACCTCTTGAGTGTTGTAGTAGTCGTATGGGCTATGTCCGTATTCCCGCTCGTGATCATCGTAATCGTCCAGATCATCATAGGACTCAACAGACGGTGCGCCGGTGTGGTAGTCGTTGTCCTGGTTCTCGGTACCCCGTTGACGTGGCAGCTGTTTCAGGTCTCCATGTGAGATATTGGCGTGTTGAGTACCCAATGACAGTAGAGTAATCGGAGTCCGGGTGGGTGTCGGAGTAGAATCCTCAGTGTGGTACTGGCCATTCTGATCCTGCTTCGGTGCAATCTCCTCGCTAGCCGAGTGAGGCCTATCCGTGTCGGCAGATAAGATAGAGGCTCTGGTGACGTCCGACGGGTTGAGCTCGCTCATTAACGGCATCGGAGGAGCAGGTGCGAGGAAATCGGAGGCATCATCATCATAATCCTCATGCTCATTACCAGCACGATTCCGCAACTCACGTCTTCGCCTCCTACTGCGGTTCTCTCCAGGAGACTTGAGGCTATCATGAGCTGCAGCCGCAGCCGCACCCATAGCCGCACCGGCAGCAGCAGTCTTTAGACGGTCAGTGCTTGCCGCGGGGCTGTGGTCAATATCATGCACATCGCTTCTCGTGTCTTGGCTGAGGGCACTTCCTGCCGGACTCTCATCGAAGGCATTGCGGGCTTCCCTGTCTCGCTTCTCAATCTTGATAGGTTCCTTGGGTGTGGGAGTGGCGCCCGAGTTTCTGTCAGCTCTAGACGTCCGGCGCCTATCACTGCCCTCGTCCCTAGAAGCCGTTGTCGCACTTGATGTCGCCGAGGCGGCCTTACGATCCTGACGCAAGCTCTGTTCTCTCTTCAAGGCATTGAGTTCTGGAAGAATAAGGCGACGAATGGCATCTTCTACTGTCTCCAAGAGCTTGGGGTTGTTGATTGAGGAAGCCTTGGATTGGCCTGAGCGCATCGACTCTGCACCCATGGAGCGTTGGCTGGCAGCTGCAGTCGAAAGCATGCTTGACTCCGCTCCCGATACCAAGGAATCATTGTGCTTGGATCGGGACTCTGAGCGCTTCGAACTCCTTTCCTCTTTGCTGAGACTGCTGGTCCGGCTCTTGGTCGACTTGTGGAGGCGGTTGCTACTGCCGCTCTTCTCCTTGTCCCCGCGCGTCTTGGTTACCGATACCTTTTCACGCTCTCCGCGCTCGTATTCTCGATTCCTGCTCTCATCTCGGCTCTTGGTACGGAGCTTGTCAGTAACTGCAGCAGCTGTGATACCAGCAGCAGCGCCAGCAAGGGCATCCCCGCCGCGCAAGGGGCTCCTGCTCCTGGAACCAGGGCTCTTGACATCAGAGTTCTTGTGGGATACGTAGGGCTCGTCGAGGAAACTGTCGCTCGGGATGGCCGAGATGTCGCTCATGTTGCCGGCATTGTAGCTGCTATTCTTGCTATCAGCAGATGGGATCAAAGGGCTGGCAGGGCGGCGGGCGCGTCGGTTGGCGCTACGTTCACTTCGTTCGCCGATTTCGATCTCGATGTTGCGACTGACGTTGCTCTCCTCGGTGGCAGAGGCGTACGAGTTGTTGTCTTCGTCGCCTCCGCTCAAGACGGACATCAACTCATTTTCGCTGCGGGTAAGGGCGTTTTGGGAATGGCGATCGGCGCGGCGGCTCTGGCTCGACCTCCTCGTTGACTTTGCTTCTGTTATTTCAATGCGACCTCGATCGGAACCGCTGCTTTTGCGATTGGACTTGTGGCTTGGCGTGAGGCGAACACGTACGCTGGGTTTGCGCCCGTCTCCAGATGGGGCTCCTTTTCCTCCTTCGAAGTACTCGATCAACAGCGAGGTCTGCGATTTGCCTCGATTGTGTGTCTTGATAGTGACCGGGGTGCCGTCCTCAGGCAGCGAGTAGGATGACTTGTCGTCGGTTCCCAGCTCACTCTGGGTAGGGCCCATTATCGAGGATTCGGTCGCGCTGGGCACGGGTAGTGGTCGCTCGGACGACTTCTTTTTGGTTTCGACACCCATGTTGTCGGTGTTGGGCGTGTCTAAAGATGGTTGGGCTAGGCCAGGCTATCGAAGATCAGACGGTCGTCAAGCGAGTGGGCCTTGTCGTAGCTTGGGTAGCGCAGCTGTCCCCCGCCAGTTCGGTTGCCAAATCCTGTTCCTGTTCTTCAAAAGCAGGCTCTTCCCGGCAATTCGGTGGAGGGTGGGAGGTCGTTGCGAAAGGGCGAAATAAAAAAAGAATATTCGTAGTAATTAAAATGAGGAGAAAACAGGATAGGGCGCGTGGGGTATTAGGTTCGTCGTTCTGTCGAGTCGAAGCTGCGCGGTCTCTCTATTCGATCCGTTCAGGGCGACATCTGGTGGTTGCGGGAAAATCTGGTGGTCAGAGAAAAACTGGAAGCTGGACCAACGAAATCAGGGTAAGCTGCTAATTCGTCTCGTAGAAGCGTAGAATTGCGAAACAGTCAGAGAATGGCAAAGCCAACAGATTGGTTTGACTGGGGACGCCAACTGAGAGGCGGCGTAAGATGCAAGCTGTGCGCCTCTCTCTCTTGGACAGAGGTTGTGTGGATGAGTACTGGGTAGTGGAGGAGGAGAGGCTGGATGGATGGAGGGGAGGAGGAGACAGGACTGGAAGAGGGAACTGGAACTGGAACTGGAAAACGGAAGCGCAACCTAGCCAAGGTGCGCCGTAGTCAGTCCCAGTGCAGTGCAGTTGCAGTTGCAGTGTGATTGAGATGATGGCACATACGGCATCGGCAAGGGGAGGGAACATGGAACCTGAACCTGACGGGAGCCAAGCGCGCACCAAGGAAAACAATAGGATGGGATGACAGGGCAGGAAGGAGGCAGGCTAGCGACAAGGTAGGCGGCGGTGCTCCGTCCCGTAAAAATCGAGAGGCGGCGCAATCCTGCCCTGCACTTGAGGCAGCATATGGGCAGCAATGGGACAACCCTTTTAAGAGGACAGTCCAGCCCGATGCTGACACGAGGCATTGGGGGGTTTGATAGATTAAAGGTATGTCAAAGGTACGTACCAGATGGAGGAGGGTAGAGGGTCGGTAAGGTACGATATGTATCGTCCTCAAACTTCCTCTACACTATGCGCGCGCGCTTGTATGTATCGGCCAGGGCGGGCTTAGTTCAGGATTCCGAGCAGATGGAAAGTAAATCGTCTCCTCGTGTGCGTGCTGCAGGCCTCAAAGGTGGTCGGTCTAGTAATGTTTGTCGCATGCAATGGAAGCGTGTCGCAAGCGATCATTCAAGATTTCTCCGCTCGTTCGGGTGCCAGGTGGAGGTGGATGCGATATGTCGAGCTATAGATACCTGCCAACGTGTAGAGCAGGCTGGCAGCAGCAGGGGAAGCACACAAAAAAGTGAGAGGATAATAAAAAGATGGTCCTAGTGAAGTCCGTCACTGGAACCTGGACCCTTCTTGGGAATCTGTTTACAACCCGACCTCCCGACTTGCTGCTGCAGATTTACGACTGACGTGTGAGGGAGGGAAAAAAGTGACTGGTGCCTCTGGATTGGTGCTCTCCTCCTCGGGGCAATTCGGTGGTGAGCCCAAGTCTTTTTGCGAGGGACGAATGAGCGGTGGGAGTCTGGGAGAGGAGCCAAAAGTCGGCGCCCGCGTTCGAATTGGGACTGGGGGAGCTGGACGGGACTCGCCCACATGGATATCTTGGCTCGATTCCCGAATGGGTTCACGTTCGACTTCCACAGCTGCAGTAGCGTCAGCAACAACAGCACGTTTTTTTCTCAGTCGAGTCACTTTCACCATCCCACGGCCTTGGTTCCGTTTCATCCATCACGTCTTCTTCTTCTTGTTCTTCTCTTTCCATTCCCTTCCTGATCTTCTCGACTGCCTGATGGACGGCTTGATTCGCCTAGGTTTGCCTGACGACGGCCGGCCTTGCTTGATGTGCTGGCCATGCTCGACGGTTATCGGCCAATTGCGCGTGGGAGTCAGGGGTGCTATGAGGTGCCTTGCTGCAGCGTTATGCAGCTCAGCTCCGTTCAAGTTCTCCCCTTCGAAAGGGCAGTGACATGATAAAATGGAAAACGAGTCGCTGGAAAGCTCAGGTAAACGGTCATTGTGGCACAGCCTGGTTTACAATATCCCCTTGCTTCTGTTTCTTCTTTTCTGTGGTTATCCCTCCGTCAATTCTTCAATCCCTTCTTCAGAGACTCATCTTCAACCACCTCCCTCCTCCCTTCCCATCGGCCCGGTTGATGATTGATACAGCATATCAAAACAAGAGACAAGACATCAGCAAGCAACTCGAAAGCGAACTTTACCAGCCACAAACAAGAAACCTACGAGCATGGGGGATGATCCCCAAAAAGTAAAAAAGAAGTGGATCCTCCCGGCGGCTGGGGACGACCGAAACTGGATCCAGAGCTCGAGCCATCCAAGGTCAAGGGGGTGTTGATCAGCTTCACTCACCCGCCAGCCCGCTTCAGTTCGGAGCTGGTCCCGTTTCCCGTCTTCCCCTCCGTCTTCACCGTCTCACCTTCAGTTGCCTTGTCCAACTCGGGCCCAAGAAAACGAAACGGTGAAACGGTAGCCCCGCAATCAATGGTAAACAAATTGCACAGGCCTCCAGGAGTCCCGAGTTCAGGGCAGGGCAGAGCTGCAGATGATGATTGTGCTGCTGCCGCGGCTAATAAGCAAGTAACTGCTGCCAGGTACCGTCACTATCACCAACACTGGAAGCCAAAAAGATCAGAGAAGATCACCGACAGATTGACCGACTGCCCTGATTCTGTTCCCAGCTCACAACTCAGCCCTTGAGCCTTCTTGGTGCCCTTGTTTAGCTAGCTAGCTGAATTTGGTTCCTGAACTGGTCTCTCCCACGTTTTCGGATCGTTGCCCCTGTTGGACCTATGTAGTCGGGTATGCTTGGCGCTAATGACGTTCGGGATCAAGTTACAACCACCTTTATTACCTGCTACCATTCATTATGGAGGTTGATGAAACGGTAACTCCCTTCAGAGTCGAGTCGAGTCTCCCGACCGGCACCCAAGTTGTATGTAGACTTGAAATTTGACGGTAGAATGATATCGTAGACAAGGCAGTCAGTTCCTCGCTCGTTTGCATCTGCGTTTCGTATAGTATTACGGGGGTACCACAAGCCCATAAACTGGACCAGATCTCTTACCCTCGCAATCGTTCGTCGAAGCTGTTGGAGATTACATGAGGGGCTTGCGAGACATGGGGCATGCCTGGGACAATGAACAACTCGAGTTTATAGTGTGCATTAATAATTTACGTAGCCCGAAGACGCTCGAACAGTTGTGATGTGTACTTTGGAAGAAAGACTTCAAGTTGTGCGCTCTTACGCCCGGGGACTTCTAGGGTATTGCTTGGAGCAGATGATGACTGCACTGCAGTTGGACTTGCTGGTTGGAAACACACGACCTGAATTGTCGTGAAAAATATTGATATCCAGTGTTTACACGAGCTCAGACGGGATCGAAGGTCATCTATGTCGCTGGAGGAACTGTTGATATTGCGAAGCTCAGATCATTGATACAATGACAACCATTGTCCAAAAACAGGTGTTGGCATCCGAATGGACGCAAGATGTAGTTGAAGAGGAAAACCTAAGCTGATCGGCGTAGCATCTTATCTGAGCTGTGGCTCATAACTCTACTTGTATAAATCGAGCAGTAAGAATGATAAGATGTGATGAAAATAAAAAACAATCGACAAAGCCTTGCAAAGACAGTAATGATATACCAAGACTCCTGTTGACAACTAGAAATGCGTGCAAAGAGAAACCAAGTAACAATGCCACCTAATACTGTCATGTACTGAACCCCCCTTCCTTCTTCATTTCCCATCCCAGTATCATTCAGAGCTACCTCCTCTTGGTAGTCTTGGCTATATACTCCACGTCCGCACCCTTCAGAACCTCCCTAACCACAGGGTTCTCGATATATTGTGTCGCCAGACCGCCACCGAGGACAGTCTTCAAGGTGTCCACGCGAGCGTGTAGTGACCAAGTATCAATAATTAGAGACTGGTTATGAATCCGCAGCTTCTCACGGTATCCAAACTCGACGAAGTCCTCCTCGCCTCCGGCATTTATCTCCAACTTGGAGCCTCCCGTATGGGGATTCGCCGCACCGCGACCGGCAGTCGAATATCCCGGACCCAGGCCACGTTCCAAAGAGGTGATGATGCTTTGGAAGTTGGCCTTCAGTTGTTTCCGGTTTGATTTTGAAACCGTCTTGGAAGAGTCGCGGACGATCTCCGCCATGCGGGTCATGATCCTGTGCTGGTTGTACTGCATGTCTGAGCTCTCGCCCGTCTCTTCTTCGTAGTCGCGGGCAGCTTCAAATAGCAGAGCAATGTTGACGCCGGCACCCGTTTGGACGTCGCTGTCAGTGCTGTCCAGCTGCTCCATGAAGGCCTCCATGGCTTGGTCGCTCTGCACGCTCAAGTCGTCCACGTAGCTGGCCACAAACGCCCAGGCTTGGAGAGCTGCTGCTACGACGCTACCGTTGTCGGGGGCACCGACACTTTGGCCGTCGCTTTCGATGATTTCAAGGAGGAAGTCGAGAACTTCTTCTGCTGCGCTGGATGAACCGCCCCCGAGGGTCACGGCGATGCTAAGAGCGGTGATGGCCTCGACCTTGATCTTGTCCTCCTCTCCGTTTTCACAGGCTACTTTGAGTGCCGAAAAGACATGATCAAATACCGTCTCCGTGGGGCAGGTAAGGATGGTGGCTGTAAGTGCCTTGAGAGCGAGCAGGCGTTCCTGATCGCTACTCCCGCTCCTGATGCTGCGGAGGAGGGCCGCGTTGATGTCGGAAATGTTCTTCTCAATGTACTTCTGGGCAAAATGATGCTTCAGAATGTGTACGTATGCCTTCAGCGTAGCCTCGCGGCCCTGAACGCTGCTTCTCTTGCGATCCTGAAGTTCCGCAATACGGTCTTGCAGCCTCTCCGGCCACGTTTTGTTTGTATCGTCCTCGTAAACATCCTCGCCAGACACCGAGTTGGCGCTGCTCATAGTCATGGCGTCGTCGTACTCGTAGTCACTCGCTTCGTCCTCGGAGGGGACACGGCTTCCAGCTCGAGACCCCGCCGTTGAGGTTGCCCGTGAGCCGGGCCGCGAGCTTGCGGGAGAGCCATTGCCGGGGGAGAGAGTAGAGCGTGGGGGATCGGGCCGCGCTCTAGCCTTCCGTGAAACGGTCTTGCCACTCTCCAAGAGGGCTTTCTTGCGTAAATCGTGCATGATGTTGGGTGTGTGCTGGATGCAGCGTTTGTCGGAGAAGAAATTTGAGATTCTTCGTTTAGGCGGTCGTCGTCTTTTGCAGTTCCGATCGCTTGCCGCGTAAGGCTATCACTTCTCGGGTTGGTGTATGGGTGGTGAATGGTCGTTGTAGTTGTTGATCGCAGTTGCTGACTTTTCGAATGAGTAGGTCGTATTCAGCATAAAATCCATGAGATACGGGGAGGGTGTGCTTTTTATAAAGTCGAAGGTAGGATTGTGCCGTCGTCGGTATTTGAAATTCGGAGGCAAAGTTGGCTGGATAAGACGGCGGGTGATGATTCTCCTTGGTCCTGACGGGAAAATATTTTGTTTTTGTAGAGGAGAAGAAATGTGCGGATCAACAACTGGAATTGCAGTTCGGGACCCGTCCGCTGCAGGGCCCGGGAACGAGTGACGCATGACGCACTGAGGCGGGCCAGAGAGACCAGGGGCACGGTGATGCAGTGGCGAACGGTGGCCGGAGCCAAGACCGTACGATTTATTGCTTGGCCCATTCTGTTAGTGTGCACCAGCCACGATTTCTGATATTCTCGTTTGTTGTTCTGCCTTGTGAATGACAAATGCCTTCTTGCTGTGACATGGTTGTTCAATAGTTTGAGGATTTGAATGGCATCGTGATTTGTGACTCAACCGAATATGTGCTGGTATAAGCCTCTTTTAGGTGTCGCTAGAACTACTCAACCAGCATTGAGACCGTAGCAGACTAGGCGCTTATTTTTTGTATGATGATAGGTGGAGATCTCGGTGGGTCACTACTGAGCATCCCACATTCCTGGCACGGGAACCGACAACAGCATCGCAAGAAAAACCAAAGTCCGAACAGCGGCAGAGCAACATGTCCGGATGTGCAATCGTCAAATAAAAGACAATCTTGCCAGCTCCGATGTATTACTCAATTGTTACTGTATTTGAAATTCCAGAGCAATCCTGTGCTTCTCAAATCGGGAGCTAACCTCTCTCGTTAGCGGTTGTCGATATCACATGTGAACTCATGAAGATTTCTAATGTTCCTCACTGGGCTGTTAGTCAACAACTCAAATTAGCACAACCTTTGGAAACTGAAGCGGTTAATCTTGTGCCAGTCCCTCCGTGTACCTAGGTTCCTTTGGTTGCCTTGCCATCCATCTCGTGGATGTGGTTTAAGTGCTTGCATATGAGCCATGAACGCACTAACCAAAAGCGGTTAGGGTTGGATCCTCCGGTTGTCACTGAGCACCTTTACGGCCTGGGGAAGCCTTTCAACATCCGAGCCCAACACGAGCATTCATCATCCATAATCGGCCTCAAAAAAAGACATGGAAATCAAACAGGAACTGCTGGTAGGTTCAACAAGAGCGGCACCCGATGGAATTCGTGAAACGACAGAAGGTGTTGTCTCGAGAGAGTCTCGGATCGGTGAATCCCCCTCTCTGCCCTTGCAAGCGATAAGATAGGTACTGACGCCCCTCTTCCCCACCAACGTGCCGTCACTCCATTGCCCGTGCCATGAGCTGCCCGCCCCTTGTCCGCCCTGCTCTCCCTGCTCTCCCCGGTCCTTTTGTTCCCAGCAATAGCTCCGCATTATCCGCACTTCGTAGCTCTCCCGTCCAGTCCCGTCGTCGTTCACTTGGGGGAGCATGCAACAGGAGTGGGGCATCATGAGTCTCAACCGACGACAACTCGTCGGCTTTCAAACATGATCAACACTGGAGTTGACCGATTACAAGCCGCCGGATGATGAATGCCATGGGGATTTTGGATTGTTAATAAAAATCAAAAACAGCGGGTACCATATCGTTGTGACAGGGCTCCAGTCTGACTCAGTTGTTGCCCGGCTCGTTGGCAAACGAACGAAGGGACCAAAGGGAGGAGGGGGTCAAGTCGGAGCACAAACAGATCCGACGGAAGAAGCTCAAGCTTGTGTAACCGCATGTGTCCGTCCATTCCCACTCGATGTCTGCCTGCCTGCTGGTAGCCTGGTGCCTCGTAGATGCGGCCTAGTTGTGCGGCTCGAGTGCAGCTTCCATGGCTCGAGTGCTTCCACCAAGGTAAACGGCATGATGGATGAAGGAAGATGGAGCGCTGTGATCTGCTCTGCCACGAAGCACGATAATCAGAACAAATCATTGCATTCACATTTGTATCACCAATTGTAAGAGACAGGAGAAGCTGCCCGACACGTACCGTGACCTCTAGGTGGACATGGCCAGATGGAGGTCCCAGGTCGGTGTATCAGGCAGCCCCCTGGCCCCGCACTTTCGCTATCTAAAGGAGGAGTGCTCTTTCCCATTTCGAGGTACAAGTCGGCGGTCGCCTGGGCAAGCACCCTTGAAAGTGCGACTACCGAATCCGTCTCTCTTGCCAGTCGCAACCTCCTTTATCCAACACAACTAACTGATCCATTTCTCGATTTGAGCGTCGTTCCTTCCTGCTCCTTTTCAACCTTCCAGCGACAACTTCCACATCAACAGGACCGTCTTGCTGGACTCGCTGCGAAATCACGTTCGACCCCGCCCTCCAGCTGCAGTCTGCAGATACCTTAGCTACGGGCTGCTGCGTCTTGTTTGGTCATCATTCCTTCACCTGTAGCAGACCTCGAGTTCACATCAACCCAGAAAGCACGTTTCACCCCACCATCACTGCTCAATCACTGCACGCACTTCCAGTCTCTCACTCCTCGGCTCGGTCTGTGCTGCTTCTGGTATCGCATCTGGCACTGCGCTCTGCTGCCTTGAACGTTTTCTCAACACACCAGCAGTCCGGCACCTCGGGTATCACCTCTCTGCGGCCTGCTGTCCCGCCTCGATCAGGATTCTTCCTGACAAGAAACAGGATCACCACTTGTCTAACTTCCTCGAAGGAAACTGCGCAGAATTGTAGCGATTCCATTCTTGACACGTTCAAGATGGTCACGAACTCTGAGCCGGCCTCAACTGGCAATCTGCCTGGTACGTCCACTCAAAACCTACTCATCAGGGCTAGAAACGCCTCCTTCCCCTCCTGGGCGAGTCCTCGGCTAATTCGGTGCTAACTTCCTCCCAGCATTCTCGATCTCGTTAACACAGCATCCTTACACTGACCATCCGTTCTCGCGACGGTACATTGTCTTGGACAACCAGAATCCGACGTTGAAAATCGGCCGCTCTTCCAAACTGTCCGCGAAAGGATTTGTACCCAGTTCACAGAACGGGTGGTATGACAGCCCGGTGATGTCTCGACAGCACGCCGAGATCGTCGCTGATTTTGCCCAGAAGGTTGGCTTACTCCTCCCTCCCCAGCGGGCCCATCTGCCTGCTCCTTTGCTAATGTGTAATGGTCATCTTGCAGAGGCTCAAATTAAGGGACCTTGGCTCGCTCCACGGAACCTATATCAATGAAAACGACCAGCGACTTGAGAAAGACGATCTCGTCGAAATAAAAGACGGCGATAACATCCGGTTTGGCGTCGATATCATGAGAAAAAAGACGTTCCCACCTACAATCGTTAAAGTAGGTCTCGAGTATATCGAGCTCACTAAAGCGAAGCCAGAGCCGGATACTACTCGGTAAGTTTTACAAACCTAGCAGACAGCAATACAACGTCAACATTGCTTCTCGCGCGATCATCGAGCAAATGCTTCGTTGCCCTCACTTTCGCATTATACAATGCTAACATGGAATAGTCCGAGGGCTTCAAGTACATTCAAAGTACCCGACGCATCAGACTCCGACATGGAGTACCAAGACGAAGACTCCAACATTGACCCGTCGATGCAGGGCACCCAATCGGCGGCACGTGGACTAGCTGGGCGAAGCTGGAAGGGCGAGGTGATTGACCTAACTCACCCTGTCGGCTCTGGCAATGTCATCACAAACCCGCAGAAGCAAGTTATCGATCTGGATCAGGATGACGACTACGAGATAAACTGGTGCCAGAGTGATGAAATGGACGACATCCATCAAAATAATGGCTCTCAATCACAGCCGAACATTGCATTCACACAACCTCCGAAGAGCCCTATCGACAGCAACGACAGCAACTGTAGCAATTGTGGATCGGATGGAGAGAATGTTTGGCCCCAGAACGTCGGTGCCCTTCAACCCACTGCATCTCAGCATCCCATTGCATCGCAGTATCGCGCTGCATCTTATGATGATGATTGGGACTCTGAGATGAGCTCTGATTATGAGCCTGAGTATGAGCCTGAGTCTGCTGGCTCGGAAGTGAGTGGAGGAAATTTGGGTGGTGGTAAGTGTTGAGTAAATATTCGCAAATGGGCCTTGTTTCTAACTATATCCTAGATGGCGATTCCTCTGAAAGAGGCTTCGAGTACGATTACCCCTACTCTGAGTCCGATTCGGATTTTTCCGTTGGCCAGGATTCAGATGTAGAGTCAGAGGCGGAAAGAGTTTATGGGATGGAGCCTTCTAGCAACTGGGCCATGCCAGACCTCAGCAATGTTGTGACTGGTCCGACATCTAAGATTGAGGCTGAACCAAACCACGACAAGGGCCATGGCATCAATCGCCTCGTTACTCCGGACATAAGTGGCGATGCCATCAATTGCAATACCTCTCCAATCAATTCCGCCTCTCCTGTAGATATGCGGTCAGCAGCGTATCCTGTCGATCATCCATTGTTTTTATCCTTCACTCATCCTCGCGATGTTCAGCTGGCTACTCCCAAGTCAAACAAATCGGCGGGAGATACCGAAGCAGCTTCCCCGATCCACAAACCACTGAATGGACCCGTGGCAGGAACGGCAGAAGCTCCCTGGTATCCGTCTGACAAAGCAGAGTTCTTTGAGGCTCGGAAGGAGAACAAGGTAATCGTGATGCAATCTTCGCCCGTCGCTAGGGAGTATTCACGCCTCGCTATCTCCGACATCATGGATGAGAATGCCCCAGTAGGCAAAGGAAAGAGAAAGGCAGAGGCTATCTCGTCTAGCACCGAGGAAGAGCTTGCATGGCACGCTAGCGAAGTACAGAAGTCCGAAGCAAGTGGCGCAAACGAAAGAGAGGAAGTCATGGAACTCATGGAAGTCATGGAAGTCGATAAGGACAAGGAGGTTGGCGAACCGATCGAATCTTCTACTGAGGATAAGGAAGTCAACGAACCGATGGAAGGTTCTACTGAGGCAGCGACAAAAATCGCAGTGACAGTTGAGTCGCTCGATTTGCCTGTCTCGGTCGCTACATCGACTGTTCGCCTTAACGATGACGACAGTGATAGACCAGCCAAGAGGCAACGGTTGCGCAACATTGCCGAGCGGGTCGGCTATGTTGCCCTCGGAGGTGTAGCTACCGGTGCCATGATGTTCGGCGCATTGGTTTACACTGCACCCACCTTTGTCTGAGTTTTAGTTCACGGCCCCGTTGAGGAGACCTTGAATGGTTGAGAAGGTGGAAGGATATGGGTATGGAGATCTTGGTTTTGGTTGACTTCTTTGTTCGGATTCTACATGGGTACAAGGTCTTGGCTGCTGTGTGTTCAAATGGTCTTTTCTTGCTGGCTTCCTAGATGCCAGTTGTCAGTTGTACTGGTTTTGTAAACGGTTCAATGGTATATTCTACGTTAAATCTTGGTCCACTTTGTCGAACATCCCGGACAAGGACAAGGACAATAGTATCGTGGCAGACAATCCCTACTAGTGGTTATCGATGGTTTCAAGTCGATTGCTTATATGGCTGCTTGGTTATGGGTCACTTTTCGCAACCAAATGTATGATCACCGTCACAAAGGATCTTGGGTGCTCCGCTATCAACCTCTCTAGTCTAGCGTTGAATGATTCTTGAGTTCACACTGCTGTTCCCGTTCTTGTATTCTGCTTGATGCCTACCAATCAGTTCTTGACAATACATATATGTGAGGGTTTCCACCGGTAGGGTGGTCAACTCGGATCCTCATCAAAAAGTAGGGTCGTGACGTTGAGTATATCTGCCCGCGGGTTCTTGAGCCACGGGCCATTGTAAATACATCCTTGCGGAGCTGGATGAGTTGACTGCCTGACGAAGCTAACAATCTCAAATGGATAAGTCAAGGGATCCAACCATGTAGTCAGCTAGTCCAGTTAATTCTTTCGTGAGCCCCTCTTCTCCTCCTTGATATGTCGAGTGATTTTCTCCAGACCCAGGAGTCATCTACCTCTCTACCTCTCTACCTCTCTACCTCTCTACCTCTCTACCTCTCTACCTCTCTACCTCTCTACCTCTCTACCTCTCTACCTCTCTACCTCTCTACCTCTCTACGCTTGGGTTGAAGAACGGCCGAGACGGCCCAGAGTTTGAGAGTGTGAGAGACCATAGGAAGTAGAATATAACTGTGATGTCGACCGGCGTACGTGAGTGAGTAAGCAACCTGGGGATCTTTAGCATCTTCAGTATCTTGAGGCTTGAGCATCACGAGCAGCATCTCTGGACCTTGGTCCAGAATCCACAAAGAGGAGGAAGAGTCATGATTGATACCACCATCCATCATCGTCGTCCTTCTCGTGATCAACATTTGATCAGGTTAGTCGATTCCTTGTTCATATACCCGCACATCCTCACGTCCACACGCCCATACGTTCACATAGGGATTTGGATCAGTACGCACGAGATAGGATAGCAAACACCAACACCACACGATGTGCAGGTAGGCCGTTGAGTGGCTGACCGGCTAGATGGCGTTTGGTAATTCATGGAGATATCACTCTCATCTACTACTGCTGCTACTCGCGGTCTGGCAAACAGAGAAACGTCCGGGCCTACAAGACTTAGTTAGGTATCCAAGAACTGGTCGGTTTTATCCAATATACCGAACGAAGCACCAATTACTCTCTCAGGCTTACTCAAAAACTTACTTTTATCCAATATATCGATATCGAAGCACCACTTACTCTTACTCTCAGTCCTGCTGTTCTTCGTCATACTACGTTTTACTTAGTCACTTGACCCAAGTCACTTGACTCAAGAAGCATGGTAGTAATCATTTTGGCAGATAATCGAACAATTCGATAGCAAGTGATATAAATATCTGGATGCGAAGAAGCTAATTCCTTCGAAGTTACCTGGTTCTTCTTGACTGGGCTTCGCTTTGCTTGTGATAAGATAGCAAGCGAAACACTCTCTTCATCTTTCCTCGTTCGTCGAGTGACTGTCGTCCTTCTAGTCGTCCAAAATCCATTCCTCAATCCTCAAAACTTCGAATCTGTAACGACCTGGCTTTCCTCCTTCATATACTTCACCACCCCATTCTCTCTCCTCAATGATCCACAACGATGTTTAGAACCGCTTCCACAACTCCCTCAATCATGCCTAAAAGTGCACTTATCGCCCTTTGCACACTTCCCCTGTGCCCAAAAAGAGCACTGCTTAGTACCAATCAGACTGCGATTAATGCCCCTCAAATGATCAGGCACCTCGTCACCGTTGCGATCACCACGGTTCTTCTTGCTCTTCCAGTGGGGTTTATCACCGCGATGATGTTGTTGCTGAGAATCACGACCGTCACGTCCGTCACGACCGCCGTCACGGCTGTCATTACGATCACGGAAGTTGTCGCGGCCTCCGTGGTGCGGCTGCTGGTCCCAACCACTGCTGTCGCGGTCGCGAGAGTTAGGGTCGCGATCACGGCTGTCGCGAGCGTTGTGATCATAGGCTTGACCAACTTGGTAGGGATCGTAACCGCCGTGTTGAGCGGCAGGTTGAGCGTGAGTAGCGCCGCCTTGACCACCGGCTCCGGCTGCCCACTTCATATAAGAGGCGATGTACTCGGCCGTCTGAGGGTCGGCGGGCTGGTTGGGTTGTTGTTGACCGCCGCTTGCTAGGGTGGCCATGAGGGCTTGGATCTCGGCGGCTTGTTGGGGGTTGGCGTTGGGTTGGTTTGCGAGAGCAGCCAAGATGGCATTTACATCGACGCCTTGAGCAACGAGCTGAGCGATCTGTTGTTGGTAGGCACCCAAGGCGCCTGGCTGCTGCTGTTGTTGCTGTTGCTGCTGATGTTGAGCATACCAAGCCTGTTGTTGTTGAAGGGCATGCGCATCCGGCTGCTGTCCTTGCTGGGCTTGCTGGGCGTAGTACTGTGCCCAGGCTGCGCTGTAGTCTACCGGGGCTGCCGCTGGTTGAGCTGCCTGAGCTGGAGTTGGAGCCTGAGCTGGAGTTGGAGCCTGAGCGGGCACGACAGGAACTGCTGGGACAGGCTGTTGCTTAATCTCGGGTACAGTCCGCTTGACATATTCCACGATTTCCTCCACATAGTCCGCAGCCTTCTGAACCACGGGATCCGGGTAGTCTCGACGACGTACTGTCTTGGGACGGGCAGGATCATAAGGCTCCGGATCACGGTAGTACCGAGCCCTGTCAGAGGAGATGAGCTCGTACGTCCGTTGATCACGAACTTCGGGAGACTCGTTTGAAACTGGCACAATGATAGGCGGAATGCCCTCAGGCTTAGCCGCAGCAACAGGCGCTACGTGCACGACTGCAGGCTGCTGTACAGGTATAGGATATCCGGTATACGAGTTGGTGATTGAGTCAAGCGACTTCATCGTCTTAGAGAAGTCAGCATAACCCGGGCTCGACTGAGTCTCCAACCGAGCCTTGGCCTCATAGACTGAACGATGAGCACCAAAGTTCTTCATATCGGTAGCCCTGCGACGAAGCTCGTCGTACTCCAAACCCGCAGGAAGCTGGAGATCAGACCCAGAGCCGTCATCAAGTGAAGGCTCGTAAGCAGGCGATTTAGGCGTAGGCGGAATATCTGAAGGGTCTGTGTAAATGACCATAAGCTCCTTGGCCTCCCGATCGTCCATGAACGCCTGCTGCTCGGTGCGGAAAGTCTTTACGCCACCCACGGTGACATAGCTTTTATTGCGCACCTCCTCCGGAAGAACTTCCAGATCAACCGAGTTGGGCTCCTCCCAAGGGCGAAGCTCACCCGCATGACCCTTTTTGAGTGCCATGCCTTCCCGCTTGTCCTTGCTATCTGATCGGACATCGCGAGACTGGCGGTGGCCCATCTCTTCGGGGAATAAGGTGTACTCCTTAACCTGGCACAGCTGGTCGTCGCTCTTGAAATTGACCCTCAAGTTACGTCTCCGGCGCTCCTCCTTCCGCAAGCGGCGCTTCCTCTGTTCTTCCGTCTCATTGGGGTCAGGGGCAGACTCCGCCGGAGGTGATGCGTCTGCCTTCACCTTCTTGGGCGCAGAAATCGACTCCAAGAGTGCCGCAAACTTGGAGCTGGGCTGTGGCTCTTCCTTGGCCTTTGTTGCCTTTGCCGGGTTGCCAGCTGAGGATGCCGCCTGAGGGGCATTAGATTTGGACGCAGACAGTGCGGTAGATAGCTTTGCAACTTCTGCCTTAACCAGCGGTTTCGCTGGTTCGGCCTTTGTAGGCTCTGGCTTCGGGGCTGGCTTTGCTGCTGGGCGAGCCTTGCCAGGCAGCAGATAGGAAGCACGCGGTTTTGTTGTGGTCGCGGCGGGTGTTGTTGCCGAGGGTTTGGGGGCTGGTTTGGCGGCAGTTGGGGGCGTCTTAGAACCAGTAGATGGAGCTTTGACATTGTTGGTAGAATTTGAAATGGCCGTTACCCGGGGCTTTCCATCGGTGGAAGGCTTCTTGGCGGTGCGTGAATCACCATTGGTATCATCCTCTCGAGCTCTCTTGGTTGCTGAGACTGGTGCCTTGGATGTTTTCTTGGCTTCGCTGCCCGCCTCCTTCTTTGACTTGGTCGCAGGACTTTCCTTGCCAGCGTTCTTTTCGGCATTTGCAACGATAGTCGCAACCAACTCATTGATTTCAGGATCGCCCAGCCCTTCAAGTTTGCCCTTTGTGGTTTGAAATTTCCAAGCTTCGAGTTGCTCCGGCGTAAGGCTTGTAAAGCAACCAAAGAGGCGAAGGGCTGCCTTGGCCAACGACGAGGTGGCCTCCCCGAGGTTGAAGAGTTGAATCAAGAGGTTGAGTAGACGAACAGGCAGTATACCCCTTTCGCCTACCATCCGCAGGATTACTGGGTCTCCGACTTTGAGTCCCTCAACAATGGCTGCTTCAAGCTCCGTTTTGAACGGCTGGAGAGACTGCTTCAGCGTCTCAACTGCAGCAGGCTTGAGGGTAGCGGAACCCTTTCCCTTGTTTTTTACGTCCTTCACAAGCTTCTCGAAAGCTGGTGCAGCCCTTAGGGCAGCAATCTTATCTGCAACAAACGCACCGAATTCATTACTTGTGTGAACGACAACTTTCCTGTTCTTCTTGTGTGCTGGATGAATACGAAGCAGCTCGGCTGCTTTCACGGCTGCCAGGGTAGGTTCGGGCGGGGGCGATCCGCGCTGCTTAGCATCCGTTCCAAGTTCACCCTTGGACAGCTTCTTCCACCAGTCAGCCGGCAACTCTGTTTTGGCTCGCTTCATCTCAATATCCAGCCTGATATCCGCTCTCTGACGATCCAGCACCTCTTTCGCAGTTTGGTATGCTTCAGCATGGTTACTGAGAGACTCAGCGGGAGTCCAGCCACGATCAAGACCGGGGAATAGAGGGTCTTTGCCCGCTTTCGCCACGATGGTCACAAATCGTTTAGTAGGTGGTCCCTTCTTGAGCTGGACAGGGGATTCATCGATGACGAGATGCGGCACTCCTGGGACAGTGCAACCCGGGGTTTCGATTGCCTTGTCAATCAGATCCTCATCTACGGTGAAGAGACCGGCAACCTCGCCACCATCGCCTTGCCCATTTACATCCGATGCGAAGCCAGGGTTCGCCGAGTTGTTATTCGCGAAGCTGATGACTTGGGGGTTCGCAACACTGGAGGCTGGTTGCAGCACCTTCGGTTTCTTGGCGAGGGTCTGCGTCTCCTGTACATCACCGGGTCGCTTTACACCCGAGATCACGTTAGTTTGGGGAGATTGGATAGTTTGTTGGACAGTCTGAGTCTGGGCCACCCGTTCCTGCGCCGGGGCCTGGAACGATTGGATCTGACCGGGCTGGGACTGTGAGATCGGAACTTGAAAACTTTGAGTTTGACTAGGCTGCTGATGTAGGACAAACTGTTGTGGTGTTGTCTGATGTTGAGGGACCTGCGAGAGGGTCTGTGCATGAGGTTGCGGCGTGGGCTGCGGCGTGGGCTGTGGTGTCGACTGTGATGGCTGAGCAGCCTGATGGGCGGGAGTCTGCACCACCTGTTGCACTGCATGCTGTACCATTGGCTGCACTGTAGGCTGGGCCATGGAACGGGGAGCAATCTTTGGTTGGATTGACTGCTGAACAGGTGTTTGAACAGGTTTTTGCTGTATTGGGGCGCTTTGGATTGGTGTATGAGCAAGTGGGCTAGGGCTTGCAGTGGTTCGCTGGGCGGGAAGTTGTGCCACAGAAGCGCGGTTTTGGAGATGTTGCCCGTTAATGGGTTGCATAAAGTGAGCTTGATTCGGTTGGGGCTCGGGGGTATGGTGGCCCTGGGCATGGTGGTAGCCCGTGAGCCCTCCCTGGACTGGGCCATGGCCAGCTTGATAAGGAGTAGGCGTGGGCGTCTGCCTTTGTTGCTGCTGCTGAAGCTGTGGGTGCTGCTGACTTTGATGTTGCGGCTGATGCTGAGGCTGCTGCTGTGGGTGATGTACAGCTGGTTGTTGGTGGCTTACAGGCTGTGACATTGCCAGTGGATTTTGATACTCTCCATTCGGAGCATAGCCTGAGCTCGCCATTGGCACCCTCTGCCATTGTTCTGAGACATGCCCCTGAAGATAGCCATCGGCTGACTGTTGCCTCGGGGGAACAGCGCCATGGCCAAAACCACCTTGGACTACCTCCTGCCTCTCGGGGATCTGAATGTGATGGTTTGGGTAATCAGTCTCCTGTGGAAGGTCAACAAGAGCGAACCGGCTGTCAATGGTGCGATGATTGCCATATGGGTGCTGTTGCTGATGCTGCGGGTGCTGCTGGGCAGGTGCATAATGCTCCTGAGTCAATGGCTCCTGAGCATAAGGGGCAGACGCAGGGCTGGGTCCAGTCCATGCCTCGTTCTGTGGGTAGTAGTTGTAGTGACCATAGGCATTTGTTTGCGTGTCGTGGCCGGCCAGCTGAGAATTCACTTGCTGTGGAGCGTCGATGAACGCACCAGGGTTGTGGTACGCATTCTCGTGTCCATGTTCAGGAGCGAAGGCGAACTGTTGTTCCCATGGATTTTCTGTCGCAAAGGAGTTGGGGTCCCACTGCCCAGAGTGATTGGGGTGACTGGCGTCCATGGCTGGCGAAGTCGACGATTGCTGGCTTCAGCTCAAAAGGGAAGAATCCAAACAAACAGAAAAGGGGCAGCGACGGGCTAGGAGAATGAGGGTGGTCAGTCAATGGGCTCATGCAATACGAGTCTTTCCACATCCGATCCAAATCTACACAACAGACTTGTATGATAGTGACAAAGTCAATCTAGTGGGAAATTTTGAGCAGAATACTCTCAGTCGAAACTCACTTTGTCGTTGATACTGGGTGTATCAAAGCACAAAACAAAGGTGTGCCCTTAACAACAAGTCCGGAAACTGTGTTAAACGAGTGGCTGCCTTGCTACACGAGTGGGGTGTCTCCAACGTCGAGTGGTGGGGCACAAAATGCGCTAGCTCCAATGATCAGAATGGATGCCAAGCTGAAAGCGGCTTAGCGTGTGAATTTCTGCTAGGGAAGAGGAGGGTCAGCGTCAGGTACAGAGTCCAACTTCTGAGAAGTTGCCAGCAGTCCAAGTGTGATGCGTGAATGAGTGGGAGATGGTGAGCTAAAAATTTTAGCTCGCACATGTCCTGACTGAAATCTGAGAAAGATTTCAGAGATGAAGAGAGAGAGAGAGAGAGAGACCCTGAGAGAGAAGAGAGAGAGAGAGAGATCCGGAGAGAGAGAGCGACGTGCAAGGCCAGCCAAAACCAAGCGAAGCCCCAGCGACAAGCTGATGTTGATGCTGATGTTGATATGTAGGATAGCGTTTCAGAATGCACTGTTCCTGATGATAGTGGTGGTGGCGGGGTGGTGTGGTGGTGCAAGTCGAAATGTTGCAAGACCGGTTGCCCCTGGTAGCGGAAAGTGTTGGCATTCAAGAGTGATGTGGGGTGTAAACAGTGGTCGAGGTACCGTCCAGGGTGAGAGGGAAGTCAAGGTCGCCAGCCGCGGCGGATGTCCGGAAACCGCACGACGCGACTTGATTGAGCTTGAGGCAAGTTTACTGCCGTTCGATGCTTTGGTCGACGATTCGGCTGTCGTGATGTCCACCGTCTCAAATCAAGTTTCGCCGAGGACACAAAGGTGAAGGTGAGGGTAAGGTGAGGTTCCCGTCTCAAAGTGAATCGGATTCCATCAACGGGCTTGTGGTTGAAGTCGGTGGGGGTTGTCGGGCGTGGATGAGGTATGCGGGGCTGCGAGCACAGCACCGTTCAAACAGTTGCAGTAGTGCTGTTAAGAAAGTGACATGACCCGCAGGCCTTGGCAGTGCTGTGGAAGTCCCTCAACGCTCGCTGTCCGGAGTGCGTATTGCCAGTAGCACTAACAGCCACCATCCACTTGTCTTTCTCCCAGAAATTCCAGGCCCAGGCTGTGTGTGTGTGTGTGTTTGTTGGGCTGGCTGCTGGCTGGCTGCCACACAGCAGATGTGAAATCTGGATCTCAGGTTGTGCATGGGACAATTAACCAGGGGGCGAGGCTGATAGATCCGGGTGTCAATGATAGCCATTGCCAGAGGCTCATCAAATGACCGCAGCATATCAATCAAGATGGGATGTCTTTGCTGGCCCTGTGCATTCTCAGAAGAAAAGAGTTGTGCAGTCTCTGGATTGCCATTTCCAGGTGCTGTGTTGCTCTCCCCAAGTCGTTGTTTGGTTTTGCATTTCTCCCCACACATGTCTCTCTCTCTCTCTTTGCTCTCTCAGCTCTGTCCTCTTTTCATCTGCCAGGATTAAGACGCAAGGTACTGTGGTGGGTAGCCCAGGTTACTTGTACCGTTTTTGGTGGATGTTGGCGAGAGGTTTGTTGGCCTTTTGGTTAACACGAACCCCATGATTTGCACTGCGAGACTCGCAATTCTTGACGACTCACAGCCTTATTTGACTGCAGGGCCCAGAATGCTTGAATCACAGGCAAATGCAGGACATGTGATATGGTAGAATACAACGGTCTTGTGCTTATTTTCAGAGGTGTTAGGATTGGGGAAGAGGTGAAGATGATGCATACCCTGAATGTTTTCGTCACGATCTTGTCGTGGTGTTCTGACGCCTTGGGGCACGTGCTCCTTGTTGGGTTACGTGTGCCTGAATGTGTCCGCAGCAACTCGTCACGAATCTCCTCCACGCGCGCGCGGAAGACAACAGCGATGAGGTTATCGCAGTTCGCTACAGCATTTCCTCTCTATCCCGGGTTAAAGAACGGAGAGGTCCTGACCTTGAACTCAGCTGAGCAGGCAGGTACCGATATTAATCTTCAAAAGCCAGGGCCGCAGGTCGATCGGACGACTGCAGCTGCTAGGGAGAAAGAGACGAGTTCCGAATGACGGTCGCGCAAGAAGAAAACGCCCGAGGGGTCAAGAAAACCTGCGCGTTTAAATCGCCTTTACAGCTTTGCCAGAACAAGGGAAAGATGTACGAAGAAAAGGACGCGATTATTAAGTACGACGATGGCGATGCGACAAGGCGACCAGGGCGACAAGTTGGTCGTCGAAGAAAGGAGAGATGCTGCTGATGTCAGGTCAGGGTGACGAGTTGAAAGGAAAAAGTTGGACGTGAGCGGCGGTCGCGCAAATCAGGTGCGTCCCGCCGTTCATAAAAAGGGACGCTTGCGACTGGGCAAGTGCATGAGTGCCGCGAGTGGGCAGGCGCTTCTCAACGAGTTGCCAGTGACGGGAGTGCATTGACTGGCTGGCACGCTGGCGCTCACGGGCCGCCGACGCTCGCTGGCACTGGCCGACCACGGGCCTTTCTCCAAAAAATGGCCCAGGCACGCAATCTGCACACGTGAAGCAAGAGCTTCTGTGGTCTGTGCGCGTGGCAAGTGAAGGGGGAAGTTGGACCTTTGGAAGTACCAAAGTACCGTTTGTTGGGTTCTGGGTGGGTTCGTGCCAGCTGGGGGCAGGAGCCAGTGCAAATCGCAGCAGGTGCCAGTGCTGTAATCGCTTATGGCAGGAGCAGTACATATCTTTCTGGACATTGGAAAATGGAGAGCAGATAAGACGGACGATATGGTAAAATGTCAGCGATGACACGCACGGGTTCAATCATCCATTGAACAGCCAAAGGCAAACGCCACAGAGACAGGAAGATGTCAACTGGTTGCGGTGTCAATCGAACATCGGAGGACGACAACGGAATCCTCGTCATACTGTGGGGGAAAGCTCTCAAGGCGGTACCTCCTGCAAGGCTAGCGGATGCAGAAGGGAAGGGGTAACAGTCCACTGGGAGCCCAGACAGAGAGAGGCCACTGGTCCAAGAACCGTAGAGGTACCTTGCGAACCAGACAAGACAACATAGCTTCAACGGAGATCTCTTCTTGTTTTTTCTGCAAATTGCACACGTAAAGACATTCTGGACTCCGTGCTGTAATACTTTGACACGTTTTCCCTTTCGTCCTTAAAAAGTCACGGCACTCTTTCTTTGCAACAGGCCAACAACTTCGAGGCCAGCCTGGCGATAATTCCATAAGGGATCACCAACCCCACTACTGCGACAGCAAGACGGCAGCTACCTTGCCTCGACAGCCTACGCCATCTCGGACGTGACCCGAGTCCTCCTTCTCACGAACTTCCTGCCGACCGGCATATCAATCACTTTAATACACAGACATGGCGCCGACACAAGGGAATTCTCTGCGCGACAAGCAGATCTGTATGTCCAGCTGCCTTTCTCTCCTCAATGTTCTCAGTGCCAGACAGTCTTGCGGTGGACTGACACATGCTCTCCAGTGTCGATCAAGAAGCTCCTGAACCTCAACCAACCCCTCGAACCGACCGACGGCGACGACTCTAATGGCTTCCAATCCGCTTCCGCCCCCTTACTAAAGGACATTCCCACATGGAAGATCTTGGTCTTTGACGAGCTTGGTCGCAATGTCATCAGCCCAGTACTCCAGGTCTCGGACCTGCGATCCATGGGCGTCACACTACACGTTTCCATTGCGGCCAACAGACAACCGATTCCCGATGTCGATGCCATATACCTTATCGAACCGAACTCCAAGAACCTCCAGCAAATCACCAATGATCTCCAGAAGAACCTCTACAACTCTGCCAGCATCAACTTCCTCTCCTCGGTACCGCGGCCACTGTTGGAGGACTTCGCGGCGCAAACCGCGGCAGCCGGCACATCGGAGAAGATCGCCCAGATATTCGACCAGTATCTCAACTTTATCGTCCCCGAGCCCGATTTGTTCAGTTTGGGCATGCAGAAGGAGCATACGTACTGGGCGTTGAACAGCGCAAAGACACAAGATGAGGAGTTGGATAGGGTCATCGACAGGATCGTCAGCGGCCTGTTTAGTGTGGTGGTGACACTAGGCGTCATTCCCATTATTCGCTGCCCCAGGGGTGCTGCTGCTGAGATGGTTGCGACGAAATTGGACCGGAAGCTTCGCGATCATATTCTCAACTCCAAGGACAACCTCTTCTCAGCACACAGGGCAGCAGCTTCCAGCACCGGAACACCAAAACCCTTGCTCGTTATCATGGACCGTAATATCGACCTAATTCCCATGCTGTCCCATTCGTGGACCTACCAGAGCCTATGCGCCGACGTCTTTGGTTTGTCGGAATCGAACCGGATCACAATCGAGAGCCCTGTTGACTCCAATAACCCGGCCAAGGGCACCAACAAGAAGACCTATGATTTGGCTGCTGATGATTTCTTCTGGGCCAAGAATTCGTGCCTCCCGTTCCCCCAGGTAAGTAAAAAGTGCAGATGGGATACCCTGAGGATGGCCTACTAACCAGGGTGCTTAGGTTGCCGAGGACATCGATATTGAACTCACGAAATACAAGGAGGAGGCGGATGCTCTCACAAAGAAGACTGGCGTTAGAGATTTGGATCATTTCGAACAAGACTCGAGCGCAAGCGCTCAGCACCTAAAAGCAGCTGTTACACTCCTGCCTGAACTGCGCGCAAGAAAAGCCACTTTGGATATGCACATGAACATCCTTGCTGCTATCCTTGGCGAGATTCAAAGCCGACAGTTGGATAACTACTTCCAACTGGAGGAGAACGTGTTCAAGCAAACCAAGGCGCAAGTGTTGGATCAGATCAAGGCGGCGGAGAAGGGCAAGCCCGAGGACTACCTGCGTCTCTTTGTGATCTGGTACCTCAGCACGGAACAGGATGTCTCTCGCCAGGAGTGGACGCAATTTGAGGAGGCGCTCGCGGCCAAGGGCTGCGACACAACGTGCCTCTCTTACATCAAGCAGTAAGTGTTACCCCTTTTCGGCTTTCCATCCAATCCTTACTAATGACATCACACAGGGTACGCGCCACAACAAAGATGACACAGCTCACCACCGTCAACAATCCTTCATCCTCCAACCAGCAACAATCCGGGTCCTCGGACCTCTTCAACCGCTTCTCCGACCTCTCCAGCCGTCTCACCGACCGCCTCAAGGAGACCGGCGTGCCCACCGGCGCTCTCTCCAACAACGTCGCCTCTCTCCTCGGTGGCATCAAGAACTTCCTCCCCGAAGACCGCGACCTCACGGTAACCAAGATCACCGAGTCCCTCATGGACCCCTCGGCCGCCAGCTCCTCGGCCATCGCCAAGACGGAGCACTATCTCTACTTCGACCCGCGCAGCGCCAACGCGCGCGGCACCATGCCCCAGCCGTCTGCCATGCGGGCCCAAGCGGGCGGGTCGTCCCTGGGCGGGCCCGGTGGCTTGCCAGGATCAAGTGGCCCAGGCCAGACGGCCAGTTTTGGCCAGCGCAGACAGGGGTTCTCGGAGGCGATTGTGTTTATGGTGGGCGGTGCTAGCACGGCCGAGTATAGCAATTTGCAGGAGTGGGCGGCGAGGACGACGACGGGGGATCGCGCGAAGAGGAGGGTGATTTATGGTGGTACGGAATTGCTTAATGCGGGCAGCTTTATTACAGAGGAGTTGGAGAGGTTGGGTAAGGAGGTTTCGTAGGTTGTCTTTGGGACAAGTAGAGGGGAAGGGGGTGAGGGTTTGGTATATATCAGATTATAATAATTCTACTGTGGTCAAAAGCGTTGTTTAAACATGCTCAGCTGTCTGTGGAGGTTTGTTTGTTTGCATCTTGATGTTCATGTTGATGTTGTCTTGGCATTTCGAAGTTGTTCACCAGTCTCTTGTCACTTTGTCGAGATATCGGATATGGTGAACGTGCTTGGTTTCTTTCTGTTCACATCCACACTCGCATGCATGTCTTGCATCTCCTTCAACATGACCCGAACATGGCGTGCACATGGCACAAAGGCTGAGATGCAGCTGATGATGGGGCGTGCCAAAAATAACTTGTTTTAGGGTTTTTCTTTCGAAACCTCGATCGGACAAGAAAAGGACAGGGACAGTCGGGGCAATTCCTTTTATCATTTAATCTGCTGTTCGGCTGTTGATACGCGCGTCTTCAAGGCTTTGATTCCAGAGGAACAGAGTTATAGCATCAAGTCGTCGTCAGCAAAGAGGCGATGGCCTTCCTACAAGGTCTAGGTAATATCGCCGCTGAAGAGGCTGTGCTATGTACTAGTTGCGCGGTCTACTGTCTATCATCTGTGTGTAAGAAAATAACTAAAAATTAATTATTAAGACCTTAATTCGATATTTATCGTAATATAATCTTACCGTTCTATATATAATCCGAAGTTAAACTTATATATAAGGTAGTCTAAGTAGTCTTTTTTTTTAAATATAATTAATTTAGATTCATTATTTATTTTTATTTAGTTTTTAAATTTAGGGTTAATTTTTAAATAAATAGAAATATTAAAAATTAATCATTTTTATACTATTTATTATAAGTTCATTAAGATATAATATTTAGATTTCTTTTCATCTATATTAATTCTAAAATTAGTTATAGACTAGTTTAGGACTAATTTTACTAAATACTTTGTAAGGCAAAAAATAATAATTAAAAAATAATTATTAAAACTTTTATATCAATTATTTGATTGTTATAAAGTTCTTACCTTTGAATTTGCTTCTTATATAAATATTATATATTATTATTTAACTGGTTATTTTTATATTATTTTATAAGATATTTAGTAAAATTAATCCTAAACTAGTTCTTAACTAATCTTAAATTAGTATAAATAAAAATAAATTTATGAAATACTTGTGAAATGACAAGTCCAACCCAATCAGGCAACTGACTTGGGGGAAGACTTATTACTCACGGGTAGACTTGCGGCCAAATTAGACTCTACTAAATAAGTCAAACTTAGGCAAACAAATCCAAATCTTCGACCCTAACTTGAGGCAAGCTCAAATCAGGCAGACTTAGACTTATAAATCGGATTCGGAGAGTCTGCTCCCTATGGCTAGTCTTTCTCTAGCATTATTAGAATTATGATCATCTTTCACATCTGCCAGTTAGACTTACGTGATCTTTCTGCATTTTATAATACTTATATAAACAATTCATTCAAAATTAATTAAGAATTAATTTAGGACTAGTCTTACTAAATAACTTATAAAATAATAAGAAAATAACAAAAACTTAATTATTAAGACCTTAATTCAATATTTATTTTAATATACTCTTAGCGCTCTCTATATAATTCGAAGTTAGACCTATATATAAAGTAGTCTACGCGGGGGGTTTTTACCCAGGAAACACGGTTTTTCCTCCCAGCTTTGACCGACAAAGAACCGCATGCCCAAATGGGCGACTAGTTAGATAGACAATCAGCGTGAATAAGATCATTATTATTATTATAAAGTAGTCTAAATATTTTAATTTTTAAGATATAATATAAAGAATTTGAAATTTATGAAAGTATAATTGATAGAAATTTATTATTTACTTTTATTTGATTTTTGAGTTTAAGGTTCATTTTCAATTTAATATAAATATTAATTATTAATTATTTCTATATTATATATTTTAAATATATTAAAACGTAATATACAAATTCATTTTCATTTATACTAATTCAAGCTTAATTAACAACTAATTTAAGACTAGTTTTACTAAATACCTTATAAGATAGTAAGACAATGACCAAAAACCCTATATTAAACCCTTTATATTAGTTATTTATTTTTTATAAAATTCCTACCTTTAAATTTTATTTTTAAAGAAATATTATATATTAATATTAAACTAGTTATTTTCTTACTATCTTATAAGGTATTTGGTAAGACTAATTCTAAATTAGTCCTTACCCAATTTTAAATTAATATAAATAAAAATAAACTTAAATATTATATTTTAATAATTCTTTATTTTCTTATTATCTTATAGAGTATTTAGTAAAACTAGTTTTAAACTAGCTCTTAATTAATATTAAATTTGCATAAATAAAAATAAGCTTAAATATTATATTTCAATAGATTAATAAATTTATATTAGTTATTTGTTTTTTTAAAAAATGCTTACTTCTAAATTTTCTTTTTAAATAAATATTATATATTAATATTAGACTAGTCTTATATTAATATAACTTTATATAAATAATATAAGATTTAATCTATTTTCTAAAATATAATATAAAGAACTTAGAACTTTAGAAAGTATAATTAATTTACATTTATTATTAGTTTTTATTTAATTCTTAAATTTAAGGTTTCATTTTAAATAAATATAAATATTAAAAACTAATTTATATTTTAAATATATACTTCCTATTTTTAATATTTATAAATATATATTTTATATAATATTAAGCAAATATAAAATTCAGTTTCATTCTACTAATGAACTAGATGTATTCTTAATTATATTACATAAATTAATTCCATACTTGCCTATAACTAATCCTAGACTAGTCTTCTCAATTAGGCAATATTTAGTTCGAACAAGCAAATTTATGTAGGCATCAAAATTGTTAATAGAGTACAGTGTGAATTCAAGTCTTGGCACACTCCTTTGTGCTCCGAGTGTGATCCGATGTCTGTCTTGGCATGGTCTTGGCGCTCCGATTAGGGGCCGAGGTCAGACCCATGGGTGAGCTGAGCTGGGTGCTCACCAAGGCGCGATGCCAAGTTTGGTGTTGTTGGCCGCGCGCCACAAGCCAGGGCCCAGGGGACCCTTTGACCAAAGCTTGTCCCCACCAGGCTTGTCCAAATGGATTGGTTCCACACGAACGGAGATATGTATCAAGGTCCAGTGTCAAGGTGTGGTATCAAACATTGCTCTTGTCCCCCTGTGCCGGCCCTGGTAATATTTCTCGAAAAGGGACCGAAGCTTGAACAGAAGAAGGTTTTGGGTGAAATGAGGAAGGGGGAGGGAGTGCATTGCATTGGTTTTGTAACTTTGTGGTCCAAGTTTGATATCCAGCAAGCACCACATATCAAAGACTTGTTAGTTGCTAGACTACATACCTAAAACCCCGGCTCCCTCCCTCACCTCCATCCCGCACATCGTTGTCTTTCCTTCCCACTGCTGATCTCTCTCTCTCTCTCCAAACGTCAAAAAGCACAGATGGGGCAAAGAAGTTCTAAAAGTGCCGATCCGGAGTGAGGCCGTTCAACGAGATGAATCCCCAAGGGGAAGAGGTTCGCTTGTTAAAATGGCAAATTTGATGTCGTTACTTGTCCAAGTGGACCACCGGCACCGAGAGCGAGCCGAGTCGAGATGGACTGGTCTGGTCCATTGGATGCCCTGTCTGAGCGCTGGCCTGGCGGGAAGCTACAGGGAAGCTGCTTCTGCTGCGGATGATCCTGACAGACAGCGCCTCTTTGGATGAGCTGAGTCTCTGATTAAAGGCACAGAACAAACTGTTGATTGCTTTGTATCATTCGTTGACAGCGACTGATAAACGGAAACTTCCAAGGTGAACATGGGAAAAAGAACATGGAAATTAAGGAAAGATAGACCAGAAATCCTGGCATAATTGACTAGTCCCCCACAGGCTAAGCAGGCTTGGCAGGCTTCAACCCCTCCGTGGGACCCCCCTCAAGAGGCTTAAACTTTTGGCGAATGCACCAATCACGAGCTGCGCCTTGAGGGAAACAGTCAGTGGAGCGACGTCACACGGCTCTCTTCTTGACATGACCCCTGTGGTCCGTGCGACCCATGTCGATTTCGAGGACGGCATCCACTGCGACCAGCCCCCCAGAGTTAGACCGTGGACGAGACGACCCCCCCGGACGGGATCATCTGCCATTCGCGCCGTCGCGGTCCTGGCAACACATTCATCAGCTTGAAACTCGAGATCTTCCTCTGTTTTTTTTTTTCCTCTTCTCTCTGTCCAGTCGTCGCCGAACCAAGTCGCAATATCAGCCCGTCTCTTTTCGTCCCGTCCCGTCCTCTTTTTTTGCTCCTGGATTTCCCGTGTCTCTTTGGCGAGAAGGGGTCCAGTAAGAGGAAAGAGATCCGGCATTGGCATTGGCATTGGGCACTTCAGTCTCGAACTTACCCCTCGATACCCCAAACACCCTGTCAACGTCCTTCCCTGTCAACCATCAACCTATCCACGCCGCGCGGACACCAGCTTGTCTCGACAACTGCAAGCAACCGAAAAGAACAAACAAGCAAGACGGACGGCATAACACTGCCCAAGGGAGGATACCAACAACGTGGTTGGGAGAAGGGCCTTGACGGCCGCGGCGCATTCCAAACATACACAAGCGACTGAGACTTGTGACGAACACCCGCGCCAAACCTTCAAACAACACTTCCTCGAGAGAGAGATCAACATACCCCATACATCCCATCTCTCTCCCTCCAGCTTCCCCGGAGGATCACGGAGTAAATAACCAGCAACCGTAACCCGTTAAACACCCCTCCAAATCCCGGCACCATGTCGTACAATCGATTAGGCAAGTCTACTTCCATCTGTTCTGCCATGAACCACCCGCTCTACATCCCTCGATACCTTGACATCAAACAAACACCAAGACGCCAAGTGGGACTGTCACTCCTTTGAACCCTTCCAATATCCCAAACCACATTCCTTCCTCAGGGTCCATACCCCTTGCTCCCTTGGCAACTTCATGGGTCTAAGAGTTCGTCTTGGAGGCCTACCTACCTCGAGACCGGACCCCAGCCTGGCTCTCTTTACTCTCGGGACAACCTCAAAGTTGTCAAGAGAAAAGGGATTTGTTTCTTGCCTGGCGCAAGTACTACACAGCCCATCTCGAGAGTCTTTGCTCCTACATACATACTGCAAGACCCTTGCGCAACGAGTCGCATTGTGCCTTGCCTTGCCTGGCCTTACACTTAGCCACCGCGCGCGTCCGGGCGCGCATATGATTGCCTCCTAGCAAGACAGTCGGTGATAGCTTGAAACCTCTACTCTAACACTTTCTCTTCAACTTGTCTAGACGACGACTTCTACGAAAGTCACCCAATGGATCCTCGAATGCATAGGGAGCCCTCGCCGGCCCATCCCATACAGCCAGGCTACCAGTTGGAGGACAACCCGTACCACCACCAGCAAGGTTTCGATATCCCGGCCGGTCCTGGGAGATACAGTCCTGGAGATGCGCTACACATTCAGACTCCTGTGAGTATAACTGGGAATGCGCGAAGCTATGGGAAACAAGATACTAATGCGCTGAGCAGCAACCGGTTGAGGGAATGGGCGGATACCATGCCCCGGGCCAACAGTATACCCCTGACTACGCCGTGAACCCGGAAGCGCACCACGATGCCTACTACAACCAGCCCTACGAGCCTCAAGTTGGCCATGATCCATATGCCGCAGCTCCAACACCCCCGGTGGCCGGATACCAGGCGCACGACGACCAACGGCCCATGTTGATGCATACCGATTCGCAAGTCGGCCAGAGCGATCCTTACCACGACGAGCCCCAGCCGCCAACAAACAATGCGCCCATCAAGAGGTGGAAGACAGTGAAGCAGGTGCTTTTGTACCGCGGTAACTTGGTGTTGGATTGTCCCATCCCCCCAAAGCTGCTAAACCAGCTACCCCACGGCGAGCGTGACGAGTTCACCCACATGAGATACTCGGCTGCCACCTGCGACCCTTCGGAATTCTACGAGGAGAACTTTACTCTGCGCCAGAAGCTCTTCAGCAAGCCTAGGCACACGGAGCTGTTCATTGTCGTAACCATGTACAACGAGGACGAGATTCTCTTTGCGCGCACCATGATGGGTGTCTTCAAAAACGTCGAGTACATGTGCAAGCGGACGGAAAGTAAGACCTGGGGCAAGGACGCCTGGAAGAAGATCGTGGTGTGCGTCGTCAGCGACGGTCGTGCCAAGATCAACCCGAGAACGAGAGCGTTGTTGGCCGGTATGGGCGTCTTCCAGGAGGGTATCGCCAAGCAACAGGTTAACGGAAAGGATGTCACGGCGCATATTTACGAGTACACGACCCAGGTCGGCATGACTATCAAGAACGACGTGGTTCAGCTTATTCCCAAGCAGCAGCCCGTTCAGATGCTGTTCTGCCTCAAGGAAAAGAACCAGAAGAAGATCAACTCGCATCGTTGGTTCTTCCAGGCCTTTGGCCGCGTTTTGGACCCCAATATCTGCGTCCTTATCGACGCCGGTACCAAGCCCGGAGGTAGCTCTATCTACCACCTGTGGAAGGCCTTCGATCTCGAGCCCATGTGCGCCGGCGCCTGCGGTGAGATCAAGGCTATGTTGGGCACGGGCGGCAAGAACCTCATCAACCCGCTCGTCGCCACTCAGAACTTTGAGTACAAGATGAGTAACATTCTCGACAAGCCTCTCGAGTCCGCCTTCGGCTTCATTTCCGTCTTGCCCGGTGCCTTCTCGGCCTACCGCTACGTGGCTTTGCAAAACGACAAGAACGGCCAGGGTCCGCTGGAGAAGTATTTTGCCGGTGAAAAGCTGCACGGCGGCGACGCCGGCATCTTCACGGCCAACATGTACCTCGCCGAAGATCGTATCCTGTGTTTCGAGCTCGTCACCAAGCGCAACTGCCACTGGATCCTCCAGTACGTCAAGTCGGCCACGGGCGAGACCGATGTCCCCGCCGACCTGACCGAACTGATTCTGCAGCGTCGTCGTTGGCTGAACGGTTCCTTCTTCGCGGCTATTTATGCTATTGTCCACTTCCACCAGTTCTTCCGGTCCGACCATTCCTTCTTGCGAAAGATTGCCTTCTTCATCGAGTTCGTGTTCCAGACGGTCAACATGATCTTTGCGTGGTTTGCTATTGGCAACTTCTTCCTCGTGTTCAAGATCTTGACGACGGGTCTGGGCGACCCAAAGTTGTTGGGAAACGTCGGCGAGATTTTGGGCGTTGTTTTCGCGTGGGCGTACGGTGTAACTCTGATAACGTGCTTCGTCTTGTCCATGGGTAATCGACCGGCTGGTTCTCCAAGGTTGTACATGGGTATGGTCATTTTCTGGGCGATTATCTTTATGTACGTTTTCCCCCATCCCCCTTTTGTCTCGCACAGTCAGTCACTAACAGTCCCCTTCCAGCTACCTTATGTTCGCAGCCATCTACATCGCCGTCGTCGCCATCCAAACCGACCTCCAAAAGGGCCTCTCCTTCTCCGACCTCTTCCGAAACGAGCTCTTCTACACCCTCATCGTCTCAGTCGTCTCCACCTACGGCATCTGGTTTATCGCCTCCCTCCTCATGTTCGACCCCTGGCACATGTTCACCTCCATGGTGCAGTACATGCTCCTCTCGCCCACCTACACCAATGTCCTCAACGTCTACGCCTTCTGCAACACCCACGACATCTCCTGGGGAACAAAGGGTGACGACAAGCCCGACAAGCTTCCCTCCGTCAACACCAAGGACGGCGCGGGTAAAACCGATCTTCCCGACGAGGGCGACCTGAACGCCTCGTACGAGCGCGAACTCCAGGTTTTCTCAAGGAAATATGAAAAGCCGGTGACGGCGCCTACGGCGGCCCAGTTGGAGGAGAAGCAGATGGATTATTATCGTGGTGTGAGATCGATGGTCGTGCTGGTGTGGATGATCAGCAACTTTGCGCTGAGCGCGGTGGTGTTGAGTACGGCTGGCCTCGAAAGGATCGATGCGGAGGAAGGGTCGGATGAGCAGGAGAAGAGTAAGAGGGCGACGATTTATATGAGCGTGGTGTTGTGGAGCGTGGCGGTTCTGAGCGGGTTTAAGTTTGTGGGGGCTTGTTGGTTCTTGGTCGTGAGGATGTTTAGGGGCGTTTGAGTTGGAGGGTGATGATGATGTTTGGGGTTGCTGTTTGTTTCTTCTGGAAATGCTGTTACGACATTTTGTTTGTCTTTCGAATCTGCGAGGAGTTCGATGTATTTTTTTATGTGGAATATGTGGGAAGTGAAGTGAACTGGAAAAGACGTTGGGTTTGATATGAGGTGAGGAGTGGATGGATAGATTCAGGACGTGGGGAGTTGAAAGAGATAACTTGGTTGTTCTTGCTTTATCTTGCTTTTTAGCTCAGAGATACCTATTGAGACGTTTTTCATTCATATTGCGCACATTCCTCTTGCATATTCGTGTGGATCGGAGTATCTATCTGTCTTATTTAGCGATGTTGGCTAAAGAAAGTCCTCGCGTAAATACGAAGCCATGATGATACCTATTAGTATTGTAGTCAAAACAATCCGTATCAACACTTCCCTGGTATCGACAGACACCATTTGACCTTTCACTGTGTACCCGCATGTTTAGCCCCTTTGTCTTGGGTTGTCCGATCGTTGACACCATCCATTTATACTACTTTGCTGCTCTCAATTTTGCGTTACCAGTTATTAGATACCACATCAATGGGGAGGGAGCTACTCATTTGTTACATACCTTCAATTTTCGCAACGACTATCTTTGTTAGAATAGATGTGTTTGATCGACGACATATCTATCAGTCTCGGCAGCCATATAGTAGTACACAGACTCATCAATCGCTAGTATTTTTGGAGCACTGTTGTTGTTCTTGTTATTGTACTCAAGTCCAACATTGCGTCTCTTCATTCCGTTCATCCAATTTATCAGCGTCGGTGTTATGCTACGCTCCCTTCTTCCTGCTTCGTTCGACTTTTCCAAGTCTGGTGGATCTAGTCTTCGAGGATATTTTATATCTCGTGGAGAAACCCGAACGGCATACCTAATCTGTGCCATCTGCGTGCGGCCTTTCCCTTACCTTACCTTACCTTACTCAATGGCTGGCTCATAAACGATCATTAAGTAGGTTCTTCTCAATTTGTTTCCTTGAAAATCTTTCGTTCGTGGCCCGTCACGTCCATTATAAGTGGCATTCATTCACTGAAAGAGTCGTACGTACTCGAATATGGTCTAGAATAACGCTCAACAACATGTTCCTGTATGAATTTCTTTTCACTCCCCCCATCGGTGTGGTGTTCCTCTATTGTTTTCACAGATGGGAGATGGGAGATCAACAGGCACACGCAGACACATCAACAGCGGAGACTTGGTTATCTCACAGTACATACGAGGATTCTAACCGTCCGTTGGGATTTTCAAGAAAAAAGCAGCAGCGCTATGTTCACATGTTGCGGGCAGAACACCACCGTGTGATTGATATCTTTGTGCGGAACTACTACCCGTCCACTGCCTGTTTTCTTCTCGGAACCGAACCGAGCCGGATTGACACAGTTCTCCCCCCGTAACGGCTCTCCGGCTTCATCACGGGAATACAAGGATATGAAGGTGAAAGTCACGGGGCGGATAGAATAGGTGTTAACAATGGTCATGAACCTGTCAATCGAGCACCGGAAAAAGATCTATCTACGTTTCCGACGGATAACTTAGGTTCTCAGGAAATCAAGACAGACGGTGTGTGACAACCCAACCCGCCCGCCTGCTCTACGAAGTTAAAGACTCGTTTTCCTTGCGCGAGTTCTTCTCGCTTTTACGTTCTCTCTTCCATCTCGAGTTTCGCTTTTACAAGGCAACATTGCCTGGCTACCTACAGCAGCGTCTGACGCTCGCTCTCTCTGTGGCTTTCCACTGAGCTACCTAGGGAAACAGAGTTGGCAAGTTTTCCTCCCACGTGCCATCCATCCGTGTACTGTATTCTACTCTGGATGTCAGCATGGCATCTCCGGCGTCCGTCTCTAAAGTGAGTAGCTCGATAGTAGTTGCTCGTGGTTCAACGAATGAAACCGACTGGACAGTTAACTACGGGTTGTCTTACCTGGAACCGAACCCAGAGACCGCACCAGGGCATGCGATAGATAGCAAGCGAGGATACAAAGATGTGTCGACAAACTCGGCATCGGTGTCGGTATCAACCCGCAGGTCTCCGTCTTACCATGGGACGGACCCTCATCGTCGGCGGAACAGCGGGCGGACGGGCGACATTCTCTCCTTTGCCTTACGTCCTTCCGCCCGAGTTGCAAAATTCAAACTCGAACAGCAAAGACTCGAAAAGACTTCCCGCTTTCGCAACTGCCGTCATGCTCTCCAACCGCACGCAGTACGTAAAACAAAGACAACTTCTCTACAGGCAGATTCCTCGTTGGCAAAGTTCACAGATTTCTCAGAGTCTTTTTCGCCATGTTCTTGGCGGGCAGGCAGACTCTCACGGTTCGCATCTTTTCGTCCTGTCAAAAAGCGAGGCAGGATCCGTTGCTTTTGCGCAATACGCAATGCGCCAAGAATGAAGTCAACTCGAGCTTTCACGATGGCCAAGTCCTGGTGTCCTAGCCAGCATGTCTGTCTGGGCAGAGCTGGGGTTGACCTGGAAAAGCTGGGAAAGGGTAATGCCTCTTCAGTCATTGACCATTCATTCATTGCGATCCCTCTTGCTGAGAAAAAAGATTGTGCGAAAAAAAAAATCTGCTGGTCAGTTGGTCGCAAGATGGGTACTTTCGATTCGGTTAGATTCCTGTCTGAAAAACTTTCAAGAACTTCGAACGGTATGAACCGTATAAACGGGAGGCGGCGAGAAACCCACCCCATGACCATGGGAGATGTAGCGACGAGTAGCGACGAGTAATAAAAGCTGAAGAGGAAGAGGAAAAGATTTTTTCGTGCTGTGCAGTCAGCAGTGTGCTGAGAGAGAAAGTAAGCTAGCGCTGAGACTTTGTGGCGGACTGGTGGGCTTTGCTTGTTCGTTGTCTCGTCGTTCGGCGCTTCCAAGGTCCAGGCGTTTCTGGCGTTGTTGCGTGCTCTTCAAAAAACTTTTTTCTCTTTCTGTTTCCATTGCTGACTTTTGCTTCAGCCGCTGACAACCGCTATTACTTCGCTGGTTTCGCTGGTTTCGCTGGCTTCGCTGGCTGCTGCACCAATCGCTGAATGGAAGTGCCTGGCTCGCCTGGGTGGGAAGGACCGAGGAACATCGAAGACGGAGAAAAAGGAGGCTCTGCAAGTTTGCAACCGAAGCAAAAATGCAAGGTGACCCCAACTACCGCGGAGCCGACCGAAGGTACAGTGGTGGGTGTACCGCTGAAAAATACTGTTGGTTGGTGTCGGTGTGGTTGGCCAAAGCCGAGGAAACCGAAGACGCAAGAATTTCTTGACCTCCCAGTCACACCACACAATGGAAGCAAACCAGAAAAAGTTTGAAATGAGGTTGGAAATATAGCATTCTTAAAATTTCGAGGGATGACAAAGCCAGATCCTGATCATCAATTCGAGATTGGAGAAACAAAGTTTTTCTAGAAAATCCTTATCGCGGGAACAAACCGTTCCTGGCAAGTTTCCCTGTTGGTTCGTTGACCCGGGCCATCGGTTTGGCGTTGACACAGGCATCGGACGGCACCTTATCAGCGCAGGACGGGAGCGAGCGAGCGAGTGAGAAAGGGCGACAGCCCGGCGAGGCGGGAGATAGGGCGGCAGCTTTACCCCGGATTTTCGTTGCAAGCCTCACTCCCGTCTTCCATCTTTTCTGTTGGTCTGTGTGTTGAACGTTCGGCCCACGGCTACCTTGGCAACTTTCTGAACCTCCAGACTCCAGAGGGAGTTCGCATGAATTTGCATGAACGAAGCGAAAGCATGACTCTCATATTTTCATCGACATTAATCCCACGTGGTCTTGCTTTGGGATTGGGCTTTGTTGTGAGGGGAAAGTGGGCTTGTTTCCAATTTCCCATCACGTTGTTTCTCAACTCATCCGCATGACTTGCTTTCACCGTGACTTGGCCCTTGGCTTTGTTCAAAACGAGGGGTAACGTTGGTTTCGTGATCCATCTTGCCGACGATCTTGGTTGAGGGCTTCCGGACTTGGTTTTCCTTTTGAGTCCATCGTGAATTTCCTCCATGTATTACGTTAGATGGTTGGTTTTACTTGGCCGCTACCGATCTCTCTCACTTTCAGCCTGAGCTAACTTTTGGTTTTCATTTCAGGCTCTTTTGCTTCTTCACCATGATGATCCAGGGGCAACACTAGCTGTTTGAACCGTCTCTAGCGGGAGATGACAACAACAAGATGCGTCTCTGTCTCCTCTGCGGCCTCTGCCTCACCATTCCTCGTTTGGGACTCGGACTTGAAGCGGCATGATGGATCTCGTCGAAAAGAGCAAAGAAGCCAGGAGCATTGACCGCATGATCGTTCGCATGATCGTCCAGAATCCGGGGTTGCCGGCACCCGGGCCAACTCTTGGGAGACTTGTGAAGTTGTGCCTGGGAAACTGGAGACCCGCTTCGCCTAGGGAAAAGCTCCTTTTTGCAATGGAGCCGGCGATGGATCACGGATGGATCCCGGGGGAGGGGAAATTTTTCACCAGGTGATCCATTCGATCAGGGCGGTCGATGGGTGGTCGATGTCGAGTGGGAGAAAAAGATTCTGGACCGGGAAACCAGCCGACAGGTTGTGCATGGGCCATTGTGGTGAGAGAAAGAACGGTCACCAGGGGCTTGTTGAGACTTCGAGGTCGCCTCAAACTGTGTCTTTGTCTCTAGCGTCGTCTCTAGCACCGCAACATCAACGCCAGGGCAAAAGAGAAAATAGAAACAAAATAAAACCCAAAGAGGTTCATACACTCCACATGGCGCGTCGCTACACCGCCAAGCACTGAACAAAATAAGAATCATATCGGTGATATTTCAGAGAGAAACCGAGCAAATTTCAGGAACGACTCCAAGACACCCATCACTTCACCAGGGGTAGATGCTCAATGGGGAAACAAAACCACACACAATTTCTCTCGCTTGTTCCGCCATCTGGTACACGTGTACGTGGTGTACGTACACAACTGCTTACGGAGTACGGAGTCCGACATATATCCAACTGACCGCCGCCTTTCACCCCTCAATGCCGTCGGTGGACGGACAGAGGACGGTCTCAGCTCCCCCAAAAAGCCGCCGAGGCATATTGACATTGTGACATCGAGGGGGGCAATGAAGACACTGGCTGACGCGAGATGGCTGACTGGTGGTGCAAACATGCGCAGAAGCAAATGGGAAATGAACAACTGAACACTTCACACAAAGAGCGGCGGCAGTTCACAGCCGAGAGTGACAACGCCAACGTTGAACGACAAATCATCATGGTCGCATCGGCCATGCTTCAGGCTTTGGAGATCACGGCGGGAAGACTGGATCGACGTCCGCCTTTTTGCCAAGCCGAGTAGCCGACCAAGCAGGGCGGCAGCTGCCAGGCGGAATGCTGCGGTCTTGTGTCGCACACCGAAAAAAAGATTTTGGCCCAGAGTCCAGAAATTAGTTTGGTCGCAGCGCTTCGTCACCGTCCCTTGCAGGACGCATGGACCAGATACAAGTACCGCTGGGGTACAGTTTACGTGGATGTACCATACTAAAGATACTCAACTCCAATTCCCAAATTATGGGGTAATGATCTCGTAACAAAAAGTGCTGGTGCGCCTCGTGACTGCCAGACAGGGCCCGCTCTGGGAGTTTCTATGTGCTAAGAAGAAAGCTTGGAATGGACCGTTGTCAACCGTTCGTGGGCCGGCGTGGACTGGGCGTCGACTGCCTCTCGCCATTGGCATTGACTGTCGTGACTGGCATGGCCTTGTCCGCCGCTGCAAAAACAAATTTTCAGCCCAAGCCGCCGTTCAGAGGTCAAGGAGCACCTGACGCACCTGACGCCATTGGTTGGTTGCTTCGTTGCTGTCATTGTCGTCAAACAACGACGGAAACTGTACCACGCACACACCATCCGGACCACCACTTTCACCACCTCCTGTACTGTAACGTACTGCAGAGACACTCGCACAATGGATCATGGCACAGCAGCAACCGCAGATTTTGGCATCTCCGCTTTCTCCACACAAAGTCACGATGTAAATTCAGAGGCAGAGAGGCCAGTCACTACGTTGAGGAAGTCCACGTTGGCTCCGAGGCTCCTCTGCTGCTCCAGTTGCGGTCCATTGTCTCCATTCGCCTTGGATCTTGAAAATTTCGCAATCCGTCCGAGCCCAGTGTGTCCCTGTATTTGTGCCGGTATAAAAAAAAAAAAAAAAGGTACAAAGTACTTGCGAGTAGCGGTTAGGTAGCCGAGAAGCGAGGGAAGGTGCGCCATGTACAAGTCTGGTCTGGACAAAGAGGAGTCATGTGGTTGCCCACTTTGCTTTGCTCACCTGCATTCTGGGTTCAGCACTGGGCAAGCACTGGGCAGCGCTAGGTGGTTCCGTGGTTCCATGGTGTCCCAGTAACGTCCCAGGGAGTGTCACTGTCCCCGGAATTACGGTACCGTCAGAGCACCACTCCACACCAGTTGGGTCCAGTTGGATCCCGCCGGCTGCATCCATGAATCTGCAATAAGACCTTTTTCTTGGCTAGCCTTCCTGGGCCATCCCATCCCCTTCTTCAAAACCCACGAAGCAACGACCCCTCGAGTGACCCCTCTATACCCTCATCTATTAAAAGACCGAATCCCTCAGGATCCGTACCCCTCGTCTCCCGTCTTCCCTACACACGGATCCATATCTTCAGTCTCAACTGCTCGTCTCCGACAAAGACAAGTCTCAACCACACGAACACCTCCACTACTCAGACATCAAACATCCGAATCAGTCAACATACGACACTTCTGTCCTTGACGTACAACCAACTCGGCATCATCACACCACACGCCAAGAACAACCGATAGAGAGTCTCCACACTCTTCTCACAACCACCTCAACCAACAACACCACACATCACATCCAGACAACCGTCACAATGGAGAGGACACCATCGTACACCATCACCGAGCCCCACCCCACGGTGGTGCAAAATACCTACACCAAGGCTGGCCGCGGCGGTGCCGGTAATTTCTTCCGTGCTCCCAAGACCACCCCTTCGACCGGCGTTCCCACCAAGGTCACACCATCAGCACAACCCAGCGCTCCCGCCCGTTTCTACTCGGGCCGCGGTGGCGCCGGCAACGCCCACACCTACACCCAGCGCCCTACCCTTTCTTTCGACGAGGAGTACCAGAGGGCCGAGGTTCGCGAGAAGGCTGCTACCATGGGCTACGTCGGGCGAGGCGGTGCCGGCAACATCTTCAGCACCGTCAGTGACAAGATCAGCATCCGCTCCGAGGGCAGCTCGAGGAGCAGGAATCGTCGCGACTCCGTCAGCACCACCGACAGCCACCGCTCTGGCTTCTGGAGGACGTTGAGCAACCTTGCTCACAAGGGCTAGGAGCCCCGTTCCAACGAAAGAAGCAGGAGGACTCTTTATGAGTGGCGCCTGTCACTGGCAGAGTATGGAGAGAGCAGCAGCGGTTCCAGCATATGCTGCAGCAGCAGGGAGGAAGAAGCGGTCGAAGAAGGTCATGGGATTAGGCATGATGATGCCAACGATGAGAAGGACAGCCACCGAACTGCAACCCAGCGTGCTGGTCTTCGCAGATATCACTCCGAACCCGCTCTTCGACCAAAGTACTTGTCACCCGTGGCAAGCATTCGACGCAACCTATCCCTTGTACCATCATTCTAATACGGCCTTCCTCCTCTTCCTCCTTCTACTTCATACTCTTTCACTTCTACACACACACACACCACTCCATCATCCAACCTATGGACGTTTTTTTTCTACAAATGTTTTATTTCTTCAACATCATTAGCACGGCGTTTTGGGCGGCTTCTGCGATTGTGTATGTCACATCCGGGCCATTGGGTTTTTCAACAACGAAGGGAATCTTATGATGAATCAGGGATTTTGGGCGAGAGTTCACAAAAGAACCAAGCAAAAAAGTTCTTATTTCATTAGCAATCATGTAATGGGGGGGATCTCAGCAAAACAAACGGCGAGAAAGAGAGATATCTCAGACCAACAGCTTTCTTCGGAGAGTTGTTTTCCTTTCACAACACACAAACCACGGCGTGTCGTTGGATCATGGCCAATTCACTCGTTTCTGATTGGTTGGAGCAAAAGGGGGCTCGCGGTTGTGTTGGTGGCTGCCAAGAAAAATTAAGGGTTCATCTCTTGGTTCTTTCTGCAGCGCTGACGCTCCCCGCAAAAAACCAAAGAGCCTCCTCAGCTCCTTACACATCATCCCAACGACACAAGGGAAAGGCACAAAATCGGCGTTTGTTATTTTTGCTGGCGCATAGCGAATATCAAGATACCCCATGGAGAGAAAGAGAGCCATCATGTACTGGATGGATGTTTTTTCAGTTACCGACACTTTTTTTTTTTTTTTTTTGGGCAGGAATGTGGTCGACGAACAAATTCAAATCGAACATTTTTTGACTGCCATCTACTTTTTACCGCTTCCAACACTTGCAAACGTGACAATGACCTGAACTGAATGGATCGACGAAGTGAAACATTTGTGAACTTCAAATTCCGGCAGATGACCGCATGGCAAGCCGCCGAAACAGCTTCACGGGAGCGAGGGTGTTTCAAGCGGCGTGCTCAGATTCAGAAGGCCGAAGGAAAGTGGCCGTGCGGCTTTCACAAAATTCTTAGAGCTTCCATCCAGGGCGCCCAAACCCTCGTTTGCGCCCGCACAACTGGATACGAATTGCCGGTGCTCGATTCGCAAATTCCAAGGCCCAAGCATAACATCGACCAAGCCCAAGCCCCGTCGCAACATCGGTGTTCGGACCGAGCGTAACCCCCGTACCCCCCGCCCCGGTCCTCCGGCGGGATTCGGCACGCTGGAGACGGGGGCATGGGCCATAGGGGATCTTGAAGGTACAATGCTTGGGAATTCAGCCAGTGATGAAGCTTGAAATTCGAGTTCACGATGTCACTTGTACTGAACTGAAGTTCGGACCGGACCTGACAGTGGGATACGAACATCGTGGAACAAGACCCAGGCGAGCCAGAGGTCTCGCCAAAATCAAACATAGCGAGAGCCCCAAAAACAAAAACGAGTGGAAATCAGGTTTTGATGCCCTAACAGTCTAGCTGGGGGAACTATTGAACCAAACGGTGGGTTTTTGTGAACAACAACAACACCGAAAACTACACACAGTTCAGTATCCTCCCAGCTGGATGGAGCAAGGACAATACCGCAGCGGTATTCACCGCCGGAGGTATACCCTATATTCACTCTAGGTTGGTGGGTTGATGGGATTTTGTGATGGATACAAAACAGTAACGATGCGGTCTTTGTGCGAGCCTGACGAGAATAGAAAACTGTGAAGGACTTCTTCCAGAAGCCACAGGCCAGGCCCCATTGCCAGCCCTTGCCAGCCCTTGCCAGCGACCAAACAGGCCATTGCTAGGACCGTCGGGAATAGCGACGAGCTACATACGACGAGCTATGGATCGTGAAACAGATCCTAGTCAACCAGACCAGTTGGCGAGCCTCATCCGAGTCCCCGGCACCTACACAGTAGAGCTTGACGTCCAAAATGGAATGGAACAAGGAAAGTTGTTGTAGAAGGGGCATTCGTTTCGTCCCAGCAACCCCTCGCCGTCGAGAAGAAACCATAAAAAGTACAGACCATCTATCTCCAAGTCTCGAAACTCTCCGAGGAGATATGTAACCCAGAAGACGGACACTTCGACCTCGCTGTCTGTCGTGCAACTTGCCTGCTTGCCTGCTTTGCCTCTCCCTATAATAAAACGGGAAATGCAGGTAACCATCCATCCACTTCAATACCCGTTCTGCCCGTTCTTGTATATGGAGTGTAGTCCGGAATCCGGTCAGGTCTCACAAAACTTTCCCATGTTGCCTTCCAGCCAGCCAGCCCAGGTCTCACTCAATGTCTGATGTCTCACAAGTGGCAGTGTGGCAGTCTGGCCAGTCTTCCGCAATTGTCGCCATCAGTTGCGTGCGATGCGCACACCACTTCAATGGTGAGTGAGTAGTATTTAGCCCAGCTGTTGCGTTGGAGATATTGCGCCATGTTTGGGATGGATGATGATACCTCTACCTACTTGGACTTATAGGTATGTACATAGAGGGAGATCCGGAAGGTAGTGGAAGGAGGTGATGATATTGGTGTTCGTCATGATGGCGAGCTATGCTGTGTGTGATCCTATGTTCCCTACCTACGAAGTACGAACGTCTTGACTGGGCATTGATTGCTCTTTTCGACTTTCGACTTTCGACTTTTCGAGTCTCCTGTCTGTCTCCAGTTCTTCTTTCTGGATTGCGGTGGTCGAGGTACAGAACATACATCTTCGGTGTACTTACTCTGCTGGACTGACTTCCATGACAAATCGGGGGTATATATATCTACGATAACTCGTATTTTTAAAAGCCAGCCAGTCCATCACCCATCACCCAGCTTCATGACCAAGTCAAGTAGTCAACGTCAGGTCCATTAGAGATAGGCAATGGAATCAAACACACAGTACACATCAACAGTCACATACACAACCCGAACCCTAACCCTAACCGCCCTTCTTTCCAGTTTCCATAGAACTTCTCTCAACGCTTCCATGATCAACATCCAACTCCCGTCCCTCCCGTTCTCTCCCCGGCCTCCCGTGCTCCATATCCCCAACCCACCTGGGCAACCAACTGCTGGGCACTTTTGATCCAAACGCCCTGCCAACGTTCCCGCTGCGCCCCTTGCAAATCCCTCGTCACCGCTTGTGTCGCCTCTGCTCCATCACACACACGGACGGACTCTCGCTCTCCAGTCGCGGAAGCTTCGCTTCGACTTTTTTCTATGATCGACCGACCAGGAGGTTGGTCCCCACAGCTTGTCCGCAGAGGTTGTGTCCACAGCAGTGAAGTGAGCAGACAGTCACAGTGAGAGATGGAGCGCACTGAGTACATACGCGGAGGAGGTATTTAGGACGTTGACTTGGATTGTACATAGTAGCTGGCACTGGCAGGCTGGGGTCATGACTTTTGTTTACCAGCTGCCCAGCAACTGCTTGCTCTATGTGATATGTTTGTTGTACTCTTGTACACTGGTTATCAAGGTGACCGTCAAGGTGCTCACAACGTCTCCCACCAGTCCCTGCGTGCCTGCCTGCCTACCCACCCCTTGTTTACTCTCCAGCCTCTTTACTAGCCCCCTTTGTTCAGCCTCAAATCGGTATGTACCTGATACGATACCTGATATGATATCGGTCGGTACCTGCATGATCCCCCACGACTCCGATCGACCGTAGTAACCACGTCCAGGACCACGGCATATGGCGACCGTCACAAGTATAGGTAGCATAGAAGGTAAGCGTGCTAGGTATGCTGTCGTAAGATGATTGTGATTTTATTAGACAACCTGCCGTTCGTGCCTCGGCCGCCTCGCTCGCTCGTCTTCGTCCTCGTCTCATCATCGTCAACATCATGTAAACTTCGTATGAATGATATCCGGATTCTCGTGCCAGTCGTCAATGCTAACCCACATCTGTTGATCAAGAAAAAGTTGGTTAGCAACACATTTCCCCTCTGGATTCCCTGCTTGTCCATGCCCAAACACAGACACATGCAAAGACATACCTTTCTAAACGTGCTCAAACCCGCCAAAATACTACCGCCAATCCAGGTTGAGTACTTCCTCTCCGGCGGCGCAAAGATCTTTATCCGCATGTCCTTCACCGCGAGCTTCTGCACTTCCGTGAGCAAACGGTCGCCGAAGCCCTTTGTGAGCGTGCTGCCTCCGGACAGCACGATGTTGGAGTACAAGTCTCTGCGCAGGTCCAAGTCCGTCCGGTTGATCGAGTCGACCACTATCTGGTGCACGCCGGGGTACTCGAGACCGATAATCTCGGGGTCGAAGAGAATTTCCGGGGCGCGGAAGCGCTCTGCTCCTATCTGTTGCAAATTGTCAGCACCCAAACAGCCAGTAAAGGGCCAAAGAAAAGAAAATGATAACATACTTTCAACTTATTCCCATCCGGCAACACATACTCGGCAATCTTGGCCGGATCCATCTTGGCCGCCGCCCACTCCTTCTCCTCCTTTCTCGGGTCATGCGCCACATACGTGACGCTCTCCTTGATCAGCCGGACCACCTCCTTCTCGGCGCTCGTGTGGAACACGTAGCCGCTCTTGCGCAGCAGCGTCTGCAGGTACTCGGTCACGTCTCGCCCTGCGACGTCGATGCGCCGGATGCTGTTGGGCACGGTGAAGCCCTGGTAGACGGGCACGGCGTGCGACACGCCGTCGCCCGAGTCGAGGACCACGCCTGTCGTTCGCCCCGAGGCGTACAATGACAGGACGGCTTGGATTGAGGTGTAGAGTGCGGGCACGTTGAAGGTCTCGAAGAGGATCTGGGTGGCTGTGTCGCGGTTTGCGCGCGGGTTGAGGGGTGGTTCGGTTAGAAGGACTGGGTGCTATTGGGCAAGTTGTTAGCTACTGCATCTTGTCTGGTTACCAGATAAGATGGGATGACGAACCTCTTCACTAAGCGTCTTCAACCCCTCATCATACACATAAGCCCAAATCTTCTCCATATCGTCCCAGTCCGTGACGATGCCGTGCTCCAGCGGATATCGGATCTTGAGCAGTCCGCGCAACTCTGTGGCCGCCTTTTGGCCGATAAACACCTCGCCCTCTAATGCGCCGGCCAGCACTCGTAGGTGCTTTGGCCTCCCTACAAAGGAGGGGAAGTGGCATTTTGGTACGTCGTCTCCCGCGAAGCCGGCGCGAATGGTGCCCGAGCCATTGTCGAGCACAATGGGCGCGTTATGCAACGAGTCTGTCATTGTTGTTATATGTGAAGGGTAGGTCGTATTGTGGACATGTAAGGTTGTTGTCCGCTATCCGCCGCTGCCACCTAACCGTCCCAGCGGTGGTGATGCTATCGTAGAATCGCGGAGGCGGGGTGAAGGCTAGGCTTCGACAAGGGTGTTCGCGTCTCTGCGGGAGTGGGCTTCGGTGGTAGGACGTTGGTGGTCAAAGGTCGCCTGTCGTCGGTCAAAGACCCAGAGTAAACAGAAAGAGGTTGTGTGTAGTTGTCGTTTGCAAATCGTATATCGTCAACAATCAGGATGTCATAAAGGCATTGCCAGCCGGAAGTCGAGTGGGCGTGAGGTTGTCTGCCAGCAGCTGTGTTGTTTGGTGGGGACGTGGGAAGGGTCCAGGGTCCGGTTGACGGTTTGGTCTCTGGGAATGTCTTCAAGATCGGATAGCCGCAGGAAGTCAGTCAGTCGTCCGGTCGCAGTGATGGATGTTTTCTGGTGGCACACGACGCGACATTCAGACGGACCGACCTCGATTCGTTCGAAAAGGGCGTCTCTGCTGCAGGGACGTGCCGGTTGGAATTGGGCTGTCGGTCAGAAAGCTCGATTGAATACAGCCAATCAGCGTCGATGAAGATGTGGGTGCACGGGCCATTCTCAGCAGTGGATCCGAAGCTCCCCCTTGTCTCTTCAGCGATATCGCGGGGCAGGTTCACTTCACAAGAGCAACTGTTGAAGTTTACACATTGCAAAAATAAAGTTGCTACTGGTTCGTTCTGAAGATGGTAACTTGGAGTATTACGATAGGTGTAGTATAACCCTCATGTCTAGGGCATTGTGATATGATATATCCTACATCTTTTCAGTTCGTAGGTTGACTTTTGTACTTGAACGGTGGTTCGCTTACAAGGTTAGTTTCCGAAACTTCATCAGAACATACTCAAAAGGATGAAATCAACAATAACGAAACCCCGGGGTCGTTAGTTCGTCTGTGTTGGACCTTCTAGACAAGTAGTTGTTAGCTTGGCTCGGCTTGCGCACCGTGATACATTGCTTCGCAAAATCTCATGAAGGTCTCGCGATGGGAGACAGCCCAGCCTGGTGTGTTGCCCCAGTGATGCCGGAGACGGAAACAAACAAACAATGCCCCCTTATCTGCCTCGGTAGCACCAATGGACAATCGCAAGCTATATCTTATGGTATAACGGCAGCCACTTCAAGAAACGGTCTCCTGGCGCAATGAGAGCATCATGGAATCCATGTCATTGAAAGCTCATCCGCTTCTCTTCTCAGGACCTAGCTCAACTTGACCTTTCCAAAGTAGAATCCCCTCCCACCATTACTCAACCAGCACTCTTCTCCTTCAACCAGCGAGTTTGCCAGTACAACCTGCTCAACCGCAATTCCCCTACTCAAGCGCGCCGTTAGCAGAACTGCCCAATCTAATCATCTCACAGCAGAGAAACTCACCTCTCCAAAGCCCACCTCCTCGTAGTCCCCTCATTTCCACCACTCCCCCAATCCCCCTCCGTCTCTCCCTCACCTTCCCTCACCGGAGGCGTAACCCATCTCCCGTCCCTCCAAAAGTACGGCGTGGCAATACTGCTCTCCATCACCTCCCCTTGCTCATTAACAATCAAGACCTCCTTTCGATCTGTCAACGCGATCCCGTGCCTCTTCCTCGCTTCGTCGTAAACCTGGCGCTTGGTGGTCTTGAAATGGGTATATGTTGACTTTTTGGATTTTTGGGTGTCTACCAGGACCTCGAATGGCGTTGATGTTCCTATCAGGGATATAGTGGGGATATCGGTACCCGGCTCGGGAAGGGAAGATGGGAAGAAGTTGAATGTCGAAGGGACTTGCGGTACGGGGGAGATTGTGATCCCTAGTTCTCCCTGCTCCGAGACGGTCACGCGGACACGGTTGGGGTGGGCTCGTTGCTCGTCGGAGAGGGAGGAGAAAATGAATGAGGAGAGGGTTTCAAGACCGCTGTCACCGGAGAGGAGGGAGACCACAACGGGCCAGTTGAAATGGGTGGCGGCGCGGAGGATGCGGTCCCGGTGGTAGGGGAGCATGTACAATCCGGAGGTCGAGCCGTCACTGGAACCCACGGAGAGGAGAGGGTCGTAGCGGAGGGTGGTGAAGAGGAGGAGGGGAGTTTCTGTGTTGGTCGCCATTGTGAGGTTGTCTGTCTTTGAAGGTTAGGTGCAGAAATGACAGAAACTCGATGTAGAAGGGACTTCGGAAATTCAAGGTGAATGGTGAAAGATGCGATATCCGTGAAGATGTATTATCGGTTTTATATGACACATGATCCACCTTGATGGTCTATCGCTCTCATCTGTAGTCATCCTGTTAGAGATACGAGGAGAGAATCCTCCAGGCCGTCATCACCTAGAGATAAGAAGCCGAGCGCATAAAGACAACCGAGGTCTGGTACAACTTAAGAAGCCGCCGTTGACGACTCAGGAATGAGTTGCAACAAAATGTTCCGATGAAATCAGTCACAGTTGTATCGATCGAAGACGGCAGCGGGAAGGTCTGGACGGGATGACAGTGACACTGATGGCCGATGGCGGGGCGTTCAACTTTAAAGTGGAACCGCCCAGCTGCCCTGGTCTCCACTTTTATTTGACGTAGGCGAAGCTTACCCCACCGTGTGCGGTCATTCTTGGCGTTTGTCCCATTTCCCCTCGGCTGAGAGATATCTCAACTATGGACGTTGATGGTGGCTCATGGTACCATATCTCCGAGGTGTATAAGCTCTAACAATAGACATTGTAGAGCTCTTTGGCTTAAATGATCGTTGAACTTCTAGGTCGAAGAAACCTCAAGGGAAACGGGGAAGTTCAGCTCCGGGTAATTTACGTGTAAACTAACAACGCTGAGCCGTAAGTAGAGGGCATTCAGGTACCAGTTGCCCTGACAAGGCTTCGCAACAGCAGCTTGAAGGAGCTCAGACCACCTCAGCTTTAGGGCCCAACACTGTCTGTTTACATCAGGCCTCGATTGTTTAAACCTTGCCGGTTGCCCAGCCGCCAGCCGCACTGCCGCGCGTGAAAAACAACTTTTTGTCGCACGACGAAGATCTCGGACCTCGAGCCCCAGCAGACATCCATACCCGTCCACGCCATCGAGCAATACCAAGCTTCCATTTGCTACTTTTCCAGTGACTGTGCGCGTACCTGTGGACTTCTTGTGGACTGCCGTGTGCCAAGAGGTAGAACCCGTAGAAGGAGTGAAGGAGTACCCCAGGCCCGACCTTGAAGTTGCCGTGGGCCGCGCTATCCAAACCTATGCGAACCCGCATCATCCACTCAAAAAAATAGAGGAACTTCACTTGTTACTGCAGCAGTTGCCGGATTCTGTCTCTGAACTTGCCGCCGCCGTCCCTTCGTACCCTCGATTGAATCTCCCCCTTCAGCCTTGCCATTCGGTCGTCTCTCTACCGACTCCGATCTAGTATATACTCGGATTGTTTACCTTATCTACTAGAGGTTCTTCTACGCATCACCACATAACCATGGCTCCCACCATCCCGCCGCCCTCCGTCCCCATCCCGGCGGCCACGCCCGTCACTGTCCCGGCCGACTCCTCCCTCTGGGACCGCGTCTCCAACTGGGTCTCCGAGAACAAGGCTGTTGTCTACACCATTGCTGGTGTCTCCGTCGTCATCACCACCGCCGGTGTTGTCTACTACCTCCGCAAGGGATCAGTACGTTGCCGCGCATCTTCCCCGCGTCCCGCGTCCCGCTGCTGCCCTGCGCCCTACCCGGCTGCACGAAGCCTCGCCGTCGTTTGTACTAACGTTTGCGCCCACTTTCGCAGGAGCAGAAGGAGTCCGGCCCCAAGCTCAGCAAGAAGGAAAGGAGGAAAAAGAAGCAGGCCGAGAAGGAGGAGGCCGAGAAGACTGCCACTGCCCCCAAGACAGAAGAGGCTGCTCCTACACAACCCAAGGCCGCCGCCGTCGAGAGCGCCGACGAGCTCCCCGAGATCGATGAGGAATCCGTCGTTAGGCTATCCGAGGAAGAGCGCAAGGCGTACGCCGCCAAGCTGAAGGAGCTCGGAAACAAGGCCTACGGTTCCAAGGACTTCAACAAGGCCATCGACCTCTACTCCAAGGCCATCATCTGCAAGCCCGACCCCGTCTACTTCTCCAACCGCGCCGCTTGCCACAATGCCCTCGCCCAGTGGGAGCAGGTTGTCGCCGATACCACCGCCGCCCTCAAGCTCGACCCCCACTACGTCAAGGCTCTGAACCGCCGTGCCAATGCCTACGACCAGCTTAGCCGCTACAGCGACGCTCTCCTCGATTTCACCGCCAGCTGCATCATCGACGGCTTCCGCAACGAGCAGAGCGCCCAGGCCGTCGAGCGCCTCCTCAAGAAGTTCGCCGAAAACAAGGCCAAGGAGATCCTCGAGACCAAGCCCCCCAAGCTCCCCAGCTCTACCTTTGTCGGCAACTACCTCCAGAGCTTCCGCTCCAAGCCCCGCCCCGAGGGTCTCGAGGACTCCGTTGAGCTCTCCGAGGAGACCGGTCTCGGTCAGATGCAGGTCGGCTTGAAGCACTTGGAGAGCAAGACTGGTACTGGCTATGAGGAGGGCGCTGCTGCCTTCAAGAAGGCCCTCGACCTCGGTGAGCTCGGTCCTCACGAGGCTCTCGCTTACAACCTCCGTGGTACCTTCCACTGCCTCATGGGCAAGCACGAGGAGGCTCTCGCCGATCTCAGCAAGTCCATCGAGCTCGACCCTGCGATGACCCAGAGTTACATCAAGCGTGCTAGCATGAACCTTGAGCTCGGTAAGTCTTTGTCTACGTATTGTTGACCAAATCTGTGCTAACCCGTATGCAGGTCACCCCGACAAGGCCGAGGAGGACTTCAACGCGGCCATTGAGCAGAACGCCGAGGACCCTGATATCTACTACCACCGCGCCCAGCTCCACTTTATCAAGGGAGAGTTTGCCGAGGCAGCTAAGGATTACCAGAAGTCCATCGACCTCGACTCCGACTTCATCTTCTCTCACATCCAGCTTGGTGTTACCCAGTACAAGATGGGCTCCATTGCCTCTTCTATGGCCACCTTCCGCCGCTGCATGAAGAACTTCGACCAGACCCCCGATGTCTACAACTACTATGGCGAGCTTCTCCTCGACCAGAACAAGTTCCAGGAGGCCATTGAGAAGTTCGATACCGCCATCGCCCTCGAGAAGGAGACCAAGCCCATGTGCATGAACGTCCTGCCCCTCATCAACAAGGCTCTCGCTCTCTTCCAGTGGAAGCAGGATTACGCCGAAGCCGAGCAGCTCTGCGAGAAGGCCCTCATCAGTAAGACAGCCCCATCCTTGAACCAGGTCTTGATATCTTGTGTGCTAACATAATGCTTCCAGTCGACCCCGAGTGCGACATCGCCGTCGCCACCATGGCCCAGCTCCTCCTCCAGCAGGGCAAGGTCGTCGAGGCCCTCAAGTTCTTCGAGCGCGCCGCCGAGCTCGCCCGCACCGAGGGCGAACTCGTCAACGCCCTTTCCTACGCCGAGGCCACGAGGACACAGATCCAGGTGCAGGAGAACTACCCTGAGCTTGCCAGCAAGCTCCAGGGCATGAGCGGTGGTCCCGGCATGCGGTAAAAGCATGTCAAGATTACTGTAGCAGCATAAAAAGGAAGAGAAATAAAGAAAGCGATGAAGTTTGAAACGATGTGAAAAGCAGTGTTGTACATTAAAAAGGGTTTCAATTTTGTTGCTGAGATGGTGTAAGGAAATCGAGGCCGTGGGTTGTCAGGGGACGGAATGGATGGTGTTAACATAGGCTGGGATGGGATGGGATGCAATGCTTTTTTATACTTCTCTCCTCTCTATCTCTCTCGACACAACCCTCGTCACTACACATCATCGTCAATTCATTATCATCATATATCATGTCATTGCATTCATGTCATGTTACGTTTTGGGGTCAAATTGGCATTTTGGTTTGAATGGAGTTGATGTCAATGTTCTTCTCTCTTTTCTGTCAGATTTTGTCCACCACAAGATCCAGATGGAATATGCATCCCTTGTCTATCTCTCTAATCAGTATATTGTCACCAAGTTTGTAAAGAATGTTAAAAACCCGTCTTCAATATGAAAGAACTGAGAAGGAAAACTAACCGATGGATACAATAACAGAATCTGACATCAATACGCTTACCTCATGATACCTCCCCTCTAAATTTCTCCAATCCAAAAAGGAATAAGAACCAACAAAACTCGAAGACTTCACCAAATTCCCAATCACCCATTCATTCCCAAAGCACTTCGACCTTCCTGTCTGCTGAACGCTACTTACGGTACCTAGCTATCCCACCCACCCTCACCGACCTTATTTAGTCACAAGTAACCAAACCAAAACAACAAGACACCATTTGACTTTTTCCAAGCATAGCTAGCTCTACCGCTCCGCCGCTCCGCATGGGCACTCAACTTTCATCTACAAATCTGAAAAAAATAGCAGGACTGACTCAACGGTGAAACATGCATGTCCTAGTTACATATCAGAGATGTTATTGGTGATCTTAGCCAGAGGCAGAGTAAGGGAACAAATCGTTTGAGTCCGTCGCTTATCTGTCTGTAGATTCACGGTCCCGGTTTTTTTTTTTTGGTTTTTTTTTTTAGTTTTTTTTTTTAGTGACGGATGGATGACAGTAAGGTGACATGACAGGTTGTGAAGTAACGTCAATTGGATTTAGAGAGATTCATAGAGACTCAGAGGGTGATAGGAGAGTGAGGTAAAGTGAAGTGTGAGTGAACTGCCATGCGGCTGGCTTCATGAACGTGTGATAACCCGTGGTCAATGTGAAATCAACCGTTGCTAGAAGAATACTTGAGCTCTCCTTGGGACTGACTATTCGGGATACGAGTCTTCCCAAGTACGTACTTGATGGTATATCATCCGGCATTATTAGCTTGGAAGAGAGGTATCACATAGCTTACAGAAACCGAGTAGTTGAACAGCAGCTTACTTCGCTTTCAAAATTGGTATGGTATGGCATTTACCCTCTATTTTTCGCTTCAGTCATACACACACACCTCTCATCAAAACCAGAACAACAACCCACACCATCATCGCGGCAAGGATCGACAAGAAAAACAAGCCATAGTAGTAGAAGAAAGTAATTACTAATGTAAACAAGTTTTGGACCAAAAACCATACGGGGAGTATAACATGAAGAAGCTTAGTCGCAGCACACCTGAAGAAGAAACATAAAAAGAAACCCTCCATCCCTCCAACCATCATCCACCGTCCATCCGTCCATCCGTCCATCCGTCCATCCATTCATCGTTCGTGATTATTACGTTCCGGGTTTGTTTGTCCTGAAAACAGTCGTTCGCGTAAACCATGCTTTGCTGACATATCAACCCATGTACATATCATATATATCCGTTCCGCCTCTCTTCCCTTCCCTCCTTTATCTCGTGGGTATTTTGAGTTGTTGTGTTGTTCATTTCGAGTCGGTAATCGGCCATTACCAAACCCCACCGTAGAATCTCTTCTCTCCTGCCATCGTCGCGTTCCAACTCAGTCCTTGAGCCTGAGCCTGAGCCTGACCAACTCCGGCTGCTGCTGAAGGCACTGGGGCAGCCGGTGGACCAACCGTTGGAAGCGGCACAGGCGCCGGAGCCAGTGGAGGAATTAACGGCACTGGAGGGATCACCTGCGCCTGCTGCTGCGACTGTTGCTGCGCCGGCGGCCTGGCCCCTTTCAACCCACCAGCCTCATCTGCGTCTGAATCTCCCGAATCACCACCGAATCTCTAATTCTTCTTGTTCGAGAAGTAGACGCCCAGACCGACACCGAGCGCAATGGCAATGATGATGAGAATGCACACCAGGAGGCAGTACCACTTGAGCTTGCGGCGGTTGCGGGCGTGCTTGACGCCCTTGTCAACTTCCTGGATGCCCTTGTCCATGTTGTCGTTGACCTGTTCCGTCTTTTGGACCACGTCGGCGATGACCTCGCCCTGCTGAACGATGAGCGTGTTGAGGTACTCGAAGAGTTGGGCGAGCTCTTGCATCGATTGCTCGACGCGGAGGAGTTCTTGGTGGCGGGCTTGGACGTTGCCGAGGACGGCCTTGGCGGCGCCGACGCGGTTGGATTGTAGGAGCTGCAGGTTTGAGTTAGTATAACCTCTGGCAATAAGATATCGGGCAGGTAGAAACGTACAGCACTCTGGAAGATCTGATCCTGCTGCAAGTCGCCGCTGCGCACAGCATCCTGCTCCTGGGGCGTCGCATCGGGGTTGACAATCAACAGCTGACGGACAGCCTGCTCGCCGATCTGGCCCTTGTGGCGGCGCTCCTCCACGAGGTAAGCCTGGATGGCATCCTTGTACAGATCCCTGAGGCGCTCGGCCTGGCGCTTCTTGGTGTTGAAGGTGCTGTCGCCGGTGCGGGTGGCATCAGAGACGAGGTTGTCGACTTCGGTCTTGATCTGCGACTTGAGCTGCTCGGTCACCGCCTGCAGCTGCTCGAGACCCGGGGGCGGGCGGCCGCTGGTGTCGGAGAGGGACTGTTGGTGAAGAGTGCGGATCTGGTCGAGGTTCGAGCGGAACTGTTGGATGTGGCCTTCGACGTCGCGGACGCTGTTCAGGAATTCTTGCTGAGATAGAGGAGCGCCGGTGGTTGTGGTATCAGGGCCGTGAGCTTGACCTTGTTGCTGGCCGTATGTCTGCATCTCGTGTGACTCGGGCTGCTGCAAGGGAGTAGGTTAGTTGTCAATATTCCATTGCGACCATGACCTCGGCGCGCATCGACATCATCGGATTGAATGACTTGAGGGATGGAGGGAGCTTGCTCACTTGACCGTAGCCGTTGTTGTCGTAACCTCCACCATAGTTGCCGCCATAGCTGCCGCCATAACCGCCCTCCGCCGTGGGACCCTCGTTGTAAGGGTTGGGCTGACCGTAGGGATTTTGATTATAAGACATGGTTGCTACTGTTTGAATATTTCTGAGATGAAGCCGCTCGTTCGTGATTCAATGACACGGACGCGAATGTGGCGGTTGGGTGGTTGGCGGTTGTTGGATCGATCGATTCAATTGTTCGTCGTGTGAATCGCGTCGGGAGGCGGTGCGATCCTTCTTTCAGTCGCACACACAAAGACCAAGTTGTTCTTCCAATTGGGACGGTAAGAGGGAAGAAGCGAAAAAAATTAATGGATTAAGGTAGGAATAAGGTACGGATAGAATTGACCGGGGGCGCCGGGTGGTATTGACTGGTTTTGTTGTTGCAATGGAAACAAGGAAACCTCGGAAGGAGTGCAGGACGACAATAGTGAATGGTGTGGTGAGAACAAGAGCCCAGCCTCACAGAAATGATGACCGCTGACCAAAAACGAAAAGACGGACGAACAGGCTGCTTCTTTCCGGCCTGACCAGTCACCGAGTGCAACAGACGGAGAGGGCAGTGCGACCTGCAGCGACGGTGCGCTCTCGTTTAAATTTGGGGGTGCAGTAGCGACCGGAGTGTTCCAGGGGCGACCAATGGCCAATGAATTGGAGGCAAAAGAAGCGGGCTGTGGGCTGGCGATCCTCCACCTCTCACGCCGGGCAAGTTTTTGGCGGTGCGGCCATGCTTGGCTGTTAACGCTGTACGGCCTAGTCGTCCCAAGACGGAATAGTTTCAGGGCAGTTTTTAACGCCGACGGACTCGACGGTGCGAATGACCCGCAAAGTCCTTTTTATCGATTTTTGTTCTATTTTCTCGCAGGGTTCCAGCTTCTTGATGCTTTGAGCCGGAGCGGAGATGTTCAAGGAAGTCGGATTTTGGATTGCAATGCTCATGGATGGTAGGAATATCTCATCCTCTCAGTAAAGTGACATGCAATTTATACAGCAATGCCATGATATCAGACACGTTCGTCACATTGCAGGACACGAACCCTGAACGGAGTCGATGGAAGGCCTAGAATCATGTATCGAAGCTCTGAAGCTAAGGGTTGAACAGGGCGGTGGCTGATCATTCCATGGAGAGCTCTTCAACTTCTTTAACTAAATCTCGGAATTGCTGCTCTGTCGCTATGAATAATTATTATCCATCGCCCTCTATTGATGATGAATGCTCAGCCAAGCTCTCGAACCTACAACGGGAAAAGAGTCTCGGTCGCAACAGGTTCCCGACCCACATGCTCTGTTGCTGCGCCCAAGCTCAGCTGCAGTCTGCACGAAATGCAGCGTCAAGGCACAGCTTCAAGAGCTGACGACTGGCTGCTGTGAGGCTGTTGTTGTCAATGTCAACAGAAGGGAAGGGAGGGTAACGCAAAGTACAACTCTAACAGCCTGATGAACTCGTTCACGACAGTGTCAAGCGTGGTATCCGCTGTCAATAGCCCCGACTTGCCGTCGCATCTACCACGTGAACGGTAGGATGGCAAACTTGGATGGCGTAATTCTCCAATGGCAGAGGCATGGGGAACCATCTTGTTGCCGCCCAGTGACGATATCGCCAATTCTACTTGCGCTGTCTGCAGAGGCTGGAAGAGTTGGAACCGAGGAACCAATTGTGTGGACCCTCAAGCAAAAGAGCGTGCAGGCGGCCCCACGAAGCCAAGTCCCCACGCCGACGTGCCCCCTTTTGTTTGGAATGGAGCCCCAAAAGAAAAAGGGGTCCCTTTAGCAGAAAGCTTGGCAGGTCTTGTTTCGAGTTCATGGAATGTTTGCTTTTTCTTTCTGATCTCATTGATCTGCAGACTTCACCCAAATCCGCCTTGCTGCTCAGCTGCTCAGCCGCTCAAACAGCCTGTCTTTTGCATGCCAGTATGTACCCAGTACCAAAATGAAGCACTCGTCGATCGCATGTTTTGTTTATTCCGCCCCTGAGAAATGATACCTTTACACCGTCAACTCCGTTCCGTGTCCTTGTATGTGAACCCAATGCTCTTAAAAATTACATCCAAATCCCAACAGAGGTATCTCATGAGACTGCCGCTTGCCCTTTTTTTCGGTTCCCTCCTCCACATCGATCTTTGCGTGGTTGACCTCCAGTAGGTAGTGTTGACATGTACTTTGACAGACATGGCAGCATCCTCGTTTCACCGCGCGAATCTTCCAGCCCTCACAGCCACTCGGTAAGCAGCCGGCCCAGCAACCCCGCCGATCACCAGTCAGACGTTGGTCCTATCCTCTTTGGTTCCACCAGACCGTCGAAGCTGAAACACAAGACTCGGGTGTCTTGGCCGGCCACGTTTTCCCTGGGGCGGTAGAGGAGGATATGTGCATGAACTCGTCTAAGCATCTGGGAAGGCCTCCCATAACCTGCCAAATACCAAGCCAGCAGACAGACTGATGAGAACGACCTCTCGCCGCCAGATAACGGTTGTGTTTCTCTCGGATGCCCTCTTCTCGGTTTTGTCCGGCTCCACCACCAGGTCCAGTGCGTTGTGTTCGTGGTCCAGCAACAACTTGCCTCTAAAGCCACGCTCTGTTGCTGTGGCCTTTCACCCGCTCACCCATACCAAAAACCACACGGCTATAGCGTCCCTTTCGTCCCATTCGCCGCTTAAAAGTAGTTCTTCTTCCTGCTGGTCCTGGTGTACTGGCTGAGGTGCCATTCGGTATCCGCATCCTTGTTATCGAGAGTGCCCATGGTGATCTTGAATGGCTTCATCGTGAATCGGGGCCCGACCTCACTGAGCTCGACCGAGTCATACGAGGTACGGACATAGACGTGGTGCCTGACCTCGATGGTATCGTCGTTGTTGACAAAGGTAATGACTCTGTTGCCGACGTTGGGTTTCTGTGTCGGCTCGCGGGGCGGGAAGAGGTGCTTGAGGATCTTGACCACCCGCTCACCGAGCTTGGTGTTGAAGCCCTCGAAGATTAACCTGGGGTAGCTTTCGCTGACTGTGCCCTTTATCGACTTGGGGATATCGGCGCGGAGAACGACGTTGTGGAGGGAGACCATGAGCGTCGGGCCATGGGGCTATAGCAATGATTAGCATATGCTTTCCACAAGTGAAATAACATGCCTGGCGGGCAACGTACGAAATGGGAGATGGTCATGGCCGTAGGGACACCACGATGCTCGTGTAGCAAAACAACATCCGTCAAGTTCTGCGCCTTCGCGGCACCAACAAGGTCCTCCAAAACGAGGTTACCACGGTTGAGTCGAACACTGGTGGGTAGTAGGAGACGGATTTCCTTGCTGAACTGGCCGAGTCTGCTGGAGGGATCGCGACTTGTTGTAACCAAGATTCTGGGGTCAATGACACCCGACAACTCCGAGTATTCGTCGTCGATATCGATAGCGTCTCCGTTCACATCCTTGGAAACGTCGTAGTCGTAGTCCTTCCGCAGCTCCTTGTCCTTCGCGATCTCGGGGTCGAGCGGCTTGCCCGAGGCCAGGGCAGACCTCAGCTTAGCGCGCTTCTCTGCAACCTCGGCATCCTTGAGCAGGAGGGCTTTTCGGTAGAGGTAATCCCGCCTTTGGCGAGCCTGCTTTCTCTGTTGCAGTTGTTAGTTATGGACATAGTCTTCAAAGGGTAACTGGGACACTTACAATCATCTTGCTTTGCTGAAATCCTTATCGGACGGCGATAATTGATCCAGAGGCGAATGCGCAGAGCTCGAAGAGTCGTGTTGTCTTTCAGGCGAGAGCGAAGTGCTAGGTGAGGTTGTCGATAAGAATTAAGGCTGCGAAGACAGAAATTCAGATGTCCGGATAGTGGAGGGCGGAGTGGTTGGTGACGACAGGGGTATTCAATGCGACCGGGGGGAAAAAAGTCAAAAAAGTCAAGTACAATCAATGGCACTAAGCGCGGGGTGCACGGACCCTTTCGCTTGGCGGATTTCTTCCCGTCGATTTGCGCCTGCCGGGAATGAGATCGCGCCGAGTCGGTCGGTACGCCACCTTCCCCTTGTGGTTTCCGGTACTCGGGCTTGCAGGGCAGTTTCAGGCGCTGTGACCCGTGGCAGGCAATTCGTCAGCGGGTGCTGCAGCGGACGTCAGTGGGAATGTTCTGTGCCTCTCCAAACAGAAGCTGCTGCTGACACACTTGCCATTCAATCCCTCCGATCCATTCAACCTCCAACCGTGCCAACACAAAGTCGTCCGCCGGCAAAATTCCCAAAGCAAACAACGACTGTGACCAACAACGGCGGCAACCATTTGCTTCACAACCAAGAACCAACAACCCGATAGCCTCACACTGCTTCAACATTCTGGCAGTGTCGTCGTTGCGAAGCCCCGCGCGCACCACAGCCCGCACGCCGATCCGATCCGTTCTGCGATGATGTGACCTTTTAGACGACTTCCAATCCCATAATCTACATCTTTCCAGAGTCCCGCATTGCGACAATCCGCAATACGACACCACATTTTACCTTTCTACAAAATTTCCGGGAGTGAACTCTTCGAGGTACGCCGCCTATCTGCGTGCCATATCTATATAGACACCGAAATACACATTCCTTCCCACAGCCCGCCCAACAACTCCAGGTTGGCCCGCGGCGTATACCAACAGCACCAGCCTCGTCCCCAACGATACCTACCTCAACCTACGTTACTTGTCGAACAGACACTTACTGACCAACTGCTGGTGCTCCAGAGTTTACCTCCGTCAACCACTCGCCATCATGGCCAACATGGAGGTGTCCTTCACCCACCTTGGAAACCACTTGGTTTCCGACTCTGCTGCCGCCATCAAGGCCGGTGGCTCCGACGAACTTTCCAATATCGATCCCGATGAAAACCTTCTCTATGGTGTCTACGGTGGACGTGGTCCCCGCGGCAACGCCAGACGCCGCCACGATGACGACGACAACGAAACCGAGGTCCTCGACGACGATGACGATGAGAGTTTGGCCAGCGTTCCAGTCGACGGCATCAAGAGCCTCAAGCTGGATGCCCCCGTGGAGGAGAAGGAACTGCCTCCCCACGCTTGTGCCTACTGTGGCATCCACTCGCCCTCTAGCGTCGTCAAGTGCCTTAGCTGCAACAAGTGGTTCTGCAGCGCTAAAGGAAGCGCCTTCTCGTCCCATATTGTCAACCATCTCGTTCGAGCCCGTCACAAGGAAGTTCAGCTTCACCCCGAGTCCTCCCTCGGCGATACCGTCCTCGAATGCTACAACTGCGGCACCAAAAATGTTTTCATCCTCGGTTTTATCCCTGCCAAGTCAGACACAGTTGTGGTCCTTCTTTGCCGCCAGCCGTGTGGTGCTAGTACCTCGACAAAGGATATGAGCTGGGATATTTCTAGGTGGCAACCCTTGATCGAGGACAGGGCGTTCCTCAGCTGGCTCGTTACCCCTCCCACGGATGCTGAGCAGCTTCGTGCTCGCCATCTTACGCCGCCCATGATTGCCAAGCTCGAGGAAATGTGGAAGGAGGCACCGAACGCGACTGTTGCCGATCTCGAAAAGAGTGCTGGAGTTGATGATGATCCTCACCCGGTCTTGCTTAAGTACGACGACCCCTATCATTATCAGAACATCTTCGGCCCTCTCGTCAAGATGGAATCCGATTACGACAAGAAGCTGAAGGAGGCACAGTCCGAGGATGGCCTTCAGGTCCGCTGGCATCTTGGTCTCAACAGCAAACATGTTGCCAGCTTCATCCTTCCCAAGATCGAGTCCGGTGATGTTAAGCTGGCTGTTGGCGATGAGATGCGTCTCAAGTACAAGGGAGAGCTGCGACCGCCTTGGGAGGGTGTTGGATATGTCATCAAGATTCCCAACAACCAGTCCGATGAGGTCGAGGTGGAACTTCGGAAGTCTGCCAATGACAAGTCCGTCCCGACAGAGTGCACACACAACTTCTCGGCTGACTATGTGTGGAAGGCGACTTCCTACGACCGCATGCAGCTGGCCATGAAGACTTTTGCCGTCGATGAGATGAGTGTTTCTGGTTACATCTTCCACAAGCTGCTAGGACACGAAGTTCAGGTTGCCCCGACTAAGATTACGATGCCCAAGAAGTTTCACGTTCCTGGTCTCCCTGAGCTCAATGCCAGCCAAATTGCCGCCATCAAGCAGGTCTTGTCCAACCCTCTGAGTCTTATCCAGGGTCCTCCGGGAACTGGCAAGACCGTCACTTCGGCCACCATCATCTACCATCTTGCCAAGATGAGCAACAGCCAAGTTCTCGTTTGCGCCCCATCCAACGTTGCTGTGGACCAGCTCTGTGAGAGGATCCACAGAACCGGCCTGAAGGTCGTTCGCTTGACCGCCAAGTCCCGTGAGGATGTCGAATCCTCCGTCAGCTTCCTGGCTCTCCACGAGCAAGTTCGCATGAATACTACCAACAAGGAACTTGATGGTCTCGTCAAGCTCAAGACCGAGACCGGCGAGCTGTCTTCTCAGGATGAAAAGAGGTTCAAGCAGCTGACGCGCCAGGCTGAGCGTGAGATCCTGCAGAACGCTGATGTAGTGTGCTGCACTTGTGTTGGTGCCGGAGATCCGCGACTTTCTAAGATGAAGTTCCGCAATGTGCTCATCGACGAGTCTACACAGTCTGCCGAACCCGAGTGCATGATTCCGCTGGTCCTTGGATGTAAGCAAGTTGTCTTGGTTGGTGACCACAAGCAGCTTGGCCCTGTCATCATGAACAAGAAGGCTGCCAAGGCCGGCCTTAACCAGTCGCTCTTCGAGAGGTTGGTCAAGCTTCAGTTTACCCCCATTCGCTTGAAGGTCCAGTATCGTATGCATCCTTGCCTCTCCGAGTTCCCCTCCAATATGTTCTACGAAGGATCGTTGCAAAACGGCGTCACCGCCGCCGAGAGACTCCGCAAGGATGTTGATTTCCCCTGGCCGGTCCCTGAGACTCCCATGATGTTCTGGTCAAACTTGGGCAACGAAGAAATCTCGGCATCAGGCACGTCGTACCTCAACCGGACTGAGGCCGCCAACGTCGAGAAGATTGTCACACGCTTCTTCAAGGCTGGTGTCAAGCCTGCCGACATCGGTGTCATTACACCGTACGAGGGTCAGCGTAGCTACATCGTCAATACCATGCAGAACACCGGCACGTTCAAGAAGGAATCCTACAGGGAAGTTGAAGTCGCCTCCGTCGATGCCTTCCAGGGCCGAGAGAAGGATTTCATCGTACTGTCTTGTGTTCGCTCCAACGAGAACCAAGGAATTGGTTTCCTTTCGGATCCCCGTCGTCTCAACGTCGCCCTCACTCGTGCCAAGTATGGTCTAGTGATTATCGGTAACCCCAAGGTTCTGTGCAAACATGAACTCTGGCACCATCTTCTCGTCCACTTTAAGGACAAGAAGTGTCTCGTCGAAGGCCCCTTGACGAATCTTCAGCCTTCGCTTCTGCAGTTTGGCAGACCTCGTCAAGCCTACCGGCCGCAGCGCAGCCACACCCAACATGCTGCCAGCGGCTTCTCTAATGGCCGGTACGCTGCTCCCTTGACTGCCGGCTCCGTCAGGGATTACGAGACTGGTTCTATGGTTTCGTACATCCCGGATGACGTCTCATCCATCCACAGCTCCGCCCTGGGAGGTGCCGGTTTGAGCTCTGCTTACCCCACAATGTTCTCGAACTTCCACCCTGAGGCGTGGCCTGGTCTGCCGGGTGCTGGTCCCAATGGACGCCCGGGCGCCAAGGGCCGTGGTCGTGCGACAGAGAGTATCGCAGGCGAGAGCGTCGCCAACAGCGAGTTCACTGATGCCACTTCCAGTGTCATCGGCGGCAAGGGTATCGGACAGGGCGGCGCGAGTCTCGGTGCTGGCCTTAGCGAGGCCATCGGATCTGCCCGCCCTACTTCCTACAGCCAGAGCGATCGCCTCAAGCAGTATGTCGAGAGCAATGGTCGCATGGGTGTCGGCAACGGATATCGCCGTTACGATGACGACGAGAAGAGCGTCAGCACTGCTTTTGCCAGCCAGATCGGGACAGGTTTCGATTGAGCGGTGAGCTCCTAGGCGTTGATGGTCTCCCTCTTCCTCTCGTGGAAGCGCACGACACAATGCTTATAGTTCTCTTGAACCCAAACGGTGGTATAGCATATGGACCTCTTATGTGTCACTTGGTGAGCACGACAGAATGCCACTCGTTCTGTCGACACGCTACCGATAGCCTTCGGGCTGGCGGGCAGACAACTTACCCTTCTCCAGCTTGGATTTGTCCAACTGAAGCTGCAAGGAGTTGTCGCTGCTCTCTGAAAGCCAATCCTTCTCATAGGCTTCTCCAAGGTGTGGGTGATCAGCCTACATACCTTCTGCGCAATAGTCTCGTGCAAGCTGAACCACAGGCAGATGGGAGCAAGGCATCTTCACACCTCCGTCTAAGGCCGTACACCAAATCTGACGTGCATACGGACTCAGGCAACAGACGGGTATCTACGGAGGGTTTTGTCATCCTCGGATGTACAGAGCCGGGAGGTCGACCCACACTTGGTATCGGGCGGAAAGGGTGGATTAGTTGACGGTCAAGTTTGCATGGTTGCGGAGGCGCCTGGTCAAATACGATCTACCAGGAAGAGCTTACCTCTCTATCTGTTGCTTTAGGGCAGGTGGAGAGTTGGATATCTTCTTTTGTGGGATGATGACCAAAGGAAACGGCAAAGCCTGCGAGTTCATCAACGCAGCGCGATTTACACCAACCATGCTCACTCTTAAGCTTTCAAGGACCACCAGCCCGAGTTAGTTTTTCACTTCGTTTTTAAACGTGCTTCACAGGGATTCGTCCAGCTTCTCATACCCTCATAGTTGACAGCCGTCCTCTGGACTTCTAACCAAAGTCACTCCTTATGACCAGAGACGGGGCAGAGATAGATTTCACACAGAAAGAGATGGGAGGAGTTCACTCCACACGGGCAAGAAACAAAAAAAGAAAAAGCAAAAGAAAAAGAAAAAGAAACAGCGTTGGAAAATGATTTGATGGAGGGTAACGCAAGAGGAGTAGGATGATGTGACCGGTCATAGCTATTCACACATTAACCTACACTGGAAATCTGGAAGCGAAAGGGTACCTACCTATCTAGAGAGCGTATTTGAACTTCTTTCCCGCTGATTCGATCATCTTTGCACATGTTTTGAAGCCCGCTATGTGTGAATGAACGTGAATCGTAGCAAAGATGAAATCTATCAGCATCATTCCATGGCAATTCAACACGCACAATCCCCGACTCACCACCAGCAGCAGAACCAGGAAGATAAACAAAGCAGCGAGAGAACACCGAGAAAGGAAGATAGATCCCTTGGCCATCTTAGCGACTCTACAGGTATACAGAACAACGTGGAGCGGGTTTGGAAAAATCGACCTGTTCGGAACAACAAAAATTGAATCATGATCTTCAACTTCTTCATAACTCTTGATGTCATGAAGAAGAACTAAAAGAGCAAAAGCTGTATAACGCCAACGATGACACGCCACAATTAGTAGAAAGTAGTCGTACCATCAATCTAGGTCTCTCTCTCTACATTGTAGATATCTTGGAAAACTGCATGCATGCCCTGGTAGGTAGACAGTGGATTCCGGCCGGACGACTCGAAAGCAAACCATTCAGTACACAGTCAGACAGACGGCCAGACCTAATAATAATCTGTGATGAGAGTGTTAGGCACCTTCCTTCGTATTTCATGAACAAGGAAGGGAGGGCCTCTCCAAATCGTAGAAGAACATCGATCATTCGGCAAAAAAAAAAAAAAAAAAAAAAAAATTTCACCAAAACACAGTCCTATTGTATTAATAACTCATGTTGCTTTCCAGTCATGGTAGTAATATTACAATAAGTAGGTAGGTAACTTGTAGAGCTAACTATGTACTGTGTTCAGTTTACAAGTAGCACCTGGTTACGTACTTGGGTAGCCAGCCTCCTCCGTCTTCATCCAATCCAATCCAATGGTATCTCTGTTCGCAATCATCTTTCGTCCCTTCTTCCGTCCCCTTTGGTATTATAAACTTTTTTCGTTCCGTATGTCCGTCCATATCTGCAGCACCAGCAGCCCAATGGCTGGCTGGCTGACTGGCTTGACTGGCCGTCCCCAGGACAGCCTGGCCAAACTCTCTCACAGACGGGGAATTTCCCGCTCCTTCCGAATCGAACATCCCCTGAAGTGGCGTCTCTCTTGCCCTGAAGCAAGTCCCTTGTGTCAAGGTGCCCAGCTCAAAGCTGAAAGTTCAACGAGTTCGTCCTACTACTCGGCTGTCCTTTCAGATGCGCCGAGGACCCCTTGAACAAGCTCTGCCAGATATACGCCTCACTGAGCAGGAGCTCAATGTCCTTCTCGGTCCACTCGCGTGTCGGCAGGGACTGGAGGAACATCATGATCTCTTGGAAGTCCATTTTGACGAGCTTGTCGGACCATTTGACGAGGAAGGCGGCGCAGACGTAGAGGTGGAATTCCGAGAAGCCTTGTTCTTCGGCCTGTGGTGATTTGAGGGTTAGCTGGGGAAAGCGGGTCCCTCAAAGAGGAGGGAGAGAAAGAACTGACCATGTACGTATCCCACATCCTAATCGTGTTCTTGACACTGATCTCCCTCATCAACAGACAATTCATCCACCTGAAGCTGAACTGGATGAACTCGACGTTCTCCTCCTCCAAATGCTTCGCCAGCCCGGCGTCGATCCTCTGCGTCAGGTCCCTCAGCGCCGCCACCTGCCTCTGAATGCCCGGTTGCGCCACAATGTAGTGGTCCTGTATGCCGTCCAGCAGCTTAGTCAGGCACCAGAACGTGTCGGCCTCGACGGCGTCCAGCACCACCCTAGGAAGCTGGCCCGGGTCCATGCCGCTCTCTATGTCCGGGTCCGTGATGTATGTGCCCAGAAACACCTGCCAGAAGGGTGTCACCAGATCGTTGATGCCCTGTACGTAGCCGCTTGCTGGGTGTCGAACCGCCCATACGTAGAGGATACGCTCCAAAGAGCGCTGTGTGGCTTCATAGCCGTAGAGCTCGATGTGTGGGTTCGTTCGGGGGACGTCGATGCTGATCTGGTGCCAGATGGCTTCGTCGAGGCCGCGGTTGCCTCCGCCTCCCTTTCCGGTGGACGGTGGTGGAGCACCACCGGCTCGTTCAAAGGCTTGTCGTACACCGTCTAGGTATTCTTTTCGTTTGCGCTCGAGTGTGGCTACCCTCCTTTCACTGCTAGTGGGGAGGTAGCTTAGCAGGAGCTGCCATGTCATGGCCCGGACTTCTTCTGGTACGCCGGACCAGGCTAGGGCGCGGAGATCGTTGAGAGGGATTGTTGACGCTTGGAGAATCTTTTTGAATTTGTTTATCCTGGTTATCCTTGAGTTGGCGGCATCGATTTCCTTTTGGGAGGCATTAGGTGGTACTGAGGGGTGGCTGATTAGGTGTAGGGCATTTGCGGGGTCGCGGAGTATGTCTCTGTACTGTGGTCGGAGGATCTTGCCTTCGGTCTTCTTGGGCATGGGGTAGGTAGATGCTGGTCGCTCGATGGCTATGTCGGCGCTGTCTGAATATCGGCGTCCGGTCGAGTCCGTAAACGTGTCTGCTGCTTTTCCTCGGCTGGTTCCCTGTTCAGTCTGCGCTGCTGCCCGGCGCGACTTCCTTTTCATGCTGGACAGACTGGGAAGGCCAAAGTCGTCGTCGCCATCGTCTTCGTAGGCGTATACATCGTCTGCGTCATCGGCTGCCCAGTCTTCGTTGGTGCTCGTTATGAAGTTCATGTAGTTCTTAAAGGGGGGCGATGTTACTCCTTTGACATGGGGCGAGGCTGAACGACTGTTGGAGGTGGTTCGGCCGAGGGCAGAGGAAGAGGGAGGAGGGGTGCGTGGTCGATTTCTGGTTCAAGAGATGCAAAGTCAGCAAAGATTAGAGATATCCAAACAACACCACAAACGCACATTGATTCGAACTTGAGCATGTCGGCATGGGAGTAGGCAGCGCCAACTATCTTGCCCGAGTCACGAGTCGTCGTCTTCTTTAGCGGGGCATCCTTCTGGGGCGCTCTCCAAAAAGGGGAGCCAGAGCTGTGGCATTGTCATGTCAGCGTGGAGTCTTGAATCTAGGAATTGGACAAGAGAAGACATACTCGGACCTGTCTGAAGCCATGACGGGCATGGAATCAGCAACTGGTTATACAACAAACAACGACGGGAGGTTCCACTTGTAGTCATCAGGACATACCAACTTGCACCATCTCCTGCTGCTGTAGCGACATCATGGCCTGTTAGCATTGGAATTGGAACCAGACACTGGTCGCACTTGTCACTAACACATACCTGGGGAGGTGCTTTCTTGCTCGAGCTCGAAGAGGAAAACATTATATGAATAGGACAGGTGGTTTCGCCTTGGTCTACAAGCGCAATCGCATCACCATTGTCGAATGTCGTTCGTTGAAAGGGAGACAATGGCCGTTCCCGTTCAGGTGATTGCTTGATGCCGTGGTCGTGTTAAGCCGATCGGCTTGTTTCCTGGCTACACAGCGGGTGCCAGGGTCGAGGCTACTAACACACCACGTCTTCCCATCTCGGTGTCTTTTCAGCAGTGATTGACTTGGGACACCGTCCGCCTGTCGCAGCTCGCCAGCTGTTCGCCGGCCTCGGACAGCCGATGTCGCCCATGAACGACCCAGAGGGTGTGATAAGGTGTGCTGTACCGTCCCTTCCCCGCAGGTACGCCCTCGTTGTACAGGCTGTTTCTCACCGCCTACGCGCCTAATTGGCCCTTGCAGCAACACGCGAATGGCACCACGTCCAAGTGCCGTAACGTCTTTTTGTTAGTGCAGTTATGGTTGACAGAAGGGCCCCATTCGCGGTGCCGGTGCCTTGAATCGGGGTCCACCCAACCGAACCTTAACACTCGGTGGGACCAGACTGCAGGGCAGCGGCGAGGCCCTTGATTCACTTGCACTCCGCCTTGGGACTGAGGCAGGCAGATGGAGTTCCAGTTCCCGTCCTTCAAAAGCAAACGACGTCCACTCTTCCACTTTCCACTTTCACTTTCTACCCAAGTCATCCTCGACAGCAGCAACAACCACAACCGACTTAGCTTGGACTTGTACACTCAATCCGCTTTCCAATCCGGGTCTGTTGATCTCCTCCCTCAGATCGACTCCCACCCACCTCGGGCTCTACTTGAGCTGCTCCGAGGTCCATCCGCATCTCTTGCGACGATCCACTCGCGTCTCGCTGCTTCTCGGCGGCCAGATCTTCTTGTGTATTCTTCCAGCAATTCTACGCCGTACGCCATCTCAGCGTCCGACGTAAATACTAGATCGACTTCAACTCGACATCTCTTTCCCATCTTCGATACCCGGTACTCAGACACACAACAACCGCCAAAATGGCCGAAGCAGAGAACTACGAGGACGATCTCTTCGACGATCTGTATGTTACATCTACTTCCTTGGTGACACCAAATCTGAACATGATCTGACACTTGCTACTAGGTACAACGACGACGACGCTCCTGCTGCCTCGAAGCCAGCCGCTGCACCAGCATCTGCCCCAGCCCCACCTCAGACTTCGGCTACTGAACAGCCTTCTCAACAACAACAGCAACAACAACAGCAACAGCAAGAGCAGCAGCAACAAGCTGCCGCCGCCCAGCAGTCGGCTGCTGACAACTACGGAACATCCAACGACTACAGCCAACAAGGCTATTACAATGGAGGCGACGGACAATACGGCAACGATGAGGAAGAAGACGAAGACGATGACGATATCGATTTCAACCTCGGAAACGGCCCATCGACCACTGTCGCTCGCCACGACGACGACAACAACAATAACAACAGCAGCCAGTCTCAGTCGCAATACCATGCCCCCCCACCGCCCCAGGCCCAACACAAGGGCCCTAATGCTAAGGAAGATGGGTAAGTCACCTCCCCTTGATGCTATTCGTGACACACGTACATGCTCGTAACACCCCCAACCCCCCCTATAACCCCTACCTATATCCTCGTTTTTTGCCCGATGCAGCTGCAGCCCCACCCCAGCTCTCCTACATGACGAGTTGAACATCCACTCGAAACCCGCCCAGGACGTGGCGTCCTAGAACTTGGTCTGGTTGGGAAAGGAAGGTTTGGGCGGCGCAAGGGCTTGATGAGCAGAGTAGAGTCTTGGCACCAGACACTCCGAGTCACTCTGGCGCGTATGGGTGAACCATACCGTATGGATGCTCCAGGGGTTACGAGACTTCAAGTGATCAAGAGCAGGAAAGGGTCGCTCTCTCCGCTATGGACGTGAACATGGAATCGGGAGAAAAGAGGCTGGAAGCCGTGGACTTGTCCAGGGTCACGCCAAGGATCAAGCTTCGACGTCAAATTGGTCCCGGAGTACGCTCCTGTCTGTACTACAAGAATGGCGGATGGCCTTGCGGAGGTAATCTTAATAGGGCGTGAGGGAACCGGCTTCCTTCTGCCAGGAGGGTCGATGAGCCTGCAGCCAGAGCAAGATTAGCAGCGAGAAGGGCAGTACCCAGAACAGATACAGACAGTACCTAGCTTGACGGTAGCAAAAAAGCTCGAGACAGCAAAAATTCGAAGAAAGATTCCGGCACACCCAGAGACCACTTGGAAAGTGGAACATTGCTGCGCTGCTGCATCCTCTGTTCGCTCTGGGAACTGCCGTAGCATACCTCCACCCTGGCCCCTTTTCGTCAAGTCAACTCAGCATTCGGCACATCGGACAGCAGTCGTCTCGCCGCCACCCCTGGGAACATCGCGGAGACGGCTTCAAACCTTTCATTCGCCAAATGACAAGCATCATATCATCTTGGGTCGATGAGCTCCGTCAACTTCCGAAGCCAACCGGAGAATCACGGCCATTGTCACACGCCACAGTCAAACACCAGACCCAGTGTAGACAAGATGAAGGATAGTTCTTGGGACATTGATGGTGGAGCCCATGCTATATCAAGGATGATGGTAGACGGTCATTGTGGTCATATTAGAGGTCTGGGATAGACATTACCTGAGGCTGCTCAAGTCCTGACACAACGGGCTAGGCAAACGGGCTTGCTTTCCCAGTTCACGCTATATGCACGCGCATCTCCAAAAACAACGGCTACAAACATGCTCCCGCATCATACTAGCTGGTAGCTCTTGGGTTCGCTCGTAGCCATTTGCGGATTCGCTCAAGCTTTGGGTGGTTAAGGGGCTGAGGGGTTGGGGCTGTTTGCTTGATCACTGCACAATCAACTCGCTCACAATGTCTTTCTTACACCCGCGTTTTATTGACTCAAACCCACACATTCCTCACAGCCCTCATGTTACGCTTACTCGTATCCAGGCACCATAGATTGCTTAAAAGATGAAGTTAACTAACATACCGCGCGTGCGCTTGTGTCTTATAGGAAAATGTTCATTGGTGGCCTGAACTGGGAGACTACAGACCGTAAGCATTGCCATGTTCCTCATCTTCCCCTTTTGGTTGTCGTTGTCTCTCTAAGGGCACTATCTATACCATATGATCTTCATGACAGCTATACTGATACTGGTCTCGCGGCTTTTTAGAATCACTGAGGGATTACTTCTCGCAATTCGGCGAGGTTGTTGAATGCACCGTTATGAGAGATGGCGCCACCGGTCGCTCGCGTGGCTTTGGTTTCCTTACCTTCAAGGATCCCAAGACTGTCAACATTGTCATGGTCAAGGAACACTACCTTGACGGCAAGATCGTACGTTGTCCCGCCATAGCTCGTCTAACTCGTCATATAAGTGGCCACTAACGCTCATTCTCCTTCCAGATTGACCCCAAGCGCGCCATTCCCCGCGATGAGCAAGAGAAGACCTCCAAGATCTTCGTTGGTGGCGTGTCCCAGGAGACCACCGACCACGAGTTCCGCGAATACTTTGCCCAGTTCGGCCGTGTCGTCGATGCCACCCTCATGATGGACAAGGACACTGGCCGTCCCCGTGGTTTCGGTTTCGTTACTTTTGAATCCGAAGCCGGCGTTGAGGCGTGCCTCTCTGCCAACCTTGAGATCCATGGTAAGCCCATCGAAGTCAAGAAAGCCCAACCCCGCGGCAACTTGCGCGAGGAGGCCGAGGAAGCTGCTAGACGCGGCGGCGGCAAGTTCGGTCAGCGCCGCAACGGTCAGCAAGGCGGCGGCATGGACGACGGCTCCGGCCAAGGCGGCATGAACGCCATGGGCGGCATGGGCGGCGCCGGCACCGCCGGCATGACACCCCAGCTCATGGCCCAGTATCTCCAACGCATGCAGCAGGCCTTCCAGATGATGCAGCAGCAAATGGCCATGAACAGGGGCATGCAAAATCCAATGGTCCAAATGATGCAGATGCAGCAGATGCAGCAAATGCAACAACAGATGATGGCCGCTCAACAGGCTCACGCCGCGGCTCAGGCTGGTGCGGGACAGCAAGGCAACGGTGGCCGCGCTGGTAGTGTCGGCGCGGGTCAGGGGCCTAACGCGCAGAACCCCCAGGCGATGGCCGCGGCCATGGGCATGAACCCGGCCATGATGCAGCAGATGATGGGTGGCGCTGGCGGTCCTGGAGGAGCCGGTGGTGCTGATGGCGGTGCCGCTGGTCCCAAGGGGGGATTCAACGGCTTCGACGGTCAGCAGGGCTTCGATGGCCAACAGCGCGGTCCCGGCGGCGGCGGTAACCGCGGTCCTCGCAATGACCCCGCTGGTAACGCTTACGGCGGCGGCATGCCCAGCGCTGGAGCAGGCTACAACATGGGCGCCACCAGCTGGGAGGGCATGTACGATGACGTCCCGCAGCCGATGATGGGCGGTCCCGGTTTCGGTCCCGGTATGGGTGGAATGGGTATGGGTATGGGCGGTGGCATGGGCGGTGGTGGCGGCGGTGGAGGAGGAGGAGGACGTGGTGGGTTCCATAAGAATCGCGGCCATCACCACGGCGGCGGCGGCGGCGGCGGCGGCGGTGGTCATCAGCAGGGTGGTCACCAGGGCTCGCACTCACCCGGCGGACCGGTCGACCCGGCCAGCGCCCCTCCTCCGAACGCGCCCACGGGCCCGAAGAACGCTGGCAAGCCTGGTGCGAACTATCGCGGTGGCGGAAGGGGTGGAAACAGGGGCTTCCATCCTTATGCTAGGGGTTAGAAGTCTTTTGGTAGATAGGGCGATGGTAAAGCGAGCTTGCTTCATCATCGATCGGAATGTCCCTGCAGAATCTACAAGCGGACGAAAGAAAGTTTCGGTCTCCTTGCTTTTGAGCAACCACCCCCAAGCCACCAGCATGGTCACAAAAGACAAAGAAAACAACAACACTGACAGCCAACCACCCAACAACCCCCAGCACCAAACAACCGGCGTGGTCGGGCTGTAGAGGTATTCCGTGAGGAGAAAAACGGCGGGGAGAAAGTTGCGCGGTGGATCTGACGTGACGGGGACGATGAGTCAAAGGAAAGGAAAGAGGGACGGACGATGAGCGGAGGAGAGGACGGATAGTGGCTGAAGGACTGAACTGAAATGGCGTTGGAGTTTTAATCAATCAATCACCGCTTTTCTTTTTGTTGTTTTGGGTTCTCGCTCTCGCTCTCATAAAGTCAAGTAAACTCATTACTAGGTGGCTTTAGTCTTTACGTTATTCTAGGCTCCTCATGAAATTCCAAATTGTACAATATGTATTTTGTTGCTTGTTTGTTGACTTTTGTCAAATTCTCATTACGCTGCTGCCCAGGCTACAAGTAAGCACCAAACATAGGTATCAAAACGATCGTCCTATACTTTGTTGTGTGTTTTGGGTTTATGTTATGTCGTTCCCCGTATCGAACCTTGTCGTTCCGAGGTTAAGGGTGATTATGCTGCCTTGGTTGGGCATGCTGACAGATGTAGATAATCACCAAAAAATAAATTTGGTTGATACAAACATATTCCGAGTTCCAGTTATCCTTATTTGCCTAGCTGGAGAGTTGTTAGATAAAACCAGTGATGGCTTTTAATGCAGTTTGATATTTATTCGAACGGTGTCCATGTTGTCGAAGATAGTATCTCGTGTCTAACTGAAGCGCGGCCACATTAACTGTTTGTTGCTGGTGCTTAAGTCCATCCGTTACGGACAAAATGTCAAGATCAACCTTGCCTGGGCGGCCCAAACAACGGGCGGAACGTCAAGTTCCACGACGGTGGTGTTCGCAAGTGGTGGTTCGCTATTGGAGCGAGGATCATAGAAAAATGAGGAATAGTATGATTACTGCCTGACTTCTTTGAAGCCCTCGACTCGAGAAGAAAACTAGAATATTACAAGCCTGATTGATCCTGACTGAACTCCTGCATGAACTCCAATTGCCCAATTTTCCCAAAGTCCATACAAATCCATCACATGGCCATACAATTACTCGTACCTACCTAGAAAACCCTCTGCCCAATCTCACTCACTCACTCCTCCTTCAACTTCTTAGCCTCTGGAGCACCCTCCTCGGCCGGCGCAGCCTCGCTCTCACCAACCTTCCTCTTCCTCTTGACCAACCCCGTCAAATCATTCGCCTTCTCCTTGACCTCCTCAGCGACCTTCAACGAACTGTTGTCCTCCTTAGCTCCAGAAACAGGCGCAGCAATACCCAACGCCTCATTAATATCAATAGGCGGCTTCCTCAGATCCACCAGCCTCTGCTCCATATCCGCAATCACCTCCTTCACGTCCGCAATCTGCCTGCGCGTCGCGTCGTTGTCCTCGGGGTTGTGCGTGCTGGCCAGCTCGACCTCCTTGTTCTGGAGCTTGAGCTTGGTGGAGGCGATGGCGGCTTCGAGCTCGGCGGCGGCTTCGTCGCGGAGGGCTTGGTCTACTACGCCTGCTGCACCGCCAGCTCCGGCGGCTTTTTCTGTGGAGTCGTCGTCGGAAGACTTGGTCACGGAGGCGAATTCGAGCGCGAGGGAGAGCTTGAAGTGCGCTTCGGCGATGATTTCGGAGTCTTGGGGGTAGAGCTGTTGTTTGTATTTAAGGGAGGCGCGGGAGTCGGTTATGGCTGCTGGGTATCTATTGAGGGAGGAGTTAGTATCGGGCTTGAGGTGGAAAAGGAGGAGACAAAATGCTTACCTCTCGTTCTCGAGAGAGATCTCGGCAAGAAGATCATGGAGGTCGCCTAGGCGCTCCTTGATGTGCTTGATCAGAGGCGGTGTCTCAGTAGTGGTGGCAGCCTCCTCGCCTTCCTTCTCCTTGCCCTTTCCTTCTTCTTGGGTCTTCTCTTCGGCTTCTAGTGTTGCGAGCTTCTGCTCATGGAGAACGCGCGCAAGGTCGAGGACCTGGAACGCCACGGCGAGATCATCGTCGTCTTCGTCTTCTTCCTCTCCCTCCTCGGCATCCTCATCTTCCTCCTCCTCATCCGAGTCGTCAAAGTTCTCGTCGCCCTCAAAGTGGAAGAGGGGCTTCTTCTCCGGATTGGGCTCATCCTTGTGGGCAATCTCCTTGGCCGCCTCGACGATGGAAGCTTGCGTGCCCTTAGTCGCCTGCTCTACCGCCTCCTTGATCAAAGATGATGAACCCTCTCTGTTCTCTTCTGTGGCAGCCTTCTTCTGCTTCTTGGACTTGGCCGTCTTCTTCTCGGGTTTGGGCTCGGGTGCGCGACCGCCGAGGACGTCGCTCTTGCTTTGGCCGACCTTGAACAGGGCGCGGCCGTAGAGGAAGAGGATCTCGGCGTTGTCGGGGTTCATCTCGCCGTTCATCTCGGCCTGCATCTCGGCGGCTTGAGCGTACAGCTCGGCGGCCTCATCGTAGTTCTTTTGCGCGTACTGGGAGGCGGCCTGGGCGGACAGGTCGGCGAGGGAGACCTTGAGGGATAGCGCAGCTTGCTCGGCGTTGAGCTCGACGACCGGGGTCGCGGTGCCGCTTGCGGCGGGAGTGGGTGTTGACATTTTGATGTTTGATTTGCGACAATGTCTTGGATACTGCGATTGGAATCTTGATTTGGTGAAGAGGTGGAAGGAAAAGTCAGTGGACAGGAAGAGAAGCTTCCTTTTGGGACAGTTACAGAGAGCTTCACAGAAGTTCAGAACCTGGAAGCTGTGACGCGATGGAGATCAGTCCACCGCAGGAACGCGTCTGATTGGCTAATGGCGCTATAAGGTAAGTGAATGCCGCTGTTCATTGGCTGTTTTCAACCCTTGACTGGAAATGTGGGGCGCGAGAGCAAACAGCAGACCAACAGCAGAAGACAATCATGATCAATGGCGAGAGCTTTGCGCTCCTGAAGCTGTTAATGAAATCTCGAACTCGGTCTCAAAATTGATCTGATCAGTTGACTCAATTATCTCATTCAATTCCCAGAATCTGATGCTGATTCCGAAAGCACTCAATGTTCCAAGGTTCAGTCCAGGCTGAAAGCGCTTTCTAGGGTTAGGGTCATGACGTAAGTCCTTTTGGCAGGCATTCTTATCCTCCCGCTCCTGCTTCCGTCCATCGAACATCAACCCCTCAACTCATTTCTTCACTTCTCCAGCCTCGTTCAGCCTGGTCACTTCAATCTTTCTCCAAAGCCCAAGAGCGTCTCTCGATCGCAAGCCGGTGAGCGAATTACTAAAGATTTTGGCTATCACGATACATCAATCTCAAGGTTGGTCCACTTGATAATACCTGGTCTCTGGTGAGTGTCGTAATTCTATGCAGCGGTCCTGGATTTTTATATATGGCCCTTGCCTTTGTCAAGTCAGCGGGGGTTTGACGATTATATATCAGTTTCACAGTCTTTCACTTTGCCGTTCATGCGCTGCTGTCGTGGTTGTAGGTCACCTGTTCTAATATCAAGTGGATAGAATACTCAATATCAAACAACCAAGAGTCTCCTCAATTGCAAAAATGCTTCAAGCAATTGACAACGTTCATGATCGCCATTTCTTGGCCACAGAGCTCGCTTCACCAGCCACCCTCGTTGCTGAACTTGCGCAACCGGAGGTCAAGAACATTCTCCTGGCGTATGTACTACCGCCACTTACGAATCTCGACCGGGGACTGTATGAACGCTAACCGCTAGATATCCAGCGCTTCCGGCTCGGTGGCCACCATCAAGAGCAAGTCTTCATCTCCGTCCAGCAGAACTGTAGATAAAGAGCTGACCACCTTCTCCCCCCATAGTTCCCGAGATAGTCAAGGCCTTAGCCAAGCACGGCGACAAGATCCGCATCCGCATCGTCCTCACACAGTACGCCAAACACTTCCTCGGCGGCCAAAGCAAAGAACAGCCCGTCTACTCCTCCCTACTGGACTACCCCCATGTGGAAGCTGTCTACGATGATGCCGATGAATGGGGTCCTGAGCCATGGCACCGCGGAGCGAGTATTCTTCATATCGAGCTACGAAGATGGGCCGATATTCTTGTCGTTGCGCGTAGGTCTTCCTAGCACTTCGAATGTCCGACGACATCCATCGACATCCTTACTGACCTAGCTGATTTCCAGCTTTGGATGCCAACACGCTTGCAAAGATCGTCAACGGAATGAGCGATAATCTTTTGACGTCCGTGATAAGGGCGTGGGACACAGATTCGAGTATCGACAACAAGAAGAAGGTCATTGCGGTTGCGCCGGCCATGAACTCTGTGCGTTCCCCACGTTTTTGACACTGACCCGGTTGGAATAGGAAAATTCAAGATCAGAAACTAATTCTCTTGTCGCTAGGCCATGTGGAGGCACCCCATCACCGCGAAGCAGATCCGAGTACTGCAAGAAGAATGGGGAGTCAGGGATCCTGAGCCAAGTGAGGGCGACACTGCGGGCGTCGCCGTAGCTAATGGCTGGTTCCAGGTTATCATGGTATGGTTGGCTCGTTTTGTCGACTTGGATGTTTGAGGTCTGAACTGATGCTGACAATTTCCGAATCATAATAGCCGATTGCAAAGTATGTTGAATCCGCTACAAGATGTCCTCCATAGGCTTATGGATACCCAATTCATTGCTAACATATGTTCCACTAGGACTCTTGCATGTGGCGATACAGGAGGTAAGCAAATCCCCATTATTTTCCCCCGTTATTCTTTTCCTGGCTGTTTCAACCCCAACCATGTTAACTTGTCATGTGCTAACTTGTTACTCTCTAGATGGTATGTACATATGTATTCCGTCAAATGCCCTAACCAAAGCGGCTAGTCTACATGGGTGTCGGGAAAACCAGATATGGCGCGTGGAAAGAGCTGACTTTGTGTGAACAGGGGCCATGGCATCCGTCGACACCATCCGAGAAGCCATTGAGAACAGGCTTGGTCTTGAGTAGTGTCGATATTACGTCCTACTCGTTGAAGCGCCGTTGTCGTCCGATACATTCAGAGTGTTCGAGATGGACATTGCCACAGCGAACTTTCAGCTGTGTCTAAAGCCCAAAGTAATAATCACGATTGGTAGGTCCGCCTAGGGAGGGCAGGGGTTATTCCAGAAGACTTGATTGGACAATGGAGGGGAACCGAAGCTTTCCAGGGGGACAAGCAGAGATTGTAAAGCGAGAAGGACGGACGAACAGCCGGGAAGGTTTTACGTGCGACGGACAGACAGATACAGAGACACATGATTTATTCAGCAGATCATGCAAATTCATCTTTTCTGGTTCTTCCCATTGGTGTTGTTGGATCTCAGAGAGGAAATTGTTTTAATGTTACACATTGTGGTGTGGACATTCGTCAGGTTTCCCAAATCGGTTGACCTTCACAAGCACTCACGACGACGACGACGACGACGACGAAGACGACGAAAGGGAACAAGCTTCGTAAGCTCCACCCCAAAAAGAAAGGATCTTTTGAAAGGTTATCCAGCCCGCAACGTGCTTCAACCCTCACAACACACATTTTCTCTCGATAAATTACTAGGTGAGAAAGAGTCACTAACAGATCTGTATGCAAAGCCAGGCACAAATCTGTTAACGCGCAGAACTGACGTTGACGACCCTAAGCGTAGGACCCATTTATTTTCCTCCAACTGAACTCTGATTGGTCTACTCGTTGGTGTAAGTCCGCCCGTTTCGAACATCGGAGTCCGACCGACGACGCTACTCGAGTTGAACCTGGCATCTATCCCTCCGCTTAAAACGGTCGGGCTCATGTTGTCATCTATCAGTACCCCCGGAAGATGGGTTAAGATTCAGTCCAGACAGTCTTCTCTAGGCCAGACGCCCTTTTGGTTATCCCGCTGCGGTACCTACATGTACTCCAACTGCGCCATCAACACCGAAGAGACAGCAAGATCTCCTCGTGCAGACATCCCAACTCTATCTGGGGTCCTTATGCTTCAGCAGACGGGATGAAGCACCCGAACTGTAGGTGCCTGGATGGCCTCACAGCCTGAAAGCTTTCGTTCCTCTTACGGGCAGCAAGTGGCTAGGTAGGCACCATCTAGCATTCATCAACCAGGTACATATACACAAGGGGTATTTCTCAGTTGACCCTCAAAGGATATCATCTTACTGCGGGCGTCTTCTACTTCTGAAGGGAGTTGTCGGACACTAATTGGTCTTGCGTCATGTCTGGAGCGGGGGTGTCTGGTTCATGCAAGCATCATAATATTCATCTCCGGACCCCCAGATCTGAGGCGGAGACGTGCGTATTTTACACACAGTGTTCGCAGAGATACCACTTTCTCACCATTGAATGCTGGGTAATCTACCCCTACCTCGCCCTACTTACAATGGCATTGTAATGGATACACAATTACGGAACTAGTGTACGCATACTTTCGGCCCATTGGCGTGCTGAGGGTCGTCGAGTGTGCCTTTCTGATCCAACTGCCTCTGCTTTCTCTACGCCTTTCATTCTTCATTGCGTCTCCATCTTGCTTGGAGTTCCGTTAAAGGGAATGAATGGCCTTACGCATGCCCTCTTGAACAAGTGCTGGCACATCATCTTAATTTCCTTTCTTAGATGAGCGCTCCATCTCATCTTTCTTCTGTTCTTGTTTCATCCTGATCTCCATCCCAACATTCATCTTGCCTCCAAGACAAACTCGGCCCATCTCCCGAAGAACCAAACAAGATCTCTTCAGAACTCTTTAACAACCTTGCTGATACAGACATCAAGATCATAACCTGGTATCGCTAGCCCGTAGGCATAGATTGTGGGCACAGGCAAATGCAAACAATCGCTTGCATCATTCTCAGTCAACTATTCATCCCCATAACGACTCAAAACTGCTTTGACATCTACCTGTGGACAACGTATCGGAGGGATACAAGATGGACAGCCGACAGAACTTCAACATGAGCATCCGAAACGTCGTCAACACGCCCCAGTCGGGACAATCCGACTACCGCGGGAATCCTGAAATTCGTACATCAGAACACCCCTACCAGTAAGTTGCTTTTTTCTCTCATAGAAATCAGCTGCTGACCCTACACTAGTCCTTCTACTTCCGAGTTCGCTTTCCGGCGTCCCGTTGGATTCAATGTGCCGCGCCAATTCGAGAGCGCCAACTATGCTACCGGCGCGCATGGTGACCACCCCGGTATGACGTACGAGGGGACAAATTACACCATGACCCCTCAAACCTTCGGGGTTAACAATCAAACGTATGTGGTGAAGGTTCATCTCATCTTGCCGATTGCTTTGCTCTCTGTTGCTTTGCCCCTGTTTGCGTCTCGACACATGTTGGCTTCTCCCGTCTGTGACCGTGGCGCCTTATCTGCAGCATGATGCGAAAGCTGCTTGCATGCCTCTGTCGACGTGGGCGGAAGAGGATATGGGATGGAAGTCCAGATGCTTCGAGCGACCCAATGCCAAACCTCGAGCGAGTGACTGGCAAACGGTACTTAACGACCTCGGGCACGTTCCCCCTTCACCGGTTGATGATTACCATGATACACTTGAAATACGCTGTTCAGGTTCCTTCAATAAAGCCGGCCGGCAGAAATCTATCATTGTCGGCCCGGGCATGCTATTGTCAGTCGGCCAGGCAGCCGGGCAGTTGGGCAGTGAATTGCTCAGGGTGGAAACCTAGACTCCCACAACTGGTCAGGTCCCACCTCGTTTGTTTGTTCAATAAGGGGTCACGTATTGAGACCATTCACTTCCATCCCGACTTGCCCCTCACAATAGCAAAACTGTGAGCCCTCTGACCTCGAGCTCAGAGCTGTGAGCCTGGTAATTAAACCAACGGTGCGAGCGCACTCTGCCCCATAAATTGCCTTTTCCCCCGTCGGGTTTTCCTCATCCCTCATCCCTCCTCCTTCAACCCAACTCGACTCGACTTACTTTGCCGATCTCAACAACATCGGCGCAATTTGAGTTGAGGCTCTTCCCATCTCGAAACCAGCTAGTCGCTTCTACATCAAGCATCACCCCGCTGCACATTCGCTTCCCGCTTGCAGACCAGTATCTGCGCACTGGTGACCTCGGTCTGATTTTAACAGACGTTCGGGTACATCCCATCCTTACCACACATCTTGAGGATAGCTGCTAACCATCTTGCGTACTTCATGTAGCCGTTCTTCCGGATATTCGCTTGGCCTTGACCTAAGCTCTCTCAGCATGGCTCCGTCTCGCATCAAACCCCAGTCACCCCTGGAGGGTTCGACGTGGTCTCAGCAGCAACTGCCCACCCCCCCTCACAATCGCGGCGGCCGACGCAACGTTCGCATGGAGAACTCAACCAGCAATACGCCCACGGTTGACCAGTCTTCTCCTGTGGCCGACAATGCCAGCGTCGAGGAAGATGACCAGGATTTGAATCTTGATTGGGTGACCAGAGCCGCCAGGTATCTGGACCCCCGAACCGAGGAAGACCGCACGGATCGTATCGCCCTGGAGGCCGACCTTCGCCGTGGTGGCACTCGTTGCTACCACACCAGCAAGTGCAACACCAACGCGCCACCCCGCAAGGCCGTATCTCAGTTCTTTGGGCGCAACAAGAAGGCAACGAGGCAAATGCCTGATCGTGTGTGGTGCAATCTCTGTCGCAAGCACTACCAGCGCGCTCGTTACCGTAACTTGGCCGAGTACTCTCTTGATCAGTGCAATCTTATCATTGGCACAATCGTCCGGGCCCAGATCTGGTCCGATATCAGCCATCGGGAGAATCCGCACCTGAAGGGGGGAACTTTGAACGGATGGAAGCTTGTTCCCCGTAAGCGCGAGCAACAGCGTCAGGAAGAGGCCAGCAAGGCGCGTGAGAAAGCACGTCTCCAGAGGGACAAGAAGCGGCCGCGCGACGACTATGACGACGAACTCGATGAACTCGATTTCCTCCCGACCTCTAGGGTCGCGCCTGCCCTGCTTAGGCTCTGTGATCGTGTGTACTCGTCGGTCCAAATCATCGACATCATCGACGAGCATTTCAAAGCGCCCCTTGAGGAGGCCCTCAACTCGGGCCACCCCTCACATGGCCTCCCTGACGTCGAGATTCTTCCCGAGTATGATGGTACTGATGAAACCCTCGAGAAGGAGCGCAAGGAGAAGGCCAACAAGAAGAAGGCCAACTCGGGAAACGTGACTACCCCTGAGAAGCGTCGCAAGCAGGCCACTCCGGGCACCGACTCGGATGACTCGAACTATCGCTACACGCCTCAGCAACGCACTGCTTACGGCTATGACGACAGGCAGTATGCCGGAGCTCACAACAACCTCCCCTCCCCCAGCCCCAGCAGATCTAACTGGCCGGCCCATTACTCCCAAGGTCCCTCCTATTCTTACTCATCCGGCAACGGCTATAACGACTACAACGACAGGTCATATGCTGAGCGCCAGACCGGTGTCTCCTCTCCCAACCTTAACAGATCTGACTGGGCTCCTAGCTATCGTCAAACCCCCTCCAGCTACTACCAGTCTAGCAACTCGGTCAACAATGGGCTCCAAAACAACACATCCGCCACCTACAGCGGTAACACCCTTGCTCCCATCGGTTCCGGCCGCGGATATATCAACCCAAGCTATACTGGCCTTACCCCCAGTTACAGCGCCCCCGGCGGCTTGGGCACCAGCAACAGCGGCAGCATGTCATCGTCTGGAGCTGGCCTGAACCCAATGCTCCAGAACGACAACTCCTTCTATCAGCCAGTTACGCAGAGAAGGGAGACCATCGCTGCTTACCGCACTACTACCCAGCCCTCATACGAGCCTCGTCGCACATTCTCTGAAGCGAACAACCAGTACGCCGGCGGTCCCCCCATCACCGCTTCGCATGCCGCTTCTATCCTCACCAACTTCCAGGATAACACACGTCAAAAGTACGAAGGTGGAAGTAGTGCGTCCGAGTCCATGCAAGGACCTGGATACCCAGACTACTCGTCGGGCAGTTATCCCAACCGTTACTAAGGCGTAAGCGTCTTGGAACTACACAGCAGCAACCATAACAGCAACAGCAACAGCATCGACAGAGTCGGAAAAGAGCATGTGCAAGGCGTTTTGATTTTTTTTTCAATGCAAGGTTTTCTCGCTCAGAAGTTCCTTCATAATATGCATTTTTTTCAGCAACCAGCTTTCCCTCCAGCTGGTATCATTTCATTTCACAGTCTTGCTCTTTATCTATCTTACCATGCATGGTTTGCAAATGCTACGGCGGTTTGTGGCATTCACACTACCCGGCTACGAACAACATCAGGAAACTGCCACAACGGTTTTCTTTCAACAGAAAGTCTTTGACAGAGACGAAGCGGTTCAGTGGCAGTTTTCACCAAAGGGATGACAATGGTCATCGTCGGAATGGAAAGGATGACACAAAGGTCATCACATAATGGAAAGGAACGGAAATCCTGGATATCATTCAGGAGAAACACGAATTCAACAAGGAAGGCGAGGATGAAAGAAGTTGGTGAGATTGATTCATCACGGGGATGAAGCGAAAACGAGCGCAAGTACACGAAGCGCCGAGAAAGGAGGGAAAGAAAGGAAGGAAAGAGAAAAACAGAAAACAATCACAAAAAAAAAGCATGCCACATTCACAGCCATTTCAACAGCTTGGATGTGGACAAAACTACCTAGGTAATTTGCATTCTTATAGGAAGGAACAGGAAGGTTGCACACATGGAGGAAATATCAATGGGTCAAGGGAAAGATAAAAAAAGGGAAGCCTAGGGAACATCATCAGTTGATCTTGAGGAAACGATTTGCTTCTTTTCGTTGCATTCTTCACGAGGTAATGACTTTACGATAGACGACGACATTTTCTTTGTGTTTCAGCATACAGTCTCTTTGAGTTCAGTTGCTTTTGCGAAGAAGACAAGGATGATGTTGCCCTTCAATTGGTTCTCATGCGCGCGCGTTTGTATAGCTGCTGCGATGGTTCTTTTATCTTGAACTTTGCCTAATGATAGAGGAGCATTCTAAGGGATGCTGGAAAAAGGGGGATGCTGGAGAAAGCGAAAGGAGAAAATGGATGGTAGCTAGGATAGGGAGAAAATAATAGAGCCTGGTTGACATCACAAAAAGTTCGTGACTACGGTGATTGAAAGTGAGATATGTGATACTCAGCTTGTCCCTACTTGTATGTTCGTGGTGGTTGCACTCATCCGTGAAGCTGTTCCCACCGCCGCTCCTCTGGGAGCGAGAATCACGACTCGGGATCCGTGATTATGCACTTCCGATCACGATCGTCAGCACTCGTTAATCGCATGCTTCAGTGATAAATCACATCTTGCATTTGACTATCCTGAAAGCGCTTTTTTCTTTTTCTTTTTTTGCTAGAGTTGAAGACACCGGACCCTCATATAACATCATTACTCTCATCATCACTTGTCATCCTCAAAAATGCCATCTCTTGTGCGCCTACGCACCAGTTGGCTCCAATGTCCCTTCTTCCACACACCCTCAAGTTAGTGGTCCTTCCTTCCTGCCCTGGTCATCATGATGTTCACACGGCAACGGCAGGTGCCCCCCATCAGCCCCGCGGTCAAGGGACCCGTTTCTCTCATCGACACATGTCGCTACCTCTGCTAGCTACCTGTGGCAGTCGTTACCCACCATGGTTCATTCTCTGTTTTTATTCAAGACTGCGGGGCATTCTGCCTCATCCTCTGTTCGCCCTTGAAAAAAACCAATTCTCCCATTTTTTCTTGGTTCGCCTACTTTGTGCAAATCGTGGCCTTGATTCGCGTCCATAAAAGACCGATATTGGCCTTAGGTTTACTACATCTGCATATTTTCACTTCAGCAAGTTGCCCCTCAATCTCTGCCCTTCGGCGGAAATAGAGCAGGTCATTTCTGGGGCCGACGAGCCCAGCCAGTAAAGCATTACCTCTTCTCTTGCCCTTGCCTGAAAATTACGAGCAGGAATCGCTTGTCGACAAGTAAGTTAATCCTCCTTATTTTCCCCTCTTGGACACGAGCTCATAATCGCGACTCAAGCAGCTTGTAATTTACCACTGGACTACCTACAGACGGACCCCCCTTTCTCCTCACCGGTCGCCACAAGTCCACAAGCCCACAACCCAGGCAGGCCCAAGGATGATGCACCTTGTGTCTACAGCACGTTCGGACGCACTCTCCTGCTGCAACTGAGACGAGATAAAGAATGGGATGTACATGGCGTTCGGTAGAAGAAGACATCAGACCGGATGTACAGCACCATACTCCACAAGAAAATCAACATCGGACCAGACGGAGAGCTCTCCGATTGCTGGGTCTCCCCTCACGACATAGGAACTACAGAACGGCATGAGACACTCGTGACGGGAGCTACACTCGACGGGCTCAACACAAATCACATCAAGGCTTCCTACCCCTCGAATGAGGGCTATCCGGCGTATGGGGATGCGATCACTCTGTCGTAACTTTCCAGTGTTGGTCGCGAAGGTGGGTGGCACCAGGTGGGTGACGGTTCGGGAGGTCGAAGAGAATCGTTGCCCGGGCACAACCAGGCAGCCAGACATGCAATTCCGCTCTTCTTAGCATGTGTACCTACCTTGAAACGCCCGCCACCTCTCTGCACTCTTCTCCACCGACATGACAACCATGCTGTTACTTACCCGCCATAATCATCAGACCAGACGAGCAGACGGAAGTTGCATGACTCCCTATGCCGCTATTCAGACCAGACCAGATGAGAACCCAAGGAAAAATGGCGTCGAGCTGATCTTTCTGGGGAAGAGCCAGGACTCAGTCCGGATGAAAGTTTCAACTTCACCCAAACGTCCAACGCCGGGCTTGGGAGTGTGAACCAACTTGATGAGCAGTCAGTCAAGATGTGGGAACACTAGGCCACGGGCAAACAGCCAGCCAAACGGCATCACATGCCAACTCGTACCAAATTTGGGGCGAGATTCTCTGAGGCCTTGGGAAAAAAAACCTTGACGACGCCAGGCAGCAACTTCGAAGCCGTCAATTCCAATTTCCAAACATCCGGCACACGTAGGTACCAGTTGTTGTCCAAGCCTCTTGTCGAGCTGCTTCCTCTCAATGGTCGCCAAATTTACGCACCAGAACTGTCTACGCAGTCCAGTGCCCACATATGTATGTCATGCCTCGAGTCTGTGCAGCATGCATGACACGGACATGTGTCAACTGATGTCGTAGACCAGACGTCGTCTGAGCTCCTCAGACCCTCCTCCCCGCCGAGCCGCCCACATTCACGAGATCCAAACCAGACCACCAGAACCTCCTCAGCTTCCACACATCTTGATGATCGACGGCCGGCCGGAGGGGTTGAGGTGAAAACGAAACGAAACAGCGAAATAACGAAACATCTTGGCTCTGGGCTCCAAGTTCGGGCGCAAAATCCGGATGACAGGGCTGGCTTCTTACAAAGAGGTACCAGTTGTTGAATCAAGCTTTTTGACTGGTCTGTACTTCGAAACTGTCGAGTGTCCTTGCTGTTGTCAAGGACAAGACGTTGGAGTGTCGTTGTGTCGAAGCTCGTGATTGGACGATGGGCTATGGGGCAAGATGCGAGCTGCCTGCCGGGAGTACCCTCGTTTCCCGGGCCGCTGACAGTTTTGGCAGCTAAACTTGACACTGTCAAGCGTATTGACACACCAGTGTAAGTTTGAAACTTGTCATTGTTACATACGCGCACCAACGACTGAGCGTAGAGGTAAGTTACAATTCCAAGCTTCTGCAAGATTGACCAGCAACGATTCGATCTTGCACATTATCCGTCCAGTGGAAAGGCGTTGCGAAAAGTCGGAAGCGGCGCGGTTCGTTTCCTCCCGTTCGGAAGAACTGCAAGCCTCTTTTCTCCAACGTTGTTGAATGTTGTTTCTTGGCAGGGGGCGAGAGGGGTTCCGAGTTTCCGACGGTGACCCGCGTTTCACTTTTTTCATTTTCTTGTTTCTTTCCCATGTTCTCTATCTCCAACCTCAACGTTCGATTGGGTATGATTGACGACGAAGCGAATACACTTGCGACGGATAGGGCACCTCATTATTGGTTCAGACTACACAAGATACGGCCAAAGAGCCGCAGCTCCGCGTTCGCTGGGATTGATAGACCGCTGCTGCGACTTTATTTTTGCTTCTTCCATATAATCAGATTATCCTACACCGTTGTCACTATGTAACACAGCCAGCCAGCGGAGGAGATCAGGAGGGTCGAAACCGGAGAGGATACAGGCTCAGGGGCAATAAACATCCGCATCCACGCCTGCCATATTCAATCTCCCAGCTTGCCGTCCATTATCTGTCCCATAGCCGGTGGGTGGCGCAAACCACAGCAATGTCGGGTAGTCCCAAACTTTGAATATTCCCGTGAGTCTAGTCGGTAAACCAAGCAATCGGAATCCAAGAATTGAGCAACAGGACCCAAAAAAGGGAAAGCATCTGTTATACGTAGCTTTCAAAGTTTATATCGAGGTGTCATTTATGCGCTAGTGTCCCGGGACCCGGATCTCCGACTCCCCGCTTGGACCTACCCGGCTAGGCTTGTTGTGATATTGATAGGCGCCATCATATCCCAACTCGCCCGCCCATCCAAATTTCCAACAATAATGGAGGATCTTCACATTTTCTCAAAAAACCACTTTCCCTCCTCAACCTGTTTGATACTGGCTATCAACAATTCTCTCAACCACCGGTAGATTCTCATTGTGTTGTTCCCTGGTAACCAAGCATGAGACTCAACCTCCTCGCCCTCTTCGGGCTCTTCCTGGCCTGGGCGACCTACAAGATCTACGCCGGCTTCAAAACCAACATTGCCAAAGCCCGTAAAGCTGGGTATCCTGTTCTCATTACCCGTAAGTTGTTCTTTCTTCTCCGCTTCTCCCCATCTCATCTCATCTAGACGGACGATACCATACCAAGAAACTAAACATGATGCAACCACAAAGCAATCTACCCCCTCTCCCCCCTCTGGCTCACAACCCGCCACTTTTTTCTGCCTATCCTCACCCGCCTTTTTCCTTCTTGCCTCTACTCCTCCTACATCTTCGTCATGACGCCCGACTGGGAATACCACCCCTCGCCGCGCTCGCACTTTGCCCGTTTAGGCTCCGACACTTTTCTGGTGGCCAGCTGGAACGGCCTGGCTTGCTACACCTCCGACGCGGGCGTCATTTATTCGGTAATGAGCAGGCGGGAGGCGTTCCCCAAGGATACGCGGCAGTATGGGATCCTGGAGATTTTTGGGAGCAATGTGGTTACGACTGAGGGACAGGTCTGGAGGATGCATAGGAAGGTTACCAGCGCGAGTTTTAATGAGCGGAATGCGGGTCATACGTTTAGGGAGGCGGTGAGGCAGACGGGGGGGATGGTTGGGGGGTGGTTTTCTTCTTCTTCTTCTGGTTCTGGTTCTGGTTCTGGTTCTGGTTCGCAAGAGGCGGGAGGGGAAGGGGATGTGGAGATGACGGGCACGATTACGACTCTGGAACACGATACCATGCGCTGGGCGCTGAATATCATTGGGTACGTCGGCTTTGGACTGAAGCTGCTTTGGCCGCACGAGCAGATGCCTAGTGACGTGGATCCGAAGCTGGCCAAGTACGGGAGTTTGCAGCCGCCCAGCGGGTATTCGATGACGTTTGCGGATTCGTTGGCGACGGTTTTGGAGCGGATTGTGGTTTTGCTGCTTATTCCTTCTGCTATCCTCAAGCGGATTCCCTCACGTTGGGGATCGTGGGGATCAAAGTTGCACGAGGCGTGGGAGGCCAAAGTTAACTATACCAAGTACATGAACGCTTTCCTGAAAGAGAAGGTGGAGGATATTCGGGCGGGAGTGCAGGAGAGGGAGGGGATGAATATCATGGGTCAGCTGGTCAGGAGCAAGTATGACCCTTCTTCCTCGGAGAAGAGCGACGGCGCGACGAAGCTGGAGGACAGCGAGATCATGGGCAACGCGTTCATCATGACCCTCGCTGGACACGAGACTACGGCCAATGTCACGCACTTTACGCTGATTGAGCTGGCTATCCACCCCGAAGCGCAGCGCCGAGTTCAACAAGACATTGACGCCATTTTTGGACGGGATTCCGATCCAGAGACGTGGGACTACGAGAAGAGCATCAACGCCTTGCTAGCTAGTTACATCGGTGCCGTGATTAACGAAACCCTGCGACTGATTCCTCCGGTGGTGGTCACGCCCAAGAGAGTGGCGGACACGGATCAGTGGTTGCAGGATGAAGGACAAAAACATCAGATGCCGGCTATGATGCCCGTCATGCCGGTTATATCAGCTGTGCAGAGGAACAAGAGGTATTGGCCTGCTCTTGACAAGACGAAGGGTGGAGACGCGGGTGATCTGGATGAGTGGTTGCCTGATAGGTGGTACTTGCCTTCCATGTCCCAGGGGCAGTCAACCGCGGACGAGAAGGAGGAAAAACAGCAGGAAGAGAACTACGGCGGGTACCAAGGCCTCGATACCTCGCCTACCCTCTTCCGGCCCGTGAGAGGGTCGTTCATCCCCTTCTCTGACGGCGCGCGCTCCTGCCTGGGGAGGAGGATTGCGATGGTGGAGATGGTCGCTGCCATTGCGGTGCTGTTTCAGAAGTACTCGGTTGAGTTGGCGGTGGATGAGTGGGCGAGTGATGAAGAGGTGCAGAAGATGGGTGTGGAGGAACAGAGGGAGGTGTATGCGAAGGCTCAAAAGAAGGCGAACGACACGCTTCATCAGGCTCAGTCGGTGGTGACGCTCAAGTTGACGGGAGGGAGGCATGTGCCGGTGAGGTTTGTGAGGAGGGGGAAGGAGAGGTTTGTGGGGGATGAGGGGTTGTGCTAGGCCTGGCGTTGGAAGGTTTCTATGACGAGGAAAAGTTTAAAGGTGGTGAGGAGAAGGGAGATGGAACGGTGTGACTTGTACAAAGACTTACTTAGACAGTGAAACAACGCGATACGATACGGGCAACTCTATGGTGGTCATCTATCACATATTGAGTTGCTTGAGGCGCAAAAAGGCCCAAAAGGAAAAGAAGCCAAAAGAACACCCCACCAGGGAGTAAACCCTGGACTGCGGAACTTGTGTAATCGTCGGCGTTTGAGTACCTATCCACTCAAGTTAGACTCTAGCTTGAGGACAACGAAAGCAGGAAAAAAAAAGAAACAAAAAAAAGATGTGGACTTACAGCTGGTTCCGGGTTCGAACGCGCAGCGTACATGAGAGCCGGGGGGAGGAGGGAAGGCGGGGGTCGACTGACACACAGGACCGCTGCGCCATCCAACCTACCAGCTTACCACGGAAGTAACTACGCGGGAAGTAATACATATAGCCCATAGGGAGGGGCTCAGTTGCGGGCTGTGCCCTTGTTGAAGAGATGGGATGGAAGAGTTGGGTTCTACTTGGAAGGCACCTCGTAACGTGTCGAGACTTGTTTGAATCATTGGGGAATGACGAAACTAACATCTAAGCCAGACTCCTTCTCCTGAGTCCGGGTCAGCTGTTTACGAGATGAAGTACTACCTAGTGTCTGAAGGCAACTTCCGATATCTTGCGCTCTCAAGAGAAAGTCGATCCCTAGTCGTGTTGTGTGAGGAGGGGGAAGGAAGTCACTTGAGACAAATTGTGTCGTCTTGTGACAGAAGCATAGGTTAAAGATAGTGGACTTGTAGACCACATGGACATCAGAATAGGCAGGAAAGACATTGGGAGGCTCCCAGATTGCTTCAATGACCAGGTTGTAAAACAGGGGACCGGGAAGCGACTTACACGTTTATTGGCAGTCCAAGCCATCTTGGAAGTCGCATACCTCTCTACCGTTGAAACGTGGACAACATCTGGGAAGGAGTGTTTGGGACCTGGATTTGGGAGGTAGCAATAGAACTGATGCATTTTCATGGAAGAGGTCTCTCGGTTTGTGGGCAATCACCTCTTGAACAACCAACCGCTATTCTATTAACTCAACCGCAATCCAGCCACCATCGTCGTCAACTAGCCAAGAGCTTTTGAGTCCTACGCTGACCATGATGAAGTATGGACTGTACAATTCTCAATACTGGTTTGTTTGTTAGTTTGGGTCTTCGGCCATGGGTTGAGAAGTTGAGCAGGGGGCAATTTGGAGCTCTCATTGGCCTCAAACTGGTCTTCGTTTGTAGCGATGGACAATGACCAGGGCCTAATACGCCACAGAAGCCTGTTTTTAATGCCTCTATCCGTCTCCTTCGAGCTCCCGAAGATTGGAAAATATAAGAGGGTAATCCCCTACGGCACCTGTCCGTTTGAAGTCCGAATGCTTTTCCACTTTCAGTGGCTCGAGAGTGGAAATGGGCGTTTTTTGTACCAAACTAAGAAACAAACCAGGGCTGGATTGTAGAAACAAGACGACGGACATGATGGTACGTGTAGTGGAAGCCAAAGGCGTTAGTTTGCCTGGAATAATGGTCTAAGGAGAGCGAGTACTTTCTAGAAGGAAACGTCCAGGATTGTGCCCAAGCGCCCTTTCCGACCACTTGCTCGTTCAACCCTTCTGCGTTTGAAAAACACCGTGAAATATCAGGACACAAAATCCCTACATGCCGACTGGACCAAGGATCCCTTTTCCAATGATTACATTTCCTGGCACTTGTTGCCTTTACATGACCTGCATGGTTACGCAACACTTGCCGCTTCTGCCGGTTTTCACTTACCTGGTAGCCTGCACCTTAAGTAAGATCGGGCACCTGCCGATTTGACGGACCCGTCAACAGTCACCGCCTTTAGTGCCCGAGTGAAGGGCGTTTGGTGTCCCAGTGGAGGGTCTTTGTCAGGACGACCCCACGCACGCATTTTGAGGGTTTGACTTCCAGTCTCTTGATATCTCTTCCACTTACACCATCCAACATTGCAGCAACCTCCTCAGGGAATCGATCACGGACTGAAGATGGCGCAGCCCCCCAGCAAACACGGAACGGGACCGTCGTCCACGGCATCCACAACATCCAGCATGCCCACTGCACCAACGCCGTCCACCACTATATATCGCAACGGACGTGAACGTGGTGCTTTAGGAGCCGAAGCACTGTTGCGAGCAAGAGTCAACGGCCGTCTTAAGACTCCTTCGCAGTCCAGCACCTCCAGTTCTCGCACTCCTCTGGTCCTCACCCCAACTGGTTCGACCGATACTTTTGTAGCATCCCGAACTTCCAAAACTGTGAGCTCAAGAGCAACCACCAATTCCGCAAGCTTCTTGACCCCGACACAGGATGATCTCGAGTCCAACGGTAACGGGCATGCGGTTTCTCGTAGCAGGGCCTCTGTCTCTCCCTTCGGCTCCTCGAGTAGCACTCAGACAAATGTCCGCAAACAAATGCGAGACATCTTGGAGGAGAACGAGCGGTTGCGCACCCAGTTAGATATGCTCACACTCAAGGCCAGCAGCCCGACTTTGACAACACAAGAAGAGGCATGCAGGCTTAGACAGCTCAAGAGCCAGGAGTGTGAGGCGATTTCCAATGCGCCAAGGAGGTCTACGGCAGGGCTGTTCAAGTCTGTTTGTTCGACCGATCTCCTATTTCTCATCGATACCACAGGGTCAATGGGCCCATACATCGAGAGCGCAAAATCCCAAGTCAGGGTTGCTATGGTGGGCTACAAAGACCACCTTGACAACCCAAATATCCAATTCCTGGACTTTACGCAGTCTACCGATGAAGTGCGATCCTTCCTCGACAGCCTAGTCGCCACCGGCGGAGATGACCTTCCCGAAGATGTTCTTGGGGGACTTCAGCAAGCGCTCGATGCGAATTGGAAGCATCAGACGCGAGTCATCATTCACATCGCCGACGCCCCTCCTCACGGCCGTACACTGCACAACCTTGGCGACTGGAGTGATACTTATCCCAACCCAGGAAGCGAGCCTCACAAACTGACTTATCAGCCACTACTCAAGCGAATGATAGGCTCAAAGATCAACTACGTCCTGCTTCGCATCAGATCGTGTACAGACTGGATGGCTCGGGCCTTTCTGGACGAGTACGCCGCCGTTGGGGGCGACTGTATGCTAAGCAAGCAAAACGCTTACTGCGGCAAAGTGAGCAACCCCAGTAAGAAAAACGGGCTTCCGAGCGGCCGCCTGCTGTTTCGAGAGGCCGAGTTGGGCATCACATTCAGCGCACTACAGGATCTCGTCGTGAAGGCCGTCACTACTTCGGCTATTAGCACCGCTACGAGAGCTTTCACTCTCCGTGCAAGCAGTAGAAGAGTGCCGGGAGGGACTAACACCCAGAAATCAAGCTGCGTTGACCTTGGATCCATTCATGAGGATGAAGAGGTCTCCAGCAACCGCCCCAGCATTAAGCTGGAAGAAGGTCCAGCGTAATGGGACAACCTGGAGTGGTTCGACGAGACTCTCAGTGGAGAGGGATTCTCAGTGAACGGTGGCAGTGTCACCGGAATGCCCGGCTGCGCCCCTCTAAAGGGAACAGGTAACACGCTCGACGACCTGATGGAATCTGATGACAACATAACCGTCAGCGTGCTGAAGCTGAATCTTCGCAAGCGCAAGACACCTTTCGCCGAGGGGGCACTGCGCCTGGCCTCATTTGCGCGCACCGAGTCTTCGACGAACCGTTATGTCGTTAAAGAATTCAAGGACGACAACTCCAAGTATGATGACGATGACGACGGCGGCCAAGATTCACGCCGTCGCACTCTTGCCCACCTAGCGGAGGACATGCGCTCTCAAGCTCTTTGCAAGGCCTTCGCGCTCGAATTCAACCTGCTTTTGGGGGACAGCCCGGAACATGCAATCGACTTTGTGGTGACGTCCTGTTTCAAATGTGACAACATGGGCGAGCGCAAGGGCAAGTGCATGTACATCGAGCCTTTCCTCGACGGAAAATACATCAAGTATAACGGCAACGCCGGCTACGCCAACGACGACCCCGAGCTCGCAGAAGACCCATCCAACCTGGCTGCTCAGGCCTTTTCGCATTTTACGTTTGAACGTTCGCATGGCCGGTTCCTCGTCTGCGACCTGCAGGGTGTGGGCAAGATGATGACGGACCCGGCCGTCCACACGCTCGACCCGTACCGGTTTTCGCTGTCTCAGACCAATCTGGGTGCCGAAGGGTTCATGTTTTTCTTCGCTTGGCACGAGCGCAACAAGCTTTGCCGCCAGCTCGGATTGCAGAGCAACGGACAAAGTCTAGTGGATGGTGACGACAAGCCGATGCAGTTCAGAAAACACTGGCGTGGCATAGAAAGGCTCAGCCACGGCATCGGAGATATGGCGGCATTTTGCTGCTCGAACAAGCTGTGCGGGAAAATCTTGAGTCAGGCTCAGGCGGCGACCTCGGAACGTTCAGGTCCGTCTGGATATCACTGGTGCGACGAGTGTTTGCCGCAGTTGGACAAGTTCATGGTGAGGCAGGTTTGCTCTACTTGGGGCGTACCGCACCACGAGTTCGAGGTCTCGAAGTTCTTTTACGAGTCCCAGGGAAAGAATATTCCGCGTTACTGTCCCGACCATGATGTTCGGGAATCCGCGGCGAAGCTTTTCGCCTTTGACCCAGCCTTTAAGGTTCAGTAAAGATGAATGCTGGGGGAGTAGGAGGTAAAGTCGCCGGGGGAAAGGAGGGAAACATAGGAAGTGGCGAAGCATAGGAGGACAAACTGAGCGGTAGGAAGGGCAAGAAAGAAGTGGAGAATATGAAAAATAAGGTCGGAGCAAGACTCACCTCCTCATCCGCCGGCATCTTTCAAGTGTCAACTCCCTATTAGCAGTATCGGGCTCTTACTTTGTCAAGTTCAGACGGCTGTTATGACTCCTCTTGTGGAGAGCAACGCCTTCTCAAGCACCTCGTACTGATTCCATTTATGGCAGATGGAAATAATGAGAATGTAGTCGTTAATAGCATACGTAGAGTAATGTGTAGTTGAATGTTCATTCTCATTGTAAACAAAGTGTTTATTTGGTGCGAAATGGTGTTTTCGATCTCGGACACCAACAGTCGTTCAGGGTTATTTATGTATGGAGGGTTAGGCGTGAAGCGAATGCCCAGGATCCGCAGCATGGCCCAACAGAAAGTTGAGGTTCCCCGCTCTCCACTCTTTCCCGCCCGCCCGTTGGCCCACTCGTCTGGCATTTTGTTGGTGAGTGTCGAACTGATGATTGAAGTTGATGAAACGCGGACGCGTTGAAGAAGTCCTCTATATACTAATAGCAGCTTACCCCCAAAAAAGTGCGGGTAGGGTGTTAGTGCTCTTCGCGGGCGTCCCTATACAGAACCCCGCATGCACTAACATCTAGCTACTGCACGGGCCGTTTTTCCCGCAAATTGTCCGCAAAAAGAATTGTTAGGCCTGACATTTATTGTGCAATTACTGTTAAGGACTGCTTTCAACCCGTACGCGTCGTGCAAAATCTCCTTTCCACTCCAATAAATACTGTGAATCGAACATTACGCCGCGCCCAACATGCCTCCCAGAGCCCCCCGGACCACTGCTCTCCCGCGAGGTGCCCGCGAGGTGCACCGAGAGGAAGAGGTAGTCCGGGCGGCTCTGGGAGGCATATTGGGCGCGGGTGGGTGTACGGACCCTTTGTACGGACACCCCAGAATCCAGCTCTGCACGGGCCACAACCCAAGATCCAGCCTTACACCCTCAGGGAAGGGTCGAGGACAGCTTGCTGGCCTCCCCGAACACTAGTGATAACTCGCAGTGTCACGCATAAAATGAGCAACAAGGCAGGTGATCACCAGAAACACGTTGCACAATGTTTCATTTTCCTGTGGTACCGTAGTGGCAGATAACGTCCGTGCTTTTTCCTCAGCTCAGGGTCGGTTAGCTCAGTTTACAGGGGATCCATCCAACACACGTCACTACCGACAGGGCTCCCGCCCACTCACCGGGCCCTTCCACTGCGGGCCAGCTCTGCTCACCACCCACCCACCCACACCGGCAGCTTCACCCTCCACTGCCTCAAGCTCGGGTATCTCTCCCAAAACAACACCACCATTGTACTCGAGCTTTATCCATTATCGCATCCCACACTTATTCAAAACAAGCGCATTATCATTACCAATACACGCGTGATCGCATCATCAGGGCAACCATTACGACACCATACACCATTGACCAAGTATCACGTTGCGACCCGAGATATCACCACAGACAGCAAACATGTCGGGCACCACAAACAGCTGGCTCGCGAGGCAGCGCAAGTCGGATTTGGTTGAGTTGGCGAAGGAGATCGGTCTCACTGGGTATGTACGCTTCTTGCGTTGTTCGTTTTTGCCATAGCTCGTGGGCTGGCGATGGGTCATGACAATGGTCTTGTTTTGTTTACTTTTCGGTTTCGCTTTGCGCCTCGCGCGCGCGCCCACTCCGCGCAAGGCTGAGCTCTCCTTCCCATGTTATCCCCTCTAACCCTAACCAAGCTTAAGGGAAGCTTCCATGTTCAGTCTCAAGCGAGCAGACATGTCTTGGTGATGGCGTTACTAGTACCGAAAGGCATTCGATGACGCCCTGCCTTGCCGGACCTGCTGTACCTCCCCAGGAACAGACAAGGGCCGGAAGCTCCCCGCGCCTGCGTGCCGCATGCCGCCTCGCGTACCTGGCTCCTTTGTTGACATTCCATCCCGTTTGGGATCCCCAATCACTGCTTGCGCCAACCCTTTGGGCATTCATACAATGCCTTTCATCGGAGCTTTGCTAACAAAACACCCAGCCTTGATGGTCTGAAGAAGAGCGATATCGAACAACAGCTCGACAACTTCCTCTCCCAGAACGCGAACCGTTTCTCCTCCGACTCGCGCTTCACCTCCTACTTCAACAGCCGCGCTCGCCAGTCGCCCATTAAGCGCGAAAGCGATGTGACCCCCAACCGAGCTCCCAGGCGGAGGGCCACCAACAAGGTCGAGGTCGAGATTCCTGCTGCTACCATTGAAGAGTAAGTCTACAGTCTCTACCCAGAAATGACAAAACATCAAACTAACAACCATTCCTCACAGGTCCGACTCCATCCCATCCACCACATCCCCATCCCCCGAGCCCGATTCCAAGCAAGCTCCCGCGCCCTCGGAAGTCCTCCAAGCTGCCGCTCAAGTAACCCAAGACGCTATCGTCTCCACCGCCCAATCCGCCGTCCAGAACGTCCAGAACCCAGGGCATGCGCTCTCCCAACTCAACAACACCTTCTCCACCTCCACCCTTCGCTTGCCCGCCTCCCAAGCCGAGCTCGTGCAAGTCGTCGAGTCCGGCACCGTCGCCGTGCGCAACCGCGTCACGGACCTCTACCAACGCTCCGGCATCCACGAAAAGGCCGAGACCGTCCGCGAGAGCCTGTCCACCGTTAACAGCATCGCCGTCGCCGTCGCCGCCTTCGAGCTCTACTTCCTCCGCAAGGAAGTCATCCCCGACCGCTACGCCTTCACCATCCCCGCCGTCAAGCTTCTCGGAGGCATGCTCGGCTGGGATGAGTACCCCGTCTACGTTCCCGACATGTTCGCTTTGGTGACGGCCGGGTTCTGGATCCCCGCTTTGGTGTGGACTACCACTAGCTTGATCCTCCCTTCATTGTTTGGTTACTTCTTCAACTTGTCGGTGGCGCACTCGAATTCGTTCTCTACCAACTCGGGCCCGACGACTAGGAGACAGAGCAGGGAGTTGAGCAAGCGGGAGCCGGAGTACGCGGTTGATCCGGTCACGTTCTCGATTGTTAAGGCGTTGATTACCTATGTGGTGTATGCCCAGGGCGTGACGCTCGGTGGGTGGTTGGATTCTGATGCCGTCGCGAGGATTAATGGAGCCTTATACAGTGGGTGGAAGGGCGTGTTGGTTGGTGCGGCGGTGACGGGTGTTGCTGGGCTTTATGATGCTGTGCTGAGGAAGTAAGGGGGTAATAGGAGGTTGGTGGTGGCATGGTCGGAATGTGGGAAGTAGCACCCAGTGCTGAGGGAGAGGAGGATGGATAAGAAGAGTGAGTGTCAAACGCTGAGGTATGGGTTGTCTTTGAGGAAGAAACCAACGGACAGACGCCGTGGATAGATGAGGATCTGAAACGGAAATGGTTGGTACATGGTCGGAAAGGGAAAAACGAACGAACGGTACATAACACAACAACACAAACACAAATGGAAAAGAAACGAAAAGGTGGGATGGGTGGTATAAGGTTTTGTATAGGATTTATTTGTCTGGATAGTTAGCGGCGTGTATGGTGGCTTCCTTTAGCTTGTTGGTCATTCCTTCTGATGATGCTTCACGTAGCTAGTTTGCCTTATTTCTTACTGGGATATTTGGTTCGGAAGATATGAATTTGTTTTCTTGTTCAGTTCAACTGCGAGCAATGCTCGCCTTATGTTACTTGTGTTTTCGGGCTTACAATTGGTTTCATTGGTGATCTTGCTGGAGTGAGGAAACCAAACAATCAACTCCTCCAAAGACTGTTCTTGTTTGAACACTTTTCATAGGCGTTTTCTTATGGGTTTTGATGGGTGTTGATATCCTCATATCACATTCCCAAGGTAGTCTGATACTCTCTTTTGCTTCGTTTGCTTGGAGATACCTTGATAGTGCTCAATATCAACATTATTACCTAATCAATGGGTATGTCAACTGGTGACGGATGGATTGAGGTTTTATGTCCATTCATTCATTCCTCATGTTTGACTTGGTGATAAGAAGAAAAATCCTAAGAAGCTGTTTAACGATGCCAACTACATACATCGATCAAGCTCAGACCTCACAACTTTGAAACCCCCGGTACACTCCCACCACCCTCAACAACTCCCTTCGGTCCTCCCTCCCCATAAACAATCGCCAAATCCAGCTCCAGTCCATCTCCCTCCACCTTCACTTCCTCCTCCTCCCCATCACCACCAGAGCCCGGCCCAAACCCATGCTTAGCCATCCACCGCTTCTTCATCCCCTCCACTTCCCTCCCCGGCCTAACCCTCGCATCAACCACCCACAAAACCGCAATCAACACCTCCGCCAACCTATGCGTTAGCCCTCTGGCCTCCGGCAACAACTCCTCCTGTTTTTTGGTCTTTAACTTCTTCTTCAATCCCTCCCAAACTTTCCTAATCCTCTCCCCCTCCTCCTCCTCTTTTTCCTCCTCCTCCTTTCCACTCCCCTCCAACCCAGCCAGTCCAGCTTGAACCAACCACCCCAAAGCCCCCACCCCCTCCTTTTTTATAGTTGGATGCTTCAAAGCCCGAACGGTATCACCAGCCAACACATCCGTCGTGCCCTCCCAGATTGCGCCCACACAGGCGTCCCGGAAGATGCGAGAGAGGTTGAGGTGTTCGGATTCCGAGTTGACCAGGTAGCCTAGCCCGCCGAGGGATTCCATGCAGCCGAAGGTGAGGGGGACGCAAGAGTGGCAGATGAAGGATTTGTGGAGGGAGGAGAGGGTGCGGAGGAGGGGGGATACCAAAGAAGGGGGAGGGGTGAGGGGGTGTTGGGGGGTTCCTGGGGAGCTGGAGGTGGTGGATTGGGATTGGGAACTGGGGGAAGATGGAGAGCGGTGCTCATCCAACCCGAGGATATACAAAGTGTAAAAGGTCAACAACATCAAGCCGTGATACTCTGCCGTCAAGTCGGCCAAAGTGCGCATGTGCAACGGGTGTTTGTAGAGAGGCAGTCGACGGCCTTTCCCCACGCCGGCTTCGCGAACGAGGGCGTACGCCTTGGCAACGCCTATCCCCCTCCCCAAATACCCCATTGAACTCACAGTCGTGTGCACCCTCGTGATATTCAAAATCGTCGAAATCTCCTTGATCCCCTCCCCTTCTTTGCCAATCAACCAACCCCGCATGTTTTTTAGTTCTAACTCCGCCGTCGGCAGTCCCACCGTGCCAAACTTGTTCTTCAGCCGAGAGATGGTGATACCATTGAGTTCCGTCCCGCCCGCGCCGGCGCCGGTGGACGAAACAAGCGCGGGATTCCACCGCCGCATGGGAGCGAAGAAAGCCGACACCCCCATCCCCGGACGCGTCTTGGCGAGGAGGATGGTCATTTGGCTGTCGGTGGCGGAGGAGAACCATTTGAAGCCGGAGATGGACCAGGGTCCCAAGGGGATGTTTTCTTCTTTTGAGGCTAGCGGGACTTCAGCCAAGTCAGAAGGGAAGGGGTCATAGACAGCGACGGTTTCGGTCTGCGAGACGTCCGACCCGCCGGTGCGTTCCGTCATCCACTGTCCCGAAGTCCAGGTGTAAGCTGGGTCGCGGGAGGTGAGGTGGTCGTAGGCGTTTTGGAACACCCTTTTTTCTGTCTCGGACAGTTTCCCCGCCAATTTGGGAGTGGTCAAGTGCCGCTGCAGCAAGCGGGCGGCACCATCTTGCATTGCGGCTGGACATAAAGTGTTGGCGCACGAGGCTTCCCAGAGGTGGCAGCGGATGAACTGGATCAGCCTCGAGTAAGGACCACTGGAAGGGGTGTCGTAGTTGATGGCCACGACGCCGTTGGCAAAGCCGAACTCTTGTAGCTTGCGCCAGCCTTCGGTCACGATGAGTTCCTGTTTTGGGCGGCCGAAGGCGTCGCGGCCCGAGCCGCGCAGGTAGGGGGTGTTGCGCTCCGAGTCGGTGATCCAGTCGAAGATTTGCTGGGTGAGGACGGCGTCGCCTAGGCGCGAGATCTCGGGGGAGACATTCTCGAGGAGGGATGGGGGGAGGTAGACTGTGATTGGGGTGTTAGATGGTGGTCTGGTCTGGTTTGAGGAATGAGTGAGGTGAGGTGAAGGGGGTGAAACGTACGGTTGGCTATCCGCTGGAGACTGACATCTTCGTGGAATTGGTTCTTGATGATGGGTTGTTGCTGGATGAAGCCAGTGTTTGCACTTGAGGGTTCCATTTTGGCGGTGATGACTGAGTGAACTCGTCAAGCTGGTTCAACCTCAAGATGAGTTCATGAGGAAGTTATGATAGTGACCGAGCTAGATGCTAGCTCAGGCCGAAGTGGTGCAGAGTACCTGAGTGGCCTGCCCTTGTGCATCGTTTGGGGTGTTCTAGGCTCGTGACAGAAGCCGAGGTTCGTGAGTTTAAGCATGTTCCCCTTTGGTGATGGTCCCCTCTTACACCCCTGGCCCCTTCCTCCTCCAATGAAAGACCTGGGGAAGCGAAGGGACAACGCGGGGTGCCAAGCCTGGGGATTTGGGGAAGTTGTCAAATTTTAGTTTCACGTGGTTGACGATGGTCTTTTCTATGACGCTTTCAGAAAAGATAGAAGAGTCTCATCGAGACTCCGAAGAGTGAAGACGAAAGAATTCACATCACGACCTGATCAAGAGGCAAAAGGTTTGGTCAAAGTATTGGATTTTGCCAAACAGGAATCACAACAATATAAACAAAGCCTCAGCGTAACGCCATCAAGGTCATCACACGGGGCATACCCTATCCAAAAGATACAGCGCAGAAAGTTTTGGTATTTCCGCTCCCATATGCGATCCGTTTGTCCTGTCATGTCCTGTTTGATATCCAGAAAAAGGAAAAAAAAAAAATAGACCGCCAAAAAAAAATCGAGAATAATGAAGAAACCCCAGAAATGATAACTCCCAGATCATGACACCATCACTCTTATCACATCACACATCTAGTGGAACTGGTCCTCAGTGACACCCTTGCCCATCGCCGCTGTGGAGCTGACACCACCGGTGACCATCTTCAGCATCTCATCCACGTACGTCGCGCCCGACCACTTCTGGTGCTTGACGACATCGACGCCGGTCTCGATCTCGGGCTCCTGGACGAGCTCGCCGTAGGCGCGCATGCCGATCTTGCTGTACGCCTTGGCGAACTGGTCGCTGATGAGCGCGGTGGTGTGCAGACCCGCAAGGGTGATGAACTGCCAGCAGTAGCCGAGCTGGGCGAGGCGGCGGATGTAGGTCTCCTGCTCGTCGCGGGGCATGGCGGTCTTCCAGTTGAAGGAAGGGGAGAGGTTGTAGGCGAGCTTCTGCTCGGGCCAGACGGCGTGCACGCCCTTGGCGAACTCCTCGGCCTGAGCGTAGTCGGGGAGCTTGGACTCCATCCAGATGGCGTCGCAGTAGGGGGCGTAGGAGATGGCGCGGTTGATGGAGCAGTCGCAGCCACCCTTGAGGCGGTAGTAACCCTCGCGGGTACGGGCGGAGTCCCAGTCGAAGAAGATCTCCTGGCCCAGGAGCTGGCGGGCGATGGCGCGGGCCTCGCGGTTGGAGATCTGCTTGCCCTTGACGGCGGCCTGGTACTTGGCGGCAAGGTCCTTGGCGTTGGAGAAGTTGCCCTTGGCGATGACGTCAAGGACGGCCTCGTCGAAGCGCTTGAGGTTGGCCTTAGCGAGCCAGTCGTCCTCGATGGCCTGGAGCTGGGCACCGTTCTTGCCTTCGGCCTCAGCCTTCATCATGAGGTCAGCGAGGGGCTCGAGGTCGGGGTTGGTGCAGCCGAGGATGAAAGCGTGGTCGCGGGGGTCGATAGTGGTGGTGATGAGGGTGGCGGCCTCGGCATCGGTACGGGCAATGCAGAGGAGGTCGGAGCCCATGATATCAGCCTGGGCACGGATGGCAACGAGGCGGTTGATGTGCTCCTGGATGGGGACGAGGACCTTGCCGGCCATGTGGCCGCACTTCTTGGTACCAGGGGCCTGGTCCTCAATGTGAATACCGGCAGCACCCTTCTCAATGAAGAGCTTGGTGAGCTTCATGACGGCGGTAAGACCACCGTGACCGGTATCGGCATCGGCAACGATGGGGCGGAGGTAGTCAATGTTGGCGAGCTTCTCGCGCTGGCACTTGGGCACGGAGAGACGCTCCTGGCGCTGCTTGCGGTCGTGGAAGAGCTGGGCCATGAAGAGGTGGCCAACCTTGTTGGGGACGGTGGTCTAGATTCGGATATCAGTATGGTAGGACTCAATGGCTCATTTTCACTGAAAAACTCACGTAGGGGTAGTCAGCAAGATCCGGGCCGGGCTCGTCAGCAGAGGAGGCGGTCGAGGATGATTGCCAGCCGGAAACGTAAACGGTATCGAGGTACTTGGCCATCTGAGTCACCATGGTAGGCTCCAAGCAGCCGTATGTGTAAGAGGCATCGCGCTTCTGTTGTAGAGTGAGATTGTCAGTGGGGTTGTTCCCCTCAAGTCTTCCAATGGCATGTGGTTACTAACAGCGAAGCGGTCCTCGAGGATCTTCCAAAGCTTCTTCGCTTGGGCATTGCTGGCATACTCGATCTTGAGGTTTCCACGCTTGGAGACGATCTGCTCAGCGGTGAAAGGGCGCTTGGTTTGCCTCCAGCGCGAGTCGCTCCACCACTTCTTGACCTCCTCGACCTCCTTGGCGAAAAGCTCGTCCTCGAGAGCGGCATCCACGGCGGGGTTGACCATGTTGTTGGCAGCCATTTTGGGCGGTTGTGGTGTGAAAAACGTTAAAAGGGTATAATAAGGATTAAAACGCGAGACAACACAACTGTAGTGTGTGTAGCAGATGTCGTGGATATCTAGTACCTAGCACTCAAAGCAAGGACGGTAAAAGGATGATGTCGTGGGGATGGGTAAGAGTTCAAGGTGGTGTTGACTTGAAACTCGGAGTCGGTGATGTGATACAGAATAGTAAGAACAAAGAAAGCCGGAGAGGAAAAGGAATTGGGGGGACCAAGTTTCTTAAGAAAGGAACCGAGGAAGTAAGAGCCCCAAACATATGAATCAGGAACAGTCATCTTCCCCAGTCATCCCCATTCCACCTCCATCGATCCCCATGGGTGGATGGATGGAGGCTGTCGGGGACATGGCAACATGGATTGGGGAAGCGAAGATGGGGGAATAGCCGCTAGACCGGTCGCTCCCGATCCATCTCAGAGAACTCTCGGGGTTTCGACTTTTGACGGTCAGTCGAATGCCTGGATATCATTGGCGACCGGACCTCTGGGCGTGTCTGACTCGACATCAGTCTGAAAGAGACCAGCATGCGACAATCCGTGTGGAGCCCGCCCCGCGAGACTGTGGGCGAATATACGGGGGCCCGCGAAGAGCACAGTACGTACAGGCCGAGGGAGATCCATCTCTTAACCCATCTTTGCGCCTTACATGTTGTACCTTGACGAGGTACCTATCCCGAGACTCGCGAATGTTGCCGTGTCGCGTGCTGAGGACGGAGCAGCGTCGAACTGCACAAGCAAGGGCGGGACGGAATCGGGGGACCTTTTCTCAAGTGCCATCCCACCCTTGGCCTCAACTTTCGTCAAGCCGATGATGATGTGACCTCGGACCAGTCAGAAGGCGTCCTGGGACTTGGCCGCATCTGAAAAGAGGAAGAGATGGAGAACCCCCCTTTGGCCGAGCGATGTCTCGTTGCAACCCCACATCTTCCATGCCTACCAACCAACCCAGGTCCCAGCCATACACGCGTGAACCGAATTACCGAATGCCGGGACTTTGTCCATCAACGACGACAACAACTCGTGTGAGCCTATGAGGTGCAATTGGTACAGCACATCCAGGCCAATCTTCAGTACCAAGTGCCAGCTGTTTGGTGACTGTTTTCTGGCAATTGCTCGTCTCTTTACAGCGGTGGTATTGTTGTTGTTATTATTGTTGAGTTGTTGATGTTGATGTTGTGCTGGAGCCCCTCCCCCACAGTACCACCTGTAAATATCTCCACATCTGCCATGTCAACACTCAACACGGGCATAAGGGTCATCTATATGCCCATGCGCATAATCTGTCACTGTCATCTCATAGTGACATGACTACTGGATAGATTCATGAACCATCTTCCTCGGGGCCCCACCCATTTCTTTCCCCAGAAATCTTCGGAGGACGGAGCAAAGCCTCAAAGCCCGAGCCTGGGGAAACAGGAGAACCACACGAAGAAAGCCCCACCACTGGCATGTGAAAGATGCGTCATAGGTAGCCGTAGCGGTACCCATTCCGACCGATTGCCCCCTGATTGGATCGCCCTTTTGACCTCGGTCAACTTTCCAGTGTCCAAGTCAGCTGCCACTCAGCCCACAGTTCGGTACCCCGGACCCCAGGCGAAGCAACCCATGAAAGCTGGGTGTGCCCGTGCTGTTGTCGTCGTGTGTTCCTGATATGGATTTGGTTCGACAACGGGCAGAACGCGCGAAGCCCCTTCATGGAAAAGCGAAAAAAGGAAATGAGAGAGACGTTGAAAGAAGTAACTCCGAGAAGACTGACTGCTACATGCATCACATGCACATGTACGCATTGTCCCATGTGCTCGTGCTTTTGTTGACTGATGCTGGTCTTGTTGTTGTTTTTGTGTAGCACTACCGTTACCGTTCGTAGCCGGACAAAAGGTGCAAAGGTCAAGCCATATGACAGACAATCGACAACACCACGCCGTCGTACCGGCGTTGTATTGTACATTATCGCCAAATCCTACTGGTTGGTGACTGCATGCAAGGAATAGGTAATGAATCAAACGGTTGGAGAAGGATTTACCACCACACCGTTCCGACCAGATCCGCGTCTCGTATATACGCCGTAAATACTCAATAACCAAAACTGTTGTGACTGCAGGGGTATAGTGCCAATGTTGAGACATGTTAGAAACGCCACGCCACGTGAGAACTCTTCAACAAAATCAGAGCTCATCGTCCTCATCCTCGTCATCATACAGGAAAATTGTGGTGACCTTTTTCTGCCCCGCCGCCGCCGCCGCCGTCGTGTTGTCGAACGACGTTCCGGCGCCGATGGTAACCGTCCGTGACTCCTCCTCCGTCTTGACGGCCGCCGATGCACCCGGGTCAACCGGTTTGCTCTCGGGAACAAACGCTTCAGAAACGGTTGTGGCGGTGTCATCAGTTCGCCGTTCCTCAGCCTCAGCCTTCGGCACCGGTGAAGCTGAAGCACCAGCGCGAGGGTTCGTCCGAACCCCGTATCCGAGAGCTCCGGACCCGCGGAGTGGGTCCTCCTCCTCGCCTCTCTCCGCTGCGCCGGCGACCGCTCTTTTCTCGGCGATCTCGCCTCTCGTCACTTCAACTCCGGCATTTGACCTCGACTCACCTAGTATCTCCCCAATCGCGACCGCTTTTTCGAGATCAACAGTCTCATCATCATCATCGGTCTTTCCCATGGTTGACTCATCATTCTCATCATCCTCCGTCTCTTTCTTTGCCTCCATTTTCGCCAATTCCTGCTCCAGTAATTTGACCTCTCGCCTCCTGTAAAAGGTATCCAAGCAATTTCGCCGCTGCTCTTGCGTCCAGCTTTCCACAACCAGCGCAAAGTCGGTCGCGCTCTGAAAGCCAAACTCCCTCGCCATCGAACAAAACTGTCGTCTCCTGACATTCTCGGGCGGGTTGAATTTGTAATGCATCCTAAGCATCTTCTTCGGCGCCGGCCCGTTTAGGTCTTCTTCGTCCTCCTCGTCGTCATCATCATCATCGCTGTTATCTAGGCTGTCTGCGAACAATGCGTTGTTAACGCCTGGGAAGAGCTGACTGTCCGCAACGTTTGCTGCCAGTTCGGCGCGCCGTGATAGTTGCGCCTCGACTTTGCTTGTACCAATGACCTCGGAATTTTCATGCGTGTACTCGACGCCGGCGGAGGCGAGGATGGCGGCAATGGCATCGCTTTTTGGCTTTTTGGACTTGCCAGCTTCAAGCAGTTTGTCCGGCTCCTCTGCGGTGACAAGCTTTGCAAGCGAGCTCATGCCTGTGTCGTCGTCATTTTCCTCGCTCTCCTTTTTGATAAAGTCTAATTCTTCGTCTTCGTCCTTGACAGCCTTTTCCAGGTCGATATCGGTGAGGTTGACACCGGCCTTGGCCTCGGCGATGTTGGTCTTGTTGACGATATCCCTGAGCACGACTTGGTCGGCGTGAAAAGTGAACAAATTCTCTAGCCCAAAGAGCTCGCCCTTCTTGTTCTTGTCCCTCTGGACACCCTTGAAGTAGCGGCGTTCGTTGGAGGCGTTGTAACCAATGTTGGCCTGCTGCTGTTTATAGATCTGCCGAGCGTAGACGATCTCTTCGATGGTACCGGCAGAGACCAACCGGAAGACATCCACGTCTCGGATCTGGCCGATTCGGTATGCACGATCCTGGGCCTGCAAATCGTAAGATGGATTCCAGTGCGGGTCAAAGATTACGACTTTGTTCGCCGACGTGATGTTTAAGCCGACGCCTCCCGCCTTGGTGGAGATGAGGAAAACAAACTGTCGGGGATCCGTATTGAACTCGTCGACGACCCGTTGTCGCTCTTCGTAGCTGAGCGCACCGTCGAGAAAACTGACGTTGTAGCTGGTGTTATGGAAGAGATGCTGCAGGATGCGCAGCAGTCGTACGCTGTGGGAGAAAACAAGCACCTTGTCTCCGCTCTCGTGCCAGAAGCGCAGGAGCTTTCTCAAGATCTTCCATTTTCCGCAGAACTCGGGATTTGCGAGGCTGAGCATGGACTCCCGGTTATTGTAGAGCTCTTTCCACGTGTCTGGAGCGCAGGTCTGGAGCACGTTAAGCTCTGAACGCTGCTTTTCCTTGGGATCGGAAGAGGAAGGGATGAGCAACGTTAAATGATTTGCGATCTTCTGGAGGGTGATGATAGATGGAAAGACGTAGGACTTCCACGAACGACCGTCACTCAGGGTCTTGTAGCAGCAAAACCCTCCAGCTCGCCCAGAGCGACAATCGCATGGATGGTAGGCATTGAGGATAAAAGTAACTCGTTCTCCTTCCAGGAAATTCTCGTAGGCGTCGCGTTGGACGTTTGTCAAGGGGCAGAACACAACCTTGTCGCTCTTCTTGGGAAGTTGATGGGCGATCAGGCTCTTCATGCGCCGGAGGAAGAACTCTGGAAGGAGGTTCTGCACCAGCTTCTTTGCGGTCGTACGGGCAATGCTGAGCTGCTTGAGCGTTGCATCATGGGATTGGCCTGCGGTCAGAGGCTTTGTTATAGACTCATTCCATTCGGCTCTTGTCCCGAAATAGCCCGGGTTCGTCCAGTTCAGGAGTGTCCAAAGCTCCTCATATCTGTTCTGGATCGCGGTACCGGTTAACCCAATGCGGCACATGGCGTTGATTTTATCCATTGCGCGAGTCGTTTCGGACACTGTATTCTTCAAGATGTGGCATTCGTCAGCCACAACACAATCCCACTCGACGGTGTTGACTGCTTCGTGGCAGTTCCTGTACGTGTCGTAGGTAGTGATCATGACCTCAATACGTCCTGCTTTGGCTGCCTGCAGCACATCTTCCCGGTTCGATCCATGATAGACATCGACATGCCACCACCCCCATCGGGTGAGTTCGTTCTTCCAGTTCTGGATAAGGGATCCAGGACAGACAATGATGACCCTCGGATACCAGAGATCGCCAGCTCGTCGCATCTTTCTCATCCTCTTTGCATCACGCTCATCCCCGGTCTTGCCAAATGCTGCCGTAAGAAAGGCAGCCACTTGAACAGTCTTTCCTAGACCCATATCATCGCCGAGAATACAGCCTCGTTGGTAGACGAACTTTTGGTGCAAAAACTTGACGCCCTCCACTTGGTAGTCGCGGAGATATTGTGCGATACATGCGGGGATGGTACCGGCCGAGTACTCGAGCTCGACGTCCTTGTAGGGTCGACACGGCTTGATACCGGAGTTTTCCTCAAACTTTGGACGTTGTTCGGGCCTAGTCCCTATCTCGTCGTCGGAAAAGTAGATGTCGTGGTAGTCTGGTGGTAGCTTCAAGCCGGCATTGCGCAAAAGCTCTCTGTCCTTGTTGAACTTCTTGCGACGCTCCATAAGATAATCAGGGATGAAGGCTTCGGCGTAGTCGGTTTCTTCCTCGTTCTTGACGGTGGGCTGGTTCAACTCGATGATCTCGTCGTCTCTCGCCCTATCTGTCGCAGCAGCCTTCTTTCCTCCCCTGCCCTTCCCCTTCCCTCCTCTGCCTCTACCTCTCCCAGAAGTAGCACGTCGCTTGGCAACGCGCCGTGCCTTGAGCTTCTCGCCATCGTCGGAATCGTCTGACCACTCGACCTTTTCCTCGAAACTGACGCTCAACTTGCGTTTGCCCAACGAGGTAGTAGTGACGCTAGCGCTGCTTTGAGGGCGGACATCTTCGTCGAAGGACAAGGTAGGGTCGTCGTCCGACAGTACTATCGCATTACCGGCCATTGCGCAGGCATGGTATCGATTGGTGATGGTTGGTGATCGCGACGCGTCGTTGCCAGGGTGGAAGTTGGCGACGGAGGGGCAAAATGCAGGGGCCAAGAATCGCGCCTAGAGAGCGTGAGCACGTGTTGGAAGTTAGCTTCCACGCAGCAAGTGAACCCTAACCCTCAAGCGCTTTCAGGAGAGTTCTCTTGTGTCTGTCAGCTTGTTCCGACTAGCACTTATTCTATGTCAGAGAACTACGCCCTGTGATCTATTCATCTTCTACAAAGACATGAAGTTATCATCACCATGGCTTCACAAAGACATCTCTCGCCCTTTTAACACACACACTCAAGGCTCAGTGGAGCTCGGAGCTTGCCGATACCTTACTAACACTAACATCCGACCTCCACCGCTAACAGTACCCGTTGAAACTTGAAAGAACCGCGTCTAAGTCAGAAGAGGAAGCTCAATATGATCGCCTAGCCCGCTATTACGACACCAAAAAGAGCCCGAGACAAGGGTTCAATGGTTGAACGCTCCGGCTAAGATAAACCGAAGGTTCAAACTTTATTCCCACGTTTTTTCGTGTGCGATGATAACGATGATCTGGTGGATCGGTGTTAGAATAGTTGATGTAACGTGGGGTTCTGTTAGTGCAGCCACCTATATCAAGGTGGGGTTCACCTCGACTTCACTTCAGTCCAACAACTCTCTTGCACTACACTTCTTCAACTCACCTTACGACATCACCACATTCTCTACAAGCCGTGAGGAACTCCTATCAGACATCTTACCTCAAATCCTTGACCAAACCCACGAGCCACCACCCACCACCAGCAAAATGGCCTCCGAACCCCAAACCTCCGACGGCCTAACCCCCACCCAACTCTCCTTCTTCCGCGAAAACGGCTACCTCATAATCCCCCGCGCCCTCCCCCCCCAAACCGTCTCCCGCCTCCTCTCCGAAACCCACAAGCTCCTCTCCGACTTCGACCTCACCACGCACCCCCTAACCCGCTTCCGCACCGGCGGCTCCTCCGGCCACGACCACGTCGGTGACGACTACTTCCTGTCCTCGGGCGACAAGATCCGCTTCTTCTTCGAGGAAGACGCCTTCGACGCCTCTGGCAATCTAATCAAACCCAAGGAACAAGCCATCAACAAGATCGGGCATTACCTCCACGGCTTGAACCCTGCGTTTGCCAGTTTGCTGGCTACTTCCCCTAAAGATGATGAGAGGGGGGATGGGGATGGGTGGATAGAAGACCTAAAAGCGCGCCCGGCGGCCGTGGCTCGGGATCTGGGCTTCAAAGACCCGCGGTGTCTGCAGAGCATGGTGATCTGCAAGCAGCCCGAGATCGGCGGGGCGGTGCCTCCTCATCAGGACAGCACGTTTCTGTACACCGACCCGCCTTCGGCGGTGGGGTTCTGGTACGCGTTGGAGGATGCGACGCTGGAGAACGGGTGCTTGAGTTTTTTGCCCGGGTCGCATTTGTGGGCGCCGATTGAGAAGAGGTTGGTGAGAAAGGTGGGCGCGGACGAGGGCACGGAGATGGTGGATAATGGGGGCCCGAGGTTCCCGCCTGGAGAACAGTATGGGGAGGATCAGAAGCCGGAGAGTGTGAAGGGGAGGGAGGAGGAGGAGGCGTATGTGCCTGGGGAGGTGAAGGCGGGCGATTTGGTCCTTATTCATGGCAATATCTTGCATAGGAGTGAGAGGAATTTGAGCCAGAAGGGGAGGATTATCTATACGTTCCATGTTATTGAGGGTGGGGAGGGGAGGGAGTATGATGAGAGGAATTGGTTGCAGCCGCCGCAGGAGGGGTTTACTAGGTTGTATGCTTAGGCATTGGCCGGTGTGTATGAGGATGAAGATGAGTGGAATCAGTTATCTCTCGACCGTCACAATGAATGCAGAAAGATGTCATCAGGCTTTGCTCAAGTAAAATCCGCACGACCTTAGCCTCCAAAGAACCAAATTTGAATCACAGCTTGGTGACTCGAATCGTTCAGCAAGACCGCGTTGTGGATATTGAAAAACATGTCATGTTGTCTGACAAAGTACCAACTGAGCAATTTTGGATAGCATCATTTACTCGTCGCTAAATAGTCACAAAATCAGAGACATTCACGTCAACCGAGTTCTGAAACACTGGAACACCCAAAGTAGTGGGTACCTGATCATCACTGTTTAATTTCCTGCGCTGTTTGGATGATCATGGCTGACCAAGTTGCTGGATCCGTATATGTATAATCTTCCTGGATATTACTCTCAGCCTTGAAACCATGCTTAGCGGATGATCAACTAGCCCGGCTGACTGTTTGGACCAGATCTCATATCAACATCCACTTTCAAAATCACTTGTCATGTTCATGTAACAATCATTGAGCGATCAACAAATCAAGCCGCTGTTTCTCTTTTTGTTGTGGTGGTTCCTAAGCTCGAACTTTCTCTCTGTCGATTGCAGTCATTCCATGACGTGTGCTTGGTGGTATTTGGTATAACATCAAGATGTGTAAAAAGAAAGAAGAGAAGGGAAAAAGTTAAATGGTGAATAGGTCGCAAACGGGTGACAAGAAGTGAAGATAGTGAAAAAGAGATAACAAGGTAACAGCATAACAAGTAGGGGGATATAGAAAAGAGAGAGAAAACCACACAGAATCAGAACCCGGCAACTCCTATCTTCCCATCCAGCCCTCCCTCCCAAAGATCCAGCAAAGAAGCGGAGGTAGAAACAACAGCCGTCAACCACACGTCAGCGTCCCCATGGTAGAGAAACAGCAACAACACTCGTTCAGCCCTTTTCAGGGTTGATATCCCTCCTGTCACCCTCCAGCAGCACCAAACCTAAACTTGCAAACCAAAAGGTATCACTTCCTGTTCCACCTCAACTCTTCCCAAACCATATTTTTGCACGTTCTCAGTGAAGAAATAAAAATCGACCAGGTGTCGCAACCGCCTTGTGTCGCCCCAGCTCGTTGGGTTTCGCCCATGTTTTCCTCCCAATTCAGATCGGGCTTACGGGAAAACTCCTCACACCACCACTCAAATCTCCGCTTCCGGTCCTCCGCAGCGCCTGCGCCATGGTCTCGATCGCGATCTCGCCGTTGACAACCGGGCTAGGGTGCAAAAGACTTGTTGGGCTGCCAAGGGGTTTCCTGCCTGGTGATCCAGGAATAGCGCCAACATCAAATCCCTTCACCGATCCAGACTTGCTCGTTGGGGGGCTTGTGTTGTGACCGCCAGAAGAGGAGACTGGAGAGCGAACTGGGCTCGGTGAGCGGTTAACACCAGTGGGAGTGAGGCTGGTCAAACCAGCAAAGTGCATGCTATCGCGCGAGCCCGCAACCTGTTGCTGCTCGGCCTGCACGACATCGGCAAACGAGATGAAGCTCAGACGGCGGATATCCGTGTTATCAAAGCTACCGTAGTTGGAAGCTGTCTCGTTTCCGGGTATTGTCCCCCGGCCAGCAGCGAAGGCGGCCAGCTCGTCTGCCCAGCTTGCCTCGAGGGAGAGAGGGACAGGATTGGGGGCAGCTCCGGTCACCGTCACGGCGGCAGGCTGGTGGGAGGTATGTGTGATGATCTCGACGCTATCGGGGTCAAGGCGCTTGTCGGTGATAGCCTGCGAAGAGGCGTCAAGCACGGGCGGGATGTAGTTCTCAGTCTGGATGTGAGACGGGATGGCGGGCGAATTTGGGACCATGGAAGCGCTTTCTTGTACGTCGCGCTCGAAGATTTGGCTACCAGCTGGCGATGAAAGGCGTGGAGACGAGGTAAAGCCACGACCGGGCGATTGTGGTGTAATGTAGACGTCGGACTGAACAGGCGAGGCACCGGTTGACCTCTTAACCCAAGAGGCAGCCTTTCCTTGGCTGCCGGTGGATGGGGCAGGCGATTTTGAAGCGGACGATGCGTCTTCCTTCTTCTTCCCGAAGCCGAAAAGGCTGCGCTTCTTGGCCTTCTTCTCCTCCGAGGCTCCTCCCTCTCCTCCGGCCGCCGCTCGTGGGGTCGCGTTTCCAGAGCCTGAATCGGACTCGAACGGGCCCGCTAACCTTGGGATACTCTGGCCGCCCTGGGGCAGCGATGTGCTGGCGAGACTCATAATGATGATGTTGGTATCGTGATAGTACTGATTCGTGCTCGGTTATCTTGGACTCTGGGGGATAGGCAGATGCGCAAAAAGTCGTATTTGAAGTGCCGAGCGCGGATGGTGTTTGGTGTTTGGGACGAAGATGGAGGACAAAGAAGATCAAGTTTCAAGCTTCAGCCAAAGCTTCTCAAGGTCGGTATGGGTGGGGAGTCTAGAATCAACACTGGGATCTGGTCAGCGCGAGCTATTTTGGGAACACAAGGAATCAGAGCGCGGAGCAGACACGTTGGTGATCTAAGATGGAGCTGGTTTTGAAATTCCCCCAATTTCGGCTGGCGGCGACAGTGGGGGTGGAAATGGCTTTTGTTGTCGCGACAACAGCGAACAGGGCACAAGCTTTTCCATCTTGGCCCAGGATGGATGGTTACCGCAATCCATGACTCCCATCTTACCATGACTGCGACTGCGATTGCGACTGCGATTGCGACTGTGACGTGGACGGGGAAGAGTGAGGAAAGATGCGCCCTTACCAAGTTGTCCAACCTTGACACTTTTTGGTTGTTAATTTAGATTGAGTCTCTGCGATGATGACGAGAGGTGTGAAGAGAGCAGAAGAGAGAAAAAAAAAACCTTTCCCAGGTGACCTTTGGTGTAATGGTAAGGAAGGAAGACAAGGTTTGCGCACGCCCAGGTTTGGTGGGAGAGAAGGATCGCGGGATGAGGACGAAGAGGAGGAAGAGGGAGCGACCGAAGGGTGATGTTTGTGTTGGTGTGCGTGCACCTGGCAGTGTGTGATGTGATGCCCCGATGCAGAAGTCGAAGCAGGTCCTCTTCTTCTCTGGACCTGGATAGTGGATGCTTCAGGTCATCCTTGGCGGGCTGTGATGGGGCCGTTGCCGACAAAGTGCTGGGTGTACCCTGGATCTGCCCGCTCCTGCAGTCTGAAATGTTTCGGGCGCAAATGCGATCTTGACCAAGCCGCAGATTCCGCTTTGGGAGTTAGTGTTTGTTAGAGCTCTTGACCTTTTCTGCTCTTTACGCGTCGAGGATTGTTGAAAGTGTTTGCAGATGTGGACGTGTTGTACCGGAGTCCGGGAGTATAGGCAGATTGTGGAAAGAGCTTGGAACGGAACGAAAGAAAAAAGGGGTTTCTCCCTGTTTGTCTTCGACCCGTTTGTCGAGCCCAACATGTCTTTAACGAGCCGTGATAACTAAATAAATCAAGATCAACGGACGGATGACGACGGTCCAACCGACCCACTCCCACTCTAACTCTTGTAAGTTACCGTAAGCTGGACTGCCGTGGCAGCTTGAGAACCATGCAAATAGTGTAAAGCTGTGTTTCGGTCGAAAGATCACCAATGACAAAACATGGAATAGTCCTTAGAGGTATCACCATCACGATATCAAGTACTGTCTAGGTTGGTCTGAATCACAGTTGATGACACGCCAAAGGCCTTGTTTCTAACCTTCTGGCTATTTCCAGGTCTAGCTTTCATGCTCACTAGCCGCCAAGCTCCGGAAATTCCGCAACGTAGACTCATAAGAAGAACAAGGAACAGGCCGACAAGAGAAGGCACTTGACGGTTGTTGAGCCATTGACTCTACAACATGTGTATCTCATGATACCAGAGGTGTGCTATATACCAAGGCTTTTCTCCTTGCGGCAATAAGACCAAAGTGATTGGAAGGCGTCGTTAACCCCTTTTGGCCGCAGTTGTGGCAGACCTCAAACTCAGCCCTGGGAAGCATTGGACCAAGGGAGGGGATTTTTGGACAAGAGAGTGTCGGCCGGATGCGGGAGGTGATATGAGTCTGGTGATACGGAGTCGTACCTGATGTCGAAAGGATCCGGATAGTGCTTGATTGGGCCAACCAGAAAACCACCGTGTCGCATAAAGCCAATGCAATCAAAATATTTCCCTTTTGTTGCCGCGACCTGATACTCTACCGAGACGGACTGACTGTCCAGGCACATGGTCGCAGTCGGTCGCAGTGATGGGATTTGCGCCTCTTGCAGCGTCAACGGTATCAACAACACTTCTATCAGCTTCCATCCCGTCACCATGGTGGTCATCACATTGACCCCATCAAAGCCCCTCCAAGTTACAACTTTTGAAATAGGGTCTCGCCTCACTCAAAAGCTGTCGGACCAAGTTCCGGCGTCGTCTTGCTGAATTAGGACATCGGCTCAGCCCACTTGTCGATCACAAGAAGGGCACCTGATGCCGTGGGGTGTTGGATGTGCCTGGCATTTCGACCCTGAAATTGAGTGAGAATCAGGTGGGGAACGCTATCTACGTCACACGGCGTCCGACAATGAAACTTTTAACAACTTTTCACCTGTCGCTTGTGTACAATGCCATGCCATGCATCCATCATCCCGAGACCTCTCTGAGCTTCCGGCATTCAGAATTCTAGACTCGGACCCGACAATTCCAGCATCGGTTGCTCAAGGTATACAGACCGTTGGATCTGTGGTTGCTTCCAGGACCACGACACAGCCTGGCGAGGAATCTGGGGAAGCAAATGCGGGGTTGCCAAAGGAACCGAACTCGCTTGTGGTTTCCAGGCTCTTTTCTTTCTCACGGAGTCACGGTGAGTCAGGTGAGTGGCTCTTCAAAGGGAAGCAATACGTATTTCAGCTTCACACCTCGGTGCTGATGTTGCTGATATTTTTGGACCGTCTTTGCGAACTCGGGTGACGAAAATGTGAAGAGCTTCGTTAGCTCACCTCAAACCCCCTGCATCACCGTCACACGTTTCCAATTTGCCTCAAAGGTGTCCGATACGCTCCGACGAAGACCAAATGGGCCGACCGAACAACAGCGTGATCGTGTCTTGTGTACAGCAGTATAATTATTGTTTCACACGCTTCTCTCCTGTTCATGCGGTACCCGTAGTCTCCGACCACTCATGGAAAGTCTGGACAGAGTAACGACTAACGAGTAGTATCCGAGACACGTGGAAGGTCGCCGGGCTGAAGTGAACCAAAGGATTGTATGAACGGCCCGATTTTACGGGCCGGGGCTGGTCATCAAACCACATGGGATGAACCGAATAGACCCACTATAGCCGGCCGTCAAGGTCCGCCGAAAATCGGGGATTGGAGCGGAGAAGTGGAGCAGACAAACCGGGGCTCCCGTCGGATGGCCCAAGCGTTGTTTGCTTTCGGCCACGGCCTACCTGGACCGTGCACGCAGCACGTGACTTTGATAAGCGGTTCCCGAGAAAAAGTTCATGTCCAATGTGGGATGGCGAGCGCGCGGAGCTCGTCGAGAGACACAGACGCTGAACGTGAACGAGGCCGATCGAGGTGGACGGGTGAACAATTGGACGACCAGATCCCCCCATTGCAGCTTGCGACGGAAACTTGATCCTGAAAATAACAGAGAGACCTCATAATCTTCTTGTTGAACTTGTTAATCTGTCGCCTCTTTTTTTTCCGCAATCCGGCCTGCAACCCGAAACCTCGTCCCCTCCTTTGACAATTCCACCCACCTCGGCTCTCCGACCAATCCCGTCGTCCCCGTCTGTACAACTTCTTCACTGAAGCCAACACGACGACGGTCCGAGTGTATAAACAAAGCAACAGAGACAACCAGCAAAAAATGGAGGCTTCTCTTTCCCTGTTCCGGCCCGCGGCCACCTGCTGCCGCCGCGTTGCGCTCTCCTCCTCCACCACCCAAAAGGCCGCTGCTGCCCACCCCGCCGTCGCCGCCGGCATTTCCGTCCGCTACCAGTCGACCGCGAACCGGACAAAACGCATGCTCAACATCCCTCCGCACGAGTCCTTCCTCAACGTACCCGTCGAAGGCGACCGCATCATCTTCAACCCTCCTTCGTCCGAGGCCTCGGTCTACCACACGCCCTTCAAGTTCCTCCCGCGCTCCGACCCGCGCCGCCGCGCAAACATATACAAGCTTTTCAAGCCGCAAGCCCCTACGCCAGTAGAGGAGGCTACCGATGCCAACGCTGCTGAGCACGGCGAGCAGCTACCGCCCGTCCTCTACAACCCCACAAAGTCGTACAACGTCACGGCCGAGCAGGTCGAGGAGATCCGCCAGCTGCGCGCCAAGGACCCCAAGAAGTACAGCGTCACCTACCTCAGCAACAAGTACAACTGCACAAAGGTGTTCATCATGATGTGCACCCAGGCCCCTCGCGAGCACCAGGAGCAGCACAAGCTCGCGCGCGCCAGGATCGCCGAGAGCTGGGGCCCCCGGAGAGCGGCTGCCAAGCTGGATGCCAGGAGGAGAAAGGAGATGCTGCATCGTGGCGAGATATAGATGCAGATGGGCTGCTGGTACTGGGATTGTTGGGGAAAGCGTTGAAGGAGATGGGGGAGGAGGAAGAAGAGTATTGTTTAGAGCGGTGGGGGAGGAGGGTGCGGATGAGAGAGAGAAAGGAGAAAGGGAAGTGGTCTGGTCTGGTCTTCTGGTCTGGTTCGGCTTATTGGTTGCTTTGCTTCCTGCGCGCGCGGCATATATACTACTTTTTGGTCACCCGTTCTTTTGGTCTAGCTGGCGGGCGGGTTGGGGGAAAGCCTGCTCATCTTGCCATTTCTGAGGACAGCGCCAAAGTGGCAGGGGGATTGCCTAGCTCAGCTCATCTCATCTCAGCCCATCGTTATGCGCGGAGGGCGAGTGAGTGAGTGAGCGGGTTGTCGATATGCGCGCAAAGGGCGGGTGGTAGACATACCAACCAACCAGCAACTCAACCCCCCAGTCCAGTCGACGACCGACCGACCGACCGACCGGCCAGCCAGCCAGCCAGTTCCTTTGATCAGCTCCCTAACTAAGCCCGCCAGCGATGCCATGAGAGGAGCCAGGAAGGAGATTGTTGCCATACCCACTTTGTATTACTAGTCACAGCACAGCGCATAAAAGGGGAGACAGACAGACAGAGACGCATTTTGGTCACGACTATTTGCAACGCCTTGTACGATCAGGAATAGGTACCTATGGGTGGGGCCGGGGAAACGGAAAATGGATCGGAAGAGGGATACGGCTACGGCTGCCCCGTCGCAGTTGCGCGAAGGAAAGGGGGGGTTGGTTGGTGAGTGGTATGCCTTACTTAAACAGGCAGCAACACTTCTGTACATATGTCCATGTCATTCTCATGTCTTTCAGTGTTCAAATACCACTCGCGCGTGCATTCACAACACTTCTGTGCTTCTGTGTAAGACATCAACCACATCTAACTAGGTATTCACCAAGAGTTCATGGCCTCGGCCTTCTATTGTTGAACTAGGTTAAAGAGAGGTGAAGAGATAGGTGAAGAGAGACACCAAGACAGAGACGAAAAGAGAGACGAAGAGAGAGACGAAGAGAAAGTTGAAGAGAAAGTTGAAGAGAAAGTTGAAGAGAGAATTGAAGAAAGAATTGAAGAGAGAATTGAAGAGAGAGTTGAATAGAGAGAAGAAGAGAGAGGAATTGAAGAGAGAGTTGGATAGAGAGAAGAAAAGAGAGCTGGGAGAGTAGCGGAGTCAAAGTAAGCCATCGGACTAAAAAGAGTTGCTTGCTTCCGCTGAACCCCTACATTACTATGATGACGGTCAAGGTGTTGCTAGGTGAACAGTCTCAGCTATATTGTACCTCTATATGGTTAAAAGCAAGTAACGTTATCCAAACCCTATCAACCTCCATAAAAGCTACAATTTCGATTTCCCTTCCTCTAACGTACTCCTACGAACCATCACGCCCCTTTTAATGAAAAGCAAAACCTCAGCAAGCGACGATTACGACTGCCATCCAAGACATTATGACGCCTATACCCTTATTACCCTCTTTTCTTATCTTTCCTCAAGCGCCTTACTCCTAGCCTCCTGTCTGGCGAATTCATAGTCCAGCTTTCCGGGAATCACCCTCCAACACCAGCCACACCAACTCCTCACTTTGGCCTGCATCTCCCGGCCAAGGATATCGCCTCGATCCCGCTCGTCCGGCCATTCAGGGACACAGGCCCCGACCTTGACCATCCGGACAAGCTTCTTCTTGACCACACCGCCAATGCCCTCGATCTCGTGCCTTTCATAGCCAGGCTTCAGCATAGGACTAGGGGTCCTGCGTTCGAGGCCGGGCCCGGCCAAGGCAGAGCCAAGACCGCCCGTCTGAGATGACGAGGAAGCGTTGCTACCGTTCACACTTCCGTTACTACTAGTGGTGCTGGCAGTATCGGTGCCCCAAAAGGCGATGGAAATGTTGGAACCATTCGAGACAGTGGTGGTAGAGGGAGACGGAGTGTATTCATAGGTGCCGTCGGCTTCTTGAGCATCTTCGGCATCACAGTCGGTCTCCTGTTCCCGCTTCCGGGCAGCGCAGCAGTCACTCCCGCGGCCGCAAATAACGCCGCGATCGCCTTCGCCGATGCCAGTGCCGAGACCGCCGAGGACATCGGTGTACTGGTTACGCCATCTCCAGATGCTGGTGATAGATGACATGTCAGAACTGAATGTGAAGTGGGTGGAGGCACATCAGCTTACCTTTTGTAATCGTAATCATCATTCCGTATTGATTTACCGCATGGCTGGCAAAGCCAGACTCCATCTGTGTCACATTTGCAGATGGCTCTTTGCACATCGTCCGACTCGACGGAGAACTCGGGGCCAAGGAGTGGCTTTATGAGATTCCCTATGGGCGTCTTTGCGCATGTTACGCATAGCCGGCGGTGTCGGTCGCGGAGCACAATCGGTGCCGGAGGTTTAATGGCACAATTCTAACCAAGTATTCGGACAGGTCAGCTCTCTGCCTCCACAGAACCATGGTGACATGATGCTCTTACCCGACAGACGACAGTACCGCAACGGCGACACCCTCCAACCAGATCGCGGGCGCATTGACCGACCTTGCAGGGTTTATTAGGGATTCCCATCTCTTGCATGTAAAACCAGTTGACGGTACGAGCGCGATAGCGCAGCACCGCGTCGGGATCGATAGGGAGATGTTCGTTGGAGCAATGCAAGGTCGAAACAAGGAGCATCTTGCGATACTGCAACAGGCCTGCCCTGATCTGGCGGCAGGTTCGCGATAGGTTATCGAGCGTGTTCAAGTCAATGGAGGCAGCCAGAGACATGACGATACTGGTGATGGTAAGATGCGGTCAGTAATTCACCCCTCCCGTTCGCGTGAAGAGAAGGAGAGGGGAGAATCCGAAGACATGTCAAACATGGGGATACGCCTACGGATAGCATCCCAAAGCCAGTGTCATGGAGTTCTGGTTCGGATTCTCTCTGACAACGGGCTCGTGAGCCTCCTCGCGATGTTTCTCTGTGTGCAAGCTGCCCTCGCCCTCCATCTTGGTCCGGCCGATGTCGGTGACGATCCCCGTTCCGGTACAATTCCTAGCCGGCAGGTTGAAGCCATGATGAAAGGGCTGAACCTGGCCAGGATCGACATCTTCGTCTTCAAGATCTACAAAGACGGCCATGTTCAAGGGATCGAGTGTCGTCGGTGTTGATTGTTATCGGTGATAACGATGAATCGGATCTACACGACAGGATGAAACAAAGGCAAAGGGTGACCGGAAAGAACAAAACTGGATGGATCAGGGAGAAGCAATGATAAAACAAGAATTATCGAAACATTGAAGAAGCCAAGTCGGCCATCGCAAATTACACAAGAAGAGGAAGAGATGTTGTTTTTGATGCCAGCTTGACGTCTTGATGGATCATATAAGGAATGGAAGAGGCCCGCTTTCCTTGTGCTCCCCGATCTTGCAAGCCGCCGTCCAATCAACGCGTGTTCCAGGCTGCCAGTTGTAGTGATCCATCCTCATTTCCTGACTAGCGGTAATTACCATAATTACCCATAATTATGTGAAATAATGGCTCATTTTTTCCATTTTTACAGGTCATGTGACTGAAACCCCATAATTTTCAGTTTTTAGCTATCAGACTAGCTATACAAAATTGTAATTTTTGTACAAATTGTATAAATCAATTTATCCATAGATAAATACTAGCGCTAGATTTTACTATTATTCTACCATTTCTAAGCCTTCTAAAACAAAGTATAAATACTATATTTAGTAACTATCTCCCTTAATCTATATACCCTCCTTTTTACCTATTTAGCTTACTCTTTCTCCCATCTATTATTTTAATCCTCCTATTACATATATTCATATAACTACTCCTCGATTTACAATAATAAATTATCCCTATCCATAGTAAAAAGGCTAATAAAAGATTACTAGAGGTTTCTAAGCTTCCTACCGTTTCTGTAAATAAACGTAGCTATATTTATTTTATCAGCGGCGAGATAGTTACGCCTTAAATTCTCCAGAAAGTTTATAGTAGAAAAGGCTCGCTCGTACGGTATACTATTAGCTAGCGTATTGAATACCCTTATGGTAAAGGAGGTAATAATAGAGTCTTCGTCTTATAATATACTCTAGAAAAATATAGGATTAATACCCCTAAAGTCCTAAATACGCTAATTTAATATATATATCCTATAGCGAATCCTCTACTATAAAAAGTCCTGGATTAACCGTTCCTCTATAACGTTATATAAAGTACGAGCATATAGCCTAATAAAGTCTAAGACCGAAGTAGTAAGGTTAGCGATAGGGGGACGAATAGCGGCTACTATATTTTGTATAGTATTTTAGTATAAGAGGAAACCTAGCCAATTAAAAAGAATTAATTACTTTTACCCTCAAAATATAGAGAAACGTTCGAATTTATATTGATCGTTTTAATAGAAGGAGATACGATCAGCCTCCTATACAATCTATATAGTATTCCAACGCAATATAATATAATTAATAATAGCCCTATTTGCCTCTAATATTAATTGAACTTTATAGAGAGGTTTTATAAACCTTTTAAGAGTTTTGAAACTATCTTAAAATTGGGCATTATTAATAATATCGAATATTGCTCCTATTCGAACCGGTTCGTTTTATTATAGTACTACTAGGAGTATATGGAGTATGGTAGGGAGGAGACCGCTTTATTAAGGTTAAGGAGGGGCGGCGGTGGTAAGGAGATGGGGGGGGTCTTAATACTAGCTATTATCTATACGGGCTTGCCGTATAAACGCTTTAAGTGTAGGCTTTATATATTATACTAATTATAGAAATTTATATTATAAACCCTATCTAATAATTATACTAATTTAATTAATTAATAGTATAAATAAAATAATAAAATAATTACCCTAATTTACCTTGCCAGGATAGAGGCGAGCTTACTACAATATACTATTATTAACCCTCTAAAGCGAGCCAATTATAATTTAGAAGTACGAAAGAAGTTTACTACTAAGGAGATTTAATAATTTAATATTCGAAAAGGTAGTAAAGTAAATAATTTTTTCATTAATAATTGAAGCGAATAAGAATCGTATAGTATTAGAAATACTTAACTAAAACGCTTAGTCGTAAGTACGTATATTGTACGTCGGGCGGTAGTATATATATTGGTAACGAAATTATTAATTTTAATTATAATATTAGTTATGCTATTATATACTTTTATAACGAAGTTAGCGAAGTTTATAATAATATATTTGGTAGCGTTCGTATAACGGTTTAATTAGAAGAAAGTACTTCCGTTGTTTAATATTGTGAAAGAAATATTAAGAACTCATTTACTAACGTAATCGTCTAACTCATTATAGAATATACTAATATACTTAGCCCTATCGATATACCTTTCTTTAATTTCTACCCTTATCTCATTATAAATAAGGGGTAACTATTCATTTATAATGGAATTCGCGTTGGGTGGGATGTACGAAGGGTTAAAAATATATAGAAATACTCTTATAGGAAAGGATTCGAAAATATTAAATAGTTTGCCATCGAGGAGGATCTATTCAACTACGTACTAATCAACCTTCTTTACTTAGGCAGTCGTTAAGGACGTAGCGTAGTTGTAAATATCCTTACAGTATTTAGTTTATTAACGAATATAGTAATACTAGTATTACTAGTATTTAGTATCGAAATATTAGCGAAGGCGGGTAACGTTTAGCGCAAACCGCCGCTTATAATAGTTGTACGTCGCGACCTAGGCGGCGCGCCCTACTTCCTTAAAGAGGGCAAACTCCCTAAGGGTAGCCTCGGTTCGTCCAATTTGTATAGCGGGCATAGTATTGAAGGGTAAAGAATTACTATGTTGAAGCTAGTAATAAGAGGAATCTAGGAAGCTCGTCAATATACTAAAGGGTGTCCAGCGAGCCTAGCAAGCCCAGTCAATGCCTAGTATGTGCCCCATATTTTGGGGTGCACGGACGGTGGCACGGACCATTGAATTAGCAGTAATTATGGAAAATTATAATTATACGAATAATGGATAAATTTCAGTATGGATCGATCCCTAGCCAGTTGTAGTCCATTGACAGCACGATGACTACACACTGTAACCACTGAAACCGCTAAAAACAGGCGAGACAGGCCACTACAAACCGGGCTGTCCTGCAGGGCATATTGTTAGAGATCAGTTCGTCTACGCTTCTGGAAGGTGGGGCAGCCAGGTCTTTCTTTCTCGCTACCACACATCTTGAAGACCAAAGTGCCCTCGTGCCTTCCCATCCTTCGCCGAGTTGAAGGAAATGAGCATGTGACCTTTTGAATTTTCTTCCTCTTGCACCAAATTTTGGTTACCAATTGGTGATCCCCTCTTTTCATCAGAACATTACACCGGACACGGAACTTGAGAACCAACTATCTCCTTTGCGACAACCTCGCTCAACCTTGAGCATGACGCGCAATTCTTAACGCCTCTTCCTTCGAGAACACCTGAACTGAACACAGTCGGCGCCGCAACATGCTCGAGTCCGCGGCCCAACGTTGAATCCTGTCCGGATCATTGAACATACAACCATCCACGGACCAAGACATTCGGTGTCGCCAGCGTTACACTGCCCCTTGATGTTCGGAACCGACTAGTGCTGAGGCTCAACGCCGATCGGTCAATCAGTCCGGAGTCCCGGAAGCCGAAAGGAGAACAGCCATGACGATGACTACGGCGTCGGCACGTCAAGCTCCCTTTCCTCTTGAGAAAACGGTCAACAACACAACCTCCCAGCCCGACTGTGCGATATGTCGTCCAACTTCCAAGTGCCGACTCGGACAATAGTGTGCCACTGTGGCGCCGTATCGCCGTATCTCATGTGCGAACACAGCGCAAGGTCAAGAGCTAGCGCCGGCATCCAAAGCGCCTCATGTTGGCGAGATGCTGTGCTGTGTTCGACCACGTATCTGCCCAGCGGTAGCCTTTTGGGGCCATGCGCGTGGCGTTGAGACTTGATCAGCCACCAGTTTCTAGGCACTCTGTCCCTTGGAGCATTGCCTGGTTCAAGGTGTGAGGTTGGGGATTGAAGGAAATCTTCGTCAGGTCCATGGATCAGTCGAGCGACCCTTGGCCGTATAAGACAGCTTCGATTTTACCCTTCCGTCCCGCGAGACTGGTCTCAAAAATAGAAACTAGCTCTTGAGACCACAGTGATCAGCCTCATCACGCCCACTACGACCTATCATTCCCGCACATCTCCTTCCGATATCAAAATGCGTTGGATTGGTCAGGATGCATTTAATCTACACAAGGCAGTCAGGCTTACCCGCCCAGGCGGCTAGACCGCCTCTCGGTTTTGGACCCCTTACCCAAGCAACGATAAGGCATGAGAAGACCCAGGGGCTGTCTGACACCGTCGTCCTCCTCGCATCAAGATCTCTCGAATGAAGATGTTCACTCCTCGCTTGCCGCTCGTGGGGGTCTTCACAAGAAAGCGCTGCGTGGCCAGATGCGTTGGTCAATCTTGCGCCTGCGTCACTCTTCATTCACGGTCAGCCGCAGGTACCAAGAACGCCATTTTGCGGCCTGATACGGTCAGCTTATCATGAGGCATCAGTAAACAAGGTTCGGAACGATAATATTCAATTTTGCTGGAGATAGAATGGCTGGCCGACGTCTAATGTCAGCAGAAACGGTACAAGTTTACGGGGCGCGCCGTTTTCTCCCACCGTTACTCTCAACACCAAAAGTAACACTGCCTGCATCGCAACTGCATGGCGCTACGCTTCTCGTGGAGAAGTAATGGATATTGGCGCCAGCTGGAACGAGAAGATCAGTGCCCAGACTCGCCAGACCGCAGCGAGCTGAAGACCCTTCATGCGTGTTACGGTGTCATTCGAGCCTTCGCTATTGATTCTTATCGAAAAAGAAAAAAGACCCCCTCCAGACAACATCAGCCAGTCGAGACTCTGCCCCTCACCTCATCCTTCACGGCTTCCGAAGTCTTGCTTCATGGCGTGCGCCGCTTCTCTATCGTATGCCTCATCACATCAAGAGCCAATTTGTCTTCCCGATGATCTACACGTAGGCATATCAGCCCTCGAGATTTAGAAATTGAGGGCGTCTTGGGCGTCCAAGGCACCTCAAAGATGTTCAGATGCCAAGCTCGTATTTATTGCCATGGCCATGGTTTCACGGCGCGAACGGACCGTGCAAGCGCAACCACCTGGCACGTTTGGAGAAACCCCCGGCCACGGCGACTGGCCCTTGAGTTACAAGGGTTGTGGGATCTAAACCTTAAATGGATGATCTACCGTGGGTGTAGTCTCTATGAACTGAATGGACGGGAGTACCCGAATCAAATCATTCGGTCGACGGTGACCCTTCCCGACCGGAAAAGCGGCACAAGCAACAAGCTTTCATTATCACAGCTGACACTGTTATCTCT